AATCATAAATTTGAAAATGATATTAATCTTAATCCAAAAATATGAGAATAGTTGTTACAAAATTTGATAAAGAAATATTTAGTAATACAAAATTATTTCTGAAATATTGAATTAAATCTTAATAAAAAGAATAAAAAATCCATATTGTGGCAATCATTGGTTACTATTTGTTCAAAAATCTCATTAATCGGTTGGTAGAATATAGTATCTACAAATATAATAATAGCAATAAAGGAACACGTGCGTAGAGCCGACTTTGGCACGTGATGGCAGATGGGATATTAGATTTTGGATGATGAGGTGGCGTAGGGAGGGTGGGATTCACGTGACCATCACCCAAAAGGCCACACAAGTAGAAGGAGAAGGTTAAGCTGTCAACTGTCAATCCGGTTTGCAGTTGGGAAAGAAAGTGCTCTTTAATCTCTCTCTCTGTCTCTTAATATTTTCCACAAACCCTAAAATCAATCCTTAAATATTTTCTATTTCCTTATAGCTTCTTAAGCTTCCAATAAATTGAATTCATTATTTGTAATATTGCAATCTAACAAAACCAAACAAAATACGTATTTAGTTAGTTTTTATATATATATATAAAGATAACAATGGATACCTTTTAATAAAATCACGAAAATTTTATCGAGCAATGTTAAATTATATATCCTATATATACTTTCAACCGTTTTCATACGTGATAAAGCATAAAATAATATCATACATATATAAGAAGTAGATCGCGTTGTGAGCTACGTTTGAATTTAATATATAACTTTTGTAAACCGATAATTTTTATAAGGTTAGAGGTTTAATGAAGAAAAATTAATCTTAAATCTAAATTAGGTGTAGAGAAATTCGTGGGAGAAAATATACGTAAAAGGATAATCAATTTAAATTTCAACTATTCTCGCGTTTGCATTATATTTTCTTTTTTTTTTTTACACCAAAAAAACTATCAATGAACTTAAGATTTATCTCCCTATGCAAATACTTCAAATTGTGATATATCTAGGAAAAAAAAAAAAAAAAAGGAAAGCAAAACTTTGCTCAAACATATACATTTGTTTATTACATTTTGAATTAGTGTAAATTTTTTTGTAATGCTTTATGATTGACATGAACAAAGACATGCATGTGGCTACATATAGTTGCAATGGTACAAAATTCACCATGTGAACGTGGTAGACCTAAAAGTTTGTAGTTTTAAAAATCAAAGCTATTTGGACCTTTTGGGATTTATGAGCATAATTAAAAAGGAAAGGCTTGCATTTAAACTTCACGAGATTGGGAAAATACTAGAAATAAGAGAATAAAAAAAAAAATATTTTGTACTTGAATTTTTCTTTTATCATAAAAATTATTAAAGCTGATGTTTAAAAAAGAGAAATGATGTTCCTTTTTTTTGTTTGTCGAAAAAAATTTAAAATAAGATTTGGCAATTTTTTTTTAAATTAAAGAAAGAAAATTCAAATTTTATTGTTTGATTCATTGAGAAGCCAATTAGCTATACGAAGGCAACCATTCCCTTAGCTTACCAAATTACTTTTATAATTGAAATGACTCAAACTCGAGAACTTTAATGTTTCTTATTAGTGAGAAAATCAACCAAACAACACATGGTTGACTCAAATTTTATTTTATTTTGTGTAAAATATAAATATGAATAATAAGTAACTATTAGATAATTTCTAATTTCGTTTTCATATCCCTACTAAATCCTATCCAATCGAATCATTTCCTTTTCCGTTTATATTTTCTCACTCTTTAGACTTAGACATGAATGCTTATGCAAATGCATAAATATAGATATAAGGAAAATGATAGCTTGAAAATTAACCATATCAAGGAGTTAGAAACTTCCTATCTTGCAAGCAGAAACACTACTTCATAATAGTTTATTTCCAACTTCCTAAAAATTAGAAGGATAACATCTCAATTTCAACTTGAAAAACGATAATCTAATAATTTAATCAAACATGTCAATATCTAAAATCATTTTTAAAATTATGAGATTATAAAATCGAAATAAATAAATAAATAAATTTATATAATTAAGCTATATATATTTATATGCATTTAATTAACACATAATTTTTCATTAGATAAATGATGCGATTTAAGTAAATTTAAATAATTACAATTATTAAAATGCAGCTTAATTTAATAAGGTTAAAAAAACCCATTAAGGATAATTTCATTTCATTGAATAGCATCTATATTGGGTATATACTATATAGTCTAGTCTTGAAAACACATGCAAAGCCAAAAGCTCAATTAAGTGGGATATATATATATATATAGAGCATTGCACTAATTAGTATCAGATCAATCAGCTATATATAGCTTATTTATAAATTATATATGACAGTCTAATTAATTTTTTAGTTTCTTTAATTAATTATTATTTAATGAAAAGCATATATAACTATATATATGCCACAACATAGGTAACTAAAAATATAATTTTGATTCAGTGATTGTCCCCTTCTTGTCTCTCTCTCTCTCACTATTAGTTTTCTTTATGTCTCTAAAATGGATAATTTAGTTCCAAGCTTTATGGAGAGAGAGAGAGAGGAAGATATTAGTTTTGGGGATATTAAAGAAACTAAAGTGAATTTGTATATATATAAGAAGGTGTTAAATTGGCACATGGCAAAATTTTGTATGCTTTACCCACTTGTTTTTATATTAGTGGGAAGTGTATATTCTGTTTGCCTTTGGTACCAATAAGAAGATGCCAAAGACAGATTTAATTGAAAGAAACATAAAATAATATGTAATAATAAATTAAGATGAAAAACATTCACTACCCTTAAAATTGTCACTGTTCAGAAGACTTTATCAGAATATCACTCTGGCCTGAACGTAACATTATATATATTATGCGTGTAAACTCAAAAAAAATAAAAAAAATATTAGATTGATTTCTACAAATTGGGTTCAATTTGAGTTAATTAGACATCTTTCTCATCTATTAAGTGATGTTAATTAGTGGAAATTAATAATCTCATTTTTCCACATAAAAATCAATTAATTAAGAGCATATATAGAACATATATAAGTTAATTTTCCAAAAATAATCTCATTTTTCCAAATAAAAAGGAGGAACAACCTTGTAGATAAGGGCATACCATAATTGATAATGTCGTAATACCCCATTAATGATATTGGAATAAAAGTACAAGTAGAAGGAAAACAATGTAATGCAAGATAAGCATCTTTAAATATAGTACAATATTCCAGTGTGGAAGATAACAAAATTACAAAGGCACTAATGTCATAATCCATCAATGAATAATTAAATAGGAAAAAGTCAATAAATAAATACAATAATGGAAAGTAAAAAAGCAGTACAATATCATTAAGCTAATTTATTGGAGTATTTAATTGCTTGGTAATGCAATAAATTTGAGACTTCAAATCCAACAATCCTTTCTTTTTTCTTTTTTCTTAAGGATTTTCTTGCCCAAAAATAGGTTTGTAGAGTAATTTTGTTTGTAATAAAGTAAGTAAAATGCTATTACTTTATGAATAATGTTATAGTGGAATTAAGCCAAAAATACAAATAAGATGATCATCAAAAAACAGACTACTTTGCTGGGAAGGGCCAAAAATATTTACGCTTTATGGCCTGAGGGGATTAAACCTTTTGATTATAAAAAAAAAAAAAAAATTACGTTCTTATAACACTTTGGAACAAAATTATTAATAAGTAGGAACAATAAAACGAATTAATGATAAGGTGATATAAATAAACAAAAACTAGAGGGAGTAAAAAAGTTGTTACACATGGAAATGGATTGCACGTCAAGTGAACTTTATTTAATAAGTTTACTGATTGAAAATCTGAATTTTTTTTTTTAAAAAAAGTGATTTTACCACGGATCAACGCATAAATATAACGCAATTGACTAACTATAGTTTAAGATCAAAATGTTTGTCCTTAATTTGCGATCGATTTTAATATCTACCATAAAAAGATTGCAACTAGAATTTTTCCTACCGAATTCAGTTGGTCACAGATTCATCGCTTTTCTTAATTACCAATCAATTTAATGTGTTTTGCGATCGAGTAGTGGGTTATAATTTAACTTTTCTTTATGGTGATTTAAGATGATTTTATCTAAATATTATTACGAGCCCGCTAGAAAAGAAAAAAAAAAAAAAAAAACTATATTAGTAGAAACTTAAAGGGACATATTGAAAAGGGTAATCAAACATTACCCATCTTGACATTGCCAAACCATAAAGCGGTTATATGTGCTTTTCACACACAAACCTAACTTAAACTTTGCCCTCAAACCAATACTCGTATAAATGTATATTTGGCACGTGCCACTCATCTTTTGCGTGTAGGGTTTCCTTAATTTTGCCTTTGTCTATGTAGCTATATAGCTATGGTTGTATTATTAATGCATAAATACGCATCTCCAAAAGACCAAAATAGCCTCACCAACTTATTTGGAAATAATTATTAGATAGGGCATTTTGGTAATATAATCGAAATCAAGAGGATGGTGGTAGTTTGGATCATTGAGATGACCTTGTACTCACCTTATCTTTATTTTATTCCGTAGTTTGCGTTGGTTTCCAAAGGATGTATATAAAATGACAATAATATCCATATTGGGAACCAACAATTTTGGTTTTTTCTCATTTAACTAAAACTTAATTAATCAACTTGATTTAATAAAATAATCATATAATTAAATAAATTAGAAAATAGTATGTGCTTCTGAAAATGCCAGTTTGGATAATTAATCAATGACTTGTAAAATCTTAAATTCCAAGTACCAACCTACCCTCAAACTTTGGAGGGTCTACAAGAGGGACATTGAAGTAATTTCATATATAGACATTTAAATAAATTGTAGCTTAAGTCTTTGTTTTTCCTTTTTTCTCTTTTTTTTTTAGTAATTCTATTTTTCTTTATTTAATTTTGTTGTTGTCAAAACGAAGAACCAATAAATAAATAAATAAAATATTGGTGAGTAAAAGGAGGAAGGTGAAGGGGAGAAGCAGGAAATAAAGAAAGAAAGAATAGCGACTTCTTCTCTTTAATTGTGTTTCGTTTAGGCCTGTCTCCTCTCTCTTTGGGGCTGAGTTTTCTTTGAGAGAGATATCAGTAGTAGTTTATCTCAGGCTCTAAGCCACCATTTCTTTTTCTTGCTTTATTTTATTGTTAAAACTTCACCTTTCTTTCTACAACACTCGATTATTGCAAACAACATACACACACTCAGTAAGTGCTGCAAAGAGCAGCTACCGAAGATAAAAGAAAAGGTGAGAAAGAGAAAGAAAGAAAGAGAGAGAGAGAGAGAGAGAGAGAGAGAGCGGAATTGGCAGAAGCTTTCAATACCACACAAGAGAAAAGGATGGCTGAGAGCTTTGCTTCCTTCCATACTCTGCAACTACAAGAGGTACTTGTATGTGTGTGTGTGTGTGTGTATATATATATATATATTTAGAGGATGAACAAAGCTGAAAATGATAAAGGAGTAATATATAAATAAATATAATATAAAATTTTAAATAAAAATCAAGAAAGGCTCTTGAGAAAAGACCCATTTGATACTCTGATAGTCCTATCTTTCTCTCTCTCTTTCTTCCTCTTTCCTTTCTTGTTTTTTAGCTATGTCTCTTGATATGTAAACCCTCTTAATAACCAAAAGATGGGTGTTTCTTGTTTTTCTTATATGGGCTAATAACCGATCCATGTATACAGCAGAATTGAACAAGATCGTCGAAGGGGTACAGAATTACAGTGATATTACACAAGAGATGATGATCATCATCAGTATCAAGAAATTGATATTATGGGAATAGCAACACCACCGCTCCTCCCTCCAATTCTTTCTCATTCCAAGACTCATCATCATCACCAGTCGTCTTCAATTACTCCCTTAGCTCTATTACAACAACAACAACAACAACAACAGTCTAATTCTATGTCCCAAGACTATCACCAAGCAGCAGGCATCTTCTCTTTCTCGAATGGCTTCGAGAGATCCCAAGAACATCACCACCACCACCAGCAACAACAACAAAATCACTTGGCTCAACAGATCCGTAGAGACAAACTTAGAATCCAACACGGCTATGACCCGCCTACAGGCTCATTAGTAGGAATTGAAGATGAAGAATCCGGTAGTCTTGCCGTTTATGAAGGCGCCGGTATGTTATCAGAGATGTTCAATTTCCCTACCGCAAGTGGGCCAGCTACTGCTGCTGAATTATTGGATCAGCCTTTACAGTCTAATTACCGCACGGCAGCCGCTGCTGCCACACAGCCCCGGCAACAGCAGCCAGTAAATACTAGTGAATGGTACAGCAACAACCGGCAAGCTATGGTAGGAGGTTTGGGTTCCTTAGGAGATACAAAGAATCATAATAATCAACATCATCATCAGATTTCAGGTATTAATGCAGATTCAGCTGCTGCCATGCAGCTTTTTCTCATGAACCCGCAACCAAGATCACCATCTCCTCCTCCGGCAACTTCTTCTACGCTTCACATGTTACTTCCAAACCCATCTACATCTCTACCAGGGTATAGTACCACCGGAGGTGCTTTTGGCGCTAATAGTGAAATATCTCCTCCACAATTCACTTGGGTTCCTGATAATACTCATGAAGGCGGCAATACTAACCCGAGTGAGATTGGTAGCGTTGTAGAAGGACAAGGGCTTTCTTTGTCATTATCTTCAACATTGCAGCATTTAGAAGCAGCAAAAGCAGAAGAATTAAGGATGGGAGACGGTGGATTATTGTATTATAATCAAGGAGGGGGTTCTTCTTCTACTGCTGCTCAATATTACAAGAATTTAAGCGGTCAACACCAGTCAACATTGCATTTGCAACCTGGAATAGGTCAAAACCATCAAGTTCATGTTGGGTTTGGATCTTCTTTAGGAGCTGTTAATGTTTTGAGGAATTCTAAGTATGTGAAAGCTGCTCAAGAATTGTTAGAAGAATTTTGTAGTGTTGGAAGAGGTCAATTCAAGAAAAGCAAATTTTCCAGACAGAATACAAACCCTAATTCTAATACTGCTGGTGGTGGTGGCGGCATCGGCAGTGGCGGCACTACTGGCGGTGGTGGTTCTTCAACAAAAGATTTCCCTCCTTTATCAGCTGCTGATAGAATTGAGCACCAGAGAAGAAAGGTCAAACTTTTATCAATGCTTGATGAGGCATGTAATCTCTCTCTCTCTCTCTCTCTCTTCTTTTCTTTTCTTTCTTTCTTTAATCCTCTTCTATACCTTCCCTCTGTCTCAATTCTCAACTCAAGAGTCGAGACTCCCAGAACCAATCTTTTCTTGATTTAACTATTATTTTAATTATTAGTCCATTAATTATAAAATTAGAAGAATTAAAGAACAGAAACTTCCTGCCTTCTTTTCATCAATATATAAATCATTTTTATTCTTAAAAAAAAAAAAAAAAGACCCAATCCGAGAAAAGCCGGCTGGTGCAATAGGGTTATGTTTATGCATATATAGGATCTAGTTGGTGGAATTGGATTAGCACATAATTTAAAGCAAACTTTTTATTATTATTAAAAAACAATTTTTTTAATCTTTGATTTGATTTGTGGGGATGGTTAAGGTACTTAGTATTTTCGTTTGGTAAAAAGAAAACATGAAAGACTACTATTAGGGGTATGCTCGTAGCTAAGAAGGGACGTTCCTTCTGACTAAGAAGATGACTAGTAAGCCACCACAACAATCATATATATATTACGTAAGATAACAAGTTATTATGAAGTTACTTCTTCTTCCATATATTCATACCCATCATAGTAATATTACAGTGAAAGCTAGCCAGCCAGCCATTGATGATTCTTGTACATATATATATACATATGTTAGTTTTGACTTGGACAGGGAAGGAAGGTGGTTCTTTGTTTTTATTTATTGTTTTATAAAACTTTTTTTCCCTTCTCACGTTTTTGTTTATGCACAAAGGATAGATCCATTTATTGTCCCTATTAACAATCATTTCACTGTACCAGTTTTTGATGATGATGATGATCTATGCATTTATTCTTCTTTTTTTTTTTAAATTATTATTATTATTTCTGCATTTGGTTTCCTTTAAGAGCAACAGAGTCCTATCAAAAATTGTTCTGGTAGTCATGAAATTCTCAAAGAGGAATTTTGTGTTTGCCTTTCCTTTTCTTTTCCTTCTATTACTCATGAATGTATGTATAACATCACATCACATAGTAGTCCAATAATTTTTCTCTCTTTTATTAGTCTGCTTTCTTTCCTCTTTCTTTTTTCTTTTCTCTCTCTCTCTCTCTCTCTCTCTCTCTCTCTCTCTCTCTCTTTTTTCAATTCTAGGACACTACTCAAATCACAGTCATTTGTGATATGATTTTTGTCCTTTTTTAGACTGCAGTCTTAAGAAATAGACATTTAAATTTTATAAACAAAAAGTAGGGATAGCTCTAATGTTTTATTTTCATTTATTAAATGCAGGTGGATAGAAGATACAACCATTACTGTGAACAAATGCAAATGGTAGTGAACTCATTTGATTTAGTAATGGGTTTTGGGGCAGCTGTACCATACACTGCCCTTGCCCAGAAGGCAATGTCAAGGCATTTTAGGTGTTTAAAAGATGCAATAGCAGCACAATTGAAGCATAGCTGTGAATTGCTTGGTGAGAAAGACGGGGCAGGTACTTCAGGTATAACAAAAGGAGAGACCCCAAGATTAAGAATGTTAGAGCAAAGTTTAAGACAACAAAGAGCCTTTCACCAAATGGGTATGATGGAACAAGAAGCTTGGAGACCACAAAGAGGCCTACCCGAACGATCTGTCAACATTTTGAGAGCCTGGCTTTTTGAGCATTTTCTCCACCCGTACGTTACCTTCACCTTTCTATACATTACATGCCATTATACACTAATATTAACATTAATAAATTATCTTTGATTAAAATGGAAAAATAAAGTTATTGTTATAACTCCTTTTTTTTTAAAAAAAAAAAAAAAAGACAAGACATAATAATGATACTTTTATATAATTAGTTAAGATAGAATGCAGAGAAATACACAAGATCCAAGTTCTTTTTGTTGTCTCTCTGGCATTTTTTACAAACTGTGATTAAAGGGAAAACAGCAATGCAGTGTCCTTGGATGTTGTCTCGTCAGTTAAAAGCTGCAAATAGGGCTTTTCTTTCTTTGCCTTGCTGCTTTTTTACATACAGAAATTAGTTAATCATTGGATAATATACAATAAACACATTAAGAAAATTTTTAAACTCTATCCAAGTGTAAAATATATGATTTTCCATGCATCTTTTTTTTTTTCTTCTTAGCTGTTTCCAAATAACAATAATGCAAGAGAAAGAAGAAGAAGAAGAGAGAGAGAGCGAGAGAGAGAGAGAGAGAGAGAGAGAGAGCAGTTGTTGTTGTCCTTGTAAAATAGTGTTACGGTAGTGCTGTCTCATCTTTCTTCTCTTAGATTGTCACGCCATGCAGAGAAAGGAAAAAAAAGAAAGAAGAAATATTACTGTGTCTTTTTATACGGTTTAGGTAAAATAAGTTTCTCTAATGTCATTTTCTGGTCTCTTTCTCAGGTACCCAAGCGATGCAGATAAGCATCTGTTGGCTCGACAGACTGGTCTATCGAGAAATCAGGTCACTATTCTCCTCTCCCTCTCTCTTTTTATATACGAATACTTTTTTTTTTTTCTTGTTAACATAATTGTGAAAAATTTTAAAGTTAACAGAGAGAAACCTATATAATAGAAGAGACCATCAGTAAGTTCAGTAGGAACTTGCATGGTTTTGGGTTTTCTTTCTCTGGATTTATTGTCTTTCTGTTAGAGGAAGACACAAATGTTACCATAATGTTTTTTTATGTATATATACAAATTAATAATGGAGGTTTTCTTTGGATTCTTTTATACACTGGGACATAGATTCTGAAATAGACATAAATACTGAGACAGTGAAGGAACTCCTCAGACATAAATATTTAAGAGCAGAAGCAAGTACACTAGAGATGAGACATGAAAGTTTGCAGCTTTGATTCTCTCTATCTTAATCCAACCACACGAGGACAACCATTAAGGCCGTCAGTAATTTTTTTTTTTTTTTAAAAAAAACTACTTGGAATATGTTCTTTTTCCTTTTTCTTGTCTTTTTTTACTGTTTTACATCCCATATTTTTTAAAAAAAAAAGAGAGAAAAAAATATCTTTCTTTTGCTTTTATTTTTATTAATTTCACTTTTTAAACTCAAAATCTCACTGTACTAACAATTATTCCATAAAGAGTAATTCAAGCGAGAAGACTGGCTTGAATTTGGCTGACTATTTCTGTAAAGTCAAAGTTTGAGTCATATAAAAACACTTAAATCTCCTTTACGTGCATTATCATGCAACTATTTTTCTTGGTTATTGAAGAGTAAAACCCTCTTTCTTGAAAATGAGTACTGTTATTATAACAGGCATCATTGTATAACTATTTTTTCTTTAGTGCTCACTTAAAGACGAGTTGAATTAGAGAGAAAAAGTTAAGACGGAAAACTGATTTGTAGCTGCTAGGAGGAAGCATAAAGAAACAGACACCTATTCCTATGTCTTTTTCTTATGTAATAAATAACTATGATAAAAAGAAGACAATGAGTAAAAAAAAATTAAAAAAAAAAGAAAAAGAAAAGTCAGTCATCGAGAGGCTCATAAATAGAGTGCCCTCACTATGATGACTTCTGAGTTGTCTTCATGCCACCCAAGAGTTTTCAAGAACCGCCATGCATTTCCCAATTATTACCACCATTCAAGAAATCAAGGAAAAAAAAGAACACATATTGTCTTAAATAGTTACTAGTAATAATTTCTTAATTGTCTAGAGCTTTTCTTGAAATTTATTTGTATTATTATAGTTAAAGAAAATGAAATATCAGGGTTTGAATCTTGAATTGTATGTTTCCAGGTTTCAAATTGGTTTATTAATGCGAGGGTGAGGTTGTGGAAACCCATGGTAGAAGAAATGTATCAACAAGAAGCAAAAGAAGAAGAAGGTGGAAATATTGAAGATAAAGAAAGAAAGCAAAGCATCAATAGCAAAAATAATACTTATAGTAATAATAACAGTGGGCTTGCACAGACACCAACGCCTACTACTACTTCTACTGCTACACCAAATATCACTCCAACAACACAATCCTTATCAGCAACACCAACGACACCACCAGCCAAAAGATCCGAAAATACAAATGAAAATGATCATTCACACCTTCTCGCAACCGCCTCCGCCGCCACCACCATCGTTACTCCCACTATAGAGGCAGCACCGCCAATACTAACACCACATGGCCAAGCTTTCCATGACTTGGCAGATGAAACTTGTCGACGTGGCAGCATGATTGCAGGTGATTATGGGACCACAGCCACCGTCTCTGCTGGCGGAGCTGAACATATTGGCTCTACACCAATAAGGTTTGGGACCACTGCGGCTGGAGATGTGTCTCTCACTCTAGGGCTACGCCATGCTGGAAACATGCCAGAGAAGACTTCCGCTTTCTCTGTTAGGGACTTTGGAAATTATTAATTATAATTCAAAACCTCTTTTTTTCTTTAAATTATATATAGTACCTAAGAAAAATATTTATTTTACTTTTGTTTTGTCTTCTCTTTTTCCACTTTAATTTCATTCTATTTAGAAGAAAATACAAATATTATAAGTTAGTTAGTTGTATGAAGTCTATATTGTAATTGTATAGTAGAATATTTATTGATTTGCATATTTATGTATTTATTTATTATTATAATTCAGGGTTTGTACCTTAATTTATGTCATCTTTCCTAGAATAATATAAGATCTTATTCTATTTTAAAATAATTATGTGAATTAATAAATTGTAGATTTGATTTATCATATGAATGACCGAATATATATAAGTTTCAAAATCTCTATTGAGAGCGCGCTTGCTTGAAGGATACGATGCAGCACGAATAAAGTTATTAGGCTCGATTCATTAGGATTACATTAATATAAATAAATCAATAATAACTATAATTATTTCAAAATAATTTTAAATCTAAGAGCTCACGAAATCATTTTTATATAAAGTCTATCTTATAATAGACAATATTATATTATGGGTAACTTAACTAATATAATTACAAGTTGCGTGATTAACTTAACCATTACAAAAAATTATGGTGTGATGGATTATTTAATATATACCTAATAATTTATGGGTGAAAACTTTTCCATATTGATAGTTGTTACAAGATCACATGTAGAAACTATAAATAGATGGTGAACTTTCAATTTAAGGTGCACATCAATATGTCACCTTTATTTGCAATAAATTTATCTCATATTTTTTAGTTTTTTTCATATTAAATGAGCTTCAAAAGAAATATTTTATTTGAATAATCTTTAATTCTCTAGTTAGCAGCTTGTGTTTTTGTTTTTTTTTTTTTTTTAGTTAGTTATAGTTGGAATTTAAATTTATAATTTCACATTTTTGAAGCCAACTCCAATGCAATTAACTAACTCGAACATTTATTTATTTATTTTATGTGAAATTCATCAAAATTCAATATCACTCATATTTAACATATATAAAAACATTGAGAATTAAAAAATCAAAATTAAATCATATTACCGAGGAAGAAATTAAACAATCAAAACAATGGTTTATTACAAAGCCAACAAACTAGGAACTTGGACAAGACTCATGTTGTGTACCTAAATTACATAGAAACCTTATACCTAATATGGAAAAAGATCTGCATATAGAAAAATTATTAGCTACCTTCCTTTAACTAATTGAAATAAAACTTATTCAATTTATATAAACTAGGATTAATTAGTTTTACATACTTGAGGTAACCAAACCATGTAGGAATTAGAACTCACTACCTCACAATTTCCAAAGTTGATTTTAATATTATTCAAACAAAATTTAATAATAATAAGAAGAAAAAAAAAGAGATTTAGATGTGTTTAATAAAGGAGCGGAAAAGTGCAAAATATATAATTACTACAATAAGTGAGATTTCGAGTAAGTGTTACATAATCTTCTTCTGTTCGAAAAAATGATTCATCGAAATAATGAGCCACCATTGATATCGACACATCTAAATATTTAACAGATTGTTCATATAACATCAGAGTTCAAACTCGAGCTAATAGACTCCCAATATATATAAATCAGACCTAATACTATAGGGATTAATTAAACTTGAACCATTAATTACTAGTTGTTCATAGGATTAGCAGACTGATTGGTTTTGTCATGTTAACTGATAACCAACGCAAAATGAGGGTTTCTTCAATTCGAAACTAAAATATACAAAGCAACAACTACTCTTTACCTAATATGTTGCGTTTCATTTTAGGAACACACATACTGTAACAAACCGAAAACTACATCTCCTACATTTAGATTTTACCAAGTTGTTCTGCTGCTACGATCATATTCCCTTTTGAATTCAAGTTAATATATATAAAAAATTTCAACTTTTAGATAAATAATTAACTAAACAAAAAAAAAAAAAAAAAAACTTCATTGGCATACATATGATATGATATTGATGTTCCAGCGGTTAAATTATCTTGTTGGGAAAAATACAAACCATTATATATTGTTAGAGCTGAGAGTTTCACTTTCAGATATGTAAGTATCAAGAAATGTCATTTTCAAATGGGTTTCATTCTTTGATGGTGAAGTTGCTTAGAAAAAAGCAAGGTAAAAATGACTGGACGTTTTTAGCAGTAGTATATGTAGAAGAAGAAAGACTTTTTTTATGTATAAATAATTTTAAAATTGACGATGGATTATCTTCTTTCTACTGGGTTTTCTTTGTTTTTGTTAAAATGATGTTCATTTTTTTTTCTGAAAATTCAAAATTAGGTTTTCAAAGCTTTCATTGAATGTGTTATAAATGTTACTTTCTGGTGGGTACTGCCCTTTCATCTGAGAACTGTTGATAGCATCTGGGGCTGAGACAGGCTCAAAACCCTACTCCAGGTACTCGTCAATAGGGTTGATAAGTACCCCAGATGGTTTCTTTGTCTTGTTTGGGCACTTGGATTACAATTTCAATGTCAAGAAACTGACAATTTTTAAATAAAAATAGAAATATTGAATTGAATTTAAAAAAAAAAAATAGAACCCTACCCCAAATAAAACAAGTATCAAATATGTGCATTAGAGGACAACAACTTTGGAGTGGCCCCCTACCTAAAATTTGCTAGCTTGAAAGATACCCTTCAGATCCAATCCAAGGGACTGTCTACCAACCAGTTACCTTTGTGCGGGTCCACATTGGGAAATGGAGTTGATGGATGGATATGTGTTGTGTACGCCCACTTAATGATCAGGTCCTTTATTGGGCCTTATGGGTTGGGCCCATCCCAATTTCTTCTTTCACTCACAAATAATTGGAACTGATTGGCTGCAGGGGTGAGATAGGGTCATCTCTGGATAGACATAAGACTATGAATTGATACAGAGGAAGTGTACTATATGGCTTCCTAGGGTTTTGTCAGTGGATCTTGGTTGCAAGGAAATTTTTTGGATGATTTAGTTTTCTCCATATTAAAGAAGTTAATAAATATTAATATTAAATAAATGAGTATTAAATGATTTTGCATATCTATTTTTGTAATTATTTTTTCAAAAAATTAAAAATTTTCCCATATAACAGAAATTAAATAAAAAAAGTTTAAATGTTTTGGGCCAACAGGACGCTGTGGACATGCATAGTAAAACAAAGCCCAAGATGCAGTTGTTATTACATACAAGTAATTAAATATAAATGATAGGGTAGGGTTAAGAGGCCCCACTTCCTCGACATGGGCCGACCACTGGATGTGTGCATTAATTAAGAGCACATTCATATTCTTAATCTTCAAAAAAAAAAAAAAAAAAAAAAAAAACTACCATCTACCTAGTTCCCAATCTCTTTTATGCCCCTTAGTTTGGAAATTAAAAAAAAAAAAAAAAAAAAAAAAAGAAGGTCCCATTCTACCATCTACCTAGTCCCATTCTCTTTTATGCCCCTTAGTTTGGAAAATTAATAATCAAAATAACCTTAATTAGTTAAAAAATTACTCCTTTCGTTCCATTATATTCAACAGTTAAAAAGAGTTGAGAAGGTCCTTCTAGCTGTTCTAGGATGCTAAAAAACACAACAAATTGAACAAACAGCAATGGCAGAGAAGCAAACAGGAAATGAGACAAAATAAGAAAAGGCAGGAAATGAAATGTGACATTACCTGGCAATGGCATACACAATTTGCCTCATCATTTTTGTGCACGTACAAGTGGGGCTCCATCAGACTCTGTTTTCAGTGATGAGTAATGACACTCTTAACAGCGACAAATCGATATTATTTATGATGTAACAGGAAAAGTAGATGTAGAAACAACATCACCCACTTGAATTTTTTGGAGCAGACAACCCTTATGTCACTCCTCCTACTAATTTTTACTGCCTAGCTTTAATGCTTCTTCTTCCATTATCCTCTCGTCTCTTCTCCCTCTCTCAAACTCTTAACTGTAGATATAAAATTTTCCTGAAAATACAGTTTACTTCCGTAGATTTTACAGCAATCAAACCCAGAAGTTGAAACTTGAAAATATCCCAAAAGTTAGCATAAGAAGTTCCTAACTGCTTTGAAAAGTAGCTCGCTTGTTGATATTTGGGATGTCAATTGTTTAACTTGTGTGGAAAACCTACTGATACATCAAACAAGTAGCTATCCATATCATCAAACCTAATACATAGTAAGAGCTAAATGTAAAAAAATAAATACGTGTGGGACATGCGAGAGAGACAGAGAAAGAAAGAGGCATAATCAAAAGCTGGGAAGCTACCCTATCAACAAGAAATCATTACTATTTGGGTTCTTGGCTTTTGCATGCAAATGTCTTGCACCGACAGTTACAGTAAAATCGTACTACTCATGTTTCGTCACATGTTGATGTAGGAATTATAATTAATAATGGACATTTTTTCCGGAGAAAGTAGTTATCTTACCATTATGATGCTTTGGCTTTCTTTCTATCTTTCCATTTCCCAGAATCAGCGTGTTCGTTTGTCCAAATGATCAGATGGAAACTGGTATATATTGCTTATTTAAGTTTAATTAACATATATATATATATATGTTAATAAAAAATTTTATGCTCGCGGTTTCGAAATTTGTTAATGACCCAATATTATTTCAGTAGTTGATTATAAAATTTTGATCTTTTTTATAACAATTTAATTGTTTTTCTATTTTAAGATTATTAAAGAGGGAACTTAATTTCGATGCATGTGAGCTAATTCGAGAATACCTTAAGCCAAAAAAATTAAAAAAAAAAAAAGTTGTGGTTTATCCTTTAAGTTTTAAAAACTAAAGTACAAAATTTTCAAATTTTGCTTCAGAAAATATTTATATTTTTCATATTGAAGCAAACGGTAGAGAACTTTCTGCAGAAGACAATAGGTATATAGGAAGGACCTTTTGTTCTGCTTCTGGGCCAAGAGGATTTTCTCACGAGTCATGTGGACTTGGACTGGGCAAAAAGGGTCACACGTATGATATCTTTCTGAAAAGTCCAGGCCTTTTATGTTTTTGGAAAGTATTATTTTCAATTATTATTGCAAGGAGCAGTCTGAAACAATATATCTTAACAATGAAACGAAGAGTGTAATAAACAAAATGAAAATAATTAAGCAAATATAAACCCGGTTTGTGAATCTCAATCTCATGGCTTGCATTTTTTTTAACTATGGACAACGTAAAAATTTGAATGACATTCATGGGTGAGAAAAATTGCACATTTACTGGAAGAAAAGCAACTTCTACAGCATTTCTGTTCATTAATTTCAACATCAAGCAATAAACCCATATTCATATTCATCAACTCAAAAAAAGTTTTACAAGCTTGTTTTATACTCACAAAAGAACACTGGTACACTAGTCAGATTCATATTTCTGTCACTGTTTTGCCTTGAAATGATTTACTAGACGAGAAATGGTCACTTGTCTTTTACATTTTAAATGTGAAAGTGGCTTCTCCCCAAATTGTGGATGGATGATGCATTCACATTATCAGACTCATTAGATCTTACTGCTTTGATGTCATTGAGCTATCTGACTGGAGTAGATTACCTTGTGTTTCGATGTAAGGTCTAATGAAAGTCCTCCGCCACCACACCTCGAAAGCTCTCTGGAGATTCGGGCAGTTATCACCAGCCTTCAAAAAACTTCCTAACCAAGAAAGCAAAATACTCTGTTGGTTCTCTAGTGGTAGAGTCAGGATTGTCCTCCCAATGCCTTCCTCCACTACTTTCCGATCAAATGTCCGGCACCCATGTTGCAACCAGCTGTAGTCATTGATTAATGGCTGTAACCATGTCTGTAGCAACAAGTTACGAGTGTCCTTTGATGGTAGCAGCTCCCCCCTTCCAATTCCCACAAATAGTCTTGCTGTAACGCAGCTAACATGGTAACGAGACACTACAGGCAGTTCTTTATGTAGAACGGCCAATTCCTCCTGGCTAGCCCACATTAAAGCAAACTCATCAGCTGCTTGTCTGTCTGCTAAAATCTCAAGCAACCATGAGAGGTTATCAGCCTCAAGAGCTATTTGCTTCACCACTGGTTCTCTACTGTCCATAGGTTTATTGGCAAACTCAGGTTCAGCAGCTTGCCTGAACAAAGACAACAGGGAATTCAAGCAACATCTACATGAGCTGTAGATTGTTTCATTGCAGATGTCAGTTGAACCTGCATAAGTTGGAAGGCTGTTGTTCTCTCGCAGAAGCTTCAGGACTACAGATTTCATTTCACGGCGGCCTCTCTCCTCATTGCTTTTAAGAACAAGTTCCATTATAAAGGAAAGTGTGTCTTTAGGTGGATTAACAACCTCTGGTGAGACTCGTTTCAAAACTGGAGTTACCCCAACACCTTCATTCTGCAGTCGTAGAATTGAAGAGACCACCTTTTCTTCTTCTTCTTCCCCAACCCATGGAACTGCTTCCAAATATTCCAAGCATGACCGGATGCATGAGTTGAAGCCAAGAAATTCAGCAATCTGCAAAACAATTCCAATCATGTGAGGTCTTGAAGAATGCCAAACATTATTCATAAACCACAGACGTAGAGTGGCAAAAAAGGGACAGAGGGAGATCCCGATGAAAGCTGAAGGCTGATTACACATAATTTCAACTGAATGCATAAACTTCACGTGGGTTTTTTTCCATTCAGAATATGAAAACTTCAAATTGCATGTAGGAGAAATGCTGTTTTCCCTACCATTGTCTTAATGGCATCATAAACTCCTGGAAATTTAATAGTACCAATAATCAAATAGGCCATTTAAGTCATGCAAATAAGGACTGAACAAGTGTAATGAGATGGGGAGGGAGAAGAACAAAGCAGATCAAACGATGCATTACACTGCCAATTCTAAAGACAACTTATCAACTTCAAGGCAGATATAATCATCAACAGAATCTCTAAGGCCATAGTTAGAAATGGCAGTCTTCACCTGGCATTTGAAAGATAAAGAAAAGTCTGCCTCAACTGGATATGCATAGACTGTTGACCATTACTTTCACCTTTCTCTAACCCCAAATCATCACTTAGCAATGCAATTCTGATCTTTGGGTTTAAGAATAGGGCAAAACATTTTGTCTAAACTGTGTTCGATAGGCAGATTTCTGATGTCTCAATATCTATCCAAAAACAATAATTGGTGGCCCAACAAGCCTAGCTTCCAAAGCACTGGCCAAACTATTGCAGCCTTGTAGGAAGTATATCTATGTATTTACTAAAATGAGGTAGCAGAAGAAAAAGCTTTTGTTAACCATATTAAGTAATTAGAAGAAAAATAATGTATCAAACAGAATCACCATAGCAAAAAAAGAAAAGGGTAAAAGCAATATCAAGAGAGAACAAAAGCAACAATGAAATCAAAGAATGTAAAATCAGTTTGTTAAGCTATGTACAACCAAATGTCAAAGCAAAGAATAATGAGTCGTTTTTCATTTGTGAAGATATTACAGCACGCTTTAAGTCCAAGAGGGAAACTTTCAAGATAGCAAGGCCTAGACATACTGACCTACTGAAAACATGGTTCTAGTTGAACACATGAGGAAAAGATAACCATACAACAGTCCTACATGGAAATGTAAAAGCAATTGGATTCACACGCTAAACCCATACAACTAATATTAGGATATCATAAATGTAAGTTGTTTCAACTTTCAATGCCTTTGTAGATATCTCTCAGAGGCAACTTATAGATATAGATGAAAGTCACTCGACTTCCAACAAATTGGCTAGATCCACTCCCATAAAGATTATGAAAAATTTTAGATGTGCATACTAATGTTGTGCTCTATGTTTCCAACTAAAGGAAAATCTTATTCTTCGTTGTCACTCTAAAATATAGACCACGCATCTCAACATTAAATGCAAAAATAAACATACTTAGTATCATATTTAATGTTATTTATTTCCATAGAATATATGGGCATCAATCTCAATTTGTTTGAAAACAAAGCATCCTTTATTTAACCCTCTTCTCCATTCAAAATCAAACTTGTGCTATTCAATTCACTAGTTTTAAGTGATTTTGAGCCTAGAGCATTCTAATCCCTTATCAATAAGGAAGCCCAGAAATACTAAATGACAATAACAGTCTTAGCACCCTATTAGACATTATCATATAAAGAGTAGCAGCCATGCGAAGTGAAGCCCATTTCCAAAGAAGTAAATACAGAAAGCACTACAAGGGCGAATGTCTGGATTTGACATATTTATTGTTAGCCAACAGACAAAGAAGCTCATTCTTATCCTAAGCCCCAATCAACCACCTTTTCTCCTAGCTGGAGCCAAGGATCAGTGATGATGGAATTGTCCTCCACTATTTGCAGACTACAATAAGTCATTAAAAAGGTAACTTCTAAATTTCCCCATAATGCAAGTAAGCCATATCTAGAAGAACAAAACCACAAAAAATAAATATTAATGACAAGATGTGAGCAGCAAAGTTGCAGTCAACTCCAATAAAAAGAAGCCATTGCACTGTAAATTACCTTAATAATTCGAAGCACACGCGATACGCTTTGCTTGATTAATCGCTGCTTCATATCTTTGCAATACATCAATCCCACAGTTTCAACATATATCTCAATGTCCTCACAATCATCGATCTCAAGACAGGACAGATTAGACTCCTCTTCAGAAAGCTTATCAGCAAAAAAACTGCTGTTCTCCACTAACACATTTTTGTGGACGCTCAGCTTCACACAAAATCCTTGCTTTCCAAGCAAGACCACCTTCATATCACTGGTTCCAGGTTCCCCAAACTCAATTGCCACCTTCCTTGGCAAACTTTCTATTTTAGGCCTTGGTGCTCTGTCATTGACAATAGAAGCACTGACACTAGGAGTGTCAGAGCCACAGTTTCGCTGATCATCAGAAACAACTCCAGTTCTTAATGGAGCTAGCGGTGGCTTTCTCTCATTAAATGGGGCTTGTTTCTTTTGGACAGTGGTCTTAGGTGGTGGTGAGGATGGTTTAGTTTTGTTTAGAGGATTTTGAGTTTTAACCGTCTTTTGAAACACAACAGGAGAAGGACAACACCAAAAACCTTCTGGTGTTACAGCAATAGGGACATTTCGAATCTTGGTTTGGCCTTGTTCTACCCTCGTAAGTCTAATTTCAGCCATGTTTGACAAGACCTTACAGCATTATTGAAATCAATATATGGAAATTTTTGTAAAGAACAATAAATTGCGGCAACAAGCTGACTTTCCTTACAAAAGTTAAGAAAAGAAAAACTTTATCATATAAAATATAAGGTGTGTTTTTGAAGATAGTCCAGGAAACCCTAAATTCGAAATTTCTTTTCCACTAAAACAAGTACCCCACTTCACAACATCGACTTATTCAAGATTGAGCCAATTAAAGTACAGTTTACTCCAAATTACAGTTGCTGAAAAACTACACAAAATATAATTGCAATCCAAACTTAGCAGAAAGATGAGAGTACAATTCTAAAGAGTAAACTCAAATTCCTGGGGGGAAAAAAACACTCTTTACTTTGGAGGTAAAAATGCCAACAAAAAGAAATTATACAGTATCTCCAATGTCCTCCTTTTCTAATTACAGATCAACTTCCAAACAGAAACCCATAAAATAGCCACCTATTCCATCAGAAAGAAGCATTAAAGTTTGAAACTTTGAGACCCCCCAGAAATTAAAAAACTCACCTAGATATAAGGATAGAGAGCTCCTTGAAAACCCATCTCTTATGTCATAGTGTCAAAGTCCAGGAGTGCCTAAAATCAATGAGAAAGAGCTCCAGTGTCAAGCATCAAGGGAACCAGTTAACAGGCAGTTACAGGGAGGAACAATGAGTGTGATGTCTCTTTTAACTGTAAAAGAAAACCCCAACACACACATACCCTTATTAAAGTTCAAAAAAAAGAAAGAAAGAAAGAAAGAAAATAAAGCAGTGATGGGCTCATAGGTTTATGTCTATCTATGCTTTTGATGATTGTATGGTGATGTGGGTCTCAGATTTTGCATGCCTTTCCCTCTCTCTCTCTCTCTCTCTCTCTCTGCAAATATTCCCTAACCCTCTCTCTCTCTCTCTCTCTCTCTCTAAAAAGCACTTTCTCAGTGATCAAACACGCCTGTCTCTCATCATCAAATTCCCACTTTTTTTTATATATAAAGTTTCGATTTTTATAATAATTTTCCGGTTTCTTTAAATGCTTTGTTGCTTTTCTGGACCGTTGCTGGATTTTCTAGGCTGAAATGCGACCATCATTTTCATGGATACTGGAATTACTACAAAACCCTTTAACCATTAGTCGACGAAGGTTGAATGTGACAGGTGATTGATGTGGGCATTAAGATTTAAGTGTAATAACGTTGGATAAACTTATGGCTTACATTGAAAAGGATGGTCGGTCCAAACTCTCTTCTATTTCATGTTTGTATGTACATATATGCATCTGTATTTTTTATTCTATTTCTATTGTACATACTCCAATTTGTTTCCTTATGGTAGATCAACTCACATTTTGGCTTATTATAATGTCTTTAGGAACTAATTAGGTGACAACCAATTTAGCCCTAATATATAAAAGTTATCCCTAAATTTATTATTTTCTTTGACTTCCTTAAAAAAAAAAAAGGTAAAAGGGAGTAGGCAAGGTGATTAGAAAAGAACGGTATATATCGGATCATTTACTAAATAAATAAACATGTCAATCGCATAATTATAAATTTCAACGTGAATAAATATTTTTTTCCATTCATTATAAGAGAAATAATAGTGACGATTGACAAATTTCAAAAAAATGTGATGCAACTTATCTAGAGAATAATGTGAAATTTCAAATTTTAACGATCAAATAAAAATAATATTATTAGTATATCTTTTAAAAGAAGAAAAGAATCTCTCTTTTGATTTAGATTTAAAAACAAAAATGAACCAATAATTGCCAACTAGATTGCTTATTCCAATTACATTATCAGTACTTAAATCCCTTTTTTATATTCTGAGTTGAATTATTTAAAATTTTTAATAAAATGTTAGCAAAATGGAATTTAATACAAGTATGCTTAGATATATCAAAACTACAATACTATTGTATACCTTACGGTAGGCCTAAGATGGATGCTCCTAAATACCTCAAATTATTACAAAGCATCCCCTTAAAAGCAACCGACAAAACTTATATAGAGATAGCCAGCTAGTTCTTTTCATCAATATATGAGAAATTTGCAACTACAAATAAATTCTGATTCAAAATTTTAATTAGTAATCTATAAGAAATAACTTGGTGATGATATACGCTGTTATAGATTACACTCAGATGATTTATAAAAAACTTAGAGTTTGATCGGAAAAAAAAATTTACAGAAAAAAAAAATAACAACTCATTGGAGGCAATAGATAAAAATAATTATAAATTGATCATGAACGGTGAAAATAGATGACAAAAAAACCCTTTTCTTTTAATAAGAGGTCTCGAATTTGAATTTTGGATAAAAAATTCCTTTAAACACTAAGAGGAAGTGTTTTTTCTTTTTTGCGGGTCTATCCAGCGCGAGTTTAAATTATTTGGCCAGTGGATGTTTCACTGAATGATTAAAAAACTAAAAAAAAAAAAAATTGTAAATTGGATGAAAGGAATAAGGTGGTAACATCATTAAAATTAAATGTAAGATCTTGCTTTTCCTTTTTGTTCCTTGTTAAGTTGCTATTTGCTTTACAAAAAGAAAAAGAATGAGAAGACATCATTGTCAAGTGACACAAGTTCAAGAAAGAGTGGAAGTTTTGATGAGGCAACCAAAAATATTCTTAGTCTACTTATTGAATCTTTTTGACTAGATGTAAACCCTTCTTTCTTTTTTTTTTTTTTTTTTTTTTTTTTTTATCGGAAAAACGAGAATTTACATGTAAAAAAAAAATAACAACTCATTGAAGAGGCGAAATAGAATAAAAATAAATTATAAAACATTGATCATGAACGGTTGAAAATAGATGACAAAAAAAACCACTTTCTTTTAAAAGAGGTCTTCGAATTTGAATTTGGATGTAAAAAATCCAATATCTTTTAAATCACTATAGTGAGGTAATGTTTTTTCTTTTTTGCGTGGCTCTATAGTTATATGGAAATTTCGTCCAAGCGCGAGTTTAAATTAATTTGGGCCGAGTTGAGTGTTTCACTGAATGATTTACAAAACTAAAAAAAAAAAGAAATGTGAAATTGGATGAAGGAACAAATTAAAATTTATAGGGGAACCCAATGGGGGCCGGTGAATGGTAACATTTCATTAAGAACTTAAATTGGTTTAAGGGATCTTGCTTTCCTTTTGTCCCTGTTAAGTTGCGTATTTGCTTGGTTATCAAAGAATGAGAAAAAAAAAGGAACATGAAGAAAGTAATATCATTGTCAAGTGACACCAGAAGTCTATATATACAGTGGAGAAAGTTTTGATTGACGGCAACCAAAAAATCATTCTTTAGTCTAGCTTATTTGAAATTCTTTACTAGAGTAAACCCTTCTTTCTTTTTTTTTTTTTTTTTTTTCTTTTTTCTTGTTAATTCTTTTGCAATTGCATATATATTTAAGAGGTGAGGACCTATGTCAACTGGCTTTTTCAAAAAAAAAAAAAAAATAGAAATAAATAAAGAAAATAGTTAGGAATAACTAATAGTGGCATTAAAAATGTATTGGTGCTACTATAGAAAAAAAAAAAAAAAAGGAATAGGTCTAAGAGGGGCCACGTTCTTAACATCACTGGCTATTCAATAGTACCCCAACTAAAAAAAAGTAAAAAAAAAAAAAAGCGAAAAAAGGCGATATTGAAAACTAAGAGAGGAAAAAAGGATGTTGGGTGTTGGAATTTGGCCCACCAGAAAAAAAAAAAAAAAAAAAAAGGAAAAAAGGGAAAGAAAACTAAAAGAAAAATGAATTTGGGTGGAATTTTGGCCCACCAATTAGTGTTTACTATTTATATCTCTCGTTCTAGCTATAAATAAACTAAATTACTTATAAATTGCTTCAATTTCGATAAATTTAAATTCATTAGTTTCAAATTTGAATTCGAATGTAATTCATATAATAAATAAGTTAAATCTAAGATTGAGTTAAATTTATAAATAAATAATGTTTTAACTGTAAATTATAAACGAGTTAAGTTTAAATTTGAGTCTCGTATATCTTTATATTATAGTTGTTTATTTTAAGTTAATAATGCTATAGCTCTTTATCATAACTTTGGTTCGCTTGCACGTGCTGATTTTACCTTGTAAAACCCTAATTACAATCCACTATGCACTTTGTTGGTTAATAATTACCTCTTATTATAGCTAAAGAATCAAACTCATAATGAGAGGACCCAATAAGGATGTTGGAGAAATTATCACCACTAAGTAGACCAATTTACATATCATCACATCTCAACTTTAAAGGTAGTATATTTTTCAAAAATTCGATTTTGTTTGAGTTCTGATTTTCATATTACAATATATTTGATTTGCCTTTTGAGCAATTAATTCAATAACAATTACTCTATTTTATTTTTACTAATCATTTTCTCCGATGTATATTTAAATGTATTATCTTTCTTGTGATAGATAATAATTGGATTCATATTTATAAATAGTGTGAATGCAATTATTTTCGTCTCTTAATGTAAGAAATTAAGGTTTCCATATTAAATTGTATATTAGCCTTTGTCCGACATAAATGAATTTTGTAAAAATTTTATGAAATTCATTATAAATTTCATATTTAATAGAAATTAAAAAAAAAAAACTTCATTTTAACTCATAAATTCAATTTTATAGAATTTAATAATCAACATCAATTTTATTTTACCATAAAAAATGGGCATCTTCCTTTGACAGAAGCGCAGAAGAGACAGTAACCTTATCCATGAAAAGAACAGCAAAAGAAGAATGTTTTGGCTCAAAAAACAGCTAAACAGTACGAAACCCAAGAAGGATGTCTTGGACGGGACAGGGTTGCTGTTCTTCTTAGTTCTTGCCATGCCTCTGTCTTTTTCTTTTTTCTTGCACAAGTCCATCTGATCTTTCTTCCTTGTCAACTGTTTTAACTGCAGATAAAAAGAAAAAAATTATGCAAATAATAATTAAATTAGCATTACACCCATAACTCCTAATCATGGATACATAGTTTAAGTTTTCTTTCTTTCCTTTTTTTTCATTACAACCAAAAGATTCTAAAGGAAAGATTTTGTGATAGTTATCATGGGACAAAGCTCATGAGATGAATTCTAATAAAAAATAATAATAATAAAAAATCAGGTACAGATGAGAAGGATAATTTAGTACTTGTATGTGATATGTTGACCAAGGGTTTCATCTCCTCTCTTGAATTCATGCCAAACTTCTGAAAGAGAAGTAGAAATGGCAAGATCTGCTATTCTTTTCAGCTTCTGTTCTGTATTAATGGCTGCAATTTTTGCATACTCTGCATCTGTCCAGTTAAATGACCCTGGTAATTCTTTTTTTTTTTTTTTTTTTTTTTTTTTTTTTTTTGCTTTTAGTCCTCTTTAAACAGAACCGGCTCTACATATTGTGTAGTTAAAAGTTAAAAACTTTTTTAACTTCTTGTTTTTTTTTTTTTTTTTTTTTTTTTGCTTTAGTCTCTTTAACAGAAGCTCTAATTATGTGTATTAAAAGTTAAAACTTTCTTTAACTTCTTTGTTCTTATTTTCCTTTCTTGTCTGGTATATAGATTGGTACTTTTGGTTTCCTCTGTATGCTTGTGCTTCTACTGTTAATATGGTGAATCGGGCAATCTCCTCTAAAGTAATAGTAAGGCAAATTGCAAAGGTAACATTATGGCTGGCTATAGTCCTGTTTTTGAAGGTTGTAATAGAAGATTTTATAAGAGGTAAAGCTGGATTCTTTTCATTAAATTTGAGTGAGAGAATTGTTAGAGAGAAAACAGGAAGTGGGTTAGTTATAATTTCCATGATTTTGCAATTGGAAGCATCATCTAAGCCAAGACATGAAATGTCACAGAAGGGAAAAAATAAGAAGGAAATTCCAAGATTTGTTGAATATGGTAAGAAATTTTACCTATTTTGATTTAAATTTTTTAAATCAGTTAATCTGAATCGACATTAACCAGTGAATTGTCATGACTCATGGCAGGAATGGCAATCTTGGTTAGCTTCAGTTTTGGACTCCCCTTTATCTTCTTTGTGGTTAGAAATGGTGAGATCAAGTTTGATAATAACAGTGATAGGCATTCCTGAAAATCCACCTTGATTTAGTGATAGTATCCATTAATTAACGAAATAAAATGTACTAATATAGTTCCACTTTTTCTCCTATGGATTATTTTAATACCAATACAATTAGTTATATAAAATAGCACTGTGACTAAAATTGTATTTTAAATAATTTTTAGCATTTTGATTGCCCCAATTTTTTATAATTTTTAATAACACAACGTTTGAATTAGCTTTTAGAGATTAAGATAACATTTTATAAAAAATTAACCAATATAATACTTATCATTTTAGCATTTTATGAAAAATTATTTAGACAATTAGAAAATAAACGCTACTAAAGCAACTAAAAGATACTATCATTATCATTTAATTTTGCCGAACATTTCCTAAAACAACTTTTTGAAGCATAGAGAATATTTCTATGAATTGAAAAGCAGGCTTTTTTGAAGCATAGAGAATATTTCCATGAATTGAAAAGCAGGATTGTTTGTTTCGGATATTTACATGTCACTTGTGGGTCAATTGGCACACATGGCAACCAAAAATTATTTGGAACAGGGCCACTTTTGTATTCCCATGAAAAAAAATAACCCAGAAACATGACACCTAACAAATTTTCCAGACAGAAAAAGCCATCTAAAACTCCTAGCTAAGACAGGGAAGCATCATTGTTCATTGCTACTGCAAAAGGAGATGCCAACAAAGAAAATCAGGTTTCCTCCTCTCTTACGAACAATGTGTATAAAAAGATGAGAAATGAGCATAGACACAAACTACTTCCATGGACAATCGAAATTTCATTGCAGAGGCACTAGAGAGATGGTCCCAGTAAAAGAGACTTGGTTGTCTACCAACTGAGCTGCTGCTTATGATTTGATTCCCTTGCGAAGGCCAATGCCAACACCGAAAGGGCTCAGAAATGGATCCAGTCAGGCTCTCCTATCTCCCTTATTATACACAGATGAGACCGCCAGAACAGTGTTCATTATGATTTAGTACAAGCGACCTCTGCAATTGGAAGTTTCACAATGGCAAGGACATCCTTCTCCAGGCAGCAGATGATACCGATAATTGTATGTCAGTTCTTCTCCAAATGCGATCTGCTCAAAATAAGGGGTAAAAAAAAAAAAAAACAATAAATGAAATAAATCACCACCCATACAAACAATACTAGGAAAAATAAGGTTCATTACAATAAAGAATTAAAGATGGTTAATTGCAACATCCTGGTTTATGTTATTAAGCACTGGAACCAATACAAGTATACAACATAAATAGAACCGGGGAAAAGAAAAGGAAGCAAAGGGTTTTTCCTCTAAGATCTTCACATCAAGATATTAATGCATCCCATGAAAAGAGTCAAAAACCACGCAATGACCCAAAATGCAATTGATGATTTAATTCCTCCCCTCTGAGCCTAAAAGAATTAAATCTTCTTGAAATGTCACACAGTGATATAAGGAAACAAACGAATGCTCCAATAATCCCAAATATCCTACTCAAACAAGAGATCGATATTCCAGAAAAAACAGGCAAGGATTTCTTACATCTCTACTTGCATAAAGACCAATATGACTATGCTGAGAATCCATGCTGTTGACAAGAACTTGGTGATTCACAAGATTTGGAGAGCAGCTGCCAATACGAACAGAAGCAAGAGGAAATTAACAGGTACTCAGAAATTAAACAATTAACAAGAAATTAGCATCTGAACACCAAAACTTCACAACTTGAACCCATCTTACCATCTAACTATGTTTAGGGTCGCATCTCAATCTCAGATTATGGGTCAATACAGTTTCTTCATAAAGTGATCCATCCAAAAAGTCACATTAATTTAAAAATAAGAAATGGGTAATGAATTAACCCCAGTAAAAATGAAGCTCTAGGACATTGACATAACTTTTTTCTGGATCAGCAGAATATAATTGCATGAAGAACCAGTTAACTGTTAATCTAATTTCCTCCTGTCACTTCTTTTGCATCTCTGCCCTTTCTAATAGTCTTAAGAACATAATCAGCCATAGAATTAGAAAAAGAGAGAGTCAAGGACCAGGAATTTACAGACAAGTCAAAACAGTTGCCCAAGGTTGAATTCTGCTATTATGCTATTATTATAACAGAAAACTAAAACTAACAAAATATTTTTAATCTAATATGCTGTAAACAAGAACCTATATATCTAATTTGCACCTTAGGTGTCCTAGTGTGAGACCTCTTTCCTTTTACAAAAAAAGCATTTTCCAATTTTTGAACCCTTGACCTCAAGATCATAATGAAGCCATTTTACAAATGCAACAAGATTCACCCTCTCAAGTCACCAAGGTCAGAATAATTTTAAAAAACTAATTTTTTTAGACTGTTCCAACTTATATACATGGATTTTATCCACTAATGAATATCTTTTTATGCAATTTTTTTTAACAGTAATTACAAAACTACATAATCATAGTGAAGTAGGCCTACACTGTTTATGCTTCTTTTCTTAATGTTTTAGATCATAGGCAAAGGTGGTCATGCTTTATATGAGGACAGAACATATTTCCTCTAATCTTAAGAAAAATGTATGAGAAAATAAATAGTTATTAGCACATATTAGTTGTAACAGTAAACCTAGACAACAGAAGCACCTAGTAATTGGTCCATTTTGTTTTGAGCACTATATTATGGGCTCAAATCCTCCTAAAAGCCTTTTTAGAGATTTTGAACTAAAAATTGGCTATAAAAGCCAAACAGTTAGTGAGATTAGCTGGGTTACTGGATCCACTGGTCTGTGGTTGAACCAAGCAGTTCATGTCACAGTTAGAAGTCATAACCTTGCTCTTTCTTACACAATCCTCAGACAACTCAACCAGATAACGGACAAGTAGTTTTTAACACTAGCTTCTAGGTTTCTTGACATTTTGATATTGGATCTTAATTTTCTCATGCTTCTCTTGCACATGGTCCATGTACAATTTTGGCATCCAGTAGTAAATTTGTCTACTAAAATATAGAGTAGGCTTCATTGCCATTATCGCCTATGAAGATAAGGATAATAGAGGAAGTGAATAAATTAAGAGATGGGAGGGGCAGATCATAAAGCACTCATACTCATAGCATCAAACCCAGTGCCTCACATCTAGAGGTAGACATAATAATACATATCTTGACAATTTTAACTTTTAGAAAATCACAAATCAAACAATATACTATCAATTGGTACACATTGCAAGGGGTAATAACTAGTTACTTTCCCTACCTGTGGTTGATGAACCGTGAAACATTTCCATATTCTGTGGCATCAATCGCATATTTGACTTGTCCTTCAATCAATCTGCTCATATCATTAGTATGAGCATCAATGTCATAAATATAGCTACGAGCTTGTTGACCATATCTGGAAGTCCAAAGAAAGCTCATTCAAAATATAAAATAAAAACAAATATAAGCTTAAAAATAAAATACATCTTTCAATATTTCAAACCTGCCACGTCTCTTATTTGCTTCCTGCTCATCTAAAACCTCCCCAATATACTCGCACACAAATGTGCCACGTAGGATTGGCTCTGCTGCCCTGACAGCCCATCCCTGTATATGAACAAGCATATGAGTAAATATAATGCCATAAATATAGGAATAACAAAAAGAAAAAATTGAAGGCATTACCTTATTCTTTTTTTTGAAGACTTCCAACTTCACTCGTATTCCATTCTGCAAAACCCTGTTTGAGCAGGTTTTGCTGCAGCTGCACATGTTATTGCACTCATAAACCAGGTAACCCTCCTACATATTGATAGAAAAATGGAAAATGTCAATTTCATTATACTTACATTCAAAATATACATAAAAAGGGGCAGGGTGTGCAGGGCTTTACAGTAACAAACAAGAAAAAACAGCCCATCAGCATGTCACAAAATTTGAGCCTTGAAATCGAAAATGTAGGACTAATTTAAATGTTGAGTCCTGGAGTTCTCAAATAAGAAGGTACATATAAAAACCCCATAATCCCATATACCCACAACCTCAGAATTATTTTTCATCCTATCAGGGTAATACCTAAATGGACCATTATTAGGAACTTATAAGCATCTGTTGTAGTCCTTTCTGTTGTCAAGCTAAAAAACTTGTCACAAGCTAAGGACAGAAAAGCTAGGAAGTTAGAAACAATTGCATGAATCAATGAAAAAACCATTACAGAAGCTCTCGGAGTCATGTAACAAACACCTTTCAGGGAACAAAGGGAAGTCCCAGGCTTCTAGCACCTAACTATAAACATCATCCATTGTTTGACAGGCAGTCATACCTAGAAACTCGGAAACTCAATTTAGAATGAGTTTTAGTAAGTATTGACTACGTGAAACAATTCATGTTACCTCCAACATAATCCGCCCTTTATCATCATAAGGGAACCTGCCATGCATAGGTTTCCCATATATGTCTCTTGCATCTTCAAAGTCATTGTCAAAGAGGTAAACATGATCACAGGTTTCAGGAGAGCAAAATGAATGAGAGCAGGTGCACCCCAGATGCAAACTCTGCAAGAAAAGGAAGGGCAAACATGACATCAAATACATGCGAACCAAAGATATATATGATCGAAGGGTCTTTTTAATATATACATAGTATGAACACGCCAAGAAAACAATACACTCACTTACTGGAAAGTCTATCGATCGAGGAGTTACATTCGCTCAAGCTACTCAGTTCACGACACGATCTATCTTTTTCAATAGGAAGTGCCTCCTGCCATTCACTCAGACAATTATATTGTCAAATATAGGTAATATAGGTAACTCTTAAAATGGTATATGAGTCTCCGTGAGTTCCCTCAAATAGAACGAGATGTGAGTAAATATTATAATAGGAGAAAAAGAATCCCTCGTTTGCATTAATCCACAACAATAAACAAAATGGAGCCAACGTACAACCTCTCCAGAATTAATTCTTTCCAATAAATTTCTCTAATCAGTCGCTAATATGTGAAAATTACTATATTTGAAATACTTATATTATACAAATAAAAATGGCGGGGAGAGAGAGAAACAAAGATGCAGGCGGTCGTGTCCTGCCTGGCTAGTCAAACAGGTGGTCTAAGATTTCAACTTAAAGAATCATGGCGACACCATCATCTAGGAACTTATACAGCATCTGTTGTTTTTGAGTCGCGTGTTCTTTGTGTGTCAAGTCTTAACCAGAAGAGAAAATACGATGACTCCGTTTTTACACAAGAACTATTGAGAGACAGCCCCAGAAAGGACTTTGCGATGCAAGTCTAATGTAATGCTGTCAATTTATCTCAATATGCTGTTATGAATATGTATACTCTGAGACATTATCATGCTTAAACCCGCATTACAGAATGAGCTTGCATCCGGTATGAAGTTGATTGTAGAACGCAACACAGGCACGCCTGGTGCTCGATGTGGAGCACATAAGAGTTGGATATAATGCATCTTACGAGAAATAGAGTATGGATATCCTCATTGGCTAGTACTTTTAGCCAAACCAACTATAAAACATTCATCCCACTTCTGTTGAGCAGGAAGATCAGAAGATTATGAGCCTAGAAACTCTAGGTAATAACTACAAAGTATTTAGAATTGAGTTTTTTGCAGTAAGTATTGACTACGCTGATCCCGAAGGACAAAGTATATTCTCATCCAGAATTTCCCCGTCAACTAGTGAATTTTTCCTGGGCTTGTGGAAATAAAGTTTCGACTGCGATATTGGATTACAACGTATAAGCAGGGCATAGAATCTTAGTATGATTTATTTGCTGCGGCGAACTCTTATATGTTCTCTTATGATAATCGTCCGTGCTCTCCAGATAACTGGAGAAATCCGTTAGTTAACTATGATGCCCGAAAGTGGTAGAGACATGATCACAGGTTTGCAGGAGAGGGCGATAAGAGGGTGGACTCCATTACGTAAAATGGAGAATAGCAGTATATTTGCTCCACACACTCTTCTTAAGATGCAAAAATAACCTCAATGAGCAGAGCTCAGAATATGAAAAGTGAAATATGAGGCAAAACTACATTGACAATTTCTCATCAGTGATTATCACATAGCGAACATACCAAAAGGCTATTCATAAGGAATATTTAGTATTACACTTATCTCTCTATATAGTAAGTCTGAAACATGATAAATATATTGAAGTTATCTCATATCTAATATGATTATTGTAGTAATTAGAACTTATAAATAAAAAATAATTAAATAATGTTAACATAATATGCAAACACCACATATGGTTTGTCCTTTTTGATTCTTTATAGTTTAATTTAAAAGTTCTTATCATTCATTCATGGTATGGATATCGGGTTATTAGATTTTGGAATTCTGGGCAGACATATTCGCTTTTAATTTTGAAGCCAAGTAGGAGGTAGTGTTCAATTATGTCTCTGCATTGCGAGTCGGAACATAGCTAAGTATAGGAGACTTAAGAGTGCATAATGACATCGTGATAATAAAAGAACATCCTGATATCTAAAGCTCTGCATTATGCACTTTGTTACCGGCGCCACGCATGCCTTAGATCCCGTTAGATAGCTATATTAAAGTCACATAACACAGGTAAGCATTCACAGGAGAAAAATTTAATAGGAGAGGTAGGATCCGATGCGAGAAGAGAAAGATGAGAATATTACGCATAACGAAAATAAATGAACAGAGATACCAAGAGAAGACTATGATTAGAGAGTGAATACAGGCAATGGCTCGTTCTATAATTTAATATACATATGTAGTAATCGTGAGGATCGTCTACCTTCGAGGATGAAGGTTCTTCCTCAGCCCTGGAATACAACTTTCTACTATATTAGATTTCGGGTAACTATCAAGATTTTAGGTCATCTGCTATAAGCTATTACAATAGATACTTTCACTGATTCCAGTAGTATTGAGTACCCTTCATCTTTACCGATACACTACTAATATTGAAAGTAAGCCTTAAGCATTATTTTATTGTACTTTGGTATTTGCAACCTCCGACCGGGAAGAGGACATGCATATTTCAATGAAGCAAATCATGACATCACAAAAAAAAGAGGATAGGAAATCAATTAAGGTTTCTCCAATTTTTTGTTTGTTGTAGCCTCATCTATTACATATTATTCTATTTTTTTTATTTTTAAGTCAATAAAACTCTTTACTAACTTGGCCACATCATTCTCACACAACTTTCTAAAACCCAATACATATTTATATAATAGTAAGCATACAAGATATGAGGCATGCGGCTAATGTATATCTACTTTATAACCTATCTCGCAAGTAAGCAACCTATTTTGTATAGTGGAAATAAGGCGATTACAGTATATATTTCCACGAATTGCGGCTTGAGACTAACATTATATTACCTGTGGAATATGTATGGGTCCCTGTGAAATACAACTTATTTATACAAGAGTCCTCTGGGACATAATAAGATAATTAATAAATTACTTACATCCCCTGGTGCCATATATGCAACACCACATATGGTTGTCCTTTTTGTTCTTTTGTTAATTAAGTCTTTTCCTGTATATGGATGTTTGGGAATTGGGGAAGCTCTCGCAGCCAAGTAGGGTCAATCTCTTGCAACATAGGAGATAGACTTAAGTGCATAATGCATAGATTAAAAGACATGTTTCAAACAGGGTAGCATCACAGAAAAATTAAATGGCCGACAAAAGGATACCTCAATAACAGGATCAGAGCTTTGATCAAGCAATGGGCTCGTAATATATGTAAAGCTCTCCCAGGGCTTGGGAAAATTACTTATTTGACTATCAGAAGCATCTGCAAGGTTAAGAGATGCCAGGAGGTCCTCATCTACTACACAAGCTATTGGTATGGATTCCCTCCCGAAGCTGATATCATTGCACAATATAGTGGTCCTTTGTTGTGGCCTCTCTCTAATATCATTTAGGTCAATGACATAATGGCACTCATCCACTTCCCACTCATTTTTTATATGCTCAGATGAATGCGCTAACTGTTTACCTATAGAACCATTTGGAAAAGGCATCATGGGCGACAATAATCCTGGGTCCTTAAAACTTTTACAGCCTCTGGGACAAATAAACCCCTCCTGGTGCCACTCCACTCTAATGTTATGCTCACTGCAAAGTTTGGCTGCCTTGAGATATAAACGTTCTGGTAACACTCCGTATTTGCCCTCCAGTGAAGCCTTTAGGCTCACCTTACAGCAAGCAGAGCGTGCAGCAGCTAAGATGTCGAGGTTATTTGGGCGAGGTTTAGTCTTCTGAATCTCAGAAAACAATATCTTTGCAACAGATGAGCATTGGGATTCTGCTAATCTACCAAGAGTTTCTGACTCAGTTACATGAGGCTGTGCACTTAATTCCCCAATATTAAGTGACTTTGATGCCTGGATACGTTTCTTCATGCTAGCACTGCCTCTGTTCCTCATCCTATATGTTGCTGCTCCTAGACCTTTCTTAAATCTAGGACGACTAAGTCTTCCAGATTTTAATCTGTAAGCATAGTAACGAATCCCCTTCTTTGGGGGTCGAGAGCTGAATAGGTTTGGTCCCATATGAGCAGCCTGATGGTGCCTGCCAAGATCAGGCAGCAAATCAAACTTCAAGCCACAAAACCTGCAAATGAACTTTCGGATACCACCAAAATTCTCAGGGTTATTTTCCACAGGAGCTGTATTTCCCAGCTCAAGTTTCTGCAGAGAATCCTCTTTCTCTTCACCCAGAGACTGATTATGCTGTTGAGCCACTTTTGACAGCCTGAATTCAGCAGGATGAACTGAGAGTACATGTAACCATAGCTCCTCAGCATTCCCAAAGTGACTTCCACAAGGAATGCACCGAAGAAGCATACACTGTTCGACAAATTGCACATGGTGTCTTTCCTGCACATGAGTTTCCAATAGTTTCCTGTTGGTAAAAGAGTCCAGGCAGATGGCACAAGCATATCCTCTGAATATCCATTGTGCTTCCTTTTTATGATTCTCAATCCAGTGGTTGCCAAGCTCTTGGTCATTAAGGAACCCCTCTGAACAAAATTTGCACTTAAATGATTTTTCATCATCATGGCTACAATCAATAGCCAATGGCAAAACTGCTGATTCCTCAATGACAGAGGAGGAAACAAGTGCATCTTCACCAGCATTGAAGCCCCATATTTTAGTGAGTCTCTCTTTTTCATTGCAAACCAACTTCAACAAGAGTTCTCCAATGCTGAAATTTTTAGATGCTTCAGACAGGGCCCACTGGAGTTGAACTTCCATAGGAACTGGGTTTCTCAGGGACAAAATACTTTTGAAAAGCTTGTAGAAAAGCTCACAAGCTTGATGCAAATGCAATTTTTGATCCAGGGAATGGCACTCCTTTAAAATATCTATGAACACTTCTTTTGTTATTATTCTACTTTTACCATTTCTCGCACGCTTAAGCCAACTTGGAATGTGTTTATTGCAGTATAATGAATAACGCTTTGGACTTTCATTACAAGAGACATTATTATCCAAAGGACCTGAACCTATGCAGTGCACCACATCTGTGCCATTATAATCCTGACTGGAATGCTCAAGCTTCTCCATTAACTTGTTCCTTCCATGGAAGGCATCTCCATCCATGACCGCAACAGGCTCTACTTGAAGGGGACTTTCAACTTCTCCTACCAATACCATATCTTTGCAGTATGTAGTTTCTGAACCTGGCATAATCTCCTCATACTTTCTCTTAAGTGTATTCTCAGGTGAATTTGAGGTATTTGTTGTATCAATCCGGGGTCTGTGTTTCTTACAGAATGAGGAACCTGGTAGAGACCGATGTTTACATCGAGTGCCAAGAACAGTGGTACCTTCACACATTGGACTATTAACAGGAGGACTTGTCTCTGCTTTAGTAGAGCTGCCAATAAAGCGAGAGGCCAAATGTACACAACAGTAAACATCACCATCATTTGCCCATCTAACACACTGTCTTCCTTTAGATTCAATAAAAGCAATGCATTGCCGATTCTTATTCCCAGGATCTATGATTTTCTTATCCACATTTTCATTTATAGGAGTATTTTGAATATTATTTGTCTGTATGAGCTCAGAGTTTCCAGCTTCAACTACAATTTCATCCCATTTATCAGCCACACTGCAAGAAGACTCTATAGGTGCAGCTCCCCCTCTAAAATCTTCCTCTTTAGAAAGCTCTGATGCTACATTAGTGGAATTTGTACAGTCTCGATTATTGAAGAACTCAGAGTCAATTTCAACCGTCATGGTATGAAGCGGAATGCTCATTTCCCCCTGGGAAGAATGTGGCTCCGCACGGCGAACTTCAAGCTTAGGCCTCTTCCTGCCAACTTGAACACTCATGGTCGAGGGACTGTTACAGCTCTTGTGCTCCATATCTCCACTACTAGATACAGGTGATTGGGATGTTGAGAACCATTTCATAACTTCATGCTTCCAGGTTTTCCACTCAGAACCTAAAGTTGCCTGCACTGGTGCATTCCAGAGAGAGTTGACTTCATTCCACTGGATAGAATCAGACAATTCCTATATCACAGGAACAAGAATCAACATAAAACACAAAAGAAGATATTAGGACAATACAATATTGGTCTATTAATCATCAAGCACTTCCTGCATCTGGATAGTGACAATCTTAAAAATAGCACACAGGTGGCAGAAGACAAGCATATATGACAATATGTAAAGAATTTTACCGAACCTATTGAAAGACATCAAAATCTAATTGGCAACAGAGACAAAAATGATTATGATTTCCTTGTTCCTGAAAATATTTTATCCACTAAACGTCGTAGAGAATTTCTCTCTTAGGCACCAAGAGAGGTGGGTAAAGCAGCACGAACCAACATACAGAGGGCAGAAGCCCAGCAACCAACAGATATACTGGAGGGTAGCAAAAAATAATTAGGTTCGGATAAACTAGGATTTGGAAATTTTTTTAGCAAGCCATTCTGCCAAAGGCAACAATGCTGCACAAACATGCCTAGCCATGGGCTGAATAGCATTGTCTTTTCATGTACAATCAAATGTATATCTAGGAAATAAGGCAACCCAACTGTCATAACTAAAGATTACTTTAGCATCAATTGGTTGGTACTAATTTGGCATCAATGGTTCGTTAAACATTCTAGAAATGCTCTGAGAAAGTAAAGAGAGAAATGAAAAGGTTCTAATCAAGAAATACGTGACTCAGGTACTTTCCCGCATCACCTCTTTCTTCATTGTTCAAAGAATCTAGATCAACAGATGGATATCTCACACACCATAATAGCATATATCAGAGAGCTAATTTGTTCTATTTTGATGTTGGCTTTGCAGTTAGTCACAGCACTTGCATATCTAGTACAGTGACAAAAGGATCCATCTAGGCTTGTTGATATGTCACGACCTAAAACCTATTCCATCTCAGTATGAACTGTCATATTTTGGTGTTTGTGAGCAGACATAATTTAGCGCATACCTCTCTCAGCAATTCAATAGATTCAGCACTTTGTGCAGCCTGACACCGCCGAACCCAAGATTGAAAAGAATGCTGCAGCCATTCAGATTTTATGTAGATTGGTAATATCATCTGTTGATAAAGAACCAATGTTACTTCATTTCAAAATGAGAGAAGGAGACAGTTCTATTTATAAGTCAATATCAACATGAGTTTTAAAATTGCCTGACTAACCCTGAGCTTTCAAAGTCCATAGAATGATACAAATCACGTCCCATTTGGTTCAAAAATATAGTCAAATAAGAATAAAAGAAACATGAAATAAACGACTGTAACTTTAGATTATTGGAAAATTTTATTGTTTTATAGTTGACACAAACATTTACATGCCAGTTACTAGTACCTGTCAGAGGCAACACATATGACAAAATGGCTAGTGAAGGAATAATAGGTCAGAAAGAGTGCATTAATAGTGAGCAATTTCAGGTCCAGACTCAACTTTCACATGTGGAAATTATCAATTGCCGTATTGCAGGAAAAGGAAAAAAACAATTCCAATTCTTATTCAGCAAACTATCAAAGGAGTAGGGGATTTACATTTTGGAGCTTCAGAAGCATTCTTCCAAGGTCAGAATAACCACTACAACGTGAAGCCTCCATTGCAAATTCCTTCCAGACCATCACATCACGAGCAGTGTCTATCAAAGCCTATAACAAGTTTGAAAGGACAAAAGAGATTATTGCAACACAAGGTGAAGACATGTTAGGATTATAATGCTTCATTAGTGTACCAAAATAAGAACAAGCAAGTATAAATAGATACCCCAGTGTGAAATTGATCAACAATATTCAGCATGCCAACAGCTAGCTTTTGCATTATAAAACGTCGTGCAACATTCAAATCTTTGACCATTTTTAGTCCAATTTTATGTGTCCTATATGCAATAGGCTCAGGGAATTCGTTGATAGATCGGACGAGTAGCATATCTGCCCAAGAGTAATTCCTGTTGTGAGGGAAAAAAATAACAAAATACTTCTTCCGATCATGGGTTGGTTTTGCTTTCAAAGTAGATAATGGCCAGTCTGCCCTTGCACATCGGATTCCTGCCTGCCACTTCCCCCTCCACTATACTCAGAAAAGTACAGAAGTACCAATGTCAAACCACATTCAATGCATATTTCAATCAGCACATAGGAAAGCTTAAAAGATGAATGGCTATAGATGCATCTTTTTTTTTTTTCCTTTGATAACTAATGAAAGAGAAGAACCTAGTAACACCCTGAAATTGACAATGTGAGAATAGCAAATCAACTGACACAGTTAGACTTAAAGAGAATTCATGCAAAAGGCATGAACCATTGTAAAATAAATACTGTATGTCCATCAAAATAATGTAAGAAAACCATAATATCTGCTGAAGGGAGACACTATCATGACAGTGAAAAAATACAAATATACACGGTTACCTTGACCCACAACGCCACAGATTCATCATGTTCCAGCCACTTGGGCTCTGAAAAGGATGACTCTCCATCCCTACAATTGGTTGGCTCACTTTCAATAGTATCCACAATTACATTATAGTTCTCAGTGGCTTCACAGGGTTCTGTACAATAATTCTGTACATTCAAATCATCATCTTCAAAATCATGAGAATCACCGGATAGTCTTTGACTCTCCACCTGACAATCAGAATATGAAGGTCCACTCTGGTGCCCTTCAGAGACAGGCAATTCATCTGCTGTCCCTTGACATTCACTGTTTCTACCTATTTGAGGCCCTTCCACCTTTAGTGACAAGTCATCAACTGCACCATCTGTCAATTCAACTTGTTTTCTACATTCAAAGCCATTAGATTCTCCATCATAAATAAAACCCGTTCCTGAATTCTGTTGAGCACAATCAGATTCTCCAACATACTGAACGCCAGAACAAGGAAGCACTTCCATAATTTACACTAAAATCTCCAGTCCCATGTAATGTGTACAAAATGATTAATTATTTCTGAGCTCATTTCCCTGTTCAAACAAAGCTCAATCCATAGAAGAATCAGAAGCATGTAAATACAAATCACCAATAACATAATAGTACACACTGATAATTGAAGCTGAAGCAACAAAAATTATATTTCTGCAGAACACATTCAGAAGTAACCATTGCATAGTGAATCAACAGATCATCTGATAGTACCACCTGAAGACAGCCTACTACATGCTAAAAATCTGTTGTCAAATGACTGAACAGACTATTGACCAAAAAGTCATTCAAGATTGAAAAAAAAATCAAGCAAAACAAAAAAAAGAGACACATTCCATGTTTCAGGTTTTAAATGCATACAGAATAAGGGATCCATCTGTTGACCCTTCAGAAAAATTTAAGCACCTTATTGTCTAACTCTGTAAGCATGCGGTTGTCCATGCACGAAATTCTATGGTAAAAAAATAATAATTGCTCGAAAATTTCAGAAGAAAATCCAGATAAACTAATTGTGATTCTCTCTATATACACAATAAGTGTAAAGAAGAAAGCAATGGTCATAGGCAAAAGAAATCATCCAATTCATTACTACTAGGTTCAAATTTGATGAAAAATCATATGCATTACTATTGAATTGATGTAAAATTTAACCAGAGCATGAAACCAACTTTGTTCCATTGCTTGTGCTGACCAAGAGGAGAATTATTATAAACTCTAATTCAGTTATTACCTTATAATGTTTGACCATATCAACTAATAGTAATCACAGAAATTGTCAACGTAATGAGTAATTATTTGCATCAATGGATTTATACAATAAACTGGAGCAATTTTAGCAAGTTCACCAGCTAAAATTTCCTTTTTCATAAATTATAACATGCATTGCTAAGTTTTCCTTTCTTTTATAGCGTATGTTGCTTATTTGTTTCACGGTATATTCAATTCAACCACTGAGCTTTTTCCTTTTAGCCAAATTATAAATAAGTTAAGAAATAAAATCAGCATACATCAGAGCCTTCAATTCTCATGGAGGATTTACAATTCAACTTGAAAGAAGATATCTATTAAACGAAGACTTTTGCTATCCAATCAGCAGCTCTATCAAGAGACCTATTGATGAAACAAATTAAAGGATTAAGAAAATGCTTAAAATCATTAGAATAATTATCATAACTACTGTTGTGAATAAAGAAAATAAAAAATACAATCTCCTTAAATACTTTGACCAAATGCAACAAAAATACTGCTGAGGTGCTCCTCAGATTTTATGACAAAAAGATCTCAAATTCAGTTTTAGCTCGTTTTGGCCAGATCATTCAGAAGAGTACTTTTGCTAAAAGTACGCTCAACCAAAATGCCAGTAAGCACTTAGTTGGATAAGATGAGTCAGAAATCCAATAAATCACAGCTTTTAAAGCCTCAGCTATTTCATCTCATGTTCATAATTTACCATTTCCTTGTAATAAACTTGGCAAACTATGCATGATCATATTTTCCTCATCAAGTAAAAGAAATATAAATGCTGAATTATCTTAAATACTAGTAATATCAGAAATATAAATATCCACTGCAAATATGTTGAATTGAGAATCTCATCAAGAAGATCATATTTTAAAATAATAAAAAAATTTTAGAATTGAATTTACTAAGATTTATTAAATGCAAATAACAACCGGCATGGCTTCCATCAAATTTTATGAAGTACTGCAAAGCTATTGCATGAAGCTTATTTATACTCTAATAGACACATGAAAGTCAATATTGTGCATTTTCATTAAAAATTCACCATCTATCATTCAATCGTTACAAATATCGCTTAGGCTACTGTAGCACCACGACAAGGGAAAACAACAATGAAGCCAAGCAAACATCACATGCAAGAAACAACTCAATAAATTACCAGTTAACAAAATATTAGACATCAAATCCTTAATAACCCACCAGAAAGCCTCTAAATTTTTGCAAGGAATATCAGTAAACCCTAATCCACTAGACCCAGAATTAAACAGAATTTCTCTTAGAACCCTACATTATAATCAATTCACCATTTAGTTTAATCACCATCCAGAACCCATGACCTGATGTATGATCAGCATGTGAAATATGCCTAACCCAGAAGGTGGGTCCGATCCCAACTCAAAAAAATATGTATACATATGTTTATTTATTTTTATATTGCAGAATTATCTTACCATGCAACAAATATATTTACCAAGAACCCAAAATTACTAACAGAAAGTCCAATTTAAAAGCAGAATCAAACATGGGTTCTCGGATTTTGCATAGAAAGTTTGTCCTTTTATAGTGTATTATGGTTTTTATTTTTTATTTTTAGGGGAGGAGCAACTACCAGCTAACTAGGTCATAAAATTGATTGCAAAAAAATAAAATAAAATGTTACATACATAAATAAATGGTCATGATGCCTAGAGGGGGAAAATAATAACAGAGGAAAGCAATGGAGAAGTAGTGTTAATGTACCTTTAAAGACTGTTGGAGATCACCTTTTTCCATGGTTGTTGTTGTGTTGATATTGCTTGTTTGGTTTTGGTTATGGCTTATGGTTTTGGGTTGGGTGCGCAAGTGAAAATTTTGTTGTATACCCTTTTTTTAAATTATTTTTGGGTTCTAAATTGCATATATATCAATACGTCTAGTGAAAGGAGATATGACGTTTTTGTGACCAGAGGGAAGAGGTGAGATGGGTAACCAAACCAACTCTGTCCCGTGGCCAAAAATTAAAAAAGAGAAGTCGAAGAAAATTGCAAAATTGGGTACTTCAAATAATGAAATTTAGACCCTTTTTTATATATAGATCATAGATGGAGAAACGAACAATTGTTGTGTAGGGTATGGGTATGGGGTCTGGTTAATGAAAATGGAAACCTAAAATTAAAGAAGAGGACCTAGAAAGACTGACTGGGTTTTTAGCAAAGACTCAGGGATCAGAAGTGCGCTTCTATTGGGTTTTTTTTTGTTTTTTAAATCTAATTTGATTTTTTTTATTGTTATTATTGTTTTCTTTTATTGGGTTTTTGAGATAGGAGTTGTTTGTTGCTGGCTTTGGAGGAGTGAGCGAGTGGTAAGAATTTGGGATTTTATGTTTCCAAGATTAGACTTCTTCGAGATATGCGACTTTCTTTGGGGTACAACTGATTTGCCATTTGGCTCTTGCAACGAAAACAGAGCGGAAAGACACGACGTCGTTTGATACTGATACTCATTGTTGAGCTGCGTTTGTATGTTATAAGTCCGGTTCTTTCTTTACTTTTTAGCCCGTATGAAGATGTCCAGCCCTACTAGATTTAGACTATTTTGGGCTCGGCCCACTTAGGCTGAAGTGGATAACAGGATAAGTCTCCAACTCCAACCAAAATTTTATATTCCTTTTATCCCGTAACAGACTCACTTTCCTTTTTCACTTATCCAAATAATGTTATTTCTTTTCTTAAAAAAATTAATGTTTATAGCCTCCTATTTCATCCCACTAATTTTATTTCTTTTCTAAACAAAGAATATTTTGCAGTTTCCTATTTCACCCATTCTTAATCAAATTTTAAAATGAATAGTTAATTAAAACTTAGATCTTCATTATTTTATTATACTTGCACGAGTTGTTCAGATCCGTATCCGTTTTAACGGTCTACAGTAAATTTGAGTAATTTCCACTCGTCTTTGAAGGCAAAAGGGCTAGCTCGGAAGGAATTTGTATTGTAGAAGATCGAACCATGACCTTCGTTATTGATTACGGGAGGGTGCAGAAAATTATGTGAATATATATATATATAAAGAAAAATTATCATAAAAATTATTGCAAATAGTAGCTTCTCTTTGATTGAATTAGAGAGATAAGTTTGATTAAGTATGTGAAAATGGATGTGTATGTCAATTTAATTCTATTGTCATAGCATGAAAAAATATATACAATTACAAAAATCTTCTAATGAAAAAAAGAGGTCTAGAGGTGAATGATTTTGAAGCATTAATTAAAGATAAATAATTGGCAATTTGCAAAGTTGGATGCATTTTGATTCTTTTAATGTACCTAAACCTCTCTTTGCTTCCCTTTTCCTTTATAATGCAAACAAAACAAGCATGGAATGAGGTGGCAAATTAAAGGAAGATAAGGTCTTCTTCACTTTAACATCATTTACTCTGTGTTTCAATGGAGACTTTTCTCCAAGTTAGCAATCCTTTTATTCTTTTTCTGCAACCCCTTTACACTATTAACTTTATTTGAGGAAGTCAAATCTATAATTCTATACATACAAGAAAGAGAGATATCTACTTTAAAAGGGTTGAAATTGAAAATTACGTGACAGATACTCAATTATTAAGACTAATTAACTTCTAATAATCTGATTATATGAATCATTTAATTGATTTTTGCAAAAAAAAGATTTGATATATATGTAGTTCTAACTAAAAAATGATTCTTAATCTTACCTACTACTTAAAAAAAAGGAATGGCAGTGCTTTGCATGGATGTTTGGCAGAAAGGAAATGGCTAAAAAGGAGCAAATTTTCTTTTTCTTTTAAAATTGAATGATGGATAGTACTTTAGTTAAGTTGGAGAGAGGAGATTAAAAGCTAAAGCATTTATAAAAATTTGGTTGTCAATCTTTCTTGCACTTGAATGGGAAAAAAGGCTTTATCTTTTCTCAAAATTCAACCTATCAGCTGAGTCCTACTTCATAATTTCATTTCATTTTTTTTATTTTTTAATGGAGTATTTTTTTTTTTTCTCTTTTGGCAACAAAACACATCTTTGCCCACTAATTTTGTAGTTTAATGCTTAATTACAGTACAATGACCATGTAAAGAATTGTGATTAATTAGTAGGTGAAGAATGCTTTAGTTAGTCCAACTTTTGTTTCTTTAGTCAAATAAATTTAAGTTAATAATGTGGTCAAAACTCAAAAGGAGATGATAATTAAGAATTTAGGATATTACCAAAATATAGTGTTTTATTCTTAACATTGTAATGCAATCACTATTAGATAAATAGAGTAAATTTTTTTATTTATTGAGAGACCCAACGAGTCGAAATAACACTACATTTCACTAAATTAATGAAAACTCTCGTGATCAAAACGATCCGAATTCAAAACCTCTCACTCTTCAAATAAATGAGAAGATCAAGCACGCCACAGCTTGATTTGCGATAAATATAATATATTAACAATTTAGGATTGGAATACTCCTCTTCTTATAAATGTCCAATGATAAATTTGTTAAAAAGGGGAAAAAATAAAAAAAAAAAAAAACAAGAGAGAGGGAGATACGTAGTGCTTTAGATGGCAATGCACATGAAAGATAAAGGATTTATAGCAAAAAGAGGATAGAGACAATTATGGCTAGTGCCATGCATGCCCACTTGATTTAATTTATTAGCATATCATTGATTTAAAGCATTAAACTTTAACAAATTAATTAATAAATTTGAATCTGCAGCTAAGCTAATCATCCATTTTCTTATGAAGTTGGGACCATTTTAATTAGAGGGTTTTTTTTTTTAAAAAAAAAAAAAAGGAAAAGTGGAGAAGTGGGGACAGAGATAGAGGAGATTAGAGATGCCTTTTGCTGGTTATGATTGGCATTGACTCCTTGTCCAAATGTTTTTGGAAAGTTCACTTTTTCTGTCCCAATTGTGGGATTCTACACTACACCTTCTATCTTACACATCAACCTTATAACCCTCTCCCTTTTTTCCCACCATCACTACACTAGAGAACATTTTTTCTGGATTTTTGTGACCAACTCAAGCCATTTTGCTTGCTTTATTAGTCCCCACTAGTATATTGTAATGGTTGCATCAGAAGTTTCAGATCACCAAACATCTATTCTGAAATTTCTGATGCACATTTTCCTTTCCGTAGAGGAAGGAGAATAAAAGTGACTCGGTGTATCAAATATTCTGTATTTGTAGGATCGGAAAAGGATTTAAAATGGAGTAATTTTACCATTACACTAAGTCTATAGTCGAGATTAGTACCATAGAGGAAAAAAAATCGTTAAAAAGCACGATTATGTTTTTATTAAAGCAATTCAAAATTAGTAACAAGATTAGATTCAAATATTGTCATGTTACCAATACAAAACAAAAGCATTGCATGCAAAAAAAACAAGAGTGAGCGAGTTGCGCTTTCTTTAGAATCTACGTTTTGGAATTTTACAAGCTTCCTTTGAACTTCATCCAATTTCTATAGTCATTTCTAATTTGTCTTCTTTTACAATTTCAGTTGAAGATTGTGCATGATTTCTTGAGAACTGAAATTGCAGGAGCTTGGAACCTGCAGATTCAAGCTGTTGCCCTACTTCGAGACCTCTGATTTTCAAATCTTTCTTTGAATTTACTGTCTTTTAAGTGAATTAGTTCAAGTTATTCTCAGTACTGGAGATAATAAACATGTCAGCCTCCAATACGGGATTCAGTCTTAATCATCAAAATTTGTACAGACACATGGGTATCTAAACCTAATCTTGTGTCTACAACATGACAAATTTTCAAGAAAAAAAAAAAAGAAGTTCTATATGGAACTCTGAGTGTGTATTAGCTAGATAAAGTCAATAGAGGATGTTATTTTTTGTAATCCACAATTAAAAGAATATAATTAATGCAACTAAAAAATTTCATAAATCTATGAAGTATGTCTGTCAGATTCCTTAAAAAATTGATACCCACTTGAAAAATTGGACAGATTAATATATTTTTATTAATATTAGCTTTGAGAACCTACCAAATTTTGGCTCGTATAAAATTAGGATAATAAGATAAAATAGAAGTTTCATTTGTTTATTTATTGGAACCAGAAAATTTCAAGTTCTGATAACGGAGCTTAAACTATCAGATGTGTCCAAGAAAACCAATCTGACTCTTTCTTGATCCTCCAAATGCAGAAACAGAATCACTAGCTTGCAAAGACAATATTAAAAGTTAAAACCATATGATTCCAACTGCTACATATATTACTTAAATGCAAGGTTGTTTCTCATTTCAAGTTATCTTACCATTTTAATGTTATTATAACAATATTTACCATCATCCATTACTACAAATTCCAAAAAGTGATCAATATAAGTTAAAATGTACCGTTTATGTATACATAAAATTTAAGTAATTAGATTGTCTTATTGAAAAAGATACAGTTGATATATTTGTTTTTGTCCCAATTTGGATCAGAGAAGATGTTTAGAGCCAATGATATTTAAGATCAGGCTTCTATGGAGCTCTCTCACATAGAATATTGTTAAATCACATATGAAAATATCTGCTCCAAAAACACAAATTTAGCCCATGTAACTTTACGCAGGATGAATTCAACCTTTTAACTAATAAAATTACATTTATCAATTAAATTTATGAAATTTACACCTATTAAATATAATATTACATATATTTTAATTATAACATTAAACAAAATATATGTGAGAGTTCTACGTAAATATCATACCGATACGAGTGTAAAAACACTAAATAAAATATCTATATTGCAAATTTGATATGGGTAAGAATTGATCCCGATTACCATCAATAGAGCATTGCCTAAGTGACTATATTTTCAATATTTTAAACCATCCTAGTCATAGACTCTATGTGGTTCTTGATGAACTCTTGTGGTTATACTGAGCTTTTGGATCTTCTTGCAATCTCAACAAAAAAAAGTTCCTAAATAAACAATCACAAAATGGGAAGTTTTTCAAGAAACTCTCTCTCTCTCTCTCTCTCTCTCTCCACAGCTGCAGAGAGAAAAGAAACTTTCTTTTTATTTAGTAGGTGAATATGGCGACAAAAAGAGAGACCTGAGTGACCACACTCACACGCATTTACCTTTTCTTTTTATATCGATATTGATAAAGGTCAAGAACCCAAAAGGTACTATTTTATTTTAGGGATTCTTTGACAAACGTTAGTTTATTGAATACTGAAGGACAATGTAGGGCATCTAACCTAAAACCCATCAACCCTAATTTTATCAAAGGAGAGATTTAGACAAAGAGAAACCCCACAAAACTTCATATCCTTTTAAGCATCCAATGTCTCCTTTATACCTCACCTTTCATCCCTTTTGAGGTGAGAGCTTTGCCTTTTCTTGTTGCCTTAAAATCTTTTAGCAACTTACTCTTGGACATGACCATTTCTTGTTTAATGCTTTAAATCTGTTATATTTGGATGGACTCACTTAAGCAACTTTTGGATTATAGTGGAGTATTATTCTCTCCCCTTGTGTCATCAAATATGTTTCTTGAGAAACAAAAGAATTAATAAATTTTAAAACGCAAATTATCTCTTAATTTTTTTCATTTTTTTATATGAATATTGAAAGTAAAAAGTTTCATATTTAAATCGACCATAAAGATTTTTATCGAATAAATTTATAAATTACTATTACTTTTTTTATAAAATTATAATATTATTTTAATTCGTGTTGCCTCCCGCGTGTTAAGAAAAATAACGAAACAAATCGATTTTTCGTTTAGTTAATAAATGAAGCCCTAATTCAATGATTAGGTAGAAATCAATGTCTCATCACAATCAATAATTTGACACTGTGCTCTTGTACTAATTAAAGTACTAGCAAGTGTTACTTTCATAGGTGCTATTAAGCTATAGTTGGTAATACAGACAATTAAGCAAAGTGAATTAGTCAAATCAAAGTTAATATTTGTTACAAGGAATTGAACCTTTTTGACTTTAGAAACTTTGTCTAGAAAAGGAACATCCAAAGTAAAAATTTGGTTGGTTGGTCCAACAATTTTATGATTTGCTATGTTCCATTTATTGAAAACAAGAATTGCCTATTACAAACAAAATATGGTACCATATTTATTGTAATTATTCTGCATAATTAGAAATTACCCATCTGTCGATATAAAAAGAAAATAGAAAGTACAGTTTTAAAATCGGCTTGATGTCCATAAGGTAAGATTCCAATTGGTTTGATTTTGCCTAGTTCAAAATCGGTTTGATTATAGTTACAAATCGGAACCTTAGCCAGGGGGCTACAAGATAGGACTGTAGAGGACAAGGGAGGAGGGACGGTCACCAAACCTCACTTGCTTAACAACAAGAGAAGAGAATGTGCAAATTTGGCCTTAGATAGAGACTATTATTTTATTATATTATGCACTTACAGTTAGAGCCAGTATTTATCTTCCTACCATCAGCCTCCTTTGTACATCGGGATCCCTCTGGGCTCTGGCTGAAAGAAAAATATTCACTTTTTACTCATTTTGACATTTAGAGGGTCTACTCTTCTCAGTAGCATAACTTTGTTAACTTTCTTCTTCAATTAAAGCCCACGAGCTGGTTTTGAATCTTTTAATGCACAAATAAAGCTCTCCCCATTACAAAAGCTTGACTAAGCTTAGTCCCTTCAAAGTGAAGATTCACTTAGTCAAAAGCCTAAAGTTCTTATCTTTACTTGGGCATTTATGTTAATAAGTAGAACCCTTTCAGCCTCTGCCATGTTCTGACTCTGTTAGCTGCAAATGATGACTTTGTGGGTACTTCCTGGAACCACTGGATTGGTAAAATACATTGAGAAGAGTAAAGTTTTTAGAGCCTAATTGGTACTCTTGTGAACCCATTTGGTTTTTTTGGACTAGTGGGTCTACTACTCTGGTTAATCTGTCAAGAAACCATCTGTGTATCATTTGTTCTTTTTCTGGTGTGTAATGGTAGCTGTTTTTAGCTTTGTTTTCACTTTCTTTGCTAGTTTGAAATTTTTGTTTTGTCTTACTGAAGTTTTGCTCTTTCTTGGAATGTGTATCTGTTTTCATAGATGTGGTTTGAAGGGGGTGGAGACAGTAAAATGTTGGGACTGAGAGTGACTTCCAGACACAAACGTTCAAAGAGGTAGCTACTCAGTCCTCTGTTACTTTGCAATTACTGTTATCTTCATGCTTATTTCAGTCCATTTCTTGTTTATGTTTACTTGATGGGGTTTTCCCTAACTGGAATTACTTCTATGTTGGTTTTATTTGATTAACATGGAAATTTGGGCATTCATACTTGCAGCTGCACAATCTTGTATTTTACTAGTAACTACAATGCAAGTGCAATTATATAAACTTCCCTTACTTTGGATTTACTCTTGTTATTTCAGTTGGTCTCTATTTACCATCTAGATCAAACTTGAATAATTTGTGACCCAGATGAAATTGAGAGCTTCAAGAAAGAGTAGCAATGGGGAAATTCTTTTAGTAGTCAAAAACCTCTTGAAATAAAAGAAAAAAGAGGCTTTTAGTCATGATATCTCCAATGTTCTCTGCTTATAATTTGGGGAGCTTTCTTTGCGGTTTCTTCTCAAATTTCCCCAAGTTCTTCACTGATAAAGTTTGTGATTAATAAGTAATTGATGTTGTTGAAAGTAACTGAAGAATTAGATTGTTTTACCATGAGTCTTGGGAAAATAATTTCTAAGTGGACCTCTAGAATACGGTAACTCTAGATATATCTGGTCTTTTTTTTTTTTTTCCTTTTCTAATAGAAGAAAAAAGTCAGCAATTTAAAGTATATGAAGAAGGATTTAGTTACAGAAATTCAATGCCTTTATTCTCCAATTAAGAGCCACTTCATCTAAGCCTTTTCTGTTCGTGCTATGGCAGCTTCCCCGATAAGAAAAGAGTCGAGGAAGATGGAGCAGATAGTTCTTTTGAAGTATCACACCGCATAAAGCTGGTAAGACTACTACCTTCCCCTTTTTTTTCTTGAAAAATTGAAAAAGAATTTTTTTTCTAAAAGGTTGTTAGAGAACTAATACCAGGAATTTCTCATTATTATGCATTGTTCGAGTTTCTGGTTCTCCTTTCCCATGTTATGTAAAGACCTTGTGCCCTAAGCCAGCAATTCATTATTGAGTAATGATCCCTTGTGCTCTTATTTTATCATTATTATATTCCAGACCCTCTTCTCCTTTGCTATTATTTTTATCTGTTTGCTTAGGTGTTGGGTGGGTGAAGTTGTGAATGATAATCTTAAATCTTTGTATCAAATCTCCCATATGGCCCTAAATAGAGTTGAATGGAATAAATTATTCTTGTAAGTTCAGTAGAATAATGATTTTAATTAATCCCCATAGATGGAGCTCGTTTTATTACTCCTTGTATGATCAACCAATTGACGTAGTGGATACTCATTCAGAATGAACAATCTTAGAACAAATTCGATGTTATATGATTTATGGTAATGATCTGATGATAGGACATGGGGCAATTGAAGGACTCTGTCAAAACCAAGAAGAAACAATCTCCCAAGAAGGAAGTTCAAGTTTCTTTGAAGGAAGAGGTGTGAAGCTAGCTTCTCCATATTGGAAACTACAGGCTATTTAGGTGTTCTCTCACTGCAAATATTTTTGTTAGTTACATGTTATATCTAATACTTTGCTTGTAGATTCTACAGCTGGAGAAAAGATTACAAAATCAGTTTGAAGTTCGTCGTGCTCTGGAAAAAGCATTGGGTTATAGGACTTTGTCGCATGATAACACGTCTGACATTTCAATGCCTAAGGTAACTGCTTCTCATTTTCATTTGATGGAAACATAAACAGTTTATTGCATACATGACTACGCTACCATCATGGTAGTTGTATTTTCCAGTAGCTCTAGAGTAAATGTCACAACCAAGGTTTCTGATTTCCTCCCTGCTTGTTTGTTTTTCTAACTCCAGTCAGCCATGGAATTAATAAAGGAAATCGCAGTGTTAGAGTTGGAAGTTGTGTATTTGGAACAATATCTTCTCTCCTTATACCGGAAAGCTTTTGATCAACAAAGATCCTCATTTTCTCCACCTAGCAAGGATGAAGTACCAAAATCACCAGTGACTAGCCCCGGAGGGAGGAGAATCCTGGATGTTTCTGGGCCTGATATAACATCAAGGAGAGAAATTTCAGCTACTCAATCTGGTAGTCTGCTCCATGATAATCCATGGAGGGACTCAAGTGGTATTGGGGGAGAAGATAAGCTATTAGATTCTGGTGTTCATCGCTGTCACTCTTCACTATCGCAACGTTCAGCATTTCCAACTAGAACCTCTCCTCAAGCAGAGTCTTTTGGAAGAGCTGTACGTGCCTGCCATTCCCAGCCATTGTCCATGATGGAGGTAACTCAATTTATATTTCATTAATGTTTCCGATTTTTTCTTTTTGGGGTTTAGACTCCCCACAATTTCCATGGATTTTGACCACATCAAAACATGATTTAAGAATCGATTTCCAGAACTAAATGCGAGAAAATATTGTGTGCTCAGCAATTTTTTCCGTTTCATCTTTTCCTTCTTGCCATTGGCAATCTGTTTCCATGTTGAGGCAGAACAAAAACTAATTTAAGGGGATTATATAAAAAGCTTGGTCACCCTCACTTAATTGGATTATAACCCGTGATGACTTCTATGCAGTATGCTCAGAATGAAACGAACCTAATCAGTTTGGCTGAGCATCTTGGAACACGCATTTCTGATCATGTTCCAGAGACACCTAACAAGCTTTCAGAGGATATGGTCAAGTGCATGTCAGCTATATATTGCAAGCTTTCAGATCCACCTTTGACACATAATGGCCTTTCATCTCCTAGTTCATCTTTGTCATCAATGAGTGTATATTCCCCACGAGATCAATGTGATATGTGGAGTCCAGGATTCAGAAATAATTCATCATTTGATGTACGGCTAGATAACCCTTTCCTTGTCGAAGGACTGAAAGAATTTAGTGGACCATACAGTACAATGGTTGAAGTGCCATGGATTTATAGAGATAGTCAAAAGTTGGGAGATGTTGAACACTTGCTGCAAAATTTCAGGTGAGCCATTTAGTCTTTATCCAAGAACTTATTGATAAAGTAGGTACTAAGTGATGGGTGCATGTTTGCTATTTCAAATTCTTTACAAGCCTATTAAGGTATTCTGTTTCAGGTCACTCATCTGTCAATTGGAAGAGGTTGATCCTAGGAGGCTGAAACATGAGGAGAAGATGGCTTTCTGGATCAATATACACAATGCATTAGTGATGCATGTAATGGTTCTTGTCAATAGAATTTTTTTTAAGTGTTGATTTCTTAACACAGCTTCAATTTCTGTTGTGGGTGGAATTGGAACATAATCTTTTCTGTTCCTATAGGCATTTCTGGCTTACGGGATTCCACAGAGCAATGTAAAGAGAGTTTTTCTGCTCTTGAAGGTAAGAAGACTTTCATTAGTCTTCTATAAGGAGGAATTTGATTCCTTCGTATTTTCTTTTCGTTAAAGTTTTGCTCTGTGCAGGCTGCTTACAATGTTGGGGGTCATACAATCAGTGCAGACACGATACAGAATTCTATACTTGGATGTCGGATGTCTCGACCAGGACAGGTGGATCTCTAGCCTTGCGTTTATCTTGAAAATTAAGATATATTTGCATGTATAAATATATATTTTATTTGTATTATTATTATACATGCATAATGTATTCCCCGATATATTATGATTTGCTTGATTTTAGTTATGTATAAGCTGATAAAGGTTGCTTTTGATTGTAGTGGCTACGAATATTAATTCCATCAAAATCAAAATTCAAGACAGGGGATGAACGGCAAGCATATGCAATCGATTATCCAGAACCCCTTTTGCACTTTGCACTCTGTTCTGGAAGCCATTCTGATCCTTCGGTACAAAATCCTTGATCTGCTTTATATCTTTATTTTTTCGAAAGAGTAGGAGTACATACAAGTGTGTTGGATGAATCAGCTTGGAAAATTTTCTCCTTGTAGGCAAAAAATGTCATCTGAATCACCAAACTAAGTCCTTACATATTGGGCACCTTTTTTCTTTTTTTAAGTTTCTCTTATCAAACGGGATTTATATCAATTTGTAATCTTCTCTCATAGGTTCGTGTCTACACACCGAAGAAAGTATTTCAAGAACTTGAAGTTGCGAAAGAAGAGTATATCCGAGCTACATTTGGGGTACGCAAGGATCAAAAGATCTTACTCCCCAAGGTTGTAGAATCTTTCGCGAAGGATTCAGGTTTGTGTCAGGCTGGTGTTATTGAAATGATCCAACACTCATTGCCTGAATCTCTAAGGAGGTGTATTAAGAAAAGTCAGCTAGGAAAACCTCGTAAGATCATCGAATGGGTTCCTCACAATTTCACTTTTCGGTATTTAATATCTAAAGAGCTTGTAAGATGATTGCTTACTTGCATGCATCCAATAGGTTTTAACATGAGTTTGTCACATTTGCATTTTCTCGAGGATTTTTCACATTTTGAGATTCTATAATTTCCTTGTACAAAGTAGAGGATGAAGTAAAAGAAAAAGAAATGTTAGAATAGAACAATGCTTTCTTTTAGTTTGTATAATGTAATCTCCAGTCTTCTTCTATGCTGTGTCACGGAAGTATTTTTTGATTTCTGTAATGCTGGACAAGAATGAACTTGTGTATTGATCTTTGTAAATAAATTTTGTATGTTCATTCTTTTTATTTTCTCAACTCTATATTTTACTTGTTTATAAAAAACTTCTGTAGGCAACAATTGTAACATATGCATTATCTCATATATAAGCAGAAGTGTTAACTTGTGACAATAATATGTTTTGCGTCTGTGGTTAACCACCTGAAGGATCTTTGACAGTTACATATAACTTCAAATCAACAAAACCACACTTTCCTCAAACTGACCCTTGCATTACATGCTTTCCTCAAACTGACCCTTGCATTACATGCTTGTCTCCACCTGAACCAGAACCTTTAACCATCAATATAACAGCTCCAGTTGGCAGTTGGATGTCCCTATGAATTTATGAAAATCTCAAACTTTGGAGGTTCAAATTTGTCGGTGGCTAGTGACAAAAAAAAAATATTTTCAAAATAGAGAAGCTTTCTTTTCACTGATTTGTCCTTACAGACCAATTGTGAGAACTGTGTTAGTGCTGCTATAGATCCTAATCTGATCAGTAATTGTCTGCTTCTGTAGATTTCACCACAGCAATCCTGTCTGGAATATATTCTGGGTTTGTAAGCAAAATTGTAGAGAGAAAATGAGAAAATAAAGATTTAAACTAAAGCACAAAACTAAAACCCAAGATTTTAAATCACAAAAGCATTTCATATTAGAAATCCATTTGACAGAACCCAAAAAAAAAAAAAAAGATTAACAATGCTACAACTTTCTCTAATATGGGCTCTCCCCTATAATATTACCAGGTGGATTATAGAAACAAATAGTTAAGCTAGATTGTTCTTTCACACATGAAGCTTGAGCACACCCCAACTCCAATGACTTCTTCCATACAACTTGAGTGTAAACACCACACTGGTGATTTGATACACAGGAATTATCAGTATGGTTATAGTAAATCTTCTGTTGAACCCAATGATCAACAGCCATTAATGGAGTCACAGCCACGCCACTAGCCCATAATTGGTTTCCACCATACTTGCTGTTGGTTAAGTTTGCAAATTGGCAACCCATTTTGATTCTTTGGTACCTTGCTACTCTGCTGGTGGCATTGGCTAGCATCTCACTCCATTTTAGTGGCCCAACCCCAACTGCTGCTCTTGCCTGGTTGTGTGCTTGTAGGAACTCTCTGGCTGCAGTTGGTAGGGCTGCTGGGACTGGTGCACCACCTGAATTTGGCGCTGCTGCCCCATAGGACAAGCCATGGCAGATGGCTAGAGCTAGAAGAGGAAGCAAAGCAGAGACCATTTCTTGAGGTGGGTTTCTATAAGATTAAACAAATTAGATTGTTAGTTGACAATCCAATGATTTATAGAGGCTGGCTCCATAGTGGGGTGAGTGTGTGTGGAGATTTGGAATTATTAGGTACATGTCCTATTTACTACTTGAATATACTTCAAATATGTCTGCTCAGAATTTAATACGGTGGGAAAATATCGTACCATTTGGCTATATTTGAATTAACTTTGAATGTGTATATAGAAACCATTAAAGATGAGACTAAATATAAAAATGAGACTATCTAAGAATGATGATAAGGGTTCCGATCTCTAACGTTAATAACATCTTTATAGTATTATAAAATATTCATATCGTTCCAAAATTAAGTAATTTTTTGGATAACAATTCTATTTTAGAATATAAATAGTTTTGAATATTTTAAAGATTAATAAATGATAATTTTCTAATGTTATCCTTATTTATAATACTAGACACTATAATTACCTTTCAAGTTACTTGATTTTGAAAAAAAGAGTAATTTGATCGAATTACTCTTTAATTTGTTATAATTTAAGAGAATTAATCGCTTTCTTAATTTCTGTACAAAAACTTTAAACCACTTATATTTTAGGACATAGGAAATAATTATTAAGTAGCATATCTAATTATATAATTTAAATTGAATTAACAAGTTTAATTTTTTTTTTATTTTTTTGAAAGAGAACAAGTTTAATAGTTGGTTCAGAATAGTTGAAAGCATAAAAAGATTGAAAATCCTTGGAAATATTATGAATTGAAGGAGGGAGGGCATTAAAATATTGAGGTGGGTGATTGAGTTGATTAGGAGTTAAAGGAGATAGGGACAAAGTGCCACCCAAAATGGGGTAGAGGTACAGAGGATTATGGAATTTGATACTTCGGAATTGTTTATAGGGCAAGTGCATCAGAAAAAATCTGTTAGATATATTAATTATGCGTTGGCTTCGAGCTTGCACGTGACCCGGTTGACTTTGATCTGTAGAACCCATGTGATTTGCATTATTTGGAGATGAAATCAAGGCAGGATCGATATTACCATTCTCTCCTTTATTTTTCATTTTAACTTATTTATTTTAATCTAATAAGTAAAGTTAAGGATTAATTTGTTTGTAGACAAATTTACAATGGTCACGAGAAAAAACATTAACTGTCATTTACTTTAGCAAACCCGTGAAAGAATTGGACCAAAGCTCATTATAATGCTTGTACTTCTTTGGTCCAACACATTAATAAAGTTTGGTTTTAACAATGGAACCAAATTGATTGATCGGATCAATAATTCCAACATTGATGCTTAATTACCAAAATACTTATCCTATAATTAACAATTATTTATTAAATTAATAAAATAATATCTTAAAAATTAATAAAATAGTACTATAAAAATTATAATTTAATTCTAAAAATATCAAAAAGATTGTAATACACAAATTTTATTATATTTGTCGGGAATGATAAGTGACTTTAAAATTGTTGTATTTATTATGATGTTGAATATATAATATTTGATATCGATGATGAATAATTTTAAAATTATATTGATATTAATAATTAATAATTTGAAAAATACTTCCATACTTATAATTTTATCATTTTCGTCACTATAATATTTTTTTTATAGATAATTTTAAAAATATAAAATAAAAAACTAGGTTGAAAAAAATAAAACTAGTTCCACTGCAATTCAATCATAAAATCAGTTTAATATATTCGGTCAAATTTTAAAAACATTTCTTGTGCGTGACATGATTGGTAGCATTACTATGTATTACTCTACTGCTAATAATTAATGGGTTTCCGCTGCCATATGTAACGGGCAATCAACGCAAGTAATGTTAGGCCCAGGCCCAGCCATAGATCAAAGAATAATTCTAAGAACACTTTCGTTTTCCCTTTTCTGACCCTCAACGGATTTTACCTTTCGGCCTTTTGGACATGTTGGGCTGCCCATCCAACTGCTTTAGAACAATTCGTGTTTGTTTGTTTTTTTATTTATTTATTTTTAGTTTCTAAAAAAACAGATGAATTTTGTAATAATGAAAATGAAATCATTGCTAGTAATTGATAGCATAACAGAAACAACAAAAATAATTTGAATAGCTCTCCTTCTTTAGCTTCCAAAAACAGAAAGAAAAGAAAAGAAAATGTGAACACATTAACATCCAATGAATACAAAAATTGTATAAAAGATGATATATAACGGAAAAACGCGTCTTTCGCCTGCAAGGCTGCAACTTCTTACACGTCTCTTTCTAGTTTCTACACTTCCACGGCCATAAATTTTCCACCGGAAAAAGTGAAACTCTAACGTATCCATGACTTTCAGACACCGGAAAACTGGCAAGGCCAAGGGCAGAGCTTGCCTTGACAGCTAGACTACACAAGTGAGGAAGAGAGAGGGGTTTGTGAGCTTGACATTGTGGCAAAAGAAAGTAAATTTGATCAAGTTGCAATTCTTCCTCTTCTGGCACGTGAGGGATGCACATACCTAAATACATAGATTCTGAGCTACAAAGGAAGCTGTCTGGATTCTTTGCTGTAATATCACCAGCTTTGATTGGCTGCTTCAGCTCCTGTAATTTCCCATCATTGTCGATGATCTTGATCGTTGATGATGATGGTGATCTTGATCTTATTTCGCTTTGAGAAGAAGCACATGCACCCATTTTATGTTCTTGTTGCTGTTCTAATATTTGTGTCCTGTCTTGACAAAGGGAAGAGAGGAAGGTTCGGTTTTGAGAGTCAAAAATGGGTTGGATTTTCATGCTCCATTTTTTTTAAGGAAAATGACTTATTAAATAACTTTTTTTCCATTGTTTAATTGTAATAATGAAAATTAGTTAAAAATATTAAAGTATTTATCTCATAAGACCATAAATATATTAAGAATAATAGAAATTATATAATTTTAAAATTTTAGTGTTAAATATGAAAAGAATGAAAAAAATATAAATTATGAAAGCCGTCGGCGGCCGGTGGTGGTAGCCGGTAGTTGTGGTCGGTGGTAAATGGTGACTAGTGGTAGTAATTATGATGATCAATAAATTAAAAAAATGGATTTATAAGGTTTACCAATGTCTAGAAAATGTTTTACTCTCTCGAAAATTAGAAATTGTTTTCCTTATAAAATGACTTAACTTTCCTTTGACTATGAAAATATTTTCCGTTGAATTATTTTTTTGAGCGCCCCAAACAACGGAAAATTATAGAAAATATTTTCCTGCAAGTTATTTTACGGAAGCAAATGGAGCTTTAGAATCACTTCAAAAGTAATTTTAAGAGCATCTACAATCTTAATGTTAATATGGATTTCTCTATTTAATTGCCACATAAATAGAAAATTTTTTTTCAAAAAATGCTTTTTAATGGTAATATCCATTTGCTGTTAAGTTGATGTGTAAAAATAAAATAAAATAAACACTTTTTATTTTTAGAGAATTGGTTTGTACATTAAATTGTGAACGTAGAAAAGAAAAGAAGAAATAGGATACAAGCTAGTTCAAAAACTAAATGCTAAATACTAAAAGCTAAACGCTAAATGTTAAATATTATAAATGATAGAGATAGAGTTTTGATAGTCAAAACACTAAAAGGTAATTCAAAAGCTATCGGGGAATATAGTTTACGTACGAAAATTGCATTAATTAATTTAATTTCCTTTTTCCTTCATTAATTATTTCCATTAATATTTTCATGCTTCTATTTGATAAACTCATTAATTGTACTCCACTTAAAAAAAAGAACTTGTCAATTTGCAGTCTTCGTGCCCCTTGAAACTGGTACATTAAACCTATAGAAATTAAAGTAAAGATTTGTTTTGAAAATTAATTAGTCACTATTTACTAGAAATAATATGGAAATAAAATTTTTATTACACTTTGTAAAAGTTATGAATCAAAATAAAAAAAAAAAATTAATATGTATTTTCATGGATTAAAATGAAAAATATTGGGAAAAAAGGATAAAAATCTAATTAATATGTAAAGCTAGAAACAAGTTTGTATATGACAATTTCTTTTATTGGTGATGGGGGAATCCAAAATGCAATTATTTATGTAAAAAAAAGGAAAAAAAATATTAATAGAAAATAAAGAAAAAATAGTCAATTAAGAAACTAAATGTGATTTTGTTCATTTTACAAGCATTGAGGGGTCATACGACAAAGCCAAAGTAATATATGTATATATATATATAAAACAATTGTAGATGGTCATTTTCCTTATTGCCATTATCATCTTTTGTATTTCTACCTACCTTATGCTATCAATAGCCTCACTTTTTGAAATGAAATTTAGATTAATAACAAATAAGATTCCTAACAAGCACCCAAGTCGAATTTATTTATAGCTTTTATTTAATCATGTGCCATTAGTTTAAAGTGAAATCCATTAAATTATTAATCTATTTTGCTACTACTATTATTTAAATATTGCATGTATTCCACTTTTGGAACCTTTCTTACACTCAAAGCTACATCCTTTTGAAATTTATGCAAACTAGCTATTATTTTAATTTTTTTTTAATGTAAATCAATTGTATCTGATAATCCTATCGTTAGAGATCACTTAATCCGGTTTGAGGCCTAATCACAGTTAAGACTTTTCACTCATCTCTGTAGATGCATTTAATCGGAGGCATTGCCATATATCCAGCATACATTGCCATATATCCAGCATGCATTGCCAAATGGACCACAACCCATTGGTAGCTTATTATTTTAATTTAGTTGAATCTATATATATATATATATATATAAAGAATATCAATGTTTTTCTTTTGAGTATTAGATAGGAGAATTTTGAACTTCAATGATCAAAACATGCATTTTTTATTTACGTAGATAATTTTATTTAATCAACAAGGCTTAAATTTTGAGTATTTGATAGCCAAACTAGAAGGAAAGCATTTATTTGTGAATTTGTAAAAATTTAATAAATTTTGAACCCTAACTAAGATTAGGGTTTTTGTTTTTTCCAATTAAGATTAGGGTTTGCTATTGGTGGTCTTAGGTAAATCTTTTCTTGGATACATGCAGGTTATTATTGTTAATTTTGTACTTCAGTATAAGAATTCAATAAGACATGCCTTATTTATTTATTTTTTGAAAAAAAAAAAGACATACTTTAATTAGAGAACTCAATAAATAAATAAATAAGTTATCCTTTTCCCTTTACAAGATCTCTATGATACACAAAATATGCAAGAAAGTTCATTTGGTGAATATATAAGAGCACAACTTTCAAGTCACGTTATTGCTTCTTACGTGCAAGTGAAACAGGACCACTAGAAATTAATGATGATAAAGAGAATATTGTTTTTTTTTTAAAATTTTAAATACAATGTAGATATCAGGTACCATTTTAATCCGGCTCAAGGCCTAGACACAGTTAAGACTCTTCGCTCCTCCCTGCAGCTTGCGGGTGTGGTTAGTAAGAATTAAACCGGATGGTTCTTCCTACATGTTCAATCTGTGTTGCCAATTGAGCCACAATCCGTAGGTTTTCTTAATTTTTTTTTTTATATAATCCAAAGTATAACATCTCAGCTCGATGGAATCTTAGAGCATAAAATTTTTTGTCCTTTCAACAAAGTGCGCTTCTCAGGATCGAACTTATATTTTCACTTTTACGTGGATTATGATCGTTTATTACTCCAACTAAAATCTTATCGGTAAGACTGCAATTTTTCTTTCTTATTCATAGAACAACATTATTCAAAAGGAATTTTTTTTTTAAAAAAAATTTCAGTTTATCGTCTTTCTAAATATTGGTGGCCATCACTTTCCATTACTTATAGATTCATAACCATCAAAATCTTATTGAGAATAGTAAATAGGAACCGACAAGCTTCCTTATAAGAGAAAAATCCATGGAGATAGAGGGAAGGGAAATGCCTAAAGGTCCTTTTACATAGAATAAAGAACACAACAAAAGCTGATTATTCAACTATATGTGAGTGCTAGTAAGCTAATAAAAACAATTGGGATACATCAAATATTTAAAAATACTTTGTTATTTAGAAAGTTGACTCACTATACATAATTAATTAAATACTATCTTTTGCATTTATAAATATATAAATTAAGCTTTTTTTTTTTTCTATCTTTCTTATATTATAACATAAAAAGATACATACAAATATATTTCAACTTCCTTATTGGACACACAAATAAATGATTTGGAAAAAAAAAAAAAAAAAAAAAACCCATCTTTTTGCATTTATTAATTATATTATAATTAATTTAAGACTTTTTTTTTCTATCTTTGCTTGGATATGTTTATAAACAGTAAAAAGATACATACAAATATATTTTCAACTTCTTTATTGGACACACAAAATAGAGATGATTTGGAAAAAAAAAAAAAAAAAAAAAAACCTCCCTCTGTCATAAAAAATAAAGTGTCGTAAAAAAAAAAAAAAAAAAAAAACCTCCCTCTTCATAAAAATAAGTGTCCTTTCTTTTTTTTTTTTTTTCTAATTATCCAAAACATTTTATTCTCAGTATATAATTCATGGAACATTAAAAATTTCATCGGAGTACACATGATCGGCAAATAATCAAAAGTTTGGTGGGAGTTTCTAACTATGAAAGGATAAACTATAAAGTCTAACCTAACCTTGAAGTTGCCAATTCTAAATTACAGCTGGATCTAATTAAAGGGCTCTAATACCAAGATATTATTATTCATAAATACTACAGTAGCAGGAGGCTAGAAAATGAGCGGCCTATCTTGAAGCTGGAGATATAATTTGCACTCAAAAAGTGAAAATAATGCAACCATATGATTGCCAATTAATCTATCTATATTACTTTATGTGTAAAGTTACGAGTTTATGAAAATGTAATGGATTAGTATAACTGTAACTCATATGAAGTGCATTTTGAATATCGTGGGCAAAATTAGCTGTTTTGATAACGTTTAAAGGTCAGTTGTTTGAGTAGCGTTTTATAAAATGTAAAACGTTAAAAGCTAAATGTTATGAATTAATTTTTATAAAATATCACATTAACCTTTAAAAGTTAGTTCAAATGCTATATTATCAAATATTAAAAAAATAATGTTGAGTCAAAATATTAAAAGCTTGTTTCCAAAAACGGTGTTTACGCGTAACGGAAGAATGTGTTGAGTATTGAAAATTGAAAAGGAGGTAGAGAAAAAAAAAATGATAATTTTGTAAGTTTTGGACATATAAGGCAAACGGGTATATATGTTTTGAGGGATTCCTATGGCCCTTCTTTGTTTTTTCTTACTTGGTACAAAACATTCAATTGCAGCAAATCTCCATTATTGAATAGGTGGATTAAATTTGTCCACCAACTTGCATTCAGAATCTATCTCTGTCAATCATTATAATGAATACAAAGAGGAGGGAGAGGGAAATTATTTTTACCAATATCTATGTATCACGATAATTGGTCGGCATGCACTTTAATTTAAAGTGATAAAATATAAATTTCAGATATAACTCCGTAAATTTATTAATTTTACATATACCAAATGTATAAATTTATCCATGTACTTTACAAAAATAATTTTGTACCAAATAAAGAAATGCATCAATATATATATATAAATTTATATATGCGAAATGCATATACATAATCCTTTTATTAAAAAGAAAAAAGAAACCTTTTTATGATTTTTTTTTTTTTCAAAACCATCAATTGGGACCAATGGAAAGTACGATAGTCTTATGGACAGTCCAATAAGAAATTATTATATATAGTGATGCCAAATATCAAATTGTATGCTTTATTATGAACTTTTGCAATTCTATTCCCACTTGCATATAAAATGAATGGTAAAAGATAAAAATAACATAAGAGTGATCCTTCTTTTTATTTCTTTATGTAACTATAAATATTCCCTATTTCTTTAGGTAATTTCTCTTCACCTTCTTAAGTAACATTGGATTCTGTTCTATGGATATAGCTGGCTCTCATGATAGCTATATGGGTCAAAACCATTTTATTTCTCCCATAGAAATCAATAAAGGTTTTGCACATTTATGGTGTATGTATTGTCAACAAAATTTATGCTTCAGGCAACATAGGTTTTATTGCAATAAAATCACAGCGATTCACCTTATCACATATGTCTTGCATTTTCTTCGAGTTTTAAGTGAGATTATATAAATTTTCCATCTATAAATTGATGGATTCTACAAATTAATTTCAAAAAAATTTGCTAATATTTACTTCTCAATGCATAATAATAGTAAATTAACCCGATTATATCCATAATTTTCAAGATAACTTCTTTGATATTGTTAATAATACTAAGGGTAAGGGTAAGAAACAGTCGATCATGAATTAAACTGAACTGAGATTTAGAAGGAGTAAATCGAACTTTCAAGATTAAAATTGAATTGGACCGAAGTTATTATGAAATCAAATCAAATCAAATCGATATATTTTTCGTTTTTTATAAGACTGATTAATGGGTTTATACGCATATGAAAGTACTTTTTTATACGCATTTTTACACTTGAATCAGCAGCGTAGTGATTTCAGATTTCAAATCTTTTACCTCTATTCTTATACGCATTTTTATACTTAACCACTGGTGCGGCGATTTTAGATTTTAGATTTTAAATCTCTTATATTACAGGTCAATTTCAAACCACTCCCCCAATGGTTTATATTTTACTCCTCTTTTTTTTTTTTTTTTTTTTTTTTCGTAGTGATTTCAGATTTCAAATCTTTTATACCCTCTATCTTAATACGCTATGTTTTATACTTAACCACTGTGCGGCGATTTTAGATTTCTTTAGATTTTAAATTCTCTTATTATTACAGGGTCACAATTTCAAACGCACTTTCGCCGAGGAGGGTTTTATTTTACTTCCTCTTTTTTTCTGGTTTTGTTTTTTTTCTGTTAATGGATTAAACGTGTCAACTTGTTGGATTCACATGGAATCCACTAGGTGGCATGACCGTAATCGCAACAGCTGTACCAATGCCAGCATTTCATGCAGAAAGAGGTTCCAAGTTTTGGAACAAGACAAAAACCCTCTCATATCTCCTTCCATGTAATTAGCCTTCCCTTCTCATCAAACCAAAGCAGAAAATTGACTCCGATTCTTGCCCATTCATTCTTTTGTCAACAGCATTTTATAAAATTTATACATTTTACAAGCAAAGTTTTAATTTAAATTTGTGGATTATATTATTTAGTTAAGCTGTAGCATTTTTTTTTTTTTTTTTTTTTTCTGTTATGGATTAACGTGTCAACTTGTTGGATTCACATGGAATCCACGGTGGCATGACCGTATCGCAACAGCTGTACCAATGGCAGCATTTCATGCAAAATTCCATTTGACAAGACAAAACCCTCTCAATCTCCTTCCATGTATTAGCCTTTCCCTCTCATCAAAACCAAACAGAAAATGACTCCATCTTTCCCATTCATTCTTTTGTCAACACATTTTTATAAATTTAACATTTTACAAGCAAATTTTAATTTAAATTTGTGGATATTATTATTAGTAAGTTACAAAAATATAATGCAATGCCAATTTCCTTAATTGTCATTTTCTATCTCATTACGCGTAAAATGACTTCAATAGTAACATGTTCTTGCTATTGATTATTGATTGTCAGTTTCAAAAATGTTGTAATAACTTAACTAAGTTATATTAATTTCCTCACCATGTTTTTCTTTGCTTATACCAATTTCATTTGTCGGCTTTTATCATTTTTGTATATGCATGATAATTAAGTTGTTATTGAATTTTCGAAGTGGAAAGTTTCATTCTCTTCTTATGTGAAGACAAACACATACTTCCAATTTTCATTATTTTGTTTATCGTATTGCTCTATTTATCCTTATCCTTTAATGAGAAAAATGATTTTTTGATCAATTGTTTTTTTTTTTTTAATCCTTTTAACCCTTCTAGTCGCAATATTAATCACCATATATATTCAAGTGATTTTAATTAATTGCCAAATTGCTAATGATTTCTCCACTAATAATGACATTATCCAAATAATGGATTATTAACCATCTATAGAGGAATTTCATAAATTAATATCACGTATTTTCTTTTAAAGGTGAAATTAGAAGAATTTAGGGCAGTGGCAGAATTAGAAATTAACACTTGAGGATAAAATATTTTACTAAATAATTTTTATGCAGGACTTTTTTACAAAATATGTTTTTTTTTTTAAAAAAAAAATAAAATATTTTGGGGAGATGATGTCCACCTAAAGCCAATGTAGAGTAGAGCAGCTTCCCAAAGTAACAGGTAGTTCCATCCCTCCTACATTTATGGAAAACATTTCATGTTTAACTAAATCAGTTTTAATTAGTAAATTACCTATAGTTTCATTAGTCTTCTCACTTATGTTAGGATAAAAATTCTCGAGTTTAATCAATTAGAATAATTGTCAATAATTTGGTGAATAAAAAAAAAAGAATACCCACCAATATTGGTCGGGAGTCCTTTCCTTTTTAACTAAATGTTTCTAATTTGAATTTTAGGTATGAAAATTGTCGCCCGATTGTGTTGCTCGCATGTTATATCAGCGAATTGAATCTCTTAATAAATAAAACGACTAACTTTAATTTAAAATGTAATATTTGGTGGGACAAATAAGTTTAATAAAATCTAACAGAGGAGTCGTTAAATTATCACTCTGGCCTGCGTACAAAAACAAGATGATAGTGAACTTTTCAAAATATGTTAAGCTAAATAATTCCGATATAGCTATATGTTTTTTAAAATTTTCAGTATCGTACGCAGAAATTCAATGGAGCTTTCATGATTTTGATTAGGCTGATAACAATATTTTACAATAAAACAAAATGATTATATAATTTATAAGCTCATCGACTCATCTAGGGGTAAAATTGTAATACGACCCTCCAATGGGTGACAGCCAAAGGTAATGTACCAATCGAGCTAATCACATCACTAAGACCAATCCTACAGAGAAGTTTTCAGAATGAACCCTCATCATTACAATATTTACACTCATACCCTTCTTTCATTTCCTAAACTACCCCTACTCAGGTATTGCACTTAACATTGCCGAAAACTTTCTCCTTCCGCCACCCACACCACCACTACCTCTCCTACCGCCACCAACGCCAGAACCAGCGGAGGCTGCCAATCTTCTCTTAGACTTCAGATCACTATCACCGGAAAACACCAATGGGGACACCGTCTTCCGGCCACACCCACATTTATCACCACCATTACTTTTCATTAAAGCGGAGCTAGCTTTTACTGCCAATGCAGCCATTTCCTCCGGTTGCAATGGATGCCTTAACCTACTCAAAGGCAAAGCGAAATATAACTGTCCAGGTTGGAGCTCTTCATCGTCGTTTATGGCGGAAACGACGTCGTCAAACTCCATTTCGTCGGCGTTGCAAATAAAATACGTCGGATTCTTTTGCAAAACATAAGAAACCTTAACCGGGTACGAGAATTCTTGTAGCCTTCCATCTTGGAGAATTAATTTGGCAGTAGCAACGTGAGTAGATTCACAAGAATTGCAGATACCCATTTTCTCGGTAAACCTTATGTAACAAATTTTTATTTAAATGAGAAATTTTCGACTTTTAGTTAAATTTAAAAAATGCAGAAACTTTGGATCTTGAAAGAACGGAGAAGGAGGAGGTGGTATATATATAGGGGGAAGAGGGAAAGAGAGAGTGCCTCATAATCTGTATCTGGTTGCCACGTCATCATTGTCGTTTATGAATGGGGGCCCTTCATCGATCAGTGGGCAGGGCTCGCCACTCGCCAGGCTGTAAGTTGTTGAAGACAGCTTTTATCTATGCACAGCGTTAGTGTCCTTTTTAAGGTTTACCCCTCCATTTGTGCTTTTATTACACACATAGGGACTGGAGCTTTTAGTTTTTGTACTGTTCATTAATATTTAATAATTTAAATTAAACCAATAATCAACAATAATAGAATGCATTCAGTCCCAAGAATTTAAACCTGAAATCGCATCTGTCTTTAAAAAAGTTTTACCTGACTACTAGGCCGAGCACCAATATCAAATGGGGCAAACAGAGAAAAGTTAATTAAGTTATATTTCTAAGCTTGCTTAATGTACAGTTGTACACACAATTGTGGTTTAATTAATAGTAATTACAATTAAAAAATAATGAATTAATTTGATTTTAGTATATTTCTATTATAAAAACGTTTCGAATATGCTTAAATTGTTAGAGGGCAATTAGGTTTGACAAACAAAGTTGTTGCTCTTCAGTCTTCACATTGTGCACGAGAATCTAATAATTGCAAATGTGTACTTTTCTTGAATGTGATTTTTTTTTTTTTCACTTACTAAATTTTGGAAATAGCTTGAAAGTTATAGTATAACCAGAAAATATATATAATGGCGTATGATAGCAATAGGCATCAAAATCAAATTCAGTAGATAGAGTGGGTCAGTGAAAAAGAGAGAAAAGGTTTTTACTTTTTACCTTTTGACATGATTGTTTTAGTCGTTTTATGTTTGGTACCCAAAGGTTTTTATAACACATGGGATAAATGTGGACAATTATCATTTCATAATGTATTATATTTTAATTTCTTTTATTTAATGTATTCAAATATTTTATATATTGAAATCATTACATGAATGAAAATATACAATAATTCAATAGTTCATTCAAACAAATTATTTTTTTCCTTGTTTTTCTTATTTTTCTCCAAATAATAAAATTCTTTAATCTTTTTTTTTTCTCTTGTATTAATTTGACCATCAACCAATTATAAAGCTTTTGGCATATATGTTGAATGATGAAACTTCAATTCACCGATATAGATAATTGAAGGTGTTTTAAAATTTGTGAAGTATTGTTAGCAGAATTCAGCAAAGTCCCAACGTGGTAGGCCAATCTAATTATCAGAAAGAAATTTCTTTTTTTTTTTTTATTTTTCTTATTTTGTAAAAAATAAAATGAAATTTATGAAGCCTCCATAATTAACAATTTTTAATTATTTAAATAATTGAAAGAATTCTTTTAATTTTCTTAAAATGGATGGTTTAGTAATTAAGTGATCAGTGAGCAGTAACAGTGAAAAATTAAAAAGCAAAGCTAAACAAAAATAAAATCAAAAAATGAAAAATAAAAAAGATATTACGTGTAAATTGAAGGCCATTTACGGAAGAAGAAGAAGAAGAGAGGAAACGTGGCAGTAAAACAGGGAGCATAGGAGGTTCGATGCATGGAATATAGGAAAACACGTGGAAATGAAGCAGTGAACTGAAAATCCAACAAAGAGACAAGAGATGGCGTAATCAGATGTTGGGGTTGGGTCTGGTCTGTTCTGGTCTGGTTCAGGTTCAAACCCAAAATCCTTGTATTTTGTTTTTATGGAGCATGCAATTTACAAAGCATGACCTTGCTTTAACTTGTTCTTTTGGCTTTACACAATTGCCTGAACTAAAGTTTTTCATTTTCTTTCTAAAATCAAGCAATAATATTTAAATATTATTTATAATCATTATGTATTTTAATTAATTATTATCAGAAACTTATTATACAGAAATTTGTGCAATGGAAATTATAACAAAATGAGTTTTGATACATTTTGAAATCTAAACTTAACCTTTATGTATAAATGTCAAAATTAAATTAGAAGAAAGTTTCCAAAATTTTTATACAAACGATATAAAATAGGAAAAAAACGGAATTTAAAAAAAATTATAATCATAACGGTCTAAAAACACTTATAATTATATAGCAATAGTAACTTTAAATTTAATAATATTGGAGTCATTTTCAGAAATTAAAGAAAGATTTTAAATTTAAAGTGAAATTCACTAAATAAACGAAAAAAGAATTATAATAATAAACTAAAGAAATATGCATGTAATAACCTTTGGTGTTAAAGAAAATAACGGGAAAAGTCTCAATTAACTTATAGCTAGTATTGACAAAGTCACTAGAATGCTTGTGTCAAAACATAAATTAACATTGAAGCTAGTATTTAAAATTGATTATGTCATAATTAAAAATAATTAGACATTATATTTAATTATAAATCTAGTAATTAATTTTAAGAAATCCCAATTAAAAAAAATATAATTATGCTAAAAAATGAAAGAAAATCATGAAAATGTATTTAATAATTGAGCAATGGTATTTGAACCGTTTATACGTTACTATCAATTGTCCCATCTAACGTGACAATTACAGTTATGTAAATAATAAAAAAAAAAAGTATATCATATATCACTGTCAGTTTATCAAAAACTAAATGTCTTATCAGGCGAGACATTAACGGTTACAGTATCAGATAAGACATTAGCGGTTATATATATTAGTAGGTTAAATATCATTTTCATAATAATAATAATAATGATAATAATAATAATAACATATATAAAAGTAAAAAAGAAAAACTAGGCAACCATATCTATTTGAATAATTGAGACAAGAAAAGCAACAAGTATGGAGGAAGAAAGGAACCTTAAGAACTAAGGAGAAGCACAAGCACATGCTTTTAAATTTTAATTCATGGAAAAATCTTGTTGAACCTAAAAGTAAAAGCAAGAGTACATATGCATTGTACATTTGTACTAACACCTTAAATAATTATTTTTTTAAATAATCAAATCTTTTTTAAATTGAATTTATAATTAGAAGGAAGGGGGGCCAACAGGCAAGGCCACAGTGTGTGTTTTTGCAGAATGCATGTTCTAAATCCATGTGGGTTATATATGTGAGGAAGGAAGATCTGCTCTTCATTTATTTTATCAATTATTTAAATTTGTAGTTGATAATTGAATTATTAATAATTGAGGAATTTGGATTCCCATCTTCAAAACCCTTTTCTTTTTTTCTTTTTCTTGAAGCTCCAAAGGCTCTTTCCCTTTCAATCAAATCCAAATTCCAAAACAACTTATCACTATATATTAACTTATTATTGTAGTAGCATGTATAATTGATGTACAACATGAAAGAATAAAGGAAAACAAATATGCATTTCAAGACATAATCTAATGGCAAGTGTATGTACGGTATGTCAATAGATCCAGATTCGAATACATCCTTTTCAATACTCAAAAAAAAAAAAAAAAAAAATTTTCTTTTTTCTTAAGCGTCCGAAAGGCTCTTTCCCGTTTCAAATCAAAATCCCAAAAATTCCAAAAAACAAACTAATCACTATTATATTAAAACCTTATTTTGTAGTAGCATTGGTATATATTGATGTTACAACATGAAAGAATAAAGGAAAACAAATATGCATTTTCAAGGAGATAATCTTAATGGCGCAAGTGTAGTGTACGGCTATGTCATAGATTCCAGATGTCGAATTACACCTTTCAATACTCAAAAAAAAAAAAAAAAAGAAAATCAGTCATAAATTAATTGCTAAAATTTTGAATTATTAGGTAAATAATTTTTGTAGATAAAATAAAAAAAAAAAAAAAAAAAATCGAGTCATAAATTAATTCTAAATTTGAATTATTATTAAATAATTTTTGTAATAAAATTTACTCATTAGGTAAATAATCCTAAGAACATTAGGATTAGGAATTCAATCTAATTAGGACAATATTTTCTATACTTTCCCCTTAAAATAAGTACTCCTAAAATCTATAGAAATATTTCATGTTCATCCCTTAACACCTAGATAAGGTACTAATCTCTATCGGAGGACTAAGAAATGATTATGTTAAAAGCACTTTTCAAGATGTTGATTCCACGACTTGATTATTGCATTATTGATAATAATGACTTTTATGAATCGATAAAATATAATTTGTGCTTGAAGGTTACAAGGAACCATGACATTCCAATAAGATTTATGTTCTTGCATACAATTGATGGAACAAACATAGTTGGCAAGAAAAAAATAATAAAACTCAACAACCAGCAAAAACACATCCTATAATTATAATTATGTATTTTTGTAACCCTAATTAATCTTAATTAATTTTAATTAGAATTTTTAGGTCTTGTCAACACGGACAGTATTTCTAATTATATCTTTGACTCAATTTTTCTCATGGATTTATATTATAAAGTTAGACTTTGTCATTGCCAAGAAAGTTCCTTTATGCTCTATCTATCTCTCTCAATCATATATTTCTTTTTGGCTATTGCAAGGTTGTATCCACTAATTGTAGGTCCCCTCACAGTTAACTATTTCTTTATGATCAATGGTCACTATAATATTCTTTATATGCAAAATCTACAAATAATTATTTTATAATTACAATATTAAGGTGTTAATCATTTTTTTTATAATTTAATGAACAATGCAAATTAATAAAAATATATATAACCAACAAAGAAAATATGTCTTTTAGCTATAAGTTCATTCTGGGATCTATTATTTGATACATGTAACTTGAATAATAATAATAATAATAATAATAATAATAATAATAATAATAATAAATCATAAATTTGATCCAAAAATAAAGATTTTATTTTGACATATACTTGTTGGTCTTATCCATCATAATCTTTTTTTTTTTAATAATAATTATAGTAATTTAAAACAAAGGAGACCTTGTAGGAATTCCTTTTCTTCTTCTTTTCTTCGTCTGCTCCTCATCCAAAGTGGCAAGTTTTTCCTGCAAAAAATTTATTTATTTGATAATAAATTTTAGAGAGAAAAAAAAAATTATATATGTATGAAAATTCTTACAATGACTTTGCAGCCAATTGAACAAAACTTGTAAGGTAAGAAGCCTTCTTCTTCTTGCTGCTGCTGCTGAATTAATTCTCTTTTGCAAGTTGCACATCTTTGACTAGGATTCTGATGCGGCTGCTCTTTATGTGGTCTTGGATTAATATAAATAATACTAATATAATTGATCTTATAAGTTTGGATATCAGAAACATCCCAAAATTTATTTATCATCGCAGGAATAATTCCGGAATGATATGAAGCTCTGAATACCTGAAAAAAAAAAGTATTTATCAGGAATTATTTATCAAAATAATTAATTTATCAGGATTAAAATTTAATTAATTTATCAAAATATCAGGAATTGTTTTATGAAGAACTTACCTGAATAAATTGGTGGTTTTCATGTTGATTACGATCGTTTTTACAACTTTCACAAACGGTTGATTTTGTACAATCAATACAAAAAAAATTACACTTTCTTGAACCATGAGTATCGCAAGTCTCAAAAAATTTAGCCTCTAGTAACGAAAATAACCATGATGGGCAAGACTCCGTTGTCTCCATATATAATTCTTGACGTCGAAACGTTAAATATTAATTTTTTTGTGCACTTATATAATAGTTAGGTTAACTTTAAATCCTAATAACATTATGTTTCATCGTCTTATTGTTATCCTAATGGATAGAGGAGTTAATATTTTCAAACCCTATTCAAGGAATTAATTTATATTTTCTATTTTATTTAATTAGTGTTAAAATATATTTTTCATGGATAAGAGAGGATTTTATGAGAAAAAATCTAATCTAAAATTATTGGAGTTGATACTTGGAGATTTTAGGACTACTTTTTAATTATGCATTTATGTATTTTAATTTATAAAATTGTCAAGTTCCAAAATTCAAACTTTAAAAAAAAAAAAAAAAGATTAAGATAAAGTAATCTAATTTATATATTTGGTTGGTGTTTGATTTGACTCTTCATTGGTTTATTCAGTCATCCGAATTATCCCCAAACTAGTTGATGAATCCAATTATGATTTCCATAAATGTCTTGATGAACTAATGTACGTATTATATACAATGTATATCTCCAAATAAAAGCAAGAAAACAATATTTTTTTTATGGGTTGGATTTATATTATTAGAAGATAAATATTTGGATGCATGAAATCAAATATTTGACACACGACTTCATCTTATTTAAATTATATAAATTAACAGAAAAAGAAATCGTATAATAATATTGCCCTTCTCGAATGTCTAAACCTTCCTGTAAGGCTCTTCATTCATTAGAATTATTCAGTAATAAATAGCTACAACAACAATAATTTTGTAAATAAACAAATCCACAATGTAAAATTATACAAAGAAGCCATTGGGTGAGTAGCTCACTGGTCAAGTTCATATCTTGTAATGCTAAACATCTATAGTTCAAATCATTAAAATCTGATTCTTTTTGAAAAAAATTTCGATATTTTGAATCATCCTGCATGAGTTAGTATACTTACAGTTGGTAATGGTCTTTCTTGTTTATTGTCACAAAATTACATTTCGTGTGATTCTGAAAACACACTTGAGAAATTGCAGAAATACCCTATTGATGTCATATGATCTGTTAATTGATCAAGCAGAGAATATACGTTACTTGAAACTTCAAGTCTGCTGTCATCAACCATAAATTCATAAATACAGCCCTCAACTTCGATTGAGCTAATTCCTCTGCACTTGATGATTTCATGGTTATTCATTAGCTTTCGAATGTTTTTCATGCCTTCCCATTTTCCAGCTTCAAAAAACAAGTTCGAAAGAAGCACGTAAACCCCTGAACCGGATGGCTTCAACTCCAGTAACTGTTTTAGGATTTGTTTCCCTATTCTGACATCTCCATGAGTTCTACAAGCGCCAAGTAAAGCACCCCATATCACAATATCCGGTTTCATTGGCATCCCTCTTATTAGCATCATAGCTTCGTCTAAACGACCTCCTCTCCCGAGAAGATCAACCATGCATGCATAATGTTCAATTTCATGTACAATTCCATATACAGACCTCATTTTGTAAAAGTAATCTCGACCGATGTCTACAAGGCCACAATGACTGCAAGCTGAAAGCAATAATGTGAAGGTTATCTCATCAGGACAAATGCCTTCAGCTTGCATCTTTTCAAAGAGCTTGATTGCTTCCAATCCACAACCATGTAATGCAAGTGCTCCAATAATTGCATTCCAAGAAACTAAATTCTTAGTTGGCATTTTGTTAAAGATGTCTATAGCAAGCCCAAGAGCGCCACATTTTGCGTACATATCAATAACTGAGTTCCACAGGTTAACACTATCTATACTGCTTATGCTGCATATGTAACGGTGAATTTTCTTACCCGTGACCAAATCGCCAATTTGACTACAGGCCGAAAGAACACAGACTAAGGTTGACTCATTAGGCATCACTCCCAAATTATGCATCCCATGGAAAAGATTCAGAGCTTCCTTGCATTGACCTGCTTGAACATGACACGAAATCATTGAATTCCAAGAAACCACATTCTTCATTGTCATTTTGTCAAATTTTTTCTGAGCAAATTCAACAAGCCCATGTTTAGCATATGCACTAATCATAGAGGTCCAGGAAACCACATTCTTATCAGACATTTGGTCAAAAAGTCTTTCAGCCAATTGCAAATGCCCGCACTTAGCATACATATCTAGAAGTGCGTTTCTCACAATTAAATCTATCTCCAACCCTGTAATTTCAATATGCAAATGTAGAAACCTACCCAAATGTATATTACAGCTTTGCGAACAGACAGTAAGCAAGTTAACTAAAGTAAACTTATCAGGCTCTATCCTCGTTTCTCTCATATCTTTAAACAATAAAAACGCTTCTTTACACCAACCCACTTTGGCATACCCACCAATCATCGAATTCCAAGAAACCAAAGTCCTCTCAGACATATCATCAAACACATTCTTTGCAAAATTGATAAACCCACACCAAATAAATGCATTTATTAGACCGTTTTGCACACAAACATGGCACCCAAGACCCAATTTTTGAGCTTGTCCATAAACAAGCAGAGAAACCCAAAATGCCGATTTTGAAGCACAAGCTTTAAGTACAAAAGGGAGAGTAAATTCATTCGGAGAGAGACCAGAATCAATCATTTGGCGATATAGTAATATAGACTTTATCGGTTCATTACTATTAGAATAACCCCTTATTAAACTATTGTACATGAATTTATTGGGTTGAGTAATTTGATTAAATACGAGCTGAGCGTAGTCGAGATTTCGTGTATCAGTAACAGCACAAAAAGAGATTACCTTGCTGATAGTTAGAGTCTGATGGTTAAGGCCATTAAGGACGATTTGGGCGTGGATTTGCTTCAGTTCTTTTATGGAGGAGCATTTCTCTAGCAGCGAATGAAGAATTTGTTGATTTTCAGACTCGAACTGGTGGATTGAGCTAAAAGCGCGGTTAAGGCGGGAAGCAACGGTCAAACATTTGAAAGGGAAGACCATGGCAGTTGGGCATTTGGTTTCGAGAACAAACTGGATGCCTTAATTTGTTCCGAATTTTCAATTTTTTATGCCTTTAACAATTGGTTTTGGGCCTGATCCGACTTGGTTTATTAGCTTAAACAGGCCCACCTATAAAAGGCCGAGAAAAAATAAAATGTTAATAAAGAGTTGAGAGAAAATGGAAAACTTTCCTTGGCCTTCATAAACGAGAAAGAAACTTTATCTCGTGTTTGTGAACCACGGAGAAAAGTTTTCCTCCCATCATTTCTTCAAGATCATACTGAGGTTCCATCTGGTGAGCTGCAATAGAAGATAATATAACATAATCAAATCAAAATTTAGAAAAATTGATGCAGGTATTTTTATTTTTACACAAATTAATATTCAATATATTTTGAATGATTTTTCTAAGAGATGTAAAATAATCAAATATGATAAGTATTTAAAAACGGAGAAAATATATTTTATTTGAGATGGAGTATATTAATCATCAAAAATAGTGAATGAAGTTTGGTCACCGTTGGATGAAAATTTATGATGACGTTGATGTTCCCACAAGGAGAGGACCATATTCAATCGCAGATATACTTCATAAATGCTATTTCAAACTGGTTTTATCGTGTAGTTCTACAACTACTATAAAAAGGGTCCACTATCTAATCTATTGCGGGGTATCAATTTGCACTCACAATCAAATCCCTCATTGAGAGATGGAAAAAGCTTTTCAAACTTCCAATGTGACCCAAATTTGAATTTCTCCAACAAGATACTCAAATGTCTTCACAATCTGGACCCACTCTTAACATTCTTTCCAGATTCCTCTTATTGATCTATGTATAATATTAAATTAGAAGCACATGTACTTCCTGTGGGTATAACACAACCTAATCAACCATTACATCTCACTATGCCTGAGGTGTCGGCAAAGAACAAAAAAAAAAAAAAATTCCATTGTTAATCCTTCAGGCCACAGATAAAAAATAAAGAATCTGGTCAACAGGACAACTGAACAGCTTTGTGATACTAACTTGTTAACGAGCCTTGATTCATGAAAGAAATTATAGATTTAGTAAATGGAGCTTTTATAAACCTTATAATATTTTTCGAATTCATATTAGACTATGATTAGGAGTGTAAATGAGTCGAGCTGGCTCACGAGTTGTTTAAGTTTGGCTAGAAAAAAGTTCAGCACCAATCGATCTCGAGCTCAAATCAGCTCATTGGTAAAAGAGTTGAACTCGAATCTAATGATGTTCAACTTGAAAGCTCATCGAGATTTTATATATTTATTTTAAACTTATTCGAGTATCGAGTCTGAAGCCAAGGTCAAGCTTAAAATTTTTAAAGTTGAATTCGAGTGTCGAAGTCTAGTATGCCCTACAAATGCAAGCATTTTCTTTCCAAGAAGTACTAGAGAAATGAAATCTTTGGAAAAATCCAGTGAGTGGAATTTGTAATTCAGTGATTTGAGGGGAAACAAACCTATCATTTCACAATTAGCTGTAAACAGTTAACACTATTTAATACTATACAAGGTTTGACCTTGAGCAACTTGTCAAGATCTTACCCATCTGGTTTCTGTGTGTGCATAAGGTAATTCACAAAGAAGGAAGAAGCCAAAGATTAAAGAGAGATGAAGCAAATGACAGAAACCAAGACAAGAAAGCCATAGCAGCAGATAACTGGTATCTGTTGCATAATTTTGCAGGGCAATATGAAGCTCCAACATCAAGGAGAAGATCTGTAACACTTGCTGCTGAACTTGCAGCAGCTAATGATAGAAAGGACAAGACCTGAAATAGAATCAAAATTTAACAATATCAATAGACATTTTTTTCCTATCAAATGGTGAACTTTTGATGAAAGAAAATTTTACTGCCTACCCAATCTCCAATGATAATGGCTGACAGAATTCTTGGTTGATGAGGTAGACATTTAACAAAGACAGAATATACATCTACTACCACCAGAGTCAAGCTCCATGGAATTACCAAACCCATTACAGTCACCAAATAGCTGCATTAAACAAAAAAACATTACAAAATGACCACCAATTAGGAAAATCACAAAAATTGACTTACTAAATGCCTGTGCATACTAATTCAATCATTAATTGATAAGTGAAATGGTCAGAGATGAGAGAGTTGAGATTCTTTTTAAAAAGGATAATTTTGCAGTGATGGAGAGCACAAATTTGAGAAATCAATGATATTACTTAGATAGAAAAAAAAAAAAAAAAAGACTCCTAAATTCTTGTTGTTATTTTCATCTAAACCCAATTAGCTAAATTCTGCTATTCTTCAGAGAATCCATAAATTTCAAAGATTTTATCAGGCAGATGATTGATCAATAATTCTTTGAAAAACTAAAATGTCTGAAATTCACACGTTTCGAGGGCATTATCAGAAAGATAATGGATCAGCTTTAAAGTATCTATAAAGAAAACTGGCAGTTAGCTTCAAGAAAAAAATTACATGAAAAATTGTTACAAGTTTTTGGACCAAGAACACTAACAATAGTAAAACTTGCAGAATTTTTCAAGTTTAAAACACCTCAGCATTTAAATCAACTTCTCAAATGTCATTGGATAAAGCCACCATTAGAAGCACAATCATCAATCATCATATGTAAAACTAATCATACTATAATTAAAAAAGCCAATTTTTAAAAATAAGGCCTTTAAGCAACAAATGTGAAATGCACCGAATCAATTACTAATCCCTAATATTCCTAATTACTAAAGTTTATCACAATTGAAGTGAAATTTCAACAAGATAATTTGACCCCTCCACAGTTCTTCTCTCTCTTTAGCTGCCTTGCTTATAAACCAAGTATACTTTATAAAAGAGAATCCTATTTAGCAAACGTTAAGCATGTTCGCTTTCTTCAACAAAGAATATGTCGGTGACTTGAATAAAAATAATAAAATAATAAAACTTTGGCCGACCTTTATGTCAATGATCCTCATTAATTGATAAATAACCAATAATTGTGGAAACAAGAAATGAAAAACTTAGAACAAAGAACGAAACAGGTGATAGGCATGAGAATTGCAAATATTGAACTAAAATGAAAAAATAAAATATGGGTATTGCAGAATCGGAATTAATTAAAACTTATCAGTTAATGCAGAATCAGAAGAACCAAGAATTAATTAAGTACCAGAAAGCAGTATAGCTGTAGAAGTCAATGCCTAAACACATGAAGAGAAGGGACGCAGTAGAGAAAATGGATTGGCCCAATCTTAAAGCCAAGCTGGCGCTTGTACCCATTGCTCCAGGCACCTCTTCCATCTTCTACCTCTGCGTGTCTCCGTATCTTCATGTCAAATACTTCATTTTTCTTCTGCAACCTTTCTCATCAATCAATTTGAACAAAACAATAACAACTAAAGAAGAAAAAAGAAACCCAGATATATATTTTGTTTTGAAGGGGATTTATTAGTTGATAGAGAAAGAAGGTTGAGAGTGGAAAAGCCGCATGGAGAGTTTTCTATATATTCCTCTTGGGTTCTCTTGGACTCTTATGTTTCTTATATGTGATGTGGAATTTTCAATCGTCCATGACAGTAAATTAAATGGTAGTGGAGGTGGAATAGTGTTGGTGAATTTGCGGGGTCTCGTGTGAGCCAAGTGGCAGATACTGTTAAAGTTGTTTGCTGAGCTAGAGTTGGCTGGCAGCCGTATTGACTGCTAAAAGGGCAGTATGGAAGGAATGGATTTTGATGAACTATAAAAAATTATTAAATTAATATCCAATTTTAAAATTTAGATAAAAAATTAAGAAAAATAATAAATTATAAGTAGATCTCGAGTCTTTGCACAAATGTTTTTTCGAAAAGAAAAATGATAGTAGAGATAAAAGTAAAATTGGAAAAACAATAATTAATATTGCTTGATCTTAACAAAATTACTTTTAAAACGCTATAAATAAAGATAGACGGATGATTAATAAGTTGTATCATATGTGACTGGTTTGGTGTATAAGTGTATCGATGCATTAATTATTAATTTCTATAGAATTTAAATGAATTATTTAAGTTAATTTAAACTTCTAAGTGATATTAGTATTTATATATATCTACATATATGAATGCATGTATGAGCGTAAATGATTCGAGTTAAGCTCGAACCTGCCATGTTCAAATTTCAGTTCGATAAAATTTAACTCAGTTTGAAACTTAGTGAGTTTGAAAATTTTATATTTGAGCTCAACTTGAAATTTGAATTCAATTTGAAAAACTTTAACATCTAGTAAGATATTTAAAACATTATAATTGTAAAAAGAACTTTGAAATGAAATTTAGTGGCTGAAATTTTGGAATGTAAATTGACTAATTCATGCCAATTAAAAAAGGAAAAGAAATGGACTTATTATACTCTAATGTCACATTGCATTTGCTTCAAATAAACAAATTAGAAGTGGGGAATATTATATTTTGACCATTAAATTAAATCAATACTAAAGTAAGACCAACCTACTTTAATAATTCTTTTTTTTCTTTTTAATATTTAAACAATTTCAGGATATTTGGCTCCTTTAGTTAAAGAGAAGATATAATCACCTATCAAAGTGGTGGTCTGGTTAGTTTTCTCACTTATGCGAGGAGCGGGAGGTTTCGAATTTGAATCTTCTCAACCATAGTTATTTTCATCAATTTGGTGAGTGAAGGGGAAGGCTACCCCTCTTGTGTAACCCACAATGTCATTTTTCCTATAAAAACCTCCAATAAATTTAAAAAGAAGAGAGAATATAATCGCATCATTACTTATTGTCAATTTTTATTTTGATTAGCATTAAAATTATTTTATTAGATTATAAAATAGGTAAATAATATAGTATGATGCTCCAAAATTAAAAGGTCTTACTATCCAATCACATTAAAAAAGTAAAAACATGAGAGACATATGAAGTTTTTGATTTTTATGATGGATTTTTTTTTTTTTAATCTTTTTGTTTACTTTTAGGTAGCTAATTGTGTGATCATGGAAGAGGAAAAACCAATGATTTTGAACTATTTTCTCGTGATTCTTTTTGTGTATTCAATTGAAAAGGCACCTTCAAACCCACCACTTCAACATTTTTTTTTATTTTTAAATAGTGTAAGGATCACAATTTTCGAAATTTTTAATGAAATAATCCTTTTATTTTGTTAAAAAATTTTGAATTTTGTTTTGCATACCACTTTTAAAATTAGTTTTATATTATTAAATATAATAACTCATTTATAGGTTTAAATTAAATTATTGGACAAAATTAAATTAAATTATTAGCAAATACCCAAATTCTTAAATTCGAATCTAATCCAAGCCTGATAAAGATAATAAAATATTGTTTGAACCGGTCAAAATCGAATCAGATCAAGTGCTGTTGGTCAGATAAAATTATCATCTCTGGTTGTAACGATTACCCATCAGGCAGTACTCTCCCTTGGGCTTTTCCTCACTAACTGTTCCACTGCGAAAGCTCACATATCCAAAATGGACCAGAGCTGAATGATAATTCTTTGTTTGGGCTGGCTAATTCAATTCAAATACCAACGTTATGGATTTCAAAATCTATATGGATTGGCTACATTACAATAAAGATTAAATTAAGATCAATAATTCAACATCATCTTATGTTGATGTTAAAAATAATTATCAACTGTAAATACTTGCTTATAATACTAACATTATTTTTTATTACAGAAATTTTCCTTACTTGCTATTGTCTTTGACCATGTTAATACTGATTTTATTAGTCCTAGCTAATAATAATTTTCATTATAGTGCCCAGTATCACAAAGTTTAGGCATAATCCACCATGATCCCAAGCAGGAACTTGCAGTCTCCTACCCATAAATGGACTCTGTTACATACCACCATTGATGAAAACATGAATCTTGGTTTTCGAAGCATCATTACAAGCAGGTTAAATGAAATGATAATGATATACAAGACGATAATAGTGTCATTGAGCATCTCAATTCTCACATCAAGAGGGTGACAGAAAAAGTTTAGCAACACCACCTTAAACATTTAGCAAAATCTGAACCAAGTGAATATTAATAATTCATACAGAGAAAAGATAAGAAACATTAATCATAAATTGTCTATGACTCAAGCTGAGCATACCAAATACCCTGGATCTTCACATCCTTTGGTGTCTTTGCTCCCAAATCAGTATCAGATGGTTGAACACTCTCAAACACTCCAATAACCTCTCCTGTCTCAGGCTTACTCCCAGTAACACTTAGTGTAATTTTCCCAGTTGATGAGCCTACATTCTTATTATTCTCCTTTGCTAGCTCTTCCTCATCTCCTCTTCCTCCGGCCGGCAATGCAACCGCGTTATCATAACCAGTTGAGCCACCTCTGCCCTTTGGGTCCAAGAAAGATGAACCACGGTAAGATGGTACAAGAAACTGTCCACTGAAGCTTTCTGGTTTTCCACTTGCTACTAACTGTTTGATGGTAAAAAGGAAAGGGACGCGTTCGCCACCAGGCAATTGTACAGTCACAGCAGCATAGTCAATGCCATCTTTCTCTTCAAACTTAACAGTGCCGTCTGGGGCTACTTCGAAAGGTCCTTCAATCTCATCAAGTGTGTAGGTTAAGCGAGTCATTAGTTTAGTGTTTTGGAATTCTGGTGGAGCATTTTTGCTTACTCCTTCTGCTTTGACAGTGAAAGATGTTGGTTCTAAACAGAACTTCTTGGCATTGTATTTGCCTGGTTTGATCGCAAATTTGTCTACCCCACCTTCAATTGTTGGGCATTGGTTAGCAGTTCCAGTTCCTTTTACTTCCATGTATGTCTTGCTTTGGATTTCATCAAAGGTTAGCCTTTTTGGCACTCCTTCTGCACTCGCTCCCTGAAAAACAAGTCTTAATTGAACATAAACTTTTTTTTTTATTATGTTAATTACTAATCAATCTTGTGCTTGTTAATCAATGATCAGACCACATAATAATCTATGCAATTACTAGTTAATCTTGTTCTTGTTCTTGGTAATTACTAGTTAAAAAGAGTACTCACAACAAATAATAATCTATACTAACAATATATGTATCGTCAAAGCTGCATATACATAAAAAGGACATAATTAACAGGAAAATTAACAAAACACATACCGAAACGACAAGAGCAGAGGTAGCAAGAGCAAATCCAGCAATCTTAGTAGCATCAACACACTTTTGAGCCAAATCCTTAAGATCAGATTGCAAAGAGCAACTGATTCTAGCAGTAGAAGGCTCCAACCCAAAAGCCTTAGAAACATTTTGTGAAGATCTCAATTGAAGGCTGATCCTAGAAGGCACACCCACTTTGGTGGGTTGCATTAGAGTAGCAGCTGCTTGCAGTGAGGCTGCCATAGTTGTTTTCTTCTTTTTCACTTGGTCCTCGTTTGAGTTGTGGAATGTATTAAAAGTGAGTGCATGAGAAGAGAGGAAGTGTTTTTGTGGCAATAAGTTGGTATATTGGTGGCTTTGGTGTGAGGAAGATAAGGGATAGGATAAGGTTTTCTCCTATTGGTTGATTCAAGCTAATGACAATGGTTATGGAGATTGCCACGTGGAAGTTTTTCATTTAGGATATAGATACTGCTCTCTCAGTCAGCTCAGATTGGATGATGTTAGTGTACTATTTTCCTATTCCTGTCTGCCCCACTGTAGCTAGATGGTAGTTTATATTATTTTTTTTATGAGAAACAAAATACAAAACAGAAGTAGGGCTTGATTACCGATTATTATGGCCAAAAAAAACTTTTTTTTTTTTTTTTGGTATATTTCATTTGATTACTGATTAAAATCATTTTGCCATTTTCTGACTTTATATTTTAATACTAAATAGTAATTAATTTATAAAAATAAGAAAAAAAGATAATTGGCCCATGCAGGTCTCGAACCTGCGACCTTCGCGTTATTAGCACGACGCTCTAACCAACTGAGCTAATAGGCCACAATGTTTGAATTTTCCTGTTTATAATAATTAAATATATATTTTAAATGGTGAATTAAAACAATCACTTATTTTGCCTTTATTAACACATTAGCCTTCTTATATCAAACTAATTCTTATAGTTTTCTTTTTCCCACGTAGTCTAATTAAACTCAAATACATCTTTGTTGTATAATTAAGATAATTTTAAAAAAAATTTGAACGAATTCAAGCTTTGCTTTTGTTTAGAAAAATAAAAATTTGATGCATTTTAAAAATAACTATTTAAAATAGAGTCAACCATCATTATTAGTTCTCATTAAATAAGTTTTTATAAAAATTTTCAGGGATGGAGCTAAATTTAATAATATCACATAAATTATATGGCACTCAATGGAACTTAGGCCTCTTTGCCTTTGATTCAAATCGAACAATTCTCTGGGAAATTAATGTAATTGTGTTCGACTGATACATTAAGCAGTTCTCAAGTAAAACTCAATTAATGAAATATAAGATCATAAATGATAAAAATACCCTTCTAAGTTCAATTTAATAAGACACATTTTCTACTGTCCACTGCCTTGTAATCAACATAATTTTTTTATTCCATTCTATACAAAATATTATACAATTTTATTTTCTGGGTTAATGTTATAATATTTATATTGAGTATGTTTTGATTGGCACAAAGTATGCATGTTTGGTTAAATACTATTTTGTACTTATTTGAGAAAATTAACTAAATGTTTTGCAAGAATTATTAATTAAGCTAAATATGAGAACTAATAGTAATTTAGTTATAAAAAAAATATAATTGTTAAAATTATTCTTTTTTAAAATTAAATTATTACTATAAATACTAATTCATTCTGGAGTGTCCATTATTGGTCCAAACCTATCAAGACTTGCAAATTATACTATTTTTGTTTTTTTTTTTTTTTAACATTTCTTAAAAAAATTTTAATATTTAGTTCAAACCTTAAATTATAAAGAATCAAGAGAGCAGCTCAAAAGTGCTTGAAGGAAGATCACAGGTTTACCCTCAATTCACTACAAAGTAGAGAGTTAGATCACTTTATCATCATTGCTGCGTGAGTTACCATTCCAACACAACTTTATTTTATTAATATAAATCTTTTTTACAAGAAAAATTATTCTGAGTAATTAAAAGCGGGATTCAGAATGAGTAGGAGGTGTTGAATCATCACATAAACTATAAGAAATAGAATATCAATCATCACAATCCCGCTTAAAGAAAAGCAATTATAAATATATAAAATACTTTTTTCTCAAAAAAAAAAAAAAGGATCTAAGAAAAAAAAAATCATAAATCGAAATAGCAATTAAAGGATTTCTCTCAGACAAATGCCTCGATTTGTCGTCACGATTGAAAGAATGGAATTGATCGGACTCGTCATCTTTTTTTCTTCATCATCGAGAAACCAAAACTCAAATAACTATTTGACGCACATTCAAGAAAAAGGAATTAAAAGAATAAACGGGGAAGGAAAACGAAAACGAAAAGCGAAATCAAATAGGAACTGAAAACGCAATTAACACATATAGATAGATGATGCGGAATGAAGCAAAGAGACGGGAGAATGTATTGTTGAAGACGAGGCCTTGCGTTGCCTTTTATAGGTGAAAGGTTGCTAGAGCTAGGGCTTCGTTTTATTCGATTCCGTTTGTCAAATTACTCATATGCCCTCATTTAACCTAATTTACCTTAGCTAAGGATTGTTGGAATAATTTGGGCTTGTTGCAGTCGATTTAACTCAATGGGCCCAGAACCATTGGGCTTCGAATTAAAAACGAAAAAAAAAAAAAAAATGGTTCACTTTTAATCAGCAATAATCACTTAAAATCTCATAAACATACATGAAATAAACGAGAGTATCAGTGTTTTTTATTAGAAAACAAGATAGACAAAAAAATTAATAGATACTGATGAATTTCTGAAATAACAGTTAACTATTAGCTTGGTGTATGAGTGATTCTTCTATCTGTACACTAAATGTATGCAAGTAATTTCCTTAATAAGAAGAAATTATATGCATTTTATAAAAGATTATTTGTAAATTAGATGAGTAACAAGATAATATGTTTTGGGGCTAAACATATTTATCAGTCTAATAGTAATTTAATGGGCTGAAATTTCTAAGGCTACAAACCTCAAAATCAACTCCAATTAAGCAAAATGTTAATTTATCACATGGTTTAGATACAATTGTGTTCTACATAATGTATCAGTCTATGGCATGCTATATTTGGAAAAAGGAATCACCTGATATATATACTGGATATAAATGGCTTCAAATAAAAAAATGCTTGATCCATTCAAAATAATTAATCATAGTTATCATTGACAATAATGGATCAGAGTTCTCACATCTTGGACATAAACAACAAATAAATTTAGACACAATACATGAAATGATTGATCAAGTCTGATAGCAACAGTTCAGTAATCCAATCCAAAAGTCTTATCACCATTATTGCTTAGATGAAGTGAAGCACCAGTGCCCACACTGGGTAAACTATGAGCAGAATAATACCAATGGTATTTGATATTCCATGAGACTGTGTAAAGGAGTTTCTGAATCCGCCAGATGCCCGGATGTGCTCTTGCAGTAGGTAACAACCGATTAAGAGGCATATGACAACACCAACCCAGTGGTCTTTCAATGTGTGTGCAAAGAAGTTAGGAGCCACAACCAGAAGCAGAATCAATGATCCTGGCATCTCCAGCCAATCTGCCATTGTTAATAACCGCAAAGTCGGATCAAGAACACTAAAGAGGTGACAGAATTGTTCTCCGAATTTAAATGAGGTTAAAGTTAGTGCGTGTGCATGTAAAGGGAGAGAGTGAGAGTGGCTGGCCGTGTCGGCAAGCAAGCTGCTATAGCAAGTTTTGATTTGATTGTTGCGGTTTACTAATATCAATTGTAAGTGAAAAAGAAATGCATGCATATAGCTAAATGGAATGGTGAAAGGTTAACTAACTAATTCTCAGATAATACTAATTAGCAACAGTGGTAACCTGGAATTTCAACTCTGAATTATCCCAATAAGTTGGAAAATTATGGTTCTTAATAGTCAAAAGTGGAGGAAGAAGCACAAAGAAAGGCAATTGGAGATAGCATTCCCACATAAAACCGAAAAAGAAAATCAACAGGTGCACTGAAATGGAAATTAACTATACCAGGGAAGTGTCTAGGAAAGAAAAGCCGAAGCACCACTGCAATAAATGCTATCCATTTCCCCACCTCACCTCTGAAACATAAGAATGTATCAAGAAAAAAAGTTGAGCAGAAGATAAATGAAAAATGAAAGATATACACAAGCTTAATTGCCGATGGTCATATCACCTCAGGAAGTTGAATATTACTGAAGGAAGACTAAAGAAAATATAGGGGACTAAAAGCGAAGTCAGCATGTTAGTCCTCCAATTTGTCCGATCCAATATCAGCAAATATCTGCATTGAACATTGAAAATATCATTGAATTGCAAAATACATTCCTTAAAGGAACATAAAATGATATCTGGATTAATATAATCAATTCGAAAGTAAGCCAATGGTTTGCTTGCTAAATTTTGGACCAAGAATCCAAGATCAATGTCAGAATCGAAGGCAAGAACAGATGCAACTAAGTAGAAACTAAATTTAAACCACCTAGAATGAAACATAGTCCTTTACTTCTTTTGTTTGTTTCATTGAATCTCACAATTCAAGAAAGAATAAGAGATTAAAGGATATAGGAATAATTCTTTTCTTCTTTTCATTTCTTAAATTCTAAAGCATTAGATTTTGGCATTTTCTAACATTACAAGCAAGAAAACTGCAATATGTATGGTCATATATATTGCAACAATTATATATCATCCTATACAGGACTCAGCAAATCAAAGAAACTAGCATTTTTTTTTTTTTATCAGCAAAGTGCTGTCTGTGAAAGATAATCCATTTAATGAATATATCAACATATTGCATTGGATTTTAATTGTTTAACAAAAAAACTAAACTGAGACAAAAACGATTCTTTCTCTGGAAAAGGAAGATATGAAGAGCACGCTTTCCTTCCTTTTACTGTTTCCCTTTTAACAACAGCATGACAAATCGTAAAAAAGAGCTAATTTCACACATTTACACAATATACTCTCAAGTCATAATAAACCCAGGCCAGAACAAAAGAAAAGAGAAAAGCCCAAAAAGAATAAGGAGAAAAGAAAGAAAAAAACTCACATGGCAGCAAAAGAAGCGACCCATTTGAGAAAAGAAGTGCCGAAACCAAGGCCACCAAGTCTAGTAGCATCATTGATGAGTCGTTTTGCAGCAATTTTGAGCTCATTGATATCAGACTGGATCAAATCATCAGCTTTTACATCATCAGTACTCATTTTCAAGTAATCCATTCTCCCCATTTTTGCTCTTTCACTTTCTCCCTCTTTTTTCTCAGATCTAAAACACAAAAGTCCCGGTATTAATAGCGAAAGAGTTCTAATCACACGAAGACACTCGAAGAAAACTACCTTTTGAAGCAACTCCGTTTGGATGGATCTGTACTGTACTAACGGATGAGGATGATGACTACGTCACCGTTTCGAGTGCAAGGTGAGACCTTAATTTTAGTTATTATTAATAATAAATCAAAGAATTGATAACGGTAATGGAAGGAAGGATACATGATATTGATAAGAGTGAAGCTTCGGATCCCTTTTTCCTCCTCCTTCTTAACTGTTTTTTAGACCGTTGACTGTTTAGATCACCCGCGTTAAAAATTGAACTGTAAATGAGTCTAACTCGAGCTCAAAACATAAGGCTTGTTGTTGCCTACAGAAACTTATACTGTAGGCCCATCAATGAGCCCAACGTCAAGGCCACCTTCTCAGTTCAATTTTTTGTGTATACACAGGGGTGCGCCAAGTGGCATAATTCAAATCAAATCGAAAAACGAAGCCAACAAGTTAATTATTTTAATTCAACTAATTTGATTTTAAAATTATTTGATTTAAAAGCGTTACGTATTGTATCATGAGGCCAGAGTGTTTGTGTTATTGTCGCGTAGGCTTACTTTAACCGCATAACAAACTAAATTCCAAAAGTTCAAAGGAAAGCAGGGATCAATTCTGATGTTAAACTGCGGATGGATGACTATGAAACGATAAAAATCTCTTTTTTTATAATTAAATATTTGAACTTTAGTTCCGAGCATATAGTTTGTGTAAATATTTAAAATGAAATGCTTTATCATTTATGAATTATGCAGTGCAAATTTAAATTAATTGCACAAATAGATTTTTTAATACGAGATAATTAAAATAAAAAAAATATCTGATTAGTCTGAAATTGGCATCCTAACCCAGACCAATAGCATTTTCTAATTTAAAAGGCCAGGTGTGCCGTTCGGTTGATTTAGAATCAAACCAAATCGTAAGATTAAAAAAATTAAATTATAATTTTTTAAAAATCAAATAAACGTGATTCGATTATATAATTAAATTTGAGAATAAAAAATAAAAGGAATCAAACTAAATCAAATAAACTAAAAAATCAAATCAAATCCTTGGACGGACCAGGAGTGAGTTCGTCGTATTCATATTGCACAAACTTTATACAGAGAAAGGGGCTGTAATTAATCTCCCACTGCCACTTGCTTTCTGGAACAGCATTTCCTCAAAAGTCGTGTAAATTTGGCCAATCAAACAATATAATTTCGGTCAGAAAAAATAAAGACTTGGAAATTTTATTTTTCCTTCCTTTTTCAGATCATACGTGGCAGCCACTTACATGGACATAACAAATCATGGACACCCGTCTACACAGTGTAAGTTGGTCAACTCACACGAGACAACGGAATATTTTAATTAATTAACGACAAAGCTGTGTTCACGTACGGGAGAGCCTATTGTTGGTGGTGATGGTGCCTTCCTTTGCTTGCATTTACTACCGCCTGTTCATGAGAATTACACACCTGAGTCTTGAATTTGCACCCCAACTTTTTCGTAAGTGACCCTCTCCATCCACGTGGACCATCCTTATCAATCTTATCGATCACTTTCTTCATTGTAGAACACTCTCTTTCCAGCTGATGCACCCGCGTCCTCATGCTATCCATATCTAGTCGTAGCACCTGATTCTCCCTCACTGCTGCCCTCCAGGTAGTACTCTCCCGTGCCTCCGCCGCCGCCGTCGCTGCAGCTCCCTCCTCTACATCTTCCTGTTCTCTTCTTATCAGCGATAGTCTAGCAGTTTCCTGCGGCGCCGTCTCCGTCGCTATTAATGTTCCGGCGATTGCGTGGCGGAGTTGTAACTGCTCGAAAAATAAAACTTGAACCACCGCCCGCAGTGGAAGCCGCTCGTTCTGTGCTGCGTGTGTGCAAGCCTCTAATGTCAGCTTTTGGCAATCCATTACTGCACAAATCTTTTCCCGCTCTGCTTCTGATATCCATGGATGAGCCTTGAGAGGAAAAATGCAGACTATACAGTTAAAATTATTATTAATTTAAGGAGCATAAAAGTTAACAAAATCTATATGGTGTTAATAGTTACCTTGAGATAAACGTCGACGGCTCTGTAAAGGCCGTCGTCGAAAAGCCTAGCTTGCTCTGGTAAAGAGATTGCCAGATTGTAGAATCTATCAGGTTTCAGATTGGCATCGGAGGCAATCTCAGCAAGATAACCGTCGATTAGTTTTCCGACGAGCATCAATGCCGGTGATCTCACATTGCGATCACCTTCCTCCTCCTCTGCTTCAACTCCGGCTGCATTTCTCTCTTCGAGTCCATCCAAAAAATAGCCTAGAATTCTCTCCAAGCAATCAACATCGTACAAAGTCTCGTTAAGATATGAATAACTAGGAATTAGTAGATCGTCCAGTGTAGCTTGCTCCAATTGTGATCCGATCTTCTTTTCCAACGCGGAACGACACGATTCTGACGCATTTAATATGTTTGCTGTTCTAAATAAGCCGAATAGAAACCTTGTCGCCGTTGAAGATCTGGAGCTCTTCTCTAATGGAAGATTTGAAATTATAGTCTCTAAAACTTCTCTATGTTCGCTCTCTGAAGCTATAGAGGAAGACGAAGATGGCTTCCGGTTCAATGTACATACGCCTGGAATATACTTCTTAGCATATAACATTAAACAACTCTCTATAATCTGTGGACTCAGATCTCGCGCTCTCATGGCGAGAATCAATCGCTTAAACAAAGGCAAACTTAAAAGCCCCAAATATTCAAACCATGAGGCCACATTAGCAAATCTACCACCAAAGGCGGCGGCTGTAGAAGCGGTGGCGGCTCCCTTTCTTCGCACGGCAGATTCAATCCCATTCCATAAAGCTTGATTGGATATGGGTTTATTCTCATTGGTTCCATCACTAACCGGCCAGCCAAACAGAGCCGGGTCGGCGGAGGAAGCCCTGGAAGCAATGGAATCAATGCAACGTTGAGTAATGCCTAGGCTCTCTGCAAGAGGCATAACTTTCTCACACGATTTTAACGCCTTTATCGACTCCTTGAGACTCTTGAGTACAGATTGAGAGAGAAACCGCTCTGTTTTAGAAACAAGATTGTCTTCTGAATATTCTTCCGTCATTTCAAGAAACTCTCCAGCGCAACGAAGTGGCGCGACGGTGGAAGAGGTGAGATCGACTTTAACGCCGTAGCAGAACTTGGCAGCCATCTCGAAAGTCTGCGAGCCGCCCGGAAAATCTGGAAGCGTAATCTGACAATGGATTTCCTCGATTTCGTCTTCAGGTTCTTTCTCTTCTCCTTCTCTTCCTGCAGTAGATGTTTCGTTTGTTTCTTGCTCTGTTATCAGTTGGTGAAGCTTTCGACTTTTAGACATCAAAGGAAACTGAACCAAGACATAACCAACAAAAATCAGGAAATATAGATGACTTATATTAGGTCATAGTATAGTCTTACAATCTACATAGATTTTCTGGGTATTATTAGGCTGACCTTGTGAAGATGAAAGGCCATATCTTCCACTTCTATAACAATATCACTTGGCAATCCAGTAGTGCAAAACCTGCAAGAAAACTTGAATTAATATCACCCGATGTTTTGTTGATTTTCCTTTAAAAGAAAAGGGAAATTAAAGATAGCTCTAACCATGCTTGACTCTTGGTGATGGTCTTCTCAGCTGCCATTTTTATCTTCTAAAAAGGAAAATCTATTCCTGTTTAGATGCCTTATGCAGACTAAGCTAGATCCATGAGTAGGAAGACAGTGGAGTCTTGAAAGAAAGCAAGAAAGCAAAATGTTTTTGCTTCTTTTTTGAGTCACAGTGTTTATTGAGGAAGAAAGAGTGAGTTTGGGTATCCAAATATAAACTCAGAACGGACAAAACAAATGAAAAAGCTTTAGCAGATTTCGAAAAAGTAGATCAATAATTTATTTATATCATTTCTTTACTAAAATTTCCCTTGCCTTTCTTTGAATCGGATCAGAATCCCAACCACTCCACAACTCAAACCTCTCTTCTGTATCTTTATACAGAAGAAAGAAAGTCTTTCTGGAAGAATTCTTTTTCCTTCCTTCCTAAAAAGGCCATCATTACATTTACCTCCCACTAGCAATAAACACATTGCTTGCTTGCTTTTTGCGTAAATTGTGGAATAATTTAATGTGATTTACCCTGTCAAGGACTTGTTTAAGCAATTACGCATGGCTCAATCAATCCAAATATCCAATTATCCAAGTCCAAGGTCATAGAGATTAATGATATGTAAATTACCTACCTTTATAGATTAATAATCAAAAAGAAGTGGGTGGGACATGCAAACATAATGAGTCTTAATCAGAGATTTCAACTTAGGCCTTGACGCTTGTCTTGTAATTAACAATCTCACAATCATAATCTTTAGTTGGAAGATACATCACAGCTAAAGCGACAAAAAGATAATGATGATTAGATCTTAATGATTTCTTCTTATTTTGGAAGCTAATAGTAATTTCTATTATATGTATGAAAGTCCAAATGGCAAGAATACAGAACTCTTAGCTGGTGCACTAATTTAGTTGGTGACAACACTATAATATTGATTATGCATGAAAGAGAGAAAATGAAGCAATTCTTTAAAGAGAGGGAGAAATTTTCAAACTTTGTAAAATTCCCATAGGATTCATCTAAAAATTTTACATGGAAATTAATGGTCACATGGAGATATGACCCACATAAAAAGAAAACCTTACAATTTCAAAATGGCTGATTTTTTTGAAATTCATTTCTCTTTACAAATGAATTCCCATTTCCTCCCTTGAAACTTAGGTCTGAAAACGAACAAAAAAATTAGAACAAGAAATGGGTTACAGTCTCATTTATAGCAGCATATCTACCATCCTACCTTCCTTCAAAACATTTATGGCCATATTAATTAGGTGACAGGAATAGCATGTGATCATCCATGAAACAGCTTAGAATGTTTGCATAATTTTGATAATGAAACATGAAATTATGAATAGAACCAGTAAATCGTACGGATAATTATCTAATTATTAAACTAAAAATTTTGATAATAAAGAATGGTTATGGTGATGTCAGAAATAGTGGCTATGGATTTTTAAAAGGAAAAAGAAACTCACCCCACAGCCCACCACTTGCATAGAACTGAATCTTCTGTTATAATAGTTGATTGTGAATGAAAGTTTCAAAGAGAGGGAGATGATTACTGTGAGTGGACTAATGGAGCCCTTTTATTTCTACATTTCACGTGGTTTGGTGACTAATCATTAGACAAAATGCACAAAAACAAGCAATTGCATAGTTCAGTAGGACACACACAGCAATTTTGTGGTATGTGAATGGCTTATGCCACTCTTAAATGAAAAGGACAACAAAAGCAGAACAATAAAGATCCAAAATTTATCAAAGGTCAGACCATATTTTTGCTTATAGAATGCTAAAATGTGGGTCACATTGTCTTGAATACATGAAACTATGGGTACTCCCTACCACTTCAGAGATTTTAGGGCACCATTTTCATCTTCCTAGAATCTCTCATTTTTAAGTTTCAATTTTAAATAACTTTCACTTCTCTCTCACCAAATTCCTACTGTTATAGCAAACAATAGCCAAGTAGGTTAGAAAATGGAATGCACAAAGACCATAACAAATCATCCAAAAAAAAAACCAAAACCCAAGAGACTAGTGCGTTAATCTGAAGCATTATGGCACCCTGCACAAGATAACAGGAGTTTGATTCTTTTATTAATTAAACCACACACTTATCTGTTCGTGAGCAAATAGAGCTTATTTAAAAATATAGGAACATGATAATTGGTCAATAAAACATTGACCCATTACATTATTTCTAATAACATCTCGCTGAGATATAGCCAAGCTTAGACAAATTTATTCTTGCAAGGGAAGGTTATATTTAGCCCCATCATCATCACTCTTACACCACTTCCTGTCGACCAACATCTTGAGATGTTTCAATACCTGCACGTACTTTTATGACGTAAGATTATTACATTAGATTAGCTTAATAAACATATGAGGAAGAATATATTCCAATTCTAAAATATAGCGTTGAAAGGTTGAACTGTTGAGTGTTAATATAGTTATTAAATGTTTGGAACAAAGAAATATCCAAGTTATTTAAATAATCATCTGAGTAACCTTAATTTTGCAGATAAATATACCTGCTGTGGTGGTTGTAGGTGAAGCTACTGACGGTTGCGGAGCAATAGCTTCCTCTGCACGAGTTGGGATGCGAACACCCGGCCATGATCGGCACATGCAGTGCTTTCCCTCCTCTATGCTACCATAGAGAGCGGCAAGATGCTTGCCACACCCGGCCCATGAATACTTCCCACATTTCTGGCAATCCACTCTAAAACACATGGTTTTGTTCACTATATATGTTACTAGAGATTTGTGTTTTGGTTAAATATGTTCTTTACTTCCCTTCTCCAGCCCCAGTTTATATTACCAATTTACCACTTCGATATCATCAAATTGCCTCGACATAATCGTTACAATAATACATATAAACAAACTTAGAGGCATGATACCTCGGAATCTAATGGCAACTATTTTACTAAGCTGCCGAATGAATATTTAAATAAACGAACACAATTTTTCAGGTGCGAACGAAGTAAAATAATACCCAAACCAGAAGGGATAGAAAATTTGCCAAAGATCAATGAATAAGATACCTTTAGTCATGAGTTGTTCAAGGACAAGATGAAATCAAACCGTTAATCATTGTCGGACTTACAATTAGGGTTTAGTATAAAAAACAAATGACTACCAAGTTTTCTTCTATAGTTTTGTCTTTGTTATTCCTTAGTACCTCGACGTATGGTGATATTTTTTAGACAATAAGTTGTTATCATTGTTGGTGCCCTCACTATCATTGCAACACCAACTGGTTGCTTTCTTACATTTGTGGTCCTGCTCATAATTCAGTTTCTCACATGATCAGTTACTTTCAGCTGCATTCCCTGCTCAATCATACGCTTTATCGAAATTTTCACTTTTCAAGTTCAAAAGATGTGTCTTAATGCAATATAATCCATCCACTCATCACGCCAATCACCATGACTTTGCTTCCATGTCCAACCTAACATGATCTAGTTTATTTGACACAGTTCTGGACCACCTATATCCTTTGTAATAAGGACATTAAAACATGTATAGCACTAGCACACACCTCAAGAATCCATGTAATACAGCAATTGGTTTCCTAAAATCATGACAGGTAGCCAACAATACCAAAGATAAGTATCATCTATAATCTATCATCACTAATTCTGCTAGACTAGAACTCAGCAAGAAACCAAACAAAACAAGCTTAAGTATATACAGGCATTCAGCACACAAAAGGTTTCAGATGCAGCACTATGGCTTAAAAAGGTTGTTTTCTCCAAGATTAACAAGTGAAGTGACAAGTTCAGAACAACTGAAATCTTTGCAAAGATGTTACAAGAGGCTGTAGAAATATTGTTTTCCAACTCATGTTGCAGAATGCATAATAGACATAAGTACTAGAACTTCCATCATACAACAGAATCCTGGACCAGGCACAAGTCCAAGTCACAGCCAATAAAGCAGCTTATAAAGATTCCCTGTGTCAATATTTTGATGGCAGAATACAAGACTGGAACTTACTGGTTTGGACTACACATGCCAAAGGATGGACCTTTAGATGGGAATGATTAATTTGAATTGCCATCTTTATCTGCTGAAGAATCCAATTCAGTTTTCTTCATTGGGCTTGATTCAGCTGAGCCTGTATTCATCAACACTCGCTTAACTCCTCTTCCCACAACACCAAGATGAGTGACTGCAGCCCCATTCGTGTGGGCAGTGGAAACAGTTGGAGAGTCAAAGCCTCCATTGCTGTTAGCAGTAGCCATCTGTGAAGAATTCACAACAGCTGGAGCAGCACTATCCTCTCCACCTTTTGCCTTGGCAGATACCATTCCCAGGATTTCAGAAAGAATTGATTTTGGGTTTAAGGCCAGCTGTTGAAGATCTTCGAGCTGCAAATCCAGAGATTTACATTAAACCCAAGATACTCAAATGAATTTTTCTAATATCTAACAGTGAGAGCATGAGACAAAGATGACCTTCTTTTCTAGCTCTCCAGACAAGCCAGTAAGTGTCTCAATCTCTGATTCTTTATCCGTCACAGATTTATCACTCTGCAAGGTATTGGATGACTGTTGGACACCTTCATCTAATTCAGAAACTGCAGATGATATTGCAGATTCGGAGGAACTCTTTACTTCATTTGTGAGCCGCTGTAGCCTGGACTTGCAAATTGATATAGCTTTCTGGCAATATGCTATTGCTTCCTGAGGCCTAGATCCAATCTCCAAGCACAAACATATGCGAAAATTTCTGAAATACAGTTAAGGATCTGACAAAGAAAAATGCTGAAGAAACATAAAAGATTTAGGATAATTGATTAAGAAAAGATACAAATTGAAGTATTTAGAACTGATTGAATAGATATTTCATTAGCAATAGATGATTCTTAATCATCCCAAATTGAGGAGTGTTCCAACCTTAACAAGGATACAGTTCTGCTAAATGTCTACTGTCTGGTTCAACAAGTCGTTCTAAAATGGATAGGGCTTTCTGGTAATCGCTGAGAGATGTTTCAATATCCTCTACATGAAGCATGACAAGAAGTACAAACCATATTTAAGACAAACAAGAGGCTTACAGAACCAAGCAGCATATTTTGTCCCAACATTTCAAGTTTCAGCTCAAATAGAGTAATTTATTTAAAATACCCTGAACTTTGCGGTTGGTATCAACTGTACCCTAAAATGACCTTAACCCCCTGGACACCCCAATTATAAATTTTTGTAATAATTCTACCCTAATTTTAAATTCTGATCTAAAAAATGAATAAACAATATAAAGCTGGGGCCCACTCCTGACATATGGGTTAATTTGTAACCCAACTTTGTTGAAGCCATTAAACGAACCGTTTAGCCAAGAGAAAACAACTCCAACCCTGTTCTTTCTCAGTAAGGATGGCTTGAAGATCTAGCTATAATCCCAAAATCCCTAACCTTAAACAACTTACCCAGACTTCAATTTTTCAATTCTGATCTAGTTTGGTCCTTGTTCTGTTTCATTCGAGTACCATGGAAATAATTATATTTTTAGTCAATCAAGCTGCTGTAGAGGGCCGAGGAAGATCTAATGATCTTGAAAGAGGGATGATTACAAGTAACACTTATGAAGCATCAAATTCAAGTGGCATCAAGTTTAACATCTAATGATTTCATTTTCATCTTAATTGTTTTTCTTTCTTCGCACATTTGTTACTTAATATTCTAATATACTTCATTTTAGATTTTGTAATTTTGAGATGGTAAAGGTTATGGTTGTGGATTTTAATGCTATGACCTGGATATCCATGCTCCTTCCCACCTTTTCATCACTTTCTTGTTTGGAATTGGCTCTTTTCCCCTTTTACATGCATGGGAAATCAAATTACTTTCCTATGTTTATTGTTGATAACACTTTCTCTGTGTTTGTAATGGTGTTCAGCCTTATGTTCTCACAGCAATTTCTGTATAATGTATGAAACAGTACAATTCTAGTTTTCATAGAATTTGCAGCTGATGGAAAACATAATATATTTGTATTGCCAAAAATCAATTGTTTTTACAATTTGCAGGTAGATGTAAGTATAGTGTTTAGGGTTATGGATTTTGGGATTATAGATCTTCACGCAATCCGTACCGAGAAAGAACAAGGCCGGAGTTGTTTTCTCTTGGCTAGATGGTGCATTTAATGGCTTCACCAAAGTTGGGTTGCAAACTAACCCATGTGTCAGGAGTGGGTCCTAGCTTTATATTGTTTATTCATTTTTCTGACCTGATTTAAAATTAGGATACAATTATTACAAAAGTTTGTAATTGAGGTGTCCAGGGAGTTAAGGTCGTTTTAGGGTGCAATTAATACAAACCGCAAAATTCAGGATATTTTAAATGAATTACTAGCTCAAATACCTCTTTCCAAAGCAACTTCCGCCAATGCTGATAGCACATCCACTTTGTCCATCGTGTCGCCTGAGTGTTTTTCAGCAATTGCCCTGGCAACATCTAGCATTTTCCATGCCAAGTCAAGGTCAGACTCATCCTCGTCAGCTTCTGCTATGTCTTCATCTTCACTATCCTCATCACCTTCTTCCTGATCTTTTCCACCAGAAGCTATAACAAAATAAAAAAGTAATAACAGGAAACAGTGAGAAATAGTATATTCTCGACAATAATACTGGTCATTTTCCACCATTTCAGGGCACATAAATGCTGGTTTCTCCACTCTCCATCTCTTTTCAATACATTTTTCCTGATCCTGATTGTAATTGTACTTTAAAATGATCATATGCATACTGTGTAAAGGGGAAAAGTGAAACGAGGGAGCTAAAAATGATTTGATTCCATAACTCATTACTTTTGTAACAAATCAAGTAGCCAAACCCATATAACAGTCTTGCAATTACATATAAATCTGAAACTTAAACCATAATTTACTGTGGTGAGTCTTCTTGGTCTATGGGAACAAGGGGCACAACCATGTCATTGAATGGTGGAAATGTAAAAACAAATATCAATATCTTCTCCCAATTATGATCCAATATCACCATCCTCTATCCTGATTGCTGTTAACCTTTTAACAATCACATGCATTTAAGTAACAAAAATAGCTGAAGGTCATGCAAAAAGAATTTAAAATACTATCATTGTATACACAGAGAGTGAGGAAGCCCCAAAAATCTAGATACTTTAATCCATTTAACTACTGTATATGTATGTGTGTGTGTGTGTGTGTGTGTGTGTATAAGCATATGATGCTGATAAACTTCAACAAGCATGGAAGCATGTTAATCACCACCATGAGCACAAGTGAAAAAGGTCCTTTGCCAACTTTATATATGAACTTCCAATACAGTAACACACACATACTATGATAGCAAAATACTAACCATCATTTGTTGCTCCTTGATGATTGGCATCAGTCCTGTCCTCATCAGCACTACTCGAAACAGAAGCAATCGAGGATTCTCCATTTATTGCACTTTTAACAGATCCATCTCTATCAGAGTCTTGTTTAGATTCATCATCCTTCTTGGGTACTGTAGCTAATGGATCAGCCTCCTCTTGAGCTTTGTACAAAAGTACACGTCCATATTGGTAGTATGCGTTCAGACATTCAAAGGCAAGTTCACCATAGTGTGCAACCCTATAATTACGAGGATTAACAAAGTATTCATAAGAGAGAGTCTCAAAGCACCCTCAAATCTTAAATTATCTAGTGAGAGATGCACAATAGATTAGAATAGCAGAGCAATTTTTGTAATGCCTATTCTTTCAGTACAAAATGGACATTCTAAAAACTCTATTACTAAACTATTTCTCTCTCTTGTAACTAAAGAATATCAAAATAACAGCTCCAAACTAGTAACCATAGACATCACAGCAGGCAAGCATGGCATGTTCTGAATGACAGTATAGGAAAACTCCTTATGGTAATTGCAAGCAATAAATTATCAAAAGTAGGCAAAGCTAGTACAAAAATAAAGAAGTGTCACTGGAAAACGAAACCCAAAATCATGCCATTTGTAAAGAAGGGAGTATCCGATAATTGTTTATCTGCCACACAAATTCTGGACACTTTATAGGATAAAGACGCAAATTTAACCGCTACTATCTTGTTCTTTGCCTCAGACCCCAAGGCCCAACACAGCCTACACCCTAGTCCCAACCAATGCAAAGAACATCACAAATACAGTTCAAGGGTTTATTATGAGCAGAGAACAGGAAGGTTTCACAAAACAATATATGAGCAAACCAAACATTATCACATGATAATAGCTACAAGTTAAAAGAAATGTTTGATAAACCCTAACTCTTTAAAAAAAATATCATCAAGAAGATAGAAAAAGAAAGACATATCAAGATCCAATTTCACTCTTTTTTTTTTAATTATTCTTTGCAATTCCTCAGCAACTAAAATTAGAACCAAAATAAATAAGAAAAATTACATCGAAATTGAAACCCTAACCTGATTTCTAGGGCACGGCTGAAACACTCGGCGGCCTCGCCATAATCACTTTCCTTGAGGGCTTTTGTTCCTCTCTCCGTCAACTCGGCAGCTAACTCTAGCGATTTGTCTTTATCATCATCGGAAGTCATAGCCGGAGCTTCTTCGTTGCTGTTGATATTGTTGCAAGTGGACTCGGTGCCGCCCAGCGCGTTCGATTCGATAGTGGCTTCATTCGAAGGTTGGGCTTCCGCTACGCTTGGGGCCTCAACGAGGGTTTCTTCAGTCATTGTCACTGATGATTCAGATATCACAGCTTCTTCTTCCGCCATTGTTGAATTCTCGATTTTAGAATATGAAAATGTGAGAGGGAAATGATTTTGGTGTATTTAATTTGGCGCTTCAAAACCCTGTTTTCTGGCGGAAAAAATTGGATAAAGCGAGGGAAATTTCACGAAAAAGTATGTTTATCCTTTATACGGCATCGTTCTCATTTTCGCAGCTAAATGACTGTATTGCCTACTAGTACATGAAGCAATCTGTTCAACGACTTGACTACTTTTGTAATTTTATTGTTTTACAATTACAGTTGAAAAACGCTGCGCACCACATATATTCATCGTCTTTTCAAAAAGATAATCTTGCTCTCTTTCAGTTGCACAGTCGATGGCTTCCGCATCTTCTCCCTCTCTTCTCCACACGCTGTCGTTTCGTCGGCCTCCATCCTGCCAGGCGCACGCTCCTAAATCTGTGCCGGCATCTTTCACCAGCAGAAGGAAGTTGTTTTTCCTTCTAACAGCAGCACCGGCATTGACGGCAAGAGAATCGGTGTCCATTGCGGAGGATATACCGCTGTTCGGGTTAAGGAAGAAGCTTAAGCAAGCGGAGGAAGAGGCGGAAGAGCTCGTGAGGGAAGGGTTTGAAACGGCTGAGAAGGGACTTGTAACGGCCGAGAAAGGGATAGAAACGGTGGAGAAAGGGATCGAAACGGCGGAGAGAGGTGTCGAGACAGTAGAGAGAGAAATTGAGGGAGCAGTGAGCTTTGGGGCATTGGCACAGGCCGTTGTGGTGGCGGGAGCGGAAGTTTTGGGTGTTGTAGTGGCTACTTCCGTCGTAAATGGGATTTTGGGACCTGAAGGTCGAAAATCATGATTTGCTTCTGGTAATGCGATGTGTTAAGAGTTTCAATCGAGTAATGTAAATTCAAATCTGGTTTTCTAATTTATTACCATTTTGATTAGTATGCTGTAGTAATGCAGTTGATGATGGATTATGTGCTGGAAACATAAATTTTTGCAGAAAATTTTCTCTGTGGTCTGAAAATTTTTTTGACTGGAAAAATTTTCCTCTTCGTTCATCAACCATAGAATTTCATTTTTCTTTTTTCTTCGATAGAAAAAATATTGTCATACTATACTTTAATAAACAAAATTATTCCATTAAATTAGAAATTAGTAAAAAAAAAATTAATTTTATAATTTGACATAATTGTTAATTATTGTGTAGATGTTTAACAAATGCCATGCTTTTTATATATCTTGACAAAAATTAATGGACAATAATTTTCATATTTTTAATCATTTAATAAGTATTTAATAAATATGATTTTGTAAATTAATATGTTTAGTATTTATAATTTTATAAGTTAAAGTGTTGAATATGTAAAATTTTAATAATTAAGATCCTAAAAATTGAGGTGTCACTAAATTTTTATTATAAAATTCAAGTGTCACTAAATTAAAAAAAAAAAAATCTCAAGGCTCAAATTTGGATTGTCCGGTTTGATTCAGAAGAGCTTACGAAGACAAGGATGGGCTGTCGTTCGATGACTTGCCGTTGAGCTCCGGAATATGTTAAAACGATGTGTCAGTTAGCATGTGGGTTTAAAACCCATGGAACGGCAATAAGACTGGCTAGTATATGTACACGTCAAAAAAAAAAACGACATTGAAAGACGAGGCTCAATGCAGATTACGCGCGTTCGTCCAACGACCGGTGGATCAATTTTTCAAATAAAGAGTAATTCAAATTAGCAATAAAATGTCTCTCTCGAGACTAACCTGTCGTTCACCATCAAACTCCTTGTCGTCTATCATCAGCACACGCCAAAGTCTAAATTGGATTTATCCAATAAAATAATTGAAAATCAGAACACCTTAAGGAAGAAATTCTCGAAGAAAAATCTCCATGGCTCGTGTGGCTTCGAATCCTTTAGGCCTCCATAGATTCCGGCCATATTTTCAAGCCGATCAACTTCCACAGCTGCTCATGAAATCCTCTCTTCGCTGCCAAACTAAGCCTAGCCGGTTACCAACCATTATAGCTTGCCAAACAGACTCCAAACCCACCGAAACCTCCACAAAGGTACTGTTTTTTTCTTTCTTCTTCCGTTTCTATATGAAAGACCTAACTTTCCTATATTTCAATGCAGGAGAAGGTGCTTGCTGAGTCTGCTTCAGTAACCGATACTAAAACCGAAGGTTCAACTTCGTCCCCCACCTCTGGATTGCCCGTTCCCAATAAAGATTTAAATAGGCAAATAGCGGCGGTTTCTGTGCTTGCGGCGCTGGGGCTTTTCTTATCCGCGCGGCTGGATTTCGGTGTTTCTTTAAAGGACCTGTCTGCTTATGCTGTACCATACGAAGAGGTTTTTATATATTACGTTTCTGTGTCAAAAAGCTTATTTTTCTAGCTTTGTATTTTTTTTTTTTTTTTAACGAAAAAAGAAAGGATATTTATGTAGGCTCTCTCCAATGGAAAGCCCACTGTTGTGGAGTTCTATGCGGATTGGTGTGAAGTGTGTAGAGAGTTAGCTCCAGATGTTTACAAAGTTGAACAGCAGTTCAAGTAACGATCTTTTTATATATATTTATTTGATCACTTTTGGTCTCTAAAAATGACCAACTCCATTGATTGACAAATTGTGCAATTTTTTTGTCTTTTTGGGTAATTATTGGCTTGTTTAATTGCTTTGTTTTAGTCTATTTTCACTTTTTTTAGTGATAGCTGCCTTTTGTTTTATTTAGGGATCGTGTTAATTTTGTTATGCTGAATGTTGACAATACAAAATGGGAACAAGAACTTGATGAGTTTGGTGTTGAGGGTATTCCACATTTTGCATTCCTGGACAAAGATGGGAATGAAGAGGGTAATGTGATTGGTAGATTTCCGAGACAGTTCCTCCTTGAGAATGTAGATGCTCTTGCTCGCGGGGAAGCAAATGTTCCTCATGCTCGTGTTATTGGACAGTATTCAAGTGCTGAATCTAGGAAGGTGCACCAAGTTGTTGATCCTAGAAGTCATGGATAGATGCTATTCCTCCTTCAAAAGTGACCCGACTGATTGTCACTTGAAGTGTAGCTCGAAGGTAATATGTTTCCCAATTACTGATGTTCTTCTCCTTGTACCAAATTTCTGCAAGTCTGTAGGATGAGGCGGCATTAATTTAGAGATGATGTTCATGGGATAAGACCAAGGTTCTCTGTTAGCATGGAACACTTCCTTTGTCAGGGTTCACATTCATTTGAAAGGGTCTTTTCTGAAAATGAATCCAAGAAGTAATTTTGATCAATTTATAAATTGCTTCATTTGGTTGCTAATGCATTAATATAATCTTATTTGAGTACATCCATATCAAGATGCATTAGCACATGATTACAATTTATTCCTTTCATAAGCCAAGAACTCATGACATTGAAGGAGTACAACTTGGCTTTACCTTTGATGATGGAATTTTTTTTTGAAAGCATCTATGCATTTGCTTCGTTTTTTTCAATCTTGAATTGAATGCTTTAGGCCATCTATTGCACTTGTCTTAAAATATGACTCCAGTAAAATGATTATGTGTCAGATTGCCTTTCTCAATGTGAGGCAAGCCATATCATAGGTAAATAGGAATGTTCTATTTTTGCCAATGAGCCAAGTAAATGTGTTTCAAGCATATATGTTACTTTCATATAGTAAAGCTTGACCGTGCGCAAAATGTATCCAGGAGCTAATCTTAATTGTTTCTGCAGATTGAACATTTACATCAAAATTGAGATTGCATTGTTGTTCACTTGCCAAGAAGCAGCTATGAAATTGTAAAAACTTACACGTTTCTACAGGTTCAATTTGTTTCTTGATTATAATTTCTTTCTACGGAAGAATTTCGTGTATTGTATAACCTGCAGGTATTGATGTACAAAATACTAATTGATACATATTCCCGATATTAATTGTGAATGGCACTTGCAATTTACTTATATGCCTCGTAGACTTTTGCTTTCAATGGGGGACATTGCATGTCACTCTCAGTTTTGCTAATGATTTTAGTCTTGCATGGCTGTCCAGTTACTCAAAACAGAAGTTTTATATGAACAGATTGTTGCACTTTGATCTCTCATGCAATATGAATATTCTCCAAGTAGATAAGTGGACTGTGGATTACTGTTAAGATACAAGTCGTATCATCATAAAACGACAGCGTGAAAGTTAAACACAGGTCGCTGCTGTTTATTGGTTACCATTGTTTTTTTTTTTTTATTCGATATTATATACAATGAATTTTTACACGATGCATTATCGACATTAGTAACAAACACGATGCATTATCGACATCAGTAACAACAATTTGAAAGCCCGATGCATTATCGACATCAGTAACAACAATTTGAAAGCCCATTAGAGGCGTTATAAAGCTCATTCAGATAAGACAATCCACTACAAGGAGAAGGAATTAAATGCCACGATATTAAGAATTGAACCTCGGCATCACCCTAGTCACTATGCTAGGGCTCACTTGCATTGGTTACCCTTGTTATTGTTCTTTTCTTTTTGTTTTTTAACTAATGTGGAAAAGAAATATTATTGTAACTGAAAATTATTTTTCTTTATTTCTAGGACAAATTTTTATTATAGAAAAATGACCAAAAATAGAAAATGATTCTAAAAAAAAGTCTCTTATGGTTTTTTTCATTCAACATAAAAGAAGTGTAAAAATGTTAATGTAAAAGGTAAATTTAAACTTCTGTCAATCCACCACGGAAAACAAATGAAGGAAAATTAGCTTAGATGTGGGTTACCCCCTCAAAAAATAATGCTCATGCACACACCATTCTTTCTAAAATATATGCAGAATAACTTTTTTTTTTCTTTTTTTTTTCTCTCTTTTCAATATTGTCAACATTTTATGCGAAAAGAAAACGAGAGATAATAGGTCGAAATACAAAGATTTACATATATATCTATCAAAGATCTATAAAAACAGTAAGTAATGAAAAAAAACACTATAAGATACTTCAATTGTATTCACATAATAAAGTATTTGAAGTCAAGCACACAAAAAAATCAGCCTTTTTGTCACTGAACTGCATTACCCAACAAGCTATTTGTTGAAGGTGAACTCTGTTCGCTTAACCATGGATCTTGAACAGAAACAGGGGAGCTATCTTTAACTTCTTCCAATGAAGTCAAACAATCTGCTGCCCTTTGAGGAACAAGCAATCTCCGGCTCACTACCGCTGCCTTCTTAATTGAAATAACACTCAGCGACTTCTCACTTCCATTGTCCGGTGATGAGCAAGAGGAAGCTGCCGGTGAGGCTGTGTACATATTTGGAACCCAAGCACTAAGCCTAATGTGCTCTAACTCTTCAGCTACTTCCATCATACTAGGCCTCATATCCCTATGAAAAGCAAGACATCTAAATGCAAGCTCAGCTACATTATGTATGGATGATAATGTCCAAGCATCCCTATGCGGATCGAGGTGTGGATCTATTATCTCGTCCACGCAACCTCTACCTATCCTATCAATAGCAAGTGCAGCCAAGTTTACCTCACTGTGAGGTCGAGAAAAATCAACGACTCTTAGTGCTGTTATGATCTCTACAAGAACTACTCCAAAACTGTAAACATCGCTTTTGTCAGAAAGATGGAAATATTGATGATACTGAGGATCAAGATAGCCTGGAGTCCCTTGTGGTGCAGTTGATATATGGGATGACTCCGTCATTCCAAGTCTAGAAAGACCGAAATCAGCAACCTTTGACTTGTAGTTGTAATCCAACAGTATATTGCTAGATTTGATGTCTCTGTGATAAATTGGCGGATTCATTACAGAATGCAGATAGGCAATAGCATTAGCAGTTTCAGCAGCAATGGTGAGCCTTATTGTCCATGGAAGCCCTTTGCCTCTCTCTCTTTGTAGATGCTCACACAGAGTTCCATTAGGCATAAATTCATAGACGAGTATAGGTTCACCCTCCTCTATGCAACATCCTAACAGGCGTACTAGATTCGGATGACTTACAGAAGAAAGGAGCTTAATTTCATTCATGACTTGATCAATGCTATCAGTATCTCTATGACGAATCTTTTTTATGGCAACCCACTCATCACTGTGCAGTTTTCCTGCATATACAGTACCATATGCTCCAGTTCCAAGTCTTTGTTTCTCAGAGAAGCCATTAGTAGCTTTTTCAATTTCTTTGAATGCATAAAAAGGAACACTTGAGTTGCCTGCAGTTTGGTATAAAAGTCGCCTTGCACTCAACCTGTTTCTCAAAGAAGTGGAACGCCGTCGGATAAAGTAACACATAAATGCCAAACCACACATTAATAAAGCTCCAGCAATAACACCTGAGAACAGAACAATGTGGACACCAAATTCCAGAATTGAGTAAATGTATGCAGCAGTACACAAAACAAATAACACATTATTTTTTGCTGCTACAGTTTCAGAAACTTACCTCCAACAAGAACACCGACTCTAGCTGTTCCACCACATTGGCCATTTATGTACTTTGAAGGATTGCAGCCAGATACTGACAATATAACAACAAAAAAATATCAGCAAAAATTGTCTAATTGAAAATTTTCAAGGCTATATGAAGTTCCAAATGTGATAATTGGATATCATATGCTTAAATATTTATCTAAATCAATTCCCAATTGCATTCTCAGGCTTAGCCTAACTGCTAGTGCACGTAAGGCTTCGACATAAACTCAAATTCAAATCTATCTATCAGCCATAACATTTCTTGACAACTTATGGTAAACCAATTTTTAAATCCAAAAAAAAAAAAAAAAAAAAAAAAATCTCAGCTTAGCCTTAACTGCTATGACGTATGGCTTCGACATAAACTCATAATTTCAAATTAATCTATTCAGCCATAACATTTTTGAAAACTTTTTGGTAAACCAATTTTTTAAATCCAAAAAAAAAAAAAAAAAAAAGGCCAAATTCAAACCATTTCTTCATTGCACAAAGTGTAGACAAAATCATATGTCATATTTTGCCAAGTCAAACATTCAAAATATTAAAAAAAAAAAAAAAAAAAAAAAGCCAAATCAAACATTTCTCATGCACAAATGTGTAGACAAAAATCAATGTCATATTTTGCCAAGTCAACATCAATATATTTGATCAAATGGTTCTGTTCACCTAAACATTTTTCCCCCTTTAATTTAGCACTTAAAGTCAAAAAACAGGGTGGTGATTTTTCAATACTAGAGGAGACAACAAACAGGGCAGGTATACTGCACTAATTATGGTCAGACTTGTGTGTGTATTAAGCCATAAAATATAGTGAAAAATGTGATTAAATTTATCTTTGAACAGGTCCAAGATGACTTTGTGTACATTTTTGAAGTAACAAAAGTCAAAATTTTACATTTCCCTCATTTTTTTAAATCTAGAGCAATCCTTTGCAATTTACATCATCCAAAGAGGTATTCAAAGATTTTTATGTTACTTTGCATAAAAGTAACTAATTAATAGTAATCAAACTTTGTTAAACTAATAAATTTTCTAAAACTAAAATGGATTAAAGTGATAGGGTAAGAACTCTTGAACCCTGATTTTTTTTTTCTTTCCCTTGCTAGAACTCTTTAAGGATTTCTGATTACTAAAAGGAATGGCTTTCATCCATAATCTAAAACCAATGATATTGGAGCCAAAAAAATACTACCTTTTTCATAAACTTTTCAGAAGAGTAATGTCTTTACTGTTAAGCTCCAACCAAAATTTAACGAATCCTTCATTAGGGTAATATTCCTATATATGGTCCATAACCATCAGATCATATTCCACATTCCTAATTTTTCTTTTTCAACTTTTATGACCATGGACCGACCAATTCCCTATTGAAATGTCTTTCTCCAATTAGCCAACTCAGGGCCACTTGCCCCTGGTCAAAAGACAACCCATACCCACCTCCCCAACCCCACCAAAAAAAATCAACATACTAAATAAATAAAGGATCATAAGCAAATTAATTGATCAAAAAAGACCGAGTTGACTCACCGCTCCGGCAACCTTCACCGTCCTTGAACCCATCTCCGGTATACCCATCATTACACCGGCACCGGAATCCAACCTTCCCGTGATCATACTTGACTGAAGTGCAATTCCCATTATGTGAACAAGAATCATTGTTACAGAAACCTTCAAGCCACCAATCCAACTCTACTCTTTCGAACTCGAGAGAGATGACCCGGCTATTCGACCCAATAGCAAACGAAGAGAAAACGAACTTACAATGAGTAGAACTTAAGTTCCCATAATTCAAAACATCCATTCCCGATCTTTCCCTCGAATAGCAACTTATGTTATCACTTTTAGCATCACAATTCTGTATTGGCAACTGATCTGAAAACGAACTCGTCGGTATAACACAGGTGGACAAAGAACTATTGCAATTTTGAAGAAGTAACCCATTTCGCCAAGCTGGAGCATAATTATGGCCAAACAGAGATTCGATTGATTCGAGAGAACGATTACATTTGGCTGGAAGATATATAAAGATTCCACTTGGAGTTATATTTTGTACTATAAATTCTCCGATTTTGACATCCCCTGTTTCTCGATTGCAATTTAATCGGATCTTGCATCCATCAGAAAACCCAAAAGGGTGTGGAACCCGTTTGGTTGAGTTACCGATTCCACAAGAATTCTGGCAAGGGATCGATGAGTTATGATGGCTATGAGCTCTCAAGAAAATTGAAGTGAGTATTATAAGAACTAAATGAGCTTCTTCAAAAATCATTCTTGATTACTATTTGAAGAGACTTGAATCATTTAACCTTAATTTTCTGCAGAAAAAAGAAAACAAGAAATAAGCAAACTATCGAGAATCAAGTATTTTCTGTTGGGAAGTTGGATTAGATAGGAAGAGAATTAAAAGCAGAGGTTTTTGGTGCCGTTGGGAAGCCATCTGAAACCAATAAATGCTCCATAGAATAGAGGTTCATAAATAGTACTTAGTAAATTTTCATGACATTTCAAAAAAGAAAAAAGAAAGTAAAAATCTTTCAAAAGGAAATTGCTTTTAGGGTTGGTTGGTCAAGAATTTATGAGTCATTACCTTTTCTTCTGAGACCTTCTTCAATGACTGGGTAATTGCTCTGCAATTTCCAACTCAAGCTATAGACACAAAAAACTCTGCTTTTATTTACTTAGAGAAAGAAAAAAAATCAAAAGCCCCACAAAACCCCCCTCTTCTTTTTCCGTCTCCTTTCCTTTTTTTGTCTTAATTTCTGGTTTCTATAATCAAACAGTGCAGAAGTAAAAAACAGGAAAAAGAAAAACACTCAAATAGGGAAGAAGAGGTTGGTTTTTCATGACTAAATACATAATTTTAACATGACCAAAATACCCTTGAACATTAAGACCATGGACTGGAGAATATGAACATTGTTACAGTAGAAAGACAAAGAGAGAAGGGTAGAGTCAGCACGCAATTATAAAAGGTTTGACTAGAATAAAGTATGTGATGTGTGGACAGGACAGCATCTAAACCTCTTTTATTTATGTTTTTCTTTTGAGATAATGAATAATTTTTTATTTGAGGAATTTGAGAAAGGAGGGAGGTGGGCCTTCACCACCCTTCTCAATCTCATGGGCTATAAATATCATATCCTATGTCACAAATGCCGTTCCTTATGCTTTCATTCAACTCATTGGAAATTTATAGTTTACTTATAAATCAAATAAATAAAAATAAAAATATATTATTTTTTAAATATGTAATCAGAAATATTAGAAAATTTATTTTTCATCAATTTAATCTACAAATAAAACCAGTTCAATGAGTATTTATAAAGATAAATTACAAATAAGCTCGACTAAATTGTCACATTTTTATCCAATTCTCTAATAAATGTTACATATTGATTTTATATTAAATGAAATTAAAAAATTAATCTGATCTAATTTGAGTATATTCGAATTGAATTAATATATATTTATATTTAATTTATTTATAAATGGATCAAATTTTATCCGTTCCATTTATATTAATGGTTGGTATTTCTATATTTATTGAATACGTGCAATTTTGGGATAGAGCACCTAATCCTTTTTTTAGTTCCATTGGAGTAACTAGTAAGAAAAGATCATGCTACGGAATATTTTTTAAATATTTATATAGGGATATAAAGTCAACTAAATCAAAGTTTTTTATTCTCTTTTTGACTAAATGAAAAATAGACCAAATGATTATATACTATCATTTTTTTTTTTTTTTTAAATGATTAATATTTACTATCATTTTTTTTTTTTTTTGTGGACTATACTACCACGTTTACCTAATGTATATGGCTATTTTATTTGTTTTTCCTTTTTTGTTTTTTTTTTTTTAATTTTTTTTTTTTTTTTAAAGAAAGGAGAGAGAGGAAGACCTATTTAATTAATTAAAATTGAAAATGATTGATATTAAAAAATATTTTTTTGGGTATTAGTATTAATAAATATTTTGATTTAGAAGAAGTTCTTAATTGACTCTAGGAAATAATGGAAAATAAGATCCTCAATACACAAAACCAATTAAAATAATTTTTTAATTCAAATGATAATATTTTTAATTATTAATAAATTCATAAATAATTGAGGGAAAATAAAAGGGTAGAGATGTAAAATGAGTAAAATGTTGACTGAGGTCTCTTTCGTACGTGGATTAGCCGTGTTTTCTCTGCGCAGACGTTAGCCGTATAGAATAAGCTCGCTATAGACAACTTCACAGTTATAAATAAACCATCTTTCTTGACCACGACACTTCTCTATTTTCATTATTACACGTCCATTTCTTTTTTTTTTTTTTTATATGCATTAAAATATTTAAAAAAAATAATCCATGTGATATTTTTTCTTTAATTATATTTAATTAATTAAACTCTGGATTTTTTTCAATTTTTAGTTTTGAATGACAACTATAAAAATGTTAAATATAGAAATTAATAAAGCAATTACCCATGTTTAATCAAATATTTAGTATTAGAATAGATCAATCCAAAAATATTTAAAAGTCATAATAAAATTATTGTCACAAGCAGCATTATTTGACTGTTGGATTACTCGATAAGGTTGGACATAAAAAAAAAAAAAAAAACATAAAAAAAAAAAAAAAAAGACATTGCTTGCAGAAGTATTATTATTTAGGTCACTGACTTCAGTTTTCCATTTCATAATCTTTTAATATTCTTTTTGAAACTTATAACCTTCGACTTTTCAATGGGAAAACATGCATGATGCTGTTTTAATTAATACTTTAAGTAAATTTTTTTTTTGTTTGAATTTAATTATTTAAGTATAATATTTTGCTTAAGATAAAGATGTATTTATTTTATTTTATTTTATTATTTTTACAGTTGGCACATCATGAAAATATATTGTTAGTCAATACTCAAGAATTCTATAATTTATAATTTCCCATTGATTACCAATAATTTTATTACAACTTATAGCATGACAAACCAAAATAAGACATTTTAACATTATATTAATTAATAAATGGGAATTATTTCTAACCTTAATTAAGAATTATTTTCCTTTGCTCTCCATTTTCTTATTGAGATTTGAATCATGAGGTCAAGTCACAATGTTGGTATTTTCTTCATCTTCTTCTTTTAATCGAATCACATGATGAGTACTTTTAATACTTACAAGCATATAAGTATAATCATGAAGGCAAAATCTAATTAATATTTGTACTAAGAGACATGAAAAAGATCAATGCAAATCACAATTTGGTGGTAGCAGCTGCTGTCTGGCATGAGGCAAACACATTCATATATTAATTATAACTTTAAAAAAAAAAAAATTGAAGTCTCTAATTAATAACCTTGACACAGTATTTTCTGCAACAACCATATATTTACTGACAATGATATGATATCCACTATATATATATATATTCATGTGATTTGTTGTTATTCTATGTATTTTCTGATGGTTGGGATGCAAATATTGGAGTCGATATGGTATACATGTTCTTGGATTTTGATATGTTAATTAATTAGGTAAACCAAGATTTGCAGATAATTAAATAATTAATTAACTTCTGAAACATTAGTTACAAGCTCTGCAATTAGTGGGCAACCTGACATTGTTAAATAAATATTAATATGTTTGAGATTTATGAGCCAAAATTTATTATCTCCTTATTATTAATTATAGGAATTTGTTGTCATAAGCATGTTTTTCTATGGGAACGAGTTATGTTAATTATATATATAATATATAAAATAATTATGTTTTAAGATAGGTAGAGAGAAAATAAAAAACGTGTAGAGAATTATATGCACATTGGTCCATGTACAATGTGTGATGATATATAATTATCTGGCAATCATCTTGTTCATACCATAAGACTATATATTTTGTTGAAAGGAGAAGATTTGACAATTTCACAATACAATTCTTAACATTGCTCACGTGATTTTATATGTTTTATAAGTTTATCTTTTCACATTATTGTTTCTCTCCAACTCTCTTATTGCCTTTTTTTTTTTTTAAAAAAAAAAAAATTTTTTTTTTTTTAAAAAAAAAAAAATCTATTCACATCTTATTTATGGCATGTTGATAGAAACTTTGAAGTTAGCATTTATAAGATAGGAAAAGATATCCAATACGTATTGGTTGAGGTGATAAGGCAACTTCTCCACAAGAAACACAACTTTGATTCTAGGAAAACATTACTTACTTTTGGAAGAGGAAACAAGTGCATTTTCACATTCTTAGCAGCTCGAGGGGTGGGGTATTCAACGTGGAGTAATTTAGCTACTCCCAGAATTGGTCTAGAGAAATGTTAGTGTAAACTGGTAAAAAAAAGAAAAAAAAAAAAAAAAAAAAAAAAAAAAAAAAAAAAAGAGGAACAAGATTGAATGTCTGTGGACTGAGACCGAGGAGTGAGTTTCTGATCCTGTTGTTCTGAAGCGTTTAGCCTGTAATTTTTATGAGAAGTTATTTTCAGCTGACTTTCAATTTTCTCCTACTGCTTTTAATAATATTATTTTCCCTCGTTTATCAAAAGATGCTATTGTTTCTTTGCAGAAGCCTGTCTCTAGGGAGGAGGTTTGGGCTGCGGTATCTAGTATGGGTTCCTTTAAGGCTCTTGAGCCTGATGGTTTTTAACCTTTATTTTTTAAAAAAATATTAGGATATAGTGGATGATGAGGTGGTGTCCTTTGTTTCTCATACTTTCACTTCTGGTATCATGGATCCTCAGATGGCTAAGGAGTTTATTATTTTTATTCCCAAGGTGTTTGTGCTGGAAGAGATTACTCAATTCAAGCCTATTACTTTGTGTAATGTGCTCTACAAAATTGTTATGAAGGTTCTTGCTTTGCGGGTTCGCCTTTTCATTGATAGTTTGATCAGTTGATAACATTATTATTTCTCAGGAGCTTCTTCATTCTTTTCGGCGCTCTAAGAGTAAGTCGGATCATTTTGCTCTGAAAGTTGATATGGAGAAAGCTTGTGACAGAGTTAATTGGGACTTTCTTCGATTTGTGTTGGTTTCTTTTGGCTTTCTTGGTTTGTGGGTTTCTTTGATTAAGAGTGCCTTGTCTCAGTCTTCTTTGGCCATTCTTTGGAATGGAAGCCCTTCGTCTTTCTTTTCACTAATGCGGGGTTTGCGGCAAGGTGATCCTTTTTCCCCCATTTGTTTGTGTTATGTGTGGAGGGACTTTCGTTATTGATTCATCAGCAGGTTGTCAAAAAGAGTTGGGTTCTTGTTCGTGCTTCCAAATGTGGCCCTCCTATTAGCCATCTGTTGTTTGCTGATGGCTTGATTATTTTTAGGAAAGCTTTAGTGTGGCAGGCTAAGGTGGTTCACGATGTGTTGGCTGACTTTTATAATGGTAGTGGTCAGAAGGCTAATTTGGCCAAATCTTGCATCTGTCTTTCTAAGTCTATTTCTCATGTTGTGCGGCTAAAATTCAACAGTTACTTAGGGTGGCGGTTGCCTCAGATTTGGGAAGGTACTTAGGTGTGCCTTTGTTGCATGGTCGCTCTTCCGTGTCTTAATATCAAAGTATTATTCAGAAGGTGGAGTCTCGGCTCGGTAATTGGAGTGCTCGATTGTTGAGTCCTGCAGGTAAGGGAGTTCTTATTAAAACTTCTATTTCTTCGTTACCTGTTTATGTTATGAATACTATGTGGTTGCCTTCTTTTATTTGTGGGACTTTTGATTGTTTAGCCCGTAATTTCTATTGGGGTTCTTCTGTGGAGCATCGTAAGATGCATTTGGTAGGTTGAAATTGTCTTATTAAGCCAAGGCGGTTTGGTGGGTTGGGATTTTGTAGTACCCATCTGTTTAATATAGTTTTGTTGGGTGAATTGGGTTGGAAGCTTTTTGTTAATGATTCAAGCCTTTGGGTTCAAGTTTTGTCTGAGGCATTCATTTCCTTCAGTTGTGGGAGTTTCTGATTTTAGTACGTGAAAAGGTATTGTTCGTAGCTTTAATATTTTGCAGTCTCATGATAGATGGCGAGTTGGGAATGGGCAGCAGATCAGTTTGTGGTATGATTTTTGGTTATTGATGGGTCATTTGGTGGACTTGTCGGAGACTATTGCAGGGGGTGAGGAGCATTTTAGGGTGGGTGTGCTTATTTAGAATGGTACCTGGGATTTTTTGGTGTTTCGTACCTTTCTTCCGGATGATATTAAATGCTTAATTCAGGCTGTTCCACTTCCTTTGGTGGCTGTTGTTCATGATGTTCCCTTATGGAATTTTTCTTCTAATGGTGTATTTTCTGTCAAAGCAACTTATTCTTCGTTGTTGTATGAGGAGTTATAGGCGGATTCTGGGGTTGGTTCCTTTTCTTGAATCTGGCATGTTGATGGTTTGCCTAAGTTAAGGCATTTTTTGTGGATGATTTTTCATCATCGGCTTCCTACTAATTCTTTCCATTTTTTGCGGGGTTTGGCTGCTTTCAATCATTGTGTCGTTGTGGTATTAGTAAGGAGTCTCTCTTACATCTTTTTCCGAATTGTGTTGTTATGCAGGCTTGGTGGCAGTAATGGCGTTAGCCTCCTAATTTTTTTTTTGTTTTGGCTGATGTTATTTTGTGGTTGTAGATGAATTTATCTTAATGCATGCCTTGGCCTTTTTGGTGTTTCTTGCATCATTGGTTTTTAGTTGGTATTTGGTGGGCTTAGAAAGGAAGAAATTTGCATGTTTTTCAAAATGTTGTTACTCCTTTATCTCAGTTAAACATATATATTTTTAAGGTTGCCTTGGATAATGGGTAATCCTCTGTGTCCTCTGTTGCGACTGTTAGCAGGTACAGACAGATTAGTGTTGCTTGGGAGCCTCCTCAGGAGGGGAGGGTTGGGTGAAGCTTAATTGTGATGGTAGTAGCTTTACTAACCCTGGTCTTACTAGTGGTGGTGGTTTGTTTTGTGATTTTAGGGAGAAATGGATTGGGGACTTTTCTCTCAATATTAGCCCCTCTTCGATTTTGATTAGAGAGTTGTCGGCTATTTGGGCAGGTCTTGTTATTGCCTGGAATCGTGGGTTCGATAGCTTATTGTGGAATCTAATTGTTTGGAGGTTGTGAGGTTAGTCCTTTCGGATTTACACCCTGCTCATCCTTTGGTAGCTATTGTCTTAGATATTCAGAGTTTTTTTTTTTTAGTCCTTTCGGATTTACACCCTGCTCATCCTTTGGTAGCTATTGTCTTAGATATTCAGAGTTTTTTTTTTTCGTGATTGGCAGTGCTCTCTCCGTCATGTTTACCGGGAAGCCAATTTTGTAGCTGATCATCTGGTTAGGTTGGATCATTCTATCCCTTCCTTGTTATATATTTGAAATTCTAGTCTTGCTTTGTTATCTCTAATTGTTTGAGCTGATGCTTGCCGATTCAGTTTTTGAGATAAGTCTTTTCTTTTCTGCTACTTTATGTAACAAAAAAAAAAAAAAAACTGTAAAAAAAAAATCCCAAAAAAAAGGAGATAAATGGCTTGTCAAAGGCTATATTAGAAAATGAAAGGCGAGAAATTATATTTCTGTTCGGGCCCAATGTGCAACCCAATAAAACCCATGAAAGTACTTATAATAACCCGTTGGATTGATACCGGGGCCAGGTATGGAGCTTTGATACCAAGCCCAGTCAAAGCCTGCTTGCTCAAAAGAAACCTTCTCTTCGAGCTTTAACACGGTAACATCGTTAAACCCTAGACCTTGAAAGTTTCTGAACAGAAATCGGAATCAAAATCAAATGTCGGACAGGGAAGATTCCGATTCGGACGCACCTGAGGAGTTCACATCGGAGCAGGTTCTAACTTTCTCTTCTATAACTATTTTATTACGATCGGCTAAAACTTTTTCACTGCTTTCGTTGAAAAGAGCTCACATGGTATTTTCTGCTTTCAGGGAGTAAAGCAAGATGAAGAGATAAGAAAAGTTCAGAAAGAAAATAAAGCAAGGTAAGTTTTTTTGTGGAGAAATCATTATTATTGTTATTATTATTTTTTTTTTTTGTGGAGAAATCATTATTATTGTTATTATTATTTTTTTTTTTTTTTGTGGAGAAATCATTCCTTTTCTAGATATTAATTATGGGTTTTTCTTTGAACTGAAGTTAAGGGGAGTGATTGCCTTCCCAATGTTAGAATTATGGATGAAAGTTTGTAAATTTCATTTGTGTTTGAAGTAAAGTATAGAAATGCTTGGTTAACAGCTCCACCTTTTCTTTTCTTGCTTTATTATTATTATTATTATTATTATTATTATTATTATTATTATTATTGGTGACATTATATTTCTCTCCTCTATTTGCTAGTGAGTTCTTGAAAATTTGGGACTTCTTTTAACAAATTACTAGATGACTTACTAGGCAACTGAGTAGTCTCCCTGAACCGCTATTAGTGTTATGTCTATATCTATTATCATTGCATTTTTTGGAATGTAGCTTCTGGATCTTGGCTATTTTAGTTGTTGGAGCTTTGAGGTTTCAAACATATTACTAATAGCACCTGCATTAGGTAAAACAAAATCATAGTAACACGACCATTCCATTCCTCTATTATTACTGTAAGGAGCTCAACAGTTTTTCTCTTGTAGAGTCCTATTTTTGCGAGCATAAGTGCTAAAAAAGGTCTGTTAAAGCCTCAAAGATAAGTAATTATGTCTGACTGGCAAAGTTCATGACGTGGTTAGATTTGTTAGGAAGACAACAGTAAACTCCAATCTCACCATGGAAGTGTCTGGAAGCTGAGAAAAATAATCTAGTTGGGGGGAATGAAGCTACAAGAGTCAACAAGACATCATTCATATAATCTGTGACTCCACAACTTTAACATGAAAGATACTAGAGAAAGGAATAAAAATTTGGATTGTCTATTTGCAGTTGACGCTCTGTTGTTGAGGTTGTATGCATGGTCAGGGATTGAATATTGTTCAGCTGAAACACTACCTAAGAAATAATGACATTTAAGAGGATTTAGCTTTTGTTTTCTGATTAATTATCTTGCAGGCAGCAAAGTATTCCTGCTCACATCAGAAGAACATAGAATTATATGTGAGCGAATATAGAAATGATCATTTGCACTAAAAATTTAACCTTAAGCATATTCCAAGAGCAGCATGCCATTTTTCACAAGTTATAGTACAATGCCTGCAAGTTGTAGCAGCAATCTTAGTCGTTATTGTTAGCTTGCTTTATTTTACTATTTTACCCTTTTAGTATTGTACTGACCAAAGTAGAATCCAGTTCAGTTATATGACACCTTGAAAGGCAATGTTATGCTTTCTTAAATATACTTTTATGCTTAGTTTGTTTTTCAGAAAACATTTTCTGCTTTCCAATATTTCAAGGTGCGTAGTAGAATGGTGAATGGATAATGTTGAAAAGGGAAGGACTGTGAAGTAATTTTTCAAACTTAACAAACTCATAAAGAGCCAATGGGGATAAAATTATGAGAGTTACATAGATTTATTCTTCTATTGCATGGATCACCCTTGGACATCCCTAGCTGTCACTATACATTGGCTGCTGCCAGTAACAAATACAATTTGTTATTAGTCTTATTTTTTCAATTTGTGCAAATGTCGCTTTCAATCTGTTGTAAATGGGTAAAAAATATGAAATTCTTAGAGATCCAAAATTTTGCAATCATAGATTTGTATTTATAAATAGAAGTGGTTCTTCAAATGCCATAAACAATTTCAAACTAATTTCAATGTCATACCCAAAAAATGAAATAAGTAATTATATATATATTGTTTTAAACATTCCATCTCCTGGTAAGTTATTATTTTGCAAACTAATGGACTCTTAGTTTTGCTTTCATGTGCATAAATTCATTGTAACAATTATGTTTACAAATGTGTTTACCTTCTGCTGTATAGAATTTCTCGTGAGGGTAAAGAACGTCGCAGATTATGGGCACAACGGAAAACAGCACGACCATCTAAAGTAGTAGATGAAAGTGTACAAGATGTAATGGAAACTGAAATGGAAAAGGAGCCTTTGGGTGCTGGGGAGATGCTTCCAAATGACATTGTACAACTGCTTGCAGCTCGTGAGAAGTATGCAACCACTCTTTTTTCTCTCTTTTCTCTCTCTCCCCGTCTGACATGCACTCTCAAATGCTGTTTGTTTAGCTTGCACTGGTGTTTTTTATCTTTGCTTTTAAGGATTTTAACCAAGAGGATTGTTTCCTCCAGGAAAGTTTTCTTATCAGACTCCGAAGATGAGAAGGTTGAGACAAAGCTTTCTGCAAGGAAGAAGAAGCCAAAAACTTCTGGGTAAGACTAAAGGAAAGGGAATTCTTGTAACATAACTTTTGAAATACTGTTAAAGCTAATTTTTTGGAATAGAATAATTATATTTTTGAATTGCTCTTTGCAGGATGGAAACTGTTATTTTGAAGGATTTGTCACCTCCTCCATGCTTACAGAACTCCTTGGAATTTCTGAGGAAAAAGAAAATGCAGGTTTCAAGATCATCTTCAGTTTTGAATAACTCCAATCAAGCACTCCGCCTCATTTCTACCTCTGGCGTATTAAGTAAGAAATGACAAGCTTTAGCATATTCCTGTTCACAAGTCGGTTGTGACAACAAACACCAGAAAGCCAATGCGAGACAACTACATTCATGGGAAAAAGGGATGAAATTGTATTTAATTGGAAAACGGGCCTTTATATGGTTAATCCTACATTGAATCTATAGTTAGATTATCTTTGCAGCTTTACAGAAGCGCATTTTTGTAGTGGATGAATTATTTTAAGGCTTTACTGGATTGGTTGTTGATTGTAATGAATGCCCATCATGAGTCTGTGATTGCATTATTGATTAGAAAATTTTGGAGTTGTGAACCTGTATCTTCTCATGAAATGGCCAATAGGCGCTTTAACTATAGATTCCCAAGTGAATCTAAAGTCAAGATTCACAAGTACAAGTCTATCAAAGGCACCACTACTTATAACTATTGGATTCCGACAATGTCTCCTGCTCTTATTCATCTCATTGGTACTAAAAAATAGATGCTTTTTTGTATTCTTTTTTCGTGGGATAAAGGAGTTTAATTATTTTTAGAAGTTAAAAGGAATCACCATATTCTGCATGGGAGTCTATTTCATTGGGAATTATTTAATATTTAGTGCATTGATGACTTAAAATAATGCATCCTGCAATCAAAATGTAACAAAACTTGAGTCAACAGTCGCTTGAAAATTTTTTGCCTACAACAAATTAGTATACGTAGATTTATAAACAGTCAATGAGAATCGTATTTTAAAGAAGTATTTATCAGAGAATTTTTGTTCATTTTCTCACTATTATATTAAGTTGCTAACCGAGTTTATACATTCAAAATATAGAAGATATCAAGATAATAATTGAATGATATGTGGCTGAAGCCATATGTATTTTGAGAATATCTCCTAATGCTTGATATGGCCCATAAAGCACATGAATTTGTCACTTTCTCCCTTGCTTGAAAGACCTAAAATTAACAATAATTAACCGGTTTTCTTTCTTTGCATAAATATATCCGATTAATTATTGTTCATGGAACCTTATTATTATTGAGATAATGAAATCAAATTCTTTTTTTATGAAAAAAAAGGCAATCTTCTACGTTATATAATATTTAAATTTGGAATTTAATACTACAAATGAAGCATAACATTCTCTTTATATTATAGCAAATTAAAAATCACTACATTTTTCTCCACAGAGATATAGTATTGATCATGATAAGTCTGGCATTAAGCATGGTGTTACAATGAAATTATCTAGTTAATTATATTTCTCAAAAAACAACAAGGAGACAGAAGTTCAAGGGGAAGAGAAAGCATCTTCAGGGTCCAACCACCTTTTATGCTCTGAGTCTGAGCTGCTCATAAAAGATTGAAAAGCATTCTTAACCTTGTTCAAGCTTCTATGGTGGCGGATGCGTTTAAGAATAACCTCTTTGTCTAAAGCCTTAGAAGAAGAGGAAGAAGAAGAAGATGATGTTGATTTTATGTAAAGCTGTTTGCTTATAGGACCAAGAAGCTGAGTCTGGTTATCACTGTCTTCTGAGGAGGATAGAGACTGCTGTGTTTGAGGAATCACAAAAGCCATTAATGAATTCTTGTTTGGAGAAGTGAAGAAGTGGGAACTGGGAAGCCATAGACAAATGGGTCTCATATATAAAGAGAAATTGATTGATAATGGTGAGTGGGCCATTAGCCATTTGTTTTTTAGATTAGTGGTTTGTTGGATAGTGGGTACTCCAAAATCAGTGGGTTTATATGAAACTTGTGCATGCATTTTTGGTAGGTGTAATAAGCAACTTTAGCTTTAGGTATTATATATTATTTTTTAGAATTAAAAATTTATTATTTTTAAATTTAGATTAGATTTAGCTATAATGTAATGTAACCTAATAAAATCAAAATGCATATACGTGTATATATGGTATAATGTAACCAGAAGTAGCCTCATTATTTTGGAATTTGAGTTAATAAATTGAAGTTTTTTTGAGAGTGATGAGTTTTTTGGGTTGATAATTTAATATTATTGAGGTGCTGGATTAATATTTCGAGATCTTATATCGTTTATGAAGTGTGTATATAAAATATATGAGTTAGTATACATCGTCGAAATTCTATAATTTTGATAAAAACGTATTTTTTATTTATTAAAATCTAATTAATAAAAAAAATATGAAAGGAAAACATTTTAGAATTGTCATGTGTTGTTGGATGTGAATCATGACAGCAATCCCCACTTTTTATTTATTTATTTTGGGATGGAAATGTGGCATTTGAAGGATTAGTGGGGAATTTAGATTCATATTCAAATGTTCTATAGTTGAATCCCAATATAACTAGGGGAGAATTGTATTTTATTAATCATTATATTTTAATTTTAATGGGCTTTTTGTGGATCACTAGGATGTTAATAGAATGCAATTTTTGTTTTCCTGCCCCCATAAACTTGAGATTGAAAAGTTATTTCCTCATCTTCCTCCTCTCTCTTTGCTTAAATTGCAATTTCCAAACCCAATTCTGAAGTCAAGTGCACAACTTTTTTTAGTACCAATGCTCCATGAACCAAGAATCCATGTGCTTGTGCTGCGAGCTTTCCAAATCCATTGTAAGAAATCTCTATCAAACCATAACAAAGATAAAAGATTTTTTTTTTTTTTTTTTTAAGGAATCTCTATCAAACGCCTAGACAAGATCAAACAGATTTTTTCTTTTTTTTTCTTAAGTTTTTTTTTTTTTTTTTTTAAGGTTTTGATTATGTGAGTGCAATACTATGTACTGTGGTATTATACCAACTAGCAGCCAAAGCCTTTTTATGAGGGGCCAACAGAAAACTTTACATAAATATTAATTTTTTTTAATACATATATATCTACACTTAAATCGGAATAATATTGAGATAAAAATACTAGAAGCTTAGACAAATACTAAAATTTTAATATTTTGTCATCTTCGTCCATAGATACGTATTGGTCAGCAGACCAAAGAATACTCACTTTTTAAATATGAAAAAAATCTCCTCGCCCAGAATGAAAAACAAATTGGATAATGACAATTCTATGTAGAATGAATAAATCATTAATTTATTAATTCATGAAACTTGACTTAATTTGCCAGGATTCATTCTAATTGGAACCAGTTTACAGACATAAATGTGGACAAAACTCAATAGATATATAAAATAAAATAAACTCTAAAATCAATCGAAATAAATTTAATCTTGAAGAAGAGGAGAGCTTTATTTATTTTTAAATGAATAAATGTGGGGACAGCCTCATATGTCGGGAAGGTAACTTGATGTTGATGGTATTTTGAAGTACTAAAGTAGCAAGGCCCCAGCCCAAGCTAAAAACAATGGACGATTCATTAAGTTGAGGAATAAACCAGGGGCGCTCCTTTCGTACTGTCTTCTGTTTTTTAGTTGAAAACAGATGATAGAAACGTGACTTCGCAGCTGACCTAAATAATGTCACAGCTACTTTTTTTGGCGTTTCTACTGAAATATATAAACCGAGGCAAATTCAGTATTTCTCAATCCGCAGTTTCTACACTTGGATGATGTAAAATCCAACCTGATCTAGAATGCAAAATAGGTAGATTCATCCTCTGCAAATAAACTTTATCCACAAAGCATATTGCAAAATAACAATAATAAAATGACATTGATGGTGATAACTCATGACACGCTCACCAATTCGTGGATTTTGTATCAGAAATTGGCCGATTCTGGGAAATGTAGGAGAAAGAAAAATAATAGCAAACTGAATATAATAAATAAATAAACAACATCTATCATAGCGTTTCATTATTTGGTGTCACTTCTATCAAGAAAACTTAACAGATAACCACTGACAATTCGTCGGGCTATAGGATTAGGAATACCGCGACATAAACGCCCATCAATATATGCTAGAATGCCTGAAAACACAAACTTACCGATTCCCCATTTCCAGATGAACTTCACCTTGTGCTCCTGTTCACTGGTGTCTGCGGGGACTATAGCTCTATCATCTTCCACCTCTGTTTCTTTTTTCCACTTGATGTTAGCCACTAGCTTACCAGTTTGCTCTCTCAATATGCGTATTGCAAAACTCACAAACAGGTGCTCACACAATGTCATCAAAGTTGGTCCGATTTTCCATTCCTGTGGAGAAGATTTCACATTTAAGGACTCAGCAGTGCCAGAGTGATAAGCAAATGATAAGTTACATACCAATGTACATGCATAGGCCCTCCATCTCCCTTGAGGTGGGGCTGGTGTATTCATATTTGAACTTATAGTAGTAAGGTGAGATTATAAAGAGAAAGTTGGTAGATACATTTTCAGCGGTCACTTTCTTTCCAAAATCTCATGGCCGAAAATATACAGGCGAAAATTATCATATGCAGATTTAGACAGCAGTATATTAACATTGATGATCATGGACTTAACGAAATAATTAAACTGAAAGCCATAAGAAATGCAACTACTACAATTGGTTTTATGCACAATTCATTGGGTCAAAATTACCGACAAGATAGACATTTATTTACTGCAAGTTAGAAGTTTGGCTTTGGATGGCTATGTAGACTGAAGGACATCTGTATTTGTTATTTGGCTCTAAGCCAGTAGATCATCCAGTTTAAAGGTCAAAAATACGTCACTATAAAGGGATTCAATAACAAAAAATGTAATACAACAGGGTAAGTGAAGTTAAAAAGTTAAGGCCACTTACACTTTCTCCTCCAAGATGGCGCAAAGGGCGAGAAGAAACTGAAGAATCTCCTTTTAACAATGCCTTGTTTATAAGGAAACCCTTCACACGATCCATGATCTCATCTATGAGGGCACTGTTTGGGGGTAGGTTTTTGAGAAACACCTAAGTGAGCAAGTATAAATTAGTAAATAAAAAAAAATGTTATCATCAAAAAAGGATAGCACCAGCACTCGGAGCATAGGTAGTTTGAAAAATATTTGAGCATGTGATTTCCCAAATAGGAAAGGATAACTTGTAGCACATTCATCAAACCCATGATTTCACATCACAAAGGACTCGTGGCATTGGAATAAAGCAAAATCAGATTAGTATTATCAAATTAAGGTTTTAAGTTGCAGTTTCACAGTCTTATCAAATGTCAAATATTGATTCATCAGACAGGAGACTTTTGAGTTCTTACTCTTAGGCTAAGAGGGGAAATATGAAAGGAAAGGGAATAACTAAAGAAAATAATAAGGGAATGCTATTTTCCCTTGTTTAGGAAGAAGGAAAATAAGGACCGGAAGAGAAATAAAATTTGTTTCATTCCAAAATTCTCTCTGAATTGGAAGAAAAATAGAACAAACTATGACAATAAACTAGTGGAGGGAAAATAGTTTTATGTTCCTCCTATATCCAAACACAATGAAGAAACATAATTTCCTTTTCAAAATTTCCGTTTCCATCTTATTTTGCTTACTTAATCTCTCTTATTTCCTTTCCTCTCTAATCCAAACAAAGCATTAGGGGAAAAGTAATTTTCCCTTGAGAAATATAATATAACAAAAGGAGAAAGAAAAAGAACCATTGTTCATGCAAAGACTCATCAGAACACGCACCAATAAAGCATGACCAGGGTGAAATATAGACATTTTGATTATGGACGTAGTTATCCTGCAGAAAAATTATAAATATCCCCCTTCAATAATTACCTGATCATCTATCACTCTGACTCTCAGATACTCCTGCCTGTACATTGTGTCCAACATAGCTTGCAGGTAACCTTCAATATATAACTGCATATTCCAAACAACCAGTAGGACTAATTAAAAACATAAAAATAGTAGCATGTGCTCAATAAGGCCTTTAACAGTAAAATGCATATCAGAATACAAGAAAACTTCATTTTCCAATTGTAACTACTATTGGAAAAGGTGCTGCTTAATTTATAGATGTCACTTATACTCTCTCTGTGCACCAACACATTGATAGTTTACTAGCTTCATAATGAAGTGACTAATTCACACAAAGAATTTGTCTGCTATCTTCATCAACAAATAAAGGCATATCAAAACAAAAAGTGAAATTTCATACATCAATGAATTGCATGTCAAAGATAATTACCTCATCAATGCCAGGACTTCTATCAAGCTTGATCTTTCTGTCTGGGCCACCTTCCATCAGAGCAGTTCCCAGCAGTGATGGCTCCATAGCCAATTTCATTATTCCTTGGTGAAATCCACTCACCTTCATGATAAAATGCAAAGCAAAAATGTCAATGTTGAAAATTCCAGCATTAATCAAATACTTTTCTTTGTTTTTTTTAGCATTATTAGCATAAATATAACAATAATTCACAGGGAGAATATGATTAGTACCATTCCATCAAAACCACTTCTTTCTGCTCCCTTCACAATGGAGTCTGATATTTCAGTGACAGCAGCAAACAACACATTTGATCCCACAGTTCTCAACTGCCATGCAATTAATGTCGTTAGTGAGTGGCATGGGAACTTTTTCTTTAACTAAAAGAAATGCACAAAACATACAGTTTTTTCCAGATCCCCAAAGTAGCGTTTTGTGCCTGAGAACCCTTTACCACCAATAGTTTTACTGATGAACTTGAAGGTGTCTGTCCTTAACAAGCAGAAACAAAATCAAATAACAGAACCAAGGAAACAAATATAATTCAAGCATGGTACATTTAGATTAAAAGTCATCCATGCTCTCACAAACAGCTTATAAAAACAGAAAATTAGACAAAAAGACCACTGCCACCACCACCCAATGACAGTACAGTATCAATGTTGGTACCTTTATTTAAATTCTTTTGTGCATTGCATACGGCTTCACAGTAGAATTTGCTTTTACCTTTCATCGAAGAAAAATTTAGAGTTTTTGAAGAGATTATATGACTTAGTTGAGCTATTTGTGCATCCCTTGTGCAATAATAAAAGCTACACCAACCTAGACATATAGGATAAACTGCACTTCCCCATTATTTGTCAGTATTTTAAGAGACTGGATCTCAGGAAAAAGTGAAATGAGTTAAATGGGGAAAGCATTTTAATTCCCCAAATTTGGTTTCAACTTATTATCTTGATGACAGTTATTCTGATTGGCTATCATAATATAGTAGAACTTCCAATGTGGAAAGGGGAAACCAAAGCTCAATCTACAAATAAAAAAGTACATTGATATATTCTACGTTTGTAAAGAAGAAGAAATACTGCCAAATTATTACCTAATGTAAAGCCAGGAAGATTAAGCAACCCTCGAGAAGGGTCAAAGAAAACATCAAGAGAAGATGAAGCGAGGTCATCAAATATGGACACAAAAGCAGGTGGAAGCAAGGGACTTCCTTTTGCAATATAAATGGCCCTCATTGCATACCTGGATTATAGAGTGAATTTCAGAACACGCTTTAAAATTCTATTTATGTAAATGAAAACATATTTAGGAAGAGGCTTACCAGGAATAATGTTGTGCGCATCTGATGAATAATTCTCGCATGGTTATCAAAGCATGAGTAACCAGGACCCCGTTGAGCTCTACAACCATATTTTTTATGGGAGGAACCTACAGAAGAACAAGTAGGGAAACGAGAACTCATACAATGAAATCACCAATATAAGCTTTGAACATCTAAAATTACAAGGAGATTAAGTGCTTCTTTCACATTTATTGGAAAAAAATATTGAGAAAGAGTTCGTCACTGTTATGGCGCTGCTTGACTTAGGGTAGTGTTATTGCTATTTAGGGTGTTTTTATTTAGTTATTCAGTGTTTATCATGTTATTATCAGTTTCTTTGTTAGTGGCTATTAGTGGGGTGGTTAAGCAAGTAACTTACTGCTTGACTTAGGGTAGTGGTTATTGCTATTTTAAGGGTGTTTTAATTTGTTATTCAGTGTTTATTCATAGTTATATCAGTTTCTTTGTTAGTGGGCTATTAGTGGGGTGGTTTAAGCAAGTAACTTATTGTAATGGGTAGTTATTTGTGGGTAGTGGGTAGTTTTAGCTTTACATTTTAGTTTTTTAAAAAAATGGCTGTTATAATCACAGGAAAAATGTAAAGCAGAATTTTATGAAAAGGTTTCAAGTTCCTAAACTCAGAGATTGTAGATTCCTTCTTAAATGAAGCTCTAGGAAGAATTGCAGATTCTCTCTAAGGTCACCATTGATAGAAGGAAGAAAACTCCTTCTAAGATACCCATCTCAAACCTGATCCCTAATTCAAAGACCCATAACTAGATCCAAATTTGGGACAGTAACATTTGGTATCAGAGCCTGGTTATGGGCGACTCTATTCAACAACAACTCAATAGAATTTTAACATTATTCCTAGAGGAGCAAGCTGCCAACAAAGTCCGACATGAAGCACTAAAATCCAAGTTAGATGCCCTCACCTGTGTTTTTTCTGATTTAAAACAACATCAACAATGGAAGGGAGCAGCCATAGTCAAGCACCGAAAGCAAAGGGTCCAATAGGTTCAGCCAGTCTAGAATCTCCTAGGGGCACTACAATTGTTTGGAAATTCACAAAGTTGGATGTTCTTGGACCACCTATGAGGAGTAATAATTTAGGAAAGTTGGCAAAATTGGAACAACCTAAAACTGCCGCAGAGCGAATAGTTTTCCAGCAAATGTTTCAAGTCTCAATAGTTGTGTGTACAGAAGATAGAGCGGAGCAAAAGAAAGAAATAAAAACATCAAGATGTCAAGCAACAAACAAGCGACAGAGCGGTCGTATATCACAGACCGAGCGCAGGAAAAGCTAGGTAGATAGAGACTCATATATTAAGATAGAGCAATCACAACCACGCTCCTATTCGCGAGAAATATATGAGGCCTACTAACGAGGTGTTTGCATCGCATTATTCACAGTTGAAGATGCCACAGCTCACAATACCTTCGCCGAGGTACAAGCATACTTTTTCAAGGCATCAGCATGGCACTGCGTATTTAGGGTGTTTTTATTTAGTTATTCAGTGTTTATCATGTTATTATCAGTTTCTTTGTTAGTGGCTATTAGTGGGGTGGTTAAGCAAGTAACTTATTGTATTGGGTAGTTATTAGTGGGTAGTGGGTAGTTTTAGCTTTACATTTAGTTGTTTAAAAGGCTGTTATATCAGGAAAAATGTAAGCAGAATTTTATGAAAAGGTTTCGAGTTCCTAAAACTCAGAGATTTTAGAGTTCTCTCTTAATGAGCTCTAGGAGATTGCAGATTCTCTCTAAGTCTGTCACCATTGATAGAAGGAAGAAAACTCCTACTAAGATACCCATCTCAAACCTGATCCCCTAATTCAAAGACCCATAACTAGATCCAAATTTGGGACCGTAACAGTCACACCTTCACCACACTGTGCAGCAATGACCTTAGAGTCTCCTGAGCTGAATCATAGCTTGAATATGAATCTCCAGGGAGAAAGTTTGTAATAATCTGCAGGACATCGCAAACATAGGTCAGATTGCTACTAACAGACAAAAGTGAAAGTGAAAAAGCTTCTAAGGTAGACCAGAAAAGCATCAAACCTTTATTGGATGGACCTCAAAATGATCAAAGTAATACCGCTGACTTGGAGCACTCGAGTCACTGAGAGATGTTCGCCAAAATGAGGCAAGTCTTATTAAAGTCTCCTCATCAAGGTTCAGATCAATTGGCTGTGCAACAATTGAGTCAAAATTAGCTACAGAAGCCCATGCATGGATTCATTTATTAGTATCTAACTTGAGGTGTTTAGAAGCATATACAAAAACTATATTCCTCAGGCACCATAGGAATATCTAACTTGAGGTGCTTAGAAGCATATACAAAAACTATATTCCTCTGGCACCATAGAAAAAAAGCTAGAGCAATGCCTGATTGTACCTGCAGAATAATGGACAAGTATTTAACTTGTCTAACATTGGAGTTGTTTGAAAGAAGGATGAAGACAACTTTGAGTACAGGAACATTTGAGTCAATGGAGTCTAATTGATGTCTCCGAAGCACTGCTGCAAAAGGAGCACCAGTCCACTTCTGATCAATATTTAATGACTGCATTTAGTTTAAAAAGACACATTATCAGTATATGATTGTATGGAACTTCCTGCCCAATTCTTACTATAACATCTTCCACAATCAAAAGATCATATGCATATGCTATAGTCATTTTCCAATTCATTATTCATAAAAAATGCGAGATGTATAAAAGCTACTACCTGCAAACTAATCTGATTATATTTCTGCTGATCAGTAATGATAGAATCCAGATTGATGTTGCCAAGCCTTGCCACTATAAATGGTGTATAGCATGGTTCCTCATTGTTATCTAAATCCTTCACAAACAATAGCATTAGATCAACATAAAAATGAAGCCATTGCATCAGCCACTTCTTCAACTGATATTGCCAAGCTAGCCTCACATACAAAATAATTTTCACTGGGAAATCCATGGTGGTCTACTAATAAAAGAGAAACCAAATAAAGAAGCAAAATGAGATTAGTGACGAAATGCATAATGGGTAAAATTTGTGGATCTATAAAGAAGGTTCAGGAAAAACACCAAGGAATTAGATAAGAGAATGAGTTCCATTGACAGAATATCCATTGAGACTGACCTGCTTTCCATCTTCAAGTAGGTGGATTGCAAAATGATATACTCTTAGTTGGACTTTTGCACATGACTGAACCACTATGTTCTCTTTCTGACTGCTGGAAAACTCACAAATACGCAACACACGTGTGGGACCTTCTGCATATATTTCATACCCGATGTTTACAATATCCGTGCTTTTCAACTGACCAAAATAATCTTTTTGGTCTCTGGGCTTTTTGTCAGAAAGCGAAAGAGACGCCAACCCTCTGTGTTGTTTAAGTTTGCGAAAAGGTTTCCAAGCCCGCACCTTATCCAAGTTAATTTCACGTAATAGGTGCATATCTGCATGAAACATGTCAGTTATGTCATATTATTTAAAATATGCATGAGAAACCCACATGCTTAAATATATGAAAAGTGTATGGCATATAATGAGAAAGGTGAACCAACCAAAATGCCTAGGCTATTTTGTATTAAAGGTAAATGCAGCCCATTATAATTTCAATTATTAAATGAATCATTAATGATATTAACTAATTACTCCTAGGGCCCATATTTAACAATGGTACCATGGCATGGGACCAAAATCCATGCTGCATGAGGAACACTCTTGAGCGGGTTGTACCCTGATCAACCTGTGTCAGGCCATCCTACGCTTCTCAAGTTCCCCAGTTGCCACTTGAGAGGGAAGTGTCAGAATATGTGTGGGAATCCCACAAGTGTACAGTATATGATAAGGAAGGTGAACCAACCAAAAAGGCTTAAGCTGTTTTGTATTAAAGGTAAGTCCAACTCATTATAAACCCAATTATTAAATAAATTGTTAATAAATTTGACTAATTGCTCCTAGAGCCCAGTAACAATATCAATAACAATGAAGTTCCCAAAACCAGTATCTTATGATGGGGGATGGTTATTTTACACATTGACTTTGTTACATTTAATACTGTAGATTTAATGTGGGAAAATATTTTTCTATATTTGATTCATCAATAGGGACACATATATATACACATACAAGATATTATAAACCTATTTAGAATCTAACTCCTAATAGAGTTCTATTTACAACTAATCCTTAACACTCCCCCTCAAGTTGGAGCATAGATATTAATCATGCCTCGAGAAAGTAAACACCTTAAGTTTGTATTCGTTTTCACGAATGAAATGTAGCCAATCATCTCGATAATTATTGTTCGTCATGAAACTGATTGATGCAATGTTGAAAGCAGCTGATTTATCACACATAACTTGCACAAGATGACTTGTAAAGAAAATCCTTTTCCTCTAACAACTGACGAATTCTCACAATTAATTCTACAATCAATTAGTTGCCATATTGGGCCTGGGCCCAAAAATGAGTGGAAAAATTTTTTTTCAGGGCTTCTGGCTCGGGGGAATCCCGATTTAAAAACTCGTATCGGGGTGGGAATACTTAGCAAGCCTGTTATTTCTTTGCTCCCCATTATACAAGTTTCCACCTACAAAGACATCTAAGAGAGCCAAGTTGACTTCTATCACCTCGAACCTTTCCCGAATCCCGCATCTAAAGACTCAATGTTCGAAAATGCCTAGATACTGGTAAAAGCAGGCCACCACGACCGAAATATCCTTCAAATAGGCACGAGAAAGGTCGCCGCAAAGCTAAATCCACCAAAAGATAATCAGTAGGTAGAAAAAACATAAAAACTGGCCAAAAAAAACAGACATTCAAACTGGCACGTGTTCTCACCGCCCGAAGATAGTGATGATCCAATTTGCTCAACTAACCCTATACCATGCAAGTATCTATCAAGTAGCTGCCCTACAACTTAAATGCAGATTTGAGATTTCATTGGGAGCACTGCAATGCATTGGCCACACCACTCCAGTTTTCCTCAAGTAGACAAGGACATTACTCGCACTAGAGGAAGAGAACACTGCCTCTATTAGCACCTAGATACTTCAATACGCAAAAATACTTCAACAGTCAAGTCTTTGTCTGGAGGTCTGAGAAAGATTGGAGTGATTAATCCGGCGAATCACTCCCTGTAGTTAACAAGTCAAGCAACATAAACCAGCAATAAGAATCAAACCCAGCTAATAGTACTTCGAAAAAATAACAGAACATACAGCAAAACCTTCTGCAGCAAATTGACCACCCAACAGTGCAAAATCCTAAACACCAAAGCAAGCTCGAGGAAAATCGATTGTGAGGGCATGAGAACCGGAGAGAAAGAGGAGAGATGTTCGAGAGTTACACACTACTCGAGCGCCGCGAGCACAAAGCCTGGTGTCTCCCAGAAACCCTCCTGAAAGATCCCAATGGAAAAAGGCATTTTTAACGTCCACGATGTAAAGGCCAGTCAAAATAGCTTGCTAAGAAACTAAAATAAAGAACAAAGACTATTCTGGCATCAGAAGAAAAGAAGTTACAGAATAACAAGCCATTAGACTGAGAATAGCCCTTGCAACTTATCGAAAGCACTGCAGACCTATCTAACATCCCATCAGATTCTACTCTTAAGAAAAAATTCCACCCTCTTTCTCCGTTACAAAAAGAACAATACCACCCTCCATAAAAAGCTCTAGCGCGGAGAAGGCACAAATCCCAAGACTCATTAGAAAAGCTATAGGGCAGGCCAATTCCACACAGTGTTGCACATCCAATATGACGTAACATAAGCGGGACATTTCAGAATAGAACAAGACTAATACTTTACAAAAACACGAATGAAGAAGAAGATACATAATAACAAAAAGGAACTAGTAGGTAAAAACGGCGTTTACCTGTTCAAGAGCAAGAAGCAAAGGCGAACTGCAGTGAAGTATTGGCACATCGCCGCGAGGTTGAGTGGAGAGCACCCACGCGGACTCTTCTGTTGAAAAAAACGATGCAGGTGGAAGGAATTGTAGTCAAAGAAGTGCCAAAGTAATCTTAATACAATCAAAAACCAAACGACGGCCGTGAGACCGCTGGCAGGAGGGGCAATATGCAGCAAGATCGACGAGTTAGAACCAGAGCAAAGGTCAGGAATACAGACCAGGAAAGCAGGAGATCCTATGAACTTGCGAAGCAAGACAAAAGGTCAACACCCCCCTCACCTATGAATAGAAGAAAGGAAAAAATGGAGTTCCAAAAATTGGACATCTGCAGCAATAAGATAACGTCAGATCGGGAGAGAAACAACGATACCCGATGATGCCGAGAATACCAAGAAAACACAACGAAGGGACAGATTAATTGGAACCTGTGGGTACGAACACAAACGAACAAAACAATACAGCGACGCAATAAAATACAATGGGTCAATGGGAAAAAATATAGAAGAAAACTAACTTCAAGGAACAGGCCACCATAAGCACAGAAGAAGGCAGCGAAATCAAAAAACAGCAGTAGAGACCCATCCACCAATATAAATGTTAGGGACCTTCATTGAATAAAAGTGCCCCTCCCCAACCTCAAGAAGATTCGATCTTCTTTCTCTCAAACTCCCGAGTTGTTGAGGGAGAGTCATCACAAAACGTCGAATGAGAATAGCCTCTAGGAGGTGGACATATAAGGAGCAAGCAAAAACAATAGGTATCTTTTATGCATTAGACGGCATAAACGAATAGAAATAAATGATTTTAATTCAGCACAAAAAAGAACAAAGAATAGGTAGAAGAGTCTCAGAACGAGTCGCAGGAAAGAGACAAACTAAGTCAAACACGAAGAATAAAAGCATCCCCACGAAAGAAGGTACAGAGATATAACCGAAAGCTTCAGGTTAGAGAATAAGCTAAGCACATCGGACCCTCAAAAATCAGCAAGAACTAACCAAAAGGGGATGAAACCGACTGACCAGGAACAAAGGTAACGATAAGAGTGGTCAACGACAAGATTCACAGCGCACCCTGAGAATAAGAGGAGAAAAATGAAGGTCGACGACAACATTCTACGACAACGAGACAAGGAGAGACCACAACGAAATGAACCCCAAGAAGCAACAGAAGCACATCAACCCACACACAGAGATTAATGATACTGTCATCCAAAATAAAGCGCCACTACAGACTCACGGCCTACTAACTTTCTTGTGCGTCAAAAGATCGAGCACACACAAAAAGGATAAGAATGTATCGAACAATTCAACAACATATATTTGCTAACAGGATAACAAGTTAAACCGAACACAAATGCGAGGAACAAACCAAAAGAGAAAACAATGGAATTAGATGGATATGAATTGTCAGCTTGGAGAGTGAACATCTTGACCAGTAGATGCGGACCGAGTCAGATCTGATGCACACTAATGAATGATAATATTGAGTCTTCAATTTGAGATTAGGCAAAGAGGAACTAGGCGTAACCTGTCATGTGATCGCAACTGAACACATTGACCACCTGAAGGTAGACCATAAACAAAGGCCCAAGCGAGATAATAGTTGGCAGCAGCACAAATGAGAATTACCTCAGCAGCATTAGAGGAACGCTATTCTAAGAGCTCAGACAATACTCAGCGCTAGGCAGAAATATGTTCAACATGTTGCAGAAAAATAAGTAATGCGATAAATCTGAGTGCCAGATTTTAGCTGAAGGGAAAAGCTCTGAGATTAATAGATTCATAGCAATAACACGTCTTATCCTGATACGTCATGACTAAGAAACAGATAAGAATGCCTTGTCTCCCGAGTGATTGGTCCGAGTACCAGGTATCTCCTCTCCTTCAACGTGCGGCTTGAAGGCAAACTTGAATATGGAGCGCACACCGTGAATTATTATCAGGAAGGGGAAGAGGATTATGAAGAAGTACCCAGACGTACAACGAGCCAAAAACGTTCTCCGTGAAGCAGAGGTAACTGGTCCCGTCGGCTGCACACCAGAAACTGTCGATTCGGAACAGTTTCAAAAACGGTACAAGACTCCGCAAAGAAAACTCATACAGCCCCCGTTCCGCCTTTGCAAATTTGCCTGAATCTTAACACGGGACTAAAAGGCAATAAAACATTAAGTCTCAGGAAATCTTTTTTAAATCCATGAAATAAGCTGAAGGGGCAATATCTCGCTGTCATCGGGCCTGATAAATCCTTGCAACCTCCAATCATACGAGACCGATTACCTTTCCCGAATACAAGATCCGAGAGAAATTCCCCATAATCTAACAAACCTCACAATGAGATTAATCCAACACTCACTGTCAAAGAAGGCGAATCAGTAAAAACTATATGCTACTCGCCCGAGAAGAACGACCGCCTACCTCATCAAGTTGGTGGATCATCAATAGATATCATCTTTCACAACTTCGCTAATATACACTCGAATGGTCCTAACTACCCAACAAACACCACACTATGTCTTTTCATATTACTGTTCGTGATTCGGATGCATTGCTCTATCGGTACTCATATCTCAGTATATATCCCAAGAATTCGTAAGAATCGACTCCGAGGAGGTCCATTAATTTATATCAAAAATCAAATCCCCTATCCAGCAATCGCAAGGAAATACGACATGACACGAAAGAAAATAGTCTTGTCAAGAAACACAGAGAGGAAAGCTAACTGATAAGCGCCACCATTGGACAAAAAGTGAGCCTTAACTCCCCAAAGCCAAAGATTCGGGGATCCGAAACACACCTGGCAAAATACTGCGACAAAAAACGTATAGCAGACACACCATTTCCGATCGGCCGGAAACAGCTGGACGCCGCCGCCAGCGCCGCGCCGTGGTCTGGTACAGAATCTGTATCGCCGCGTGAGCCCCCGCGCAGGGAATCCGTGGACCGGATCGGGGAAAGGACCGACGGTCAAGCTGGAGCGTCACTCTCGATGTGGGCGGTGAGACAAAAAAGTGACCCAGAACAGCACCACAGAGAACACACTCACATGCCACTACGTGCTATGGAAATCCGGTGACCGGATTTCGAGGGAATACCGCCGAAATTTTCTATGCAAACGCAAAAGAATCAGTAAAGATCCACAGGCCTGATACCAATGTAGACTTTTAATGCCCACAGAGAGTATTTCTATAATCGATCAGCATAGTTACATTATATAATAACAACGAACTATTAGTATCTATTTAGAATCAACTCACACCTAATAGAGTGTCTAAATACAACGCAAAAGAATCGATTTTACATCTCAAACCCAACAAATACATATACATATTAAAAACCACATGTTTCACTTTCTCTACTGAGATAATCCATGCGTGAAAAATCAAAGAACACTTTGGGAAATTTGAGAATTTTGGCACCCCCAAAGTATAGGTTCCCTTGAAGCATTCACATGGACATTAGGGATATAAATTTATTGAGTCAAAATGGAGTAAATCCGCAGAGGAAGAGCTAAGCACCAAGTATTCCCGGAGAGGAACCCAAACATACAAGATACTATAAACCTATTTAGAATCTAACTCCTAATAGAGTTCTATTTACAACTCCTAATAGAGTTCTATTTACAACTAATCCTTAACAAATACAATGATAATTTGAAAACCAAGTTTCCTTTTGCACATCATTCTGGCGTTTACATCAAGAACACTGAATTGAAATGCTACTCTGCTAAAAGATATGGTTCCCTGATGCATTCCATGTTTTCATAGAAAAATTAGTGGTCAATAAATGATAAACTCTTGCAGGGTGGAGGAACTTAGCACCAGGTATTCCAGGAGAGAAACTCCAATATGGAAAATGTAATTGGACTTGTTGGGGACTCAATTACAGTTAAGAAAAAAGAAGGAACACTGAGTAGGTGATTACCATTTATTATAACAACCAGCTTATGTGGAAGAACCAAATCATCCCAGACATAATGAGCAACAGAGTCAGATCCAAGAACCTCTTGCTCTGATGAATCCTGGAAAATTCTCAACAACAAATTAGAATTGTTACACATAATAATTTGACATAAGAATGTCCAACTGGAACTCATAGATAGGATGAAGGGAATAACAGCACAACCTTTTGATAGTAAGTGAGAGATGCATCACGTAAATGATTCTCAATCCGATATGGTAGATTAACATTTGGCGGTTTATAAAAATGCAACCCAAGGCTGGAACCTTCTTCTATCACATGAACAGAAGCAAATTCTGTTGTGTTGTTACTCAAAGCTTGAACTGGATTTGATTGTTTCCTGAATTTCAGGAAAAAGCATCCCAGTGAAGCAATGCATAATGGCCCTGACCAGCCTGATTCAGAATCATTCAGTTGAAACTGTATATATACTGATGAAGTATCAATATCATGCCTATGCTTCCTGATGACATTCTCAAAAATACTGAATTCCTTGCTCTTGCCAATACAATTCTGCAGTCGTAGTATTTTTCTCTCTTTACTGTTGATGTAGCTCATGTGTGCCATTCCGTCCTTTTCAACAGGAAAGGTGGTGAAGGAGAGAAAAAGGAGTAAGAGCACAAGTTATGCAAACTCACCAAACAAGTTGAATGAAGCACATATCTGTAACTGAAAGAATACCTCCACATAGCATTGACGGATAGTGATAGTTTCCTCTGACTCATTATATATAACATGCCTTGGGGTCATAGTTACAATTTGTGATGGAACTTCCACCACACTTGACGATGGTCCAATAGAAACTCCAAACTTTGTTATAAATTTGAGCCCAGATTCTTCTATTATCTCTAAGCTTAGCTCTGAGACTCCTGATAAAGCATCCAAGTCTAACAGCACCTCAGATGAATGGTCCTCCAACAATTTGAGCTGCATCTTGTGGGATCTGGTAAATGAAATTTTAAAATCCTATGAGATGATATCAAAACCTATAAAATGTATATACAAGGATGAACTTGACAATTATATGGCACTAAAAAAGGTATATGTATCTTACTTTAAAAACCATGACCTTATCGAATTTGGGGGGCAAAATAAACCTAATTCAGGAGGAATGCTGGAACCAAGATTTCTGACCTCACCCCTGCAAATAGCCATTCTTATCACGAACACAAAGGACAAACAAACCATGCTTAAAAGGTTCATTTATCATGCTTGGTAAGTACCTAGACAGAGGCTTCTGATTAGGAGCGCAGAAAAAGAGGGGAAAATCGGTGTTATTTCTCAAGGAATATGGTGTAAAAATAGCAGCCTGAAAAGGTTAAATAGTTAGTTTTACACCAAGATGAAAAACCACAAATGAACAGCAATCCAACTTATTTTAAGTGCCCTTGGAACTAGTGCACATAAAAAAAACAGTGAAGTTCATGAAGCTGTAACAGCATAACAACCTCTAGTGTGCCTCTGAACCCACGAGACAATCTCAGCAATGCAAAGTACTTTCCACCACCAAAATCTAGATCAATCTCCAAACAGTGGACATCATTTTTGTTCTTAATTAACTTCTTGATCCAATCACCACTATTCACTGGTTTACAGCTTGATCTAACAGCAGTTAAAGTGATTGTAAAATATATTAAGGCAGGATTAGCATAAAAATCTGCTGTTGATCCACATGCTATAGTTGCTTCCTTTCCAATATTGTCACTAACAGAGGTGGTATGCAGAGCTGCACCAAGATAAAAGTAATGAGTAGTGCTATTGCAAACAGAAGAATGATTGCTGCAGAACATTTGTCATTACCTGTCTCAGTTAAAAGCACATGTATCTCTGAGTGCAATAAATTGGACACTCGTACTGTAGGAAGAAGAAAAATTTCCTTTTGCTCCTGTAGTGCTACTGCTGAATTTATACCTTCAGAAGAATCACTAGACTTATCAGGATGTATCATGGGAACATCTCTTCTAATGCTTTGAATCAGAAAATGCAGGTTGTTGATAGAAGCATCTTCAGATCTGAGAGTACAATATGCAGTGCTAAAGGAACATTTTATCGATTCAGCGGATAAAGCCCTTCGAACTTTATAGCTCAACTTATCAAAAATTCCAGAAAGACAAACCGCCTTTCCACCTTTTAGCTCATCTGACCATTCCACTGAAAGTGCTCTCTTGGAATTTGAAAGGTCATCTGATATTTCAGGTCTGAAAGAAAACAAGAAGTTACCTGCAATTCAGTTACCAAAAACATAAGTCCCAAGAAATGTCAGAGAAAGACAAATACACATATCAAGGTTTTCAATTGTGGCTGCAGTGTCAAACAAATTCTAAATGTCTCATTTGGTCCAACCATGTTTTTTTTTTTTTTTCCTTAGCTTGCAAATGAAGGGAGTATAAAGCATCATGGCAGAGATTAACAACTAAAAGTTATGGTACATTTTATGCTGGCCTTATATGGAAAGCACATCCCACCTGGATCTATGGACATGAGGTTTAGGCCGCCGAGCCTTGAGTTTTCCAAGACTTTAGAAATATATTTTCATATAACATTTAGTACTGAGGCGAAACAAACACTACATGGACAGACATTCTTGCAAACAAGTGTAGACTTGTAGCATGCCCTTCACTCAGTAAGAAGTGCTTTTCTCGTGCACTGGGCAAGACCAACAGTGGGGGTTTTACCAAAACAACACCAGCTAAGATTCAAGTTGGAGATTTTGCTTACACCTCCATCCCACCCCCAACATGTGTATATGATTCCAAATTATTGAGAATTTTACATCTATATTTTGTTTTTTTTTTCCCACCTTGAATAATCTGGTCCTTATCATTTATAATTATAAAATTCCTTACCCTTCAGAAATTATGATAAAGTATGACATACTTTAGTCCCTCGCCTTTTCGGGTGAGAAACTTTTATTTCCCATGTTTGCAAAAGAAATAATCATTTAATCCCTAAAAATTTGGACTACATGAGCAACAAATCAGACCTCAAGGACAAAGTAGTTAATCAAAAACTTAGGGACCATAGTGTATACCATTCTAAAACTCTAAATAGAGGAGTAGACTATAAGGAATATAAAAATTCAAGGACCATGTTTAATTTGAAAAGAAAAAGAAAAGACCAACTATCAATATTGCCTAAACTTAGAAAGGTTTTGTCATTTTCCAAAAATAATAATACTTGAAACGTATCCATAGAATGTTCAAATTGATTTCATTAAGCTGTGGAATTACCAATGCTTAAAGACATTAATGCCTTCTTTGATCCACCAGACAAATTTATAGCGTCAAATGTTGCCATGGAATCATCAATTGAATCCCCCTTCTTCAGCAACATAGAAGCAAATACATTCTCATCTTCTTGAGGTCGTCGGAATCGTAGCTCAACGGAGAATTCAGTTCCATTATGTATTCTGGTTAAAGGAGAAACGGCAATAGACAAACCATCCTATAAAAAATGAAAATATGAAATATCATCAAGATAGTTTTGTTTTTCAACCTAAGGAAATCAAGCAGCAACTGGGGAAAATACCTTAGATTTTCTTGAAATATCAACAATTACAAATGGTCCAGGGTAAGCTCTTGAATCTGTTCAAGGAAGAAAAATGTTAAATGCAACCCTTAGAATCTACAAGTTTTTCATAAGGTTATAAATTGACCAAATCAGGAAAAGGGAAAATTTGATTTCATTTTAGATAAGGATAATTACACCAAGAAAACATATTTTAATTAGGATTTTTATTTGAGTACTAACAAGTTTTATCTGGTATCATGTATATAATTAAAAAAAAATTGAGCACTGACAAAATTTTATTTGAGTACCAACAAAGCATCACTTTTATTTGACCATCAATCAAGAGTTGCTTTGATGGCAAATAACAATGCACAGTGGATGTCTACAAGCTGAAGCACCATATGGAGTTATGAACAAAATGTTAAGTGCTCCTGAGTAGGTCACATGGCACACAAGTGATGTTTAGAAATAAGGTTGAGCAGCAAATGACAAGCCTGTGAAGCTGCTAAATTGAAGGTCATTGATTTCACTTTGATTTGATATATTTTTTATATGAAGTGGCTTTAAGCATACAAGGAATTAGTCAGATCACAAAAGGGTTCAAACTAATAAATCTTAGAAGGATTCAATGATTTAAACTCAGTTACCAAAACCAAAAATCGCAACTTAACATGACCAACTTAAGCATCCTAATGGAATACAGTTTCAATAAACTGTCAAATTTTTAAGTTTTTTAAAAAATGAACCAGGTTTTGTCATAGTTTTAAATTGGTACTTTAATCTTAGTTTCTCTTATAGAACTTCTTCATTTCTACAGATTTTACTGTGCAAAAGAATATGGAGAAAAAGAAAAGAGTCCATTTGGATAGCAAGTCATTTCAAATGATTGAGTATCTGAAATTCGGTATCAGATATATTATTGGAATCGGAAACAATTTCTGAAGCGTCTGCATGACCCCAATCCCAGCCTGATTTTACCTGCTGGAGGTTGAAGATGAATAAGACTTCCGATGCTGTCCTACGTTGTAACAACTAAGCCTTAATTCCAAACTAGTTGGAGTCGGCTATATGAATCCTTTGCTTTCATTCCCACTCTATTTCAACACCCATTCTGCCTTCTGTTGACAGAAAAAATTAATAATTCTCCTTCTCCAACAGTTTACAGAGGTAATTTACTACTCTGTTAGTTCACAAAGTTAGTTAAGCATTTTAATCCATGTCAGATTGGATGCCCCGTTGATACCAAGTGACTAATATACTAGCACTAGAAAGGAAGGGTTGTTTGTGTATGCCACACATAAGCTTATCTGTTCCTTTATTTAATTTTTCAACTACTTGATTAAGAAAAAACTTTGTAGGACTTGGAAAGATATTCATAACAACTGCATTCCCTTATGCTCAAAATATCCCTTTTGAATATGACAAAAAAGGAAAGTCCTTTTTCTTTATAGATAAAATAAAATTATGTGAAGAAACTAGAAAGGCATCGATGACCCACAAAGAATAATTAATGCCCCATTGAGAGCTAACATACCTGAAACTGACACTATGCGTGTTCTCCAAGCAAGCGTTTGAGATTTTAAAAGAGAAAGATGTAGTGAAGAAGTTGAAAAAGATCCAAGATTAGAAAGTTGAACAGTAACAAATGGTGCACCTTCTGGAGGTTTGCTTGCTAATACAGGCTGCCTTTAAACCACAAAATAATCATAGGTTATTGATCAATCATATATTAATCCACAATACATATACACAAAAAACAGCATGCATGTAATTTTGGACATTGATAGATCACCTCCAGGAAAAAGATTTTTGGAAAAGATCAACATGAAAGTTCAAAAACCACTGATTTTCACATGAGATATGAAAGGGTTAATCACCAAAAAAATGTAATGAAATTTTCTCCAATTTGCAGTAATGGCCTATGCTTTAGGAATTCCCAGTTATATCCTATTGTTTTGTTGTTGGATGCAATCATGGATAAACCACCCGAATAATTGCATGTAAAATTACTTTCAGATGTAATCATTAGGTAAGGACATATCATCAAAAAGATAAACTTAGTGCACTGAATTTATTAGCATGTTTGCTCAATTTACTCCATTTATATTCTGAAATTCTGGAAATATGAATGAAGATGCTTCTGGCCTCCCTGGCAGTACATTCATAATCAACAATTGATCAGCCTCAGGGTGAGTTTGAATTAAGGAATTGATTACAAGATATAGTCATTCCACTACAAGCTAGGATTAAAGGGGACAATAACTAATTTTATATTCCAGTTTTCACCAAATGGAAAAAAAGGGGAAGAACATGCAGCTGTGGTAGCAAATTCACAAGATTATAATTTATTTGTACACATAAGTTACCTTAAAAATACAGAAGCAGACTGTTTTCTGGCTATTGTCACACTTTTGTTATCATAGAAATTGCAAAGAAGATTTAAACCTGTCTGATTTTCCACCTGCCATGAAAAAATAGTTGTAAAAAACTTTTTGCAATATGCTAGAGAAAATATCACTATAACATAACAGAAGAGGAGAGTTGACTAACAGAAGAAATGAAGGGAGATAGAACAATAATAGAGAGTGTAGGCTTTCGGTTGTCAATAACAAGTGTAGCTCATTAAAAAAGACACTTAGCAAATGCAACAGAAACTCTCTGCCTGAAATTAAAGTTTACTCAGATAGCATAAATAGCACCAACTCCAACAGTAAATGTTCAAAAGAATCTCTTGAAGAAACATATCAGATACCAACATGCTCTCTGGCAATGTTGAAGGTATTCCATAGTTGGATATGAATTTAACCTACTCTTTTTTTTTTTTTTTTTGAAAAAAAAAAAAAAAAGTTTACTCAGTAGGGCATAAATAGCACCACTCCAACAGTAAATGTTCAAAAGGATCTCTTGAAGAACATTATCAGATATCCAACATTGCCCTTCTTGGCAATGTTGAAGGGTACTTGCATAGTTGGATTATTGAATTATAACCTACTCTTTTTTTTTTTTTTTTTTTGGAAAAAAAAAAAAAAAAATTTTTTTTTTTTTTTTAGGAAAAAAAAAAAAAAGAAGGAAATTCCATCGTGACAAGCAGTCTCACTGGCCCTTAATTATCAGTCAAATAATAGGAGGTCCCAAGATTTCAAGCTCCAAAAGGGATTCTCTGATCTAATGGCATATTGAAATTGCCAATGTTCCAATGCTTAAGCAGAAAAAAAAAGAAGTGGTGAAAATAAGTATAAATTAGCACATGGAAATATTGCAAACAAAGACACAACAGAAATGGACAGGAGTGGGATAAGAAGTAACAAAGGAAGTACAAACCTTGCAGCAATTGGCCGATATCAAGGAGTTCCTCACTGAAAACGGACCAGCCAAGTTTAATTCCCCAATGACAAGAAGTAGTATATCCAGCGAAACCTCAGTTAGAGATATGTCCCACTGTCAAGAAGCCAAAATGTAACTTGTATATTGTGAGAACCAAACCAAAAAAATTGTCAGAGAAATTATTTTTTGCGCATATGATTATTGCTGACCTCCTTAGTTCTGCAATAGACATGAACTGGTACTCCACGATGAACAGTTTCCAAACTTAGAATCTGAGAACTTGAACGGTAGAATATACAAATTTTAACTGGGCGAACAAGTTCTCTCCTACAATGCACAGGAAAAAGGGAAATAAAATAGGTATTTTCCCAAACAGTAATCAGTTTTAATGTAAAAGGCAACTAAATAAGAACATCAAACTAGTTATACTAGTCTTCCCAGAATAAATACTCACCAAGAATTTCTTTGTGCATAAAAATAATATAGAGAAGCACATGATGTACTCATAACTCTGGTTTTATAAGACAGAATTTGAACATTGATTTCTGCACTTTTTATGCAACCACGAAGGAGAGGAAACCTGTCCTTTGAATCTTGAAGTTCATTAACAATGGTCAGATTCAAATTATCAATCTCAATTTGAACACAAGGGAGTTTTCCACTCTGATAAGAAGTTCTGTCCTCCTTCTGCACCCTAGAATGCAGGTTGACTCCAGAAGTCTCCAAAGAGTACCTATCTGAAGTAATAATATTGTGACTCAAAGTATGGTCCTGGAATAGTTTAAACTTGAAAGGATTTCCAGGCTTCCTGACAAATTCTGGAATCCCATCGATAAAAGCAACAGCACAGTCATTCTTCTTATTGATCAGGTAAAACTTATTCCTAACCAAATTATTATATGGCTCCAATTCAACATCACCCTTGTAGCTTTCAGGCTCATTAGAGAGTGCTCTCCAAAGAGACCATCTGTTATCATTTGTGCTGGAGATGTCAACAACAACTGACCCAGGACGATAATTCAATCTCAAGGGTTCACCAGAATCATTCTTGGCATGCAACGAGATCAAGGAGAACCATAAAACTGATGAACTCCATATTTTTTGTTTGTGGTGTTTGACCTACAAGTAAGTTAGAAAAGAGGTCATAAAGTAAAGTCCAAAGTGATGAATTCCAAACACTTAAGAATTCTTTTCCTTTTCAAATAGAACTATTGTCACAAGTGACAGTGAAATGCTTTTAGTATAATTCAGAAGCATCCCTGTTGTGGATCCCTTTGTGGGCCGATCCTATGTTAGGAAAGGCAATTAATTTTGGCTGTTGTTTAGGGCTTGGCTGTCACTTTAGGATTAGTATTTTAACTCAAGCTGTCTACTCTCCTTTAGTATAGGAGTTGCATTTATTTCTATTTTTAAGGAGCCTAATTTATAAGTTTCCTATTCATGTAGTAAGTCTAGTCCTATTTAAAGGACAGTCAGAATAATAAAAAGTGAAGTCAGAGTTCCACTCAAACACAGAGATCTGGAGCTCTCTCGAGTGTGCATTCTCTCTGCACATTTTTAAAGGAGCCATGAGATTTCGTATAGTTGACTATTATTTGTGAAGCGTGCGTTAAGGTAAAGTTCTAGTCCCTTAGTTTATGTAAAGTGTTACAGTCAGAATAATAAAAGTGAAGTCCAGTAGTTTTACTCAAATCCAGAGATCTGGATGCTCTGCTCTCTGAACGAATGTCCAGGTTTCTCAAGTTTCCCCTTTGAAAGAGCTTTGAGGTAATTATCACAATCGGTCGCGAAGAAAGAATCATGGATCAAGGTAAGTTAGATAATCGCCTCTGTGACACGACCTATCTCGTATCTCTTAATCAACCCCCCTCTTATTGAAGAGGGGAAGAGAGGCACCGCAACTACCTAGAATGCTAGATTTTCAGTTCATTTGTATGTTCACATTATGATTCTGATGAATCGAATTAAAGCCAAATAACAGCCTATTTACTATATTATGTTCAGAATTACCATGTAGAACTAAAAGATTTTGCCCCAGAATGTTATAGATCATCATGACACATGGATTAGATAAAAGCGCTTCTTTGACAAATCTAGAATTTCTAACTACACAAATACTTGGACTTCTTCACCGTTCTCACGAGTGTAGTAAGTCTAGTCCTATTTAAAGGACAGTCAGAATAATAAAAAGTGAAGTCAGAGTTCCACTCAAACACAGAGATCTGGAGCTCTCTCTCTAACGAAGTCCAAGGTTTTCAAGTTCCCTTTGAAGAGCTTGAGTTAATTATCACAATCGGTCGCAAGAAGAATCAGGACAAGGGGAAGTTAATAAATCGCCCTGTGACACGACCTATTCTCGTACTCTTAACAACCCCCCTCTTATTGAAGAGGGTAAGAGAGTGCACCGCACCACCTTAGAATCTTAGATCAGTCATGTAAATGTCACATTAGATTCTATACAAATTAAGCCAAATAGACACCTATTTACTATATTATGTTCAGAAATTACCATGTATGAACTAAAAATTTTGCCCCAGAATGTTATAACATCATGACAACATGGATTAGAATAAAGCTTCTTGAACAAACTAGAATTTCAACTACACAAATAACTGGACTTCTTCACCTTCTCACGAGATTGAATTTGAACAGAGAGAGAAACAAGTCATGTAATTAATATATAGCACATACATTAATTAACTACGTGAGGCAGCCATTTTGATACCATAAGACAGACCAAGAAGGATGGAAAACTAGAATTAAAGATCCATGATCTGCTTATGCAACATGGTGATGCCATGGAAAACAGAGCACAAAAGAAAGCACAAAGAGTATCTAGTCTCCAAAAGGTGTCCTGTTCTGCGACAGGATCAGGCATATTGAAATTTAGTTTCATAACACCCCTTTAAAGTCCAAAACTGATTCACCAGACCGGTTCCAACATTGGCTTGCACATGGTTATAAGGTTTATGGAAGAAAATCAAAAGTTGCCAAAGGTCATCAAATATCTTTGCACTTAAAAATGATACCCCCACAACCAAGAAAGAAGGTGCAGGGGTAATTGTTCCCAAACCTACTTTTATTTCTTCTGCAATCAATCAATCAATAAATGATTACAGATCAAAGGAGGGAACAGGGAACAGGGAACAGGGGACAGGGGAAAAAGTCATTTGCAAGGTCCATTGAAGTACAAAATTAAGCATCTGAAAAAGCCAAGATATGCAATACCTACAACATCAAGAAGTAAAGCTTTTAGTGACAACCACTGACGAAAGGAGATCTCCAAAATAATTAAACAGACATGTCACATTTACTAATGCAAAACCCCAAAGCCACTACTAAAAATATGCAAACTATTCCAATTAGTCTACCAGTGAAGTGTACAAAAATTACCATGTCTGCATGCTGTGCCAAGGTCTTCAGATAGATAACAATATACACACACTTGTAAATTCTTTAAGAATTTATGCTTCCCAAAACTCAAGGTTGATGTGTTGAATGAAAATAAAAGTAATGGTGTTTGCTTACCCTAAAAAGAGCCTTTTCTCCAACAAGAGAATAATGGATTACACCAACCAAAGTATAGTTGTTTTCTCCTTCAACTGCAAAGTACATGTGTTCATGCACATCTTGAATTGCCACAATTGCACCTACACATGTCAAGAACAAAGTTTATTTCAAGTTCCCCCAAAATTTGGGATAGAGACTATAGACTTCTTGAACATGCATACCATTAGGAACCATATCTTCTAATCTTTTCTCTGCTTGGTTACTGGACCAGCTCCTTTGTTTGAGATCATTGGTTCCCTTTTTGTTGTATCCACCAGAGAAGGATGGAACGATTGATGAAAACATCTGACATGGTAGCCAAAAACAAGGAACAAACATGCTTTACTGACGGGACTAGGAAAGCATCAACAGCATAAACAATTGACTAGCAAAGCATCCACGGCATGAAAAATTTAGCATAATACAGGCCTAGAAACTTTAAGAGAAAGAGAAGCAACTAAATCACTTACCAATATTTCAGATAGAGAAATTGTCATGTCAAAACCTGAAACAGAGCCATTGCCAATCCAAACGTGATCAAGTGGCAGGGGCCCATTCTTGGGCTTCGCAGCTGATATGGAAGCAACTAATTTATTCAATATATAATTCCGAGGATTTGCATGACTTCCATCCATATGATGAAATCCCACGGCAGGATCTCTGGCTGTAAAATGAGATGATGACTCATTTGACATGGCAGAAGAAAAATGAGGAAATTGATTTTCATTTTTGGCAGATTCTTGAAGGACTTGAGAAAAGATTGACATGCGAGAAAGTTCAAATGTGAACCTCCTTTGCACGTTTATTGATTCAAGCTTCACAAAGACATCAAGCTCAGTCACAAGTTCCTGAAAACCACCTGTACCAAATGACTATTATGTAAACACTATATACAGCAAAATTATCAAATTCAACAGAAAACAGGATGTATACCAGAATCATTTTCGATAAGGAGAATAAGAGAAAACTGAGAGACATCTACAGTGGAAGTCTCAGGCATTTCCCAGCAGGATTGTTGAGTTTCCTGTGGTATCTCTTGGACATCATGTTCAGCATTTTCAACTTGTTTGGCAGATATTTTTACAGTTGATAAAACACTTGTTAAACAATGAAGATACAAAGCAAAACACCGAGCAAATATCACCGATGCTGTAGTTTCAACAAACAGATGACCACCCTGCTCAACAGTATAATGTGTGATTCCCATTAGAAAACAGTAAAATGCTGTAGATAATATCATAATGTCTCACTTGTTCCCCTCAGCTGAATCTGGTGAAGTCAAGATTCATGTGCAGAAAATCCAAAAGCACAAAACTCATTGTGCAACATTGCAATCATGTAGAAAAGATAATAAAAAGTTTCCTCAACAAATAAATTAAAAAGGCATAAAAGAGATAAATCAGTTTCCAATTAACTAGAGATAAAAGTCAGCACCTGTATTCTCCAAGAGATTGTCTGAAGATCACCACCTACTGAAAGCAATGATGTAAACTTATTGACCTGCCGTGCCCCAATCACAACATTCTTTATTGAGTGCCTCCCAACAAATATTCCGCTCAGTGAAACATTTATAAGAATCCATTGGCTAGAGGTTGAAGCTGAGGTACTTGAAGCAAAACCCAAAGTATGAGACTGTGCACTTGAGGTTTCAGAATCAGTTATCAAATGGGAGTTCTCCTCAATATTTAATGAGTATGCATCACCACCCAAAGTAGAATTATTTAATGAGTTGCTCATCCTATCATGAGGATGGCCCAACCCCAAAGATAATGTGAAATTAGACAGAGATAATTCATATAACCAATAATTAGAGTGTCGCTGCAAATTTCTAACTACAAAGTGATCAAAACTTTTTCCCATGTGATCTCGATACCTAAATATAACGGACTGGATTCCTAACAAATCAAAGAGAACTTCCACTTTCCTTTCTTCATAAGACATATCCACACCAGCATGATGAACAGAAAACCATATTCCATAATCATGAAAATCATGTGCATACAATTTTTGATGACTAAAAGTATCAAATACTTTTTTCCAATTCTCCCCCTTGTCACATAATCTAGAATTCTGAAGAATCACATCCACCGTCTTGAAATGAAAGGTAGCATTAACTGAAAACAAAGTACTATTATAAATCAAAGGCGCTCCCTCTGCAGTACTCTCGTCATTGTCAGGTTTTGGCAACACCTTACTTTGCCTTATAAAATCTCGAGGAGGCATATAACCGATCTTGTGAAAGCTATCAAAAGCATAAGAAACCACTGAAAATAAATATGCAATGACCTGGACAAAACATAATATCATCAATTGATGAAAATAAACTAACATGTGCTAGAAACAAAGAGATCTCCATAAACTGGTTTTTTTAAGAAAAGAGAAAACGGAAAAAGAGAAGGAAAGAGGGGAGGGGAGTGATAACAAAGTGCAAAGAGTTTAAGTATAAAATTTTCCCACTCAACTTAATTGCTGCTATTTCAAAGAGAAAACAATGGGAAAACATAATATTAACCCAGGAATAGATATGGAAATTTTGGACTTATGCTTTTTCTTTGTCTGTCGCACTATAGAGTCTTTGGATGGAGAAATATGTGTGTATATTCAAAACTCAGAATTTGTCCTTTAGTTTGTTGAGGGAGGAAGTGGTACTTTTTGGCTTCTACACATGCACAGGCTTTCTAAGCTTTTAGAAGGTTCTCTTAAAATGTTATCCAACTTCTTGAGGCTGTTACTTTCTTTAGCTTGCGATTTCTCGTTTATAGTTGCCTTTGAAGTTATATAGGAATGGCATCAAAAGCATTATTATTGTAACCCTTGCTTTTGCCGTGTCAATGCATACTGCATTCTCGTTTTCCACCATATATCAAGGTGTGATCAAACACCAAACGTTTATCACTGTCATGTGGCAGATAATATTAGTTGAGAAAAACTGGTTATAAGGTAAAATTATGGCTGACATTCTACCAAAACTTAAAAATAGTGATTTTATTGAAATAAAAATATTCTTAATTTGGCACTAAATAAGCTGAAATTAAAGATAAGTCCAATGGCAATTGGTTGGCTAATTCATAAAAAGATTATTATATCATACAATTGAATTTGGTTTGCTATTAAATATTATGCAATTAGGATATACTTTTATCATCTGTTAATACTAAAAAAGATTTTGCAAAAATGCACAATGCTTTGGCTTGTTAGAATGAAATGTCAAAATATTTTCTACAGAGGACCTCAATCTGCTTTTCGTCAAATTCTAGTGGAAATATTTAGCAAGGAAACAAAGTCACAATCACCTGAAACAAAGCATGCAACTCATCCATATGTGAAATGACTGTAAATCCCGAAGCCCTCCCACACAAGGCTGCAGAGAAAGCCGTGATCGTACTACTAAATGAATGAACACACTCCCTGAAACAGGTGCAAAATTTGTTCTTCATCAAGATAGCATGCATAATTTTTCAGTAAAATATAGAGACATAAAGAAAAAGAACTTTTTACTTAAACAATTCCATAATTCCCAATATATCATCAACGTCAAGAACGTAGTGGAGGTAAGATGGGCAGTTGGTCAGATCTAGTATGGATCATACACGGACATAATAATAAAAGTAGAGAAGCTTTTGTGACCACTTTAAGTTATAAATGAAATAAGAAAATGTGTACCCAATAGAACGAAGGAACAAAACTGACAAGCATGAAGTTATCTAAGAGGTAAGTTATGACTTTCCAAAAGAGTAAGGAAAGAAATATCGTTCTGCAACATTAATGTATCTCCAAATAATAAAAGTTCAAAAAATGTAAACAACTCATGGAAGAACAGAAGAAAACAATCAAGAAAAGATAAAATCAAATCTTGAAAAGCATTCCCCATTTTACAACCTCATTATGCTCGCTTGTCAAGTTAATTACTTCACCCTTTGTATGCAAAGTATCAGGCTCAAAAGAGAATTGCGTGGCATATGACAAAAGAAATTAATGAATGAACAGTCTTCTTAGAAATGGTTGATAGCTATGATGGCTACAAGCTAGTTTAACTAGTAAATCTTTTGCATTGAAACTAGCAACTTTAGAACCCAATACACTCAGATTTAAGGTGGAAGGGACAATGGGTGAAGGACTACCTGCTGTTGACTAGCTCAGCAACTGATCAAAAACCAGGAAAAAATGTTCTTGCCCAAAAAATATGAGTGAAGAGTGAAAGGAAGATGCTCCTAAGGAAAAACATATGAATATTTACACCTCAAGCAACAAAAAAGATGAATGAAAGAGAAATTGGCACTGTAAAAGCAAGTTGTGAGAATTTATATTTGCAAAACCAAAACAGAAGCCCAAAATTATCCTACCTGAAAAATGACAACTGAAAAGCTATTGGCTTCAATATGAGAATCTGGCTCTCCTGTATGTCTGTCGAATCTCCCATGTAAATGTTCAAACCATTGACCCTCAGGTAAGACCTGAGTGAAACACAAATTTGAGAAGCATACTTCTCATTATCTGATTTAGGAATTTCAATTATCTTAGGCTCTCGCGACCTATGGCATTCTGTTTCTGCATCAGCAAATCCTGGCAATTGAGTTAATGCTAAATCAGATTTTGAAGTTGGCCGAACAACAGCCTCAATATTCTGGATATCAAATCCAAGGTTAATGTCATCCTGGCCAACTGTATAATGCATGTTTTTTTTCCCATTCTTCGACTCAATCTTTCTCATTGACATCTGGATGTGAGGACCAGTTATGAATACACCAAGTTGAATACTTTTCCCTGGAAGCATTCTAAGCAAGTTCAACTTCAGTCTAGTGACAAAGCCCTCGTATTTACCTTCCCAACTAAATTCTTCAGTGGTTGGAGTTGGATGTGAAAGAACACTTCCTCTTCCATTGTCCTCAGTCCATGTTAGAGCATGCTTTATCTGCCCAAGCAGGATAGCCATTGATATTACTGATAAATATCCCAGAGCTACATTTAATTTTCCTACTACCAAACAGCATTTCCAAAACCCAGGATCTGGACTCTTCGGGCCTGTATAAATCAATTTATTTTTTATCTCAAATAGAAGCCATGGCTTTTGCAAATACTCAATCTCATTCTCCTCATATTTGGTGTGAGCCCTCTTCCAAGCTGACCACATTTCTCCCAGCAAAATTTTTAAATGTGGACTACAAGCACTTTCAGCTTGACCCACAGCACTAGTTTCACTAGATTGTGAAGGGGAAAATATTTGTGCAGGCTCACCCCAAAGAACAGTTTTTAAATTATCAACCCTCCTACTTCGATTTCCTTTCACAGAACTAATATGATGTTTTAAACAGCTGTCCATGATTGTAGCCCCAATAACAGAAAATGACTTAACCTTTAACTGCCCACAGGAAATTGTCAAAGACTGTCCAAAAATTTCATCGACATACACTAATAATACTGCATCAATTGATAGACAGAAAGAGTGTACATCAGAATGAGGAATCCCAATGTTCAATTCCATTTTTTCATCAATATTCTGCATTTTGTTAGCTGGGGAAAGAGTGATTGAGATTTTTCCAAAGTTTAGCAAGAAACAATATTGTGGACAATGATCCTCAGAAATGATTCTCTTATGCCCATCAAACTTCTGTTCTTGAAGGAAAAACTTTATTGACAAGAAACCATGTACAATTAAGAGGAATATTCTGCATATAAATTTCCAAGTGATTACTAGAACTGAAAGGATTATGGAGAAAATTTTGAACCAACTATAGATGGAGGATTCCATATGACCAGATTGATCATGTTGAATGTTCAAAGCCGCTCTGTATCGGGCTACTCGCCGTGCCTGGGCAATCGCTTCCACTGGTAGCTCCTTCTCAATACGAGAAATCAACTCCCAATTGTGAGCAACTGAACTGAGATTGTCTCGGAAAATCTCAACAGCAGGCTTTTTCAATGTGTTGACTGTAGAATATCCAATGAAGGAAAGTAAATGCTCATAAGCATTGAGATAACGTAGCCACAGACAAACCAATTCAACTAAATTATGCAATGACAATCTGGGAGATGAAATCACATATCCTAATCTGTTTGCAGCTAGTCTCCAAAGATGTCTACCATTTCTGGTACCTTTTGATTTTTTTGATAGTAGATTTTCAAATGTTGACAAAACAAGGAGATCAAGTGGAGAAAATGAAATATTTAATTCTGGAACCAGGATACTGAATTCTGCCAGCTGAAGATCATTCAATTCAATGCATGACGATAAGTCTGTGGAAGTAACAAGAGAGTTCTTCATATTTTCCACCTCATATCCAATTCCAAAACCTCCAAAATTGATAACAATAGTAGTTTCTTTTACTGGATTAAAAATCGCACCAACAAATCCTCTGAGAATACATCCATGCTGAAAATACTGAGATTCACCATTAAACTCCTTTAGTTCAAGCAAACATACTAGGGCATCGTTTAAGATGGGAACTTGCACTTGCAGATTGGTACTAAATATCTGTAAATGGCAATGTTTGAGAACAAGGTTCAATAGCGAAGTTGTAAAACGATTTCTTGTGGGAGTGGAGACCAAGATCCTCTCCAGCACATTATGCAAGGCGCTACCCTAGTACATATACAACAAAGTTTCAGTAATTCACTCAAGTTTAGCCAATAATGTAACTAAAGAGGTCTTCAATCTTCACTTTCTCAATGTGCTTAGCAGAAGTAACTGTTAAAAATAAAAGCAAACATGTTTTCCATCTTATAGAGTTAATTTTAACCAATCAATTATTACCACATCTCATGTACTGACATTGCATACTATTATAACAGCTGACACAATCAAAATAACAATCATAATCTGTTAGCATTCAGTCTTTGGTACCAGCATTTATTGAATTGAATCCCATCGTCAGGCCATAGGCATAGTTTCTATAAACATAGTTCATGATCCAGAAACTTGAGCAAATGTACCATTATCTAAACAATATAAAAATACCTCAGGATCAATCTCAGCAACAGCCTTCTTTTTTTCCTCATAAACCTTCTCACTCGATTTCCTCGAGCGCATTGAACTGCTCTCCTTTTCTTCCCTGCCAAGAAAATAAACGAGCAAATGAACTAAAACTCAATCACAAGGAAAATGTAAACACATACAGTGGCAGTATTTTACTATTTTTTTTTACCCTGCCAGCAGAGTGACACTGAGGCCGCGAACTTCGATTTTGAAGGCAGGGACAGACCAGTTGGAGAAGCGAACACTAACCTCTTCAACACTGACCTCTTTGAAGGAGAAGCGAGAGGAATCGTCGAGGAGCCGATTAAGAGCAGAGGAATCAAAGCTAAGGTTCTTTGAGCTTATTCTAGAGTTTATGAGGCCTAATTCCAGTTCAAACTCCGGTTCCTCTAACAGCCATGGCTGCAAGAGTGACGCAATTCTCCGCCTGACTATGCCGTGGAAGAACATCGGCGAATTGGGCGATAGCTTCAAGTTGGGGAAAGGAATTGTGGTTTTGGCATTCGAAAATAATAATAATTGGTATCGAATCTTTCTCGAGAATCAAACGGGTAAGTCCTTTTTGCCCTAAGCTGCGATCGTGGAGTTTCTAAACATGATCACCGATTTTGGCAGACCCAGGCGCGGGAACTTAACTGACAAGCATGTATCACACGAATGCACACGCGTTGGTATACCGATAATTGTCTCATGGATATTTTTTTAGCTTCACTTCGCATGTCACATTTTTCCAAATCCTTTGCATGTCCTTAAGTTGTTATCGGAATAATATTCATCCATTGCGAATTATGCGTGGTGCTGTTAGTCTTCTCGAATTCTTTAAAACATTTAAAATAATAGATTTTTGAAACTACAATCTCGTAACTCATTTGTAAGTAAGAAAATTTTTTTTTTTTTTACATTTAAAATGATAGATTTTTGAAACTAGTAACTCCCTTGTAAGCAAACATTTTTCTTAAAATTACTATGCTCAATTTCAACTATAAGAAAATGTTTTCCTTAAATTAGTAGGCTTAAAATTTGCTTAATTGATGTCAATGTCTTTTATAAAATAAGAAATATATTTTTTAAAGTATATATTTATTTTAAAAATAAGTTATTTTCTGAAAAAAAAAAGCTATATTCACGTTCAATATTATTAGTTTTTTTTGCTATTAGTTTTTCTTTTTTAGAATGATGATAGGGAGAACAAATATTTTTTACCATCATCTTATTTTATTTATTTTGGATTTTAAGAATAAAATACATATAAATTTGTTAAAGCCAATCACGTGTGATTTGGCTTATTTACACATTTAAACTCTATCGACCATAAAATTTTCTAATTTATTAGTGAATTAAATAGAAGATTATCCCTAGTGCTACTATCAAGCCTCCTAATAAATAAAAAATAAATAGATTTGTGTTAATTAATAGTAAATAATAATCAATTTGAAGAACTTACAATTTTCTTCGGTGTAGCATGAAATATAGAGTAGGGAAATTTGTCATATTAATCTAAGAGGAAACACTTACCTATACGTGATGTGTCTCTTATATATAAAATTAATGAAAAATAAGTTTTTATTGTAATAAGAATATTTTTGACAATTCACTCGAAAAAAAATAAAAAATAATAATTTAGAACATATTTACTCATTGTATGGACTTATCAGTTTTGGTTCAAAGATGCTATTTAAGGGGAAAAAAAGAAAAAAAAATGAAAACACCCATAATGCCATACACTAGTCTTGTCCTAATCTAGTTATCATTAACAGAACCTTCTTCAAGTGGGATAGAGGCTTTCCTTCTTCAAGTGGGATTGGAGCTCTCCAATCTATTTATATAGTTTGGTCTATAAGGTTCTAAATTGTAAACAAATTAGAGCCTATTGAAGAAGTCAAAGGTCAGTTCACCTGTTTCTTCTCAATTCCATTTCCTTTTTCACCTTTTTTTTCTCCGTTCATTAAACCTTACCGCAGAGCCTTTACCGGTTTCTCCCATTACACACCCAAAAATAGGTTCAATACACATACACTATAAGTTAGTTCTACAGATCATATAATCCCTTTGCCAGCTTGTTGCCCCAATCTTTGGCCACCTCAGCCACGAGGAACATTGTTGTAACCCGTGAAAATTATTCAATCCACGTGGCATAACATCATCCCAAACCACAAGATGGTTAGTTTTGATTGATGATTACTGTCCTTAAAAAAAATTTTCCAGTAATATTAAAAATAATAACAAAATCTTTAATAATGGGTCGTTGGGTAGTTTCAGTGTCGTTTTTACCCAAAGACCATCTGTTCCCTTCTTTGGCTTTCTTGTTCTTTTCTTTACTTTCCGTTCCCTTCCTTTCCGGTTTCCCACTTTATTCCTTATTGTTATCTGTTACGGATTCAATTTTTAGTTTGCTGTATTGTTGTTCTTCGTTAACGTTGTTATTCAAGATTAATAGGAATATAAATTCTTCAATGAAGGGGACGACGATAAGGAAAAGAAACAAAGCAGCGGTTGATCGTTTATTCTCCCATCAGGAGAAAAGCGTCACCGGCCCCTGCAACTATGGACACCGTGTCATTAACTCAGAAGGTGACGGTTCCAATGTTTTAAGCGGCCAAGATTTTTCTTTCTTTGATTTCAACTTAGGTTCTTTTGCTAATGATTTTCCTTCATCCCCGCTAAGTAAGTCGCCATGGTCGTCTCATTTTAACCTAGACTTTGAAGGGAAAGAAAAAGAAAAAGGTGATCGCCAAATAATAAAAGTGATTTCTTCTAACGTGCTAATGGGGTCATTAATACGTGAAGAAGGACATGTATATTCAATGGCGGCTTCCGGCGATGTTTTATATACAGGTTCTGACAGCAAAAACATTCGGGTATGGAAAAACCAGAAGGAATTTTGTGGGTTTAAATCAAATAGCGGGTTGGTGAAAGCAATAGTAATAGCAGGAGGTAAAGTATTTACAGGACATCAAGATGGGAAAATTAGGGTATGGAATATATCATCCAAGAATCCAAAGATTCACAAACGAATTGGAACACTACCAAAATTTAAAGATTTTGTTAAAAGTTCAATAAAACCAAGTAATTACGTCGAAGTTAGACGCAATAAAAATAGAGTTTGGCTTAGACATTTTGATGCCATTTCATGTTTAAGCTTAAACGAAGATAAAACACTTCTTTACTCATCTTCTTGGGACAAGACATTCAAAGTATGGAGAATTTCAGACTTGAAATGCCTCGAATCAGTAATCGCTCACGATGATGCTATTAACTCTATTATAGCAGGATTTGATGGTTTAGTCTTTACAGGCTCAGCAGATGGAAAGATAAAAGTTTGGCGAAGAGAATTACTAGGGAAAGGAACAAAACATTTCTTTTCACAGACATTACTAAAACAAGAATATGCAGTTACAACAATGGCAGTAAACCCTGAAGCAACAATCATTTACAGTGGTTCATCAGATGGGTTAGTTAACTATTGGGAAAGGGAAAAAAATCTTTCACATGGCGGTGTTTTAAGAGGTCATAAATTAGCTGTTCTTTGTTTAGTAACAGCAGGAAGTCTTGTTTTTAGCGGATCAGCGGATATGGGAATTTGCGTTTGGCGAAGATTAGGGAGTGATCATGTATGTTTATCGTTGTTAAATGGACATACAGGACCTGTTAAGTGTTTGGCAGTAGTTGGGAAAGATCACGAATCAATCTCCGGCGGAAAACGTTGGATTTTATATAGCGGTAGTCTTGATAAATCGGTGAATATATGGCAGGTATTGGAAAATGCTCCACCTGTGGCTTGGAATGGGTGTGCTAGTTCCATGCCAGTATCTCTACCAGCAGCTCCAAGCACTAGTCATGAAAGAATGAGGCATTTAAGACATTAGAGATGGGAAAAAAAGGGCTTTTTTATTTTTTTAATTTCTTCCCTGTGATGGATACATGTGCATATGTGCTAGTCTTGCATGTCTTATTTTTACGAGGGATTGATGGTTCATCTTTGTGTAATTGTGACAGTGAGGGTAATTATTAATTAAACAGGGCAAATTGTAATGCATAGGGCATATGAGTAAGTGAATTGAATTTTTAACAAGATTGTTCGTGTTATTTCCTTTTTCATTGTCAAAGGTTGAATGCAAGGATGTGTGTGGCCAGCACGTTTTTTTATTTTTTATTTATATATGAGAGACAACTTTCGTGATATAAATGACTCAAAATTAATACCTTTTTCTGTTCATATTTTTCACAAGATGTAAAAAAATCATATTCAATAAATAAGTTTTTTATCTTTTGACCGACCAGTGAAAAGAGAAAATAAAAGTCTCGCCTTATTCATGAAGATAGATGGAACCATTTTAGCTTCAAAAGGGAAAAGAAATAGTATGAAAGGAAAAGATGTGAAAGATAGCGAATTATACAAGTTTATCTCTAAACTGCAAGAGAAAATTTTTTACATATAATATCATTTTAGTGGAAAATGAAATTACAAATAAAGGGACTCTTAACATATATATGAGAAAGTATCAGCATCAAAAGTCTAATTATTATGCATGTGTATTTGATATTTATTTGTAACTAGTTGGTAGAAGGTTTCTATCTTGACTTTTATAATTGGACTTAGAATAATCCACTGAGCTCAAGATGCCTATAGGAATCAGAAAAGATGACAAATAAAGAGAAACATGCAACAGTTATTATTATTATTTCAAAACTTTTAATTGGGAATCCATAGTTTTGTTATTCTTTAAATGGAATAAATCCCTAAACCATAATGCATGTACGAAGTTAAGGTTAGTTTTTTTTTTTTTTTGGATTAAAAAATTCCTAAATATCACTCTTTGCATCCACTATTTTTTTGTTTTGAAATTTTTACAAAAAGAATAAAAAAATAAATAGTATTTTCTGATTCACCCAATATATGTTATTAGTAGTGATTTGCAGTGTAGTTTCCTTTTATTTATAACAATAATTATCATATTAAAAATAGATAACGATAATAACATATATCGCACTACCCTTTTATTATTTAGTCATAAAATAAAAATCCATATTACTTGAATAAAAATTGATAAATCGACAACAAAAACGCATGATTTTTCTTAATTTCTATCCCAAAATTATGTTGAACTATTATCATGAGATAAAAATTAAAAAAAGAAGCATTTTAATTATAACTTTTAACTGTACAGTAACAAAATCCAGAACAAGCCGGTAAAAATGGTTCAGAAGTTGCAGTCCCTGATGGGTCAAAATACTAATCGTTATACTCCATATTTACTGTTCTCACGGAATCCTCGTGCTGTTGTTCATCTTCAATTCAAAGATAAACAAAACAAAGCAAATTCCCTGACACAACGTTGTGGTCCCCACCACGGTCCAAAATCCTATTTTATTTTATATATATATATATATTATATATAAATCGTTATACTATCTCAATATTTATCTGTTCTCTTCACGGAATCCTCGTGTGTTTGTTCGATACTTCAATTCGAAAGATAAACAAACAAAGCAATTCCCTGACACAAAGTTGTGGTCCCCACCCACGGGTCCAACAATCCTATTTTATCTTTAGATTATATATATAAAATACATATATATAAATATATATTCCGTCTGAATATTCCTCCAACAATGTAAAAAAGACAAAAGTTTCCTGTCCCCCACCATTACAACAATGCCCCCCACCCTTTCACTCTATTCATCGACAACAACCCACCCAAAAAAACTTTTTTTTTTTGAAATAAAAAAATTAAGAGTCATCTCTCCTCCTTTGTAGATTTTCGCTGTAGATTAGTCCGTCCTCCAAGCTCCCTGTTTTTTCTTTGGCTGTCACTCTCTTTCCTTTTCCTTTCTTCAATCCCATTTTCCGATCCTTCCCAAACAACACTCCCAATGCTTTTTACTTTTTTATTTATTTATATTTTTAAATTTTCTATCTTCTCCAAGAATTTTTGTTAAACCATTTTGTTCCTTCTCCTTGTTAGGACTACTTATAGCTACTTAGAAAACCAAATATTTTCTTTGTCTTATAATATATATAATATATATCCTCTGATTCCTCCACCAATGTAAAAAAGACAAAAGTTCCTGTCCCCACCATACACATGCCCCACCTTCACCTTTCATCCAACAACCCACCCAAAAAAACTTTTTTTTTTGAAATAAAAAATAAATCATCCTCCTTTGTAGATTTCGCTGTAATTAGTCCGTCTCCAAAGCTCCCTGTTTTTCTTTGCTGTCACTCCTCTTTCCTTTTCCTTTCTTCAATCCCATTTTCGTCCTTCCCAAACACACCCATCTTTTTTACTTTTTATTTATTTATTTTTAAATTTTCTATTTTCTCCAAGAATTTGTAAACCATTTTGTCTTCTCCTTGTTAGATACTTATAGCTACTTAGAAAACCAATATTTTCTTTGTCTCTTTTTGTTTAATTTTAAGCTTAAGCCAAACCCAATTTCCCTCTACTTCCAAGCAAACCCTTATTCCATTGCCTTTTTAGTTTCACATCTTTCTTTCTTCTCTTTTTCTCTCTTTTTATTCTTTTTTTTTTTTTATTACCTGTAAACAAACCATAGGTTACTCTTTACTGTTCATTTCTAGCTAGCTAGATGATTGAGCTATTTCCACTTTTGATTCAAATTTGAGCTTAAAGAAGCAATATAAAGTTACACGGCTTCTTCTCTTTAACCATGGTTCTTGAATTTAGGGTTGCAATTTAACGGTTCTTGGATTAAACAAGAAACAAAGTAAGTGAAAAAGAATGCCACCGGAGACCGAAGAGGGTGTTCAGTACTCCTTCGCTTTGGAATATAATGGCCCGCCGTTACCTTATGATATCCCACGCGCTGTTCCTATTAACGTCAACAAAATCCCGGTAGCCGCCGTCGTTTCTCAGCTTTCTCTCCCTGATAAACTCTCTTTGCCGGTCGTTAAACCGCTGTTACCTGCCGATCCAGGAAAAAACGTTTCTAAAGAGTTAAAATCTACCGTCTCTCAAAATGAACCGGCATCCGATGTAGCGCCGGCGACAGTTTCTCCGACTTCCGTTATCGAGAGAGCTACAGAGAGTAATCAAGATTGTGGATTATCCGGCGAGCTTAGTAGCTCAGGTGCGTTAGAGTTTTCTACTGGGCGTTATGGGTCGTCTTCTATTAGCAACGAGCTATCAACTGAGTTGATAAATGGGGCTAGAAGCTCCAGTACTACGGAGTTCTCTGATAGTTTTGATAATAAATCGCGGGAAAGTTCATCTAGATTGAGGGTTTCGCATGAATTAAATCAGGACTGGGGGTCAAATGAATCGGTTTTGAGCGTTGATTACCCGTCTTCGCGGGTTTCTAGTCTTAAAGCATCTGGGGAGTGTCATAACGAGATCAACGGGGATGTTAGGCGCGCTCAAGTTGTTACCTTTCGGGATGTTGAATCAGATAGTGGTGTTGGAGTTGGCGCTGTTGATGATAATGAAGAGTTTAGTGAGGAGGAGCAGAGGTTTGTGCGGGTTAAAAGAGAACCACAGAGTAAAGGAAAAAAAGGGACTTGTTATAGGTGTTTTAGGGGGAACAGGTTTACTGAGAAGGAAGTGTGCATTGTTTGTGATGCAAAGTATTGTGGTAATTGTGTGCTTAGAGCTATGGGTTCAATGCCTGAAGGAAGGAAATGTGTTACTTGTATTGGGTATCCCATTGATGAAACGAAAAGAGGGACTTTAGGGAAGTGTTCGAGAATGCTTAAGCGATTGCTGAATGATTTGGAGGTTAGGCAGATAATGAAGGCTGAGAAGTTGTGTGAGGCCAATCAGTTGCCTCCAGAATATATTTGTGTGAATGGAGTACCTCTTTGCCATGAGGAGTTGGTTGTTTTGCAAACTTGTCCAAACCCGCCAAAAAAACTGAAACCTGGAAACTATTGGTATGATAAAGTTTCTGGTCTTTGGGGAAAGGTGAATATAGTGTATAATTTTTAAGAATTACGTTTTTTTCACAATTCAATTCAGTTTCTTGTGGCACTATGGTGCTTGATTATTGTGTTAATTTAAATTTGATAGGAAGGACAGAAACCTTCCCAGATCGTAAGTCCTCATTTGAATGTTGGCGGTCCTATTAAGCCGAATGCTAGCAATGGAAACACACAAGTATACATCAATGGACGGGAGATCACAAAAGTAGAGCTTAGAATGTTGCAGGTTGGAGTTTATATGTTTGCCTCTTTTTGCTCCTTGCTCCTTTGAATGTTGATCTGAAGAGGTTATTAAGATTGTTTGGTTGAACGTTGCAGCTTGCAGGAGTTCAGTGTGCTGGAAACCCTCATTTTTGGGTGAATGAGGATGGGTCATACCAAGAAGAGGGGCAGAAGAACACCAAAGGTTACATTTGGGGCAAGGTATGGTGTATGTGTGAATGTGCTTCTTGAACTAGTTTTTCACTTTTCCAGTTTTATCTGTAACAGGTCATTCATTTATCTGTTAAACTAATTTTCAGGCAGGAATGAAACTAGTTTGCACTTTCTTATCACTTCCAGTTCCTTCTAAATCTTCCAGTTCTTCTGGAGAACAAGTTAACAGTGTATTAAGCAGAAGTGTTCCAGATTACCTTGAGCAGAGAACGCTTCTCAAGATTCTTCTAGTTGGATATAGTGGATCTGGGACCAGTACTATTTTTAAGCAGGTAGTTTGGTAAGGGAGACTTGGGGTGATACACTTGCAATTCTTCCTATTTTATTTGTACAATGGATGACCTGTCTTTGCTGAATTCCACGTATGGTTTCTGTTTACTTATTTCTGGCATTTTGAGGATTTCATAAGTTATTAGGTGCACATTTTTGCTGGGCTTCTCATAATGTACTACTTCATGTTTGAGAGGAAATTGTTATAAATGACCATTCTCTAAAATTCTAGCTTAGTATAATGGACCTGTGGATGCATATTGTTTGGGTTTGTCTTGGTTTGTTCAATTACTTCTTGGGGGAATATTGGTCTTAAGGTGTTACTTAATCTTTAAAATTTAGCGTGCATATGTTCTAACTGGGAGGTTAGGAACACAATAATATCATGCTTGATTTACTGAAATCTGAAATGTCTTTTTCCTTGAAGGCCAAGATTCTTTATAAACCTGTTCCTTTCACTGAGGATGAGCGCGAAAATATTAAAATGACAATTCAGAGCAATGTGTATGGGTATCTTGGTATACTCCTTGAGGGGCGTGACCGTTTTGAAGAAGAAAGTTTGGCAGAAATAAAGAAAGAGCATTCTGCTGATAAAGCTGACCCCAATGGTATGTATGCCTTATGAGTCTCTTCTATAGTTATATTATCTACCTTTTGACCTGTGCAGATGCGAACACATGCAGGCCTGTGTATACATATTTGAATGTGTCTATGCATTGAACACTTGATAATGTGTGGAATTGTTCATTGCATCCTTCCTCCTTTCTGATATGGACTTAACTTTAAATGGACTGAGCAATAGTGCTTATTTTTGCCTAAATTCAGTAATGAACTGGTTTATCTGTGGCTTAAGGTCTGCTAAGGACCTGAAACAAAAACTTGATTGATAACAGGGGCTACCGATTGCAAAACTATCTACTCAATTGGTCCTAGGCTTAAAGCGTTTTCGGATTGGCTTCTGAAGATTATGGTGTCAGGAAACTTGGAAGTGATTTTTCCAGCTGCGACTCGAGAATATGCACCATTGGTTGAAGAGTTGTGGAAGGATCCAGCCATTCAGGCTACATATAAGCGGAAAAATGAATTGGAAATGCTACCTAGTGTTGCTACTTATTTCTTAGAAAGGGTAAGATCATGTTTGAGGTTTCTTTGCTTGGTTAAATGGTGGTTATTTTTTATTATATCTATGCTTCTTTCATTGGGACCTGAAGTGCTTTTCCCCCAATATGATGGTAGTGAGTTGACTTTTTGTTTGACAGTGGTGTTGAAAAATTACCTAGAAAAGAGTAAAGGATTGTGATTTAAAGAGACTGAGACTCTGTAGAACACAGACTCCTTTTGCTTTGATCTTTTATGTTTACCTGAGTGTGTCATGCGTGTTGGTAGTATGTCATCAAAGGTCTAGAAGTTTTTGGGGTTTGTGATGTTGTCTTTGAAGCTGACTCTACTGAGCCAACTGCAGCTTGAGGTTGGGCCACATGACAATATTTGGGCTAAAGGATGTGGTTGATTAACTGTTAATGATCCGTTGTCAAACTGTCAAGTAGTATATTAATCTCAACCTACATTGCAGCAGCAATCTTCTTGTTTCTATTAAACTCATGTGGATGATGAAGTCTTGCTGTTGCTAAAAACAAATTTTCTTTCTCCACAGGCTATTGATATATTGAGAACGGATTATGAGCCCTCAGATTTGGATATCCTATATGCTGAGGGAGTTACTTCATCAAATGGGCTTGCTTGTTTGGATTTCTCATTTCCCCAGTCAGCATCTGATGATAAATTTGATGGTGATGATCAGCATGACTCTCTGCTCAGGTAGGCGCCACTGTTTGGTGCATGTTGCATGCATTTTATAAGAGAGGTGAATTAGATTTTGCTGGTCTATTGTGCAACTTGTATATGTGCAATGTTTGTGCTTCTGTGACAATATATGCTCATTTTCTGACGGATTAAAATTAGTGATTTGGTACAATATAATAAATGAATTTATCTTATTGTTGTTTAAAATGGTTTCTTTTGTCATATTTTTGTGCATTTCGTGTGGTTGTTCCTTAGGTACCAACTGATTAGTTTACATGCACGGGGACTTGGAGAGAACTGCAAGTGGCTTGAGATGTTTGAAGATGTTGGGATGGTCATTTTCTGTGTTGCATTGAGTGACTATGACCAGTATACAATTGACGGCAATGGGTGTTCTACTAACAAGATGTTGCTGAGCAGGAGATTCTTTGAGACAATTGTTACTCATCCCACATTTGATCAGATGGATTTTCTTTTGATACTAAACAAGTATGATCTGTTTGAGGAAAAGGTAGAACGGGTACCATTGACTCAGTGTGACTGGTTTGATGATTTCCATCCTGTGATCAGCCGTCATAGATCCAACAGCAACAGCAATAGCATCAATAGTAACCCTTCACTTGGTCAGCTGGGTTTCCACTACATTGCTGTCAAGTTCAAGAGGCTTTACGCAGCACTCACAGGAAAGAAGTTGTATGTTTCTATGGTTAAGGGGCTGGAACCTCGTAGTGTTGATGCAGCTCTTAAGTATGCAAGGGAGATTTTGAAGTGGGATGAAGAAAGACCTAACTTCAGTCTGAGCGAGTATTCATTTTATAGCACTGAGGCAAGTTCTTTTTCCCCTTAATTGGTAAATCAAGAAGAAAGGCTTGTAAATGGGTCCTATCTCCAACATTTTTCATTGCCAATGTACATATAATGGCATGTAAATGAACAAGTGAAGATGCTTCTTTTTCACAAGGCATTGCAGCTGTAGAATTCTCTTAAATCATCCAGGAGCTACCTCTATCACGCTGCTATAGTTTGTTTCCTAGATTGGCGCCACATAGTTAGGATTAAACATTATACAGTGAGGTAACCAATTGATATGGTGTTTTCTGTGTTATTTTACTTCTTTTGTACGATGCGTGTAGTTATTCTATCTTTGAAATGGGATTCAAATATTCATTTTGTAAGATAAGATTATATTACATTTGATCCAGGTGGGGTGCAGCTTATTTTGATCATGATCTGGCCTTCTCGGATGTGACATTTTTTGGTAGAATTGCAGTGCAGTTGACACCTCTAAATAGATTGAACTTTTATACCAAATTACTCTTTTTTGAGTTATGCAATGGTCCATTTGGCATTCAGGTTTAAATTTTCTTTTGGAAAGTATCATTTCAAAATCTCCTTAAAAAATTTATACAGTAAGTAAAAGGTTACTGACAAAATGAATATCAACACTTATTTGATCTGGAATATTTTATATACTGGATTCATCTTTCTTTTGCTGAATAGTAATATGATACAATCATACAACAAAAAACAAATAAGATAAGATTACAGGTGTTTATTTTTTTTTCTTTTACTTATTTCGGAAAACTGATCCCCAAAACTCCCCACTGGTCTAAGGAAGAGCCGCCTATAATTTTATAGGAGTATACCCGGATGTTTGATTGCTCAATCATCTACAAAGCTGTACCTAGCCTGCTCCTCTGCACTCAGCAATATGTTCTTTACAGCCCAGCCCAATTTTGACATTTGATCATCTAATGGAGATAAATTCCTTTCTGCTGATCGCTTGCTATCCTCAATCAGTTTAGTCCATTCCAGAACCGTGTCCGCAGGATCACTAGCCTCAAAGATGGTTTCCCACTTCAAAAGCAGGGCCTTTCGAACGTAGCAGGCCTACATCGTAACAAATATGAAAATTATTAATGCAATTGGATGTGGTAAGCAGTACGAAGACTTTTATCGGCCAAGTTCCTTTTACCTGCAACAATCCCATCATAATTTCAGCAGTGCCAGCCCCCTCGCGTAGACATAGAACTATACCTTGCTAGAAATTCAAGGGATAGGAGGAAAAAGCGTGAGTTGAGTATTACAGGAGAAGTGCTTCATAATCATAGAAAAATCCAGGATAAGATTTATATATGCATACTTGTTTAGCTCTTGCCGGACCTATGTAATAGTTCTCCATGCATATGAAGTAGTAATCCTCACCACTTAAAGACTGCATTGCCATCATTGACAACTCAGGCATTTGATCCTTGGTGCTTAAGCTCCCTATTCTAATGGGCCACATTTCTTTGCCTATCAAGAAATCAAGAATAGCTTAAGCTGCATTACTAATGATGCTAGGTTCAATAGCTGCTCAAATTAAAGATCTAGATCACAGCTGTGATACTTGGGAAAAATCTTACCTTTGCTCCGGAGAAAATCAATTCCTTCCTTTTTACTCACTTCTGCAGGTGAAGGCACATGCCCCAACTCAATCCATGAATTTAATATAATTTCAAGCCTATCCTGGATAGAGGGAAAAGGAGTTTGATGTAACGTCTTTTTATGAGAATATTCCTCCTGTGTGTTTTAAGAAACACACAAGAATACTAATGTAAATCTGCTGATATGCAACAGAGATGATTTTCATTTTTATCAAAACAATATAGCAACAAGCATACTGAAGCTTGGAATGCCAGTACCAGTATATCAAGCTCCTTACTGATCCCACTTGTAAAGAAAGTTGAGTGAGCTATACATACCTTAGTTAATGTTTGTAGATGAACATGCTTGAGTCCTTGATATATTCCAAAAAGGTCTATAGCTGAGAAAATGGGGTAAACAATAAATGGCAAACCTGCAAGCAACCTTGAATATGGACAAGAAGTTAGGAGTAGAAGATGGCATAAATTTCTGCAAACAATTCCATGAACACATCAAGCACAGGTTTGAATAGCAGAAAATGCTCTCTCCAGGAATTGAGGTCTATAATTTTATTTGAGTAATTTAAATCCCGCTTCTTTCATCATATGGCATGAAACAGGGAACTAAAATACAAGTAAACAGTGCTGAAAACCATCTACTGTTTTATTTGAATACCAAAGGTGTAAGTTCATAGTTCAACAACCCCCCCCCCCCCCCCCCCCCCCCCCGCGGGCGGCCTCTTTCTTTATCTGTTTTTCTCCTTTCCACAAACACCCCCTTTCAACTTGTTAATTCCATCTTTTCAACCAATTTTTCAGCAAGCCCCAAGAAGGCAGAAGGGGCGGGCCTCTTCTTTACCTCTGTTTTTCTCCTTTCCACAACACCCCCTTTCAACTTGTTAATTCCAATCTTTTTCCAACCAATTTTCAGAGCCCACAAGAAGGCAGAATTTTTTTTTGAATAATAATTAAAATTTCCCTTGATGGGATATGGAAAATTTGCCGCAGTTTTTATTTGGACTCGAGAAGTTCAAATCAAAATTTTGCAAGTTGATGAGATTGAAAATAAGAGATTTTTGGTTAAAGTACCTTTCGACGTCCATCCATTTTTACCTACAACATGCGCAAACAGAAGCGACATACATGCATCACGACATTAAGTATCATTAAATTGAAAAGAAAAATTGGATTTACAATGTGGACAGCTTACAAGAGGCAAAAGGGAAGGGGAAACTAATTTTTAATTGCTAAGCACAAAAGTTTCACCTAAGGGCATTACAAGAGAATGAGATTGAGGGGAAAACCTTTGGTTGTTCTTGAACAGCATATTCAAAAGTGCAGCAAGCATGAGGCCGAGGTTATCAAAGCATACTGTTTGTATCTGAAATCCATACAAATTATCAGGCTATGGTCCATATGAAAAAGGTATATAGACATGAGACACACAAAACACAAGCTAGGATAAATAAGAACCTGTGCTTTTGCTGAAAATTCACCAAGGTTATCTGCTACTGCAAAGCTTCGATGAACAGCAGACTGCATATGGAGCGATAAAATTAGCAAGCTACATCAAAGTATAAATCCTAATTTAAGTAATGGATTCTATGAAAATAATGATCAAACAGAAATAGAAACCATCCATCAATCTACACATAAAAGACAATAAACAAAAAAAAAAAAAGGACTACCCGATGCATGAAGCATCAATTCACAAGTGAGGCAAAAATTTCAATAACATTGTCAATGGTGGCCTAGGTTGAAATTATTCTGAGCCAATACTAGATTTCTGCAAGATTGGAACTTGAACTAAACGTACGCACCTTACAATCAAAGCTGTATTTGTACTACAACATTCAGGTACACAAACTCAAAATATCATGAATGCCTTGTGTTGAAACAGTCATGCCAACAAGAAATTAAAAATTAAGATAGCTTTATATAAAGGTGAATATGTTTTGTAATAAAATAATCTTACACCAGTTGCCAAGTAACAAGCAAGGCTTATTTGTTTCGCAATGTTGGCTATAGTTGCAAGAAGTAAGAAGTGCTGAGGAAATGCAGGAGTCAGAAGCTCCACTCCAATGCTCAAACTGAAGAGAACAGATGTTGAGAACCTAACTCTCTACATAGAAGACAATACAAAAAATATTATTGAAGCTGAAAATACAAACTCTCAGCAGTGTATTTTGCAGCTTAAGGATATTTTCCCAATGCCAAAAGATGGTGTTATTAGCTGCAGAACTTTCAGAAAATCAATGTGAATGAATAAAAAACAGGGTCTGAGAAAGCACAAGACAAAAATCTAATGGAGCTAGAAGCCATACCTTCAAATTGGTATCAAAGGCAGATGCCAAGCTAGCAGTATAGATACACCTACTCAGCCGTCCGAGCCCATCCTTTAAGACCCAGTTAAGAGCAGCTGCTGAAGGGAGGGAACGAGAATACCCAACCCCTATAGCCCGAAACATGGCCTACGACCGAATCATTCTCAATAAGTAATCACACAAACAGTAATACTTTCTCTAATCAGTCGGTCCAAAAATTTGTTTTATTAAGTTTTGAAATCTTGTTATCAATCAACCAACAAAAATTCACTAGCTTCATAAAAGAAATCAACTATCTATATGTTCATAATCACTGAATTCAATTTGAGCTTGTTACAGCTCACACTGCGCAACTTCATTGAACTTCTACGAAGAGAAAAATAGACAAAAGAAGAATCTTTTATGCATAGTTGCAAAATGCAATGTATACCTGAGTAGCAAGAACCTGTAACGCAGAGCTAAAAACGCGGTGCAAGAATTTCCATTTCACATAATCCATATAATTCTCAGGTACTTGCTTAGGAATGAAGAAATTCCTAACAGCCAAACTAGAAACCCGAAGCAAATTACGAAACCCATCTTCAAAATCAAGAGAAAACGACGTCACACCACCATCAACACTCACCAACGTCAAATTACTACCATCCCACATATACCTGGAGACTCGACCGGACTGCCTAAGTACCACCGGTAGACGCGCCGGCAAGATAGGTAGTTGTTTAGGTCCCTCATTTAGACCTTCTTCGGGCCCATAATTAATGGAGGTTCTAAGTGAACAGGTAAGGGTTATGGTTTTCGGTGACAATAATTTGAGCTTCCTCGAAATAGGTTTCCTGGATACAAGATGAAATTCTTGGGATTTCCATGGGAAATGGCATTGGCGAGAATTGGTAGGTGAATATAAAGTGGATTGCATGAAAAATATTACAACTTTGAAAGTACCAGAGTATTTCTTAACTTTTTCGCGCCAATATTGGTTTCTAGCTTCAAAAATTGTGAGCTTCAAGGATTAGAAGGATGTTAATGTTCGTAATACGCACATCGGTACAAGATAGAGAAGAGTGGGTGGTGGCGGAGGAAGGGAATTGAAGAGAGAAGATAACATAAAAGGTGAGTTGTGTGCGGCAGCGAGGCGAGCTGCACCCTCAGCCTTTGAAAGTGCAGAAGAACGTTTCCCCCTGTTCTCTTTTTCCACTTTATAAGACAATGGTCGATGTCGTTTTGTGCTATTAGTTCGTTAAGATAGGTCGTTTTGAGTACAAAAGTTGTGCGTCCAGTTCATGTATATTTTTCTTATAAGGCCTTGAGAAAATATAGATTAATAAATCTGATCAGTTACAAGTACTTAAGAATATAGTTAGAGCAATTTACAAAGCTTCCGTCTTCTATAGATCATAATAAGCTACTTGAAAGATAATACGTAGTGGAAAAACTCAAAAATTTATCCTTGTTACTACTAATCTGTGATGCAGAAAGGAACTATCTAACTGCCTCTATATCATCATCTTCAACCCCGAGGTTGTTCGAGTCCTTCGCTTCCTGCTCTATAGCTTTCACAACTTCAAAGAAGCGGCGTCTGGATGTTGGCAGCCTTGACAATGTCAAACAAAAGCCTTGCAACCTGATTTTAACATGTAAAGATTAGTTTTCATGCATAAACCAGAATTAACAAACAAAATCACATAGGACAGAAATGAAAACATTAGCAGTACCTTCTACTCATACCCTCCAACTGAGCTCTTTTAATCTTATCTTGTGGGGGGATGCCACCGTTTAGCCAAGATTCAGTTCTTGCTGCATCACCACCATAGAGGCAGTGCTTATAAAAATACAACTCCTCGGTTTTGTTTAAATTTAGACTTTTGATCTGTTCTTTCATGATACACATTGGCTCATAAAGCCAATCAAAAACTCGGCCTTCTGGTCTATTCAGATTTGTTATCTCAACGTTATCACCTGGACAAATGATCAGAGTTGAACTTTAATATTATTTCATGCCAGATCATGAATGGATAGAGAGGTTTGCATTTTGTAGACATAATTAATTTATAGATATCACCTTTTGGGAACCCAGTACTAAAACAATGCAGAGAAACTGAAGAACAAGAATGAAATTAGGAATAGAATATTGATTTTTTGGGATCATAAATCCAAGAATTTTCTCTTAAACATTTGTATAAAATGGACAGTCATCACATTAGCACATCACAAGTACAAATGGAGTTCTTACGAAGGATAAAGCCGCTGGAACTACTCTTAATGGAGTGGAGGAAGCACTCAAGAAATGCATATGCAGGAATTCCAATGTTGATGATACTCGATTTTGAGTTTCGCCAGGCATCCAGATCTGAAATTCCTATAGCTTCATCTCTAAGAAGCTGTTTCCCTATATCTTCAAATGATTTAAAGAAGCTATCCCATATCTGGTAAACGTAATATAGACAGAAACAACTAATTAAGCAACATGAAAACAAACGAAAAAAGAAGGTTTGAAGTAACATAGAGAGAGGAAGGAGAAGGGAACGAGAAAAATATGCAAAAAGAAAAGTATCTTAAGATACAAATAGCACCTATTGTGTTATCTCTCATTCCCTCTCTTTTTTGCACAAGAACATGAATACAATGTCAAATCGACAAAATTAAGAAGCACAATGCAAAATGTCTTAAAATGAAATCTTCAATGCTAATTTTTGTAGACTAAAATCATCCACATTCTTACCACTGCAGTCTTCAGTGTATTAACTCTGTCAGCAGGAGCCCTTATAAACGGTTCGCCAACACGAGCACCATCAAGCTGTTCCTGAAGTCTCGTCACTGGAAGTGGAAGCAGTGAAGAGATGGAAGTAACACGCTCACGATATTTGGGTCTGATTGCCAATAAAAGCAGAAGCAATCAAACAGTTTACTCTAAGCCTGTGAAATGAAAAATAATAAAATCCATTCCTATATTAGTATTTCAACAGCTGCATGTATACCTGGGGAAGCAGGAACCTTCTTTCAGGTAAAGCAAATCATTGGTGTACTCATCAAATACAGACACAGAAGCGATCACATAAAGCAATCCCCTCTTAGTAGATGTTTCCTAAAATGAACAAAAGTAAAATTCTATAAGAAACACACTGCAATAATCATACATGCAGGAGGAATTCAATGAAATTTCAAAAAGAAAAGACAGCAAGTATAATGTGCGAGCAAGATGTACCTGATATGCAATAATTGCAGCATAGCAGCCAAAACCAAAACTTGACAATATGCCTGCCAAAGTTGCCAGCAGAACCACAATAGGCCAGAACAGAATCCAAAAACCAGCAAAGGGAACACAAACGGTTTCAAAAAATGGCCCTGCCCTCCCAATAAGATCTTGTATCAACCGATGCCATCCTTTGAGCAGTAATATAGGCGCTTTGAACAAAACTATTAAAGTAATAATAGGCACATCAACCAAAATCCCTGAAATTGCTGCCACAATGCACCCAGGTATCTGAGTAACCCTATCAAAATACCAGGAAAGAGTGAATTCATTGTTCCATCAAAGTATGTAAGCTAAATATTTTTCTAGAATATCAAATACAAGATGCATGAAACTGAAAGATTAATACTTCAGTTCAATGGGTTCCTCCTCCTTTGACTTGAGCAGCTCATCCATAACAGAAAAGTACGAATGAAACGAAAAATCAGCAAAATCACGAACAACGGTGCAGGCTCCCCAAACACAAGTCCAAGTACCATCCTGTGAAGGTAATAATAGAACCAGTGACCCACATTGCATACTCAAATTCAAACAATTATTGGAATATCGAAGTAGAAAAGGCTATAAGAACATTACTGTAAAGCAGCTAAACAACTTCATGTGAATTGGACCTTCCTTGCTGATAGCCCTAAATGTCTCCATTATAGGCCAAATGAAACCATATCCAGCACCCATAATTGCACTCCCAGCAACTCCAACAACAGTCCATATTGCTATTGGTATTGGGACCAGAAAAATTAAGAGGCATTTCATATATGGGCCAAACTTCTTTGTTCTGTTTCGAGTTTTGAAAGAACAGAAAGAAAAAAACGGAAAAGGGTTGTTCTAGTGTCAATGCACAATGAAAATATTAAAAAAATGACCATATGCTCTTCAAAATATCATCATCTTTTACTGAAAACTGAAAAGAAAGAACAAGAAAATTACTTGATTAAGCAGTAGATACTCCAAACAAGATGAAGTGGCCATAATACTATAACAACAGCAGTATCTCCAAAAGCAATGACTAGAAACACAAAGGGACTGAAAATGGCACCTGTTTATATTGTTTCATGATTACTGACAACTGATAAAAGATTAACAATGATTCAGATATAATGAGCAGAGAAAGAAGGAAAATGGCTACCTTTGATCATTCCAAGAACGAATAGAAGCACAAAAACTGGAAGAAAGAAAATAAAGTAACAAAAATAGCTCAAGAGTCCCTTAGGAACTTCCATTTTCACTTTCAAGTTTACTGCATTTGAACAATACAAAAATAAATGCAGAATTCTCAATTATCTCCGATACTGCATTTGTTTAGGCTCTTGATTTGGTTGGAGAGAATGGGAAGCAAATAAAAGTGAAAAAAAAAAAGGATTTTATCAAAACCAAGCCTAATGGTGTGAACCAACTAAACCAATAATTTTTTGATGCTATCTTCCTTGCCTTTTCTTAGCAAACAAAAGGAAGCATAATGGAAGAGCAGATGTCACATGCCTACACTGTAAGCCTTTTTTTTTTTTTTTTCTCTCCTGATTTCTCAATCTTTATCAGTACGGAGAAAGACACAGAAAGCCGAAGCAAAGACCATGAAGCCAAGCCTTACTATAAAGAAAGAGAACTCAGTCAAAGATTGATTATTGCTGCACCCGGTTCTGAAAAAGCTAGATTTCACGAAGGCAAACCATAGAATCTCTACTCTGTAGCATGCAAGAGTAAGACAGATAACAGTCCCACGTCATTAAGGACAACATAGAAGTGGAGGGTCACTTTTCTGAAATGCTCCCTAGTTCCCACGTTGGAAAAAAAAGAAAATAAAATACTAAACCGGTCAAACCCAAATAAAGGATGCTATGGCATCTGTGGAAAGAAAAATTTATTGGTACGTATGCAAGTTCCAGTCAAACATCCCGCTTTCAGGCGACTGGAGTTAAAAATTCAGTATTAGTGTTTGACACACAGGTCAAAGTTGGAATCTTCATATGAGAAGATTTTGAAAGTAAGACATTCTTATTGGAATTGAAAACAATTTAAAATTTAAGTAAACAGTTAACAGAAAGGTTAAGGATAATCCAGGTCTTTAACGTGATACGTTTTCCGTTTACTTTCATGTATATTGATTTTACTTTAGGCAACCAAATATGCTAAAATTTGCCCCATCTATCTATGAGCTAGCAGCAATTCCTGAAATGTGGATAATGAACCGTCGGCTAGATGAATGAAACCATGGCTATTAAGAAACATAAATTAACTTAAGAGTAGGAGATGGAATTCTAGTAATTTCCTTAGTAATTAAAGATTATTCTTGAAACACCAGTTCAACAAAGAAGCTGTTCTTCCCAATATAGAACGTGCCCTGATGATATAAATAAGTTACATTCAAATTCAAACAAAGGGAGCTTACATAAGATAGGATTATAAACTTCATCAAAAACATCAAGACGGGTAAATATGATCAAAACTTGACCAGGAGAAAATAAGTCAAACGTCTGAAAATGAACTTCTATTCACTGTAGCTTCAAAGATACAGAAAGGAGCCCGTAACAAGACCAAAATCACACTTCCCAGGCAAAAGAATACGAGTCTTTTGCCATCCTTACTGATGATCAACGTCGGACCAGCTCTGATGCCTTCTTGGTCTGGGAGTCACCTGCTTTTTATCAATTACCACCTGTATTAGATTGCATAAGTTATTTTCTGTGGGCATCAACTCAAAAATTATCTTGTCCCCCATTGCCACATTGTGCTTCCTGTGAAAATCAAGCCATCCGTCATTAATTGTGATTCGGCCATCCTTCTTGTAATTGACTTTCACAGGCCATAACTTCCCCCTCTCATCACGAAGATTTGTATTTTCCTGCAGTTTAATTTTGTGTACTTTCAAAACTAACCTGTGAACATACTGCAACCAGGAACAGTTTCATAAGAAATACGCTATGCGGCAGGAAAAAAAAGGTTCTTCATGTCATGGGACTAAATTTAAAATAGCTAAGACAAATAATGGAGAAAGATCATGCAATGGCATCAATGAAGAAAGACAACCTACCAAATGAAAATGAGGTGAATAGGTAAATTGCAGCATATAATACAAGAAAAACTTACCACTTGATATAATGCGGTTCGAGTCATAAGTACCACAAAGTATGGATTTTTTGGTTTAACAAAGGCCGGTGCTTTATCCATTTTGCATTCTTGATCTGGATATTTTGTTACAGTAGAATGTCTCGATTTGAATTGATTTCCTCCAGATGAACATGTAGCTCGTCTCCATTTGGAAACACTTCCTCCAGATCGCCCTGTAAACATAAAAAATTCTAAAACAGTGTAGAAAGACAATAAAAGAAAAGAAGCAATGCTGCAATATTTTGATATATAAACCGTTAACAACAGTAACTGACTGATCTTCGAGTTCTTTCAGCTGCCATTTCTGAAAACTTCCGCTTGCAATCACTAGTAGACTGAGTTCTATTTTTCTCTTCTTCTATTTCTGTTTCTGTTTCCTCCTTCACATGAGTGCTAAACACTTTATTATCCTTAGGTTTTCTCTTTTTCAATCCATTTCTACCAAATACTTTGACATAAAATTCAGAATTCCCATTGTACTTGAAAAGAAGGAAGTCTGCATCAACTAAAGAGTGATGATGTACAAATTCTTGCCAACCTTTTCCAATAATCAATCCTGTTTCAGTCTTTTGTAAATGGACATCCCAAATCTTTCCAGTATAATCTTTAAGAGTAGCATTTTGGGATATAGTTTGATTCACTCGCATAACAAAAGCTGGAGGTAAGCTCTGAAACATTGAAATACTTGAAATATATAAGGATTGAATAATAAAGCAACAAAATCTTTAATTCAAATTATACTGAAGCAAAAAACTTTGTCAACATAGAGTACTACACAAGTAAAACCAATATCCAAATTATACATAAAGCCCAAACTAATTTCAATGTCATGGACTTGAAGCTCAGTTCCATTGAGTTATGACAAATCTAACAAATCATCAATCTCCTAAGTAATAAACCCACGTGACAAGACCCCACCAGAATCCATATTTCTATAATGAAAAATTATTCAACCCCCCCTATTTCTAGGAAAGGCTAAACTAAGGTAGAGGACATATGATGGATTCTTGAAATAACTAAACTAACAATCAATCACAAAATAGGGTTACACCACCCTTTTCCCAAGAGCTAAAACTAAATATTCCTTGTAGAACCACAATCACCCTTCCCCTATGAACACACACACCTCCAAAAAAAATAAATAAATAAAAAATACAACAGACAGGAAAAAGAAGGATAATTTTTTCACCGTGAAATCAGGGGTGGAGTTTTCTCCTCCAAAATCCGAAGGTTCATTAAGGGCTAAAGTCGCAAAAATCAAATGATCTCTTTGTCCAATTCTGGTACCTAAGATTATAAGTGGAATTGGAGAGTGATCGACGTTTTGATCCAAAACCAAGTAACAAGTGGGAATATATATGACACAAAAATGTAAAACTTAATATAATTGGATAAAGGTACATATGTTTTTGTTGTTTGTCAAAAATTAAAGTGTGCACATACATAAACCGAAAACAAAAGAAGAGAAAGAAAGAAAGAAGAGAGAGAAAGAACCAGTTTGCAGGAGCTGGAACTGGAGAGGAAAACTTTGAAGAACTCAATGGAAGAAGGGAGCTTTCTGCTAGCTTTCACCATATTTTTCAAAACCCTAAAATGTTTCTCCAATTCAAAGAAATCGAGTAGTATTTATGCAAAATTGGACTGGGAAACAGATTGATTTACCTCGAAAAGGTCATGAAAGAAGAGTTATTGTCCATTAATTCAGATGAAATTCGTCAACTTGGCGTGAGTATGAAAGTTATAACTTACAAGTCAACCAGCTGTACATGGCAACGAGTTTCTATGCAATGTACGTTACGTCTACGAGATTACGAGATAAAAGCACATTCTCAGCACTCTATACATGGAGCTGACAGTGAATAGAAAACTTGATGCTCCTAAATTGATTACATTACTGTATATTATCAAATTAAGGTTTATTATGTTTAATAATAAAAAATCATTTCATAGATTATTTAAAGTCCAATAAAAACTAATTTTCCAATAAATTATAAATAAAAAAATTATAATATGTATATAACCAGCTGTACATGGCCAAACGAGTTTCTATGCAATGTAACGTTACGTCTACGAAGATTACGAGATAAAAGCACATCTCAGCACTTCTATACATTGGAAAGCTGACAGTTGAATAGAAACTTTGATGCTCCTAAATGATTACATTACTGTAATATTATCAAATTAAGGTTTATTATGTTTAATAATAAAAAATCATTTCATATATTATTTAAGTCCAATTAAAAAACTTAATTTTTTCCAATTTAAATTATAAATAAAAAAAATTTAATATGATATATATATATATAGTATAATATTATGTTGTATTAATTACCTCTTATTAAAAAAGGATAATAATTACCTGAATATATATATATATGTTGTATAATTACCTCTTAATTAAAAGGATAAATTAATTACCTAATATGTAACCGCAGACAGGCATTAATTTATATTATTTCCAAATATTTTGTTGAGAGGAAAGACCTCAGATCATTTTAATTAATTATTAATTAATGAATGAATGAATGAAATATAACTAACATGATTCAAATTTAGAACAAAACGACATAGAATCACTTTTAATTAATTAGCAATTTGAACTCCTTATTCCTCTACCTTTTCCAGATTAATTAGATCAATAAAAGTCCAAAGATAGTACTATTTTACTGATAATAACATAATTAGTGACTATCTAAGACAAATACAGTTTAAAAAAAAAATTAATTTTCACTTATAGAAGTTGACACTCTCAGCACAAAGTTGCTCCTATCAATTAGTTTAAATCTGCAAACATCTCCCTCTTGCAGAGAATTTTCCCTTGCATATGATGCTGTCTGCAGAAAGTAAAATCTGAAGATCATACAGCAATAGTAAGCACAAAACAGCATTGAGAAATCTTCTGTATACACAAGTACTTACTAAGTTTCAACAAAATTTTATGTTCAGTCAAAATTAAACAGGATTGAAAATTGAAAATTGAAAAATGGTATTTCATTACGTTACAAACTTCAGAGAATGTAAGTGCCCTCATGCTCCAATTCCTGGTCTTCACCTGCATTACATGATTAACACAAGGATATAAATTTATCCCATTTCCTATTAGTAAGTTAAAGATAACCGAATATGGAAAGTTTCTTCCTTGATGGTAGAATAAGATTCAGTTTGATTTTTGTTTCTAAACATGGAAAGAACTATAACAGATTAGCATTCCTAGAGATAAATCATCACATTCAACTTCAGAAGCTCTAAAAATTAGTAACTTCAAATATAATCTTTTTTCCTTTGATCCATTCAAAGACACAAATATCACCATTTTCCAAGTAATTGTCTAGTGCATAATTTTTCCAGCCAGCAGACAGTTTTCTTCTTCCTCGACCTTCCTTAATGTAAGTAACTGTCTAAGTTTTTCCATTCAAAACTCGGAGGGTCAGATTACCTCCATCTTAATTGAAATATTTCTTGGAAAACCTTGTAGGCATGTTCTGCACATAGAATTTAACAAACATACAAATGCAGGAGAGATTTTCAAGTGAAGATTCTTTCTTTTTTCGACTAAATTGCATTGACTACAAATTTTTTGAAATTACCAATTTATAATAATCAGGAGGGAGATATGATGACCGCATAGGGATAAAAAAAATAAGGATTTTTGGAATTGAAATTTCTAGCTCTTTTAAGAGGATAAGCATTGCCATGTACTTTCAATGGTTTCACACTCTCATCAACCTTTATTTGCTGGCATTTCTTCCCAGAACAAATAACCCCATCACCTGGACATACAATTCAAATAAAGTGGTCAAGTTACAATCAGCAAAATCTTTTGAACAGTATAAATCATATAATTTCTTGATTTGATTCAAAAATTAGGGATTAATGACAGAAAAAGTCCAAATCTTTTCAAGAAATTATCGTTATTACCCAAATCTCCCGAAAGAGCTTACAAGATTAGATCAAAAGTTAAATATATAGACAGAAAATTATGGAAATTATACATATATCATCAAATTTTTGTCTGGAACGGCCTAAAGTGGCCTTTCTTTCAGATTTCTCTTTCCTTACTTGAGGTTTGTTTTGTGGGATCACGTTCAGTGGTTTTGATGGTCTTTGAGAATTTCCAATTACATCAATTTTCATCCTCTTACGAGGTGGAGAACAAGATGATTGTGATTTTCCTCTCTTTGTGGGTTTAGGAGAATTGACATCAATGCTTCAATAGGGACATCTTCAGTGGGTTCCTTAAATTTGAAGTCTTGATTAGGCCCTATATGATGGGTTATACAAAGTGAATAATCAATTTCTGTAGCAGTTTTGTCAAATATGACTATAGAAAACTGTGAATTCCCCTTGGACTCAAAAAGCATTAAGTGCCCATGTCTCATAGAGTACCCTTCAGCAAATTCCGGCCAACCATGTTGCAAGCAAATATCATCACGATCCTTAAATAATTCTACTTGCCACGAGGCACCATCTGCAGGAACCCTAAGAATTGCTGTGCTTGATAGTTCACTTCCATATTTTTCTCACAAAAGCCAGAGGGATCTTCCATTAAAAAAAAAAAAAAAAGTAAGGAAAAAAATAATTTAAGAACATGTACACACGTAATAAGAAGAACAGAACAAGATATACACATATATTGGCCTCAGTTATTGATCAAAGCCAAGATACGAGGAACACTTGGAGTACCCAATTGACCATAAATAGCAAAAGAAAAATTAAGCTTAAATAGCTTCATAGAGATGCAGGAAGCAGAATGGTGTCTCTATTTAACATAAATCCCAAAGAGAAAAAAGAAAAGTACAAACTTTCCTAAACAACACTGATACCCACACAGTATATACAAGAACAAGCTACAAACTTTTTCCTTAACAATAAACTCCTATAAACCCATTTCTTGAGTAAAAAAATCCCAAGAAAGAAAGAAAAGAGAAATACTTACAAGTTTTTTTATCACTGAGAGCTTGTTCAAGAGCTATCTTTAAAAAATGAACTGACTTTATTGTAAACAAAGAATGCTTGTGTCTCTGGACAAGAAGCCGTTGTAGGGGCTTTTGTCTTCTATAAGTTTCAAGTTCTATCTTAACGAGTGTCTAGCCACTATGTTCTAAGGATGGGAGCTTCGAGTGCAGAGTGGTTCTAGTTTTCACACACTTCCTGACTGATATAGGTACCATAACCAGAGTGCAGATTTCTGTTGCTTGCTAAAGTTGAAATGGGAAGGGGATGCTACCCTCACTGGTTTGTTCTCTCGTTCTGTCACCACCAATTTCTTTTTTCCTGTAAATAAAGAATTAAGAACTAAAAGACCAAAAAATATTGTATTATTATTAATTCAATTTCAAAACTGAGAAGCATCTTTCGCTTTTTGGTGATTGGCAAACGGGAAACTAAAAAACTGAGAAAAAAAAAATCTGTTGAAGAGGATTTTTTTTTTTTTTTTTAACTGAGAAAAAAAAAATCTAGTTGGAAGAGGATTTTTTTTTTTTTTTCTCGTCAGGACGAAAAATTTTATCCTTATTAAGTGGATTTTTCCTTGGATTTTTTTTTTTTTTTTTTTTTTCTCGTCAGACGAAATTTTATCCTTATTAAGTGGATTTTTCCTTGGATTTTCTTTTGCTTATTGTTTTTTTAATTTCAGTACTCAGCGAAATAACCTCCCCTTTGGGGACATTGGCACTCCAAAGGCAATGTTGTTGGCACTCCAAAGGCAATGTTGTTTTGAGTTGAAGCTCCATATTAAAAAAGATTTTGTGGTTTTAATCCTATAAAAAGAACTCTTAAAGCAATTTTAGGTTCACCTTTTCCTTTTTAGTACCCTGTGTTCTACGATTCCTTATTAATTCAAAATAAATGAGTCTATTCAAAAGGACCAAAAGCAATCTAGCTAATATGTGTTCAACTACAATGAAAAAACCAGAAGTAATAGCAGATGACCAGCTGTTTAATCGCTACATCTGAAAATGCATACATTCAGGACCCTACTCTCAATCAGCTCAAACACACAAACATCTCCTTTCTTCAAAGAATTTCCCCTTTCAAATGCAGTCCAACCAGCACCAAACTTGGTTAATCTCTTATCATAATAATTTAACAATCTCATATGCCAACATCTATCAGCAACTCTTAGTGTCAAATCCTCCACTTTATGCCAAAAATGCTCACGACTGAAGCTATTTGGTATAACCTGCACAGCATTGTATTTTAAAGCTTAATGCAATATATATTCCTATACACTATCAACATCAAAGCAAAACATTAGAAATTTATCTGTTTTAATTTAAAGTGAATGTGTTCAAAATGTACCACAGTACAACGCCTCAAACATTCTACATTCACAACAGACTTGAAGGATGGATACTTCGAAATGTACTTATTTGCAGCTTCGTGAGCTTTGGAAGTACGTGGGCATGAACCCCTTATCGCCTTCAGAAAAGAATTCTCTTTGGACAACCCTTTGTTGAAATTTCCTACATGAATTCAATTAAAAAAAGTATGAAAATTGTTTCTTGTCATAAATTTCTTTGGTCAAAGGTTTGATTCTCTGATTGCAAAATGATTTTCACTATAACTACTATGGGGCTTGAATTTATTTTCGAGTTAAGAGCTGACATATAAGGACATCATAAAAATTATGAAATAGGTTTAAGACATACCTCCAAAATCTCTCATGGAAGAATATGGATTCCCAATTGTGCTACCACTAGATGGGGAATCATGATTGCTAACTGCAGTATCTGTTGTCTTATTAGCTGCAACAGTTCTCATCTTCTTAGGAGACAGAGGACATGGACGTAGTGTTTCCCCCCCTCTTTTCAAGTTTGACGAGGGATAATTCAATATCTCAACAGAGCTGTTATCTTCATTTTCTTCCACCTTAGGCTCTTTGAGTTCTTCATCGAGATTCCGGTCTGCAGTACAGATCCTCGCGCATGGGTACTCTATCTCTGTTGCACTCTTATCAAATATGATTACATAGAAATGACAAGGTTGCTCATATTTAAAAACTAATAAGTGTCCACATTGTAAAGAATGATATTCTGCAAATTCTTGCCAACCCTTTTCTAACCAAACTTCATCATCACAATTCAACAGTTCTACTTGCCACGTAGCTCCACTGGGGACCTTAAGTGTCACTGGACTTGATAGACCATTACCATACTTCCTCAAAAATTTCTCTGGGATTTCCTATTTACCAAGATTAATGTATTCACAAAATTCATTAGAATATACAGAAAATGAAATGCATACCTGCATATACAAGCCAAAACATCTGCACACACTCAAAATTGTGATTTTGCAATCATAAACTTGAAATGCTTTTGAGCCTGTTATTTTATATTGGCTATTTGGCAAGCAACACAGCACATCTTAACTGCAATGGATTAGTCATTTGAGATTTTAGGAGTACATTTAAAGGTTAGCGTCTCTGTCCTCAAATATTATCAACATTAAAGTCACTACTACCATCCCTCTTTGGTCTAGTACATGTTTATAAATCAATAAAATTTCTTAAAACAACTAGAAATTTATTAAATGAACTCCTGGCCGTATTATATTTATGCAACATCATGGATAAGTCACATATGCCTCTTTTTCACTAGCACAAAATCTATTCAGTGGAAAAAAAAAAGTCAAAATATTTTATATTTACAAATAAAAATAATATTTAACTAATTATGGGCAGCTCAAAATCGTATTTCAAGTAACCCTTATGGAAGTATCGATCATAACCAAATTGAAGCAATTTATTGACATAAGTAACACCTATGGAAGTATCTCCCAATTTGCAACCATTCTAAAGATGTCTCTGCAAGAAATAAGCTTAACTGGTTCACCCTATCTGCTGAAGAAAGCATAACCTTTGTGTTTACTTTAGAACCCAAATAGCAATCCAAAGAAATTGAATCATAAAAGTTTTTATATTTATAATTATTTAATAAAAACGAGTCTGTTTACCTACAGTTTATGTTGGACCAAAGGTAAAGGTAAAGGTACCAAGAAACCCTCGACAAGAATGCCGTGAAAGAACACAAACATGAGAAATAACTTAATATTTTGAAGATTAAAGAGAAAATCAAGAAAGTAACCAAAGAAACAGAAAAGCTTACAAGTCTTCCATGGCGGATAACATCACCAAGAAGTATCTTGAGAAAGTGTGGTGAATTTTCCATAATAATGTTTCTTCAAGATCCCTAAGTGGGCTCGAGAAACTATCGCTAGGCTACTTCGATAGTATGACTGTATGCGAGCTACTTTACTTATTGGCTGGCAGTTTGTCTTAACAGTAACAGAGAAAGAGCATGGCAGAGCCAATTCTCCACGTGGCAGAGCAGTTTGACCTCACTGGTTTTGCTAAGGAAACCAAGACCGGTTCTAAAGCAGGATAGAACCTTGCAATTGCTCTTCGGCGCTTCTTAAAACGATTTTGGAAGCACTGATTTTAAATATTTTAACTAATTAGAAGACTAATATTTTTATAAGGAAATATAATTATTTAGTACATGGGATTTTATAAAATTAATTTTCTCATTTTCATATTAATATATTTTTATATATTACGTATTCTCGTGTTAATATATTTTTATATATTAAATATTTAATTCTGGACGTTTGGTTCCGTCTCGTTATCCGAAATTCATGTTTTTTGCCGTTAAAAGGGTATTAAAAGACAAAATTACCCTGGAGCAGAAAAAAAAAAAAAAAACAAAAGCACTCCTCATTCAAAGAAAACCTTAGCACAGATCTGATTTATGAAATGTAACTTATCAAAATATGCCCAAAAGAGATTTTTCTTCAGGAATCCAAAAGAGTTGATTTTGCAAATAATCCATAACTGAGAATTTTCATTTAGTTCCAAAGATTGAAAAACAAGTAAAATTGAGTTGATTTTTGAAATGTAATTTATTGAGTCAAACCCGTAAAAGATTCAAAATCAAAATCAGAATTTTTAGCAAGGTTTAAACCCCTAAAAAGAATAACAATTAGAAATATAAATTCATAATCATGATATTTAGGCAAAAGTTGCATTATAACCGATAATCAAAACAGAAAATTGCTTTGAAAGGAATTTAGAACTAAGATTAACTAAAGCTAACTGAGAATTAACATCCAATAGAATTGAAAATTCTCAAAATGAATAATTGGGTCCCAATTTACAAAAGAGTTCAGTAATAACATAATATCAATAAATAGCAATAGTGAGCCACAATAAACAACAACGAATAACAATGGTAGCAAAATTTTATGAACCAGCTGTAAATAAAAAAAAAAAAAAACAAATTGCAAGTGCCAGAAATTACAAAAAAAGTGAGCAAAATTACCAACAAAAAAAACCCAAAAAGAAATTAGAAAGAAAACTCACCTGAAGAATGAAAATAGGAGAAGAATGAGAGAGAGAAAACAAGACAATCGCAATAGAGAGAGGAAAAGTGACAATCGCTACTGTGAAGCCAAATAAGTTCCTTCTATGATTTTCGGCAAGAACTTGGTCGGCCAAAGTGGATTAGGTGAAGCATGTCACTGGTTTGAAAGAGAAATCGAAAAAGGAAAGGGTTCGAAATTCTAAAGACAATCGTTTTAGTAATCAACGAGTCGGCAGGTCCTACCGTCGGTGTTTGCTAGTTGATTGGCCGGAATTTGATAGAGAAGGTGGCCGTTGTTAGGAGTCTAGGAGGAGCGATTCCATACCGCAAATGAAGTAACTTGGTTTAAGTAATATCTAAATATTTTTTCCTTTTTTTTCTTTTTCATTAAGGGCATCTTTGTCATTAAAAAATTATCTTTTGTCCTTTATTTTGTCTTTTTGCGCTCTTTTAACGGCAAAAACAGTGGATTTTGGAGAGACGTTTTGATGAGACGGACTAATATACTAAAATATAAGGATAAGAAAATCAATTTTATAAAATTTTAGGGATTAAATAATTATTTTTTCTTTTTATAATTTATTATTATATATTATTGAACTAAAAAAAAGCTGAATTCTTAAAGATTTTATTGGAATATAGAATATTTACCTCATGCTTAATAGCATAATTAAGAAAACATTATTAATATTAGCTTCTAAGATTTTTTAGAAATATAGACAGTTTATAATATTATATAATAAATTAAAAATTAATAAAGAGTTATGTATTATAAAGATCAAGAACAATTGCATACAATAAGTACAGATAAGTTAAAAAAAAAAAAAGTTAATAATAAATGGTTGTTTACAATGTTTCTGATATGGGGGAATGGTTTCTGTCATTACGGCGGAGAGGTGATCGGAAGCAGGTTGAAGTGGCGGTGATGATTGCTTGGGAGATTTAGAACTCTAGAAACCGTGTTGTTTGGCTGCAGAAGGTAGGCAATCCATGCCAAATAATATGTACAGCAAATCAGTTCTTGGGAGAGTGGCAGGCCGCTCAAGTGGACTCAGTCTCTAACACAATCCCAGCTGGTGTTGTGGCGAGATGGCATCCGCTTCATGGTGGTTTGAAATGTAATGTAGATGCAGCATATAATGAGACAACTGGAATAGCAGGAATTGGTATGGTGTTGCGTGATTAGAATGGACAAATATGGTTGGAAGGTGTTTGTCTTTGGGTAGGGTGCAGAATGCTTTGTTAGCAGAAACAATGGGAATGCGTGAGGCATCAAGTTGGTTGAAGGAGAATACATTAACTCACAGTTAATAGTTGAAATAGATTGTTTGATGGTAAAGCTATCATTGGACAGTACTGTGCTGCTTAATTTCTTATTTTGCCCTTTCTAACAATGATTGTAAGTCACTTGCTACTGAATTTACATTATTGTCGTTTTCTCTTGTTAAAAAATAAGGATCCAAAGTCTGCCCATGAGTTACAAGTAAGCTCGAGCCACTGCTTTTATGTCTGGTTTGATGAAATAGGATGATGTGCCTCAATCTTTTATTCATGATGTACTGCTTTCTGATAGTAATAATATCTGAGCAGCAGTATTTTGTTAATAAATAAATGGTTATTTAAAGAAATTTTATTTATTTCCTTCACTGTTGATTTCTGTAAATTCATTTGTTACTGTATCTTTCCCATACGGTTATGCTTCAAGTTCAGCAACTCCATTCTTAACATGCCAATGACTTGGGATAGAGAAATTACATAACTAGTTACATTAACACCTATCGATCCAGTCAAAAGGACAAAAGACACTGCTCAATGTATGTGTCCAGCCATTACAAAATCCTTCCAAAAACACCAACAAGCAGAAGTGATAGTATCAATCACTTGACACATCTGAAAATGGAAACTTTCAGCAGTTTCTTCTCAATTAGCTCGAATATGCAAACATCTCCATCTCCCAGCAAATTTTCCTTTATAAATACAGGCCAACCAAAAGTAATTCTACCTGGCTTCCCTGGCGCTCTTTTGACAAACTTCACAGTCCACGATCTATCAGAAACCTGAAGCGTCAGACTGACTTGCTGACCTTGAACATAACTCCGACTGAAGCTAATCGGCACACCTGGATGAAGTTAAATGGAATACTATCATTATGAGAGGATAAAAAAAAAAAGAAGAAGAAAGATATAGAATCATGGATATATAATTCAGGTCAAAAACTAACATGAGAGTTAAATTTTTTAAAGAGAAAAGGAAACTTTGAAAGATATAGAATTATAGGTATAGTATGATTCACAATATATAATTGAGGTCAAAAGCTAACATGTTTTCTTCATTGACAAACTCAAAGAAAAATAAGAAACTTTTTTAAGGCACTTATGAAAGTATGCTTTTATGTATAAAGTAAAATATACTGATAGCCTACAAATAGAAGGGCAACGGGTATTCACAACAGCCTTGAAGAATGGATTTTCAGAGACGAAGTTGTTCACAGCTTCAAGAGCTGATGAAGTACTCGAACACGAACGCCTTTTAGCCTGTTGATCTTGCTTGAGATCCCCTAAATTAAATGAATAAATAAAGGTAAGAATCGGACAATTAGTATTATTTTCCAAAACCAGCTATGCAATGTTTAAGATAGCACATTCAGCTTTAAATTTCCTTTGTGAAAGTCAAGGTTCTTGGGTTTTAAATTGGTAAGGACTAAAATACAACAAATAATCAATACAACTATCAGAACAGCATGAAAATTTTGAAATGAGATTGTATTGGTTCAGAATAAATAATCAAAACATACCATGGCCATGAGCACTAGTACATGTAGGCAAGTTGCCAGACAATGAAATGTTTGGTGTTTTACTGGTTGAATCAATTCGTATCTTCTTCAGAGACTGATCATCCAATGCTTCAACAGAAATGTTCTCTTCATTTGCTTGTGCCTTTGCCTCTTGGAAGTCCCAATCATGCTTTGGCTCTGCAGCACAAACTCTATCATATGGATATTGTATCTCCACAGCACTCTTATCTAATATCACTACTTGGAAATTGGATTGTCCCATATATTGGAAAACTAATAGATATCCATATTCTAAGGAGTAGTATTTTGCAAATTCTCCCCAACCCTTTTCAAACCAAACCTCATCATCGCCCTTTAACAATTCTACTTTCCACACGGCACCACAAGGAACCTTAAGAATTGCAGGACTAGTCAAATCATTTCCATACTTTCTTATGAACTTCTTGGGAATACCCTGATTAAAATGACAATGAAGTTATCCACAAAATGCAGTAAAAGATATGAAAGTCACTGCTGCAAGCAAGCAAGGGTGTACGAACAAAAAATATGTCACTTTTTCTGATCAGGAGCACTTCTTTCATGCAATGGAATGATATTGTTATTCTGATCCCATTTAGGTTATTAAAGATTAGCATATACATAATGATTTCTGATTTGAGCAGTATATTTTAATTCGATCTTGGGCAAACATAATGGGTAGACCTCATGAGCACCCTTTATCTACCAAATCATCACAACTACAAATTACTTCAAATACAACAATGCTCAAAATCTTTACTGACTTCTTTAAGTGTCAACAAATGTAAGAATATTTGCAGTTATCCACCAAGTATATTGGCTTTTCTAGACTACATTGAAGCAAGGGATTTATGAATCATGATAACAATTTCATGATAGTGGCATTAAGTATAAAGTTCCATGCCTAATACATGTAATTGATGAAAGAATTAGGCTCTGTGAAAGTTGCAATCACAATTAAGAAACAAAATTTTAAGTGCTTAATTGACCCTAACAACCATTGTTATACATTCTGCTAACAACGATTAGTTACAAAAGAAAAAAACTATCATTTAGTCATATAGACTTCTAAGAACTTTGGTAAAGTTAAAGATTGGAATACAAAGCAATCAAAGCAATTTTGTAATTTTCAAAGCAAAATAAAAATATATGAATATTGCAAACATAATAAGGGAGAAATATATAGGAGTTTTATCATTTTTTCTTCAATCTCCAACCTTATTATTTGATTAAAATAATTAACTTCTTGTTGATTTTAGTGACTAGAAACAACAAAATCTAATTTTCCCCACTTGATTCCATTGAGCTCAGAAAAATACAAGATTCCCCTGTTTAATATTATTTTGTTTCGTAACTTTGCGCACAAGATTCTAAAACTGAAGCAAAGCTAAAACTTCACATCATTAATTAATAAAATAAAATAAAATATATTAAAATTGAAAAAAAAAATTAACATCAAGGGTTTTTTTTAATATATATTAGCTGCAAAAAGAGCAAATGCCCCCTCTTTCCGTCCACTCTTCCCGAAGTGAGCGAATTGCATTCTTCTGGTCGTGGTTCTTGCAGCTACCATGAAAGTTCAAATAAGCTTGGAAGCGCAGTTGGTGGCACTCGAAGACAACCCATAAAGAATTTGGATTTTCTCAAAAAGCAATATTCTTGTTTAGGATCCAACAGGATTCCAAAGAAATTGACATTCAGAAATACAAATTTGAACATATTTGACCAATCTTTGTCCAGTCAAACGTGAAGCAAGCAAGAAAACATGGAAAAATATGCATAAAAACTACCATGTTAATGTTACAAGTAACCAAGAAGAAGAAGAAGAAGAAGAAGAAGAAGAAGAAGAAGAAGAATCAAAAGAAACAAGAATGCTTACAAGCTTTCCCTCCCGTATAGCATTATCATGAACTATCTTAAAGAAATGTTCCCTCTTATCCATAGTCACTACTCTTTCAATTGCTTCCTTCAAGCTTTCTTTTTTTCTGGGTTTTTGCTGGAAAAACCTTCGATAGTCCTGGTTGCTCCTTCAGCTGTAGTTGCCGCGTTCGTACATATCGCAGTAGTCTTGCTAAAACCCTGAAAAGGTAGGGCTTAGCCCCTCTAAAGTCTAGAATAGATTGTTTTACACGCTAAGCCAAGCTAACTCCTTCTATAGTTATATCCTTTGGTCTCAGTCCGAGAATATAAAGGCTACCTTTTGGTTTCGGTGGGAGAATATAAAAACTCGGATTTTTATTAACTATTTACTACTAAGTATACGTGATTTAGTAAAATTAACTATTTAATCCCTATTTTGGAAAAATATATAAATGTCTTTATGTGATTTGTTTCTTTGCACTAATAAGTCTTTTTAGCTAAAATTTAATATTTTTTACCGTTAACCTTTTATAAGTTTTTCTGTTGTATATTTCCCATGCTAAAAGCAAAACTTTTTTTAAAAAAAATAAAATTGAAAGAGAATAGAATGCTAATAGTTTCAAAGTTATTGAAAAAAATTGTGACTGTTTTTACTAATATGTATATACTGAAAAGGTAGGCGCTTGCCCCTCTAAAGTCTAGAATGATTGTTTTATCACGCTAAGCCTAAAAGCTAACTCCTTTTCTATAGTTTATATCCTTTGGTCTCCAGTCCCGACAGAATATACAAGGCTAGCTTTGGTTTCGGTGGGAGAATATAAAAACTCGGATTTTATACTTAACTATTACTACTAAATAATACGTGGATTTAGTAAAAATTAAACTATTTAAATCCCTATTTTGAACAATATTATAAATGTCCCTTTATGTGATTTGTTTCTTTGGCACTTAATAAGTCTTTTTAGCTAAAATTTAATATGTTTTTACCGTTAACACTTTTATAAGTTTTTCTGTTGTATATTTCCCATGCTAAAAAGCAAAACTTTTTTTAAAAAAAAAAATAAAATTGAAAGAAGAATAGAATGGCTAATAGTTTTCAAAGTTATTGAAAAAAAATGTGACTGTTTTTTACTAAATATGTATATATATATATATAATATATATAATATATACTATGATAGTATAATATGGAGGGCTTTTTCATTTTTTTTTCCCATCAAAAATTATATGGAGGGCTTTTCATTTTTTTTTCATCAAAAATTAATGACAAAATATAAAATGTGGGCGAAAGTATTAACGTTTAAATATTTTAAATTATATATATCCATTTGTTTATTTTTCAAAAATATGTGTTAAATAGTTAATTCATCAAACTAAAACAGCTGAACAATAATTATTTTATATATTTAATTTTTCAAAATCTACGAACAAAAATAGGAAAAAAAAAGAAAAGAAATTTAAATTTTCACTTTGCAATAACTAAAATTTCTCATTCGTTGTTACTGTTTTGGATAAAATTCAAAAGCGGACAAAAAAAAAAAAGTTAATGCTAAGCAACAGTCAAATAAATAAAAAAAATACTAATGATTTCAAATTACAAATCAATAAGAAAATTATAAAATAGCAAGCGCTTCTCAACTCGCAGAAGTGAGAAAGAACAGGCTGGAGAGAAAGGGACAATCTCGAGGACTGTAATTCTATTTTTCTATTTTCAAGTACATTTCAGCTCCATACTTATATATATGCCTGAGACTTCAACAGAAACATCGTTCTCAGTTTCTCTCTTGGAGGCTCATGATTTCACTCCACAGCGCAGATACTGTCATGGACACGTTATCTCTGAAGCACTCTTATCAAATATGACGCCACAGAAATGGCCATCACCTTCATATTTAGAAACTAATTAGACTTGAGTTTGAACAAATCTAACCCATCAAGAACACGGCTTTCTGAAACTAATTAAGTAATAGATTGATTATATGAATGGCACTTGTAAACTAGCAAGAAGGTTTCATTAACTGATGGTTTATATCAGTTCAGATTTAACTGATGACAGTGACTTAGCTGGTCCAGTTCTAACACCTCTGACTCCTTCTTTATGAATCTCAACTTCAATTAGATTACCCTTTTCTGCTATGAAGTGAAATACACAGGTGTCTCCTGTAGCTAGCTCATTAGCTCCATAGAACTGACTCCAACCCAAACCGAAGCGCACCTGGCATCCTCTTTGAACCACTAGTATGTTCACTTTAACTGGCCATGACCTTCCTTTTGGATCCTTCATTACAATTTCCTCCTTGCTAACAAGCTTTGTCTTGTTTGCAAAATCTTTAGGCATCACCTAGCAAATAAATAAACAAAGATTTTTTTTTTTTTTTGTTTTTTTTGAACTAAGTAGAGACAGAATATAAAGGTCAGATGAATATGAAAAAGTTACCAAATTGTATTTTTGGTACTTCTTCAACACTGCTACAAAATATGGATTCTTCCGCTTCAAAGATCTTATTGTTTCAGTTACTTTGTCTTTGTCTAAGAATGAAACCAAAAGAGTTTATTTCAAGAATTATATACTTTAAACTCCAAGAAAAACAGAAAATAATTAATCATTGATTAATTACCAGCTGTTCTTGCAGAAGCTTGAGGCGTCTTGAACCTACAGGGAAGAGGGCTGCCACGTCTTTTGAAACCTTGTTTCTTGATCTTGATTTCTTCTTCTGCAGAAGAAGCAGAGGATTGTGAACTATCATTGACCCTTTCATTATCAGAAGCTACTTTCACATCCTTCTCGCAGCCAGTTCTACCATAAATTACGACTTGAAAAGTTATCTCATCAACAAGATTGAAAACAAGAAAATCGCTCGTTTCTAAACCTTGATTTTTCACGAATGTATTCCATCCACGCTTGAAAAAGTAGCTATCGCCTTCGTTAACGATCGTTACCTCACAAGATTTTCCTTCGTTTGGCTTTAAAGTTGGTGCCTTGGGCATGATTTTCTTGAATTTTTTCACAAAAGCTGGTGGAATTTTCTGCCAAACATAAGAAGTTAATTCGATGCAGTAACTAATATAACAAAAAAAAAAAAAAAGAAAGAAAAGATTTTTTTCATCAAAAGCTGGTGGGAATTTTTCTGCCAAACATAAGAAAGGTTAATTAGATGCAGTACTAATATAAACAAAAAAAAAAAAAAGGAGCAAAAACCCAGATCATTTTTCAAGCCCAAATGTAAAGAAGAACTTTACAAAGTTTCTCCATGAAATCACTTAAGCAAGAACCTTGGAAGAAAGTAGGAATTGCTTTTGGCTTCCTAGCAAAAAAAAAAAAAAAAAGGAAGCAAAACCCAGATCATTTTTTCAACAATGTAAAGAAAACTTACAAGTTTCTCCATGAAATCACTAAGCAAAACCTTGAAGAAAGTAGGAACTTGCTTTGGCTTCCTAGCCATTTTTCTTTTAATGAAAACAATTGGCTAACAAGTTGTTGTAAGTTGATGCACAATATTCTTGGATTCTGCTTCTTATAGCCTTAAAGATTTTGCTTCTATTGTTTTGAAAATAAAGATGGCAATTGACATGTGAAAAGGCTGGTTCAAATCTTGAACTATAAAAAGAACTAGCTAGTACTAGAGCCACGCAGTAAATCATGGAAAAAAGTAAACGATGTAGAAACAAATATAGTTAAAGGGACAAATAGTTAATGGACTGATGGAAAATTGCCCCACTTCTCTGTATGGCAACTTCGCCCGTGGAAAGCACGATGGGCATTGACTGGACAGCAGCAAGGTCAGATATTATTTCTCTTTTTTTTCTATTTTGGACTAGCAAATTTAAGCTAATGTAAGTAGTTGCTGCTGACATTAATGGTGGTATGGAATCCATTATCAATCATTCAAACTTACTGTATGAGTTTTTTCTTTTACTGTATGACTTCCTGTATTATTGTAATTTCTCAAGTTAAGGAAGGATTTCGTTGTGATTGAATTCCTCAATTATAATGTTGTAATTTTCGTGTCTCTGCATTGCACTGCTTTACTGGAGAAAGTAAAAAAAAAAAAGTAATTTGAAACTTTTGCTCAGCCACTTCAAAACTACGAGATGGAGGGAGTAATAAAATAAAGATAAAGATAATTTTTTTAAAATGGCATCAGTTATTGGGTTGGTGACTTATACTAGGTAAGCAATTTCCCATAGGTGGGAACAGTAAAACTCTGTCCACTGCCCTCTGCTTAAACCCCAGAAAATTCCTCCGGACACGTCCAACAAAACCCCAGTTAAACCCCAAAATCATGCGCCACCTTCTAACGGCCGTCCGGCGTCGCCACCCTTTTATCGGCACATTCCTCCTTGTACGCCAATATAAACCGTCAAAACAACCGACCCCATCCGCCCCACCAAAACCTCCAAAACCGCCGCAGAAACCTAAATCCTTCACATTCCATGACGCCACATGGGAGGACCCATACAGCTGGATATCAAACTTGAATGACAAGGTGGCGATGCGCCACATGGACGTGTACATGGAGCAAGAGGAGAAGTATACAGAGGCCGTAATGTCTGATACTGAGAAGCTACAAAGTAAGCTCCAGTCTGAAATGGCCTCCAGGATGCAATTTCACCTCTCCACCCCTCCCATTCGCTGGGGCCCATGGTAAGTGTCGCCAAAGTACGTAACTTTGTTTGGCTGTTGACAATAGAAAAAAGGAACGATCTTTTTCGTTGTTTTTTTAATTATTTCAAGGTGGATTTAGGTTTTTCCTCGCCTCAGGTTATACTATCGAAGAGTTGAAGAAGGAAAGCAGTATCCTGTGCTATGTCGGAGATTGTTAAGCTTAAATGAGGAATTCATTTCTAATAAATCTCCTTTTGGTGGATTTGATTTTACTTCTGGGAAAAGAATTGAGCAGAAGCTGCTTGATTACAATCAAGAAGCAGAGAGATTTGGAGGTATTGAGAAAAAAAAAAAGAACGATGTTAACTTTTCTTTTTCCAATTTTTGAGGTTGTTTTGTTGATTTGAAATTGAACATTTTTTTGTATAGGCTATGCTTATGAAGAATTATCAGAAGTGTCACCTGATCATCGGTTTCTTGCATATACTATGTATGACAAGGACAATGACTGGTTTAGGTTATCTGTTAGGAATCTCAATTCTTGTGCACTGTGTAGTAAGCCTCAAGCAGATAGGGTTTCGAATTTGGCTTGGGCCAAGGATGGCCAGGCATTGATTTATGTTGTTACTGATCAGTATAAAAGGCCTTGCCGGTTAGTATTATATTGATGTTGTAACATTTCAATGTGCTTTATCTTGTTGTAATGTGTTTTCATGTATTTAACAAAATTGAGTTGAAGTTCTTTTCTTTTTTTCCACCAGGATATATTGTAGCATGATTGGATCGACTGATGAAGATGTTTTGCTTTTAGATGAACCCAACGATGATGTTTTCGTTAACATAAGAAACACAAAGGACTTTCAGTTTATAACTGTCAATACCTTTTCTACCACATCTTCAAAGGTATCATTTCCAGAATACTTTGTGGTGCACATTTAATACTGAAATTGATCTTTAGCTAAAATGGTATAACAATCATGACAATGTTTTAGGTCTTTCTGATAAATGCAGCTGATCCTTTGTCCGGTATGACATTAGTGTGGGAGTGTGAAGGTCAGGCCCACTGTATAATTGAACATCATCAGGGGTATCTTTATTTATTTACTGATGCTGCAAAGGAGGGCCAGTTGGTTGATCATCACTATCTTCTGTGTAGTCCTGTCAGCAGTTCTTCCAGTTCAAGAATATGGGAGGTAGGTATCCAACCCAAATCTCTCTACATGCATGTGCAATTATACCTTTCTGTGGTTCTCTTCCAACGAACCTCTTTCAGTTCATTATATTTTGGCACTATCTGTCTGCTGCATTCTCCTCTCTACCTTCCATTTCCACTAATTTCTAGATGCAACATTATTTCTTTTGCAACTTTCTTTAGTTAGTAATGGGCACATGGTTAATCAGCCCTTATATCTTCATGAATCCACTATCATTTATTGCAGAGTGTATTCAATGATGACCAAGATTTGATTGTTGAGGATGTTGATTTCTGTGATACACACTTGGTACTAATCATGAGGGAAGGTTGGAACTTTAGGCTTTGTTCAGTTCCTCTGCCTTTGCCTGCTGGGAAGGTGAGAAAACAAACATCATCATCTCGGCAAATCCATGAAGTTAACTAATGGTGGCCAACAGTTTCATTTGAGTATGTTCATATCATACTCTTGTGTTTTTCTCATCTGCGCTTCTCTTGTTGTTGCAGAAAGGTTTTAATCTGGAACAGCTTAGTCCCAGATTCCTTCCTCTTCCAAGATATGTTTCTCAAATTTCACCAGGACCAAATTATGACTACCATTCATCAATGATGCGCTTTACAATATCATCACCTGTGGTACAAGTCATTTTGGCCCTAACTTCAGTAAATGTTTTCTTTTAGCAACTTATATAATTCTAGTTTGCTGTATTGCTCAAGAATTTTTACATGGATCCTGCTCTAGATAATAGTTGCAAGATATGAATGGAAATGGGTTAAGTGAGTTACTTTTTCCTGTATTACAAAACACTCTACCTTTTCCTTTTCAGGTTGTATTTTTAGACCTCGGTCTGCTAGGATATTATTGTCAAATAAATAGATTTTATTTTTGTTCTATTGTTGCCCTCAGCTGATCAACTCAATTCATGTGGTTCAGAGGCTAAGGTTTAGAGTCCAAAGTTCTTTTTGTATATTGTGTGTCTTGGCTCTTCACTGCAAGCATTAGGGCCAGTTCTTTTGTCATGTGACCAGATATTCAATTACATAAGGAAAAACATTTAGTAATTTTTCTCACTTATTTGACTTATCATGTGTTTGTCTATGTGTGTATGTGTATTATTGCATGGGTGCTTTTTCCTCTATATTTTTGGTAAAAGTGTGCTTTTCTGGTTGAATCGTGACCCCCAAATTTCATACAGATGCCAGATGCTGTTGTTGATTATGACCTATCAAATGGGAAATGGAACATCATTCAACAACAAAATATGCTTTACGAAAGAACAAGAATTCTGTATGGTGCAGCCTCTTCTGTGAACATCACAGATAGCCCCTTGAAGGGTCAAAACTATGGCTCTTCCAATGAAGTGAAATCTCAAGATGATAACTTGTGGCATGACCTCTCTGAGTTTTATGCATGTGAACATCATAACGTTTCTTCATATGATGGGGTTTTGGTTCCTCTAACTGTTGTATACTCACACAAAAATAAATATGGAAATCAAAATCCTGGGTTACTTCACGGGCATGGAGCTTATGGTGAGTTACTCGATAAACGATGGCGTGGTGAGTTGAAAAGCCTTCTTGATCGTGGTTGGGTTATTGCATATGCCGATGTCAGGTTTGTTTCAACTATACCACTACCATCTGACTTTGTTTTTTTTTTTTTTGGCCACAGCTTGCTGTGTGTATGCAGTTGTTTGATTCATCTTATAAAATGATTTCTTTTGCTCACTCTATTTAAAAATTTGAATTTCTATAGGGTATTTGTGTGTTTACAACTTAACAAAACTGAATTTATTTGTATTTTTGCAGAGGAGGAGGTGGTCAGGGTAAGAAGTGGCATCATGATGGCAGACGCAGGAATAAACTTAATTCCATCAAAGATTATATATCCTGTGCCAAATTCCTAACTGAAAATAAAATTGTGGAAGAAAAAAAGCTTGCTGGATGGGGATATAGTGCTGGAGGACTTTTGGTTGCTGCAGCCATCAATTGTTGCCCGGATTCATTTCGTGCTGCAGTTTTGAAGGTATATATTAATCTCATAATCTCATAATCTGTATGTCTTTTTTGGTGTTTCTCATTTTTCTTTTTAATACCCTGATCATGTAAGTGTTCACTGCTTTTACTTGTCTTAGTTTCTCAAAATTTTAAATGAAGCAAACAGTAAGATGGAGGTTGTCATTTTTTTAATAATTAAAATAAAATATATATTCTCGATATACTCATTTCTATGTCTGTCCATATTCTTTATCTTTTCCAGGTCCCTTTTCTAGATCCAACCAACACTCTTCTCTATCCCATTTTACCGCTTACAGCAGCTGATTTCGGAGAGTTTGGATACCCTGGGGATATTGATGATTTTCATGCGATACTGGAATATTCTCCCTATGACAATATTCAGAAGGATGCTGTTTATCCTGCTATATTGATAACCTCATCTTTTAACACACGGTAATTTGCTAGCACACTTTACTGGCTATGCCTATAATTTGTACAAACACAGCTGATCATGAGTGAATGCAAACTAGTTGGATGGTGTTAAATTAAATCACAAACGACTTTTAGTAGACATTTTCTAAAACCTAAGGATAATGGAAATGCATGGGTCAACATATTAGAGAGTATTTGTAATTTTGAATAGTGGTTATGAAGTGTCAAATTGGTAGAACCTGAAATTGAGGCAGCGAGTCTATATTGTATATTGGAAACTTATTAACTGTTCTTTTGTGTTCTTTTATTCTATTATTTAACTTGACATGCTTTTTGCTTGATGATGATGATGATAGCATTTTTTTTTTTTTGGACGAGTCATATGCTTATGAATTTTGTGTTTGATGTATTTCAGATTTGGGGTTTGGGAAGCCGCAAAATGGGTTGCCCGAGTTCGTGAACACACTATTTATGAAACCAACCGTCCAGTACTCCTTAATTTAACAACAGAAATTGTGGAGGAAAACAGATATTTGCATTGCAAGGAGTCAGCAATGGAAACTGCATTTCTTATCAAGATGATCGAATCATGAGTTTGATTTTATTACATTGCGCTCCATAATCCGTCCTTGAATCTGTTTTTTGATCTTTTATGACAAGTAGCAGAAAAGGCTGTCTTCAAGATCTGATGCACCTTGGTTGCCAAGCAGGTTTTTCCCACTTAAAACATTACTTGGTGGTTATAGCATTTCATGAATTATGAAATCTGCTTGATGAGGACATATCGCTGATCTGTCCCATTTAGCTGGTTCAACTTGCCAAAGCAGCCAATAGAATTAGGACAGAAAAACTTTACACTGTTCACCAAATGTTGGTTATTTGTTGCTTTGCCATATTGATATTGCAAGTTAATTATTGTATATACATATGTCTATCTGATATGCTCATTATAAAATTTTGAAATGGAAGAAAACCTTTTGATAATAGCTTTTAAAATTTGGGAAGCTTCATAATGCATTTTTGCTCTTCTTTTGTTTTTGTGAGTACCATTTCCTTAATCTTGTGGATTAGGACATGCCAAATCTTAGAAATCTAATAGTTAATTATCCAATTAGGCTTCAAAATCTCTCATCGGTTGAAATAAGTCAAACGTGTCCCTATCACCAACCACCACATAAAGTTCCTTTTAGAAGACAATTTCCCCATAATGGCTCTCAAAGAAGTTTGTCAAACATGAAACCATTATTATTTCTCTTTTGTTATCTTTTTATATAGTACTGTAAGATTTTCCCATCTGAAATGGTGGAGTATTTTTGTAGTGAGGGGTAGGGGATCTCTTGTTTTGTATCCTTTCAAGGAAAAGCAGGTTTTGATCATCATTATTTGGCTTTAAAAAGAAATTTGCGTTGCCATGTCCAACCCAACTTTATGAAAAGGAAGCACTCAAGCTCTCATGGATTATGGTATAGATACATATACATCCATGAATATTTTTCATGGGAAACAAAACTCAATGGGTATGGCCCAATTATAGTAATTGCTCTGAGAAAAGATACCCTCAATGCCTTTGGATTAAGCCTAATATTGATGATGAGAATTTGCATTATACTAAAGGAATATATCTATTTTCTGTTTACATCAAATCACTGTTCATTGCGCATGATTTCTCTCCCTTACGCTTTGCTTTTCATATTTTAGAGGGAAAGTAGCTTATACTTTTCTTGAATTGAGATTTGTCACAAACAGAAAATTGGGTGTCTTCATGGCAAGAAAATGACACCAATTTTGGTTGAGGATTTCAAATTTGCTTCTTGGCCTAAGATATCAAGTTGTACGAAAGAATTAGAGAACATTTTTTAACCAGATTTGTGCAGTATTAAATCCAAATTCATCCAAAACAGAAAAGAGTTCCAAGTCCCTCCAATCTATCCAAACATGTCCATGTTCTGCTTTTTGTTTCCTTGTAGTTGGAGACAACCCCATCAAAGTGAAAAGGAAATTCTTGTACGACTAGTTGGGTTTTGTTCTAACAAGATAATAATTTTTCCTCGATTATCCACTGAAATTTAAAACATAAGAGTCAAATACTTCAGCCATGCAATTTCCAATATAAGCAAAAGCAGTGTTTCTGCCACTGAATTGTATTTATATAGACTACAACAGGCAAAATAAGGTCAAGATTTTTTACAGGAGCAAGAAATTTTGATTTTGTATAGGCCAAAAGCAGAACGTTTTGAGTGGTGAAGTCCCATCCATATAAGTCTGCTTCGAGGTCAACATAAATTTCCGAGATGATACAAATTCTAATGCCACCCTCTACAATAACCCAAAGGAGAAGGGAAAAAAGGATAAGGAAAAAAATCAAGCAAACAAGAATTAACAAATTCACCCGTTGAATCAAAGAGTCTCGAGGAAGAGCAAAAGGACCTGTGGCCATATCACCTTTGAGTGCTTCTCTGTAGCTTTTGATCTTCAGCTCTGACTCTCAGATTCGTACCCCAATTGATTTTCCATGTTCACAAAAATCCATTTGTTTCTTCTTGGAAATGTACTATTGATCGCCATCCCAAAACTCATGTATCTGACCCCTCTTCAACTGTTGGAAGACTACCCTCTTTGATAAAGGTTGGATTGAGAAACTTGGAAACAAAAGCCCATAATTTGTAAACATCTTCGAAGTTGGTAAGAAATCCCAGAGATGCAGTGACTACTTCCACCCTTATGAACCCACTTTTCCCACTATGGTGCCCATTTTCCATTGGCCTACATAGAGTAGTATCTTCAAGATTCATAGCACCACGCTGCTGTTTTGGGCTATCCAGTATTCGTATGTGACTAAGAAAACCAATGCCAAGGGAGATACCTTCTCTTTCTGCCAGCTTCTGAACAACTTCAGGATTTATCAGTCCCCGGTTTCTATCTCTAATGTTAAAAGCTACAGCTGCACCCCTTTCATATTTTATTTTTGGACCGTAAATGTGAACAAGATTTTCCGTTCTTTCCCCATCTGAAATGGGTAACCTTAGTTGAAGTAATGAGGTCACAAGCCAATTGATCAAAAATCGCAATCTGAGAGTGGTTTTATTGAGACCCAACATATTCACATGATCCAAGTGCCGACAAATTATCTCAGGTTCCCTCCTATCCCACTCTTGCCCATCACCATATTCGCCATCACTGGTGTACTCTTCATCATCTAGGCTGGTTACAGATACCTCTCCAGGCTCCAGAGTATGACTTAGCTGTTCTTTACGGTTGTCCTCCATGCTAAAGGACACTCTTCTTCCCCTGCTTGGATGTTCATTCTCTTCCAACCCAAAAAACCGACCACCTGCATATCTATTCCCTTCCCTTCTTCCCAACAATCTGAATTCACCTTCTGTTTCTCTTCTTATAGCACTCTCTTTCATGTCTGAGCCAATTGCAGAGGTTGAGCCATTTGCTAGGCCATTATGCACAGCAGATGAATTATTGAATTGGGATTTATATGTGTCAAAATTGGACAAAGAACCGGCTGAAAGTGCATTACTGGTTCCAGGTTCTTCCTCAATCTCATTAACATGAAGACGATTTGAAACCTTTTTACTATTTCGTGGAGTGTGGTTTGTTTCAGTGTACTGTTCTTCTTCTGGAACCTCCTTAACTCGATCCAATTCCTGTGAAACAGACATAACTGCAGCATCAAAAGAGAGCACATGGTGGTCATCATGTACCCCCTTGTCGTCATATAGTGGGCTGCCATATATCTTTGACGTTGGTTTTGGAGAGAGTCGTTTGTGATTCCTCTTGCCAGAAAACCAAAAAGGAGGCAGGGGAGAGGACAATTTCTGTTTGTTTAACTGACCTGCTGCATCTGATCCCAATGGACTTTGACCCAAATCAATCCAGAATGAGTTGTCTGATGATTCATCTTCACTAAATACCGGGCTTTTCATCACTTCCCCAACTGAAATACTCTCTGTTTCTTCAAATATGGTGCTTGTCCCATCCCTATCAGAACTGTTATCCTGTTCCATCTCAGTCTCAAAAACATCCCTCACCTGAGCAGATGTGAATGCACCAGAAAAGGCAGGCAACTGTGTCCCTGGACGAGTTTCTGTGGTTGTTTCAGCATTCCCAACAACTTCATCATCTTCAATGCAAACCAATCTGTCTAGACCATCAACAGAATCACTCAAATACAAAGGATATTCAGGTGTTATCTTTACCATTCCAGACCCTGTACTCCCAGACTGATTTTGAAGGCTTCCCATTACAGATTTCTTGATAAGAAGACATCCAAAACCGGTTGGGTCGTGCCCAAATACTCTGTAAAAGGAAGTAATAATAAAATCAGGCCGAAACAAGGACAGCCCAAGTGAATCCATATCTTTGGGACCCAATGAGCCAGCATCAAGCAAGACATGCCAATTGTTTTGCTGAGCAAGTGCCATCCATTGATATGAATACTTTGCCCCAGTAACTCTAGACTGCACTGGAAACACGAACAAGCCCGCTGCAGAATCCTTCTTCCGCCTCTTCTTACTTGAAATTTGTTTTCTCAAATCAGTAGAACATAATTTAAGAGTTGGCCATTTAAACCATGCACTATAAACTTTTGCACCCTTTTCTTTGGCACTTTGAACCATCCAACTCACAGACTGGCTCTCATAATCAAACATTGTCAACAACTTCTTATTAGTATGAAAAGGGTATGATTCTGCCAGCAATTTAAATGCAGACCCTCTACTCACAGTGAAAACAAGGCCATATTCATGCTCAGGGATATTCAAATAATCCATAATTCTGGCCTTTATGTCATATTCCACAGTGCCTTTCTCAGCACCACCATAAAGAGCATGGTTACTCAAATTTGCAGTTATTTCAGATAAGCTAAACGTAGAAGACTCCCAATAATGCAAAGTCTGAAGGTATGAAAAAAGCCCATATCCACAATAATCAAGGCATACCTTTGGAGACAAATGTGCATATTCATCCAACCTTAGCTGATCAACCTTCTCTGAAGACTGGTACTTTGGGTACATTGTGAGGAACTTGGAGAATGCCTCGTGGAGTTCAGGAATGGATTCTTCATTCTCAAATATGCGCTCTGCAGCTAAGGCTGTGGCACGCAAGAATTCGCGCTGGGCATTAAGTCTTGCTAAGGATCTTGATCTCCCAAGGCTCTCATCTTGGTTTCCAACTGACTCGGACTCCATATCTCGCGATTTGAAGAGAGACCCATCTTCAGATGCCTCTTCAAGAGCCTCTCTAAGCTTATTTTCTTGCAATTTTCGAAGAATTGATGGGTTTTTCCTGATTTCATGATTGGATTCAGACCCGTCTTTTTTCCTGCTCTTCTTGTCTAAGATTAGAGCAGCACAATGAGATATAGGCTTCCACAATGAAAGATGCATTAAAGCTTTTGACTTTACAACCAATCTAAGAAGAGAATCAAAAAATATAAACCCAAGACTCCAGAAAAACAGTTGGGTTCAGTTGAGTTCAGGCGTTTAGCCCACATACAAGGAACAGAGAAGGGTCCAGTTTCAAACCCTAGGTGCTAGCTATAACAAGAAAGAAAAAGGCCCGACTCTAAAACCAGATCAAGAGAGCTCTAAATTAAGATTTCTTCAACAAAGAACCTACAAAAATGAAAAAGAAATTTACAAAAACTCAGAACTAAAGAAGTCAGCTCAGCTTCAAAAAATTTTCAGGTGAAAAACCCATAGAAATCTACAACCCAGAATTGAAATGACTCAATTCAGTAAAGTCAAAAACCCATTAGAGTGAAAATTTAAACAAAGAAAACAAGTTTTTGAAGAGACCCAAGAAAGATAGAGAAAGAGAAACAGAGAGTCAAACCCTAGACACCAAAACCCAGATCCCCAAATTTTGCAGAGAAACTCGCATCAAGCAAGACACTAAGAAAGAAAATTGGATAAAAGGGTTTCACATAACCTAGTTACTGAGTTTTGAAAGAAACCCTTTAAATCCTTAAATGTGAATAGGAGTCAAGACTCCATTAGCACACCAGAGAGAGCTCAAAAAGAAACTCTCTTTCTTTAGTTTCTCTCTCTCTTCACTGCAGCACGAATAAAAGCAGGCAAAGGCAAAGCAAACCCCTCTCCATATCAAATGCTCATTTTACTTTGTGAATAGTAAATCCACAGCAAAGACAAACCAGTTTTTGATAACCCCACTTTGCTCTCTCTCTCTCTCTCTCTCTCTCTCTCTCTCTCTCTCAGGCCAAAGGCAAAGCAAACCCTCTCCATATCAAATGCTCATTTTTACTTTGTGAATAGTAAATCCACAGCAAAGACAAAACCAGTTTTTGATAACCCCACTTTGCTTCTCTCTCTCTCTCTCTCTCTCTTCTCTCTCTCTCTTCTCACTCTCATCTCTCTCTCTCTCTCTCTCTCTCTCTCTCTCTCTCTCACTCTCAATTGACTCTCTTTCCAGTTCCACAATCTTCCACTATAACCTCCCTTAACAAACAGTGAGAAGGACATTGACTTTTGCAAACCAAATGTAAGTCCTGTTAGTTTTTTTCTTTTCTTTTTTTTTTTTTTAACCCCTCTGCCTCTCTCTTTAATTAATTAATTAATTAATATTATTAAATTTATATATTTCCAATTAATATTCTATTTTTTTATATAATTTATGTGCTGTATGGGACCCGTCAGAACCTTTTCTACTATTGGCCATAGCTAAAAGTCAAATAATCTGCTAGCTCTCTTAAAAGCTGTTTTCTGTCCAACTTGGCACAAATGCAGTGAAAACCACCACCAAAGTCCAAAACCTCCAACCTGAATCTTGATTGTTAATCTCATTTTTTAAGTTTATTTAATTTAAAATTTGCCCAGACTAACCTGTAAATCACAGTTACTAAACTAATTTATTGCTTAAATATTTATTTTACAATGTAAATATAATTAATGAAGTGAGTATTTATTTAAAAATATAAAAAAAAGTTATTCAGGACATAAAACATTTTTTTATCATTTAAATTAAACAGTTATTTTTATCCGACGCTTCTAAAAAAAATGACAAAAAAAATTACAGTACAATTTATGTGGTTTGTAAAATACAACTAATTTATCTCTGTCTTTTAGAAAATAAACTATATGTTCTTATAGTTTATTTTCGTCAGATTACGAGGGCCTTTTATTCAATTTTTATATCTTTTCTGTTAAGTATCTTATGAAATTATCAAAATATCATTTTATTTTTAAAATCACAAGGACAAATCAATTGTATTTCTCAAACCATAGGGACTGCACTATAATTTTTTTTTTGTATAATATTTTAGTATATATCTTTTGACCTCTTTGTTTTCTTACTGATTTAACGAAAAAGATGCAAAAATTGAATGACTTAATAGTGCAACAGAAGCAAAATATAGGAACAAGTTATTATATTTTAAAAAAGACAATGATAGACTAGTTGAATTTCGCAAATGACAAAAATCATATTGTAATTTTTTCCATTTCTAATTTAAACATATATATAAACAATTATCAGCTAATCGTTACTGCAACACGTAACAGCTACTAAAATAGTTAATTAATATTATCAAACAACACATAACAACTACTAAAACAACTTATATTACTGAATAACTACTAAAACATATAATATTAGCCAAGGGACTCTAAAACTCAAACAAGAATCAAATAAGACGAGAAATTTTTGAATAATTTAGAAATTATAAGCATGAAATAGTGCTCTACATGCATTCAAGAATGTCTAACAATGGGAAGATGAGTATGAATGTTATATTTCCAATTTTAAAATCAAGCCATGAATGTTATACGTGTTTTGAGCTTTTGCCATACTCAGACAAGGTCCAAGAAATATAATTAACTTCTCAATTTTTTAGAAAAAAAAAAAAAGAAAAAGAAAACTTGATTGATGAGAAGATCAACGTGGATTAGTATTATTTTAATTTAATATTAATTCACATCTCATGAATCAATTTTACGACTATCACTATAAAACGACATAATAGTCAACTTCTAGATGTGAATGATTTATTAATTATAGAAAAAAAAATTCAATAATATAGTGTTTTGTTCACTATCAATGTTTGCTTCTTTTGTTTAATATATCCAAAAGATATTAACCTAATAAAATACATAATTCAACAACTCCCAACTGGTATATTCTGTTAAATTTGCAATTTTATTTTTTTTTTCCATTTAATTTTTAATTATCAAGTTGATATCTTAGATATACATCACTTTCTTTCTTTTTTTTTTAATTTTTATTTTCATAATTTATTTGCAATTCCCATAAGTTATAAATAAATTTAAAAGATAAACTTATGTCTTGGATTAAAAAATTCAATGGAGTGCTGAGGCAAAGACTGAACCTGAAGGGCACAGCTAACCCCTTAGCAGTTAGCAATAAAAATTATTTAATAAAAGAATTTTTTTTTTTTTTTTAATATCAAGAATTGCTTATATTAATGTTTGTGGGCATGACATGTGTATTAAAGATGTTAGGTGTTGTGGGGGCTCCTGTCCCTAATATGTTACAGTATTTTATCTGCATTGTTGAAAACCTGTTATATTGGTTAACGGTTGATAGGGTAAAAGAGTAAATTTGAATCATAAAATTTTCAATTTTAGAAATCCTTTTTTTTTTTTTCTATTAATACTTTATATTATTTTTTAGAAATTGAAATAAATCAAAACTGAGGAAGGGTTCCTTAGGATTCTAATATTATGAACTAGTAAAGCTCAAAACCCCAGAAAAGGCCGACTTGATAATTACAGTTTACTTTGTTATTTTAGAAAATTGACTAAACCCCACCACACTTTTTTTAAAGTTGGATCCACATATCGATGTTAATTAAACAGTTTAGTCCTGATTAAGTTGTTGATTATCCAAATAATTAAACAAATATATATTTTTTTTGTTTAAACCAGTTATTTTCCATTTTGTTCTTTCACTTTCCTATTTGAATTGAACCAATTTCTTCCCTTCAATTATTAAGAAAATGAAAATTGAATCTCAATTTTTCCAGATCTATTAGTAAAATTTTTAATTCTAGATCTAAGATAGTTTAATGATCGGGTTCATAAGTGTTTTTTTTTTTTTTTTTTTTTTTAGATAGTTTTTAATGATCGGGTTTCATAAGTGTTTTTTTTTTGTTTTTTTTTTTTTTTGGTTTTTTTTTTTTTTTTTTTTTTGGTATGATCAAAAGATTTAATCCCTCTCAAGCCGTAGAATCTAAATGTTTTTGGCACTTTTAACTAAGTATCTCACTTTTACGCGAACTGAAGTCGCTAATCCCTTGACTAATATTTATTGGTATAAGTGTGATATTTTGATAGTGGGATACTAAATAAAGAACGGATAGACTTAGAATTAGTTGAACCGTAGTTGTTTCAAAAGACTTACATTTTATAGATATTACTGAAAATTTAACTATAAATAGGGAAAAAAATTGATTTTAGCTAATTTGGAATTAATATTCAATTATTGTTGTGGAAAAAAACAATTATAAGAAAATTGTCTCTCATGCAAATGAGAAACGAGAAATGACATTAAATTGGAAAAAGATAAAAAGAGTGCCATATTGACTAAAGTACAAATTGCTTAATCAACTAATCAAAGATAATTATATTAATTAATTCAATAGTCAAAATTATGACTTGAAAGAAACAAACAAAATGTGAAGTCAAAGAGATTCAAAATCCATGAAGGAGAGGAACATATACAAATACAAATACATATACATATACATATACATACTTATTCTGTCAAATCTTTTTCTATCTGATAAGAGATATACTGTTGCTTTCTTAGCGGCCAAACAAACAGGGCACTGAGAAATTCATCTCTGGACCTGCTATCAATTATCACATATGATTGACGTGGAGAGCACGTGCATCACTTTGGTTAGTCAACTTTGTTCCATTGTAAAGCTGAAATAACACTTTTTTTTTTTTTAAACATTAACGTTGGTGGAAGAAGTCAATTACGTAACAATAAGAACGATGAACTCAATCACGTAATAATAATAATACAAATCCGATTTTTAGAAGTAAACTTTGTAGAAAGATAAAAAAATTTTTACATTTGAATTAAATTACTAATAAATGCATATATTATTTTGTTCAATTCTCCTCTTCCTGAATATTAATATATATATATATGTAAAAATATGAAAATTTTAAATTTAATAATTTTTCTTTTTAATTAAAGTAATATTTTTCAAAATATTAAATGATAATATTGCATTACCAGTTTTGTAAAAGTTAAGAATTTAACTTTTACTGTGTCCCATTGTTTAAAAAAATTCCCAGTGTATTAAAGGAAAAAGGCCAGACTAACCTTGGTCAACACATAAAAAAAGGGCAAAGCAAGTGCAAGAATCATTTTTAGCATTCAAATATAGAACCCAATTGTCTTGATCGAGCATCTTATCGTTTTGCTCGTACACAGATTTGGGACCGAGTCCCTAATTGTCTTTGAAATTTTTTCCTTGAGTAAATAAATATTTTTTTACTCTTTCAAAAAAAAAAAATATATATATAGAACCCAATTGATAACAAAGCTCAAATCACAAGGCAAAGGAGTAGCAGCTAAGTGGTAAAGGGCTTCTTTAACAAGAAGACAAAAGAAGAAATGGCTTCTACTTCTGCATTGTCTCCCACTTTGCATGTCAATCAAATGATCAAATGTAAAATAAAAAAAAAAAAAAAAAAAAAATGCATGGTCAATTCAAATTGATCAATGTAAAATAAAAAAAAAAAAAAAAAAAAAAAATTAAAGTAGCAGAAAGACTGGAAGAAAGACTAAAGCTTTGGCAAAGGTAAGTTTACCAGGAACTTGCCTCATTTGAATGAAAATAATGAGTAGCAGAAAATTGAATTTGATTGTCCTTTTCTTTTGTTATCGTATTTTAATTATGTCATTTCTAAAAAAAAAAAAAAAAAAAAAAATTAAGTAGCAGAAAGACTGGAAGACAAGACTAGCTTTGGCAAAGGTAAGTTTACCAGGAACTGCCTCATTTGAATTGAAAATAATGAGTAGCAGAAAATGATTTGATTGTCCTTTTCTTTTGTTATCGTTATTTTATTATGTCATTTCCTTTATTCTTGATTCTTCTTGTTGCTTTATTAATTTTTCTTCCCCAAGTTTCACTAGAAAGTGTGCAGGTGACTTTCCATTCTGAAATGGGAGCTACAATTTTTGGCATTTTATGGGAAGATGCCTTCAATGGCCATTTACCAAAAAATGTCATTATTAAACATACCTTGACAAAGAAATCAAACCCACTCTTTTAATTAAGTCCATGTATGCATAGTTTAGCGACACCAAGCTTCAATGATCAGAATTTTTGCACCAATGCATGAAAGTGCTATTATTATTCTGATATTATGGAGTCCCATTCTCCACAAAACAGATTTGATTGATTAATAGTGTGTAGGGCCATTTAAGGGTGTTGGTGGGCTATTTATGTGTAATGGGCTCAGTTTTGGGTTTGTACTATAGTATCTATTATTAGGATTTTCAGTTGGCAGATAAGGTCATTTAAGTAAATAATTACCCATAGCATATGTTATTGGTTCAAATCGTTATCCCCTCATTAATTAACTTGAAGATCACCAAGACTAAGATCCTGAAGTCTTTAATTCACACAGAAGGTACCTAAACATGAAGGGATTTCTCGCTACTTGAGAGCATTCAAGGAATGCTAATTTGCCAAAATGCAGCCTAATAAAACAAGGCCTGAAACCAAAATCTAGTGTAGTGTCTAAAAAAGTTCCCAACTCAGCCTACCTGACACACAAAATACAGAAACAAAAGAGCCCTTCATCTTCCTTTTGGTATCCCTGCTTGGCCTTCAATCTTCTAGCAAACTGTCTTCAGTTCATGTTGACTTCTGCTTCCGTCATTGAGGAGAGAGATACTGTTAAAAAGCTTGCACTATATCTGAATATTTTGCACATTTGCCATTGATAATTCACCATCATAGCCTTTGTTCACTCTACGCCTCTGTCTTAGTCTTCCACCAATACTGTCCAAATTTGGTTCAGTAGCTGCAGTCTTCTTCTTAAGCTTTGCACAACTCTCCACTTTAGAAGTACTATCAGCAATTTTGCCATCCCCAACATGCATTTCCTTCTCTTTCTTCACCTCCTGATTAGAGAGCAGATAGTTGTTTATAGACTGCTTGACATCAGAATTTTTCTCATTTATACCACTTAATTCTGAATCAAGATGGTCATTGGTTTTCAACTGTCCCAGCCTCAAGCTCTCAAGGATAGTATCATGCTCTGTAGATTGCAATTGCATTGCTTCCTCACTTTTAAGCTCATTCTCTCTTTTTCCTTCAAATATAGGCATTGACAATCCAAAATCGACATAAACTTCCTCATTGGTCTTTGTAGATACCATCTTCTCAGGCACTGCTTCACCATCCGGAACAAGGAGATTTCCACTGTAGGACGGTTGCTCTCTTTTCTCAATCTTTAAACCACTTTCTCTCTCATCTCTAAACATAGATTCTGGTAATCCAGGATGATAATGCTCCTCATTATTGACCTCTACAGATTCCATATTGTCATACCGTTCTTCACTGCCTGAAAAGGGTAATGACCTCTTTGTTTGACAGTTGCTGGCCAGAATTTTGCTATTCGGCTCAGTCGTAGTCTTTAACTCATCATGAATTGTCTCTTCATATTCAGGCATTAATGGCCTAATTTCTTCATTGGTAATCTTTGATGGCTTTTCCATCTCTGAAAAGGGCAGATACCTTTTCACTGAAACTTGATTGGCAGTCACCAATTCTTTTTCTACTGTATTTTGTGAGCGTCGGGTTTGGATCAGATAGTGTGCAACTGACTTGTAACCCAATCGTGATATCTACAAGATAAACAAAATGCTAAACTCAATTTATCTCCTGAAAAGTTGAGCCAGCTCTTCTTTTAGCAAAGAGTTTACCTTCTTGTAAAGAGGTCCGGTAGGAGCCCATCCTTTTGCTTGCCGGCAAAAACTGCAGTTGCAAATTCCACGACAGGGGGGACATATCCAATTTGGATTTTCTATTGCTTCCAGTACATGTTCTCCATATCTGCTTTCTCATAAAACAAAAGGCTTTAAAACATTAGATTATTTTAAAATTACAGTTAAAAAAGCTCATGAAAGTATCAAAATGCAAAGCAGATAAAAGCAAATGGAGAATCTTTCAAACAATTATACCTCATGTACAAACAATCTCCACAAAACTGTCCTTGGACCATCTTGCATTTGCTGCAGTGGGTACGATAACCAAGAGTTTTCTGCCTGTTAAAGACCCTTTCCTTCAGTTAATGATAGACACAGATACCATGAAGAGCACGACTTAAGAAGCCAAATGCATATAACATAACAGCTATATAATAAAGAAAAAGAAAGAGACTGAGGAAACTTCGTTCTGAATATGTATCTGTGTAATGCATTTTCAAGGTATTATGTCTAGCTGATTGTTGTCCTATATTAAAACTACCCGCCTCTGTTGCTATCACATGACCTCCAATTCACCGAACTATCATTATTTCTTCATTCAACTGTGATAACACAGTTGCTGGTCCAAACTTCAAAACTACTTCCACAGCCTTGCCAGGGCTGCTAAGCTAAGCCATTACCAACTTGGTCACCACTCTGCGTTACAAATCGTCTGCCTCATTCAATCCGGATAACACATATCAGCTCCAAAACCACAACTACATACTGATAGAATGAGGCACCTGCTAACAGCATCTAATTTCTCCATTATGTTCCACCTTCATCAATTCTCTTACATTTATAAGCAACTCAGTTAGTTACACGGATCATGGACAAGCATGCACATTTAAGTTTTTCAAATGCAAAGCATTTTTATGCTATGAGAATATAACAATAACAACTAAGCCTTAGTCCTAACTAGTTGGGGTCAGCTATATGAATACTTTGTTTCAAAATATCAGCTTTGATCAAATGAATATCAAATTATGCTATGAGAATACAACTTCTAAAACATATTACAGGCAAATGGCATGAAAAATTCTTGTTAGCAACTTCTAGATATAGCAGTTCTAGTGACAATACTTTGGCAAAGGCCGACAGACTACACAACAGGCGTTACGCATGCTTATGCAAACTAAGAGGATGTCAATCATAACCAGCAATTTTACACCATGATCAAGTCATGCACGCATTGTGGTATTTCCTTGTTAAATTAATATTTTTTTTATCACAGACCCTCAAATAATAATCTTTTATTGAAACCTCAAATAATAATCTTAGAACTCAATAATCAAGATCATTATCATACCTACGAGGTTAAAAAGTGGACTCACCTGCATTGATGGCAAGTCTTTCCCTTAACCTGATCATAAATCCGTTTTCCATCTTTTCCATACCCATCTACAAAAAATGTCCAGCTCCTGTCAGTACTTCCCAAAAGCTTCTCATGCTCTTCTGTGTAAACCTCTGGCTTTGAACCCACCTCTAGCCTCACATCTTCATCTTCCAATAAACCATCCTTCTTTGCTAACACCGCTTCCGAGTAGCTAACAGGAGTAGCATTGTGCAACCTAAAAAACCCCGCAAAGAAATTTAAAACGAGAACACTCAAATATTAATCAGTCAACAAAACTGAATATAAATAAATAAAATTGTCTAGATAATAAAATTAAAAAGACATTAGGCGTATAAAAGAAAACCCAGTCCATTAAAGATAAAAAGAAGCAAATCAATTGATCAATCAAGATTGGTATACAGAGATTATGACATTACCTAGAGGAGCGGCGAAGAGGTCCAGGTGACTTAAGAGGAGAGGGACGTTTTGCTGGTGACGGGTTATTTCTTTGGGTGCGTTTAGGAGCTGCAGAAGAGTTGAGCTTTTGAGATAGGTCAAAGAGACCAAGTTTCTGCATTCTTTCAAAGTTTGATTTGATTCTCTCTTCTCTTGATTTCTCATACAGTGACATTTTTGGGGTTTGATCATCGTTGATTTCTGGAGTAGGATTTCCGTTGCATTCTTCTGCAGATTGTGATTTTCTGGTTCCCATAGTTGGCAATCTCTGAGTTCTGTCTTTTTCTGTATGAAGACGGTAAGCTTCACTTCACTCTCTCAACGGTCGACTTTTGAGGTTAACATGGCAAGTGGGAGAGGGAAAAGGAAAGTTGGGCTGCGGACTTTCTAAATGACATTGAGGCCCTTCTACCAGTTACAAAAATTGATGAGCATGTCGTTTCGTCCAATGACCGCCTGAAAAATTCTTTTCAAAAGCGTACTGGGCCTTACCGTCCATATATGGGCCTTAGCCCAATATGAATATTTCAAGTTGACGCCTTCCTCACGACCTAACCCCAAGGATCTTCCTCCCCAGAACATTCTCAATTCAATTTTTTTTTTATTTTTTATAATTTCCGTATGCGTCACATTTATTAAATTAGTTCAATCTCTTTGAACTAGAAGAGAACCATTTTGCGTATAGAAAAAGCAAAATCATAACCTTCACAACACGCAGAGAAATTTGCACCAATGTTGATAAACTACCCATTTGAACATTTTCTTCTTTAATAGAGATAAATTAAAAGGTCATACCAAATTCAACAATCCAATAGAACAAGCTTGCAAGTTTCACCTATGGATTCTTTGTTTATCTTAAATACTCCTTTCTGCTGCATCTAGTTTCAGAACATCATAATCTTGTCCACTTTCAGAAATTTAGAAGCCATGGCCTTAAAGGTTACTCAAACCTTGGCCTTGTTGGTTGTTTTTGTTACTTTGAGTTTTAGATTTCAATATTGTAATGCAGCTGACTCTTCTGGATTGGGAGCTTCTTTTATTTTTGGTGATTCTCTAGTTGATGCTGGAAATAACAATTACCTACCAACTTTGTCTAAAGCAAATATCAAGCCTAATGGAATTGATTTTAAGGCTTCCGGCGGAAACCCAACCGGCCGGTACACCAATGGGAGAACCATTGGCGATATAATAGGTAAATCTAATTAATTTCGAGCTATGTTTTCTTATATTTGTTAATTGATTTATTGATAATTCGTTTACAATTCTTGTACTATAAGATCGACCATATACCAACTAGCTTATTGCTTAATTTTAATTTATGCATTTGTTTCATTTTTGTTTTAGGGGAAGAACTAGGGCAACCAAATTATGCTATTCCATTTCTAGCCCCAAATTCAACTGGGAAAGCAATACTGTATGGTGTCAATTATGCTTCAGGAGGAGGAGGGATTTTGAATGCAACTGGAAGACTATTTGTTAGCACTTAATAATTCCCATAATTATTTTTAAAAATCATTTACATAATTAATTATCTAATTGAATAATAACACATGAATAATATTGTTGCAGGTTAATAGGCTAAGTATGGACATTCAAATTGATTATTTCAACATTACCAGAAAACAATTTAATCAATTGTTAGGTCCAACAAAGGCAAAAGAATATATTAGGAGGAAATCCATCTTCTCCATCACCATCGGAGCAAATGATTTCCTGAACAATTATCTACTTCCAGTTTTATCTGTTGGTGCAAGAATCACTCAAAGTCCTGACGGTTTCATCGACGATATGCTCAGTCACTTAAGAGAACAGCTTACTGTAAGTAAATTTTAATTAGAATTAATTAAAATTGCGTTTCAATATGTTCATTTACTAACTCTTTGGTGGCCACAGAGATTATATAAATTGGATGCTCGAAAATTTGTAATTGGAAATGTCGGACCGATAGGTTGCATACCATACCAGAAGACTATAAATCAATTGAAAGAGAATGAATGTGTGGATTTGCCTAATAAGTTGGCAAATCAGTATAATGCTAGATTGAAAGATTTGCTGACTGAATTGAATGAGAATCTTCCTGGAGCTACCTTTGTTCATGCCAATGTCTATGATCTTGTCATGGAAGTCATCACGAATTATGATAAATATGGTGAGTTATATATATATATATATATATATATTAATATTATATATATATTAATATATTATATACACATTACGATAATAATGCTCTAATGCAAAGTTTGACATATATATATATATATATATATACAATTACGATAAATAATGACCTAATGCAAAAATTTGACCCTGTATTTTCGATGATTATCCTTGTGGCCTCCTAAATTTTACGAGGAACCCATCATGACCATACACTTTTACATTTCAATAATAATTATGCTACTCGCTAAAATAAAATACAGAAGAGTAGGTTTATAATTGAATTTTTTGCAAAGTTTACGGGCCACAAGTATAATTAACCAAAGTTTCAGGGTCAAATTTATATATTAGGCCGATAAATAATGAGATATGTGCATATGATTAGAGTTAACTGGATGTGAATATTTTTGCAGGGTTTACAACAGCAACAAGAGCTTGTTGTGGAAATGGAGGGCAATTTGCAGGGATAATTCCATGTGGACCTCAATCTAGTATGTGCGAGGATCGTTCCACGCATGTGTTTTGGGATCCTTACCATCCAAGTGAGGCTGCCAATCTTCTACTTGCCAAGCAATTGCTTGATGGAGAAAAAAAATACATTTCTCCTATGAATCTTAGGCAACTCAGAGATCTTTGATTTTCATTTTTCATGTGTAATGATTTTCTTTTATTGAGCAAAATCTAATTTCTTCCTCCATTAACAAGATTTTGCTCTATACCCTTTTTACCTTTTTCTTTTGTTTTCCTCTTCTTTGTTTCACATTTTCATTCTCCTTTCATGTTGCCTTGCAATATGGTTTGAGAGTACAATTTTAAACAAAAAAACTTAATAATTAATTTTTAATAGGGCCAAATTAAGGCTTGTCTCTTTGTGTTTGCATGTGCTCCGATCTACAAGTGTGATATTTGGCAATGAAGGGTACTACCGGGAGAAGAGATAGACCTAAACTATGTGAAAGGAAGTTATTCCAAATGACAGATTTAGATATGAATATTTCAGTATAGAGATAAATGATTCATATAATTAATCATAATTAATTAAAATCATATTAAGGGATTTAATTAGGTGATTAATTGAAACCAGAGCTAGCAAAATAGTTTACACCAAAATCAATTTTATCGCTAAGAAAGTAAAAATATTTAACAGAAATATAAATAATTATTGCTAAAAGATTAAGGTACCTAGGATTGTATCCACGGAATCTTAACTCGCTTTAAAAGATATATAATTAAAGAATTGACTCATAGAAATTTTGCATTGAGAAGATTTGAACTCATGACATTATGAGTCCTTCAATCTCTTACATGCACTTAGCTACTGTGCTATCCATGCAATTTCCTTTATTATTTATATTGCTTATTGCCATTAATATTTATATTAATATTTGAAAATAAAAATTATAGTATTATAAAATATTTTCACCCATGAAAATAATGGGAATTAAAGAGAAGGAATCAGAAACGAAGAAGAAGAAGCCAAAAAGAAAAAGAAAGAGCAGAACGAGGAAGAGAAAAAGAGAAGGGAAAATTGTCAGGTATTATGGACGACCGAATAAGCAGACAATGGGTGCTGACTGAGTGAGGAGGTTCAACAATGTTGTCTTGAAAGCGACACATGATATTGTCAAGTAGACATTTAGATGGCTACTGAGGCCGCGCGTGCCACTGTAAGAGAATCCCCACCTCCATCATCCACCGACACCTCAGGTCCTTCACTGACACCTGTCTCTGTTTACCGGACCCCACCTATCTCTTTCCCCTTCCTACTAGTCCTTGACTTCTTTTCTTCACTTAAATATCTATATACCAAAAAATTAAAAAAAAAAAAGATTTTAGGCGATAGAATTCCAATTTTTTAATTCTTAAAAAAAAAAAAAAAATCATTTTGGTTGGTTTTTATTTGTTTTGGTCCAATTGCAGTACAAATTCTGGTCTAGTATTGGTGAGGCAGAGCTTGTATTACTTGTTTAGGAAGAGAGATAAAAGGGTGAAAAAGACTTTTAACTTTTGTTGGAAAATTTAGTGAATCTACTTTTAGCATGAGTTAGTCTTCCTGTGATATCTGCTAATCTGTACTAGAATTTACAAGAGAGAACAAAAAAGAATTAAATTTATTTATTTTCCTGAATTTTTTGATAAAAAAATATAACCATAAAATATAAATATTCAAATTCTAAATTTTAAATTTCACGTTCTTTGAAAAAATTATTAAATTTATTTAAATTACAATAAATTATCGAGTAAATTGACTATATTGTTCTTAATTTAATACTAATTCTTTAAGAAACCATTATATTGAATTAATAATTATTGATAATATACAAATTGTAAATATGAAAAAAAATAAATTTTATTACTCATTGAAACCATAAATGTGACAAATATGTTAAAATAAATTATTTTCTTAAATGCGATAAACATTATGAAACGGAGAGCATTTGATCGGTGATATGTGAATCATGAATAATGTTAGGAGGTTGATTAGTAGTATGAACTTAGGGGAAATTAGTAGAATATTAAGTGAGTAGTTGATAGCTTGTGCATGTTAAGTTGAGAATTTAAGTGTTTAATTCAAGAAAATTAAGTAGAGGACAAGAGATTTATGTTACCATAAACGTGCTATTCAAAATGAAAAGACATGGACCTTCCATCCAATGACTTCAACGTTTGTTTATGCGTGCTTTGCATGGGTACCACACGCACCTATTAGAAAAATAACCTTATCCTGATCAAAATCAACGAAAATATAAATTTTTATTAAAATAATAATATTTTTGATTATATATTTTAAATATTTTTTTATTAGTGAAATAAAAATTTGGCCCTTAATATTTTTTTTAATATTCCTTTAACCAAATTTATCCCTCTTTACTATAAATCATACTCTGGTTGAAGATAATTTAATTAGGGCATTTTTTATTAAAAAAAAAAAAATTATTGTAGAAATAACAAGATCTTATAATGTTAATAAAAATTCTCATAATAATAAATTATATTGCCACAATCAATCATCTTGGAATGGAAGGATTCTTTTTCAAAAAAAACACACACACACACACACACATTGGAAGAGTTATATGCAAACATTGACTAATGACAACGACAGGTGTAACATAATGTGACATGAGGAGTACGTTTGAGTGGAATAACGTCCGTGGGATTTAACATTAACCAAAAGAAGAAAGGAATCGACGATGAGGATGGAAGGAGAGGAGAATAGTGTGTCCAAAGAAAGGAAACAGTGCTGTTTGGTAACGAGAACAGTGTAGCGAGAAATCCGGGAAGAGATTGGAGATGGGGCAGTACGGAGGAGGAATCTGATGCGGACATGACGCGTCCGAAATCAGAGGGAAGACCCAATTATTGCTTCCCACGCTGCCCCGACATCTATGATTCTGTCGGTCCTGTCCCACCTCAGACACCCCCTCCCTCTCTCTAATAACCACCGCTGCTACCACCACCTCCACGTCTATCACCACCACCACCGCTACCACAATCCATCAGTCCGTCTCACTCTCACATTCTTGGCTTCTTTTGCCGCTCAGCTTCTTCAAATTTTGGCTCTCTCTCTTTCTCAGTGCATTAGACATGATTCAACCTCAACTCACAGTATATCAAATTTTGAAGAATTTAATCAATCGAATTACATTCTTTTCCATAAAATAAAATTCATAATACGATCTACCAATAATGGTGAGTATTCGATTAATCAAATTGAATTAGCTCAATTTCGATTTAATTTAGTATATTTTTATGGCATTCAAATCTGAAATTAAATAATATAATAATCGATTCAAATAGAATTAAATTGATTTAATTCAATTATTTTAAACCAAATAAACAATTTTAAACTTAAAAATAAATTCGTTTAATTACGTATGGTAATCGAATTTCTAAAATAACAGATGAAAATAAGCATTGTGTTTGTGTGTCCATGGATTTATCTAATAATGGGTTTGAGAATGATTTAAAAGTGAATAAGTGTGTATAGGATCTTGCGTAGCCCACAAAAAATCTATGCATTTTTGTGTTGGAAGCATGGGTGTATGTATTTTTTGTATGTTCTTGTGATTAGTATATTAATCAATGAATTAATTAATTAATTAATGGCACAATCTATGCTTTGAAATTTATTAGTTTTAAATAGTCTATGCATGACTAGGGGAAGAAAAAGAAACTGATACTGACACATCAATTGCACAAATCTATTTCAAATGATTACACTTGTATGACAATTTTTTAATCTAAGTTGGAATTTCAGTCACATGGTGAAGAGATTGCTGTGAGCTGCAATCCACTAGTATTATTCATTAATCATATATTAAAAACATTATTTTTCTTCAATTTTATTTTAAGCATAGCCAACATTGGAATAAAAACTTTATATAATCCACCATAATGACTTTAGAATTAACGCTTAATTTATAATAAAAATTTAAGCATTTTCTATTGAGAATACTTCATAAAAAAATATAAACATTGAAACCGTCCATAAACTTAATTAATTTCTGTTTATTCTTAAAGGTAAAAGTTTTAATTTAACAAAATTTACATAGTGAAAGATCACACTCATAATCTAAATTACGACGATCGTCCTCGCAAATATCGTTTGATGCTGAAACTTCCCATTCAGGTTTGTTAAGATGGATTATTCTAGTCTGTAATTGGGAAGACTAGTACTGGTTGGTTAATTGATTAAGGACAATCTAATTCTAGTATATAAAAAGAATGGAAAAAGGGCAGGCTATCTGTCTCTTAGCATAATGGTTGTATTATTGGGATTTGGAATGTAGCTAGAGCTACCTTTGTTTGCTCCAAATTCTACTCAGTGCAATCCTTATCTAGAGCAGCCTCTCTCTTTCTAATTAATGGAAACAAAAACGAAGTGACATAATGTGTTTTCTTTTTGGTTTTTCTGTTTTACTTTCCTTCTCAACAATATGAAAATGAAATAAATATAACAAAATGTGTCCTTTTTTCTTTTTTTTTTTACTTGTATAAAATTAATTTGAAGAGTGTTATTGAAAAGGAAAAGTATTCATGTAATGCAATTCAGGAACATATTAGCAATTATGGTGATGTAGACAATAAGTTTTAAATTTAGAGTATTAGTTTGAAGAATAATTCTAATTATCACTTGGACTATAATTAGTGACCTATGGGCCCTTGTTTTGATCAATAATGCTAATGCCTCTACCTAACTTATCACATCCTTCCCCACCACCATAGAAAGATTAGTAGATAGATAGAGATAGATAGAAACTATCTATTCTAATTCTAAATGAAGAAATTAAAAAAAGAAAAATAGCAATATCATAAATTTAACTCTGAACTTTGACTGATGATTCTCTAGATTTTGAAAAAGTGTTGATTCGGTATCTTTCTTTTTCACATTTTATTTTATTAATGAATATAATTATTATTGAAATTTAAAAATTAAGGGAATTACAAGAATAATCGATGATACGAGATTCAAGAAATCAGAAGAATAATGAACAAACACATGGTCAAATTTATGCATTATCCTCTATATTTCAATTACCTTTTTTGCTTTTATCTATGCACATTCATACATACATACAAAACACGAGCCGCATACCCTAGCTGATTAATTAATAGCCGATCCATTCTGGAGCCGACTGAAATGTCGTGCCTAACAGAACACTGAAAAGCTGCACTCTCTCTCTCTTCTCATATATCCCTCAGAACTCGTTTCAGTGTCCTCCAGATTCTCTCTCTCTCTCCATAAAAGGCCCATCTCTGCTCTTTTGCCACCCACACAAACACAAACACAAACAATCCATACCCAATTCCACATTCTTCTTTGCTGTCCATTTTCTCAACTCTTTTAATCTTTATCTTCTTCTTTCTCGAATATTGATCATAACTAACCAAAAGCAAAGCAGAACAAAACAAAGAAGAACGAAACCTAAATTACCCACTTCCCATTTCCCAAAATGCCATCAGACTCTTCTTCCACTGAAACTAGAAGATTAACTAAACCCCATAACACAGGAGCTCCACCGCCAGACCAAGAACACCTTCCATGCCCGCGCTGCGATTCTACTAACACTAAGTTCTGCTATTACAACAACTATAATTTTTCCCAGCCTCGTCATTTCTGTAAGTCTTGTCGCCGTTACTGGACCCACGGCGGCACCCTTCGTGACATTCCGGTTGGTGGTGACCCTTCGTGACATTCCGGTTGGTGGTGGCACTCGGAAAAATGCTAAAAGATCACGCACCACTTCTAGTGGTTGTACTGTAGTAGGTCCTATGACGGCCAACACAGGTGACCATAACCTTCCATTACCGGCTACACCAGTACTGGTCCCACTTATGGCCAATCAAGCAACTTCTATACAGTTTGGCTGCGGTGGCGGTGATGGGAAGGGTAATGTGTGTGGTTCTAGTGGTAATTCTACAGTATCTGGTAGCTTTACTTCTTTGTTGAATACTCAGGGTCCTGGATTTCTAGCATTGAGTGGGTTTGGGCTTGGACTTGGATCTGGGTTTGAAGATATGGGCTTTGGGCTTGCAAGAGGAGTCTGGCCTTTTCCCGGTGTAGGAGATGGTGGTGCTGGCGGTGTTGGTAGCAATGGCGGTTCTGCTGGAGGAATGAGTAACACGTGGCAATTTGAGAGTGGTGATAATGGATTTGTAGGTGGGGATTGCTTTTCTTGGCCAGATCTTGCTATTTCAACTCCAGGAAATGGTCTTAAATGAGATATTGTTCTTTTAGTAGTTCTTGTTTTTTCTCTGATGGGTTTAGACCCAATTCTAGGAAAAAAAAAAAAAAAAAAAAATTAAAGAACCTTGTTTGATGGGTTTAGTTAATTAATTACTACTTACTATTAAGTGTTGAGAAGATAATTAGGTTTGAAATTAGAAAGAAAAATATGTAACTTTTCTTTACTCTATTTCATGTGATTTTGTTAGTTTGATGTACCTCTTTTTGTGTAGTTTTCATATACATGCCACCCTTTAAATTCTCTTTTCCTCTCTAGCAAATTTTTAATACAAACTTTTTATTGAATGATTATGGACCGACTAATCTTAATTTAATATGAAATTCACATTTTCTTCTATTCATTTCATGAATGGGTACAAATGGAATTTCCCTTTTAGAGTTTGCAGCATATACTTCAATTTGTATTTAATATATAATAATTGACTGATTTGATTTTTGAGGCCCACATTTAAATTTTAATTCTTAGTATAATTTATAATGATTTGCTAGTTCAACATTAATTGAGTGCAATCATTCTCATTGCATAAGCATCACCCAATTTCTACTCTCCTATCCCAATGCATTACCTGCTCTACAGAATTACCTGCTCTACAGAATTCTGCAATTGAAGTTTCATATGCCAGGACCCACAGAGTTGGACCTCTAGAACCTCAGCCTAATGGTTAATCAAATTGCAAAAATTATATTTTCTTTTATTTTGCAATTATTAAAGGAGCATTTACATTAATTATGAGATAAAAAATTAATTATGGTGTCGCTTGGTGTTTATAATTAAATTTAACTTCAATTTTCATATCTTTTTCATTTAATCAGATATTTTGAATTCAAACCATGAAATTTAATTAGTAAAAAAATTATATATCTTATTAGACCATTTTTATCGTTGAAGATACAATTATTTTCTTACTCTCGTAACCTACTTGATACTTCGTTAGTAACAACGTTTGCATTTTTTATTGAAAGTGACATATTATCTTAATATAGGGTATATTAGAAAAATGCAAGTAAAATTTAATATTATTCTAATAATATTAATTGCTTTGCTTAATCTATGTAAAAATAAAAATAATAGTATCTTTTTAGGCCAAAGAGAGTAATATAATAAAAAAATTAAATTAAATAAGATAGTGTTATTTTTCTTTAACATAAAATAAAAAAGTTAAAGCCAAATCAAACTAAATTATATATGATAGACATTATATATAAAAGTACGAGGATATTGGGTTCCTAAAATGCGCCGCTAAATTTTCAAATTGACAAAAATATTATGGATCGAGAACTTTAATTTTATTGGTTAAAAAATAAATATAGTTTAATTTTAATTGTTTACGTTAATTTACTATTTGAATCTAAATTTTATTAAAAATTTTAATCTAATTTTAAATAGAAAATTTTCTAATTTAGTCTCATTTAAATTTGGATAAAAATAAAATAAAATATTATTATTTGGAAATTTTAATTTTATTGGTTAACTGATTTCCTATTATATAATGATTTGCTACATGTAAGGGGAAAAAAAAAAAAGGATTACGTTATATTAATCCTATTATACTACTTTCTACATTGAAGGAAAAAAAAACAACTGACTAATTTCTTTCTATTATATTCATACCTTCTATACGTGGGTATATATATATTCAAAAAAAAAAAATATAAATGAAGATATTATTAATATAAATTATTATTAATTATATATATATAGATTTTGTTTTATATATGAGTTTGAAAATTAGCTTGTTCGACTCAATTAGGACTATTAACTCGATTAGGAGTAAGAAATTAGCTTATTCTACAAATTATATGAAATCAATTATTTACATAAGCTAGTGTAAAAAAATTTATAGTGTTATCAAAATCCTTAATTATAGCGGTATATATAATAAATCCCTCTTAAATTTTAGGGTGTCACAATTTTTTTTTTAAAACTTATAGGTATTAATTTAGATATTTGGCTACATAATTAATTATTTCTTCTATATGTTTAGATTTTGATTTGATAGAATTAGAATAATAAGGAGATGACTACAATAAATTGAATTTTTTTAAAAGAAACCGAGCAAAGCTGAAATTTGTTTAGAACCAAATCAAACTAATTTAATTAAGCTTAGTTTGATTTACCTTTTTGATTTTTCCTTATTTTTTAAGATTTTTATAACTTAAATAGGTTTAAAAAAAAAAGAATTTTTGATTTTTCTGTGTACACTAAAATCAAACTGATAAATTTTAAAATCAAATTCATTTGATTCGATGGATTCAGTCTATTTTTTCAAACAGTGCTCAACCTAATCCAATCGATGAAATATGGTATGGATATAAAAATTTCCATTTAAAATTTTCAAGGAAAATTTCTTTTCCTAAGATAGCAGATATCTATTTACGTTAAATTATATATATATATATAATCAGTCCATCTTATATTGTCAAAATCATTGCAAATCATAAATTCATAACTAAGTGCTCGTTAAGATTTTCCATGGCTCGTCCTATCTTTAGCATTTTAGTAGCTTTTTTGCTTATTATCAAGTTCCATGATTTTGCTGGTATGTTATATTATTATTATTTTTCTGAAAAATACTATCATATTTGTTTATTATTATACTTTGTATAGATTTTTTTGAGTCTGTTGGGTAAAATTAACTGTTTAAGTGGTTAGTTATTAACTGTTTGAGTAGTCCTAAAACACTACAAGCTAAACATTAGATTAGTTATTTTTTTTATAAAACGCTGCCTTAACTTCTAAATGAATTGGTTACACAGTTTAAACAAAATTTTTTCATCCCTTACTTCTTATTAAGTTACCCAGTTTTTTCCGAATGCTAATTTTGTTGCCTGGTAAACCACCATTGGTGCTATGCAGGAGCAGAAATTGGTGTGACCTTCTCAAGACTAGCAGACAACTTTCCACCAGCACAAGTAGCTGTAAACTTTGCTGAATCGAAAGGCTTCAAAAGAATTCGTCTTTACAAGCCCAATTCGTCTTTACAAGCCCCATCACGATGCTTTACAAGCATTGAAAGGTCAGGGCATACAAGTGATCTTAGGAGTTGGCGACGACGAAGTTGAAGCAGTAAGTAAATCCGCTGCACCGAAATGGGTCAAAGACAATGTTGTGCCATATGCAAATCAAATAACCATTATAGCCATAGCTATTGGACATGATCTAATCCCTAATAGTAAATTAGCAGTTTACGTTCTTCCTGCACTGCAAGCAATGAAAGAAGCACTGGAAGATCATGGGCTTACTCTTATTTCTGTAACAACGCCATTTACATTAAATACACTTCTTACACATTTTCCTCCATCCCATTCAACTTTTGATCCGCAAAAGATTTATCTTATTAAACCCATTATCAATTTCTTGGCAACTCACAGTCCTCTTCTTTTATGTGATATTTACCCTTATGAAGCTTATCTAATGGACTCTCACCTTGTTAGTTTAGATTATGCTTTGCTTAATAAGACAAATGTTGAGGTTCTAGATGGTCCATTCGAATATACCAATATGCTTGATGGTTTAGTAGATGCTTTTTACAGTGCAATTGAAAAACTTGAAGCAGGAACTGTTAAGATTGTTGTGAGTGAAACTGGGTGGCCGTTTTCTGAAAAAATATATGCTTCTGCTCAATATGCAAGAGCGTATGCTTCAAATGTGTTCAAACGGGGACAAGCAAATACAGGAACACCGAAGAAACCTTTTTGGGCATTGGACGTTTTTGAATATAACTTGTTTTTTCAAAATGATGCTCCTCTAGATAAGAAACCATATGCTTTATTTTACCCTAATATGTCTGCCATGTATTAGTTAGTTAGGGTTTGCATTGGATATTGTAAAATCTTGTCACTTTTTTATTTTATAACTTATTGTGTGTAAGAATAAATGTGAAATAATTTATATATTTTAAGATTTGCTGTGAAATAATTTATATATTTTAAGATTTGCTGTTTGAAGTTTTCATATTTTCCAAATTCAGTTCAAAAACAATTCCTTACAAATTATATTTTGCCCACTCAAAATGTTAAAAATTAATATTTCACAGCATTTGTTTCAGCCCTTGAACTTTATTTTCTAATTTCACCCGACACTTGATAATGCATTTCTTTCTTTTTCTTTTCTTTTTTTTTAATTTTTTTTTGTTATTTGTGTATACTTATCAATGCTGGCTATAATGCAAAGTAAGAGTTCATTGAGATAATAAATATTTTCTATGTAGATTAGGTTAAAATCTATTGCATTTAAATTAAGAAAAACATTGCCTACTCCTTGCGTATATCCAGTTATCCATTCATATGCCAAATCAATTAAAAAAATGTTTTTGGCTGTAATGGGATGTTTTTGATCATTCATTGAAAAAAAAATGATAGAACAATAATAAATTAAAAAAATCTCTATTGATTGATTTGTGTACGATAAATATTTATTAGAGACTTAACTGTAATTTATATATAAGACCTAATTATATTTTGTGAACTAAATATTATATTGTGCATAGAATTTGATTACGATTATTTCTAATCATTCTTCGACACTCAATTGATGATCAATCACTCCAAAATAATTATTCAATTCGTATTTCAAACACTTATTTAATAAGGATTCCAACTACAACTTTAATCAATATCTTTCTACCAAACTCTCTACTCAGTTAGGCAATATCTACGCAATAGGCAACATAATATCTATTTAATTGGGATTATTTATTATTCTTTTACTAAGTTAAGAATCAAAGTGGTTATTTGAAATATCCCGAATTTTTATTTTCGAAACTTTCAAATTTAATTTAAACCAAAAATCGAAAATTTTTACTATGTGGACTGTAATTATAATACAGTTCCAAATTCGAGCCCAAACTTTCCGAATTGGCCCCAAGCCCAAAAGCAAATTATTCGAAATCTTCGATTTGAAAACACTTAAAATTTTTGAGAAATAATATGAAACTCCGGTAATTAATTTATGATGAATATATTATATATATATATATATATATTATATATATATATATATATTATATATTGTTTTATATATATATAGAAATCAAAAATTTCTTAAAATCAACAAAATAGTAATCTCCACATGTTTTAAACCTTACGCAATTCTCAGTCAAGTAAAAAAGAATTTTGTAAATAAATTAAAAGATCATTAAGTAGACTCATGTTGTTCTGCGACTATTGACAATAAGCTCTGAACTCCTCAAGCATTGTAAATATGATAGAAGAAAAACACCACCTCTAATGTTAGTGAACCTGACTCAGAAAATAATTAAACAATTTGAAATCCAATCCTATAAATCAATCATAGAGAATAGTAAACAGAGCACCAGCTTAGGAATTTTGATAAAACCTAATATATTATATCCAATTTAAATATATGCTTCAACAATTTTATGATGGAAATAGATTGGTTTAAGTGAATATAATATTTTTAAGTAATTTTAAAACAAAACAATGGCTGCAAATGCTTATAAAACACAGTCAATCATTTCTGATAAAGCTATAGCAGAAATCTTAATTGCTGGATTTACTAGCCAACTTAAAGGATGGTGGGATTATCATCTCACTGACCAACAACATTTAGAAATCCTAAATTCAATTCAAATATATGATGAAGGTGAACCTATATATGATGAAAATGGTGAAGTAATTCAAGATGCAGTGAATTATGAGTTTAAACCTTGTAGATAAATACGTGGGCTCTAGTGCTGGTCTGGCCTACAGAAACGAGTCGTGACAGATTGTTAATAATGATAGTTTCATTGATACTTTTACAAATGATTATTACATATGACTTATAATTGAGTGTAGAAACATATTTGTGATGAACTCCAACAACAACTTGAGGGAAGATTCTAACCAAAGCTTTTGGAAAGAAAAGTTTTTGGCTGGATTACCTTATTTTTTGGGTGAAAAAGTTAGAAATCATATAAAACAACAGTATGGACAACCTATACCTTATAGTAAATTAACTTATGGTCAATTAATTAGTATAGTTCAAAAAGAAGGATTACAAATTTGTCAAGATTTAAAACTTCAAAGAAAATTACAATATGAAATGAAGAAAACTAAAAGAGAATTAAGATCATTTTGTAAACAATTTGATTATAACCTTACATCAAACCAAAGATGTGATGGTCAATGTTCTAATACAACTAAACCTAAAAAATATTATAGAAATAAATATTATAAAAGACAATATAGGTCTACACCTAGTCAAGATAAATTTTATAGTAAAAAGAAGACAAAACCTTCTCATGGACACAAAAATAAACAACCTTCTAAATCTACAACTAAAACTTCTTATAAAAATTTGACTTGTTATAATTGTGGTAAAAAAGGACACACATCTAAATTTTGTAAATTTAATAAAAAAGATTACATGAATTAAAATTAGAAGATGATGTTTTAAATAAAATTTATGAATTATATATTGATTCTGATTCTTCGGAATCTGAGATTGAGGAAAGTGAAAACCAAATTGATGAATTAGGAACCACCACAAGTTCTTCCAGTTCATCAGATAAATCTATAAACATGCTTAGTAAAGATCAAAGTACATTATTAAAAGTAGTAAATACAATAGAAGACCAAGAAACTAAAGCAAAACTTCTTAAAAAATTAATTAAAAGCTTTGATAATGAAAAAGAAGTACCAGATATCACTCCTAAAATTCAACCTAATACTTTCTAATACTTATGATTTAACTACCATTTTAAATAAAAATAAACCTCAAAAGGTAAATGCGGATGAATCTACTAAAGAATTATATAAATTAAGATGCTAAAAAATGAAGTAAAAGAATTAAAAACCCAACTTCAACAAAACTCTAAAAAAATAAAAATACTAGAATCCCAACTTATTTCTAGTTCTTCCTGTTCTTCCTCAGAAGAAGACGAATCAGATAATAATTTAAATGGACAAATAAATGAATTAGATGAAGATGTAGATTGTAATTTTCTCAATCTATTACAAGAAATTACTTCACGAAAATATTTAGTAAAAATAAACATTCAAATAAAGGATTTTGTGATAGATGCAATTGCACTCTTTGACACAGGTGCAGATTTAAACTGTATAAAATCTGATCTAGTTCCTAAAAGATATTGGTTAAATGAAAAATTAAGTACAGGCCAACAAATCTTAAACTTGAAATTATGGGAAAAACAGATGCAAATAATCATAAGATCAGCCTTTAGAAAATTAAACACAGATACTTTTTACTTTTCACATCAGGAAGAATTATCATGGTTAATATTACGGCACTCCATTTTTTATAAATTTCATCATACTAATAACACCATATTCAGTTAAAGAGGATTGTATTAAATTTAAAATAAGAAATAGTACAGTTAAGTTAGAATTCACTGAAAAACCTAAGAAGAAGTAATTAAATCTCTTAAAAGCTCATTCAATTAAAATATTAGAGATCAATTCTTTAATTAAATCTAGAGAAGAAGATTTCAAAGATACAAGAAATAATATGTGTTTAAACAAAATTAAACAACAATTAGAGACTAAAGAAATACAAGATAAAATCACAACATTAAAAGAATATATGGAAAAGGAACTATGTGCTGATCATCCACATGTTTTTTGGGATCGTAAACAACACATAGTAGATTTACCATATGAAAAAGATATGAAAAACGATTTTGAATGAAAAAACTATTAAAACTAAAAGCTAGACCCCATTTCAGATGAGTTCCTGAAATTTAATGGACCATGTAAAAATGAAATTCAAGATTTACTAATAAAAAATTAATTTCTAAATCAGAAGTTCCATGGTCTTGTGCAGCTTTTTTATGTGAATAAAAAAACGCTTGAAAATAGGAACGAGGTGCTCCCAGATTAGTAATAAATTATAAACCGATTAATACAGCTTTAAAATGGGATTAGGGTATCTATTCCACAATAAAAGTTCTATTAAGCAAACCTCTATAATGCCAATATTTTTAGTAAATTTGATATGAAATCTGCTATTGGCGATTCCCAAATTGACCCCTAAGACAGATATAAAAACAACATTTACAGTTCCATTTGGTTCAATCGAATGGAATGTAATGCCTTTGGGATTAAAAAATGCTCCTTCTGGAATTTCATGAGGAATCATTGAATGATATTTTTAACCCATATTTATAAATTTTTGTATTGTTTATATTTTATGATGTTGCTTATATTAGTACAAACTCTAGAAAGATCATTTTAAACATTTAAAAACATTTTGGTATATCATCGAGAAAAAAAATGGCCTTAGCATTGAGTAAGCTAAAATGATTTTATTTAAAAACTAAAATAGATTTTTAGGACATTTCAATGAACAAGGTTAGATTCAACCTATAGAAAGAGCACTAGTATTTGGGTGAAAAAATTTCCTGATGAAATTTCTAATAAAACCCCAATTACAACGTTTTCTTGGTTGTCTTAATTATGTAATTGATTTTTATCCAAATTTAAATACTGCTATGATAAAACCTTTACATAATAGACTTTTGTAAAAATGCTGGTCCTTGGACAAATCAGCATACTTCAACTAGTAAAAAGATAAAATCATGAGTTAAAAGAAAATCGCCTTACTTATATATTCTTGACCTAATGCTTTAAAAATTGTTGAAACTTTCCTGATCCTAATGCTTTTAAAATTGTTGAAACTGATGCTTCTAATATTGGTTATGGCGGCATTTTAAAACAAAAAATTAATAGTAAAGAAAGAATAAACAAACTGATGCTTCTAATATTGGTGGTGGTGACCTTGCAACTTTCTGGGCGGTTTCACTTTTCCGTCCACCGGGCGGCGGCGGCGGCGGCGGTTCGGGATCGGCCGGCGAGACTCCGGCGAGACTTCAAAAGGCAGAATGCTCTCCTCTTCGTGCGGATCATGGAAATAAAATCCGATTTTCAATCGGTACATTGTAAGGCTTAATTGTCCATTTTTCGGTATAAGGTTTACAACTTGAATTAACTAATTAATTGGATATAAGATTAATTGAATTATTAAAAGTTGGGAGTTTTATGAAATTAAATTGCAATTTGTGAGTAAATCCCAAATTTAATGACTTAATGAATTAATCGAGTGTCAAGTGGATTAAATTGAATATTATAAAATGTAGTTCATGAATATTAGTTATAATATCGACTTTGAAATATGAAGTTTTGCTAATAATTATATACGTTAATTTTTGGAATTTAATAAGTATAAATTGGAGAAATTATAATGTAAGGTATAGATAAATAAAATTCATGATATTATGGAAATTAAAAACTTATTGGTGATAGAATTATCAAGTGCCTATGTATGGTGAATGACTAATAAGTGATGTTTATGGTGGACGGGATCGGTTAATGTGAGTTGCCCGATGGATGGGCCGTGTGTTGACATGTGAGAAATATAAAATTGAGTAGTATAGTTTATAAGGGAAATGCCGTCGAAATTTCGGTAAAACACTTAAGAAAACTCTTAAAAGATAGTACGATTAAAATTATTATCGTTATTAATATTATGTTGTCACCCGTATTATTATTATTATTAGTATTATTATGACTATCAGTATTTATAAGAACATTACTTAACGAATGACCAAACGTTTTATATAAAACTAATAACTTTGAAATAAATATATAAATGAGGAAAACCCAACATATATGCACATATAATAAATGAATTAAATGGCTGGTAACCAAAACTAATAAAAGAATGTGAAATATAAGTTTTCGAATTAAAATTTTTATTTAGAATTTTCTTGTTTATTTTAAAGGTTTATAAAATACCAAAATGCGAGGACAAAAGCTGGAAGCATGTGGCTAAAAAGGCAGTCCTTTTGACAAAAGCTGGAGCATGTGGCTAAAAAGGCAGGTCCTTTTAAAGGACAATAAAAAGAACTGTGAGTAGTGTTGATAAACTAGTATCATCCGCCTGCATCTCATGGCATTCAACAGCTAAATGTTATCATGCAATTTATCTGCATTATTGTGATGGCATTATTTGTTGATATTAAATTATTGCTTGATTTACTTGTGATGTCAGATATTGCTGTGCTTTGTGTGGAATTTGTGATATTGCTGTGCCTTATTTGTGTGGAATTGGGATGAAGTGGGTCACGATGGGTTTGTGAGACTGATTCTGTTATATGGATCCTGATTCTGATTCTGTTATATGGATCCTGATTTTGATTTCTGTTAGCTGGGTAAATGGGAGATTGGCGCCCCCGTGTGTACCTACTGTTCTGATCTGTATGTTCTGGAAAACCACAGGATGGCTTCTTGTTGTTGGCACCTGATAATCCAGATTTGATTGTAGCCCGCAAGGGTGGCCTCCTATTGTGAGCACTTGATGATCGAGATTGGATGGAGACCACCGGGTTGCCTCCTGTTGGTATATATATATATATATATACCGGGTTGCCTCCTGTTGGTATAAAAAAAAAAAGAGACTGGAAAAACAATGAGAGGACTGGTCATGTGAGGATTAGACTGGTCGGCCAGAATGGGGGATTGGCTCCCTGGTGCATATGTGAGTGGATGAGCCATGTAGGAGGACGGCTCATCGGGTTTCAGTGACTCCACTGACTAATTTCCACGTGATATGATTATATGAAGGTGATAATAAGATTTTGCTGTTGTATTGCCCATTTGTGTGTGACAACTGCTATGATCATAAACCTTCAACAGTGGACCAGATAAATATTTATAGGCATTCTGTGTGGGACTTGTTGTGGGTAAAATATTTTAGCATCTGTGTGACTGTGTGGGGTGAGAGGGTTATCTAACCCTACTCATTGAGTTTGGCGCTCACCCCTGCCTACTTTTTTTTTTCCAGGTAATAGAAAGAAAGGAAAGCCCTATGGAGTTGAAATACTTATTATAGAAGACTTTTAATGATAGAAATAACGATGTGAATGTAAAGGTAGAGTTCCGCAATTGTATTCCAGTTGGTTTGTAAATAAATAATAAAAGTCCATATTACATATATGAACTGTATTTTGAATGCATATGTATAATAAGTAATGGGCCTGAATCCATAATTATGAATAGAATGTAAGATTTAAATAAGTTAGGCTTACTACGGGCTTTGGGGGCCTTAAGCCCACCCAAATCCTAGTGCCGGTCCGGCCACGGAAATGGTTCGTGACATTACTGACTTAAGAGCCGCTCTTTTCTCTCCCTTCTCCATCCATGTCTTACAGATTTCTATATCGGTGTATTATGGATAAATTTTTATGAATATATCACCTGTAAATGCTAGCTAAAATGCCAAGCAAGAGTTGATCGAGACTTTTCTATGTATTTTAGGTTAAAATCTATTGCATTTTGGCAGAAATAACAAGTTAATTAAGAAGAGGCTTCTAAGTTAAAAGAAAAGAATTGCCTACTCCCTAGTGTATATCCACTCACATTCTAAATCAATCAAAAAGATGTTTTTGACTGTAATGAGTTATTTCTGTCTATTCACTAAGAAAAATATAAAACAACAATAAATTAAAGAAAAACCTTTATTTTTTTAGAAGAAAGAAAATATCTATTAATTGATTTGTCGTACGAAATTATCTCATAGTGTAAGTATAGGCAAATTTTATCATATAAATTATAGGTCAAAACGATGAGATATTTTAAGGATACAACATCTCCTTTTGAAATTCACCACTTGGAAAAAATGAGATTCCCTCCCAAATTTCATTAATATGAAAATCTAAAAAATGAGATTCCCTCCCAAATTTCATTAATATGAAAATCTTTTTGTCTCTAATATGAATTTTTTTTATTATTTAAATATTTTTTATCGAAACCATTTTAATGATTCTTAACAAAATACTATATATTTGCTTACTTTTCACTAATCAGTGATTACATTCTATATTTGCACCAAAACCACTAAATCAATTACTTGTCTTAGTGAAATAGCCATTTGGTTATTTAAATATCTGTTGATATTGAAATCATTATTTATTCATTTGATTTTTCAACTTTTTATATTGCAGCGAAAACATCGATTGACATTATAGTTTTAGTGCAACAGACTCTCTATTATAACATGTAGTAAATAGTTTCCATTTTGAATCAAATTGGTAAATAGTTTTTGAAACAACATTATTTTTGTTAATGTCTTTATCAATGGCAAGTAAAAGTTGATTGAGATAATTTTTTTTTTTTTAAGTTAAAATCTATTGCATTTCAAAAAATAGCATTTTGTTATAAATAATAACAAAAAACGATGATATATAGCAAGGACATGAAATTTCCTTTTAACTCATCAGAATAAAAAAAACGAAAATGATTTTTCCTTCCCAAACTTTTTTTTATATTATAATACAGTCGTTCAATCTTGTACGTGTCCAATATCAATACAAATCATAAATCAGTCCTTATGGTTTTATGACTCACTAGTGTATCTTTATCCTCTTTTAGCAGCATTTTTGCATAGTATTGAGCCTCCATGACTTTGCAGGTATGGATATATTATTTTTTTTTTTTTTTTTTTTGCAAACTTAATTAACTGAATTTAACTACTTACAAACTATCATTTCTCTGTGCAGGAGCTCAAACTATTGGTGTTAACTTATGGCAGAGTTGCTGACAACCTTCCCCTTCCTCATCAAGTAATACTGTGTGCAAATCCAAGAACATTCAAAGAATTGAAAAACGAAACCTAAATTACCCACTTCCCATTTCCCAAAATGCCATCAGATTCTTCTTCCACGGCAACTAGAAGATTAACCAAACCCCATAACACAGGAGCTCCACCGGCAGACCAGGAACACCTTCCATGCCCGCGCTGCGATTCTACTAACACTAAGTTCTGCTATTACAACAACTATATTTTTTCCCAGCCTCGTCATTTCTGTAAGTCTTGTCGCCGTTACTGGACCCACGGCGGCACCCTTCGTGACATTCCGGTTGGTGGTGCGTGACATTCCGGTTGGTGGTGACACTCGGAAAAATGCTAAAAGATCACGCACCAGTTCTAGTGGTTTTACTGTAGTAGGTCCTATGACGGCCACCACAGGTAACCATAACCTTCCATTACCGGCTACACCAGTACTGGTCCCACTTATGGCCAATCAAGCAACGTCTATACAGTTTGGCTGCGGTGGCGGTGATGGGAAGGGTAATGTGAGTGGTTCTAGTGGTAATTCTACAGTATCGGGTAGCTTTACTTCTTTGTTGAATACTCAGGGCCCTGGGTTTCTAGCATTGAGTGGGTTTGGGCTTGGACTTGGATCTGCGTTTGAATATATGGGCTTTGGGCTTGCAAGAGGAGTCTGGCCTTTTCCCGGTGTAGGAGATGGTGGTGCTGGTGGTGTTGGTGGCAATGGCGGTTCTGCTGGAGGAATGAGTAACACGTGGCAATTTCCCTTTTATAGTTTGCAGTATATATTTCAATTTGTATTTAATATATAATAATTGACTGATTTGATTTTTGAGGCCCACATTTAAATTTTAATTCCTGGCAAAATTTATAATGATTTGCTAGTTCAACATTAATTGAGTGCAATCATTCTCATAGCATAAGCATCACCCAATTTCTACTCTCCTATCCCAATGCATTACCTGCTCTACAGATTTGCAGTTGGACCTCTAGAACCTCAGCCTAATGAATAATCAAATTGCAAAAATTATATTTTCTTTTATTTTGCAATTATTAAAGGGGCATTTACATTAATTATGAGATAAAAAATTAATTATGGTGTCGCTTGGACACACTCTACATTTATAATTAATTTTAACTTCAATTTTCATAAATTTTCGAATAGAAGAAGAGATGACAATGATTTTTTCTCTGTTAACTAAATATGTTAACTAAATATTTTAAGTTCTAACAACAGAATCTAATTAGTCAGAAAAAAAAAAATACTCTCTCTGTCTTATAAATATATATTTACTTTATCTTTTTTTTTAGACCACTTTTATCACTACAAAAAAAACGGCATTTTGTGACCGACCAATCGGTCGCAAAATGCCAAAAAATCGGTCGCTAAATCAATTAGAGACCGATTTGCGACGAATACTGTCGGTCGCAAATAATCGGTCGCAAATCAGTCGCAAATCGGTCGCAGAAGTTATTCCTAATTTTGAAGCGCGCAATTTTGCGACGGAATAATTTGGAAGCGCGCCAATTTGAAGCGCGCAATTTTGCGACGGAATAAAACGTAGTCGCAAATCGATCGCAAAATCGGTCGCAAATCCGTAGTACATTAGTCGCAAACTGAAAAACAAACTCCCGAGAATTTTTAGCACTACAATTAGCGACTGTTTGTCCATAGATCGCAAATCGATCGCAAAATTGCGACTGATTTGAATCGATCGCAAATCGGCGATTTTTTTTGTAGTGTATCGTGGAAGATACAATTATTTTCTTACTCTCGTAACCTACCTGATACTTTGTTAGTAACAACGTTTGCATTTTTTATTGAAAGTGACATATTATCTTAATATAGGGTATGTTAGGAAAAATGAAAGTAAAATTTAATATTATTCTAATAATATTAATTGCATTGTTTAATCTATGTAAAAATAAAAATAATCGTATCTTTTTAGGCAAAGAGAGTAATATAATAAAAAAATTAAAATTAAGCTTGACATGTATACTAGAATGGATTAAATTAAATAAGATACTGTTATTTTTCTTTAACATTAAATAAAAAGTTAAGGCCAAATCAAACTAAATTATATATGATATATATTATATATAAAATACGAGGATAATGAGTTCCTAAAATGCGTCGCTAAATTTTCAAATTGACAAAAATATTATGGATCGAGAACTTTAATTTTGTTGGTTGAAAAATAAATATAGTTTAATTTTAATTGTTTACGTCAATTTGCTATTTGAATCTAAATTTTATTAAGAAGTTTAATCTAATTTTAAATAGAAAATTTTCTAATTTAGTTTCATGCAAATTTGGATAAAAATAAAATAAAATATTATAAATATTATTATTTAGATTTTAATTTAATTGCTAACAATTTCCTATTATATAATGTTTGCTATATGTAAGGGAGAAAAAAAAAAAACGGAATTACGGTTTATATTATCCTATTAATCCTACTTTCTACATTGAAGGAAAAAAAACAAACTGACTAATTTCTTGTCTGTTAATATTCAAACCTTCTTTATTTCGTGCGGTAATATATATATATATATATATATTAATATACATATAGAAATTATTAATATAAATATTTATAATTATTTAAATATAAAATTATATATAATAATATAGATATTATTAATATATATAGATTTGTTTTTTTTTTTTTTTTTTTTTTTTTTAAAAAAGATGAGTTTGAAAATTGCTTATTCGACTCAAGTTAGGATATTAACTCGATTAGGAGTAAGAAATTAAGCTTTCACAAATTATATGAAATCAATTTATTTAACATAGCTAGTGGTGAAAAAATTTAATAGTGTTATCAAAAAATCTTAATTGGTAGCGGTATTATGGATAATCCCTCTTAAACTTTTAGGGTGTCCACAGTTGTTTTTTTTTTTTTTAATTTAATAGGGATTAATTTAGATATTTGGCTACATAATTAATTATTTCTTCTTCTATATGTTAGATTTTTGATTTGATATAAACACGAATAGATATAATAATAAGGAATGACTGCAATAAATTGGAATTTTTTTTATAAAAAGAACCGAGCAAAGCTGAAATTTTGTTAGAAACCAAAATCACACTAATTTAATTAAGCTTAGTTTTTATTTACCTTTTTGATTTTTCCTTATTTTTTAAGAAATTTTAAAACTTAAATAGTTAAAAAAAAAAAGAATTTTCGATTTTTCTGTATAAACAAAAAAAAAGAATTTTCGATTTTTCTGTATACACTAAAATTGAACTGATAAATTTTGAAATCAAATCCATTCGATTCGGTGAATTCAGTCTATTTTTTCAGATAGTTCTCAGCCTAATCCAAATGATGAAATATGGTATGAATATAAAAATTTCCATTTAAAATTCACAAGGAAAATTTCTTTTCCTAAGATAGCATATATCTATTTACGTTAATTTTTTTTTTAATCTATAAAATCAGTCCATCTTATATTGTCAAAATCATTGCAAATCATAGATTCATAACTAAGTGCTCGTTAAGATTATCTATGGCTCGTCCTATCTTTAGCATTTTAGCAGCTTTTTTGCTTATTATCGAGTTCCATGACTTTGTTGGTATGTTATATTATTATTTTTCTGAAAAATATTATCATATTTGATTATTATTATACTTTGTACAAGTTTTTAGGATTTGTTGGGCAAAATTAACTGTTTTAGTTGTATTTGATTGTTAGTTATTAACTGTTTGAGTAGTCCTAAAACATTACAAGTTAAATGTTAGATTGGTTAATTTTTTATAAAACGCTACCTTAACTTCTAAATTGAATTGGTTAGACAGTTTAAACAAAAGTTTTTCTTCCCTTACTTCTTATTTAAGTTACACAGTTTTTTCCAAATGCTAATTTTCTTGCCTGGTAAACCACCATTGGTGCGATGCAGGAGCAGAAATTGGTGTGACCTTCTCAAGACTAGCAGACAACTTTCCACCAGCACAAGTAGCTGTAAAATTTGCTAAATCGAAGGGCTTCAAAAGAATTCGTCTTTACAAGCCCCATCACGATGCGTTACAAGCACTGAAAGGTCAGGGCATACAAGTGATCTTAGGAGTTGGCGACGACGAAGTTGAAGCAGTAAGTAAATCCGCTGCACCGAAATGGGTCAAAGACAATGTTGTGCCATATGGGTCAAAGACAATGTTGTGCCATATGCAAATCAAATAACCATTATAGCCATAGCTATTGGACATGATCTAATCCCTAATAGTAAATTAGCAGTTTACGTTCTTCCAGCACTGCAAGCAATGAAAGAAGCACTGGTAGATCATGGGCTTCCTTTTATTTCTGTAACAACGCCATTTACATTAGATACACTTCTTACACATTTTCCTCCATCCCATTCAACTTTTGATCCAGAAAAGATTTATCTTATTAAACCCATTATCAATTTCTTGGCAACTCAAAGTCCTCTTCTTTTATGCGATATTTACCCTTATGAAACTTATCTAAGGGACTCTCACCTTGTCAGTTTAAATTATGCTTTGCTTAATAATACAAATGTTGAGGTTGTAGATGTTCCATTCGGATATACCAATATGCTTGATGGTTTAGTAGATGCTTTTTACAGTGCAATTGAAAAACTTGAAAACCTTGAAGCAGGAACTGTTAAGATTGTTGTGAGTGAAACTGGGTGGCCGTTTTCTGAAGAAATATATGCTTCTGCTCAATATGCAAGAACGTATGCTTCAAATGTGTTCAAACGGGGACAAGCAAATACAGGAACACCGAAGAAACCTTCTTGGGCATTGGATGTTTTTGAATATAACTTGTTTTTTCAAAATAATGCTCCTCTAGATAAGAAACCATATGCTTTATTTTACCCTAATATGTCTGCCATCTATTAGTTAATTAGGGTTTGCATTGGATATTGTAAAATCTTGTCACTTTTTTATTTTATAACTTATTGTGTGTAAGAATAAATGTGAAATAATTTATATATTTTAAGATTTGCTTTTGCTCTTTGAAGTTTTCATATTTTCCAAATTCAGTTCGAAAAGAATTCCTTACAAATTATATTTTGCCCACTCAAAATGTAAAAAATTAATATTTCACAGCATTTGTTTCAGCCCTTGAACTTTATTTTCTAATTTCACCCTGCACTTAATAATGCATGCATTTCTTTCTTTTTCTTTTCTCTCTCTCTTTTTTTTTTTTTTTTCCGTTATTTGTGTATACCTATCAATGCTGGCTATAATGCCAAGTAAGAGTTCATTGAGATAATAAATATTTTCTATGTAGATTAGGTTAAAATCTATTGCATTTTGGCAGAAATAACAAGTTAATTAAGAAGAGGCTTTGCATTTTGGCAGAAATAACAAGTTAATTAAGAAGAGGCTTATAAATTAAGAAAAGAATTGCCTACTCCTCGCGTATATCCAGTTATTCGTTCATATGCCAAATCAATTAAACAAATGTTTTTGGCTGTAATGGGATATTTTTGATCATTCATTGAAAAAAAAAATGATAGAACAATAATAAATTAAAAAAACTTCTATTGATTGATTTGTGTATGATAAATATTTATTAGAGACTTAACTGTAATTTATATATAAGACCTAATTATATTTTATGAACTAAATATTATATTGTGCATAGAATTTGATTACGATTATTTCTAATCATTCGTCAACACTCAATTCATGATCAATCACTCCAAAATAATTATTCAATTGGTATTTCAAACACTTGTTTAATAAGGATTCCAACTACAACTTTAATCAATATCTTTCTACCAAACTCTCTACTCAGTTAGGCAATATCTACGCAATAGGCAACATAATATCTATTTAATTGGGATTATTTATTATTCTTTTACTGAGTTAAGAATCAAAGTGGTTACTGATCTAAGAGCCCCTCTTTTCTCTCCCTTCTCCATCCATGTCTTACAGATTTCTATATCGGTATATTATGGATAAATTTTTCTGAATATATCACCTGTAAATGCTTCACCTGTAAATGCTGGCTAAAATGCCAAGCAAGAGTTGATTGAGACTTTTCTATGTATTTTAGGTTAAAATCTATTGCATTTTGGCAAAAATAACAAGTTAATTAAGAAGAAGCTTATAAGTTAAAGGAAAAGAATTGCCTACTCCCTAGTGTATATTCGCTCACATTCTAAATCAATCAAAAAGATGTTTTTGATTGCAATGAGGTATTTCTGACCATTCACTGAGAAAAATATAAAACAAGAATAAATTAAAGAAAAACCTTTATTTTTTTTTAGAAGAAAGAAAATCTCTATTAATTGATTTGTCGTACGAAATTATCTCATAGTGTAAGTATAGGCAAATTTTATCATATAAATTATAGGTCAAAACGATGAGATATTATAAGGATACAACATCTCCTTTTGAAATTCACCACTTGGAAAAAATGAGATTCCCTCCCAAATTTCATTAATATGAAAATCTTTTTGTCTCTAATATGAAATTTTTTTATTATTTAAATATTTTTTATTGAAACCATTTCATTAATATGAAAATCTTTTTGTCTCTAATATGAAATTTTTTTATTATTTAAATATTTTTTATTGAAACCATTTTAATGATTCTTAACAAAATACTATATATTTGCTTACTTTTCACCCATCAATGATTACATTCTATATTTGCACCAAGACCAACAAATCATTTGTTCGTCTTAGTGAAATAGCCATTTGATTATTTAAATATTTTTTGATATTAAAGTCATTGTTTATTCATTTGATTTTTCAACTTTTTGCATTGCAGTGAAATTACTGATTGACGAAGTAGTTTTAGTGCAACATTCTCTGTATTACAGCACACAGTAAATAGTTTCCATTTTGCATCAAATTGGAAAATAGTTTTTGAAACAACATTATTTTTGTTAATGTCTTTATTAATGGGAAGTAAAAGTTGATTTTTAGGTTAGAGTCTATTGCATTTCAAAAAATAGCATTTTGTTATAAATAATAACAAAAAACGATGATATATGGGAAGGACATAAAATTTCCTTTTAACTCATCAGAATAAAAAAAAGAAAATGATTTTTCCTTCCCAAACTTTTTTTTTATATGTATAGTATTGTCAGTCCATCTTGTATTGTCAATATCATTACAAATCATAATCAAGTTCTTATGGTTATGGTTCACTCTATCTTTAGCCTTTTAGCAGCATTTTTGCTTAGTATTGAGCTCCATGACTTTGCAGGTATGATATATTATTTATTTATTTATTTTTTGCAAACTTAATTAACTGAATTTAACTACTTATAAACTATCATTTCTCTGTGCAGGAGCTCAAACTATTGGTGTTAACTTATGGCAGAGTTGCTGACAACCTTCCCTTTCCTCATCAAGTAATACTGTGTTACAACAACTAAGTTCTGCTATTACAACAGCTATAATTTTTCCCAGCCTCGTCATTTCTGTAAGTCTTGTCGCCGTTACTGGACCCACGGCGGCACCCTTCGTGACATTCCGGTTGGTGGTGGCACTCGGAAAAATGCTAAAAGATCACGCACCACTTCTAGTGGTTGTACTGTAGTAGGTCCTATGACGGCCAACACAGGTGACCATAACCTTCCATTACCGGCTACACCAGTACTGGTCCCACTTATGGCCAATCAAGCAACTTCTATACAGTTTGGCTGCGGTGGCGGTGATGGGAAGGGTAATGTGTGTGGTTCTAGTGGTAATTCTACAGTATCTGGTAGCTTTACTTCTTTGTTGAATACTCAGGGTCCTGGATTTCTAGCATTGAGTGGGTTTGGGCTTGGACTTGGATCTGGGTTTGAAGATATGGGCTTTGGGCTTGCAAGAGGAGTCTGGCCTTTTCCCGGTGTAGGAGATGGTGGTGCTGGCGGTGTTGGTAGCAATGGCGGTTCTGCTGGAGGAATGAGTAACACGTGGCAATTTGAGAGTGGTGATAATGGATTTGTAGGTGGGGATTGCTTTTCTTGGCCAGATCTTGCTATTTCAACTCCAGGAAATGGTCTTAAATGAGATATTGTTCTTTTAGTAGTTCTTGTTTTTTCTCTGATGGGTTTAGACCCAATTCTAGGAAAAAAAAAAAAAGACTTAGACCCAATTCTAGGAAAAAAAAAAAAAAAAAAAAAATAAAGAACCTTGTTTGATGGGTTTAGTTAATTAATTACTACTTACTATTAAGTGTTGAGAAGATAATTAGGTTTGAAATTAGAAAGAAAAATATGTAACTTTTCTTTACTCTATTTCATGTGATTTTGTTAGTTTGATGTACCTCTTTTTGTGTAGTTTTCATATACATGCCACCCTTTAAATTCTCTTTTCCTCTCTAGCAAATTTTTAATACAAACTTTTTATTGAATGATTATGGACCGACTAATCTTAATTTAATATGAAATTCACATTTTCTTCTATTCATTTCATGAATGGGTACAAATGGAATTTCCCTTTTAGAGTTTGCAGCATATACTTCAATTTGTATTTAATATATAATAATTGACTGATTTGATTTTTGAGGCCCACATTTAAATTTTAATTCTTAGTATAATTTATAATGATTTGCTAGTTCAACATTAATTGAGTGCAATCATTCTCATTGCATAAGCATCACCCAATTTCTACTCTCCTATCCCAATGCATTACCTGCTCTACAGAGACAATGATTTTTTTTTTCTCGTTTAACTAGATATTTTGAATCCAAACCGTGAAATCTAATTAGTAAAAAAAAAAAAAATACTCTCTCTATAGTACAAATATTATTCTAATAATATTAATTGCTTTTTTTAATCTATATAAAAATAAAAATAATCGTATCTTTTTAGGCCAAAGAGAGTAATATAATAAAAAAATTAAAATTAAGCTTGACATGTATACTAGAATGGATTAAATTAAATAAAATAGATTTATTTTTCTTTAACATTAACTAAAAAGTTAAGGCCAAATCAAACTAAATTATATATCATGTATATTATATATAAAAGTACCACGATATTGACAAAAATATTATGGATCGAGAACTTTAATTATATTGGTTGAAAAATAAATATAGTTTAATTTTAATTGTTTACGTTAATTTGCTATTTGAATCTAAATTTTATTAAAAAGTTTAATCTAATTTTAAATAGAAAATTTTCTAATTTAGTTTCATGCAAATTTGGATAAAAATAAAATAAAATATTATTATTTAGAAATTTTAATTTAATTGCTTAACTAATTTCCTATTATATAATGATTTGCTATATGTAAGGGAGAAAAAAAAAAACGATTACGTTATATTAATCCTATTATACTACTTTCTACATTGAAGGAAAAAAAAAACAACTGACTAATTTCTTTCTATTATATTCATACCTTCTATTTGTGGGTAATATATATATATATATATAACCTTCCTTATGTGGGTAATATATATATATATATATATATATATATATATATATATATTATCGAACCAAATATTACCATTACTAAAGAGTAATAAATATTTAATTTAAAAGTAAAAATTAATATAAAATTATATATATAAATATAGATATTATTAATATATATAGATTTTGTTTTAAAAATGAGTTTGAAAATTAGCTTATTCGACTCAATTAGGAATATTAACTCGATTAGGAGTAAGAAATTAGCTTATTCCACAAATTATATGAAATCAATTATTTACATAAGCTAGTGTAAAAAAATTTATAGTGTTATCAAAATCCTTAATTGTAGCGGTATATATGATAAATCCCTCTTAACTTTTAGGGTGTCACAGTTGTTTTTTTTTTTTTAATTTATAGGGATTAATTTAGATATTTGGCTACATAATTAATTATTTCTTCTATATGTTTAGATTTTGATTTGATAGAAATAGAATAATAATAAGGAGATGACTGCAATAAATTGAATTTTTTTTATAAAAAGAAACCGAGCAAAGCTGAAATTTGTTTAGAACCAAATCAAACTAATTTAATTAAGCTTAGTTTGATTTACCTTTTTGATTTTTCCTTATTTTTTAAGATTTTTAAGATTCTGATTTTTCCTTATTTTTTAAGATTTTTAAAACTTAAATAGTTAAAAAAAAAAAGAATTTTCGATTTTTCTGTATATACTAAAATTGAACTGATAAATTTTAAAATCAAATCTATTCGATTCGGTGAATTCAGTCTATTTTTTCAAATAGTGCTCAGCCTAATCCAAATGATGAAATATGGTATGAGTATAAAAATTTCCATTTAAAATTCACAAGGAAAATTTCTTTTCCTAAGATAGCAGATATCTGTTTACGTTAATTTTTTTATTTTATATCTATAAAATCAGTCCATCTTATATTGTCAAAATCATTGCAAATCAGAGATTCATAAGCTCGTTAAGATTCTCTATGGCTCGTCCTATCTTTAGCATTTTAGCAGCTTTTTTGCTTATTATCGAGTTCCATGACTTTGCTGGTATGTTATATTATTATTTTTCTGAAAAATATTATCATATTTGTTTATTATTATACTTTGTATAGGTTTTTAGGGTCTGTTGGGCAAAATTAACTGTTTTGGTAGTGTTTGATTGTCAGTTATTAACTGTTTGAGTAGTCCTAAAACACTACAAGCTAAACGTTAGATTGATTAATTTTTTATAAAATGCTACCTTAACTTTTAAATTGAATCGGTTACACGGTTTAAACAAAAGTTTTTCATCCCTTACTTCTTATTTAAGTTACACAGTTTTTTCCAAATGCTAATTTTGTTGCCTGGTAAACCACCATTGGTGCGATGCAGGAGCAGAAATTGGTGTGACCTTCTCAAGACTAGCAGACAACTTTCCACCAGCACAAGTAGCTGTAAATTTCCGAACCACCAGCACAAGTAGCTGTAAAATTTGCTGAATCGAAATTTGCTGAATCGAAAGGCTTCAAAAGAATTCGTCTTTACAAGCCCCATCACGATGCGTTACAAGCACTGAAAGGTCAGGGCATACAAGTGATCTTAGGAGTTGGCGACGACGAAGTTGAAGCAGTAAGTAAATACGCTGCAACGAAATGGGTCAAAGACAATGTTGTGCCATATGCAAATCAAATAACCATTATAGCCATAGCTATTGGACATGATCTAATCCCTGATAGTAAATTAGCAGTTTACGTTCTTCCTGCACTGCAAGCAATGAAAAAAGCACTGGTAGATCATGGGCTTCCTTTTAAATGAAAAAAGCACTGGTAGATCATGGGCTTCCTTTTAGCTTGTTCGCTCACTTTATTTCTGTACAACCATTTAACATTAGAAACACTTCTTACACATGCGCGTCCATCCAAATTCCAAAGCTTTCCTGATCCAGAAAAAGATTTAATATTAATAAACCACATTATCAATTTCTTGGCAACGGTCACACAGTCCTGGCTTCTTTTATGTGATATTTACCCTAATGGAACTTAATCTAATGGAACTCTCCAACCTGTCAGTTTAGAGAGAGGCCTTTGGCTTAATAATACAAATGTTGAAGGGTTGTAAGATGGGTCAATTCGGATATACAATATGCTTGATGGTTAACCCGTAGATGCTTCTTTTATGTGATATTTACCCTTATGAAACTTATCTAATGGACTCTCACCTTGTCAGTTTAAATTATGCTTTGCTTAATAATACAAATGTTGAGGTTGTAGATGGTCCATTCGGATATACCAATATGCTTGATGGTTTAGTAGATGCTTTTTACAGTGCAATTGATAAACTTGAAGCAGGAACTGTTAAGATTGTTGTGAGTGAAACTGGGTGGCCGTTTTCCGAAGAAATATATGCTTCTGCTCAATATGCAAGAACGTATGCTTCAAATGTGTTCAAACGGGGACAAGCAAATACAGGAACACCGAAGAAACCTTCTTGGGCATTGGATGTTTTTGAATATAACTTGTTTTTTCAAGATAATGCTCCTCTAGATAAGAAACCATATGCTTTATTTTACCCTAATATGTCTGCCATATATTTTAATTAGGGTTTGTATTGGATATTGTAAAATCTTATCACTTTTTTATTTTATAACTTATTGTGTGTAAGAATAAATGTGAAATAATTTATATATTTTAAGATTTGCTGTCTGAAGTTTTCATATTTTCCAAATTCAGTTCAAAAAGAATTCCTTATAAAAAATATATTTTGCCCACTCAAAATGTAAAAAATTAATATTTCACAGCATTTGTTTCAGCCCTTGAACTTTATTTTCTAATTTCACCCTGCACTTGGTAATGCATTTCTTTCTTTTTCTTTTCTTTTTTTTTTTTGATTGAGATAATAAATATTTTCTATGTAGATTAGGTTAAAATCTATTGCATTTTGGCAGAAATAACAAGTTAATTAAGAGGAGGCTTATAAATTAGGAAAAAAATTGCCTACTCCTCGCGTATATCCAGTTATTTGTTCATAGTCAAAATCAATTGAAAAGATGTTTTTGGCTGTAATTAGATGTTTTTGACCACTCACTAAAAAAATAAAAACAATAATAAATTAAAAAAACCCTCTATTGATTGATTTAGGATATGATAAATATTTATTAGAAACTTAACTGTAATTTGTATATAAGACCTAATTATGTTTTATGAACCAAATATTATATTCTGCATAGAATTGGATTAGGATTATTTCTAATCATTCGTTGACACTCAATTGATGATCAATCACTCCAAAATAATTATTCAATTGGTATTTCAAATACTTATTTAATAAGGATTCCAACTACAACTTTAATCAATATCTTTCTATCAAACTCTCTACTCAGTTAGGCAATATCTACGCAGTAGGCAACATAATGTCTATTTAATTGGGATTATTTATTATTCTTTTACTGAGGTAAGAATCAAAGTGGTTACTGACCTAAGAGCCCCTCTTTTCTCTCCCTTCTCCATCCATGTCTTATAGATTTCTATATCGGTATATTATGGATAAATTTTTCTGAATATATCACCTGTAAATGCTAGCTAAAATGCCAAGCAAGAGTTGATTGAGAATGCTTAGCTAAAAATGCCCAAGCCCAAGAGTTGATTGAGCTTTCTATATATTTTTAGGTTAAAATCTATTGCATTTTGGCAAGAAATAACAAGTTAATTAAGAGAGACTTATAAGATTAAAAAGAAAAATTGCCTGCTCTTCCTATTGTATAGTCAAAACTCACATTCTAAAATCAAGATCAAAAAGAAATGGTGTTTGAATTGTAATGAGGTAGTTTTCTGACTAAAAAATGTCACGTGAGAAAAAATATAACAAGTTCGAACAATAAAAAAATTTGTTTTTAAAGAAAGAAAAAAACAAAACCCTTTTTTTAGAGGAAAGAAAACCTCTATTAGAATATTGATGTTGTCCGTACGAAATTATCTCAATAGTCTAAGGTAATAGGCAAATTTTTATCATATAAATTATAGGTGCAAAATGATAAGAATATTAAGTAGGAGGATACAACATCTCCTTTTTGAAATTCACCACTTTGAAAAAAATGAGATCCCTCTCCAAATTTCATTAATATGAAAATCTTGTTTTTGTCCTCTAATATGAAAATTTTTTTTTTATTATTTAATATATATTTTTAGAAACCAATTTTAATGATCTCTTTAACATAATATAGGCGATTATGGAGCTTATTGCTTACTTTTCCACCAGATCAGTGATTACATTTCTATATTGCACCAAGACGGCCCAAATCAATTGTTTTGTCTTAGTGAAATAGCTATTTGATTATTTAAATATTTTTTTTAATAGTTGAAATTTTCATATTATATATCATTTGAATTTTTTTTCCAAAGTTTTTTGTATTGTAGTGAAACCACCAAAATTGACATTGTACTTTTTAATGCAACATCTCTCGTATTATAACACACGCAGTAAAATAGTTTCCACTCTTGAAATCAAAATTGGTAAATAGTTTTTGAAAAGCAACATATTTTTGTGTAATGTTTTATATATGGCGAAGTAAAGAATTGATTGAGATAATTAATTTGTTTTAGGTTAAGAATCTATGCATTTCCAAAAAAACAGCATTTTGTTATAAACAATAAAAAAAAACGAAAATGAATATATGGGGAAGGACCATAAAATTTCCTAAAAAATGAGATTCCCTCCCAAATTTCATTAATATGAAAATCTTTTTGTCTCTAATATGAAATTTTTTTATTATTTAAATATTTTTTATTGAAACCATTTTAATGATTCTTAACAAAATACTATATATTTGCTTACTTTTCACCGATCAGTGATTACATTCTATATTTGCACCAAGACGGCCAAATCAATTGTTTGTCTTAGTGAAATAGCTATTTGATTATTTAAATATTTTTTAATATTGAATTCATATTTATTCATTTGATTTTTCAATTTTTTGTATTGTAGTGAAACCACCAATTGACATTGTACTTTTAATGCAACATTCTCTCTATTATAACACGCAGTAAATAGTTTCCATTTTGAATCAAATTGGTAAATAGTTTTTGAAACAACATTATTTTTGTTAATGTTTTTATTAATGGCAAGTAAAAATTGATTGAGATAATTAATTTGTTTTAGGTTAGAATCTATTGCATTTCAAAAAACAGCATTTTGTTATAAACAATAAAAAAAAACGATGATATATGGGAAGGACATAAAATTTCCTTTTAACTCATCAGAATAAAAAAAAGAAAATGATTTTTCCTTCCCAAACTTTTTTTTTATATGTATATATAAAGTCAGTCCATCTTGCACTGTCAATATCATTACAAATCATAATCAAGTTCTTATGGTTATGGTTCACTCTATCTTTAGCCTTTTAGCAGCATTTTTGCTTAGTATTGAGCTCCATGACTTTGCAGGTATGATATATTATTTTTTTTCTTAAAATTATAATTACATTTTTTATTAATTAATCTTTGATATCTAAACTTGTAACCTCATAGCCATGAAGACCATTTCAATATCATATATTAAGCAAAAATTCATTGGTTTTTTGCAAACTTAATTAACTGAATTTAACTACTTACAAACTATCATTTCTCGTGCAGGAGCTCAAAATATTGGTGTTAGCTTATGGCAGAGTTGCTGACAACCTTCCCCTTCCTCATCAAGTAATACTGTGTGCAAATCCAAGAACATTCAAAGAATTCGCCTTTACGACCTGAATCCTGATGCTTTAAAAGTACTGGAAAATTCAGGAATACAAGTCATTCTTGGAGCTGTAGACAATGATCTTCCAACATTAGCCACAAATCCTACATTTGCCACAACTTGGGTACAAACCAATGTAGTCCCTTTTGCAGCAACAGTAAATTTTCGATGCATAGCAGTAGGAAATGAGCTATTTCCCAGTAATTTAGCATCTTCAGTCCTTCCTGCAATGCAAGCCTTACAAAATAATTGCAGCTAACCTGACAATTCCTATCTCAACTGCAATTTTCCAACAAACATTGTCAGTTTCTTACCCTCCATCAGCAGGATCCTGGAGTTCTGATGCATCTCCTTATATAATACCTGTAGCACAATTCCTGCAGGCTAACAAGTACCCTTTGTTATGCAATGTCTACACATATTTTTCATATCAAAGCGATCCTGAACACATTAGGCTCGATTATGCCCTTATAAATACTTCTGAAGTGACTGTGCAAGACGGGTCGTTGGGATATACAAATTTGCTGGATGCATCAATTGATGCCATTTATGCAGCACTTGAAAAAGTTGGAGCTAATGATGTTGAAATCATTGTAAGCGAAACAGGATGGCCTTCTGGAGGACCAGATTCTGCAACTACTATTAATGCACAAACTTATAATAATAATGTGATTGCTAGATTAGCCAACGTAGGAACTCCAAAAAGGCCAGGACAGGTGCTTGAGAGTTACATATTTGCTTTGTTTAATGAAGATCTCAATTCTGTTGGGATTGAGCAGCATTTTGGACTGTTTTATCTTAATTTGACAGAGGTCTATCCTGTTAATTTCTAGCTCAAGATTAAAACAACCAACATAGAAAAGATTGTTGTTGTTAGTTCTTATTGGCTAGATTTTAGATTATCAAATTGTACACAGTTTGTACGGCCCTTGAAATAGAAGAGAAGAACAAATCTTTAATAAAAGATGATTGAATGATCAGTGAGACATTTTTATCGAACATCATGTATGCAGAGTTATTAATCTGACTACTGCTGTATTCTGTTGTGGATGTTATATATTTATGCTGTTCAAATGGCTTAAGCAAATGATTATAATGTTCAAATGCTTATATTTTCTATCATATTAATTTCAAATTAGGTAGTTTATAATTTTTATTGTTTAAATGATATTTTAATGTTAAGAAATTTTTTTTTTTTTTGAAAATGAATGTTAAGAAATAGTTTAAAATATTAGAAGATATAAATAATTAAATGTTAACCAAATATAACAATTTTCATAAAAAAGATGTTATTTTTTATTTTTTATTTTTGAAATTCATCAGTTAAGTTAACAATTTCAAGGTCTTATAATTTTTTTTTTGAGAAAATTTCAAGTTCATATATTTTTTAAAAATATTTTAAAATAAACTTAAGTTCGGTTCAACATATTAAATTTATCGAGTGAGTTTTTCTCAAATTGGGCCTCAAATAACTAACAAGCAGTCCGGTCGGTTTGGTTCATTTACGACCCCAACTGCAAATAATTCTAAAATGTTTCTCTAATGAGCAAACATTTAGTGTTGCTCAGTAATTGCTACAAAATAGTCATCCAAAGGCGGGTCTTTTCCCTATTTCCCTCTCTAGGGTTTTAAATAGGGTTTTCAAATTTCTAAAACCCCCAAATCCAACTCAAACACACCAGATGCTGAAGCAAAAGCTACAACAAAACTCTTCTCCCCGACGAAAATTTTGAATCAAAATCGCAAATGTCGTTTGCATTTTCAACTCCCCAACAGCAACCCCAGTCACTGTTTCAGTCTCAGCCACAGCTCTTTCAACAAAGCAGCCCTCTTTTCCAGCAACCGCAACAGCAACAGCAGCAGCAGCAGCAATTCCTGCAGCAACAACAACAGCAACCGCAACAACAGCAGCAGCAGCAGCAGCAGCAATTGTATCTTTTCACTAATGAGAAGGCTCCTGCGAATTACAGCACCAAGTGGGCAGATCTCCACCCCGATTCCCAGAAACTTCTACTCCAGATTGAGTATGTTTCTTTTTAGATACTTTTTTTGTTTCTTTTTTGCATTTTCTATTTTGAGTAAGTTGCTTGTTTCCAAGAAAATGTGGGAAAGAAATAAGATTGTGGAATATTTGAGTAAGTTGAGGATTCGCTTTGTTGGCTTGGTAGAGATGGCATTGTTTTGTCTTCCTTTCCTTTTTTTGGAGACTGTGAACTACTTATAGTTAAAGTTTTCTATTTATTTCTTCTGCAAATGAGTAGCAAATGTAGCTTAGTGCTTGTCGACTTGATCAGGATTTTATAGATAAGTTGTATTTTGCATCACACATTTCAAGGAGCTGGTTGATTTGGGAGTCATGTCCCTTAGGCTATTCTGTTTGTACCACCAAAAATGTGGTTCTTGATTTTTTATTATTGTAATGCATTTTTTTTTTTTTTCAAAACAATTTATTTGAAATTCGATTAATTTGATTGTTGGTTTTGGTTTGGATACGACTTTCTTTTTTTGTTTTTGTTTTTTATTTTTCTGAAGATGTTCATGATTTTCCTGTATAGGGAGCGGATACTGGAAGACAGGGATGAGAGCCAGAGGCTAGATCAGTGTAGTCGCCTTTATGATTCCTCAATATCTAATGAAGGGTTTGAATTTGATGCAGGTCGTGTAATTCAGGTACTTCTGTTTTCTATACCACTCATTGGTTTTTTCTGCATTGTGATAAGTGAATTGTATGTGTTTGTCTTTGATTTGTGTAATTTCTTTCTGCTTCTTCTTCTTCTTCTTCTTCTTCTTCTTCTTCTTCTGCTTGAATTTTGTTAGGTTTTTATTTTCTTTAACCCGGTTTTGTTAGTGCACCTGGCTATATCATTTATGGTCCATGTGTAATTCAAACCAAATGCTGGATAGAATTATTGGAAATTATAGTTGAGAAAGCAAGCAAGGCCATTTTTAAGTCCATTTTGTCGTATTCCTTTGTCTAATCATATATTGAATATTTATAGAGTTGAGATGGATGTACAGTGTGATATCGAACTTTTGCTACCTTTCATTTCTGCTTGGAGTCTGTGGTAAGAAGTTTTTTAGTTGATTTCCCAACTGCTAAATCACTTCATAACATGTGACGTGCACATAAGATTAAGGGGCACTGCGTCTGTGTGTATCAGAGATATATACTCTTTCACATTTCAAAGATAACTGTTCGATGGCAAAAGTCATTTTGTACTGTTAATTATGGTTGCTTCCTTGGTCATTTAACTACATGAGTGATACGTTTAAGCCATTAAACAGGAACTTGGTGGGATCAGTACTGCCATGGAAAGACAGAAGGCTTTACTACAGGAGCTTATGGTCAATGTTAAAGACATGCTGAGGAACACAGAGATGGCAGTACGTTCTTTTATGATTCTACGCCCTAGGTTCTTTCATCCGAATGCTGGAGGTGCTTCAAATGCCACTTCACCATCCCAGCCTTCTGGAGCTACAGGGACACCAGGGTCTAGTAGTCAACCAACATCTGCCTCCATTGTGCCAGTGTTTGATTTCTACAGTGGTGTCCCTAAAAAACCATCACCATTTTTACAGCAAACAGTTATCAGATTTGAAAAATATTTGGGTGAATGTCGCCAATGGATTGAAGAGTTAGAGCAACTTCTTCTCTTAGATTCGGGCAGGAACTCTTCTCACCCTGGATCCTCATTATTGCAGTCTCTTCCAAAAGTTATGTCAAATGTGCATGACTTTTTTGTTCATGTGGCTTCTAAGGTAAAACAAGATGATTCTTTAAGTCTCAATCTTTCATAATTTATGGCATCCCAAGTTGGTAATATCATATAACGAATTCTATTTTCCTACATTGGTTGTTTGCATTCTGTGCTCTGTAAGCTTACATGTGAGCACAAGGTTTTATCAGTGCTTATCATTGAATCTAATGTCTAACCTCTGGAAACAAATTCTCCAGTAACCAATAAGAATGGAGATGGATGTTTTTCTAACCTGTGGACAAAAAAGTTTCTTTTTCCTACTGTTACTAGATGGCTATAATGACATTTGTTTAAGTTCAGTTTACAGCTTGTCTGCACAAAGCTAAAACACTGATTTTTCTTGAATAAAAAAAGTTTGTAATGCAGTTGAAATACATATCATATAATGATTTGGATATACCCAAAATGCATATAAAAAAATTATTCACCACTTCAGTGATCATATTATTTGATGCTTCTTATTATTGGTAGAGTTATTCTCATTTAGTCTAGGTTCTTGGTTTTGATTTATGTCATGCAGGTTTTTCCTTGAACATGCACACACAAGCACATTGCATGCAAGAGCATGGAGTTAGTTTTTTAGGCTATGATTTTTTAATGGAGTTATTTCTTCATATTCCCTAGGTGGAGAGTATTCATCAATATATTGAATCTATGAAAACTGCCTATCTTGCTGATCAACGCCGTCGAGGGGATGTGAATGATCCATTCCTTGAGGCTGATCGACGGGAAACAGCAAAACAAGAAGCTGCTGCTAAGCGAGTACATCCAACTTTGCATTTGCCTGCAAGTTCACAGCCTTCAACACAAGTTGTTGGGTTGTTTGCAAGCTCTGCAACTCCTGGAGCATCAACTGCTCCACAGACATCTGCAGCAACAGTATCAACCTCTTCAGGAAGTGGGTTCTCTCTTTTCAGCACACCTTCTGCTGCAGCTGCTTCCCCTTTTTCATCATCTTCTCTATTTGCCACACCAGCAGCCTCTGCTCCAGTATCCTCCTTGTGGTCTTCTGCCACGCCACAGTCTTCATTGTTTGGTTCATCATCAGCATCATTTCTTGGTGCTGCTTCAACTCCCTCTCTGTTCAGTAGTGCTGCTACAGCTTTTGGTTCTACTGCTTCTGGTGGTGGTTCCCTATTTAGTACACCGTTTGCATCAGGTCATTCTCATCTTGTATATCAGCTTTTATTTTGCCCTTACACTAAAATTTTTGAGCAATGATGGCATATTTCCTGGCTGTACATTTGATTTTTTCCATGTTGCTCTTGGTATTTGGCAATGCCTTGTATTACTGGTGGTAAATTTTCTTTATCTCAAAAAATTTTATGAAAGAAAAAATGAAAATTCCCTTTGATTTTCTTAATAATTTTATATGATTCTGTTAATTATGGTTAATGTGCCTGTCTTTTGACCTCTCAATTACTTGGCATGCAATCCTTGGCTGCTGTAGCTTTCAGAGGTGGAAGCCATATGTTTTAGTTCCTAAATATTTTGAAAGCAGATGTTGTTTGGAAATCTCTATAAGTTTTTACTTATTGACTTCCATATGTATTATGTCATCAATACATGAAAATTTTGATCCAATCTGGATTATCAGTTTTTTTTGGGAATATTTTTATGCTGCTTGTCTGAATAATTTCTCAATTTTTTTCTAGGCGCTGCAACAGGATCTGGGGCTAGCTTCGGAACATCATCGGTGAGTAATTTGGATTTGCAGCTTTCTAATTTATTTCTCAAAGAATTAAGCTCTATCCTTTGTCTGCTAAATATTTTCCACCATAGATAATCTTGCAACTGTGTTCCTTTAGAAATTGGTCAAGTAGAGGGTGTTAGAAAAGCAAAATATATCTGATTTATAGAATGCTTAACCTTGTTCCCTTCGTTGATTTATGGAGTGGCCTACTGTAATGTTTCTCAAATTTTATCAATGAACTAATATTTCTTTTCTATTGCTTTTTCTATGCCCTTACAGAAACCAAGGCCAAAAACTCGAACTGCCCGGCGCTAGTCTCATTGGGTTGAAGTGATCAAAATATTACAGATGACTGCATATTTGCCTAACAATTTTCACAAAGATCCTTAAATTTCATGTCAGCCTTGATTTCTTTCCCCCAATATTGCCTTCTTTGCGGCTCCTTTTAATCTGAATACTCTCTCCGGGTCTAACAAAAAACAACTTCATGGTTCATATGCTGCTGCAACATAGCTTTCCAAATCAGAGTCATCCACTTGGGCCATCATAAAAGAGCTGCACGTTCTGTGTTCTTGTAACATTGTACAACACATTTTCAACGTTTGACGCTTTCAGATATATGTCCGAATAGAAATCTAACATGCTAAGACATCAAACATGTAGAATTTTTACCAATTGTTGCTTGGATTTTGCTTCCCTTGACTGTAAGTTTGATAATGTACTTGCAGCATTCAACTATTGAGCTTCCCATTTACTGATATTTTCACATTCCTTTTTTTTTTTTTCAAAAGAAAGCTTACTTTGAGGGGAAAGTGTTAGTTGATACCTTATAGGCAATCAATAACAATAACTATTTCGTTGTGAGTTGATACCTTGTATGTATACAATCTTTTTTCAGGAATCATTGCATTCAAGTTTACCATAAATGAACTTCAATTATGATTGGTTAAATTTACATAAACAAATTTCCGCCCGATGTATATAAAATATCAAACATGAAAACTCTTTATGAACGAATTGTACTAATGGAATGGATGAATTTCATTTTCACATGTTTCAAAGTACATCATTAACCAATTATTACATGCACGAAACATTTACAAATGAATATAACAAGCTAAACTGACAACTTTAAACAAGAGAGAGAACTAAGATAGGCAAACTGCTTTCCTCAAACGATGCAAAGTTACAATCAGTTTGATATTATTCATTTGATTTGCTTTTCATAGGTGTACAAGTGAGTTTCTTTGCTACTTCAGTGGCTATGAGCGCATAATCCAACCCTACAAAATCCAAGCTAATCTAACCTACATTTCAATGCTTTAGCTATTGAGCACAGAAACCTCAAATTAACTGCAGAGTGTTTATCTTCTGTGTGGTTTAATGCTAATCCTTCTCAGGCAGACTTGATGGCCTATGTAGAATATAGACTTGCATCAAATTCATATTCATTTGTAATTGATTTAATCATGTTTCCTTGTAGTTTATGTACTTCAGCTTGAGCTTCATCGGTCAATGGGTTTGATTGGTCGTCAGAAGAGAATACCTGAATATCACTCTTGGATTCAATCCAGCTTATTCCAGGGTCTTTTTCTAACATCAACCCTCTTATTTTCCTCCTCATTTCTGCAACATCATCCCATCTCTTAACAGAAGCATAAAGATTTGAAAGTAAAATATGTGTTGCACTATCTTGTGGATCTAACCTCAACACTTGTTCTGCTGCATGAACTCCTATTTCCATATTTCTTTCCTTGACACAAGAGCTTAGCAAAGTTCTCCATAGTTTTAAATGCTCTTCACTATAGGTTGTTTCAGTAATAAGATTTTCTGCCTCGTTTAGCAATCCTGCTCGACTTAATAAACTTACCATGCAGCTATAATGCTTAGGGCCAGCAGTAATTCCATTTTTCTTCATATAATTCCACAAGAACTTCCCTTTTTCAACCCAGCCACTATGGTTGCAAGCAGACAGTAGAGACAAAAATGTTACTTGATCTGGGCTTATACCACGCTCTAAGACTTCATTAAAGAGCATCATTGCCTCCTCTGCCATTCCGTGATGACTATATCCACCAATCATTGAATTCCAGCACTTCAAATCAGGATTGAGAACTTGGGAGAATATCAACTGTGCAGCTTGAAGATTGCCGTTTTTAGCATACATATCTACAAGACTTCCACAAACGGACATTTCAGCATCACAGCCTGTCTTAATAGCAAGGGTATGAATCGTTTGTCCTTGCTTCAAAGTTGCAAGATCAGCACAAGCACTTAATGCTCCACTAATAGCAAAACTATCACTCCTATGGCCTTCCTTGCACATTTTGCAAAATAATTTTATTGCAGTTTTCCCATCATCCGATCTGCAGTGACCCATAATCATTTCTGTCCACAGAACAACATCCTTATCTTTCATTAACTCGAAAACCCCTCGAGCAGATTCCGTGTCACTGTTTCTGAAATACATTGACAATAGTGCAGTTCCTATGAAGACACTCCGCTGCAACCCTGCTTTGGTAACTTGGGCATGGAGAGGTTGCCCATAATCAGTAGCTGGAAATTCACTAGTTGCAGAAATAACCGCAGTAAAAGTATACTGATCTGGTTTAGAAATAGACAGTCTAAGCAACTTGACCAACAGCTCCATAGCTTTCTTCCCCTCTCCATTTTTTGCACACCAGGAAATCATTGAATTCCATGAAACTAAACTTGGGTTCTCAATTCTATGAAAGACACTAAACACAGCTTTGGAGTCACCACAGCTGGAGTACATGTCGAGCAAGGCATTCTGCAAAGCTGGATCAGCTACTATATTTAAAACAATGACTTGGGCATGAATTACTCGTCCACAACTATAATCACCTGATTTACTAAAAGCATTCAATACCATAGAGTAAGTGAACTGGGTAGGAATAACACCAGACCTCACCATTGCACTGAATAGATGAAGCCCTTCCTGTATCCTATCATTCTTCAAGTTCCCAGATATCATAGAATTCCACAAAACAACATCCTTGTCCACTACATTTTCAAAAACCTTACACGAGGACTCCAAATCCCCACAATTTGAATAGGTTCCAAGCAATGACGTCTGAACGCAAACATCATTCACAAACCCAAATTTCAAAACTTGAGCATGAAGCAACGAGGCCAAAAGCCAATCCTCAAGCGAACAACACACTTGCAGTAAGCTTGTGAAGGTTGCTCCATTAGGCTTAAGGCCTTGAATTCCCATATCTGAAAGTAACTTAAAACTCAAAATCTCATAATTAGGATCTCTAGAATATGCTGCAATAAGAGCATTATAAGAGATGCTATTTCTTTGATGCATTTTGTCAAACAGCCGTTGCGCATCCAAACGAGAACCACAATGCGCATACATGGCAATGAGGTTGTTGTTGTGATATGGATGTTGTGCATAGCTAATGCAGGTTGTGGTGGTTAGAATTAGAGCGTGGAGTTGACGCGCTCTTTTAAGAGAGGTAACGGTGGTGCACTTCTTTATCAAATTCTGTAAAGAGACTTCACTGAAGGGTAGCATTAAAAGACCAGAATTCTGTTTCCACTTCACCCGCCAAAATTGAACAGCTTTTCAAAGACATCAATACGCACCGCTTTTACCATTTCTGAGGAACTGAAGGTTCAAACGCTACGTTTTATAGCCGTTTCGCAGCACCATCGCCCCCATTTTTGAAGCTTAAAGAGAAAATTTTCGCGGCAATAACCAGAACGAAAATGCCTAATGATTTGAAATTCTCTCGTCTTTGCAATCTAGTCAATGATTCTATTCATCCGTACACCGTAAGTTTCTTGAATAATCTTTTTTGTTTCAGGGTTCCCTTTTCTTGTTGAATTCAATATGTCATCCGTTTAAAAATCTTAGCTTCTAATGGATCTGCAGGAGGCGGAAGTGATTTCTTTAACCACAGGCAAGGAGAAGGATCTTCTAATCTCTCTCTCAGAGGTTTGGAGAGAAATTCAGCTTATGAAACAAGAACTTGATTATGATTCCGATGAAGCAAGTTTCTTTTCCCCTGTCTTTCTCTTTAGTTATTTTGAACTGAAATTTGGACTGGTTTGAATAATTTATTTATTTATTTTTGTAAATTTGTACCGTTGAACAGGAAGCGGCTTGTGAATCTGCTCGTGACAAGAAATTTTCTGGTGAATCAGAGCTGCATCATGAGGATCATAACTGTTTGTCCAAAATCCTAGCTGATTTAGTAAGCTTTCTCAAAGTTCTCATATTAGTTAATGGTAGTAGATGGAAGTTCAAAACCGAGTTTTAGCGTTAAAAGGGCACAGAGAGTGGATCATATGGGTTCTCTTGGTTAGTGCTATGTGTTAGTCCGAGGTGCATTTTAATGACAGTTATTTACATATTTTTGTTTGTAATGCAAATCTGCAAGACTTATATCTATACCGTGCTCTCTGCAATATGTTTTTGGTGTTAGATTCTTGCTCTTTTCTCTGCTGTTGTGTTGAAGCTGCTCAGTTGGTTGGCACTTTTTTAGTTACTGTTGTATCTACTCTTCCGAATTTGACTTTTTTCTGTACTTTGTTCTCTTTTATTCATTTGTTTATTTGTTTTGGCTTGCAGATATTTCTTTTGACAGTCGAGAGTCTATTTGTACATCATCTGGTGGGCAACATTCTTGTTGTCATTTCTGAGTTTTTGATGGCATCTGTAAGTTAATATTTACTTCCATGATGTTTTGTTGTTTGCAGCATGGGACTTTTATTGTGTTTCATTTTCTCGATAAACATTTTGCAGGCAAGTGAGTGGGAATCTTTCATTCATTCAATGTTCATTTGTATGGAGTTGGCAATTAGCAATGTGTCATCTCACTCTCTGGCAGCTTCAACTAATGGAGCTAGGGACTCAAATTGTGATTCGTCAAGTTTTGTTGTCTTAAAATCTAGACTGCAAAATGCTAACTGGTCTACAGCAGCTACAATTATTCGAGTTTTACGCAACACTTCAAAATATTTGAAGCAAGAGGATGATAACCAACTTCATAAAACATTCTTGGATTCTGTCAGTTCTTTTCTTTTGAATGTACCTTGGGATTTCATGGATCAGATCCAAGTTGGTCAGAGTGGTGGCACTAAAGGAAGCAATTCTGGGAATAGCCATTTTGTACGTACTATATTTAGAAATGTTGATCAGAAGGAGACAGAGGTTGTGTTTCTTGGCAATTTTATTCAGTTCCTCTGTTCATTGGTTGAGCAAAGCTGTGCTGTAGAAACTGAGATTGGTTCACAACATGATCATCCAGTTCTTTGTATAATCATCAGTTCTGTGCCTAAACTTTTCTGTTGGTGCCTTGGCGAGCAAAGGAACTGTGCTGAAATGCCCATCTCTCAGTACTTCAGGCATAAGTTGTTGGTAAGGATATGCCATAGCTATTTGCTTCATGCATGCAGAAAATGGAAAAAGTCTTTGGATATATTTCTTAGGACAGCCAGATTGATGTTTTTGAAAGTAATCTGGTTTGTTTAGACAACAGATATAACAGGAATAATCCCCAATAAATCTCCTCTATTTTATTGGTTAATAGGGTCTCTGTCATTTTTTTGAAATCACATAAATATTTCAGTATATGCATTAAATAATGATCCCACAGCCATTCAGTTGTCATATTTCTACATATCCATTTCAGTTACATTTGTATTCGCTGAAACATTTTTTGCAGATGTTGATGCTGAGGCTTAGTTATCAGACTTGTCTAGGTTGCTCCACTCTCATTTCATGGTTGCGACTTCTTAATAATTATTTCGAAGAGCTCTTGTGGAAACCCATAATCGAACTTGAGTTTGGTCAGGATGAATCCATTGAAGGTTCTCCATTTCTATTGAGTCTTTCTGATGGAGAAGTAAATGGAGTCAATTCTGATCACTTAAGAAGGTGGGCTATTCTCCTTTACCTGAGGTGTTGTTTTGGTTTGATCAGCTTGACAAGGGACAGTAATGAGCAATGCGCATGTGGTACTTGTAAATCTTACTTGACTTTCGACTCAGGCTCAGACCTGATTTGTTGTGGTAGAAAGAAAGGTTGCTTAGAGCTTTACAAATGGCTTCAAGGACATCTTCCAACTGACGTGTTTGTGGACCATGAAACTAATCTTGTAAAGTGTGTTGGCTTTGCCTTATCTTTTCTCCAGCTGTATATGCATGAGGTTTGTACTCAACCTTTCAGAAGCCAAGTGTGGTCAGCTCAACTCAACTAAACCTTAATCTTAATCTAGTTCTGGTCAGCAATGGTGATCATTTTCCTGAAATTTGCTCTGTTTACATATTTAGAAAGGTCTAGAGCTGCTCCCTTTACATAACTTTTCATATCACGTCATCCTAAGAATGCCCCATCTTTTTCTTTTTTCTCTCCTGCAGCTTCAGCTTGCTTGAACTTTTGTGCTGGTAATTTTTGATGGTCTATGCTTAATTGCAAACCATCTCCATCACCTCATTTTAACTTGTCTTCAATGCATGCCATTTTCACCTTCCTACTAATGTATTTTATCGAATTCTTCCTCTTCTATCTCTATACATGCTTCTTAATATCCTCATCCCTGTCTCCTAATTTTGTTCAAAATGTCCTACATCTTAAGGTTGTATTTATCTTGAAAGCGTACTCAACCTTGCGACTTACTTGCTTTAGATGCTACATGACTGGAGTTCATTTATTTTCCTATCACATACTCTCTTCTTAGACTTTCTACTCCATATACTTGTTTCCTTAATATACAGGATGATGTATTGTTCAAGGTGCTTTTACAACTGCTTAGCATTCAGTCCTGTTTAGATCAACTGTAAGCACAGAACACTCCAGTTAGCTATATATAGTTGTTAAATCTGAAATGTATTGCTTTGGGAGTATAATGTTGGGTTATACTTGTATGCAGGTCACAGGGAGGAAAATGGACATTTGAGGATGTTAAAGAAGATTTTGCTTTTCACTTTACAAGCATTTTTAATCCTGTATACCTGTTCCATCTATTCCTTGCAGAGGCAAGTCTTAAGCATTCAGAAAGTTTGATATTTATAAACCCCCAAATACTAACACAGACAAGCCTCTCCTGCCACAAGAATTGATCAAACAATAACAATTTCAATTTTGTTATTTGGGCTTAATGATCAAACTTTTACAACATTACTTAAGTGAATCTTCTTCTCCTGCAGTTGCATTATGATCACCAGGTGCTTCTTGATTACCTTATTTCTAAAGATACAGGAATCAGCTCTGCAGAATATCTTTTAAGGTTTGTCTTTGAGTCGCATTTGAGACATGCTAATCCTTTACCTTAACTTTTGAATGCTAAATTTTCAGCCAAGCTTGTTTCAAATTAAGAGGTTGGTTCTTATATATACTGGGTGCATTCAAACATTCTTGGCTTTATAATTTCTTGCCTAAGCTGCCTTCTTTTTCTCATTACAGGACTCTGGCATGTTTCTTATTTAGTTTTATTCACATTGTTCCTTGCAGGTGTTTGCGTATAGTGTGCAATTCGTGGCAGTTGTTTGTAACATTTTCCATGCATGAGAAAGTTGTAAATCATTCATCTTGCAAGAAAAGAAAAATGGTTTTGCATGGCTCTAATCTTCAAGTGGAAGCATCTTCTACACCAATAAAATACATTCCCTCAGCAGTTGAAGAGAAAACAAAGGAAGACTTTAAATATAGCCACAAGCATTGGAAAAACATAAGTCCTCTGTTCAAGAAAGCCGAAAATTGTTTGCTTTCATTAAAAGGTGTTATGGAGAATCTCCATCGAAAGAACTTGTTTCCATATAATCCTGAAGTTCTGTTGAAACGGTAATGTTATATTTTATTGTTATGCTTTTGTCTAATTAAGATCGAAGTTCTTTGTGCTTCCGCTAAAGGATTTATTTTTCACTACTATTTCCCGCATTAGCATAGTTTAGTAAGGAAGTCTTATTTTCATTTTAATCCTTTTTGCATTAATCTGGGAAAGGACTGCACTGCATAGTCCTTGAAAGCGGTCAAAACCCATTGGAAATTGCATTGATAGCTTCTAAAAGAGCATACCTCATTCCAAGTTTATTGAATGTCCCTGAGGACCTGAGATAACTCATTGGTAACTGCAGTTTCATTTGAAATTGTATCCATCCATGGCTTATAGTGCCAGACTTATTATTTATACATATAGAAGCATAATGTATCATGGTAATCTGTTTAAATAATATGGCTATAGGTTCAGTACTCTAGTCGGCAGTTCCTGAAGAACTACAATATGACAGTATATCCTTTTATGTAATAATTTGAAGACTGAATTTCGAGACAATTCTTTTATTGTGCTGCTCCTTAACTGTTAAAAAAATTAAAATTCTTTATTCATGGAATAACGTTCTAATGATTATTTCCTTTTGGCAGTTTAACAAAATTTCAGGAGCTATGTTTTGATTAAGAGAATATGGCTGTTCTTTTACTTCAGTTGCAGTAAATTTTGCATCTTTTGCTTTAAAATCAAATAGCAAATCAGAATCCTATTGCTCTAACCATTCTGGAGGCATCATGGTATAGAATACATGTAAAGCAAACTATTTACCAGAGTAGGTGGAAGGGCATGGCTGGAAGAGTGCTTCAGCACCTCTTGAGTTCATCAATCAAAATGGTTGAGGGGTACTTGTTAAGTAGTGTCAACCATTTGACAGTTTGATTGAAGCCCCGAGTAAAAACTAGCTGCCTGATGGGATTATGTGATCGACTAGAGGTAATTTGTGTCCTGTGTAATCTATTTGTTTCAAATGTTCTTTTCCTCATGGTAAAGGAGAAAATAATTGTGCCAGTTATTTGAAATTGGTTTTACTTTTCTGCTTATGCAGCACAACCATCCTTTTTTAGATTCCATCATGAAACTAAAAATTAGAAAAAAAAAAAAAAGAAAAAACTAACAGCAAAAGAACTCAGAAAAAAAAAAAAAATTCTCCACCATCTAGCATCAGTAATGGAGGATCAGAATCTCTATTATGTCTTCTCCCTCTAATTTTGGTCCAGCCTACCAGAACTACTTTGGATAAACCAGAATGATGAGATGAGAAGACAGTTTGCTTTGCTTTGCTCCTGAGGAACGTGGAGAGTGAATGGGTAAAGTGGAATGTTTTTGCAAGTGGAGACTTCTAGACACTTAATAAGACTTTTATTCTCAAACGAAGAAAGTGGAGATAGATTTTCTCATTCTTTCTAGCTGGGAATGCACCTTTTTCACCTTTTTTTTTTTTTTTTTCTCATTGAAAACAGAGATTGGAGGCATATATTCTCACTCTCTATTACTAATTTAATGACTCGACAAATTTGCCCTCATTTCTATTAAGCAAAAACAGTGGTTAGTGGACAGAAAAACGTAAAATTTGCTGAAGATATGTATTGTTCAAAGAGGTCACTTGTAGCAGTTCTCCCCAATTGAGGTGGTTCTTTTCTCTCTCCCACTGAATTCTTTCTAGATTTGTTGTATTATTTTTAATTTTCCATACGATTGGACAGCTGATTTATTCCCTTTTTTAATTAACTAGGATTTAATTTTGGCATCGTCAGCCATTTGAACAATCCTCCCCAACAGAGGTGATTCCTTTCTCTCACCCATTATGAATTATGTCTAAATTTATTTTATTATCTTGTTAATTAGGATTTAGTTTGACAACATGAAATAGCAATTAGCAAGGAGAAATATGGCAGACACATAATTTATGCTTAGAAGTGAAATATGTATGTGTTTGTTATAATGCAATTAAACACAAAGAATTCAGTTCTCAAAGTCATACTTAAAATAATTATAATTATATTTCTTAAAATTAAATATATTTACAGAGTTTTACGTTAAAAAACAATGGCTTCTTTTTCTTCTATTTTCAGCACAACAACTCTCCTTCCCAACTCTCTATCTAACACATTACTCTCTCCCATTTTCTTTGACAAACGTTGCTTTTATAATAGCAAAATACAAAATAGTCAATAATACTCGCTCTCCTAAAATTGATGAAATTTGTCTCTTTTGTTTTATTGCTAAAATTAAGCTTTTCCACAAGTTGGTATACCAGGCTCATAGCAGCATATGTGACATCACATCTCAACAAAAACATGGAAAAGTAATTTAAATTGGATGTTAAACACGTTTTAGTATTAAAAATTGTATTACTCGCCTCGATTTGGTACATTCGTTCTGATGAAATGAATCTACAAATTAATTGAGGTTGAGCAGTAAAGAATAAAAACTGGCATCAGAAGAAATTGTGTTGTTGTTTTCAGTTTATTCATATTCTTATGAAGATTATTGTGTCCCAAGTTTTTAAATAAGAGAATTTGTAAGAGTGTGAATGGAATTGGGTTGAATCAAATCATGTCAAATTATATCAGCCACTTTGTTTTTCAAAATTAGTGGCTTAAACGAATATTAGATGAAGAATTTAACTAAATATCTTCTTTCCCAAGGCATTATGGCCATTACAGCCCTTAATACGTGATGAGAAACAGCCAATACAATTTATACAACATTGATTCTTTGTGATTATAGCTGATACATCTCTAATTCTTGGTGATTTCCAATCGCCTGTATTATAATGGGGAATATTGTATTGGTAGTTTAACACGTAATTTCCATTAGATAATGGCCAACGCGTATCTGCTGAAATTAAAAAATTATCGTTACATTATTTTTTTAACTTGGAATATTCTTCAATTTTCCTGAAATATTGATTAGACAAGATATATGTATGCTCATTGCAGGAGGGGCTATCTCTACCATTTGCTATTTATGGCCAGCTTGTACTTTATATGATCAAGATGCTGCCAATCAAAGGTGGTTGATAGTACATGGAGGAGAAGAAGAGGCATTTTGTGTTAATCCACGGGGCCTGTCATGGAGCATGGTGTTGGTATAAGGTAGCAGCATTACTTAAATCAGCTGGTCACAAAGTTACAGCTTTGGACCTTGCCGCTTCTGGAGTACACACCAAACAGGCGAATGATATCTATTCATTCCTGGAATACTTTGAGCCATTTAATGAATTCATGACGTCTCTGCCACCAGAAGATAGAGTGATTCTAGTAGCACATAGTTTTGGTGGACTTGTTATATCTGTTGCAATGGAAAGGTTTCCTGAGAAAATTTCTGCCGGAGTATTTGCTGCAGCTTTAATGCCAGGTCCTGACCTCAATTGCATGGCTGTGAAAGAAGAGGTGCGATTTTCTCCCTCCTCAGTTGCCCTTTCTCTCTCTCTCTCTCTCACATACACACACGATACCCCACCCTTGGTTATCTCTGTAATCTAGAGGAAAAGAAGAAGGATGTGCTCTCAAATTGATAAAATCCTTGTAGCTATGAATATTTGCTAGTTTTCTTTGTTGCATATCATTTTGTTCAAGTATTAAATCCATCTTCTAATATATCATGCTTGAGAGAGCCAATGGACACAAAATTGGTTTTGTTTTGATAAATTTTCCTTGTCCATAAATTAAGGCTACCTATTTTTCCTTCTAGCTTTGATAATAATTCTGGATTATTTTATTATTTTCTTGCCCATAATCTAGTTTTGACGTGTGGTGATATCTACTTGTGAAAAATATACAGCTCAATAGACAACTCGGCTCCTTCATGGACTCACAATATACATTTGATGATGGGCCAAGCAGTCTCCCGACCTCTATACTTTTTGGTCCCAACATCACGGAAACCAAGTTGTACCAGCTCTCTCCACCTGAGGTAATAGCATTCTTTTTACCTACTATTGATTGTGTAAAAATATCATGCCATTCAATTAGATAGCTGATTTGTTCTTTTTATTTAATTAAGCAGGACCTAGTTCTAGCTAAACTCTTGATGAGACCTCACCCTCTCCGTGACAATGGAGCTACACAAAATGTAGTGCTCACTAAAGAGAAATATGGATCGGTTCCTCGAATTTTTCTTGTCTGCGACCAAGATTGCATGATAAAGGAGGATCAACAAAGGTGGATGATAAAAAACAATCCAACAGATGAGGTAATGGTTATCCCTGGTTCTGATCACATGGTCATGTTTTCGAAACCAAAAGAACTGTGCTTTTGCCTCCGGGAGGTTGCCAAGAAATACTTGTGAATTCACAATTGCCTGCAGGCACGTTTTGGTTTGCTGATGCAGCACAAAAAGGAAGGATAACCTGGAAAATAATGTAATTTTTATGTTAACCATTGTCTGATAATATTAGTTGAACTGCTCCCATTAATAGTGTTCTAAAAATGCAGTTTAATATCTTTTCCTTAATATGTCAAGATGATCTTACCTGATCAGTTTTCTAAATTCTATTCTACCATTCTGTCACTAGTGCTAGTTGATAATGTTGTTGAAGCTATTTACTTGAAGGAACTAACACTAACTGCAGAGGTGATTACTTAGGAAATGAGTTGGTGTTGTGTTACTTCTGCTTGTGCAAGACAATTCCCATGAATTCAAGTGCAACCAGAATTTAAGATTTTCTCTCTTAAAATTATAAACAACAATATCTAATTATTGAAACGAAATTACTGCACCTAAAACTAAGAAAGAACAGTCGGTGTACTTTGCTTCGCAATGAAGCTTGTAAACCAACTTTAGCATGGTTGTCATGATTGCTTGTGCAATCAGTGAGATCCTAAAACAAAGCTTTAAGCAGATCTTATTGGCTGTATGCAGTAAGGTGTGGTGGCAACAAAAATTCAAGGCATCGGTTTAACGCCTATGCTTGGTATTTTGCTTTTTTGTCTGGTTCGAGATCACTATCAAAAGATGTCCATTTAGAACTTGAAATTAAAGATTGTAGGCCCATTCTAATATATTTAGAATTTGAGAAATGTGAGAGCTTTTTGGACATATATGTATAGCGTCATCTTGGAAAAGCATAGATAGCTGGAATTCTGTGGATTGAATAAAGTCTGTTTTGTTTTTGCTCATTCTATATAGCAAGACTCAGCCAGACACAAGGAAAAGCAAAGTTGGTTGGACAGGATATGGAGGACAAGGAGCAGAGGCATTTTGTGTTGGTCCATGGAGCCTGTCATGGAGCATGGTGTTGGTATAAGGTTGCATCTTTGCTGAAATTGGCTGGTCACAAGGTTACAGCTTTGGACATGGCTTCATCTGGAAGAAACCCTAAGCAGGTGAAGGATGTACATTCTTTCTCTGAGTATTTTGAGCCATTAATGGAATTCATGACGTCTCTGCCAGCAGAAGAGAAGGTGATTCTTGTAGGTCACAGCATGGGTGGTCCTTGCATATCTGCTGCTATGGAAAGATTTCCTGAGAAAATTTCTGCTGGAGTATTTGCTGCAGCTTTTATGCCTGGCCCTGATCTCAGTTACTTGACTATAAAAGCAGAGGTACCATTGTCTCTATCTCTCACACAAGCACACGCATACCAAATTGGTTGGAATCCATGCAGTTATGCATATTTGCTTCTGGTTTAATCATGATTCTTGTGTTTCTAAATCATTTTTTTAATTCAAACTGTGTATTGATTTCCTTCAAGAACTGCAAAATTCTGGAATGGAACCATCTGTTCTGAGAAACCTTGAGAAGCAAACTAAATGACAAACAGTAATTTGACGAGTCGAGCAAGAAAAAAAGATGGTTAGACTATTAAGAAAGTGACAAGAGTGTGGCTTGTGGGTCTTTCACATTGAATTTATCGACACAGTTGTTTAGTTGCAATAGAATACGAGTGCTGGCCATTACTTGAAACTTACCTCCATTACCATGTCATTTTCTATCGAGTCAGTTCAGGACAAACAAAAACATTTCTTATCTAAGAACATCGTATTGCATACGTCTTTTTATCCTTTTTTTTTGTATACTGAGAATTCCACAGGAGTAGTGCCATTGATGATGGATCCAGAAATTTGTGTAGTTGGATGGCAAAAAGACACAGCAATTTTCCTAACCGGTGTAAACATGAAAGATAAGTGTGAAAAATAGGTTCATCTCCTTTGGACAATTATTTTTAGAAAAAAATGAAAAAAAAAGAGATTAAATTAAACTAAATTAACAAACTATCTATAACAGAAATTATTTTAAATTAACAAGTCAAAATATAAGTTTAATTTCAATTCAAATTTCACTAATTAATTAGTTTTGAACCTCATCAAAACAAATACAAAATCAAACCTCTGATATATATCTACTTCTGCAACAGTATGATAAACAAGTTAATGACTATCTAGACCCAGAACTAACTTTTGATGATGGACTAAACAACCCTCCAACTGGTTTTCTCTTCGGACCCAAGGGCTTGTCAACTTTCTTGTATCAGCTCTCCCCCAACGAGGTAATACCAATACACTCTGAACCTGCTATGTACTTCTCTTCTCTGTGTTATATATGAATTTTTATTCTGCTCTGTTCCGTTTCTTTAACTAAGCAGGATCTTGTTCTAGCTACACTCTGTATGAGACCTGTCCCTTGCCGTGATCTTGGAGGTATACAAAATGTGGTGATCACGAAAGAGAAATATGGATCTGTTCCTCGAATTTACGTTGTGTGTGATCAAGATAAGATAGTATCAGAAGACCTGCAGAGATGGATGATCAAGAACAATCCGACAGATGAGGTAAAGGTTATTAATGGTTCTGATCACATGCCAATGTTTTGTAAACCACAAGAGATGTCGTCCTGCCTCCTGGAGATTGCCAAGAAATATGTATGAACGAATAGAATAAAGCTTGCAAAATGAAGAATGTAATTTGGATGTTAAAGTAACATCTTTGAATAATATTATCAACTTATATATTGTTTGCTTCAAATTGACTGCAAATTGTAGTGTTAGCATTTGGTGAAAAGTATAAAAACATCTCATCATAAAAATTACTTAAATCATATGATATATTCATATAACTAATGACATGGACACAACATATATTTGATAATGGGCCCAACAACTCTCCAACCTCCCTATTATTTGGGCCTAGCTACATGTCAAGCCTATTGTATCAACCCTCACCACCTGGAGTAAGAATATTTTTAGTTTATATTAATTAATTTAATTACTATTCTTTCTTCAAAATTTTCTTGTTATTTTCATTCTTTTTCTTTTTTTTTTAAAAAAAAGGATTTAACATTTGCAATGATGTTAATAAGATCCTATCCTTTGCATGTTATTGCTGCTGTACAAAATGAAGCAGTATTAATATTAACCAAAGTAAAAAATATGGATCAGTTAGTAGAATTTTTATAGTGTGTGGCCAAGACAAGGTTTATAATGAGGAGTTGCAAAAATGGATGATCCAAAAAAATCCACCTAATGAGATGATGCTTATCTCTGATTCTGATCACATGCCAATGTTTTCAAAACCATTGGACTTTTGTTCTTGCCTTGAAGAGATTGCCAAGAGATACTTCTGAATCTTATTTATTAATTTGCTGCATATAATAATTGTATTCGAATGTATGTTTATGATCTTATTGTATCCTTAGTGCTGTGTACCAACTGATGTTAGCTATTGATTGCCAAGAAATACATATGAACTCGTCACATGCTTGTGTTGGGCTGCTTACATAATAGAAGAAAGCTTGCAAAATAAAGAATGTAATTGCGACGTTGAAGTAACATTTTTGAATTTCAGCAAATTATGTAGCAAATTAAGAAAAAAAAATTTTGGACTAGGGATACTTTCTAAATTTTAATTAACATTTTCTTTAATTGAAATAAATTGCACATTAAAAAAAATTCTTCTTTATCAACTAAGTATTGATTAAGGTAGTAAGCAATCTCAATCCTGCAAAGACAATAATACAATTTCGATCCCTACCTTTATGTATCTTTTCTCGTAAGTTCTGTTTAATCAGAACTTTTTGAGTTAATTAATTTAATATTATTGATTTATACCTAAAACATCCATAATTATTTTAATAATTATACCTAAAACATTGACAATGATTTCAAACTATACTGAAACATTTTAAACAAAAAAACCAAGATGTGGGCTCCTCCAAAACCTTTTTATAACCCGTAAATTATATTTGATCATCTCTTATCTCTCCTAAAAACTCTCTAAGAGATTATCTCTTATAGCCTCTGTCATAGTCCAATCCCAATTACGTTTCACTCACATAGTAACCAAATAGAAAACGGAGGAGATGAAGCAGAGGCATTTTGTGTTGGTATATGCAGCCTGTCATGGAGCTTGGTGTTAGTATAAAGTAGCTAGTCTTTTAAAATCAGCAGGTCACAAAGTTACAGCTCTAAACATGGCTGCATCTGGGGTCCATCCACAGCAAGTCAGTGAGATTCAATCAATATCAGAGTATTTTAAGCCGTTATTGGAATTCATGATGTCTTTACCACAAGAAGAGAAGGTGATTTTAGTAAGTCACAGTATTGGTGGTCTTAGCATATCTATTGCCATGGAAAGGTTTCCTGAGAAAATTTCAGCTGCAGGTTTTGCTTCAGCTATCATGCCAGGTCCTGACCTCAGTTATACTACTGCAAGAGAAAAGGCAAGTCTCTGCAATTATCGCGGATTTATCTTTGCATATTATGTTAAATTTATTTATTTAATTTTATTAAAATTGGGTCATACTTTATTAAAATTAATAGCATTTACCCTATTAATTCCATTTTGAATGCAATCAATTGGTAATATTATCTTTGGGAAAATGTGCAGTATAACAAGACAATTGATTACATGGACACACAATATATGTTTGATAATGGTCCCAACAACCCTCCAACCTCCCAATTATTTGGTCCTAACTGTATGTGAATCCAATTGTATCAACTGTCACCACCAGAAGTAAGAACATTATCTCCATTATATTTTATATTTAATTTAATTACTAATTTCCTTATTCTGCAGATTCTTTTTTCTTTTCTAAACAGAATCTAATGCTTTGCTATAAGATTAATAAATCTTACCTTAAAAATCCTACCTTTATTTTTATTTGTGATCTTTTGTATTTATTACTGTTATTATTTAACTTGGTTAAGATCGATAGTGTGGATCGCAAATGAGAGTGTTTTACCTACCAGTATGCCACATCCGATCCAAGCACGGTGACACGTGTGAAAAGACAAAAAAAAAAAAAAACAAAAATCTGACCAATGAAAAGAAAACTACTAAAAATAAATTGTAAAATATCAGAATAATGTCTTAATTAGGTAATGTAATAAAATCATTATGCTTCCATTACTGTTAACTTTTCTGCCTACCCTGTTTTAGACAACTATAAAAAGTTATAACAGATTACTGAAATTCTGTGGTTGAACTTGAAATAGAGAATGTAGATGCTTTGTCGCTCAATGTGTATATCAAAACTCAGCCAAACACAAGGGAAAGCAACGTTGGAGTGACAGGATATATCTATGGAGGACATGAAACAGAGGCATTTTGTGTTAGTCCATGGAGCCTGCCATGGAGCTTGGTGTTGGTATAAGGTTGTATCTCTGCTTCAATTAGCTGGTCACAAGGTTACAGCTTTGGACCTGAGTGCATCTGGAGTAAACCCTAAGCAGATGAAGGATCTACATTCTATCTCTGACTATTTTGATCCATTGATAGAATTCATGAGGTCTCTGCCGGAAGAAGAGAAGGTGATTATAGTAGGTCACAGCATGGGTGGCCTTAGCATATCTGCTGCGATGGAGAGATTTCCTGAGAAAATTTCTGCTGGAGTATTCGCTGCAGCTTTTATGCCTGGCCCTGATCTCAGTTACTTGGCTATAAAAGAAGAGGTACCATTCTCTCTCTCGTTCTCCCTGTGGCATTTTCATCTATATCATTTATGAACTTGTGCTTGCTACTCTTCCCTAAATCTGCATATTTTGCTTTTGGTGACTGACGATATCTATTTCTGCTAACAGTTTGATAAAGAAATTGATGATAAACAAGTGGGCGTAGAATTTATTTATGATAAAAAAATTGATGACAAATCTCCAATTGGATTTCAATTTGGACCCAAGTGCTTGTCAAATATGTTGTATCAGCTCTCCCCGAACGAGGTATACCATTCTCTTTTACCTGCTATTTGAGCTTGACAGTGACAATGATACCTAAGTGCCCCAACTTTATTCTATTCTGTTCCATTTCTTTGATTAAGCAGGATCTTGTTCTAGCTACATTCTGTTTGAGACCTTTCCCTCTCTGTGGAGGTACACCAAATGTGGTGATCTCCAAAGAGAAATATGGATCGGTTCCTCGAATTTACGTTGTGTGTGATCAAGATAAGATAATACCAGAAGGCCTGCAGAGGTGGATGATCAAAAACAATCCAACGGATGAGGTAAAGGTTATCAATGGTTCTGATCATATGGTCATGTTTTCCAAACCACAAGAACTTTGCTCTTGCCTTCAGGAGATTGCCATGAAATACATGTGAATTCCGCTGATGCACGATGGAAGATAAGAAATTAAGATTGCAAAATAAAGAATGTCATTGGGTGTTTTCCTAAATTAAGTGACATCTTTGAATAATATTACCAAACTGTTTTCTTCAATTTGATACACTAAACGAGTTGTAACTGAAATTTATTATTATTATTATTATTATTAAGATGCAATATCCTTTTCTAACCCATGAGCTGTCCTTCATCACCACTACTGTATTTATATCCCAATGTAATAATTTCTCTAATAGGTACGCATGGCTACTGGTTCGGTTCGAATTAGAATCGAATTGTACTTTAGATAAACCGAAATTGGCGGTTTAAAATTTTAAACTGGAATTGCAGTTTAAGGGCCGGTTAATGTTCATATGAACGTTAAAATATGAACTTGAACCGGCGGTTTCAATCCGGTTCGAACCGGATGTACAAACAAAATTGTAGCTTAAAATTTTTTATAAAAAAATTTATATCACTTGATTTGATTTATGGTGAAAAAAAGTACACAATGGTACATATTTTATAAAAAGTAGTGAAAAAAATACACATGATTTGACTTAATTTGTAGAAAATAGTGGTACATGAATAGTTAATTTGTAAAAAAAAAAAAAAGTGTATAAAAAAGGAGTTACATTTAATTCAAATAGTGTAACGGGTAATTTTTTAATATGATAGGTGACTTTTGATTTCCGGCTCATTAAGAGCGACTAGTAGCACCGATGACTATAATAAATTGTAATAATTGAGAGGTTATTTTTCATTGTAAAAAAAAAAAAGAATTACGTGGGTTTTGATTTCTTATAATTCCTAAAAGGATACGTAGGAAATTAAATTAAAAATTAAAAATTTTAATTTAATTCAAGCCCAAAATAAAAAAAAAATTATAATTTTTTATATTAGTGAATTAGCAAAATTTGTAAAAATTTAATGTAATAATAGTTATAAGTTAGTTAATAGAAGTTTTTCTTTTAAAATTTATAATAATTTATTTAGTTAATAAAGTTGAAATATTTTAAAATTATTATTTATTTATGAATATGGAATCAAAATTTTATTAAATTTTTAAAAAATATGTTTAATACCGGAACCGAATCGGAATCATAGTTTGAACCATCAGTTCGTCGAAACCGTGCAGAACCGGAACATGAGGTTCAAATGTCAGTTCCGGTTCAAAATTTTAAACATCTTGAACGGGCAATTTAGTGAACCGAAACTGGCAGTTCACTGAACCGGCCATGCCTACTAATAAGGACTAAATAGAAAATCGAGAACCAAAAACCTTCTCTATAACTGTATTGCACCTTCTAATTCTATCAAAAAAACAAGTTCCCACAATTTATGTTTTCAATATGATTTATAAAATAATATTCAATCGCAAACATCCTTTGATGTGATAAAATTTAAGTAAAGAAATAAAATAATAATTACATAATTCGATTTAGGAGTGTACATCCAAAAAACTACGGGGTGAGAAATGGACAATTCTATTTTAAACGGTATTAAATCGGAGCAAATCGAGCGAAATCAAAATTTTAACTAACTGGTTTGAAAAAAAAATAGTATTTACACCTTAAATTTCTTGGAATTATTTTTTTTACGCCTCTAATGGGATAAGATAAGCAGACAAACTTTCCTTTTCTCTATGGTCCAAATGGCATATTTTGGCATGTACAGCTGCTGAAAAACTAATCCAAAGATATAATTTAAAAAAAAAAAAATCTATTTGCGAACTGGAAATGCTCTACAATTCTCTCTCTGTTTCTCCTGAACCAATCTCTTTTGGTCTGAAGACAACAATCAATAGCCAAGAGAAAGTTTCCATTTTAAAAAACCCTAACAAATTCCAAAGATTTCCACCAGCCAAAGTAGCCTCTACGCAGAAGTTGCAGATTGCCGATGAAAAATTAAAGAAAAAAAGGCATTTTGTGCTAGTCCATGGAGCTTGTCATGGAGCTTGGTGCTGGTACAAAGTTTCAACTCTGTTAAAATTACAAGGTCATAGCGTTACAGCTCTAGATATGGCTGCTTCTGGTGTACATCCAAAGCAAGTACACGAGCTTCGCTCTTTCTCCGATTACTTTGAGCCATTATTGACATTCGTGGCGTCTCTGCCAGTAGAAGAGAAGGTGATTATAGTTGCTCATAGCATTAGTGGCATTGGACTTTCTATTGCTATGGAAAGGTTTCCTGAGAAAATTTCTGCTGGAGTCTTTGCTGCTGCTACCATGCCTGGTCCTGATTTTAGTTACAAAACTATAGCACAGAAGGTACTGTTTTGCTTATCTTTTGCTTAGATGATGGTGCTTCTTCTATATTGCAATTCTAGTACATTGGGATTTTGGCATAATTGTTGATTGATTGTAAAAATTTACAGTATTCCAAAGCATCCATGTCCTCCTCTATGGACACTCAATATATATTTGGAAATGGCCCTGATAATCCTCCAACTGCTGTGCTACTTGGCCCCAACTTTTTGGCATCCAACTATTACCGCTTTTCTTCACCTGAGGTAACAATCTCATATTCCACTTTTTGTAATTCAGTGTTTGTTAGATTACGTTAGCTATTTTAGTAGCCGTCAGTTTTTGACCTTAGTGATTTAATTAGCTGAATTTGGAGAAAAAAAAAATCGATATGGTTATAAAAAAATTTAATTAAAAGCTGAACATTATAGAGTTAAACATTTCATAAAAAAAACTCCTTCAAACTCTATAAACTATGTTCTTGAACGCTAAGATAGTTCAAACGCTAATTCATGGCCATGATAACCATTGCCTATTAATACTTCAAAATTCTAAATCGCTTTGTGGCGGGCATGTGTGTAAGATATATGAGTTATAACGTACTTTGTCAAAATTATCATGATTCTATTTGTTCGATCCTTATTTGATGTATGTGTTAAGTGTTCTCTCGTGCGAATTCTATTATAATAATTCAATAATTGGCTGTTTGATAATAAAAACAATTCATATAATTTTTATTTTTTGATGCAGAATTTGGCACTGGCAACATTGTTGCTGAGACCTTTTCCTGTGTATAGTAAACCAGCAGCTCAAAATGAAATTGTAATTACTAAAGAGAGGTTTGGATCTGTTAGTAGAATCTTCATAGTATGTGATGAAGAAAATGATGATGTGCAAAGATGGATGATTGAAAATAATCCTCCAGAGGAGGTAAAGGTAATATCTGGCTCTGATCATATGGTCATGTTTTCTAAACCTCAAGATTTGTGTTCTTGCCTACGTGAGATTGGAGATAAATATTATTGATTTTACCGTTTGTTGATATGTTATGAATAGGGAATTCTCTGTGCCTAACACACACAAATAAAATAAAAACAAAAATAATAAAAAGAAAAAGAAAAAATGATATTAAACGTTAGTTGGTTTGGTGCTTTCTTGACAACTACCTATTTGTCCTATCTAACTTAATTTATAGTGCAACCACTATTTTAAAAATATTAGGTTGAATTTGATTTTCAGTAGTGCATCTTCATGACATGTTGTTGTAATTAAATTGTTTAAAAATGTATTAGAACATAATAAACATAAATTATGGTAGGAATATTGTTAATAATTAGAATACCTAACAAGAAAAAATGTTTTATTGTAATTTTCTGTGAAATTTTGAAATTCCTAATGTTTATTGGATTGTTCATTAAAGAATTATCAACATTTTTTTTCTATCAGAATGGTCAAATGCAGGCTACACAATAGGAGTAGTCCTCCCCTTAACTTACCAAATTGGTGAAAATAACTGTAATCAAGAGAACTCGAACTCGAGACTTCTCACTCCTCACATAAATGAAAAGACCAACCATATCACCACCTAATTGGCCAAATTAATGCCTCATTGCTAGATATTGTTGAATATTATCTCATTATGCTATTTTCACAATGATAATTAATTAGTCCCATTGGATAGAAACATATTACATACTTACGAGTCTATTCAGTAAAATTAACTGTTTTTGATTGCTGTTAGCTGTTTTAGTATCGTTTAGCTGTTCGAGTAGCTAGCAGCTGTTTGAATAACTTTTCATAAATACTTAATTATATAGTTAATTTTTTTATAAAACGTTACGTTAACTTTTAAAAGATGGTTTAACATTATATTATCCAACACTATAAAAATAACATTTTAAAAGTTAAAAACTACTTAAAAAGTTATTGCGAAATACTACCTGCTTTTGCAGAATTTCACTAATAATGAAAATTTAAGTAGCTTGGATGATAATGAGCAGAGCTAAGGGGAGATAAGAATATTTTATAATAATAATTTGACCAAAAAGATATATTTAAGCAAATTTATGTGCCGTGTCTAGTAGATGTTGGGAGAGTTGCTGTGGCTTGGATGCCATTGGCATATGATCTGAACCGTTGATCTCAATAACATCTTGGATCCCACTGTACTGAATGACCCAGCGTTGGAAGTCCACTGGTACCACTTTGTCACCGTCGCAGATGATATAAACTCTCTTAACAGATCCATATTTTTCATTGGTCAACTTTTTGGCCTTAATTAAATCTGCTACGAAAAATGATGATGGTCTATATAAAATTTTCCCCAGCGCAAGATCCTTCAATTATGCATTAAAAAAAATCATTAAGATAATTAAATTGAGTATTAAATTATTAAAAATCATTAATCAAATATTATGATATAATGTAAAAATCTGCTCCTAATACTTAAAATCAAGTAATTAATGTAAATAAACTGCAATTCTATATGTACCTCAATGGGGCTTTGATCAAAGATCATAGAGGCCAAGAATTTGGGACCAAAGTGTACCCATGCAATTGGTTCAGAGCTCGTTTCTTCCCATGAAATTTGATTATCAACTCCTGCATCTTCTGGAGCTCTCTCATGTAGCTTATTATGAAAAAAGAAAAAAATAATAAAAATGATAATTCAGTGCATGAAATATCCCACATTAATGGATTTTAGATAAAAATGGTAACGGATTAGGTATCCGCTTAAAATGAACTATTGAATCCGTACGGATAGTAAAAATACTATCTAAATCTATTCTAAATCCACTTATTCACTATTTGAATTCGCTAATATCGGATTGAATTGAATCGGATACCCGTAGGTCGGGTAAAATTATCATCGCTAAGTTCCGGAACGACTGATGCATACAACCTTCTTCCTATTTTTGTTGAGAGATTGATCATACAAAAAAAGGAAATATTTACTCTGTTACATTATATAGTAGAACATACCTTCTCAAAAACATAGGATGGTTGGTGCAAGGTATCCGGCAAAACAGCTGTTACAAAAATAGCAACAGAAATCTTTTGTGGGTATTTCTCCATAGCTAAAGCTAAATTCATGCCTCCTAAGCTATGACCCACTAATATAACCTTCTCATTTTCTTCTAATAAGGCCATAAATTCCATTAGAGGCTCATTATACTCATTAAATGTATGAACCTCTTGGAATGCCTTACGGTGCATCCCTGAAGCTGCCATGTCTAGCACCGTGACTCGGTGGCCGTTCGCCTCAAGGCGTGGCTTGACCTTGTACCAAACCCAAGCTCCTCCTCCTGCACCATGGACTAGAACAAAATGCTTCCCAATTTTGTTAAATTCTGCCATTTATTCTTTTTCCCCTCTCTGAAAAATTATGTTGCACTAATTATCATTAGCCCTTAATATGCAAAGTCGACAGAAAGTTGACTTTGGATAATTAAGCTTATTAATACTGAATTTTCATTTTTTTTTTTTAAGGTTAAGCTATTTGTATGTATCCACAACTTGACAGCAATAATTAATTAATAAAAAATTGATCAACGGTGTCCATTATAAGAATATAGACTAAAGAGATTAAACTTATAATATTAATCTGAAAATTGGTTAATAATTAATATGGTGTCGTCAATTTTAAATATATATATTGTACTGTATTGCATGTGACGTGATGTGAAATAATAGTTTATTAAACCAAGAAATTTAAATTATTTCTCAATGTATTGTCGGTTCATTGATTCAACAACGAATGGTTTTGCAAGAATCAGATTATAACCCTAGCTAGTAATAAGCCATGATATTATCTTACAAAAAAATATATTATTTTTCAAGAGCACGTAATGTATAAATTTTTGAAATTTAAGAATCAACTTTATGACTAGTATATTGATAAAAAGTTTTAGTCAAAATATGAGCTTTTACGTTGACTTGTCAACAAATTTAACGAATAAAAATATCGTTACGACTATAAAGAAAAGTCTTACATCATTGATAATAATACCCAACTCAGAATAATTGTTTCCTGGTGAGTAAAGGGCATAAATGACTGTTTGTGAATCACAAAACGTAGAACCCGGGCCTGCCATGTGAGCAATAGCCCAAGCCAAAGTACTTGTCAAAGCTGCTGTCTCAATCAAAGTGGAGTCACCATAAAGTGAGAAGCGTCCTGATCGTGTTGTAATAAAATTACCTTCTTGACATTCAAAAATAGCACCAAACCCAGACATTCTTTGATTTGCGATGCACCATCAATAAAACAAAACCATGAAGCCATATCTGTTGCAATTCTTGATGAAGCATGATGACCATGAAGTACTCTAGAGGACAGCCCATGAAAACATGTAAGGTCCGATTTTATCTTCTCCGACATGTCAACATTTATGTTTTGAATTCTATTTCCATAGGCTCTTCTATGTTTGGTATGGTTGCTGAGGATTGCAAAATTCTTAACCGTAGTAACGATATTATTATTAAGACACGTACTTTAGTTTAAGCATCTTATCGATATGCTAATCTCAAAAATTTAGATTCCATTCTTGATTGTATTCCGTCTTTATTTTTATAATAAAATTGGTATTACATTTCAGAAAGAAAAAATTCACACAAACTAGAAAAAAAATAGTTTTAAAAGGATTTTTATAATAAAGTTTTTAATCATGAGACTAACCACTTTCCAAAATTTCATGGAAATAGTTGAAAAGTATATTATTTGTTCTCCTCCTGACTTGCGTCTTAGCATTCCAAATGGTCATCGCTGGCGGCTGTCAACAATTCTTCTTCTAAATTGTACATATACACGTTTTATGATATCAACAATTTGGCTGATTAAAATTTAAATTAATTAACAACAATATCTAATGATACCAACACGATATTTTATGATAACAATGTCTAATGATAACAACACAATGTTTTATTATAATGACCCTAATTAATATTTAATAGTATTAGCATATAATAATATTAAACAAAGGCTCTCTAAATATTTTTACGCATGTTTATCAGCAATTTGAGAGAGACTGTTACACAGTTGCTGTGGTTTGCAAAACATGGGCATGTGATCTACTCCTTCCATCTTGATCACTTCTTCAACAGGATTATTTTCAATCATCCATTCTTGAAATTCTTTAGGTATTGCCTTGTCTTCTTCGCATCTAATATACACTTTTTTAACAGATCCATATCCTTCACTTGAGAATTTTTTTGCCATTGACAAATCATGTTGAAACAATGATGATGGCCTTGTCAAAGTCTTTGCCAACTCAAGATCCTTCAAGAAAATGCAAATTTTGAAATGTAATTAGATTTTTGGCCTTTTTAAAAGATATGGATAGAAGAAAACATGGACTCGTAACATAAAAACAAAAGAAAGAAAGAAAGATAAGACAGAAAGAAGAAGTACCTCTATCGGTGTCAGCTGATAGAGCTTGGAGGATAAGAATTTGGGGCCGAAAAACATTGTCGAAAGATGCGGTAAGGAGGTGCTATAGGGCAGGAATTGTGTGTCCAACCATGCCTCACTTGGGGTCCTTTCATTGTACTGTATTTAATCAAGAAACAAACGTACGATGAGCTCAAACATATACGAGAAACCTAGCTCTGGTTTTTGTTTTTTTTTTTTTTTTAAATCTTACTAAGATTGAAAATAAGATTTAGCTTCCTTTTTCAGAAAATTATGCAACAAGAATTTCTTGTCTGTCTAATGAACATGGGACAGAGAGTTAAAATCCTAACAGCTCCGACGCCTTCTAAACATGCCAATTAATGAAACACGTATACCTTTTGCAGGACAAATGATGGCTGGTGGACTGAATCCGGCAAGAAAGCAGTCAAGAAAACAGCAACAGAAATCTTTTCTGGAAATTTTTCCATTGCAAGAGCCAAATTCAGACCACCAAGGCTGTGACCAACAAGTATAACCCTTTCATCTGATTGGAGTGAAGCCAAAAACTCTAACAAAGGCTTTGAGTAATCACCAAAAGTCTGAATTTCTTGAATTGCCTTCATGTTGATGCCAGAAGCCGCCAGGTCAAGCGCCGTGACACGGTAGCCAGCGGATTCAAGACGTGGCTTCAACTTGTACCAGCACCAAGCTCCATGGCATGCACCGTGGACTAGAACAAAATGTTTTTGTTTCTTGGAACCTGCCATCTTTAATTGCTTAATGTGTGGTCTAAGATCGCCATTTTCCTTACATTTATAGTAATATGAAAGAAGGTGTTAACGAGAAAACTGTCAGGAAATTGTAAGTCCACTGTCTGAACATTTTCCACAAGGCAACAACTAGCTCTAATTAAATTTTCTTGATACAGTTTTATTAGTAAAAAATCAAAATTGAAAATTAGTTGGTGGGAGCTAGCTGTTGTTTGCTTTCCAAATTGAGAGGTGGGATTTGAAATTTCAAACATAGGAAACGTATCACCGACAACTCACAACAGTGAGTCAGTGACTAAAAAGTAAAAGTAATTGATTTTTGGAGGCAGTCAATTATTGAATTTCGAACAAAATTTGATTTGGGTAAGTAAGAATTGGACGTTATAGAAATTTCACATTGTCAGAAAAATTCAGGAAACTTCATTTCTATTTTTTTTTTTTTTTTCATATGTATTAGAATTATATTTTTTCAGTTCCAAAGAACAAAAATAGATTGAAATCACATAAAAATTTAAATAATATCAATATTTTTAATCATCTTCTTTAAATATTTTTATTTTCACTCAAATATAAATAATTATAATTCTTTCTAAAATTTATTTATCGGAAAAATTTGTTAATCAAAATATTAAATGTCGATTATCAAATGGCGTAGAGATTCTGAAAAAAGATTGTGAAGTATTTCATAATGTTTTATAAACATTTTGATTATTACTTTTTTCATTCCTTTTTTATTCTTTGTTTTTTTTTTTTTTAGTTATTGCAATATAATCAGGTCTAAATTGTTGGATGCAAGTCTCAAGATGTAATTATTAATCCGGAGAAAAAAATTTTAAAATATTTTTTAGATTAAATCACTCAAATTTATTTTATTATATGATTAGGAATAATTGCTCACAAAGTTCATCATATATCACTTAATTAGTCATTCCATCACGAGCCCTTTTTTTCATTCAATTTTGTTAAAATTACTCATCTTTTTTCTATTATTATTATTGCTAAATTCAATTTGATGTATATATATGAATCCAATGTTTTAAAACTATATTTAAAAGAAAATTAAAATTCCAACAGAAATTAATCAATGAAAAGTAATATGTTTCCTTCTCTGACTTATGACTTAGCGTTTCAAATGGTCATCACTGACGGCTGCCAACAATTTTTCTTTTTCTTCTTCTTCTTCTTCTTCTTCATTGTATACATACAAGTTCTTCAAGAACATATGCAATATTCAGTATTACTACAGCTAGAAAATTATTATAGGGGAGGGTGAAAAGTTAGATTACAGTAATTACTGAACCAAATCTTGACAAAAGTTAAATTAATAACAATATCTAATGATACCAACACAATCTTTTATTATAATGACCCTAATTAATATTTAATAGTATTAGCATATAATAATATTAAACAAAGGCTCTCTAAATATTTTTAAGCATGTTTATCAGCAATTTGAGAGAGACAGTTACACAGTTGCTATGGTTTGCAAAACGTGGGCATATGATCTACTCCTTCCATCTTGATCACTTCTTCAACAGGATTATTTTCAATCATCCATTCTTGAAATTCTTTAGGTATTGCCTTGTCTTCTTCGCATATAATATACACTTTTCTAACAGATCCATGTCCTTCACTTGAGAATTCTTTTGCCATTGACAAATCATGTTGAAACAATGATGGTGGTCTTGCCAAAATCTTTGCCAACTCAAGATCCTTCAAGAACATGCAAATTTTGAAATTCGATTAGATTTTTGTGGCCCTTTTATAAAGATATGAACAAAAGAAGACATAGACTCTTTAACATGAAAACAAAAGAAGGACAGAAAGAAAAAGGCCTCAATCGGTGTCAGCTGATAGAGCTTGGAGGATAAGAATTTTGGGACCAAAAAACATTGTCAAAAGATGTGGTTAAGAGCTGCTGTAGGGCTGAAATTGTTTGTCCAACCATGCCTCACTTGGGGTCCTTTCTTTGTACTGTACTTAAAGAAACAAACATGTGGTAATGAGCTCAAATTTTACTATCAAAAACAGAAAATGTCTCAACTTATTTATGGAGTTTGATACTCTATGTGGAGACTTCTGTCCAAAATTGGTAGTTAATGGCTTTCTCTTTAAAAATTAATTTCTCTCTTCCATAGTATTTTTCACGTTTAGAATTTCACGTCATTTAAAAAAATCATTAAATTTATCTAAGTTCAAAATTTTACTAATCAAAAAACAGAAAATGTCTACAAGAACTTATTTATGGAGTTTTGGATACTCTATGTCGGAGACTTACTGTTCCAAAATTGGTAGTTAATGGCTTTCTCTTTTAAAAATAATTTCTCCTTTCCATAGTATTGTTTTCAACGTTTAGAATTTCACGTCAATTTAAAAAATCCATTAAAAATGTATTTCTAAGTTATAAAGTAAAATTATTGAATAAAGTTGACATATATTACATTTATTTATGATACTAATTGGTCCTAAGAAAATCAATTAAATGTGAAATAATAATTAATTTGTTCATGATATAAATTATTGAATAAATTGACTATATTACATTTAATTTGATACTAATTGTCTAAGAAAATCATTAAATTGAAATAATAATTATTGGTCATATACAAAGGGTAAACATGGAAAAAATTTTAGTACTCCTTGAAATCACAAATGTGGCAAGTATTTTGAAATAAACTATTTTCTCAAATGTGATAAGTATTATGGAATGGAGATAGTATATAGTTGTGTTGACTTAGCCAATATATATATATATTTTTTTTGATATGCAAACAAACAAAATTTATTAAAATTAAAGATATCACGAAAAATTTAGTATTTTCAAGAATCTATCCCAAATCAATAATATTATGGTTAATATTAAAGTAGTAAAGTAAGTAGTTTAGTTATGTTTAGAGGAAAATAAGAGAAACAAGCTAATCCATTTTCCCATCAACTTATCTAGATTTTGCCCATGATGGAAACAACAAAAAATATTTTTTTCTTTTTACCATTTAGTGAGGAAAAAAAAAAGATAAATTGAAAACAATTTTAAAATTTTTTTATTATTAGTTTGGTCCATAAACGAGCCATAGACAATTGGATTTGTGGGTTTGTGATTACTTTGAATATAATAATAAAAATATTTTTATTGGTGATTTGGTACAGTGAAAAATGACATGTTCTGGGTATATCCATGATTAAAAAAGTGAACCACCCATAAATTGTATTCTAATTTAGTATTCATGGGAACTCTAATTAAGGGAGAAATTATCTATATCATTCTATCTCACTCTTTGTACAGTTAAAAGAAACAATTGATTAGTGCCTATCAATTGATTATTAGACCTGCTCTGTTTTATGCCCAAGCAAATTATGCAATAACAGTTATAGGATAGAGAGTTAATGTCCTAACATCTCCAGCACCTTCTACGCGTGCTAATTAAAGAAACACGTACCTTTTCCAAGACAAATGATGGCCGGTGTACTGAATCCGGCAAGAAAGCAGTCAAGAACACAGCAACAGAAATCTTTTCTGGAAAATTATCCAGAGCCAAATTCAGTCCACCAAACACTCTAACAAAGGCTTCGTGTAATCACCAAGAGTCTGAATTTCTTGAATTGCCTTCATGTGGACGCCAGAAGCCGCCAAGTCATTGGGCTGTGACACGGTGGCCAGCGGATTCAATGAGTGGCTTCAACTTGTACCAGCACCAGGGATTGTTTGGCCAAATCTTTCGAGAACTACCCATTTTACTAACATTTTTTCCAATTCCAAATCATATATTCAACAAACAATATATATTTAATTACATATATAATATATAAACACCATATAGGATCTTTTTCTTTTATAACTTTTTATGCCTATCACGAGTCAATTTTTCATGAAATCAATGGAAAATTATCAGCAATTTGAGTGAGACAGGGCGACAGTTGGGTCCTCCAATCTTGATCACTTCTTCAATACGATTATTTTCAATCATCATGTCTGAATGTATGTAGTCCCACATGGCTTTACAAGTAGCACATTTTACGTAGAAGGATAAGTGATTTGAAAGGGAAAGATGTATATATGTGGGCAGTGGAGATGGGCATTCATAATTTAGACATGTGCGATGTACTATTGAAAATAATAGTTGGGATTTCAAATCCCAGAGTTTGTCTCTCGTTGTGTCGGAGCTTAGCTCCCACCCTTTTGTAACCAAACGAAAAATTAATAGCTTTACAACCGCTTTGTGTCTCATACTCCATTGACAGTAGCTCTATCAGTTCTATTCCATTCTACACAGTATTCAATTTGATTTAATTACATTTAAAAAATTTCAATCTATTCTGTTTATATAGGTTCGATTAGATTTGAGACTAATTCTGACATCAGAGACAAACACCTAACTCCCTTTTTCTACATTAATTAATATTTGTAATATTGCATTCTCAATATCTTTAACCTTCTTTGGTTAAAATTGAGTGTTTTGAAAAAATCTGTCGTTTTGAATTTAGCTCTTGCTGGTCCAAAAAGAGTAGCGTGAATTAATAATTCATTTTCTTGAATATCGGCCAAAGAGAAGAAATTCTGCACTCACCTGTAAATGACAATGCTGATATCATCAAAACAGAACTCCCAACTCCAACACCAACAGGGAATCTATTGGTGTCCACTTGAAGAACTGACTGCCAAAAATTGAAAACCATATTGATTTTAATGAGTATAAATAAATTTTGTATTTTCATATTTAGTGTAAATAAAAATATTCACTTCATTTCTAAAAGCTAAATTTTATAGATTTAGTATAAATTTTATTGGTTAGGATAATTCTTGTGCGAATTACCTTTGGAAGAATTCTTCTTCTTTCTTTCGAAGTATCCTTTTTCTTTTAATAATTATCTAACTATAATTTTTAGTTTTTCAACTTAGAAAAAAAAAAAAAAGAGTAATTTCGAAATAAATGGAGATCCCGAAAAAAAAAATATAAAAACAATTTATTTTATCATTTCAAAATTATTATAATTTTTTTTATTATGACCCAATTAAAATTACTTTCCATGGGTAGAGAAATGCCCATGCCTCCATAACTATGACCCAGTAATATCACCTTCTCTTCTTCTTCTTCTTCTTCTTCTTCAGGCAAGGAGGCCACAAAGATCCAGAGCTGTGACTCTGTGACCAGATGCATGCCTTGAGCATCTCAACAATCTTGAACCAGCACCAGGCTCCATGGCAAATCCCATGAACCAAAACAAAGTGCTTTGATTTCTCCATTTTATTTCTCCGTATTTCTTGGTAGCATCCATGATTATATCACAGTTGGCCTCGCTGTCTGCAGATATAATTATTGTAGGGTAGGTCAAAATATGGCAGCCGTGTATTTTCTTTCCTTTTCACATGAAACACGACTTCCACAAATTTTTGGCCTTTTGTTATGAACTTACCTATGGTAGTCTTTTATTTCAAATACCTATTACATATCTCTCTCATGAATAAAAAAAAAAAAAACTATCAAATCATGAACAAGGAAAAGAAAAATGAAGGATATAATAATAAATAATATTCTAATTGCATCTCTGATACTTGACTGCAATTTCTTGGAAAATTTTGCATAGCTCTTGTGTTTTGGAGAGCATGACCATATGGTCAGCTCCATCAATAATTTTCACTTCATCAGCTGGGCTGTTTTCAATCATCCATTGCACGAATTCCTCTTTCATCACTCTATCTTCCTTGCACAATACAAAAACCCTTTTTATGGATCCATATTTGGCTTCACTTAGCAAAGATTCTTTGGCTAAATCTTCTAAGAAAAATTTGAAAGGCCTGATTACCATTTTAGCTAATTCCAAATCCTGCCGGAGATTAAAGAATTAATTACATATTATATGTATATATATGATTGTGAAATGCACATTTTACAGCTTTAGATACTTGCAAAATGCACATTTTATATTATAGCTTTAGATACTTGCCTCCGGTTGGCAGTTGTGATACATCATGCTTTCCAAATATTTAGGCCCAAAAATAGCTGAGATTAGTAGGTTTTCTTGGCCTTCCTGGAAATTTAATTGGCAATCTAAAAGTGATTCTGCTGGTGTTCTCTTGAAAAACTGTTTAACAAAAAGAAAACCCAAGAAAAATATATAATTGTATTAGTCTAATAGATTTTCAAGAATCCAAAAAAATTAATGAAAAAAGATCAAGAATATTTTACTTCTTGTACTAAAGTTGCAGGTGGATCAATAGAATTTGGCAAATATGCAGTTACAAAAACTGCAACCAAAATTTTCTCTGGAAAATTCTCCATTGCTAAAGACAAAGCAAGGCCGCCATAGCTATGACCAACTAAGATAACTTTTTCTTCTTGAGGAAGAGAAGCCATGAATTCGAATAATGGTTGAATATAATCAGAAAAGAAGCTGAGGCCTTCTATTTGCTTAGTGTTGATACCGGAAGCTCCAAGATCTAAAGGAGTAACTTGGAGGCCAGCTAATTTTAGAAGAGGCACAAGCTTGTACCAGCACCAAGCACCATGGCAAGATCCATGAACCAATACGAAGTGTTTCTTGTTAGTCTTCATTCCTAGCTAACTATTTTTATGTTGTCTAAAAGACTTGATCTTTTTTCTTCTTGATTAAAGTGGAATGATTTAACGGAGGTTAGAGGTTATTCGCTAGAAGTATATAAAATATATACAGAGGCCAGAGGCTAGAAGTATATATAAAATATGTTGAGTCTAATCTTCAATTTCACCTAATCTTTTAGAGCAGTAATAATTTTACTGTAAATTGACTTTTATACTCTGATCATCCTGAATTTGTCAGCCTAATGATATAAAGTTAGAGGTGTCAAGTTATTCATTGAATGAAGTAAAGTAGTAAACATAATGTTTTTTTTTTTTTTTCTCTCACTTTTTCTTCCTTTCTTAACTTTCAACCTCTTAGTGACCTTTCCATGTCAGGAATTCCTAACACTTTGTCACTATCAAACAGAACACATGGAGAGACTATTTTTTGTTTTACAATAGTTCCTTTCTTCCTTTTCTCTTCTTTCGAAAGATGTGTGAATATATTTCTCTAAAAGAATAAAAAAAAAAAAAATCAAAATTATCTGAAATATTAACAAAAATTAATCAACTGATATTCCAAGATTTGAAATTGAAACCACAAGAATAGAGAAATCCTCGTTAAGACCTTAATTAAAAATTTTGTGTTAAGTAAATTTGTCTGCAATATCCAATAAACATTGGCAAAGTTCTTTAGGCTTAGAGAGCATAACCATATGGGCAGCTTCACTAATAACTTTCACTTCATTTGGTGGGCTATTTGCAATCAACCACTTCTGAAATCCCTCCTTCATCACCACATCTCCTTCACAGAACACAAAAATCCGGTTTACCGATCCGAAATTCGCTTCGGTTAAATCAGACTCCTTACTCAAATCATCCCCAAAAACCCCAGTAGGTCTTACCAGCATTTTGCCTAACTCCAAGTCCTGTATCAATCATTAGCATCTCAATTTTTAGTAATTAAAATGCTGAAAAAGGCCTTTTTTTTTTTTTTGTAAATGATTGAAACACCATTTGGTATTAGGAAACTTTCCTCTTGTGGACATTGCAGATAGAGCATGTTGGTCAGGTACTCTGGCCCAAAGGAAGAGGAAGTTGGTGGGTTTTCTAGGCCATGGGTGAAATAGAGCCGACAATCATATAGGGATTCCACTGGAGACCACTTGAAGAACTGGTTTCAAAAGACAATTACTAATTTAGTCAAAACTACAAAAAAAACTACCTCAAAAGCTGTTGCCCAACATGTGCTACACGAAACTTGTATGATAGTGGTCAGCTTTCAAATTATCATCAATTGATATATGAGCAATTAATATCAAGAAATAATATCTTTTGACAAAACTCAATTATAATATCAAAACTATAGAAATATATCGGGAAATTTACTTCTCCTATGAGAGTTGCAGGTGGGTTTTTACAGTTAGGCATATATGCTGTGACAAAAACTGCTACCAAGATCTTCGCAGGAAATTTCTCCATAGCAAAAGAAATGCTAAACCCACCAAAGCTATGACCAACCAAAATAATCTTCTCATCTGAAGAAAGTGAGGCCATGACCTCCATTAGTGGTTTCACATATTCAGAAAAGGAGGTAACCTCTTCTAGTTTCTTAGGGTTGACCCCACAAGCACCAAGGTCCAAAGCAGTGACTTGGTGGCCATCTGACTTTAGCAAGTGCGCTATCTTGTACCAGCACCAAGCTCCATGACAAGCCCCATGAACCAAAATAAAGTGTTTCTTTCCCTTTTTCTCCATTTCTACTCTTAATTAATTGTGAGTTGGAATAATCTAACGAACAATTTTTATATTGGTCAATTTCCCATAGTTGCCAGCTAAAGATTTGTAAATTTAAAAAAAAAAAAAAGTTTACTTCATTATTTTATTTTATGATTCCATTTTCTTTTTGCTTTGATTCCTTTATTTTGACATTTTGTCTTATTTTGCGATCTCTACCCGTTAGCCACCATATTAATATTATTAATTTTTGTTTATTTATTGTGAAAACAAATGAGTCGAAACGACAGTAGGGTAAAAACTATTGGAATCGAGGAGATTAAATTCAAAACCTTTCACTCCTATCGAAAATGAAAATTTTAATTTTTCCACCACTTGATTGACAATATTATTAATTATTAGTATATGATATGATATAGTTGACCAGAAAAAAAAAATGCAATTCAAGAAGAAAAAAAATATATACTATATAATACAAAATGAGAGACTTTTCAAGATTTTTATTTCACAAATCCTAATCAATTATCTAACCCTGGCTTCATATGTAGAAATTTAATCATCTCTCATACTTTGTCAAAAAAAGCTAACTCAACTTGCTTACTAGTTTTATTTGTATAATCAACTGATTTGTTCTCTTCAACTCTTTCTTCTCTTAATATAATTAATACAAAATGAGTCTTAATTAGAAAAAAAATGTTATTAATATTATTGTGGAAAAAAGCAAATAATATCACTAATCGCATGTTATTTGCATAACATATGCTTTTCACTCTCAGCCTATTTACAGCAATTTCCTCCAACCATAGACAAAACCTCCTTAGGCTTCGAAAGCATGACCACGGCACCAGCTTTCTTAACTCTTAAGGTTCATATTCTTAATCAAACATCTTGCCTAGTTCGAGATCCTGCAAACCCACATCACTATATTTAATTAATTAATCTGAAAATGCTTTAATTGAGATTGAACAGAAAACGAATAGAATGAAGAAAACAGTATATTTCTTCTTGTATCATGGAGTCTGTACAATGAATACTATTTATATTTACAAGTGTGCTGTATTTGCTTACTCTAGAGCCTACTGTATTGTATACTGACTGTTGTAACAGAATCACAGCTGTACAATTTGGGTTAATGGGTTAGTTGGGTTTGTTACATGGGTTTGGGTTAAGTGAAACGGGTATGTGTATGGGTTTAATATAAATAGAAAATGTTGTGTTCTATTTTTAGGGTTTCTGCTTTTGATTAGGGCGGCGGCTTCTCGATTCTTCCTTCTTGCTTTGCTGCTGATGTTGGCCCTGGGGCTGTTCATACTCGTTCAGAGATAAACTTGGCTTTAATTAATTACTTGCCTCTGGTTTTGTGCGCTTGAAAATCTGTGATTGAAGAAGGAATCCTCTTATCTGTATTCTCCTCGCACATAAATATATTTCTTGTTCTGCAGATGCATTAATTAAATATTCTTCTTATTAACTTACGGAGGCACTTAACGGAGATGAGTGTATTATTTTCTTGAAATGTGGGTTCTTCATGGCTTTGGTTCGGTTGTCGAGAGCAACGGAAAAGATCAAAACGAGAGGAAATCTTTATTTCTTCTCCACAGCCAAACCTTTTTCTAAGCCATAGATTATCTCTTTCTTTTTTTATTTTTTCCTGGGTTTACGAAATGGTAGAAGTTCAGCTTCGGCAAGACTAACGACCCTGTCAACACAAAAGAAGTCTTCGTATCCCAAGAATTTCTCTAACAGGAAGCCAAATAGAAAATGGAGGAGATGAAGCAGAGGCATTTTGTGTTAGTACATGGAGCCGGTCTTGGAGCGTGGTGTTGGTATAAAGTAGCTACTCTTTTAAAATCAGCAGGTCACAAAGTTACAGCTCTAGACATGGCTGCATCTGGTGTTCATCCAAAGCAAGTCAGTGAGATTCAATCAATATCGGATTATTTTGAGCCGTTGATGGAATTCATGATGTCTTCACCACAAGAAGAGAAGGTGATTTTAGTTGGTCACAGTTTTGGTGGTCTTAGCATATCTATTGCCATGGAAAGGTTTCCGGAGAAAATTTCAGCTGCAATTTTTGCTTCAGCTATCATGCCAGGACCTGACCTCAGCTATACCAGTGCAAGAGAAAAGGTATGTCTATATTGTACAGAGATTAATTTCAGCATATTTTATTAAATTTATTCTTCAATCTTATTAAAAATAAATCATCCCCAATACTTAAAAAATATATATAAATATTCTTCTTAATTATAATTATATAAGTGGAAAAATCTGCAGTTTAGCAAGACATTTGATCCAATGGACACAAAATTTAAGTTTGATAATGGGCCCGACCACCCCCCAACCTCCCTATTATCTGGGCCTAACTGCTTGTCAACCCAATTGTATCAACTCTCACCGCCAGAAGTAAGAATATTATCTCCATTATATTTTATATTTTGTATAATTACTATTTTTCTGCTAAATTTTCTTACTCTTTACATTCTTTTTTCCTTTCTAAACAGGATCTAATGCTTGCAATGATGTTAATAAGACCTCATCCTTTGCATAATATTGCTGCTGTACAAAATGAAGCAGTGTTGACCAAGGAAAAGTTTGGATCAGTTAGTAGAATTTTTATAGTGTGTGGCCAAGATAAGGTTTACAGTGAAGATTTCCAAAGATGGATGGTCCAAAAAAATCCACCTAATGAGATTATGGTTATCTCTGATTCTGATCACATGCTCATGATTTCAAGACCACAGGACTTCTGTTCTTGCCTTGAAGACATTGCCAAGAAATACTTCTGAATCTTATTTATTTGTTGAATCATGTTTAGAGAATAATTTCATACAATTCTGTTTACATGTGGAAAATAACAATCAATAATAACTGATTTATTATCACTAAGCAAACATTTTTGGTATATAGAATTAGAATCAATCTAGTACATAAAAGGGCAACTTAAGCACCACAAGAGAAAAAACAAAATGGGTAAATGGGGGTCCCCAAAAAGATGCAAAAAGATAATATTTACAAAGATATGCAACTGAAAATGCACCTAGCTGTCGCTTTTTCTCAGATTCAAATCAAGCTTTGATCCCCGTGTAGCTTCCTTCTGCACAAGGCCACTAATATACAGGTATCAAGACAACATGAATAGAATAACCCCCTTGCCAAATCTTAGAGTTGATGAAATAGTTCAGGCGCCAATAATTGTAATCAGCTGAGCATGGTTGGATGCCCTGTCTGTAGCATCCTCTTAATCATGTCCATCCCAAATGCAGAATCCGATGAACTGAGTAATGGAAGTATAATGTTAACTCAGCAGTCTAATCATGAGCTTCAGAGAATTTTCCTAACAGAAAATAGCGACACAGCAATTTCTCATTAACAGAACAAGGACGTCAAGGGTAGTCAAACTACCATACTATGCAATTAGCACACAAACAACTTTAGCTTATTACTAAAGGTGAAACTAAATGCTGTGATTACAGGCTTAATACATCTCCCTAACGAGTCAACTTGCTAGCTCAACTAAAAACGGAGGTTAAATAGTTTTGGTTAGCAGGTAAAGAGTGGTAGTAGGTCTGCCTTTCAATCGTTACTTGTATGATTTGCTTGTTCATAACATACATTAGTCAGTGTCCCCTTGTATCCCATAATGATCTATTGGTCAAGTAAGTTTCGGGATGGCTTGGAAATTGAAAACTAAAACTTCTTTTAAGCCAGCAATCACGCAAGGAGAAAGATCCAGTGAGCAGAACATAAAAAGCCTAAGCATTAACCACGCTTCTGAAAAGCACAGACACTAGATGATGTTATAAATCCTACCATTCTCAGAAGCCTTTTCCAGGTCGGTTTTCTTGAAGGTAATCCAACAGTAATTTGGTGGCTATTGGCCATGTTATAACACTCGATTTCACTTCAAATTTCTAAGCCTCAAGCCAAATTAATGCCTCTTTTCATTCAACCACATGAAAAGCCATATTGATTTAGTTATGACTCTTTCAATGGCGCATCGCCATTGACTGTTCATCCCACGCACAAGATAGCATCTCAATAGCCCATCCCACCCACTGCCACCTCCATGTACGCATTATTACTTAATTATTTTAGGTATTGTGAAGCACTAGGTTACAATACTTTTACCATCAATTTATTGTTAATTGGCAATGTGTATTTACTTTATCAATTATGATGAAAATTACATTTCGATTTCAGATTTTGATATTTTATATATAGTTTTAAATGTACAGATATCATTTTTAATTGATTTGGAATCCTGAGAATATTGAATCTTATGATCAATTGATTCTTCATTAACAAATCATGATTTTGATTCACGCCTCGAATCTTGATTAGACAACAACGAACGACTGACACAAAATTTCCAACACCTAACTACTTTAACTTGGCCAGCAATCACAAAATTAACGAACTACCAACAAGCAAAAGCAGCAAACTTCTAAAGACTACCAAAAATGGCTTCATCCAACACAACATGCACTGTCAATTAACTTGACGCACCCAAGATTAATATGCATTACAAGGCGAGAACAGAATTAAGAATAACTGACCTCGGAATGGTAATTTCATAAGGAAAATATATGACACCGTCAGATATCGGGGGGACATGATCTTTTTTCTCATTCACAAATTTTATTATCTGGAACAAAACCTCACGAAGAGAGGCTTCAAGTGCTGCCCTACGAACACCCCTCTCCTCGGACACACTCTCTATAAGATAAAGTGAAAACATAAATATCAAAAGAAAATAAAGCAAGGAACTTTCGCTTTAAGATGGTTAAGCATGTGCAGCATAGATATTACCTTCTGGATCAACCGCTCCTTTAGAATGATGGGACTTTCCAGAATGTGCTTTTCGGTGTTGAGTCACATTCAAATTGACATACCACTGTTCCCAACAAAGCCGTTCAATTTTGTTTTTGAACCACGAAGGCTGTTTGCTTTTCACTTCATAAAAGGATAAGCATATCTGCATTGTAACTCAGACGTGAAAAACAAGACAAAAATCACATAAAATTACAAAATTGCTAATTCACCGAAAAGATCAAATGACGGTACATAAAACAATTATGAAAGTCAAACATTACCAATCATGGCTATGCACAAGATGAAGCATGCTAAAATATGCAAACACTGAAGTTTTGGTGCCATTGCGATGCTAAAAAATGCTTAACGATAAAAAAAGGGCTGAAATGCTAGTGTCCTTGCCATGTAGGAAATGCAGCATAACTCAAACGAACATCCTAATCTTGTTGGAGTCAGATTATATAAATTCTTTTGCATACAGTACAGCATACAACACCAAGTGCTAAACATATTCTGTAAAACATATGAGACTGAATATTACCACTCACTGTCACCATCACTTTCCAGCCCATGGATAAAAATCCATATACTAACAACCTAAATGCCGTGTTAACTTAAAAAGTATTTGGCAAAAATACCTGGCTTTTCTTATTCGGATGTTTCTCAACCCAACTTATGAATTGCTCAATCTTCTCATCTATTTTCTTTTCAACTTCGAAATCCCCACATTGCACCTATGCAACAAGAGAAAAAGACAGCAGTGACAAGAGACAAACATCAAAAGCTGTCAACACTAGAAATATGACATAAAAAGTGCACAATGACATCCATGTAAGCTGCACTTTCTCATCACTAGTACTCCTATCAACACATTATATTTGAGAAATACTATCATTTGAGAAACACTAATAACTGTTTCCACCTAACGATAATATCCAGCAAAGAAATTCTAGAATCACTTACATATGTAATGTCAAAGAGTTCCAGATCAATGTCCTTTGGACGGACAAGACCTAAAGCACGATGAAAGACAATTGTATGTAATATGCCTGCAATCCATTTCATCTAGTCAATTAAGAAATAATAAAAAAGATAAAACAGAAAATATAATGAACTACGTAACACAACAAAATGCCAACACTTATAGAAACCTAATCATCCAACTATCAGCCAAACTTCACCAATGCTTGTATAGAAAATTTAAATTGTCCAAGCATTCTTTTTCAATTCCCCGTCACTTGCAATCTTTTTTAGTCACTTAACCTCGTCAATTGAACTGAATTTTGAAGATTAAAAAGGTTTCAATGATGCGCAGCAACGACTCTCTTCAAAACCAACCTTGATTAAATATATTTTAGACCAAGCAACAAAGCAAACCAACAGTGACTACTCAAAAAGACATAAAAACTATATTATTAATGTCTCTTGAAAAATTCCAAATTTGGAAAGCCCAATTTCGAATTTTTTTTTTTTTTTTTTCACTTACAGCGTAGAACTTCTCGTATCTCAAAGTGCTCCACCTCCTACAAACGGTTCCCGATCAAAATCTCTAATTTAACAATGAATTGAAAGCATAAATATATAAATTGAAGATAAAAGTATAGATAGAGCTATGATTTACCAGTTCTTTCAGTTGGCAGATTTCGCAGTTCATGATGCTTTTTGTTTTAGAAAAAAAAAAAAAATGAACAAAGAAATATAATAGAGAAAACAGAACCCTAGAAGAGCTTCTTTAAGTGAACGGTATGGTAGTGACCTTCCCCTGATCGGAATGTTAAGCTCCAGCGTAATATTTATACAGCATCTGAATTGTCTTGAAAATTGAAACGTAGCTTCTTTTTAATTGTGGAAACGGTGACTTCCTTCTTTCCCCTTCTTTTGTTGTTTTATTTATTTATAATGGGTGTAGATTTTTAAATTTTTCAATAATACCATTTATTATTTTTCAATTGCCCCACTTGACTATATTGAGCTAAAAAGGTATATAAATTTGTAATGTTATAATTAGGGGGTGTAGAGCCGAGCCCGTTCAGTTCGGAAGCTATTCGAGCTCAGCTGGAAAAAAGTTCAAAAAATTTTGGCTCAAATCGAGCTTGAGCATAATGATATTTAATTTGAAAGCTCGTCGAGCTTTTATATATAAATATTATTATTTTTATTTTAAACTTACTTGAGCCTTGAATCTTATGATGAGTCTGAATTCAAAATTTTTCGAACTGAACTTGAATATCAAGTTGAGTTCTAGCCAAAAAAATATTTAGACTTGTTGATTTTCAAGCGAGATTTGAGTCTGGTCGATTCAAACTTGGCTCTGCTTGCTTACACCCCCTAATTGTAATATATTATGAGCTAGCTTTAGAGAAACTTCAAGGGATCCAATAAGCTCACGAACTAGTTCAATAAGTTACTAAAGGGCAACCGTAAATTGTACCCCTATTTATAGTTCCAAAAGTTAAAGATTAAATTGTTATTGTAAAAATTTAAGTATAACAAGGGGTTAAGTACCAATTAAGTCCCTAAGTTTTTTTTTTAATTGATTCAATAACATTCATGAGATTTTTGTTTGTCTAATTGATTTCTTAACTTATAATTTTGAGTAATTAAACTCAAACATGTCCAAAACTTAAATTGAAAGGTACATGCACATAAATTGAATCCAATAAAATATAAAAAAAATAATAAAACATCACATCTAATTATAACAGTGAAATCTCGTTTTTGTATGAACCTTTTAGAATTTCTAATTTAGGCACATTTAGCTTCGGTCTAGTGATTCCCTTTTTTTTTTTTTTCCAGTTTATGCTTACCTTTCTTTTTATTTTTTAAAATATACATTAAACAAAAGAAAATTAACTATTACAAAAGCTAAAATAAGAGACACGAACAATATTATAAAGCAATCAAGATTGAAGATCAACAGAATTTTGTTGAAGAACATGAAGATCCAGATTAGAATAATAGAATGCAATGGTTTACAAAATAATTATTAATTATTAATAATGAATTGATAATAAAGTACTGTTTACTACTAGTTGTTGATAATTGTTCTCAAATATAAAATTAAATAAATCAATATTTTCCCCAATTTCAATCATGATTGATTTGGTTCTAAATCATCCAGCTTCAAAGTTCAAGTATTGATTAATTTCAACACACACATCAATTACATAATATACACAAACTCATACCAAGTAGTGTTGAAAGACACTAAACTGCTACAAGCAAATGCTGAAAGATGTACAGTGTTCTTCTTTTGCTACCAAGGTTCCCTAGATTGTCCTTTCTCACTTGCATCATCAAAGCTAGAACCTGTGATCCAAAATTCTCTTTTCTGCCCATGACCCCAAAGCTCATAGCTTTCATCGACATCATTACCGAAATCACAATCAAAACCTACATCTTCAGACTTGAACACATTGTCAAAACCATCATCATAATCAACATCTGCTCCATTGTCATCAAATTCGTCACTACTGTCATCATCAGAATCTCTGATGTTACTGTTATTCATTACTGTACCATTTTTCCTCTCTCGTCTCATCCTCTTTGACTTGCTAACCAGCTTCATCAATTGATCCTTCATAGCAGAAACTTCATCTTTCTTCAAAAGCATACCCTTGTCATCATAGCCTTCAATTAAGAATACAGAATTCCTGAGGCCCTTCAAACTCACATAGAACAACTCGGGATGCCTTGCAATCATTCCCCTTAACTGGTTGGGAAGTCCAAATTCCTTTCTGAAATGTGTTAAATGATCAATTAAAGTTCTCCTTTCAACTGTCATCTCCAACACCTCTCTTATTACTGCACAGGCTCTCTTTTCTGCCAGAATTGACTTTTTAGAAAATTCTTCCAAAGAGGTCCTATAAGGACACACCTCTGGCAATTCTTCGAACTTGATCAGGAAATCTTGGTGACGTCTTTTCAAATTGTGCCCCTTACGAAGTGTCAGGTGCTTGAATTTCAAAGGTCTATCTACTATCAGACCAAGTGAAACATCAGGGCGAGATAAAGGAATAGCTAGTTGTGCATCCCATGATACAAGCTCAAGTGCACGGCCATAGGAAGTGTCAACAGTTTTGAATTTGTCTGGATGGTCATTGCAAAGGCGGGACCGAAAATTAGGGGGGAGGCCAAGGTCAGGTGCAAGGTGAACCAACTTTGATAAGATAAGCCTGCGATGGGAAGAGAGCATGAGAAGTTTCTGAAGTTTAGCAGCCAAGCTGTTGGAAATCGCTGATTGGAGTTTCAATTCTTCGGCAGCAAGTGCTGCTGCAGGTGGTGTTAAACGAACACATAATTGAGAGTATGGTTTTGTTGCATTAATTGGCAAAGGTGGTGTTGGGATTGAGAAGAGTTCAAAAATGGAAGGATATCGATGGATCATGGACCGGATAGAACGACGATCAGGGAGGGAAAGGTAGGATTTGCATTTTGAAAGAATGTGGAGTGGGATGTAGTGTTTTGGTTTAGAAAGTAGTAGTGTTTTAAGCTTTTGGACAAACCTAATCTTGTTTTGCCTTACAACGTGCCTGTCAAGCTTAGAATCACGAACTATTTTTAGAGACGAACAAGAGATTGAAAAAGAGATGTTACTGAGTTTTTTAACAGTTTGAAAATGATTGCTTGATACCTTAAAAGGATTGTAAGGTAGAAAGCTGGTCTTATTGGAGGAATAATGGTTTTGTAAAGGGAGAGATAGAGAAAGCGTCATTTTTCATAATTTCTCCATCATATCTGCTCCATTTCATAAAATCATCTTTTAGCAATCAAATTTATGATGTTTTCTGCTACCATAATTAAAGCATCAAATTTAAAGCATTATAAAAATATACAAACAAAGTCTCTTAGACTTTATAACAAACATATGGTGTGCGGGCTAGAAACAGATGCTTTTCACCGAAAATGGAACAGTATAAACAAATCAAACATACATCAAACTAGAAAAGTATAAATCTAATGTAACTATAAAATAGAAGTAGAGAAAAGTGAATTTCTAGAGCCTAAGCACAATGACTAAGAGGGATGTCATACTTGATAATTCCAGCATAAGCAAGATAATATATTACCTTAGAATGAGATATATGAGGCACGCCGGTGAAGTTACTCCGACCTGAATATTCAATTTTTAAATAGCCAGTGTAGCTTGCGGCTTAGATTTACAGTGTGATTGAACGATGGGAAGCTGAGTGAGGGTAAGGAAGGATTAAAGATGAAATGACAGCTCCAGATTTGGCGCTGTTAGTGACGAGGTCGTTTCTTCGAAGATGTTGGGACGTTGCATATGTTCGTCCAAAGACAAATTGTCGTTCGTATACGGTATGCGGCATACCGTATGTCTTGCTCGATAATATCAGACAAATAAAAGTAGCCTCTTTCTCACCTCTAAACGACCGCTCGTTTAAGCAAAAAAAAAAAAAGAGGAAATAAGAAGTTAAAGAGGATAAACGGCTCAAAGCGGGTAAAAGGCGAGCAACCGGCCATTGAAACGAGAAAAGGTAGGCAACAGAACGAAAACAGCAGCAGCAGCAGCCATGTCGTTCATGAGAGGAGATCTGCTAACGAGAACTAGAAAGCTCGTCAAGGGCTTGGCCAAGACCGAGCCTATTTGGCTTAAGGCCATGGAACAGTGAGTCTTTCTATTTTTCTTCCTTTCTATGATAAAAAGTTGCCATTGAATTTTTATTCATATCTAAATTCTTAACCCTTTTTCTCTCTTTTCCCGATTTGATTTCACCGATTAGGGCACCGCCTGCGACATTTCCTCGGGCGGATGGAAAAGTTCAGAAGATTAGTCTACCTGAGGATCCTTATATAAATAAGTTCTTCAAGAAGCATCCAGATGCCAAACTTGAAGATACTATCAAGTATGTATATTCTGTTCTGTTTACTATTATTGTTCTTTTTATGAGTTTTAATTTTATCTAGTCCAATTAAGGTTTTTTTTTTTTTTTTTTCAATGCTATTTTAGTTTTACAATGTGCCAAAGTTTCAGCTACTATAATCCTCAGTTTTACCTTACTAATTTCAATTTCATATGGGTATATGCTTTTGAGCTGTTGCTTGCTATTTTGAATTTAATAGTTTGGAATTTGTATTTTTCCCTATTGCAACAACTATTCTTGGATTTTCAGCCAATGTAGAGACACATTGTTTAGAATTGGAACTCTTAATTTGAGTTTGGAGTTTCCAACCCAGATCAGTTATTAGAGTACTTATTTGATTGTGTTGTTGGATGATGTCTGGGAATGATAGTTAGTATTATATGATGTTTTTGAAAGAAACTATTAAACTTTTGCATTTTATCATTTTGCTTTCTTCTGATAATTATTAACATTTTCAACTGCTGAGACTTGCTTGTTTTCTAACTCAGCTATACTTCGAAATTGACACTGCCTTATTTAGTATAGCTTCCACCAGACACTTTGAGATTTTGGCTCTGTCTGTCATCTACATAACAAAAATTAAATCAGAACAAAAAAGAGTTGAGCTTTCAACTATGCTTTATATCTGCCCAGGGTTTGTGGTTTTGATCCGTCTCCAGCACGTGTATTTGGTATGCGGGTGCTTGAATTGAAGGAGCAAGGAGTTCCTGAGGAGGAAGCTATGGCTTTAGCTAATGTACGTTTTTGTGGATTCTTGAGTTTTACTGTATCCATGAAAATGTCTATCATATTCCATTCTTTTTCCCTTGCCTAGTTTTAAATCTTTTATGATATTTTGGTGTTCAGATGGAATATGTGGAAGAGAGAAAGGCAAAAAAGAAGGCTTATGCACGATTGAAACAAATTGCTCATATTCAGGGCAAAAGACCTCCCCGTAATCCATATCCTAGTGCCATTAAAGAAATACAAGCTGAGGAGAGGAAGTTTGTTCATGACCGTTTCTTCAATCCCTCGACCCGGCAAATTGTTAACAGGCTGAAAGAAGAGAGGTTCGCTGAAATCCAGGACAGACAAAGAGGGGGCTGGTAATACTAGAGCGGCTTTATCTTTAGCTTCCTATAGCGTTGCTTGCAATAATTTATATGAGTTGGCGAGCGACAAGAGATATTATATCTGACTTTATGTTTTGCTTGATTAAATCTTTTTAGACTTGCATGTTTTACATCCCCCTCTCCCCTCCCCCCCCCCCCCCCCCCTTCGTAAACAGGCTGAAAGAATAGAGAGGTTCGCCTGAAATCCCCAGGACAGACAAAGAGGGGGCTGATAAATACTAGACGCGGCTGTTATCTGTTACTTCCTATAGCGTTGCGATGGCAGGTAATTTATATGAGTTGGCCGAGCGGACAAGAGATGATAATATCTGACTTTAATGTTTTGGCTTGATTAAGGAATCATTTTTTAGACTTGCATGTTTTACATCCCCTCTCCCTCCCCCCCCCCCCCCCCAAAGCACTCCCCCCCCCCCCCCCCCCCAAACCACTGTTTTTTAGGGGGAAGTATTGGAATATCTTGTTGCTAGATTAGAAACAAGTTATCATGATCTTTTGTTAAACTGCTATTTGATTCTTTATTTCTTTTCGACATTTGCTTGTGCTGTTATACTGAAACTATTTCAAACCATGGATTTATACTAATAAATCCATGGTTTGAAATATAAATCCATGGTTTGAAATAGTTCCCTTTTTTAAATTGGCATGGATATAGTTATGGTAGCTTACTAGTTGGTACAATTTGAAGTTTTCCACATCTGAATCAGTTTACAACAGTCTCAACCAGAAATCAGTGGAAGTGAATATCACACTAAAATTCCCTACATGCACGGCTATTCAGTAGACCTCCATGCTAAATATTCATACAACTAAAGTTGCATGCGAAATTGGTGAACTAATGGAAATAATAATGGCTACTATAACCCATCATGACCATCAGTTCCCTTAATTCTAGAGTTTCAGAAGATTCTCAATTTTCTTTAACACACTGATTTATGGAGTTAGATTTCTTTCATCTGATTGAATTTAGATTTGGAAGACTAAGTTCTTTCCAACTTCTGCCTTGGGCTTGATGTGTTTTTCAGAAAGCATGGAGTAAAAAATTTGTGTTAAAGGATTTATAAGATAAAGGAAATCAACTCTTAACTTGATACTAATTTACAATTCCTTGTGAATTTGCTTACTGTGCTTGGGTGTTGCAACTATAAAAGTCATCTCCATGGATTTCTAAAATGGAAGTATATAGCAATTTTGATAGAGGTTGAAGGAGGTGGGAGGATTTTAATATCTCTTGAGAAGTGCTTGCTTCATAGTTCATGGTTTTGGTGGTCAAGTTCTTTGGACATCCAAAAATAGGAGAACTCCTAATTCGTTAAGGGCATAGCAATGAGTGGAAACATTAAACATGAGTTCAGAGGAAGTATCCAATGATGTGTAATAAGATTGTAATTTCATGGAAAGAGAAGTGCTTTTCTTTTTTTTTTTTTTTTTTTTTTTTGCTTTTCTTTTTTTTTTTTTTTTTTTTTTTGAGCCTATTTTGCTGGGAGAGTTGGGTAGCAAACTTCTTCTGGGGGTTATCCAAAATTTCTATGTTCGTTTTTTAGACTTATCTCATAGATTTTATGGCCACTTTTTTTTTTTTTTTTTTTTTTTTGCCTATTTTGCTGGAGAGTTGGTGCAAACTTCTTCTTGTTATCAAAATTTCTATGTTTCGTTTTTTAGACTTATCTAAGATTTTATGGCACTTCAAATTGAATTGATTACAGTTTTGTGGTTGTGTACATTTTAATACTTCATCAGGTATGCTATCACTGAGTATCGTACACCGGACCGGATAAACAGAAAAATAGAATCTTACTTTTATCAGTGACACACTAAGTGGATTCAACATGTTGTATCAGATAATTCCAATGGTGATTTTGGGCCTAACACAAAATTATGCATTCTCTCTGTGAAATAGATGTAGGATGAATAAGATCACATGGAGTATGCTCAATAGGTTCATAACCAAGTTTATTAATTAATACTTCTATTTTCTGTGCTATATTGCATGCTGAAAACTATTCAACATCTTCAGCATTCAGAATATTGATTGCTTCTAAGTGCGGGCTCTCTTGTCATGATGTTGTGACAAATCAAATTACATCTCTTCCTCTCTTGATATGAAGAAAAGACATAATTTACTTCAACCACATCTGCATTGACACCAATCCACTTTCTTGCCATAAGCTTCGTGATAAGAAAATGCCATAATTTGATAATGATAATAATGATCTTCATACTGATTTACTGAAAGGGGCCCTCTTGAGATTTTTTTTATTTGACCTAGCTGCGAGCTATAAAGTGCATATGCAAACGTTTACATGCCAAGTGCACTGTTCACAGTTTGCTCATTAAGGACTAATTGTTATTGATAGTGATTTTCTCTAGTTAGATAATTGTTTTCTGGATACTTCATAAAATTATGAGTTTGTTTGTTTGTATGTAGGATGTTAAATGAATGGATGTTCTGAGAGAGAGCCATTCTCTGTGGTCCATAGGGATTGTGAAATGTCAATGCAGTCACACTTGATTCATAGGAATAATAAATTTCCTTTTATCTGCAGACTGATTTTATCAATAATCTTAGTTATATACCTTTTGGTCCTTTTTTGCCATTGTACGTATTTAATAATTAGGCATTTAATAATTAGGCTCATTTTGGGTCGTAAGCATTCCCTTTTGACTTTCAAATTTAAGGGTTAGGCTCAGGTTGAATGATGCTTTATTCAGTCTGTCTTGCCTGGATGGCAATATCTGACTATTTTGCAATATTCTTGTATCACTGAATTTCATTTCTGCTTGATAATAACAATAGAAAATCTCTACCCTGAGTTGTACCCCATAGATATGTTTTAGGTTATTCTATGAACATTGTGTATTATTTTGTGATTTTGAAGATTGAATTATGGATTGGATAAGACAAATGCAAAATTATGATTTAACATCTTACTATTACTGATTTAGATTAAATTAGATCATGTAAACTACAAAAAGTCAAATTTTACTCCTATAATTCTATGATCCATGGTGCTGCGATTAAGATTGATGGATGGAGATGCCTCAACTCCTTTACAAGCACATTTGGTGATGGACAGTTAGAGTAAATTAATTTCCATATTCTACAATCCATATGTGTTATGATTAAAATGATGTATGGATAATACCTCTGCTACATCATCCTCTGCCATTCATTAGATGTGACTAATGTGAGGACTGATGGGGAGTGCCTAGAACTGCTTGGCAAAGTGACAGAGAAGGTAATTGAAAGAATTGGGTGTCTTCATGGTCTCATAGCCTAGAACTGCTTGGCAAAGTGACAGAGAAGGTAATTGAAAGAATTGGGTGTCTTCATGGTCTCATAGCCTAGAACTGCTTGGCAAAGTGACAGAGAAGGTAATTGAAAGAATTGGGTGTCTTCATGGTCTCATAGCCTAGAACTGCTTGGCAAAGTGACAGAGAAGGTAATTGAAAGAATTGGGTGTCTTCATGGTCTCATAGCCTAGAACTGCTTGGCAAAGTGACAGAGAAGGTAATTGAAAGAATTGGGTGTCTTCATGGTCTCATAGCCTAGAACTGCTTGGCAAAGTGACAGAGAAGGTAATTGAAAGAATTGGGTGTCTTCATGGTCTCATAGCCTAGAACTGCTTGGCAAAGTGACAGAGAAGGTAATTGAAAGAATTGGGTGTCTTCATGGTCTCATAGCCTAGAACTGCTTGGCAAAGTGACAGAGAAGGTAATTGAAAGAATTGGGTGTCTTCATGGTCTCATAGCCTAGAACATGTATTTGTTTTATTTATTTATTTGAGAAATAGCAACCTAGGCCATTCAAGCCTCTAAAAAATAGAGTCTGGAGCAAGTTAAGATACTCAACAAGGGTTATATTCAAGGGACTTAAAAGTAAAAGGCTTTACTGGGTATACTGCTTATTTTTTTGTGAACTGCAATACTGTGTCAAGATTATTTGCTCAAATTTTAAATCCAGATGTGTTTGTACTAGTCAATAACAGAGTAAAGATCGCAAGTATGGCAAACAATGACGGGTCTTCCTAGAAGAGCAGGTCCAGTTTTGATGTTATTGAATTCCTTCCCGGTTAGTTATTGGTGTTTCTAAGTTGTTAAAACTCCTGTCATCTAGGATGCAGCCAGTACATTGAAGTTTAACTGTGTCCTAGTATGATTTGGATGCCGAAAATGAAGTGAATGCTTTTTTTTCACTTGATTTAAAACTCAGCTTATGCTGGATATAGTATTTCCTCTAGGCTTTTGATTGGTGGTCTTCACCTTTCTAATTCTTTCATGGTTTTGTGAACATTACCCCGATGATGATAGGTGGCAATGTTGCAGAAGCAAGAAATCTGGAATTCGACTCAAATGTTGAAGTTGAAACCTAACCATAAGCAGAAAACTTGGTGTAAGAGAAAAAATAGTTATCAATTAGTTTCAATATTATCATTTTGAAGTGAGAAATATGAATAGGCAAGAGATGGTAGGCCCATTCCAGTCAAAGAAATGAAATTTCGTAAATAGTGGAAATAGATTAGCATGAGAGCCAAATGAATTGCTAGATCATGTTGAGATCCACGTTAATGATCACATGGAAACTTGGTCCTCCATGTAATTCTGTCTTCTCTTGACATCAAAAATTAATGTGGGTTCCATATGTCATTGTGTTAAAGTTTCACCACCACTCAGATTTGTTTGTTTTTATTCTACAATTTGAACTATGCTGTGTTAATATACGTCTCTTGCATTACCATCTCATAAATTTTGTCATGTTTATCCATGTTCACATCATGGCAGGTACAATAGAAATGAAAATGACCTGCACATACTTTCAGGTGCCAACAAGAAGACCCTTGCCTTTATTCTATTTAGACTATGACCTGATCTTAGGTATTTGTATACTTAAAGATTAAAGTTTTCATTGTTCGTCCCTGTAAAGTTCCAGGTCCACTTTTCGACGCTTTGCTTTCCAATTGATTGTAGTTTTATGTTCATTGATGCCTAGATGTAAAAGGATTTATAAGACCATTAGCTCACTTGTTGCTTTAATTTACATCTGTTACATATAAATAATAAACAACTAACTCTTAGTCACAAATTAATAAGTGTGGCTATATGAATCTTTGCTACCTTGCATCTTGATATAACTGGTAAAATTCTTCTCAGTTGTTGAAAAAAATAAAATTAACAGAGCATTGGTGGCTATTGTCAATTACATACAGTCTACGCTCTGATATGAACTTTATACATGTGGTTGATGTTGTATATGGTTTCTGTGGGAAATTCCACAAATTATGCCGCTAACATCATTATGTGATGCCACGGAATGACAGAAGAAACTTAGGATATGGAACTTTCTTTTTCCTATGGGATGGAATTGTACTTGCCATCCTCTTGGGTCTAATATTTATTTTAATGAACTATATCTGATGATTTTGTTTTACTTCATTTTGAGAACTTGCTAAGTAAAAATAAACGCATTAGAATGTATACATTTTTGTTTTCATGCATATTGTAGAATCTCTAAATGATCAATGATCTTATCTTTTCCTCATTTTCTGGGCGGAGCATGGATATCCTTCAGGTATGATCTTATTTTAATTTTGGGTACTCTCAATATTCAGCAAATTTTTTTTTTTTTGTTCGTTTGCTAAAATTTTCACACCACAATAGAAAGACCCTGTTCTCACTTGGTCGAATTTTAGAAGAGATGCAGATTAACCCGACACTTAACTTGTATGCCATGACATCATAATGTTCAAATAATTTTGAGTAACATTCAAATTAGGATAATATTTGTATGATCATGAGAAAGGTGAAATACATAAAAAGTTTCTCCTACAGTTTCTTCTACATAAAACGTTACATGCAACATTTAATTTAGCTTAGAATGAATGTTCCATAGTAGAGTCTTTTGGTTCAACTATAGTTTATCTGGCATGGTTTCCAAGACATTCTTTTATATATGCTACATTATAGACAAACACATAGTACCCACTTTCTAATTTTATGGTTTCACTTCTTTTAAGAACATATATTTTGATTAATAAATCACATTCCACAGTGCAATTTCCCATAATGTTTGGGATCTTCAATGTAGATCGTTCTCACTAGAATGGTTTAATCACATGGAAACTGAACTTTGAATCTTATTAAAATGTAGCAAGTAAATATGTTAGTTTTATCACTGAAGCCTGCATAAAATGCAAACTTCCATAGAGAACCAAATCTATTCTTGGTAACAGATATTTTGGATTAGCATGGGAGTGTTTGTGGAGATGTCAGTTGAGAAATTCTCTGCCAACAAATTCATTATCTTCACCCAAACCTTTTGTAAGTCCACCTGCTCCAATAAGAAACAACCCACATGCCAACTTTGTCCACAGACATAATCTGTGTGCGACTGCAGGAAGGATTTTGTCCATCTTAGCTTTTGTCAGGTTGAAACTCTTCGTTGGAATTCCCATTGTAGGTGACCTATTGAGATCTATCTATTGTATCACTCAAGGTAGGGGACCCCTTCTTGCTATAGAATATAGTAATATATTAAGAACCATCCATTTTTCTCCTTTCAAATAGTAGTACCCTTGCTGTTTTTATACACTCTTTGATCAAATTGAATGCAAGATACAAAAATGTCCTGCATATGACACCCCTAAGGTTCTTCCAAACGAGATCCAAGGATCCCCAGAAATAGAGAATATCCAAACCCTAACAAACAAACTGAACCCTCCTCCTGGATGCTAGCTACTTATTGGAAATTTGAATATGAACAAAAGGGACATGCTTCTTGTGTTTGAATGATTGATTTGGACAATTATATGGTCTACACCATAAGAAAGGAGGACAATATTATCTGGTTATATAGTGCAATCCACTGACAATGCATGCTTGGGGTCCACACTCTATCTAATTAGCTATGAAAGACATCATGGTAGTGTTTAAGTGATTGATTATTTGTTTTACTTATAGTAAAAGAAATTAGAGTTTGAATTCTTCCCCTTTAAGAATTTATTTATGCCCATAACAGAATATTAGTGTACATAAATATATATATGGACCACATTATCACATTATTTGATTTCAAATAAGGAAATTGATGTGTGGTCCTTTGTAAAATAGGGGAAATCATCTACATGATAGTGCTAAAAACAGAATTCTTTTGGGCAGCTAGTTTTTTTTTATGATTAAGAATGTCTTATAGAATTGCTTGAATAGTGACAATCTTAGGTATGTAAATGAGTGAGACCCACCCAATTCCTACTATATGTCTAATCTAGTGATATTAGGGAATTTAACATTAATGAATGCATATATGCATACATCAAATCACTCACACATGTATTATCCATGGATTTAGTTAGGTTAGCCATTAGTTTTGTGCTGAGATAAGTGGAAATGAGATAGATATGAAAAGAAAAGAATCATTTTGAGAGAGAAAGGGAGTGGGTGAAGGTGCAAAATTTACCAATTTGCATTATTGATAATAATAATAATAATACAGAAAAATAAGGCAAGGAAGGAAGGAAGGTAGCCATCCCACTAGTAAAAAAGAAGTGAGAATGAGATTGAGAAACCCTAGAAAAAAAGTAGTATTGCCGCGTGAGGGGAAACATGAAGCGGGGCCCTCTTATACAATGTGGGGCTCTATCAAATGTCATGCATGGTTGTCATGTCATATCATTCCTATGCATGGGAATTGCTATTGCTATTGCTACCCACTCTCTTTCAATACTCACCGTTTTATTTGCTCACCACTAACTGTAACTAGCAATGGCGAAGCTAGAGTTTAAATTTAAGGGGCAAATACTTAAACATGTAAATTAGGCCATGAATGTGTGTTACAATTTACTGAAATGCCAGGTTTAATCCATGTTATGTTAAGTTATTTTTTTAATTTTTTTTTTTTAAGAGAAGCGGCAATTGTCCACCTTCTCATTAACGTGGCTTCGCTCATGGCAACTAGCATTCTTCACATATACGAGAATAAATTTTCTGTGATTGATTGAAAATATAATTCTATGAGCAAATTGATAAAATAAGAAAATTTTGTTTTACTTGTAAATACAATTTATTCATTATGCTTGAGATAACTAAATATTGCTTTTTTTTTAATATGAATTGTCAACATAGATAAAACTAATATCCAATATTAATACAATGGAATAGTCGGTCAAAGGCAGTCAACATTAATACAAGGAAAAAAAGGCAATCCACTGTACTTTTTTATATTTCTAAAATAATAATAATAATATCCTTTGCTTTCTATTCCTGTACTCAATGATAGTACGCAATAATTGAACCGTTAAATTCTAGAAAAAAAAAAAGAAATTAGGCGGGAAATAATAAATCATGTAAAAGAGAAAGCATTTGACAGTGACGTACCACGACATCGAGAGCCCCAGTTATCGAGGGAACTCCACCCACACAGAACCTTGACGGCGACTTGATTGGCATGCCCGTGACCTGCCCGCCAAAGTTTATGATAGGCTCATGTCGTTTTCCGCTGCCCGGCCGAATCAGATAAAGTCGGGCAGAGACTAGACCGTCCTGTTTCGGTCTTCGGACAAGTCTCGCGTTCCGGACGGCACGCGCGGTCAGGTACACATCTCTCCTCTCTGTTAAACTATATATGGTAGTTTTTTATTTTCTAAAATAAACAGGGAATAATTTTTTTCAAGAAAAACAGAAAATGATCAAGAAATAGGTAAGCGAAAGTGCTAAAATCCGGGGAAAATGTCGCCAGAAATATCATGATCTGGCTAAACAAAACATGGGTTTTCTTTTGCACTTCATTTTATCTGTCCTGTTCTGTTTTTCTGGTTGCTTCTGGTTTATTCCATGTGACATATGGGGCTCTCTCCTATTTTACACTTTAGTTCCCCAAGTACAGTGTCTTTGGAAAAGGTACACCCCAAGTATAGAGACATTACCTGAAACCCACTTCAAAAAGCATCTTATTTCTGCTATTAATTAATTTGAATCTTATCATCTAATGTTTAGTTATTAAAATTTAATTTGTTATTAGTGTGCTACTATTCAAGAAGTCAATATAATTGATCGGTCATGGAAAGATTCAAGTCTATCAGTCTTTTAGGATGCCTCACTAGCATAACGCACTGTTAAAATAGTGAATTGTTACTTTAGCAACCAACCCTAGCTATGAAGGGTAGGTTTGTTTCAAGTCAAAAGACCCAAGTACTTCATAAAAATTACTTTAAAGAAATCTATTTGTCTAGTTAATTCTAGCTAAATTGGTGCTTACCTAGCTAGGCACACCACATATTTGCTTCTCTCTTTGATTCTAAGATACTCATCCAACAACCAACCAACCAACTTTCTTGAATTAATTAAATTAATTCACACCAAAATAAGAGTTTCAAAAATAAATTATTTAACTTTGCATGTACTATCATTGAAGTATGTTCATGGACATCTTCATAACATCTGATTGTTTGAAGGGACAGTTTCTTTTCCTAGCTCTTCATGAAGATGAAAGAGAGAGAAAGAAAAAGAGAATTTGATTGGGTTTGAACATGACCGTTACTATGTTTTTAACAATAGAAAAATGACAGTACAGGATTGTAGTAATTAATTTAAACCCATGTAGGCCAGCAACTGTTAATTACTAATTAATTAGTTAATTGAGGCACTCATTGAGTCAATGACAGGTTTGAGGTAATGTGGACTTTACAATATAATTATATTTAATAATGGTTGGATAATTATAGAATATAAGTAATTATAAAACATTGGTCACTATATTATCTTGTAATGCAAGTGATAAAGTCACTAATTTCTATATATCCAATGGTGATTGACAAATGGTTCCACAAATATCAAACATGTAGACCCCTTCTTTCCCTCTCTCCCAACATCATATCATATCTCCTTCCATTTCTCTATCTTCTCTTATTATTCTTCGTCTGTCTTTACTTCCCATTTCACACAATGTGTATATATTTATCTGGTTCACACTGTCATTATGTATGTTTATCTGTGTGGCTGAACACATTCTTTGTCAATTCATGCTCCGAAACACCAACTTTTGGAGAAGCAAACAGATTTGGGAGATTATCAAATCGATTTGCTATTTGTCTTATGTGTCTGTTATTTGGTAAAATAGTGTTAAAACTTAGATGCTAAACTAATTAAGCATTTTGTGTATACACAGTTCAGAATTCAAAGTCTTTAACAAGGTCTCCTACCTAATTACTTTTGTACCTTTTATGAAGCTTCCTTATGAAATTCCATACACTGTGCGAACCCGTTAAGTCAATAAAGTAGTCAAATCCATACTCGTTTCTGTAAGAGTAAAGGTTTTTTGACCTCCAGCAAAATGCATTTTTTAGAGTTTGAATTTGTGTTTTTACTTTTATGAAAATTGAGGTCGTTTAATTCCCAACAAACCGTTGTTGATAGAAAATTTTTTTTGTTAGGTAGAAAAGAGCAGTAGATATTAGTATGATGATATGGGCACCACCTACCCATAAAGAGTTTGAGCACAAAATAAATATGTTTCCAATTTTTGGTCAATAATATTGTTAATTAAGGTTTAAAATATGGGTCTTAACCATGTGTAATTGATAGTGATTAGGGAATGTTCAAGCTATAGGTTGAATTGAATCCACACACCATATATATGAATAATGATTCATGTGTGAATGATTAGGGTTTGGATTTAAAATAACTCAATGTGAAGCACACGATGGTTATGATATCCTGATTCCTGCAAGTGTATGTGGGGAAGGCTAAATTGAAGCCATAAGTCTCGGGCAGTAGCTTTATAGTTGGGGGTGGAGCCATCGGCTTTACACGTATTTCCATGTGATTTCTCCTCTCCTAATGATGCTTCTTCAAAACAGCATCTTCTGCAACAAAAACACCAAGCTCCCAACAAATATTATTCTTTCAGAAAACTTGATTACTATAATCATTATAAATTCTCTGCTCTTTAATATATCTATATAAACATTAGTGCCAATCAAATTGTATTTTAGACATAATGAGACATCACTAGGAGGCCCCATTTTCTTACATTCACTAATCTAATTACAACATATAGTTTCACCAATGTTGGTCCTCCTGCCTTAATAATCCACAACAAGGAAAATGAAAAATTGATGCTTCTGAAATAATTGATTTAAAATGCTTAGATGGGAAGATATGAAATTCATCATGAACTTTAAGTAATATAGTTCTAATACATAAAGGGGAAGAAGATGATTCAGAAGTTGTGTTTCCATTTCCTGTTTTGTGGTTGCTATTAGACTCAGATGAAGAATTTAATTATAATTTCTTGAGACTGTAGTTTGAATATTAGGGTAATAATGGGGTCTTGTCAAATTTGATTTTTCATGAGAGAGAGTATATATAGGGATCAGAAGGGCATATTGGGAAATAGAGAAAAGACCATTTACTTCCTCTAAAATCCAAATGCAGCAAAATTCCAAATTAAAGAGCACTTTGTTGTTTTGTGATTATAATAATAAGTGGCTGCTTTCACACTGTATGTCTATATTAAAGCTTCAAATCATCTATCTCTATTCCTTTACACCCACAAACAACAAAGCCTTTCAATTGAACTTTCAAAGGCAAGCCGATATATGTCTTTCACCTCTCTCTCTCTCTCACTCTCTCTCTTTCACATTGATCATTGCATACTATAATACACAACAAAACCTACTTTCTTTCTTTTAGCTTTTCCACTAACTCAAAAAGACTCACCTTGCTTTGCTTTTCTTGTTTTGGATTGTTGTAGATCTTCAAAGAAGAAAAAATGATTCAAGAACTCCTAGGAAGTGCTGGCCTTATCGGAGGAGAGAGGAAAATTTCGATCCGTGGTACCATTTTAGAAGGAACACCTTCTCCTTCTCCTTCATTATCTCCTTCTTCTTCAACTACTACAACATCAACAACTTCCGCTGCTGCTCCTACTACTGCAACTGCTGCTAATAATTCAACTTCAGAAAACCTGAGATGCCCTCGATGTGATTCTTCAAACACTAAATTCTGCTATTACAACAACTATAACCTTACTCAGCCTCGCCACTTTTGCAAGACTTGTCGCCGGTATTGGACTAAAGGTGGCGCTCTTCGGAATGTTCCAATTGGAGGCGGATGTAGAAAAAACAAGAACACAACTGTATCCGCATCAGTTGGAAAGTCAAGCGCTAGTAAGATGAAAACTATGGTATCTGATATTGGAAGATCAAGTTTTGGAAATGGATTTGATCATCACGAACTTTCTTCAAGTCCAATTATGTGGGCTTCACCTCAAAATTCTCATCTTTTAACCTTATTGAGAGCTACCCATAATCCTAACCCTAGTTCCAATACACTATCGAATTCTCTTCCTGTGAAGGAGGAGGGTGTGATGGGAACCCACTTGCTAACTGAGCAAACAACCGCACTAAATCCTCGTACTCTTGGCTTGGACCCGCTTACCCAAGTCCCTTCTTTAGGTCTTTGCACCCCTTTTTGGAAAAACAGCCAAAACCAAGCTCAACAGCATCAACAGACAGCAGTTGGTGAAGCTCAAAATTCAGGAATACAAGAACTTTATCAGAGACTCAGATCATCAACCAATTATTATACTGATAATAACTCCCATGTAATTCTAAGCAATGTGGGTTCTTCTTCAACCTCAACATCTTCAACCATTTTGGAGTCTTCTCCTGTTGCTGGTGGTGAATTGGGTTATTGGAATCCAACATTTTCATGGTCTGATCTTCCAACAACCAACGGTGCATATCCTTGAGAACCCTTCTTCTCTACTTCATTTTTAATTTCTACTATTTTTTTTTATTTTCATTTTGTTTTCTTTAGTTCAGAGATTTCCTTCATTTTTCTAGGGTTGTTTGTTTGGATTGTGGTATATGGATATGGTAGCAGATTAGTCATCAGTTTCTTTTTGATGTTTATTAATTATGTATGTGTGTTTTGAGGTGTGTTTAACATTGTACCAAGAAGTGGTAGAAATGGAAAATATATATTAGCTTCTTGTAAGTTCCTCCTGAGCGATGAAAAATCTCTTCTAATCATATAATAATCTATTATAATACTTAAACCTTAGAACTTAGATTTGTGGGTATTTCTTGTATTCTATGAGAGTAAAATACATACTAAAAAATTCTCACATGACATGATTAAATATTTATCATCTTGGTTAACTCGAAAAAAAGAGTTTGGTGTTCCTTTTCATATATAGTGAGAGGAAGTGGTGGTGGAATGAGCTGTTGGGTGGAATATATATGAAGATTCGTTCATATTTATTTATTTATTTTTGTTACGAGAAAGTGATGAAAGAAAAGAGTAGTAAAAAGCAGCCTTTGGAAAGAGTCTCCTCAAACAGCAATTTGATTCTCGCAGTTGGGAAAAGGAATTCCATCTGCAGCTTTGTTGTCTGTCTGACGTTCTCTGCTTCTGATAAAGGATTTGCTTTCATTCCATTTTAATCAATAACATACCCATTTCTCTCTCTCCCTTCCCACATGAATGTCTGTCGTAGATAGCTTTAATTTGGAGTTTTAAGCATGTCACGCTTCTTCCAAATGATATTAATTAGGGTTTCTTAGCAAATCAAAATGGGTTTGATAAAGAAATATAATTTCATACAAAATGTTTTTTATGGATTAATAACCTTTATGGCTCTCAACACTTGAAGGTAGGTTTAAGGGTTGGGTTAGACACTACATTGGGAATTCATATTGATGCTTAATTAAATTTCTTCTTGGTTATTTTAGTTTTTGAATCGAATTCGAGTTTAATTTGAATTCTACAATTTTTTGAAATTTGATTAACTTATTAAATTTTCAATTGAATGAACTTAAATTTGTTCAGAGTTTTAACTGAATAGTCAAATGTAATTAATTTTTATTATAATATATAATTTTTTACCTCAATGTCCACATTCTAATTTCTTTTACTTTTTTTTTTTTTAAAATGCAAAGCCTTTCCTTTATTATTTATTTCATGTTAATTGATTTTATGAAATATTAAGTAAAAGGAAATACTTTCAATAAAATGATTAACAAAGTTATAACATATTTTTTACAACTTTATCTAAAAAATTGACCTAAAAATACAAAAATTCAGCCTAAAAACAGGGAAAATATACATTATCTAGCTAGAGCATAACATAATCAAGAGATATTTATTATTTTTTTTTTAATGAACACCTTATACATAATTTTTATTTGATTTGAAAAAAGAAAACAAGTTTATCCGGTGGAGCTTGTCCTGAGTAAGAGATTTACCATGGGAAATGAAGAAGGAAGTGCCAAAAAAAAAAAAAAAAAAAAGAAGGAAGTGCCAAAAAAAAAAAAAAAAAAAAAAAAAAATCAGTTCTATTTTTAAAAATTTTTTGATGTGATAAGAGGATACAGTATAAAACATTACTCTTTCAACGTATAAGTTTTGCCAATAACATGTTGGTTGCTTAAGCGTTTTTAAATTTGATTTTCTAAAAATGTACTTACTGAGGGAGCGAAAAAATTTTTACGTAATACGGATTGAAAAAGAATTTATCCATAGTAAACTAATATCATGTTTTGTTTTTATTGATTAGGCTATGATTAAAATTCTAAAATTCTTATTACATATCTCATAATCTAGTAGATAATTAAATAAGATTTTTCTTCATATTGCACATTTTTTGCTTAACTATTATATTTACCGTAAATATGAATTGATATTTGCATCTCTCACATTTACCGACAATGTCGTCACAATATAGAAAGAGAAAAAAATTTAGAAAAACATCATAGATAAATCAAATATTAATCTTAGGGAAAATGTTTATTACAAAGTAACGTAACAGGATTCAATGTTGCACCATCTTCAACTCTTTAGGAAGAAACCTCGCACAAACAACAATGGAAAATTTCTCCTCTTCTTTCTTTTTCTTTTCACTCTTTTCCAACCCTAATTCCCCGATTAATTTTCCTCTTTTAACAGTAACAGTTACACCCTCGTAACTGGTTCAAGAAATCTCAAAAAAAAAAAAAAAAAAAAAAAAAAAAGAAAAAAAAAGGGGAAAAAAATAAATCAAAGATTAACCCTAGAGTTACACAAAATAAAACAAACTATTAATCTATTATCTATGGCCGTAGCCTAAGCACAGAACAATGCATTTCAGGGATGTCGTTTCAGTGTAAAGGCTGTGTTCATCATTCCAAAAACCCTTAAATATATAGTTGTTCCCCGTAGATATCTCCTTGACCGAGATTGCAGAGCCTCAAATTCCCAACAAAAAAAAAAAAAAAAAAAAAAAGGGAAAAAAAATAAATCAAAGATTAACCCTAGAAGTTACACAGAAATAAAACAAATATAATCTATTTCTATGGCCGTTTAGCCAAGCCACAGAACAATGCATTTTCAGGGATGTCAGTTTCAGTGTAAAGGCTGTGTTCATCATTCCAAACCCTAATATATAGTTGTTCCCCTAGATATCTCCTTGACCAGATTGCAGACCTCAAATTCCACATACCCTTGTTGTCCAATGACACAAGCACAGCACTCCAAGAATTGGGATACACCTATCATAAAAATAATTTTATAGCTTAAGTTAGTCTTCTTTTGTTTTAGCATTAAGGAAATAATATATTGGCTAGTTTTCATTCTTAGTTCAGAGCAAATGTCTTCGAATTACCTGAACAGTGTGTCTAGGAACGCCATCATTCAAATTATAAAGCTTCTTTCTCTTCCTCACATCAGGGGTCCATACACCAGAGCCATATCTGCAATTTTTAGAGAGAAAAATAATGAAAATGTTAATATTATTATTTGTTAAGCCAGAAAAAGAAGAGCTTGATAAAAGAATTAACAAAAGAAATTATCTATCAATCCCTGATAATCAAAAACTTTATCTTTGGCATAAGATTAGAGGTTCAAGTCCTAATAGTTTCCTTCTTTCTAAGAATTTACAATACATAATAAGAAAAAGAAAGGTAATATCCAATTAAAAATGAAATTAAGGATCACCTACCCAACAACATAGAAACTATATCCATCAAGATGCCAAGATTGGGTGGTTGTTTCTGTGTTCTGGAACACAATTTCAACAAAGTCATGAAGTGTTGTTCCAATAACAGGATTTCCGAGGACAGCTGAAGCATTAGTAGGTGCATCCTTGATTGAATTCAAGGTAAAGACACCAGGAATGTTAAACCAGTCAGCAAGCTTCAATGGGGTTTTTGGATCCACATAGGATATGCTGTTAACAGCATATCTTAGCTTGCCTCCAATCTTTGCTTCTGTATTAGCTAAAATAATTGTCCTCAATACTTTTATGGTTCCATAATGGAATGACCCTTGAGGGTTAGGCCTAGCTGCATTTGCAGTCAAATTCAACCTGCACCGAAATTTAGTAAAATCAGTATTAGTTCAAAATACATCTATAATTAAGAAAATTAATAATATGGTAGGGTTAGATGAGTACCTGATGGTCCTGGCTTGTTTCATAGACCAATGGATGTGATAAGTTGGGCCAATAGGCAATGGGAGAGAGGGTGGAGTTGTGGAGCCGGCGTACCGGAGAATTCCGGTAGTGGTGAGAATGGGCTTTGTGAAACGGGTAGAGGCAACAATATAGTAGTCTCTGGGCGAGCCATTTAATGTAACCAAAACAGCCACAGACTGACCAGGATGAACATCAAGTGACTCATACGCCTCTTGCAGAGTATGAGCTCCTTCAACTTCAACAAGGGTCATTGTGTGGCCTTGGATTCTGAAGTTGATTGAAGTTGCAATTCCCACATTTGAAACCCTAAACTTGTAAGTTTTCCCTAGAAAAATGAGAGAGAATATCAATTCGAATCTCTTAATAATCATAATATCATTTTCAGTTTATATTAATAAAATAAAAGATCAAATAAAAATAAACTAAAAATAAGGATCGTACCTCTATTTTGGAAGAACGGACTAATTTTTCAAAGTATGATAATAAATCTAAAGCTTGATTACATATCTCATAATGCAGAAGGTTATGGATTCAAATCCTAGTAATCTTTTTTTTTTTTTCGCTCTATGAATTTTCATTTTGCCGAAAAAAAAAAACAGTATATATATAAAAAAAAAAACTAGCTAGACATAATAAGAAAAGACTAGGAAAAACTTGATATTGTTAGCTGTTAACTACCTTTTTCACCAGTAAAGGTAGCACCTTTATTGATCCCATTAATAAGAAGAGCATCAGGGAGAGGAAGAGCAATGCCCTGGTCCAATTGCTGTTGCAATACCTGCAAATTAAATGGAATTTCTATCATTAGTACGTAATATATATTAGTTGTTTTCCCTAGGAAATTGGGGATTTTCGGTAACCAACCTTGAAATCAGTCTTGTACCAGTCACTGATAAGCAAGGTAAATTCTTCAACTGGAATTGGGTATGGAATTGCAATGACAGACCTAGATTGAACATTGAAAGCTCCAAATCCACCAGCAGCTCTTTGCAATCCAATTGAAGGGAAGTAGTTAAAAGTTCCAATTTGATCTTTATTTTGGAACTTGTATGTCCAATTTGAGTTCGAAGGAATTGGACAATTTGTTCCTAAAACTCCATCTTGCCATGTAGTCCTTCTTTGTTTAATCCCATTCCTAAAATTTCACACCAAAATGATTAATTTCAAAATCTAGATAATTGGACACACATCTCATTACTCGAGTTTTTGTCGCATAATATAAGAAGTTCGAACAAGAGATCCAATTTTGATATTATCTCTCTCTTTTATAAGAATTTGAAGTATACCAAAAAAAATCATAAGAAACAGCAAATATTTATTGCATTCAACACTAACCATGTAATGAGGAAAGGTTCATCCAATTTGTTAATCACATTAACAATTATATTGTCATTAGTAACAGCATCAATAGTTGGGCCAGGAAATTGTCCGTTAATAAGGATACCCTGCAACAATTATATAAGAAGATAAGGACAGGTCTCAAAAAAAGAAGAAGCATATGATAATGTTTATTCAGGGCTAATAACAATTTGAAAAGTGAAGTCTCACCCTTTGAGGAACACCAAGAGGAGAAATTGTTCCATATGTAACTGTCCATGTAAAATATCTATAGGGATCTTCTGCTTTTACCGAAATACCACTGAGCAAAACCAACAATCCAAAACAAAAATACAGCCTCATAATTGTAATGCCAAATTTCCCCCAATTTTCAAATATCTGCCACATAAAAAAGATAAATATTAGTTAAAATGATCAAACTCCAGAAAAGAAAATTTAGACAATAAACATTGAACTAAATTGAATACATTTTATATGTATATAATCACATAAAATTTATAGATATTAGCGAATCAATGCATGAAACATCGTATATATGTGGGGCCTGGAGAGATTTAATAAACTCAGCATTTCCTTTATTTTTTTATAAAAAGGTTATTTCTATGACTCAAACTCATAACCTCCAGATCATAAGTAAAGTAACTTTACCGTTATATATTAAAAACACCCTTAATTAAAATTCTATATTAACAATAATAATCTTAAATATCCTACGGAAGAAGTTTTATTTATGTAGTCAAACTATTGTAAATACTAATATCATATGTATACATCAGATCAAAGAAGCAAAAGCAAGTGAATTTTTTCAAAACCTTGAGAAGAGAAATTGTACCTAAGGGAATTGCAATGCAATGCAATACCCAGTTGAGAAAATGGTATTGAAAAGAAGAAATAAAGAGAAGAACATGCAAGAGTGGACTTAATCTTTACATGTATATATATATATATATATGAATTTAATAACTAAGCGGGTGCTAGCATATGCATAAACGAAAATCCAAATTCAATTGCGGCGCACTTCATGCTAATTCTTCCACAGCTCACTGCTTTGTGCTTATAAAAATACTATTAGTTGACTAGAATTTCTTGATACATTAAATCTTGTTATATTTCATTTCTTTAAAAGCAAAAACAGATCAGTCGGTGGTGGCGGGAAGGAACAAAGAAACGATCTAAAGAAGCGAAAGCGGCGGAGCCGAGTTCGGATCGACCATTAATGGCACTTCTTAGCTTTCTTTTTAAGTATTAATTAATTTACTATTGTCAAACAAAACGCGTAGAGACTCTTAAACAAGGAGATGTACTGTACAGTTTGGCCTGGATTTGCTCTTTTTTTTATTCTCATTTTTAGGGTTTCGAGAATTCACTTGCAGTTCCTTCTTCTTAACTAACTACTGCGTAGTTTTCTGCACTAGATTTCCTCGTTACTGCTTTATTTCCCGCCAGCGCTTGCCTACTTGCAGCTTTTTTTTTTTTCATTCCCATCGAGTATTAAGCAAACAAAGAGTTAATAAATACTTCTGGCCTAAATGCTATTGTAAACTACCTATCATCTATCAACATTGGAGTTAAAATCTTTTCTTTGAATTTTTAAAAAAGCAAGAACTTAAACGCAGGGGGTTAATTTTTATTGATAATATCTTTTAGAGCAATGGTTGTTAGCTCAAGTTGATCCGGAATTATCGAGGAGTAAATGTCCGGTTTATTCTCGTATAGCCATATAAAATGTCATTTATATCTCCATTCAAAATTGATAAATTTTAGAGAGATTTAAAATTTGTATTTAGTAAGTGGGTTACATTCCCTATGCTAGCGTTAATTATTTCCCTTTCATTTTTTTTTTTTAGTTTTATATATATATGACATATATATTTTTGCATCTCAAAAAAAAAAAAAAAATCCACCGTTTCATTACAATTTGTATATAAAAAATAATTCACTTGAAATTGATTTATTTGAAATTTATACCAGATATCGACAGTAAAACTCTAAACAGATTTGAATATAAATATTTAAACAAATTTATCGATATCCAACTTGATAAACTCTTTAACCTTTAACTCAAATTTATTCAAGGTTTAACTTAATAATAATAGGAATAAAAAGAATATTTCACATGAAGTCATAGTAAATTATTATTATTGTCTCTCCATCTCCAATAGAATTGCAATTATTTGTCGGAGTAGTAAATTTAAAAAAAAAGGTCAACTGAACTCAGATAGAAAGCATTCCAAGAATAGATCTATAGGAAACACAAAAGTATTAGTTGCACATGAAACGATGGCTGGCTGGCTGCTACTTAGACCACTTTAATTCCAACACATGTGAAATCTATTTCTTACTTCTTATCATGTGCTTATGATACATCTTATAGTTCATCAAATCTTTCAGCATTTCTGATATTTCTTCACTATTGGGTTATGCATACAATTCTGTCAATGCCATGATATGAATGTTGTCTCACTCTGGCACTGAGACTAGCAATGGAGTTTAAAATATTTACGCTTTGTGAAATTATAATAAAGAGAAGAATGTTAAAGAAAGAAATATTTCATAATTCGTTTCCTTAAACTTTAAACACTAGTACAAATAATTATGCCACTAAATACTATATTTTGACTATATCAAAACACTAAAAGCTATTTGAAAAACTATTACCGAGTAGCATTAAGCAATGAATATGATGCTATAAAAATAATAGTAAATGTATATTAAGTGAAAAAAATTCAAATTATTACAAAAATATAAAACAATCACAAGGTAATTCCTCAATGTGGATCCATCATTCAAGGAGACGAACCACAACTTGGGCCACCGTTTGAAGCCCAGTAGCCCATGGACTTTTTAGATTTGGAGATGAGCTACTGCTCAGATATGTGAAGAAAATTGTAGACCAGTCTTTGGAAAATTAACATTTTTGATCGACGTGTTGGGCGGAACCACAAACTACTTGATTTCTTTCATATCCTAGTGGATGCAGAACGACATGTTTGTAAACGACAATTATATAGAAGTCCGAAAGTGAAATTGGAGCTACAGGGACCAGCGCTCCGCGAACCACAAGACTTCCATTTGAACATTGGAATTTCTATAAACGACAAGTTACAATGAATTCTTGATGACCCTTTTTACTTACAAAATTAAATATCTCAGTACGTATAAGCACAAAAAAGATCATTTCGATTGTCGTTTTTGGGGAAAACACTGAAGAGGCTACGACGACTGAATTTTTTTTTTTTTTTTTTTAAATTCACAATGAGTATCCTCATTCTCTTTTTGATTATGCAACTAATTTCGTTTTAAAATTCACAGTCGCCCCTTTATCTATTTACCTATGTTTGTCTTTTGTAATCCAAATTGTATGGGAGAAAAGATTTATAGTTATAAACTAAAGTCTAGAACAGAAAAGAAAATTAACACAATCTTACATTCCATATAACCATCCTTAAATCCTAATATTACCTTCAAATACGTAAAAAGATTGCAAACCTTTCGAGGGCAAAAGAAAAATAAACCAATGACCATATACATATTTATGGGAAGCAAAATTTCTAAAACTTTTTTGAGATATACGACAAACATGTCAATCAAATTAATATGCCTCCTCTTTTCTATTCTCTGTTCTGTTTCCTCTTTTGTCAAACTCTCATGACTAGGAACAGATTAATTACTACTATTTGATTAGTTTGTTGAACTAAGAGTGTCGTCCAGCAGCTTTTCCGCAAAGTAGAACATTATTAGGAATATCATATTCATTAGCAAGACTATGTTCTGGAGTCCAGACCCTCAGATAGAGCTGCTGTCCAAGATACTGTCTCTCCCAGATTGCAGACCTCATGTTCCACATACCCTGGTTGTCCAGGGATACCAATATAGCCGTCCACGAGTTTGGATATACCTGCGAGAAAACAAATGCTCATCAAGAAATGAAAAACAGAAAATTTAAGACAATACAATCAACTGAAAATAGGTATTGGCTATTCTTGTTCTGCTTCTAGTGTTATAGCTAATTTGGAGCTCTGGACCAAGACAGTGGAGTTATCTTCAGGTCTGTTAGATAGCGAGTTCAAAACCCAATTGGCAGCTAATTAACTAAACAGAAAGATTTGAGTTCAAAACCCAATTGAAGGTGCTTTTCCTCACAAGGTGAGCTGATGTTGCAGGAAGAACTATGATATAACATGTTGTCCAGGCACACTACCTAAGTTTCGAAATCTACATCTAATTTTAGGCTGTGAATTTTTATTTCTCTCGTTTTTGAAATAATGCCTTGGCTGTTAGTCCTTAAGGAATGCTCTTCACATGTTCTTATGTTCACATTAGGAAAATAACTTCACTAGAATTTTGAACTACTTTACCTGAGCAGTATGTCTAGTCAGAGCATCAACTAGATTGTACATGCGTCTCTTGTTTTGTGTCCACTGGCCATTGCCATAACTGTAATTTTCACAATACGAATGATTAATGCCAAGTTAACTTGCTAAAATTGAAAGAAAATAAACAAAATGTTTTTGACTTACCCAACAACCCAAAAATCGTAACCATCAAGATGCCAAGATTGCATGGCATATTCATTATTTTGGAAAATGACTTCTACGAAATCATGGAGAGAGTTTGGAATAACAGAGGTAGCTATATATGCAGGACCACCAGAAGGAAGCGTTTGGATGGAGTCAACACTGAAGACTCCAGGGATATTGAAGTAGTCAGCAAGCTTCAAAGGGGTATCAGCATTAACGTAGGAGACCCTGTTAACTGCATACCGTTTCTTTCCATTAATTAAAGGTGCTGAATTGGCCAATACAATTGTCTTTGTTGGAATTATCTTTCCATAGTGATATGATCCTTGAGGGTTAGGTCTGGCTGCACTTGCTGTTAAATTCCACCTTCAAGCAAAAGAAGAATGAAATGATAAATAATTAAGTACACAAACATCAAATGATTCATGCCCAATATCTTATGAAGGCTAAGATTCAAAAGTTATTTCCAATAATCTATACCTGTAAGTTCTGGCTTGCCTCATAGACCAGTGATACTGACCTATTGGAGCAGCAGGCAAGGGTCCGGAGGCTGGGGTCTGAGAGTTTTTGTAATGCAACACTGCAGTTGCTGTGAGAACTTGCTTAGTAAAACGTGTAGAAGCAACAATGTAGTAGTCCTTTGGAGGCTGATTTAAGGTTACTAAGACGGCTACAGATTGTCCAACATGCACATCAAGAGAGTCATATATATTCTGAAGAGTGTGAGATCCTTCAACCTCAACTAGCTTCAGTGTATGGCCCTGAATCCTGAAGTTCAATGAAGTTGACAAACCTACATTCGAGATCCTGAACATATAGGTTTTACCTGAAGCACAAAGGAAAAATAATGTTGATATAAGATCTGAAATGTATATAAGGGACAAACATCCTTACATATTGAATATCTTTAAGAAGCCAAGAATGATGATATTTGCTGGGTCACCTTGATCACCGTTGAATGTAGTATGAGTCTGGCCATTTATAAGTACTCCATCTGGAAAGGGAAGAGATTTTCCTGAGTCTAAAGATTCTTGTAATGTCTGCGAAAAAAATGTACAAATTAGTACAGATGTGGGAGACATGAAAGATCAAAAAAGTCAGGGAATCACAGCACAGCAAAATCTTTGTTGGGGAAACACATATTCTCTTCACCTTGTGGTCAGTCGTGTACCAGTCACCAATAAGCAGAGTGAAATCTCCATCTGGGTTCGCAAAAGGGATTGGAATTTTGGGTCTTTCATAGACATTCAGCCCTCCATACCCTCCAGCAGCTCTGTGAAATAGAGTTGATGGGAAGTATGTGAAGGTCCCAATCTGATCCTTGGTTTGAAACTTATAAGTGTAGTTTGAGTTTGGAGGGATGGGACAGTTAGTACCCAGCACTCCATCTTGCCATGAGTTCTTCCTTTGTTTAATTCCATTCCTGGTTGTAAAACAATAGTAGAATGCATTCTTATTATGGAGTTGACCTCACTTAAACACGATCATATAATCAGATATGGAAAATAAATACGAATCCTCCAGCTAGCTAAACTTTTTCTTATATATAATCTTGTCCTTTTTGCTAGCAAAAATCAAAAAGGCAAAAGGAAAAAATTAGCAAGCTTACCAAGAGAGCACTAAAAATGCATATACTAGTCAAAAACTAACCAACAGATAACCAAGTTGGGCATTTTAAGTCGAGGGTTACTTTTAAAACCTAAGAACGTTGGAAATATTAAGCAGCTGAGTTAGGGAACACATTGATTATTTATTGTTTTATTCTTTTTTTTTCTTTTTAAAGAAAGAAAAAAAAATGAACTCTTTGTATCGTTTTTTTTCTCATATTCAACAGAATTCCGAAATAATGGATGTTACAACCACCATTTTTCTAAAAAAGACCAAATTGTTGATCTGGAAGGAAGATTGAAAATGTGATTTGCTATTTCCAAAAAATATATAATTTACACCAGTTTTCCTTCTTCCAAGTTTCAAACGCCTCTCTTTCTGAATCAGGAGGAACAATATGAGAGTCCCATTACATTTCCAAATTCAAAATAAAAGGCAATGCCAAAGCCAAGAATACAAACAGAAAAACTGCAGTAAAAGAAAGAAAAAAAACTCACCACGTCAAGAGGAAAGGCTGGTCAAGCTTGTTGATGAGATTAAGTATGATATTGTCATTAGTGACCACATCAAGTCTAGGACCAGGAAATTGGCCATTGATAAGAATAACCTTTCAACAATCATAAAAGATCAAAACTTTAGAAACTCAAAACAAGAAATCCAACATAAAATCAATCAAAAAACCAAAAACAAGCGCAAAATGCAAAACCAACCTGTTGGGGTTTACCAAGAGGTGAAATAGTCCCATAAGTCACAGTCCAAGTGTAATATCTATATGGGTCATCTGCATTGACTAAAGAAGCTCCCAAAACAACCAAAAGTCCAACGAATATATGCAGAAACAGTGCTTTTCCCATTGGATCTGCAAAAATCCCACTAAACCCAGTAGCTAAGAAAGTCAGTTAAGTGAAGTAGAATAAGGAAACATTAGTATCAAATACTCATAATAGAAACAGAGGAAACAACCAAGAAAGAATATTACCGGACTCGAGGGTCTTTCTATCAGACTTTTTGGGGTCACAATCCAAAGAAGGAATCAGTTGCAGTCTTAAATAGAGAACAGGGCGCGAAAAAGAGCTGCACTGGGTGAGTGTGAAATGTGGGTTGCACTCGCATAGAACAAGAGTATCTTTTTATTCATAAATAAATGAAATATGGGTTTGTTATTGGGCTCATATTCGGCGCAATTCACGCGTTTTCATGTCCATCAATAATTGCTTTAAACAAAAGTTATTTCTTGCAGCTGTAACTGGTTCTTTCTTTCTCTCCTTTTTTTTTTTTTTTTTTTTTTTTTTTTTCAGTAGCCCGACTGCAGCGACTCGAGGGTCTTTCGCTCTAGTTCCGGACCTGTTTTGGGGTCACATCCAAAGAAGGATGCAGTTTTGCAGTCTTAAATAGAAGAACTAGGGCGCGAAAAAGAGCTGGGGTGGGGCGTGAGGGCCCGGAATGTAGGACAATGTGGGTGGCGGTCTCGATCGACCTCGCATAGAACACCAAGAGTAATCTGGGGTCTGTCTAGTGTCGATAAAGTGAAAAAATGTAGACTTATTGTCGTGTTAGTTGTGCTATGTATTTGCGGAACTCATATACAATATTTTCGGTGCGCGCGCAATATTCACGCGTTTTTCATGTCCATCATAATGTGGCTTTAAAACACACATAGTGGTATTTATCTTGGCCAGGGGCCTGGTTTTAAGCCTTTTTCCGGTTTCTCAACTTTTTTAAATAACGTTGTTTTCATCAATCAACCATGGCCTTTACCTCCTTTTTTTTTTTTTTTTATGCAACTATTTTTTTTGTATTTGACCAACCTATGACCATCAAACCACATATATTAGGTTAGTAGTAGTGTCACAGTTTGCCCTTGATTTGTTTAGTTCAATTTTTTTTTAAATAAGCTTTGCACTACATCTTACTTGGCCTCATAATATTCAATTATAAAAAGTGTAATAATCAATCTTAATGAAAATGCTCTAAGTTGGCATCCTACTTATTTTGTTTGTTTCGTACTTGAAAGGAGTTGTCACCACAGTATTTTTTTCCTTAGAGGAATAATGGGGAAAAGGAATTAGTAGGGGCCAATGAGAAAACCTGGGCTCTTGTTCCTGCAATAGATCCTCGTTCCTCAGTTTTTTTTCTTACCTCTTATTGAAAAAGTAGAACATAAGACAATACGAGAATGTCCTATATTTATGTGGTATTAGTTCAAATCTGAATGTTTTAGTTGAGATTACATAATAAGTCTAAAAAGGGAATGCTGCTTTTTTGCCCGTACTTTTGAGCATGAATCTTGTTCCACTATACTTAAACGAGGAATAATATATGTGTTATTGGCCATACCACTACTACGACGGACCTCTAGGTACCACTTGAGGGTTGCTTGCCTTTACCTAAACCCTCTCAACCATCGCAACTGGGTCAGTGGTCTTGTAAAAAAGAAAAGAATAATTTTTGCCTCATTCTTAGGCGGAACATTGAGTCACAAAGGAGTATTTCTGCCGTTCTTTTTTTACAATCCAGAGGGATTCAGAGCGATTCTGTTTTCTAAACGAGTGGGATGTGATTTAGTCCGGCATATATTATCTTGGAATAAGTTTTCTTGAATATTAATGAGCTGTAAGGCTTGATACGACGATTTGTATAATTATTTGAGTGTGGACGCGCTCTTTTATGACAATTTATTGATGCGCGGCGTCTGCACAGAAGATGATTTTTTTAATTATGCGCGAGTTTCTTATTCGAAAAGGAGCCTATTAAAAAATACAATGATGTAATAGGTTAATTTTGCCCTCTCATTTTTATTGTTAGTTGGGATATCTCCTCGTTGGAAAAAGAGGAGAAGATAGTTATAATTTCTTGCTCCATATGAAAAAATGAAAGTGATGGGCGGTTGGGACCACGACGAAGTGGTTTTGATAGTGTGTCCGTTCTCTTAAGTGAAGGTTGTGCAGTCGGGGGGCTTCGAATAATTTAAGAGGAATTCTTGTGATGACCACTCCTACATTAAAAGATAGTAGCGAGAGTGGGGAGGACGCCCATCTAGGTTGGGATAATACAGGGATTGTTTTGTCGCTGTGGATCCTCCTATTATAAGTTTTATGGCGCTTGCCTAATGGCTTTTGAAGCGGATGGGAGATATATTTGAATGATATAGCTAGCCTATCCTTTACTTGTTAGGACACCTTTTTCGCTCGAACGAGCTTTTTGCATGCCTCTCTTTAATAGACGCGTGAGCTTGTACACAGGTGATTATCTCTCCGACCCTCCTTATGCCAGACGTGCTTTTTGAAAGAGTAATTTTGGTCTTTTCTATTTTATTTTTCTTGTTTTTTCTCTTTTTTATCTAAATCTCCTTCTCCTCTTGTAGAACAGAGACACAAAAGTGAGATCAACCTTAAGTCCAAAGAAATTATATGTACTGATTCAATTATTATTAGTGCTTAGGTTAATTTTTTGGATGGTGACAAAAATTAGATGAATAGTGTATTGTTCTTATTTTGGTACTCTTTTTAAATAAAAGCAAATTTGGTGTATAATTCTTCCACCTCCTAAGGGATGTTTTGTAAGAATAATAATATAGGAGGCATTGACTCATTTAGATCATATGAACATACCCTGGACGATACATGTATTTGGTAGTATTGCGTTTAGCGCCTGAGGTAACCATTTGGTGTTGAAGAGAGATTGACGATGGTTGGTCCTGGGGTTTGGTGTATGTTTTTTTTTTTTACACTTTGCCCCTTAGATAATAACTGACTTGTTGATAGGAATCTTTGAACTCTGACAACGTGATTGAAACTGAAAAGCTCATGCATACTCGCAACGCAAAAATGAGAAGTAATGTTATTGAGTATTGACTTATGGGGCCATTTATGATTTGTTTCTTGGAGCTAATGATAATCAATAATTTGTTTTTCTTCTTTAATAAATGTATTTTTAATGCTCTCTTATACATATTTATGTGCAACCGTTGAAGTTTATATGTGAGATTGTTTATCTGTGATTGTGGCAGAACTCCTAAGGCAATGTGAAAATGGCTTATTTAGTTTTCTTAAAATATATTACATTTTTTAATCTTCTCTTTTGCTCTCTCTTTTTTTTTTTTTTTTTTTTTTTTTTTTGACCAACCTAACCACTAATTGAGCTTGATTTTTAGTTCAATTTTTTTTAATAGCTTGACTATTACTTCAAATTTTAAGTTAATCTCTTTAATTATCTACTTATTTGTTGTTCATTTCACGATTTTCAAAATGAAAAAGATTTACCTACTGGCTTTTGCAATAACCTTCTCAGTTCTTATTTAAGAAACAACAAGGATTCTTATTATGTTATTGCAAACTGATATGAGATGAAAAAGTCAAATGCTGTATTTTATTGAGCTTCTTAGCAGATCATGTGATGAACAAACACCCAAAATCCCACTTGGCTTCTGCCACCCTAAACCACTCAAACTGGTCATTATAAAATAACTTGCCAAAGTCAGTCCGTTTTTCCAGGATTCAAGATTCTGCTACTGGGGAATGGAAAGGAAGTTTCTTGAATTATTAATCTGTAAAATCCTGATTATTGAGTGGAGGTTCTTTCAGCCCAGTTTTTATCGGAGTTAACTAAAATACATCGAAAGGTTATCCATTTATTGTTTGAATTCTTGGAAAGAGGAGAAAATTCTGCAAGAAAAATGATGGGAGCCACGTGAAGTGTTGGTTAAGGAAGGTGTCTCGGGCATTTTGACTCTGAAACTACAAGAAGTAGCGAGAGTGGGAACCACAGTTAATTACGGTTGCGCGTGATCCATTAGTTATGCTGCCTAATTTGCGGTGGAATGAATGATAAGCACTTACTTATTTTGCCACGCATATGTCCTACCTACCGACCCACCACTTAATTAGCTTTTCATTCTTTTTCTTACAAATCTTTTCTACGAGGAAATAAAATGTCAAAATATTACTATTATTTATATAATAATCCTAAGTGACATTATTTATTTTTACTTTTAAAAAGCAAATTGTAAATCATGAGAAATATAATTAGGCATGAATTGTCAATGAACAATACTACGATACATGTAATTTATAGGTTGGAAACCATTTAATTTTTAACGAACTAAAGTGATTGAAACTGAAAAGATAAACCACCAAAATGATTATGATTATTATGCATTATGATGTTCGGTAATTAACAATAATTTTTTAATTTTTATCTTTTCATATATGTGCATGTGCTTGAGATTGCTTATTCACTAAGCATAAATACATTTAGTTAATTAATTTTTAACTTTTTTTCTCTCTGCTTTGTTTTTTATTTTTTGGCTTTTTAATATATATATATATATTTTTTACACTTCTTCTCAAATAAAAATTTATAGAAATTGTATTTTTTAACATTAAATAAAAATTGTTAATAAGTACATAGGATTAGTATAATTTAAATATTTGATATTTCCATTATCGACTATTCAATTAAGTAATATATAGGAGTAGCGTGACCTAAATGTTACTAAAAATAATTTTTGTCTCGTTTAAAATTAATAAAATTCATTGGAGTTATTAGAATTATACTCTTTAGGGCTGTTTGTGATGAATTTGATAAGAGGGTTAGGCAATTTCTTTGGATTAATGTGGGAGATCAGCATCATGTTCATCTTGTGAAATGGGAATGTGTTACTAAGCCTGTGGTTCAGGGTGGACTGAGAGATCGCACATGTCGTATGATGAATGATGCCTTTTTGACAAAGCTGGGTTGGAAATTACATTTCGACGATGGTGCTTTGTGGGCTGTGCTTTTACGAAATAAATATATGGCAGGTTTGTCTGGTTTGCATCATATGGTCTCACAGGCTAACTCTTCTAATCTTTGGTGAGGTATCACTCGGTCTGGGGTCACTCTACGGGAAGGTCTGTGTTGGGTGGTTGCTAATGGTAGGACATTTGATCTCTGGTACGATGATTGAGGGGGATTTGGCCCTCTTTCTCAGGTTGCGCATTCTGCTATCCCTGCTCAGCTTGTCTCTTTCTCATTGTCTTGATGGGGTCCCCATGGGTGGAGGTTGGAGTACGTTAGACCCTATATTGCATATCAATGTTGTTTGATGATAGAGGCTGTCCATTTGGATGATGATTTGCAGGCTATGGATAGTTTTGCATGGAAATGGACCTCGAATGGGGTGTTTAAGGTCGGTTCAGCTTATAGATATATGGGTAACTTTGGTATTTCTAATGGTAATTCTATATGGCATGCCTTGTGGAAAGTCAGGGTCCCACAACGTATCAAGGTTTTTATGTAGTTGGTGTCTCATGGCAAAGTGCTCACGAACTGTGAACAAGTTAGAAGGAATTTTACTACTGACTCTAGTTGTGGTTTGTGTGGTTCTGCGGCTCAATCAATTACCCATTTATTTCAGGATTGTATATTTGCTCAGGGGCTTTGGGAAAAGCTTATGACAGGGATCTCTTGGCGGCTTTTTCAGAGCTGGCATGTGGATGGGTGGTTTGTCCGGTTTCCTCAATTGGAGTTTGTATGTCCTGTTGCAGCTTCTCCTCACTAGCTTTTGTCTGTTACATGTTGGTAGACTTGGAAATGGAGAAATGAGGCTGTCTATCGAGGTCAGTATTATTCTTTGGATGCGAAATATTATTCTATTTCTTCCTATTTGGATAATATTTTATTTGCTTGGGATAAAAATGTGTGTTCTCTTCCTTCTTTACCTAAAACCATTAGGCATGTTGGATGGTCTTTTCCGAATTCAAAATGGGTGAAATTAAATGTGGATGGAGCTTCTAAGGGTAACCCGGGTAGAGGAGGTGGGGGTGAAGTTCTGTGTGATAGTGTTGGCAGGTGGTTGAAAGGTTTTATTGTACGGATGGGTACCTGTAATTCTATGTTTGTAGAGATCACTGTGTTGTTTTTTTTGTCTTGGGATGGCATGGGATGCTGGATATAGGAAGGTTGTTGTTAATATGGATTCAATGGCTGTTTTGCAAATGGTGTTGGGACACTCTGTGTTAAATGCTAGGTATTCCTCCTTGATTTTGCATATTAAAGACATGTTTCAAAGATCTTGGCAACTCCAGTTAAGCCGCTGCTTTCGAGAAGCGAACAGTAGCGGATGTCTAGCTAACATGGTAGTTTCTGCTGCAGTGCATTTTCAGTATTTTGATGTCCGATAGTTTCTGCTGCATTGCATTTTCAGTATTTTGATGTCCCCCCTGCTGAGGTTGTTGCTATTCTACGAGATGATATGTAGGGTATTACTCGGCCCAGACTAGTTGGTTCTAGTTAATTTTGTTTCTGGGTGTAAGCCCTCTTTTGTATAAAAAAAAATATGAGCCACTTTTTTTAGATAAATAGAGAAATAATCTAAAAAAATAACAATTATACCATCTTTCATCTTTCATAAGCCACAGTTGCTAGCAAGCCAAGCAGAAACGACATATCGCTTAACAGAACCCTACTAAAGGCAAGAGGGAAAGGGCGGCCGCGAGGGTGTTCTAGCTCCGATGTTCGTATGTGGGCGTGGGTGGTTGTAGACTGCTGAGTGGACTGTGGGCCAAACCGAAACAATTTACGACACGTCATCAAAGCAATCACCATAAAACGGTGTTACTGTTAATAATTTAACAATGTGTGAAATCAAAGAAACTGGATGAGCCTTTGTATCTCGTCTCTTGTGCATGACCAAAACTATGTGTCGTTTTAGCATCTTGCCACGAAGGCTATACGTCTATGACCTCCACGTTTCTTTACGCGTGTAGTGCTAAAAACAGAGTTTCTCCCTTTGGTGCACCAAAGAAACAATTTAACAGACTGGATTGTGACACTTGAAATTTAGATCGTCTTCTATCTTCAGTTCGATTACAGAAAATGTCTGATACTTCAAAATCTCTCTTGTTCTCTTCAGGTAATAATAAAAATGATAACACAAAATCCATTATGCACTCTTTAGCTAGCTTTTTACTCTGTTTCAAGTTTTAACTTCCTTCCCCTGTTTTTATTATTTGTTGTAGATACTGTAAGAGATATATTCCTGTGGCGGAGAAAGAAACTAAGCTTATTGATTCTTTTAGTGGCGACAGGAACCTGGGTTTTGTTCGATATCTATGAATTTAACTTTATTACTGTTGCTTCATGGATAGCCATGGTTATTATCTCTTCATTATTTATCTATGGCAACTTGGTTAGGCTTTTTCGCAAGTAAGCATATCCTTTTTCTCTCAAAATACCACCTTTTAAAAAATATATATATATATATTTAGAAAATTAATTGGTGACTTTGTTTTAGCTTAATTAGTTAATTAATTAATTTCAGAGAAGAACCAAATTTGTCTGGTCTGCAAGTTTCAGAGGGAACAGTGGTGGAGACAGCAAAGTCAGTGAAAGAAATGATTGAAAAAGGAATCAATTGGATGTTCTGTTTGAGTGTAGAGAGAGACGTATTAGTTTTCGTGCGAGTTGTGGCTTTGCTGTGGCTGCTTTCTTACGTGGGGAGCTTCTTTGATTTCTTAACACTTCTCTACATAGGTAACATAGATATGCATGTTTTCCCCTTTTTCTGGAAAAAGCCTAAAGTTAACAAGAGTGTATTTGCTTATATTGACAGGTACAGTGGTGGGGATGAGTGTTCCTCTGATTTATGTGAAGAATGAAGAAAGGATAAAGAAGTGTGGCGAGTGGATAAGGATGCAAGGAAAGAGATTTTATGAAATGGTGGATGAGAAAGTGTTGAACAAGGTGAAGAATAAGGTGGTTAAAGTTAAAGAGAAGGATAAAGACGAGGAAAAGGAGGAGAAGGAGAAGGAGAAGAAGGTTGAATAAATTAAAGTAGTGTCTTGCATTATTAAGAGAAAGGTGTAATGTTGTACATAATGTGTTGAAAGAGTAGCACTACAACATATATGTTATTTATGATCCTTGCTTTTTAAATTTCTCCATCAGTTATTTTAACATCTAACTTCAAGAAATTAAAATAAATATGACTGGACACTTGATATTATATACTTACATGTGGATGATTACTCGTAGGGAGATTAATTTTTTGGTTTCATTCTGATCTCACTGCGTAAGATAAGCTTATTTGAATTTGCAAGTTAAAATTTTATCTTGAATGACAACAGTAAACTGTTTCCGTTTGTTAAAGTTACAGCTACAGCTATTGATGCAAGTGTTGTTGACAATTTTTGGAGGTATTTTGTTAAAGTCATTTAGATTTTGTTGTATTTTGTTGTATTTTGAAATTTGCGAAGTTTAAAATATTTTATCTTGAATGACAACAGTAAAACTGTTTCCGTTTGTTTAAAGTTACAGCTAACAGCCTATTGATGCAAGTGTTTGTTGACAATTTTGGAAGGTATTTTGGGTTAAAGTCATTTAGATCTTTTGTTGTATTTTTGTTGAAATCAGGGTAAGGAGAACTACCTGCCTTTTAGGTAGGTTTTGGTGAACACCTTCCTACTTATGGAAGGTTGGTGACAAACTTAGACTAGATCTGACTAAAAATGGTTCATTATGCTGTAATGGGAATTAATAAGAAATTAATTGTTTTCTTTCCCTCACACTCACAAAATCTCTGCAGCTTTTTCTTTTTCTGCAGAATTTCCTTCTCCTTTCCTTAATTTTCTGGCTCTTCTAAACCAACAAGTGGTATCAGAGCAACCTTGATCTCAAAGGGCTGTGTGTGTCTTTGAGTGAAAGTCATAGAGAAAGCCCACCAAATAAAACCAGAATTTGTTGAGTTTTTCTGTTTACTTTGCTTTTCCCTCCAAATGGCTTCCCAGCAGCATGTCTCTTTCCACCACCATGCATTTTTAATGCGCGCGAAACTATCATGTTGGTCTGTCGAATGATGGAGAGCTTATTTCAAGGGGGCTTGCATTATGGCAGTATGTGGAGGAAAAACCAGAGTAACCTCCAACCTCTTAATCAAAATCAACCCTTCAGCAGATTAGACAACATGAAGAAGAGGTTGGCTAGGCTCCAAAGCTCTGTCCTATATCATGCAGCTTGTTGCAGATGCTATCTTCACCAAGATAATGACATGTGAGCAGCACATGAAGCTTGGCCGAGAATGTTAACACAAATTGAGTTCCATGGATCTGAAAAAACCTAGACAGATGCAGATATTCAATTTAAGAAAAGAATTTGAAATGTTTGAAAATGAAAGGAAAATGAAAAGGTGAAAGATTATGTTTGATAGAGTTGATGAAAATTTGGTAAACCAAATTCCGATTGTTTGTTGGGAGAAGAGTTAGAAGAGAAGAGAATTATGGAGAAAGTTATGGTGACTCTCCCTGAAAAATTTGAAGCCAAGATTTCTTCTCTTGAAGAAACTTAGGGACATGTCACAAATATCATTGAATGTGCTTTCAAATGCTCTACAAGCTGTAGAACAAAGAAAAGCTTATAGGGAAGAAGAAACCATTGAAGAGAAGGCTCTTGTTGTGACTCATAAAACAAAAATACAAGAAGGAGGTTCAAGAGGCCAGCAAACTGACAGAAAACCAAAAATAAAGAAGAATTTCAGAAAAAATTGGAGGAAATTGGGGAGGAAGGACATGATTTTTCCACCTTGTCCACCATTGCATCTTAAAAATAGAAAAAAAGCAAACACACACTGAGAACTGATACGTAGCTGGGTGTGCAGACCTGGTGGAGCACTCAAGTGTAGAGCAGTGTGTAAAGCAGATTGTGGTCACATCGCTCCCTCAGAGAAATGTTTGTTCTACAAACCAGAATCAGCGAAAAACCAGAATCAACAAACACAAGCCCATCATGCACAAGTCACTGAAAATTCTGAAAAGTATGAAGAACAACTATTTGCTGCAAATGAAATTAAAAAATGTGGTGTCTCAATTGAAGCTAAAGAAGCATGGCTTGTTGATAGTGGCTGCACTAACCACATGACACCAAACTCGGTGAATTTCGATAGCTTGGATACAACCTATTCTTCAAAAGTCAGACTTGGAGATGGTAGGCTTGTTGATGCCAAAGGCAAAGGAGATGTGATTGTACAAACTCCTTCAGGTACAAAGCTTGTTTCCGATGTTCTTTACGTACCAGAACTATATCAAAGCTTGTTTTCAGTTGGTCAATTGCTGGATAAGAATTACAGTTTGCTATTTAAAGATAAAACTTGTGAAATAAGTGATCCTTCTGGCTCAATATATTAAAAGCATAAACTTGCTGAAATAGAGTGATCCTTCTGGCTCAAAGTTAATTTATGCTGTCGAAAATGAAGAACGGAGAAGCTTGTCCTCTAAATTTAAGAGACTTTCAAAGCAAGAATCTTGCTTGTAGTCCATAAAAGAAGATATCTGATATTCGTGGCCATTAAGAGACTTGGTCACACCAATCTCAAATTCATTAAAATTGCTACAACCAAGGAATTTACGTCTTTGCTGATTGGCATCTATAGTTTGGAAGAAGACAGCAAGCTATAGTGTGAAAATCATGTCAGTTAGGTCAAACCCGCAGGCAAACACCATATTCCATCTGATCAAGCGCCATGGAGAGGCTCTATGAACTTGAATTAATAACACTGATGGTGTGTCGGCCCTTATGGAGATGTCTCAGTCATTACAATGGCAAGCAAGTATATTATCTATTGTTTTATTGATGACTACACCAGATTCTTGGTGGGTAATAATGTTTTCCTCCAAATTCAAAGTATCTGAAGTTTTCAAAGATGTTCTTGAAGTTTTAATCCATGGTAGAGAATCAAGACTGGCCCCACAATCAAAGATTTTTTAAAGATCTGATAAATTGGGTCTGAATTTCATTATCACAAATCAATTTCAAGCAATACTTTGCAGAGGAAAGGCTGGCAATTCACCATCAATTAAGCAGTAGCTTAACAAACAGTGCACCATCAACAAAATGGTGTAAAGTGAAAGAAAGAGAATCGATACTGTGATGAATTAATGGCGAGATGTCCTCCTTGGTTTGAGAAAAATCTACCCAAAGTTCTTTGGGGGCTGAAGCTTCTGTAAACACCTAGTTTGTAAATATCTTAAAATCGCGTGTCCAACCAAAGCCTATGGATGGAAAAAGACATTCGTTTCGAAGCTTGGATTTGGAGTTACACTCTATTCCAATCCGGTTGGTCATCTACAAATCTTTGGAAGTCAGTAGGTCATCTCAAAATATTTGGAAGCATATGTTATTCATTTATTCCAAATGCAAAAAGAGGGAAATTGGATCAACGAGCTGAAAAAGGAATTTTAGTAGGCTATAGCAGGGAATCCAAAGCCAACAGAATTCTGAATCCTATTAAAAAACAGGTGTCTGTCAGTAGGAGTGTCAAATTCGATGAGAATGGTGAATGGGATTAGAGTAACATGGAACCAGGAAATTCTAAATCAGTTCTTGAACAAGATCATTTTCAACAAGAGCATGAACTTCTAGCTGACAATGAAGATGAATCAGATGAAGATGATTATGCAATTAGAGGAACTAGATCCCTAGAGGAAATTTACAACAGATGTAATATTGTCTCACTTGAACCAACTCAGGTGGATGAAGCCTTAAAATTGCCTTAGTGGAGAGCTGCCATGGAGGAGGAGTTGAGGAGTTGAAGATGAGTTATAAAGAACGAAGAACATGGATTTTAGTTCCTAGAGCCATTGAATAAGCAAGTAATTGGAAACCTAAACTGGGTATTCAAATTGAAATTAAACATCTGATGGCTCCCCATCAAGATAGCACTAAAGCAAAGATATGTTGTTAAAAGCTGACGCCTCAACAGCAAGGGGTTGGAGTTTTACAGAAACCTTTTGCACTGCAGTTTGCAAGATTTGACCCTATCAGAATTGATTTGGCATCTAGCAGCAAGTTGAAGGTTGGCAAGTCTTTCAAATTGATGAAATCAGCTTTCCTTTCTTAAATGGTTGTCTTTGAAGGAGATAGTGTATATTGAAGAGCGCAGCCATGGAAGAGGTAGTTTTAATGCATGGAAGCAAATAGAGTGTTCTGGGTTTAGTTGAAGAAAGCACCATCTATGAGTGTTTTAAAACAGGCCCCAAAGGGCCTGGTATCCAAGGATTTGATCATTACTTGCTGAATTTGGGTTTTATACGAAGGCTTTGAAATAAGGCAACACTTTAAGTAACTCAACAGAGGAAGTGATTGGTTGCCTTATCTGTTTTCTCCTGTGTATGTTGACGGATCTAATCTTTGTTCAAGGTAAATAATTTAACAAATTAATTTCAAAGAATTCAGATTGAAGAATGTCAGCAGTGGGGTTTTTGAAGAATGAATGATCTTGGCTTAAATGTGCCTATTTCCTTTCTGGGATTGAAATGGCATCAAGATGAGCAAGGGATTTTTATTCTCACAAAAGAAAATTTGCGTTGGAAGACTGCCTTAAAAAGGTTTGAGACTTAGCAAAATGCAGAACAGTGAGTAACAACCCTAAGCAGGCCCACTGGAATAATTGGCAAAAAGAGAGTGAATGGTTCTCACTCTATAGATGCTTGCAACTTATGAGGAGCATGGTTGGTTCTTTGGGCTGTATTTAATGCTGTAACCAGAGAGCCAGACTAGTCATGTTTGCAACAAAATTTAAAACTGTCGAGATTCATGTAATTCTATTCTTCTCCCCACAGACTGAAACCATCATTTACAAGCAGCCAAACGAGTTCCTGAAGTAATATGTGCGCGGGGATTACTGCTCCGTATGAAAAGAAATTTTGGTTTGTTCTTAATAAAGATTAAATGGTGTGGAAGTTTGTTGGAGTTCTCCCACGACAGTGAATTGGGGCTGTTCTTGGACGATAATGAAGAGCACTACTGGTTTGTTGTTTTCACTTGGATTCTGCTGGTCGCATTTGCTGGGAAACGAAGAAGCAAGCTTTCAGTTGCTTCAGGATTCAACTGCAGAAGCAGAGTATGTTTGCAGAATCTGCTTGGCTGAAGTCGATTGTAACCCAAGCTAATATGGTTGAGAAAGGTATTAGTTTGATTCTGAATTTTTTCAGCAGAAAATTCCAACTAAAATACTTTGTGACAAACAAATCATGCTGTTGCTTCAGATGGGTAAAAATCCAGGTCTTTCCCATGCGATATAACCAATGCGCAGTATCAAATAATCAAGTATCTATGACATTCGTGGATAGCTGAAAAAGGAGAAATGAAATTCATGAATATTTCTTATTGCACATTCTGCAAAGATCCAAAACACAGCAGATACTTTTTTTCACGCAAGAGTCACTTGACGAAAAAACCCCAAGATTTGCAATTTCTTAGGAAATAGACTTGGGTGTTTGTCTTTCCAAACTCTTGCATCAAGGAGGAGTGTGTTAAAGGTTAAGCTACACGCTATTGAATGCGCAAGTGTTGTTTAGACAATTTTTATTTTGGACGGTAATTTACTGTTAATGTCCATTAGATCTTGTTGTAAGTTTTGGTTGAAATCGAAGAGGTAGGTAAACTATACCTTGATCTTTTAGGTAGCGTATTGGTTAACTAACCTTTCCTATTGACTATGTTATGTAAGGTGTCGCCGGTGAATAAGCAAACTTTAAAGAGTAGGCGCTAACGATGTAAGACATAATACTCCTATCCTTAAACGTATAATGATTCTTAACCATGGGTCCTTTGCAGCTTTGTGTATAAATATTGTTTTACATTTATGCTGTATGCGGAAAATGTCAATAACAGGAAATTAATTGGTTTTTTCTTCACACTCCACAAAATCTGCATGCTTTTTCTTTTTCTTGCAGAATTTCCTTCTCTTCCTTAATTATTCTGCTCTTGCTAAACCAAACCGCTACGTTATCATTAAACTTTTCCGTTTATATATATTCATGGTACATCAAAAATTAGAGTAATGGAATTAATAAGAAATTAATTGTTTTCTTCACACTCACAAAATCTGCAGCTTTTTCTTTTTCTGCAGAATTTCCTTCTCTTCCTTAATTTTCTGCTCTTCTAAACCAACACCGTTCATAAACTTTTTCCGTTTATATATATTCATACATCAAAATAGAGAAGTTTGAACATTAAAATTGAAATTATCCCTATAGTAACCAGTATAAATTAATAGTAATTACTTGGAAATTTGAATAGTTAGTCGAGTCTTGGTCGTCGTGTGTTTTCTCGGACGCTGCATATGTCAAAGGCTCTGCAACTTGCGGAGAGGAGTTTGGCCAGGTCCCTTGTTCCATTTCAAGCATTTTTTATGTGATCAAATTTAGATGCTAGACCACCATCATAAACTGAAGTGAAAATTATAATGGGAGTTTTTGAAGAGGCTTGTTTAGGGGCCGTTTTAGGAGCTTTGCTCCAGGCAATTATAGCTGCAAAAGAAAGAGCAGATTTCTTCAAGAAAACCCTTGAACACCTCGAAACAACGGTTAAGAATGTCGAAACAATTATTCGTGAAATTCTTAAGTTAGAAAATGTTCCTGCTGGTACTTGCAATCAGTTCTTGCAGGAGTTAGATGAGCAAAGGTTCTTGTTGAAATGTATGCAGATGTCAAGAAATGGAAACTGCTCAAGAAACGGAAAGTCAAGAAACTGATACTAGAAGTGGTTGCCTCTCTTGAAAGGTTTATGAAGTATGATTTTCAGGCTGAACAATTGCGGTATGTTGCAATTGTTGACAAAGATACTGCCGAAGTAGACAAAGAAATTGCTGAAATTACAGAAAAATGGATCATGTAATTGCACGGTTCGAGGGAATGGGTAGTGGTGCAACCAGCGGAGAAGAATCAGATCCTGAGGGTGCAACAGATCAATAGAAACCATCAAACCCAGAGTCAACTGGAGTCAACACACCCAGAGACAACTGAGAGTCAACACAGACCATCATTTGAACCCCATTGGGAAGGCAGAAGAAAATGCATAGACATGCGCTTCCCGCGCCATCATGTTCAGGAATAGTTTTACTTTGTTCTACAATTTAGTTGGTTTTGTTTTTAGATTTAGGTTTTAGTCCTTGTTTTGTAATTCTTTGGACCCGAAGGGGTGCCCTAAGTTTGCTTTTCTGGTCATCAACTTATGGTTAATCTGTATCTGCACAAACAGACATTAAATTTCGTCTTATAACTTGTAAAAGACTTCGGTATACAATACGGTCAAGACAGCATCCTATCAAAACTCTTCCACAATTGTTCACAATCCATTTCAGAGAATCTGACAGGATATCACGGTACATTATTAGTCAATCACAAGCCCTTTACAGAATCCAATCCAAGTTGGTAAGTAATAATTTTTTTATCAAAAAGCAAGGAGATTTTCCTCCAAGCTTCTGTTTTTTTGGAACTAAACCTTTAGTATCTCTGAGGGAAAAGAAGCATTTTCATCTTCGAAGGCTTGGACTTCTCTTTCAGACATTTTTGCACAGCTAGTCTTGTTAATCAGTAACAAACTCAAAAAGCACCGCATTCTCCTGCATCTAGTGGACGCACCCATGCAAAATCAACACACAAGTCATGTTAAATGACCCCTTTGGTTCTCTACCTTATCCACCGATTTAGTTCAGTGCAAGGTTAAAGAAGGTTCTGCAGAAAATGGCTGAAAGCCAAAAGATTTGCTTCCCATGATCTTCTATGGCTCCCCACACAACCCTTAATAAATTTCTTCGCGTCTGAATCACCAAAAGTCCCCACAAGAACAATTTCCATCCTCGAAACAATGGAATCTATTTGAATCCCGGACAATTATTTTTCTATTAGTGATCTTTGAGATAAACTTAATTGCAGTGTGGCAGTCTACACAAGTTCTTAAATTCTTAAATACTTTTATAGGTGTTCCTTGTGAAGTAGCAATAATTCCAAAAGCTACTGCAAGCTTCTCACTGTGGTAAGAAAGATTTTCCTCCTTCTGTTCCTCCTCCACATCATGCAGCACAAAATTCGTGTCAGGAACAAACCCTTCTTCTTTCATCTTTTTAGAAAGCTTCCCTAGAAATTCGTGTATATCTTTGGATCTTGGATGGGAAGTATCTCCCACTAAGAAAACATGTACCTCTCTCTTAATCTCAATCCAACTCAAACCCGGTTTCTTTACCACACCGCGTTCATCCATAGTTTTTCTGATCTTTGCTACTTCACTCCACATACCAGCAGTGGCGTAGATATTAGCCATTGTAACATAAGTGGCAGGATTCTCGGGTTCTATTTCAAATAATGCTTCTGCTGCCCTTTTTGCCAGTTTAAGATTTCCGTGGATTCTACAACCACCCAACAAGGAAGCCCAAAGAAACTTATCAGGCTGCATGGGCATTTTATTAATAATATTTTCAGCTTCTTCAAATCGACCAGATCGAGCCAATAAATCAATTATACAAGCATAATGATCAGCAGTATGGGTCAATCCATACTTCTCATTTATTAAGTGAAAATATTGAAGCCCCTTGTCAACTAATCCAGCATGAACACAGGCGGAAAGAACACCAACAAAAGTTATGTGATCAGGCTGCGTCCCTGATTTTAGTAGCAACTCAAAGTACAAAAGGGCCTCACCAGGATGACCATTCTGAGCATACCCAGTAATCAAGGAAGTCCATGAAACCAAATCTGGCTGGGGCGTCCCTTTGAAAACCCTTTCTGCATTTACCATATTCCCACACTTAGAATACATGTGAACAAGTGCACTTGCTCCAAAAGAGAATGGGTCAAAGCAAATTCTAATCATGTGCCCATGAACTTGCTTACCAATCTCCTCTACACTGACATCGGCACACGCATTTAAAACCCCAGCAAATGTAAAATCATTAGGCCTCATCCCTGACCTCAACAACTCAGCAAACAAATCAAACCCTTCTTCTTTCCTACCATCCTCAAAGTACCTATCAATCATTGCTGTCCAAGTAACAATATCCCTGTTCACCATCTTATCAAAAATGTACCTTGCTTCTTCTATGCTACCACATTTACCGTACATATCAGACAAAGCACTCCAAACCACCTCATCTGAATCCAACCCAGTTCTCATTATATAACCATGAATCTCTCTCCCAATTCTCAAACACGGAGTCGCAGCTGCCGCGGCAAGAGCACTCGAAACTGTAAACTTATTTGATCTTGAATTCTCACACGTATTCATCATTCTATACAATTCCAAAGCCTTATTTGGCTTATCATGGCGCACATAACCAGAAATCATTGCAGTCCAAGAAAAATTGTCCCTCTCAGGCATTTTATCAAACAGTTTTCTTGCTTCCTCGAGTAACCCCATTTTGGCATAACCAGAAATCAAAACATTCCATGAGCACAAGTCCCTTTCATTCATTTCATCGAACAGCTTCTGGGCATTCGACAAACCACCATTTTTTGCGTACATATCAAGCAGTCGATTAGATATAACTAGACCAGGCATAAACCCAGATATTTTAATGTGCTGATGAACCTTTTTCCCTTCTTCAAGAGCCCGGTTATGGAGGCAAGACTGTATAAGAGTCGAGTAAATAGGAGCCGAAGGTCTATCTATTTGATTGAGCACCTGTATTGCTTCTTTTAAGCGTTTTTGTTGGCACAAAACATCAATGGCTTCTTTGAATCTCCCATCCTTGCATAAGGAATTTATAAGGCTATCTTTTGAGTTTACTTTGAAGAAAGATTTTTGACTAAAAGACTTATGGGGCTGGGCTTGAGTAGAAGAGTAAGGAGATTTAAAGATTTTGTTTGGGAGTAACGGAGAAGGAGATCGAGAGAATTTCCGGTTTAGAAATCTCATGGTTTTGGAGGGAACAGGAGCGGCACGAAAAAGGGTTGGATATTTATGCTTTGCACCCAGGTTAGACTAACGACAAGTTGTTTCACCGTCGTTTTTAGGGGAAGCAACCATCTAAATCTGAATCGTTCAACGCAAGCAACGTTATCCAAAATAAACGACATATTGTTAAATTATACATGGACCGATTGTCGTTTTTGGGAATTATAATTCATTGAAATCTTTTATTGACGAAATAACACTGGGGCTACACAATAGAGGTAGTCTCCTCTTGGCTCAGCAAATAACTCAGGGGGGAACTCAAAAATAAGTGAGAAAACCACAACAGAGGTAGCCTCCTCTGTTAAATTATACATGGACCGATTGTCGTTTTCGGGAATTATAATTCATTGAAATTTTTTATTCACAATAAACGACATATTGTTAAATTATACATGGACCGATTGTCGTTTTCGGGAATTATAATTCATTGAAATTTTTTATTCACAATAAACGACATATTGTTAAATTATACATGTGGAGACCTTATCGAAAATCACGTAATACTTGTTTTTAGAATAAAGCATTAAAAATGGCTAAATGTATGTGCTTAAAAGTCCGTGTGGTGTGTTTCCATTAGGGAACAAAACACTCGGTTATCTGCACCTATTTATGTCCGTTCACGTTATGTCGTGGCCGAGTATTATCGAACGTTTATGTTGAATTACATGTACAATTTGTTCATGAGTAGAACTGGGCTCCTTGCCTAGGCCTATGCTTCAATTCGGCCGAGTTTTCATAGCTCATTTTTCAAGAAGAAGAAGTTGACTTTGGCCTCCTTCTATCTGGAAGTGAAGGCGAGACCGATCGCCGGAGTTAACGAGCTCTTTTCCCTCTTTTTCATTATAGATACTTTTATTATATGTGCGAGCGATTGTATGTCTCTCTTACCGTTCATAGGTAAACCTTAAGTTTTTTGTACCGTTAACAAGATAAGCTTTATGATTGCGGCGTGCGGGCAGGTGCCTTATGAGGTTAGCATATGAGTTTACAAGCGAGAGACTGACGTTAGAAGGAGTTAGATATGTGAGCTGTGTTGGGAATTGGATATAAGCCTGTGGTTCAGGAAGACGATCGAGAAATTTTGGGTTGAAATTCTTCATGGGTTGGGAGGGAACAGGAGGGATAGGGGGGGAAAAAGGAAGGGTTTTTTTTTTTTTGGGAAAAATTAATTTTTTAAATGCCCCGCGTTTTTTTTGGCAAACAAGCACAGGGATTCGAACTAACGACAAGTGTTTTCACCCGTCGTTTTTAAAAGGCGGAGCAACCCATCTAAATAGAATCGTTCAACACCGCAAGCAACGTTCTATTCCCAAAAAACTAAACGACATTATGTTTTAAATATACACTGCGACTCTCAGATTGTCGTTTTTGGGAATTATAATTCATGTGAAATCTTTTAATTGACGAAAATACACTGGGCTACACACAATAAGGAGGTAGTTCTCCCTCTTGGCTGCAGCAAACACTAACAAGGTGGGGAAGCTTCAAAAATGAAGTGAGGAAAACCCCACAACCAGCAGGTATGCCTCCTCTTGTTAAATTAATACATGGATCTTCTGATTGTCGTTCTCTCTTCGGGAATAATTAATTCAATTGAAATTTTTTATTCACAATAAACGACATAAGCCTTTGTTTGAAACTTATGACCTACATGGACCGATTGTCGTTATCTCCTCAAAATTTTAACACCGACATATTGCTAAATATTTATACATGGCGCAATTTGTATTTAAATTATACATGGACCGATTGTCGTTTTCGGGAATTATAATTCATTGAAATTTTTTATTCACAATAAACGACATATTGTTAAATTATACATGGACCGATTGTCGTTATCCAAAATAAACGACATATTGTTAAATTATACATGGACCGATTGTCGTTTTCGGGAATTATAATTCATTGGAATCTTTTATTGACAAAATAACACTGGGGCTACACAACAGAGGTAGCCTCCTCTTGGCTCAGAAAATAACTGTGGGGGGAACTAAAAAATAAGTGAGAAAACCAATCAGATTGACAAGAGTATCATATTTATTGATATTACTTAAATAACATTTACTAATTCCTTCCACTTTTCAGGGCATTAATATGTAAATATATTATAGAAAAATTTGTTGGTTTCTTAATAAATCAATACATAGACATCTATCTTCTTGTCATTATCCAATAGACATTGACAAGCACATATCCTTATTTGCAGGATATGATTTGGTGTGCCTGAAAAAGAGTCAAGAAAAGAATACAATAATGAAAAGGATGAGGACGAAGGTTGGAAATTATTAAGAAAACAGAGATTGAAGAGAATACAATGATTCTCTCTATCCAAGAAAAGAAAGAGAGTAATTACTTCCTTTTGCCTGGAATATGTTCTGTAATTCCCTCTCTTTCTCTCCATTGCTTTTTCTTTCAATTAATTTATGCTATATTCAACTAATTAATCTATTACATTAACTTTCTTAACAAAACACGACAACATTAGAAACTAATCCAAAACATAAAATACCTGATGTGGATATGCAATCTCCAGTAATGCTTATGCGATTCCTAACACTGTTTGTATCACCTGTTGTCATGGTTTCTCTTATAAGAGTAAGCAAATTTTACTGGATAGATACATAGAGAGAGAGCACATTGAAAAAATAAGTGTACTCTAAACATATAGGAGGAGAATTTGTGATTACTGATAGATATACACAAGCTGTATATTTATGTATAAATAAGATAGGTTACAGAGCATAAATGTAATACACAAAATAAATTCTAACCTATATATTCAGCCTCTTGAGAAGATCAAACAGAGCATAAATGTAATACACAAAATAAATTCTAACCTATATATTCAGCCTCTTGAGAAGATCAATGCAATTTTATACCCTATTCTTCTTGATTAGTCTTCAATATTCTCCTCTCATTCTCATTTGTTTTTTCTATCCTCTCCATCATTGAGTGGTGCAAGCTTTTTATGAGTGCTTTGCACCTTCTGGACAGAAAAATCTTTGATGTTCATGGTTACATTTAAGGACTCAAGTTCTTCGCAAGCTTCTTTTACCATTCTATCATCAATATCTTTGACATTTTATAGGTCTAGAGATACATGCGCTGGTATAGGAATTGCAGAGGATCACCTGTCTTCTTAATTGGACTTAACGGCTCAATCTTTTTGTGGATGTGTTTCACCTCCTCCTCATAAATATCTTTACCGTTCAACAAATCTGGAGGCCCGACCTTCTTTCGATTATCTTTCAAATCTTCACGAATATCTGTAACCATGTATGAATTAAGAGGAACAATCACAGTTTTATTCTTGGTTGGCTTCGAGGGTTAAAATTTTTCACTAGCGCCTTTCACGTCCTCATGAATACCTTTGGCCTTCAATGGCTGAAGATCAGGCATGAACAGTTCCATTGTCGTGTTGTCTGTGTGTATTTTCTTGGTTGAGTCTGGGGGCTCCAACTGGGGCTCCAACTTTGAACTAGTGTCTTTCAACCCCTTCATAGAAAAATCATTTACCTTTTGTGGTCTCAAGAGTTTCTTGGTTGAGTCTGGGGGCTCCAACTTTGAACTAGTGTCTTTCACCCCTTCATGAAAATCATTTACCTTTGTGGTCTCAAGAGGCACACGAGTATCTTTCACCTCCTCAGAACTATCACTGTCTTCTTGTTTTCTTAATATTGACTTTTCTGCAGAAACAGGCTGTGAGTTCCCTTCATCCAAAGAAGATGGAATTTTATCTTTCATTGCCTTGTCATGAAGGTCTTTAAGCATGACCTTCATGTCTTTCACATCTTCATGAATCTCTTTCACCTCTCTGTACGTCTCCATCATAACAATATCATAAAATCTCTTAAGCGAATTATCCAACTCAGTAAGCTCTTTCATGTAACGAGGCTTTGTGAAGCAACTGCAACAATTTGTTTCTGATGAGCACTTAAGAAGAAGCTCCTCCCCTTCCTTTATTTGCTTCCAAACTGTCTGTATTTCCTGATTTCCCCGAGCTGGCATTTTGTTTAGCTCTTCAATTCTTTTACTACTTGGATTTATTGACCTTATCCTTGACTCTATGCTCTGCAGCATAGAATCATACATATCTGATCTCCTCTTTACTTCCACCACAGCTTTTAACAACTTCCCTAATACCACTTCCACAGCAACATCAATAAGAATCAACATCGCTAATCTTCAATTTGAGTTCTCAGCTCTGCAAATTTCACTACATTGATCTGCAACTATATAAATAGATTCCTTCATTTTGTTCATAACTTAAACAAGGTAAAGCATTAATTTAACTATTTTGGCTTCTAAAGTTGATGAACCAACACACCAGGTTCTTTTCTTGTTAGACACCCAAGAATTAAAGTAAGCAAATATCCTAGTTAATTTCTACACTATATTTTTGTAAACTTAACAAGAAGCGGATGGAAGAAAAGAACCTGGATGTTCTCTTTATAAAGTAAAGCTAATATTAATTTAAAAGATTGAACAGCGGCTCATGAGAGCTTTACTGGAGTAGAAACTGGAGTAGAAACTGCACTTATGTTAAAGACTGGATTGACTTACCTAATGCGGGTTTATGGCTCAACACATGGATTAAATCAAAATTTTTGTTGAGACAAAAACACTTTAACCTGAACAAAAAAAGATAAATTATGAAATATTTTTAAATAATTATTATTTTAAATTTCACTACATTGATCTGCAACTATATAAATAGATTCCTTCATTTTGTTCATAACTTAAACAAGGGAAAGCATTAATTTAACTATTTTGGCTTCTAAAGTTGATGAACCAATACACCATGTTCTTTTCTTGTTAGACACCCAAGAATTAAAGTAAGCCAATATCCTAGTTAATTTCTACACTATATTTTTGTAAACTTAACAAGAAGCGGATGGGAGAAACGAACAAGGATGTTCTCTTAATGCATCTTAAACGCATTTATGGACTAAGTCAATAAAAATAAAAACATTTAAAAAATTATTTTTATTTTATCCTTTTATTTATAATATATATTCAGAAATACTTTTATTTAAATAAAAATTTTTATTTTTATTGATGTGATTCATATGTGATCCGTGGGCTCAATGCATAATTTTACTCTTGCTTTCGTTTTTTATTCCTTCCCCACTCCTGAATTTTCAAGAGCCTCTGAAGTTGCCAAAGATTTATTCAGGGGCCTTTTTAAGTTGACAGAAACCAAATGAACAATAGATCCAAACACTAATGTTGATTAAAGAACTTCAGCCTTATGGGCTTTTGGATTTTAACCGCGGCCCAGATCTAAGTGTCAACCATGTTACAATGTGAACGGGCGCACGTACGAATTTCTTTTAAATGAAATCTTATCTTCCACGGAATGACGTAATATTATTGTCATGTAAACAAACGTAATAATGTTTTTACTTTTGAGTAAGCTATTTTCATTTTTCAGACACTAATTATTGAACTTTTACGTAACTAAACTACCAATCAGGCGACCGCCAAAGAAATTGTAGAGATCATTAGACTAAAAGAAACTAATTCTATGGCCCACCATTTTTTTTTTTTTTTAAGTTTTTGTTCAGTGTTCATAAAAGCTATCCAGGAGGACGACGACTTTGTTTGTTAACGGAGTCAACACGACGAAGTCTTTCACCTTTAGCTATTGGTCCATAAGCAAGAACCTTCCTCGTCAATTACTTTTGCTTCCACTTTTTAACCCAGAAAATATTATTCTTTTTCATTCAACAAAGAGATCGAATAGTTTGATACGCGAAATGAGTGAAAGAGAGTGTCTAAGTTCAATCATCACAAAAACAAAAAGATTGAGCAAAAGATTTCCATTTCCCAAACTAGTCAAACCCATAAATTGTTTCCCCTATATTGATTTGATTCCTAAATTGTAGTTTTGCAAGATCCAGCTTGAAATTTTTTTTTTGCAAGATCCAGCTTGAAATTTTTTTTTTTTTTTCCTTTTTCCTGCTGAAGAGAAAAATGGCAGCTCCAATGATCTCATCAGCAGCTCTAGGAGCTGGATTGGAGTTAGTTTTTGGAAATTTTATTAGAATTATTTTAGAGGTACGAAGAGGCAATGCTCTGTTTAGAAAAACATTGGAAGATCTTGAAGATTTGCTGCAGTCGTTTTTGCCCAGTATCAGAAGAATGGATTCATTAAATAGAGAGTTTGATCGACCGGAAGAAATTGATGGGTTAAAAGATTTGATCAAGAAGGGTGAAGCTTTAGTAATTAAATGTTCAAAAATCCACAAGAATGATTATGTCAGGAAGCCTTTTTATATCAAGAAATTAACGAAGTTGGAGGAGTCTATTCGTAGGTATGTTATTACCACTTTACAATTATATCAATCTTCAAATATAAAGGAGGGTCTGTATGAAGTAAAGTTAATTAGTACAAAGATCAGCAGTTTAAGTATTGGAGCATATAGTGGTGGGAATGTTGGCGGTATGTCTGGTAAGAGTGGTTTTGTAGGTGTGTGTTCACCTCCTGGGCTTAAGATTAAGCCAGTTGGGTTAGAGATTCCACTGAAAGATTTGAAAGAAAAGCTGCTTAAAGATGATGACATGCCACAACTGCAAGTGATTGTTGTATCTGCTCCTGGAGGATGTGGGAAGTCCACATTGGCTAAGGCGCTATGTCATGATTCCGATGTTTATGGTACCTATTTATTCCTTATTTTGGTTGATTTTACCTTTTTCTTTCCCTTTCTTTTTGTCAGTTCAATTGGTTTTGAACTTTTGATTGGGGTTCAATCTTGCAACCTCTCAACCTTGAGACGACATTAATATAACTGAACCGAAGCTCATTGGTATTCGTTTTTTTTTTTTTTTTTTTTTTTTGGTATTCTGTTTTTTTTTTTTTTTTTTTTTTAGTTTGTGATGGGTGCATTAGTTTGTAAGTTTTGATTTCTTGTGAGAATTATTTGTTAATCTCCGTGGGTATTAATGGTTGCTTGCAGTCATGAGTTGATCTATTCTTGATGCTTATCTTTTATTGAACTTTGAACATTATGTTTTGTTAGATTTTTTTTTTTTTTTAGTTGTGATGGGTGCATTAGTTTGTAGTTTTGATCTTGTGAGAATTATTTGTTAATCATCCGTGGTATTAATGGTTGCTGCAGTCATGAGTTGATCTATTCTGATGCTATCTTTATTGAACTTTAGAACATTTATGTTTTGTTAGATAAATCAGTCATTGCTCATTAGGGTTAGAGGGAAAGGTGGTGATTCTATTAGATTAAAATACAAGCAGAAATACTGTTTATATCACTGCAAGAATCGCCTGATTTCCAACGATTGAGATAATAATTAAGCAAATTTAAGGTTTTCTATACAAAGTGTTCAACCTCTATGGCTGTCAGATAATGTTTTAGGCTCAATTGACCATTTATTACTTGGAAATTCTCAGAAGACTGATGAGGGAAATGTAACCTATGGTTTTGTGTCCTTGGAGATTAGGATTTGGGTGTTCGCCTATAGTCTTTCTTGCATTATATTTTCTTTATGTGAAATGCTATATATAGAATTCCAAAAAATTCAATATTCTTATATGGGATTATGCCAATGAACAGACAAATACAAGAGCAATATCTTCTTTGTAGTCGTCTCAAAATCACCCAACCTGATGGTTATTGTACAAGGGCTATTCCAGCATCTGAATCAGATGGAGCCTGATTTTTTAAGTGAGAAAGATGCTCTTAACCAATTGGAAAATTTGCTGAGGTCCATAGGACCAGATCCTATACTGTTGGTCCTTGATGATGTTTGGTCTGGAGCAGAACCGCTTGTTGAGAAGCTGACATTCCCAATACCAGGTTACAAGATTTTGGTGACATCAAGATTCGAATTTCCACTGTTGGGTTCTAGTTATAAATTGCGAACATTAAGTAATGCAGATGCCATAACTCTTTTTCAGATGGGAACTCATACAGACCAAATGAAGATGTAATTAATAAGGTGCTTCACTAGCTTTGTGGTTGTGGATTACTTATTTCAATTTCATTTTTCACTTCTTATGTGAAGCATCACAAAATCAAGTGTGTAAGACAATCAAATATGTTTTACATTATGGATTATCAAACAATCAATTTGCTCATTGACTCTGTTGTCAGTACATGCAGACCACTGACAAATTTACACTATGAACCACTGATGGCCTAAATTTTTTTCCAGGAATCGTTCTCACCATATTCTTTTGGAAAGGCTCAATTTGAGCTGAATTTTGAAGCAATCTATAATTTAATTTTTTATATAATTTACCTCTTAAATTTACACAAAAAGAATATAAAAGTTTAATTTTTGGCAAAAAAATAAAATAAAATAATATTTTTATTTAGTAAAATTATTTTAATTTTTAAACAAAAAATTGTTTCCAATTTAGTTAAATAAAAGAATACTTTTAACTAATAAAGAAATTACTTAAAAATTTTTAAATTACCCAATAAAAAATTATTTAAAAATATAACATATAGTTATAAAAAATTACCAAATTGTATCTTGTATTTGGTTTAAAAATTATAGAATGAGAAAATATGTGTTGCATTGAATATTTGATTTAAGATATATTTATTATTCTTTATTTAATTATATTTGATTTAAATTAATTTTTTTAGCTTTTTATTCTTTTTGGTGCATATCAAAGGATACATTGTTCAAAAAGTTAAATTTTAAGCAAATAGTATAATACTTCCAAATCCAGGAAGCAAATTTGAGCCTTTTTGTTATTGGTTTGGTAAGACAAACAAAAACTTCAAATCTCTAACAGGAAAGGAAATTGTTGAGTTGAAGCAGGAAAAAGAATTGATTAATTAATCTGATTAACAGGTGAAGCTGATTAATTAATCCTTAGGTGCAGTATTAAGACAGACCTATTAAGTGCAAAACTGAGGCAGGGAGAAAAACTAGTTGTAAAATATATATTAATTTATAATCACCTGTTACATAGAGCATACAGACTTAAAGGATTTAAGCCAAACAGCATCAAAAAGGAAAAGATAAAAGGAAAGGAAAAAAAGGCACAGAACCAATACAAAAGTGACTAGTAAATAATAGTTCAATGGGATGGCAATGGGTGCATATCCCTAAGTTCGAGAATTTGTACCAGTTACCAACCTCTGTAAAGCAGAAAGATGAAATCCCTCCACACAGAACAGAACAGAAAATGCATATTGTGAACATGACAGAACCAAAGCACATATTTTACTTTCCTAAGCTGTTGCTATGCTAACCTAATGCATTCTAAAATACATTCTTTCTGGCTAGATCTTGATATGTCCATATGCTCAAAGAAACACCTCATCTTGACATGCTGTGATTAGAGTGCATAAACTATCTCACCACTGCTATCTACATCAAGCTCGGATTCAGAATCAAAGTCCGACATATCATCATCCATGTCAAGGTTGTCATTCATATATCGATCAAGAACATGTGCGCCAGCAGCTGGTATGGTGGCCTCAGAAATTATTTGCATGATGGTGTCAATGCTCTGCATTGGTTGATCAGGCTCTTCAAACTGATTCCCCATTGTGTTTTCATCCATTAGGTCCATAGGAAGATTCTTCACAAACCAGTCATGGTTCTTGATTTGTGGAATGGTAATCCTCTGTCGCATGCAAAAACACAAAAGCAAAAGCTTATACAAATGGCCACCCTAACAGAAATAGTTAACATAATAAATAAGGCTTTATTTACATCTATTACATATCTGGGATTAAGGCCTCATTTCGATATTGCTGTGGCTACTTGAAGTAGCTGATTTTGGGGCCAAAGTTGGTTCCTAATCAGTTTGGCAACTTAAAATTGATTTTCCAAATCTGCTTAAAAAATTTTGCACAAGGTTCATATATGACGATTTAATTTCAGTTTCACCCAAATGTTTTTGTTTCCATCACAGTGCATGGCGACAGAATAAACTAATGCAAGAAATAGCTAATTAGTAGTAAGAGATGCATTTTCACTTCACTATAATATTTTTCTTCTCATGCTGTTCTTAATCACACACCAAAGAAATATATTTATACAACAAAATGAAGATGCCTAATAAAAGAAACTACTCACTGCTGCAGGATCAAAAACAAAAATTCGAGAAATCAGGTCACAACACTCAGGAGATATCCGAACCATGTCAGGAATGGAATACTGGACATTCAGAATTCTCTGCAAGCATCCAACAAGAAAGTTGTCTTGCATTAAAAAAAAGTTGCATAAGAAGGTAGCAAGTAACAAGAGGATCTAGGAGTATACCTGTATTGTCTTCCTGAAGTCCTTTGGCTCATCAGGATCCTCAAAAGGATATGCTCCAACCAGCATCACATACAATGTTACCCCACATGACCACACGTCTGCAATCTGGCATTGCAGATGTAACTTGTTATAAGACAGTCAAATTCTAAAGAACTTACGTAATGAGAAGCGAGCATGTTCATAAGTCATCTAAAATTACAAATAAGCCATAAACTAAGAAGACAGAGAAACAGGAAACAAATGCCAACTTCTTGGCATAGTGACACATGTAACATCTTGGACCAGCACTGCATCTAACATGGACAGGTTGCCAACAGGAAAGCAAGCCAACTTCTTTTTATGAATATGGCCATGCTAGAATCATCAGATAGGCTGCAATTCACACAAATTAAACCCTCCTTCCTGTGGTGTTGATTATGGGCATTTATATCCTCAAATCATGTTTTGGTATTTGGTTTTGGAGAATCTTTTTCAATCAGGAATGTCGACCACAAAGGAGAAATGCACTATTTATAAACAAAAAGTGTGAACATAATATCAACCACAATGCTCGCATACACACAACTAGAACCGAAAGCAATATGCACAAACAAAAGAAATTTCAATTAAAAATTCATTAGAAGATAAAAGACTATGAGAGATATAGACCTCTGGCTCATTGTATTCCCAATTTTCCACTCAACATGACTGACTGCCAATCACTTCTAGAACAAAACAACAAAAACAAACAAGTTTGCAATCTAACCTCAAATATATTGCTACATCAAATCAGTTTAATAAAAACGTATAAAAATGCTATCTAAAAACATTTAAAAAAAAAAAAAGAATCTGAACTGCTGAAGATTGCCAAATGTCCTTTAAATGAATAATGAAGTAAAAAGGGTGTTACCTTGCCATCATATTCTTGCCTCAACAACACCTCTGGAGCAATGTAAGCAGGAGTTCCTACAGTTGATTTTGGTTGTGAATGAAGCACCGATGACTGGAAACAACAATAGAGACACACAATGAGGAGAAGAGAAAAAGATTCTAAATATTCCTGAGAAAAAGAGGACGACAAACAGCAAGAAAGAAGAGATGATTAATGGCATTCAATCCCAGTTAGGAACAAAATTGAAGTATCTAATATGCTTTCCCAACAATATAAAAGATCTAGGGAAAAAAAAAAAACTTTGGAACTTCACACTGTCTTATTTATTCAAGCATTCCATTGTAAAATAAAAAGCAAATTCCCTAAACAAAGAACCACAATTCTTAATCATTCTAAATCGATGGTTCATTAAAAAAGAAACACCACAAAGCACCATAGTCTTGAGAGTTGTTGGTGATACCATCCACCACTCTCAACCTTGAAGTCCAAATGTCCATAAATGTAGTAAAATATGTAAGCACATAATCGATGCGGGAAAGAAAAGGGAAAGGGACAGAGAGGAGGAACAGAAGGCTTAAGTTATAGACAATAGATGTGTAGAAGTGACAGATAATAGGTACTTCGGTACCTTGGAGTATCCAAAATCACAAATTTTCAAACGAGGAGCCTGACTACCATCCAGTAAAGTATTCTCCAACTTCAGATCACGGTGACATACTTGCTTCATCAAGAAGGAAACATTAAAAAGCCAAATAAATTACATAAACATGTAGTTTGTACCACAAAACAGCAACAATAATAGTAAAAAGAAAGGAAGGGAAACAACATAAGTCTGATTACCATAGCATGACAATAGCTAACTCCTGAAATGAGTTGCTGAAAAAAGAATCGAGCCTGAACCAGGAAACAAATGTCAAGAAAGCATATAAAAAGCATGAAAAACAGAAAAGCATGGTCAGTATATTGGACTATAAACCTCATCCTCGCTAAATCGTCCAGCATTGCATATTTTCTCAAAAAGCTCTCCTCCAGAGGCATATTCCATCACAATAGCCAGATGGGTAGGAGTTAAGATGACCTGAAGTAAGATTAAGAGCAAGTTAAATCACCATACCTCCTCTAAAAGCGATGCTTGGAAGGCCACAAAGCAAGCTAACCTCTTTAAACCTCACAATATTGGGGTGCCTTAGTGACCTGTGATTAATAATTTCTCTTTGAACATTTCCATCAATCTACAACACAGAACCACACCAAAATGTTGTAAGCAGACAGCAATTTGCATCGTTCCCATTCAAAATTTCACTCAAGAAACACTTACAAGTCAAAGGAATTAAATTAAAAACGACAACCAAAATAGTCATCACTCAAGTCTCCTCCTAATAACTACATTAACACCCCATCCCAAGAGCAAAGAATGATAAGTCATCCAAACCTAATAATCCAATCCCTTATATATATTCAGAAAAGAAGAAAAAGATTGATCTTATACAATTATTACAGCTAATGTTGCTCAGCATGCACAAAGAGCAAGCCATAGACTATTTTACAAGCTTTTTTTTTTTTTTTTTTTTTGTAAAAGAAGAAAAAATTGATTTCTTTATATTAATTTATTACAGGGCTAGATTGTTCGCTTCTTTAGCATGCACAAGAAGAGCAAGCCATAGGACTATTTTACACAAAGGCTTATTTTTTTTTTTTTTTATTTGGTTTCCTTTGAAAGATAGTTGCATATATCCAACCTATTAACCGAACTCCTATTGGGAATAAGTATACATTTTCGGTCCTTTGAATAAAAATTGCAATTTTATTAAACCGTATCGAATTAAACTTTTTCCACAAAGTTCCGAAACATATACATCAGCAACAATCAGAAATTAAAAAGGAAACGGTAAGCAGAAACTTTTTTTTTTTTTTTTTTTGGTCCTTTTGAAAGAAGTTGCATATATCCACCTATAACCGACATGAATAAGTATACATTTTCGGTCCTTTGAATAAAAATGCATTTTATTAAACCGATCAATTGAACTTTCCACAAAGTTCCAAACATATACATCAGCAAAACAGAAAAAAAAAGGAAAACGGTAAGCAGAAAAAAAACCGTAAATCATCACAATTAAATGCACAAACATTAAATTTAAATATATACTAAATTTGGAAGGCCACAGAGTTCGTGATCAAACCAATCAATAATTTCCATAAATAAGACTACGATAAATTATAAAATCAATCATTATTGCAGAATATATAATCTAATTAAATCCAAAAACTAACCTTGTCACCTCTTTCGATATATTTCACAGCAACAAGCTCCCTGGTCACCTTATCTCTCATCAACCTAGCGACTCCGAAGTTCCCCGACCCGATATCTCGGACGAAATCGTAACGGTCACTGTCGTGCATGATCGGCATATCCATACCGGGACCTACAGTTACCGTCGACCGATTCATTTCACACTTTCCGGTTTTGCCCTTCTGCCAGACTCAATGATCACATTAGATAACTTCAACTCCACGCTCAGCCACAAATCAGACAGTAATAACAATAACAATAATAAAGTACGCCACAGCTTACAGATCGATGACTCGGTTTCCTCGAACTCAGTGAGTTGCAGAGTCAGATAAAGTTGCAGCAGCTAGACAGATATTTCGATCGGCGACTGATTAATATCTCTCATTCTCTGTCCGAGTCTCTGTCACAGTGAAAGAGAGGACTTTTTTTTTATTGGTTTTGAGGACAGGAAATGATAATGCCAAGAAGATATTTACTAAAGCGACGGTGAATGAGACAAAAACAGTATGTTAGTTAGAAGAGAACGACGGCGTTTTCTGGAGTTTTTGCACTATTGGCAGCAAAGTTCTACCGGGTTGGTTCCTGTAATTTGTCGTTGTCCGAGCGCAATTGAACTTTGGCTTTGTTTCTTTACATCTGAATGCCCAAATTGTCCCTGTCGACTTTGGATAAACTTGGTGCGCACGTGAATTGCACCTGGTCATTTCTGCTGCAGTGTGACGAAAGTAATGGCAAATTTAAGACTTCCATAGTTTTCCAAAAATAATTTACCCTGGAATTCGGTTAAACAAGCTGAATCAACAAAATTAAATCGGTTCAATTTGATTTTTACACATAATAAAAGAAATTCTAAAAAGAATTCAATATTTATTTTAAAAAAATTTAGATTTTCTCCATTTACTTCAATTTATTAAACTGTGTTTAACAGATTAAATATTTATTTCTATTCAAAAGTATATGTCTAAATATATGAATTTTTACATAGATGTATTGTTGAATTGTGCTATTAATTTAAAATTGTAAAAGGTGAAAATATTAAAATTGAATTATCATAAGAAAGATTATTTTTTTTAAAATATTATAAAGACCCCTGAATTACGATAAAAATGGGAGATTCTCTAATGAAAAACAGATAAACAGTGGGGCTAGACAGAGATAGGGAGCCAAAGGGAATATGGTGAGTTACGTAGGATAGAATGGTCATTTGGAATGTATTGACATCGTCCATTCAGGATGGAGCCTTGGGAATAAAGGGAAGTTCTGACTTTGAAAGATAATTATTAATATTAATTATTTGCAAAATAAAGAAATGAAAGCTGATGATTCGGTGCATTAAGGACCAAGACATGCAGAAATCTTAACCTTATATTAGTTGGACTTTTGTGTTTTTTAATTGATCGTCAACCGCTTACCCTTAAAAAAAAAAAAAAATCAAAACTTACACATTTTGACCCGTGAGAATCTTTTCGGCAACAGCTTGCCTTTCGTGACAAGGGAGGAGTATACAACTGTACATGTTTGCAATTTCAGCAAACCCATTTGCTAATATTTCTCAAATAATTTCATTTTCAAAAAATATTTCTTAATCTCGTTTCAAAATTCATAATTATAATTTTTGTAAACGTTTCTTCTTATACACTACTGCTGACCTTACACAAATCTTCAGTTAAATTCATTCATGTCTTACAGCTTCATATTTTTATAGATTTGAATTTTTCAATTTATATGATAATTAATTATATAAAATAAATTTTTCATTATTTGAAATAATTTTTCTATTTCAAAACTATAATATTTTTTTACTATTATTCTTTTTTTTTTTTTACGCATGGAGAGTTGTGAGTCTGAAATAATATTATGGATCACAATAGAGATATATTTCTTTTTGTCTCATTAAAATAATAAAAACTCATATAATTGGAAGAATTCGAACTCGAAAATTCACACTTTTCATGCTATTTTAATTGATGCAATACTCTAAAATATTATTAGTAACTATATGTATATATATAAAAAGTATATATTCAATGAACAAATTAATAAAAAAAAAGTAAAAATCCAACTATATATATCATGGAAATTTCAAGAATAATCCCATAGAAGGTACCTTTTCTTTTTTTTTTGCTTTTTCTCCTCTTTCTTTCCCAGATTCAGGGCCCATCCTTTCCTTTTCAAGATACTTGTTTTTCACTTCAACTTTTTTTTTTTTTTTTTTTTTTTTTTTTTTTTTTTTCTTTTAGAGGTTAGCTTGTTTTTCACTTCAACTTTTTTTTTTTTTTTTTTTTTTTTTTTTTTTTTTTTATTTTGGCCTTCTCCCGTTTTTAGAATCCATCAGATTTATAATTTTTTTTTTTTTTTTTTTTTTTTTTTTTTTTTTTTGGCCTTCTCCCGTTTAGACCATCAATTATAATGAAAAATGACATATCCAATATTCTTAAAAGGAATAACATGGACCGTCCATTTTTTCATGAACTAGATAGAATCAAACCAAAAGATAGAAAGGACAACATCCACTCGAATCAAATTCTACACGTGATTTGCAATTTTATTGGGTTTAATCAATCATTTCATACGTGAAATTCTTTGCTAGTGAGAAAAATGTTAAAGCAATAACAATATAAAAGACAATTTTTTAAAATTTTGATATTTGTTCAGTACGACAAAAAGGATAAAAAAATATTTTTACTATTAAAAATTGTCAAAATATGATAAAGTTTTTTAATAAATTATAAGTAGTATTTCAGATATAATATTTTTATTAATAATATAGCAACCGTGAAAAGAATTCATAATTACTTAAAAATAAAAATTACCTTATCATGCTAAGAAATTAATAAAGCAATAATAAGATATGTAAAAATCCAAAACTTTATTTTGTGAAACTTGGGTTCAATTAAACAAAGCCACAGCCCATTTTAGATAGTTGAGCCCGTTCTGTTTACTGGATCCACAACAATTGGCAACTTCTTCTAGGCCGTGTAAGAGTAAATATTATTTTATTTATAATTATTTAAAACAATAATTTCTAGTAAATATTATTTTAAAATTTTAATAAAAACTTTTTATCTATATAATACTTTAAAATAAAAATTATATATATACATACATATCATAATATATAAAAATAATTATATTCTTAATGGTCATATTATATTTTAATAATAATCGTTATCAGAATACCATTATTTATCAACTAACAGCTATCAACCATTAATTACTAGCTATCAATACCGCTATCTGTCGATATAAATAGCTCAACTAAATGAGCTATAAATATTTTTTTCTTGTTTTCTATATTCTTCATTTTTAAAAAAATTACTTACCAATAATGAATGTATAATTTGTTAATTCCCATTATTTAGTGTATGGAAAATCAAAATCTTTTAAATATATATTAAAGAAAATTACCATAAGAAATGGTAAGTGACATGTCCATAATTTCAACAATAAGAGAGGGCAAATCAGTCAAACACAAAAAGCTTCCACGGAAGCCGCAGTTGTGGGCCTTCAGTTTCACTTAACAAGTAACTGAAAACCGGTGAAACAACCTTTTCAATTATTTCCACATTTATCCTCACCCTCTTCTCAACGATTCTCAGCAAAGTGTCTTTCCGTCCTCTCCCAACCAAATTCACTAAACCGGCCCAACCCAAACTGACCCGAAATATCGGATTAGTAGAGAGAGTAAAAGAATGGTGTCCGACTCGGAGCTAATCGGAAGGCTAAGAGAGTTTCTCCGAAATTCGGACCTCGACACCACGACAACCGGTATCGTCCGCCGGCAGCTAGAGGAAGATTTCAGCATTGATTTATCGGATAAGAAGGCATTTATAAGGGAACAGGTGGATTTGTTTCTCCAAAGCCAGTTTGAAGAACAAAGCGAAAATGAAGAAGAAGGTGGGGAAGGAGGAGGAGAAGATGATCAGGCGGCTAATGTTAAATCAGAGGAAACCGAAGCCTCTGATTCTAGGGAGGAAGGTGATGGTAATGATGAAGAAGAGGAAGAAGAAGCAACGGCGAGTAACGGAAAAAATAAAGCAAACCGGAGGTCAGTTGCTATTACTGTTTGTAGTGATACTATCATTTAATCTAAGCATTAGGAACCTGCTTTGCATGGATTAATTTTAATTCAATTAAAATTACTCCTATTAGTATTTAATGAATATATTCAAATTTAGAACTCATTTATTTCTTGTAGCGTTCGCCTTCATGGTTGATTTATTTATTTATTTATTTATTTTATAAATTCGTCTAAGGTTGGATAACTTGTGAAATTATTAGTTGAAAAAGTTATTATTTTTAGTGAAGGTTGCGTGAATAATAGGATTTCTTTGAGGAAAATGTGATGATGTATTGTTTCATGTGCAAAGTCATGCTATTCTTTGCTTTCTCTGTCAGTAAAGTGTAGTTAGGTATTAATGTGTTGTAAGTTTATATCTTTACTTTTGCTTTGTTTGCCAAAACTGGGGATAAAAGTTTTTGGTTCAAAACAAACATTGAGAGAATCTGTTTGGATTTGAACAGGTTCTCAATTAATTCATCAGTGGAATGCATCCCTGCAAGCTTACTACATGCTCGTAGAGAGTGCAATTGTTTGTGAATAATATTATCCCCACTTTTCAAACTCCTCCTAGTATTAGTATTGCCCTATAATAATTCAGGATTTTATTTTTGGGGAGAGGGGAGTTTGAGTCTTGAGGTATAAATTATGGCCACAGTCATCTCTTCCAAATTCATATTTTTTATTCATTCAAAGAATTCTATCTTTCCTTATTTAGTTTCAGGGAAATGCTCTCTTTACAATAGTTCAATTGAGCTGCTTATTCATTTTCTTTGCTCATTTTGGTTCAAGACTTTTTCTTCACATGATAAAATTGGCCATATCTGATTTTCTCATTTATTTCTTATTATTTGAATGGCTGTTTCATTATTTTGGATTTATAGAATGAAAGGATGGGTGTCAGATTTGTGTTTTGGAAATAGTTCCTCTATTAAAAAGCAATGTGAAGTTGCATATTGTAGACATCGCTTTTCTAACCCTCTCAAAGCAAGAAGTCTTGTCCATTGGGAAAACCCCTTTTAGAATTGAGTAATGGATTAGACATCATTAAGAAAGTAGCTGATACATGCCATAATGAGAGACCGAAACTGGTGGTTGAAAAGCTTGATAGACAATGAGCAAATTGGTTTTCATGTTCCACTGAATGACCCCATGATCTCCATCAGAGGAGCAACCAATTCAGACAATAAAAATCTTGATTTAAAGAAAAGAAAATTTAGCGGAAGTTCTTGCCGATGCATCATAAAGATTTTATGCAATTTTTAATTTTGAGTGACTTCTTTGGTACTGCAGAAAGACATTTAATTTCTTTAGCTTCTAATGGCTAGACATATGAAGAATAAACAGATTTTGGTGTTTTCTTTTTCTTTCCTAATGACTCATAGCCTCCTTCCATGTGGGTTATATGACTGTTTCCTTCCATTCTATCCCTACACTATTGGCAATTTATTCATCTTGGCAATGGCAACAGTTTCTGAAAACAGTAACTTGTTTTTGTTTTTCTGTCAGATCTTAAACTGTTGTTTGGCATTGTTATACATCATTTAAAAGGTTTATGGGAACATTATTCTGGGTGCTCTTATCCATCACTCACAGCTATTCTCCTTTTTTATGTTTTTAATTTTTTAAAACGTTCGAGTCAGATCTAACACACATAATAATGAAGGCAAGAAAAGAGGGGGTGGTTTTAGCAAATTATGTAACCTTTCTCCCCAACTTCAGGAATTCATTGGGGTGCCTCAATTGGCAAGAACAGAGGTATGCCTAAAAAGTTCAGGAGAAAGTTTTTTTTTTTTTACTTTACCATTGCTTAATCTGGTTTTAGGGAATTGTCAATATTTTAAACTATCTATTATCTATGTTCTAGGTTGTCAAGCAACTGTGGGCTTACATTAGAGAGAAAGATTTGCAAGACCCAAACAATAGACGAAACATAAATTGCGATAAACCATTACGTGCGCTTTTTGGTGTTGATTCTATCAACATGTTTCAAATGAATAAAGCCTTATCAAAGCATATTTGGCCCTTGGATTCACAAGATGGTATGCTTCTATGTCCTCATTTTTTAAAAATGGTTCAATGTTACTCTTGTTTAAATGTAGAGCTTGAGACATCTTATGCAGTTTTCTATTTAGTAAATAGTGAGTAAAAATCTTTATAAAGCTTGAGCACAAAGCATATCAGAATGTTTCAGTCCTTGCTAATCTTAAGAGGGGAATTTCTTGATCTAATTCTGATTAGGTTCCTTCAATTCTGTAGAGCGTGATGATATTTGTGCACTTGTCTTATTCAGTGAAGAAGTATTATTGATTGATTTCTCCAATAAGTTTGCAACATATTGTGAATGCTATTATTATGTCAACTCCTTCCTCTCAGCATCAGTAAATTATGCGTACGCTAACATCTAAGTTTTTGTATGGCACGGTGATTCCAGTCGAGCCAGCACCAAAGGAAAAGCAGCGCAAGCAAGAGAGAGAAGAAGGTAGTGCATGAGTGGTATTGCAAATTATTTAATGTTGCTATTCTCAAAAGATAAGTTTTCTTAATACAAGTATTCAGTTTGATCCTGTTCACAAAGACATTTGCCCCTTGCATTATCCCTTATATTTGGTTCATATTCGGAATTTGGCTTCTTTGTCTCGACTTATGAGTCAGGTATTCTGTTATTATGCACTTGACAGAATCTCTTCTCTTATATCATCGCTAGAAGCTCAGCTTACTATTTGCTTCCCAACTGTTGGACTTTTTACTCCCTGTTGACTCATTTTCACATGGGTTTGACAAGGTTTTTCACCAAGATTCTACTTGATGCAACATCCATTTTTATTAAGCCAAGCACTTGAAATGTGATAGCATTTTCTTTATAACATATCGTGGCCAAAATAATCACACATGCTGGCAAATGATTTCCTGTACTTTGCTCTGATCGGAATATTAGCAGTAAGTTAACTTTTACTGGCACATAGAACCATTTATTAACCTTAACTTGACTACATGTCAGGACTGGATGAGCCAAAAAGAAAAGAAAAACGACAGAAAGGAGAAAAATCGAAAGGAGAAAAATCAGGTTTTCTTGCTCCCCTCCAACTTTCAGATGCTCTGATAAAGTTTCTTGGTACTGGAGAAAATGCATTATCTCGGGCTGAGGTTGTCAAGAGAATGTGGGAATACATAAAGCAGAACAACCTCCAGGTATGTCATTGTGGCACTTATTGTGAAGGCTTTCTTTTGGGAATTAGAGGATTATGGTGGGGCTTAGCATTTAATATTAATGAAAAATATTAGGTAAAGAAACTTGAGTATGTGTATTTAGAGATACTTTGGCATATTTATTTCTTTTATTTTTTTGTTTTACCTGTAGTTAAACTGTTTCTTAAACCATTCTTTACCTGTTTGAAGGACCCATCTGACAAGAGGAGAATCATATGTGATGAGAAGCTGAAACAACTGTTTGATGTTGACTTCTTCAATGGCTTCACTGTTTCAAAACTCCTGTCTGCTCATTTTGTAAAAGCCTAACTGTGAGTTAGTCTCCGGCTCAGTTCTGACTAAGCTCCAGAGAAAATGGGTTGTTGCCTACATTTTTTTTCCAGCCCTGTTTTCTCGGTACTTTTTCTTTATTATGCATTTTTCCCTCCTCTCTTTTATAGGAGCAATAACAATACTAGAAATCTGCAATTTACAATTTTATAGGTGCTTTGACATTTTCTCATCTCCTCATATAAATTGGATTGATCACCTTCGATGATTTTGTCCCTTTTTATATTGTGGCTTCGTGCACCCTGCAAAGTCGAGTATGATTCTGTTTATTTTTATTACAAGCTCGACATAAATCAAGTTCAGGTTTTTGTTAATGATTAATTAATTATTCAAATACTCTGGACATCATTCAGGGTTACCTGCCAACAAAAACTGAAAAGTTTTAGTATTTTCATATGTAAACAATCTGCAGTAACACTAACTGTGTGTATTACAAAATTCATTCCAACTTTGTATGCGTTTATGTGTTTACTGTATAGTTATCTATATCAGATAAAAATATTCTTTGTATCGGTCCAGATTTAGTTATGAATAGAGTGGAATGGAAATAATGAATCCACTTAGCCAATCTCAATCAGATATTAATAAGCTCTGAACCCAAGCATTGGAGATTGTTTATTAGAGTCGATCAATATCATAATTGTGATTATATTTGGTTTATTTAATTATCAAACATGCTCAAGTAAAATAAATGGAATGGGGAAATTTTGCTATCCCAATCCGAATACGGATTTGAGAGCGAAGATCAACTGTCAATAGGTGGTTGTGTTTGAGCTGTACGAGATGAAATTCTCATGTATGATTCTTGGAACTGTTTTTCTTTATCCATGGCAACGCAACGCAATTGTGCAAATTAGTTGTTACTAGTGATTATGTTTGAAGAGTAATTCTTACATAAATATGATTCATATTCACCCATTAGCATTCTAATATTGATAAATCTTACGGTTTAAACAGTTTCATCTCAAGTGAGAGTGATGTCTCGACCACCAAAATAATGATCCGATAGCTTAGATGAATCCATTTTCTAAAGGGTGTTCAATTCTTCTGAGTTAAATGGAAATATGGAAGTATAATCAACAAAATAAAATTGGCTTGAGCTCCCTTTCAAAATGGTGGTATGCTTGGATTTTTGAAACTTTTAAAAACAGTAATCTCTGAGAAAAGAGCCAAAAAGATTTCCGTTGCCGGGAATCGAACCCGGGTCTCCTGGGTGAAAGCCAGATATCCTAACCGCTGGACGACAACGGAATAGTTGGTTTGTTGATTAAATTTGACATTTATAAAATATTTTTCATTTTTATGTATGTAACGTCAAAAATAGAGAGCTTTTTATGGGTAAAATTTCTTTGAATTCAAAACAAATTATTTAGATTACTGGTTGATTAATTTGACCAATTAAAACATAAACTAACAAGTAATTGCATTTAATATGCAACTATAATCAATTAATTGATTAGTAATTTATAATCTTTTTTTTTTAAGAATTATCACATATCACAACCTATTATTGACTATTCAGCTTGGTAAAAGAATCAATAAAATGACCAAATTTGGACCATAACAATAAATTTGGATTGTATGAAGTAATAAAGGAGTTCTATTCAAAAAAAAAAAAAGTAATAAAGGAAAAAAAATGTTAGGTGAATCTAATTTATCACATGACATAATATTAGCTAATAATAATTAATTATACGAGGCAAGAGGGCTATAAAAATATAATAATTATTACCTATAAGGTGCATTAATTTGCAAGTGAAAATGTATTTTATTTACTAGTCTATAATATTACACGGTCGATTAGGTTTATATACACATTGACGGAGCTAAGTCTTATTGTTATATATTTAAAATAAATAATTGATACAATCCTAATCACGTGACTGCAAATAAATAAAATTTGTGATAATAATTAAAAATAAATAAAAACCGGTGGTTACAAATGGTTGGTCATTTTTCATGAAAAGAAAGCATCCAAAAACCAATTGAAACCATTCCAAAAGGAATCTTCATCTCCAACCAAAAATCCTTATTATTATTTTACTTAATCTCACGTGTTACAAAAACGGATGCTATCCTCGACACGTGTCAGATCCACAGCTTAAATGAGGGAATCTCGAACAGGGAATCAAATCCGAACCAATACGATGGGTATTCTATGTGATTGTCTGGAAGACACTATTCTGCGGCAACGGACGAGTTTTGTAAGGAACAAGACACCGTTCATCAAAAGATCGTCTTTGCTATGTGGCAATTTCCTATTGGTGGTAACGTTTATCCACTCTTTCTACTGGAGATTCTGATTTTTTTTTTTTTTTTTTTTTTTTTTTTTTTTTTTTTTTTTTTTTTTTTGGGAATTGCAAAAGAGGACCGTAATAGTCCATAACGATAACCATCGTGTTGATAATTAAAAACAATCAAACAAGGAAAGAAAAGGTACTTTAGCTAAGGAATCCTTCACATGACAAACATACCCACCCTATTGTTTTTTCTCTATCTCTTTTTGACTGTTTTGCCACTGTTTTTGTGGGGCCCTAGAAAATACATAATATAAAAATAAATTATTCCTTGGATTCTAAAGTGTAAGTTGTTATGGTGATAATTTTATTCTCAAATATGAGTTGTTTTAAGTATTTTTAAAGATTAATAAATATTTTTTTTCAAATATACTATTATTTATATTAAATAATATAGTGTTTCTATTAATGTTTAGATTTTGAAAAAATATATGAAACGTTTTTTATATTTAAACGTTTAGTAAAACAATTAATAACTAGTTAAATAGCTAATATTTGCTAAATAAGGTAGTAATTGTATTCTTAACAGCTTTTCAGATAAAATTTAGTATTTTAACTAAAGTTAAAACATAATTCTTAGTACTTATTATGCCCGGTGGCACGATATTTATAATAATATTTTAGAATTTGAGAGAGCGAATTATAAAAAGTTACTCCTCTTAATGTTCAATGAAATGCTAGTAAAACACTTAATAATTAATATGACAGTTACAACTACTAAAACAACTTATTTTGATGAATGATATTAACTTACCTAGACTTGATCTATGGGTTCACCTATATATCAAGTCAATAAAAATAATTTCTTATTAAAACGAGAATATTTTTGATAACTTGCTTAAAGAAAAATAAAAGATGAAAATAAATATCGTCTAAATTTTATCTTTTGCGAAATAGTGCCAGTATTTCCATATTATAATTTTGTTTTAAAGTTAGTGAAAATAAATTATATGGAAATGTTGAATTCTCCAATCAATTGAGTTATTATTTGTTAATAAAATATCATATTTGCTATAAATATACTTTAATCCAATAATATACTATATTCATTTATAAATCTCATATATGGCTTTTTTTTTTTTTTTTTTTTTTTTTTTTTTTTTTTTTTTTTTGTTTCCCTTAGCTGAGCTGGCCAATGGTTTTTTTTTTTTTTTTTTTTTTTTTTGTTTCCCTTAGCTGAGCTGGCCAATGGTTTTAATTTCTTCAGACAACACCCTAGCTAATTTCTTATTGGCTAGTATAATTCCTATAATAGTACTTTGCTTCAAATATCAAATGGCCACTGTAGGCTTGTAGCAGGTAGATTGTGATATTGTGCTACTCTTTAAGAATTTGACATGTGGAACTTGAGATAAGCATAATCTAATAAGCTGACTCAAACTTTTTCGTACAAGATTCTTTAGGCTATAATAAATACAGTACCAATTAAATTAAAATAAAAGGAAACAAACATGGAGATAGTTAAGAATTTGAGTCATTCTTATCAATAGTTTTTTTTGTCATTGAATTGACTTCAATTAGTATGGAATTAGAATAAAAATATAACCAATTTACTCTTGGAATTATATTAATGATAAAAATAATTGTATTATTGATTTAAAATTGAATTGAATCGAAGTAAATTAAAAAAAATTAAAAGTTTAAAATAAAAATTAAATCGAATTAAGTAATGTACATGAATGAGATCAAATCAGATTGGTTCGATTTCACCGACATTAATACTTTTTTATTGTTTTAAACTTATTACAAATCGAATCAAACCAAAAAACTTTAATTTTTTATATGTAAAAATGGAAACAAAACTTTCTATATTAAAAACCAAATAAAACCGAACTAAATAGTTTAATTCAAACGGCATCGTTTGGTATAATCAAAATATGCTCATTTCTACTTTATAGGACAGAAGGAATAACACATTTATATTCATGTTTCAAATATTTTTTTTGGTAATATAAAAGAATATAGATTTAGATTTACTTTCAAATATTTATTCTCTTCTTAAAATATAAGTCGTTTAAGATTTTAAAATATATTAATTACTCTTTATTTTCAATGCCATTATTTATTGATAATCGCTTTTAAAAATTGAAAATATGAGTATTTATTCGGTTTAACTATTTTCAATATATATTAACCAAATCCAGATAATTAATTAATCTTGATAGATGCAAAAAAAATAAATAATAAATTAATGAATATATTAAATAAGGTTGTAATAAAAAAATACATGTAAATTTTTATTTTTAATTAAAATAACTAATTTTTCTTAATTATTGTGAAATAAAAATCTCTATCAATTATTAGGAGCGGATGGAGTAAATAAATAATACAGGAAAGGGAAGGGTAAGATCGGAAATTATATTTATAGAGTATGATGGTAATTTCTAAGAAATGATGTGAATGTTGGCCCTAACTTTCTTGCCAGAATGCCATAAGTCAAAAGGACTTATGCTCCCTTTTTCACTGCGATACCTCAACCTCACCTACCAAAAGGAATCTTGGAAAACACACAAAATTCTAATTTTCTTTTCTTTTTATTTTTTAAAAAATCTTAAATTTTCTTTCCAAATACTGAAAAATAATACTATTCTTTTCTCAAAATAATTATTGGAGTTAGTTCTGATACAAAAATTAAGAAATTAAAAAATAAATAAAATACTTTATTTGAAGAAAAATATATTTTATTAATTTAAAATAAGGAATTTAAAATATTTTAAATTAGTAATGTGAATATTTATTGCCGGACAGATGAGAGTAATAACCACAATTCGCCGCGTGTGTACGGTATCCAAAGATTCCAAAGCACAAAACCCACTAACTCGCCGATTCACTTCCAATTTTCCGCGTTTTATTCCTGACCTAGGAGCCGATTCAACCGAGTTAACTCAAATATGTGACGACTCGATATGTGAGTAACCGAATCTTCGCGTCTCCTGAATCTGAATTTATTTCTTGCCTCATCTCTCCACATCTATATGTAAATATATATCTAGACGAGTCTCTTTCTCTCTGCTGTTCATTAGCGTGTTTATCTGGGCGATGTTAGAGCCTAAAAGAGAGAAGAAATCTTGAAAAAAAAAAAAAATTTAAAAAGAGAACCCGAAAAGGAAATGGAGCTAAGCTTGGATTTGAGCTTGGTTTATGTCCCAAAAACAATCAGTGAGTATCTTAAAGAGGTATCGAAGGTTAAAGATGCTAGCTTGAGATTATCAAAGCTTGATGATTTTGTGAAGAGATTAGAAGATGAAATGAGAAAGATCGATGCTTTTAAACGTGAGCTCCCTCTTTGCATGCTTCTCTTGAACGATGGTATGTGTTTTTTTTTTTCTCTTTTTTCATTTTAGGTTTGATTTTGTGCTTTTGGAAAGGGTTTCGATTTTTGTTATATGGGTTTTTGCAGCTATTGTTAAGTTAAAGGAGGAGGCAATGCAGTGCAAGAGATCAAAGGATCCTGTACCAGTAAAGGGTAATTCAGGAAAAGATGATATAAGTGATAAGAAGAATTGGATGAGCTCTGTTCAGCTTTGGAATTCTAACGATATTGACTTTAATTCCAAAAAACAAGACTCAATATCAGAAATCAGACAGGTAAACAAAATTAACAATTGAATTCTTTTTGCGTAATAGTTAAACAAATATCATTATTTTCTTCGATTCTGAAAGGTGGGGGTTATCTTTATTTTTTGGACCACAGAAAAGTGAAGAAGAAGATGATCGGTCCACTTGTGAGAACCCAATTCAGTTGTGCAATAGCAGAAGCAAAAGAGGGGCTTTTGTGCCATTCAAGGCAATTTCTGGGTTTGAAGGGACTGAAAGGAAGGAGGAGAAGGAGGTCATGTCTCAAGTTACTGGACTCTCTCTTATGACTCCAGTACCTGAATTGGGCACTTGCAACTTGATGTCAAAAAGCAATAATGTAACTAATCAAATGAAGATACAGAGTAAACCTCATCAACAGCAGCAGCCTTACAAGAAACAGAGGCGGTGCTGGTCACCGGAGCTTCACCGCAGATTTGTTGATGCCCTTCAACAACTTGGTGGATCTCAAGGTTAATTAGAAGTTTACCAAAATATTCTTTATATTGCTCCTTTATATGGAAATGGATTTTTGCTTGGTATTTCAATTAGTCCTCTAAGATTGCTTGAAAGCTGCAATTCTATGTGTGTTTTTGGTTAATTTTGCCCGAACAACTATGTTTGAACTCAATCTCACAGCCCAAAAGACAAGTAGATACTGAACCAAAAGCTTATTAGTTTTCTTGTGTAAATTTTAACTAAAAAGGATACTTTATTATATGTAATAAATGGGAGTGATTTGGACCAAAATATTAGGTTTCATGATTCTATTTCTTTTATTTATGCTTAAGTTTGAGTTTTTTGTATATTATCTTTTCTATTCTGATTGGATTATTCTGTTTTGCAGTGGCCACTCCTAAACAAATAAGAGAACTCATGCAAGTGGATGGCCTAACAAATGATGAAGTTAAGAGTCATTTGCAGGTATGTTTTTAATTCAGATTATAAACCTCTTTTCTGCTGTTTTTTTTTTCCTGGTATAGATGAATAATGCAAAGTTTATCATTTGCTTGTATAGAAATACCGGCTTCACATCCGTAAACTTCCAGCTTCTTCTGCTGCACAAGCAAATGCTTTATGGTTGGCTAAATGTGAGGACTCATCAAAACCAAATATATCAGAGTCTGCCAAAGATATTTCTAGCACTGGAGATGATAGCATGGATGTTGTTGATGATAATGATGATAATAAATCAGAGAGCCATAGTTGGAACGGTAGGCTGCACCACAAGGAAGGAGAATTTGATGTATAGTGGTACTTACTAAACTGATTCTGATATATAATGCCCATGAATTTTGCAGATACAAATATACGTGGGAAATCAGATTGTAAAGAATAATGAAGTTGACAAACATAGGATTTTAAGTTTGGAGTTTAGTTTATGTTTTTTTTTTTCTCGAACTAAGAGCTAATGTTATATATACATCAGAGAGGAGGACATAGGGATTTTGCCGATACTACTGATGCGGATTTAATTTTCTGATCTCCAGCTTGAGTTCTGTCTCTTCCTGTATCTGTTATTTGTTGTTCATTTGCAGTTTATGTAATGCATATTGATGGGTTGGTACTTGACATACTCTGATTATATATAGATAGTTATTTGATAATGTTGCTTATTCTTGGTTGTTTTTCATTTTTTTTTTTTTAGTATGTTTGACCATGTTTTTAAGTCATGTTTTATCTGATTGCCTTCAAGAATTGTAAAAAGCTCCAGCATTCTCTATCAAGTTGTCGAAGTTGCTTCAATTTGTAAGTAACTTTTTGAAGAACTGCTTCCTGCTTAGAAAATTACTGCTGATAGTTTTGGGCTTCTTGTTTCATATCTTCCTGATCTTGTGCTTTTGATATAATGTTTCCTTACTGCAAAAACCAGAGTTCAACAATTCTTTTCTGTATGCCATTGAGGTCGAAACAACTTTTCAGAATAAGCTGTTGGTTTAGAGCTAGTTTAATAAATAAACTGAGTTCCATCCTAAAAGTGGCAAAAAAAAAAAAAAAAAAAAAAAAGGTGGCACAAAAAAAAAAAAAAAAAAAAAAAATTTCTAACTGCAAATTTGTTACACAAAGCCGGAGCTCGAACTGGGCTTTTCTTCACGGCAGTATATCTTTCGTCGCGATGCTCGCTCAGAGATCAATAATTTCTTACTTTTAATTGATATTTTAACTATTTCAAGCAATTATGAAAAAACTACTTCAACATTCTACGAATCCTTTTTTAATTATAGAATGCAAAAGGAAGCTCTCTTCCAATGATTAACACAGATTTTTGATTTCTTCTATTCATTGATTCAAAAAAAAAAAAAAAAAAAAAAAAATTTCTAACTGCAAATTGTAAACAAGCGGAGCTCGAACTGGGTTTCTCACCGGAGTATATCTTCGTCGAGCTCGCTCGAGATCAATAATTATTACTTTTTAATTGATATTTTTAACTATTCAAAGCAATAATGAAAAAACTCTTCAACATTCTACCGAATTCCTTTTTAATTATAAGATGCAAAAGGAAGCTCTCATTCCAATGATAAACACAGATTTTTGATTCTTTATTCATTGATTCTCTGATAATCTTATCCATATAGTGACAGCTTAACCACTTGAAACCTTGTCATCTTCAATTTTGTTTTTTTCTTTCTCCTTTGCATCTTTTTCTTTTTAACCTTTCAATTAAGGCTTCTCTCATTTTAGTTCAGTTTACATATTATTTTCCCAATAGCTAAGGATTTACTACATTCAAAAAACTGTTTAAGGTTCTCATGTTTAACATGAGAATTCCCTGTTTTACAAATAATAATTACTATTTACTGTTTTTTTAGCATCTAATCATGCAATGAAAGGGTCTTATGTCCCCTAGATTACAACATTGTTATATATTTAAAATGGCTTTAGGTCAAGGATAAGTATTTATATACTCAAGGTATGAATTGAATAATGCACCTAAATCTAACTCTATAAGGTATATATATAAACTTAAATGGGTTTGTTTAAATTATCCAAGGATTAGATAATATAAATGAAGTTTAATTAGCATTTGTCAACTTCCATTTACAGGCTACAGCTAGGGTTTCATGCAAAGACAAATTGGAATCAAAAGACAAAATTGTCAATTTCATGATAAAATAACAAAAGTTTATATGAATCTATCTCATTGAGAGGATATGGTGAGCCCACACCAAGATTTTCCCTTTAACATTTAATGAATCAAAATAATAGTAATGCTTCGAATCTTTTCTATACTTAACATTAATTTGTTTTTGTTAATTAATTCTCTGACTCTGTTTGCTTCTTGGAATAATATTAATACATAATTATAAATTGTACTTCCTTTTCTTTTAGGCACTATCAGTGGCAGTAATTTTTCCTGCCTGCTTTTGTAATACAATTTGTCAATGGAATAGTTTCAGATGAGGTTTTGGGAACTTGAAAGATTAGGAAATATCTAAGCCAATGCTTTTGTTTTGCTTTTTGCTTTTATTTATTTATTTATACACGCGTCGTCGTGCTCACACTGAAAATGATATTTAGATAAAAATCCTCATAATCGCATTGAATTTAAATTTTGAATATTTAGACTCTATTTATTTTTATAAAATAACTTGCAGAAAAATATTTTTTATAATTTCTCATTGTTTGGGGCGTTTAGGAAAATAAGTGAACAAAAAATATTTTCCTGGTGAATGGAAAATTAAGTTATTTAAAAAAAAAAAAACAATTTCCCATTTTCTAGAGTGTAAACATTTTATGAATATTAACAAATTTTATAAATTCATATTTTTTAATTTATTAATTATCATAATCATTACCACCTATCACTGTTTACCACCGGCTCGGCGGCTTTCATAATTGTTGCATATAAAGTTTGTCCGGCAACTTCAAGATTTTTTTTAATTCCTCTGGTTTCATTATATTTTGCTTTTTTATATTTCATGGATTTATCTAAAAAGATTCTACCAATTTCATTTGATTGGGTTTGTCTTGCATTTAAAAAATGTGAAGATTGAAAAGTTTGAGAATTTTAATAGAGTATCATAATATTTTGAATTACTTATTCCAAGCAAGGACAAAAATACTAATTTCTTATTTATATAATTAGCTAGAATTCTCCAATCACCATTAATTGTATGCTCATTTGTACTATCGAAATAGGCTTTTCGCGAACCCATTAGGCACCCACTTTAATACTTTTTTTTTTTTTAATACTTCACAAGTCTCCGGTGACCGGAACTGATTGAATTGAAGAACTCACATCAAGTTAGAGAGGAAGAGGGTTATGTCAATTTAGTTCATTACTCCATAGTCCATAATTAGCTTTAAGGAAAATTACTTTTCCTGTGTAAAAAAAATTGGATTGTCTAATTCTCAGAAAGTATAATTGAAAATGTAAGTCAAACACAAACATTTTATACACTTTCCTTATCTACTTGCCTCCAACTAAACATAGCTAAAAAAAAAAAAGGTATATTTGGTTAAATTTTTTTCTGTTTTTTAACAATTTAAAATATTTTTTATTATTCTAAAAATAATACTTACTATATTTTTTATTTATGTTTATTACAAATTGGATTAAATTGACAAATGCAAATTTTAATTTGTTTTGAGTTTGATTTGACCAAAGGAGGGGGTCTCTATATGCATATGCACATTCCTAATTGGGCTTAAATTTACGACATGCCGTTTAATGGCCATCTCTGACTTTGTAGTTTGATGTAGATTGTTTAATTTGTTTTTCTCTCCTTTCGCCGTTTGGCTAAACGAAAACTCTTTTTCCCTCGCGATCATTTCCCTCCAGGTCCGGCTACCAAACTCTAAATTCTTCTCGAGAAACAACTCTTAAACCCTAAAAACTCTGTTCTACCGTCACCAGTACATCCAAGTACGTATTCAATTGCTTTCTTTCATTAGGGAGCTGGAAATGGTCAACTCTCCATGATATTATGAATTCACTTATTTAAGCTTGTAAATATAACTATTGGTTTTTTCGTTCTTCTTTTTATTTTTTAAAATTACATATCTTTGACGATGAATTGTTTAAAATATAGTTTTTTTATTTTCTGATTATGATTAAAGGTCGTAAGAATGAGGGAGATAGTGACTGTTCAAGTTGGAGGTTTCGCAAATTTTATTGGCTCTCATTTCTGGAACTTTCAGGTAAAGCTTTATGCTTTGTTCATTAATTTGTTAAAATTGGGCCCTCTTTTCTGTTTATTGGGTTCTCTTTTATAAAGTCTGTGATGATTTTTTGTGCATAACAAGGATGAGTTGCTTGGGTTGGCCGCGGATCCTGGTAGTGATCTGGTCTTCAAGAATCTCCATCAGTATTTAAATATGGATGTGTTCTACCGTAATGGTGAAACTCAGCAGGTCTGAACTTTTATGCCATTAGATTTTTCTATGTTAAGTTAATGTGGCCTACTATTTTTTAGGATAAAAAAAAGTTCTAGATGTTTCTTTGTTTGTATTAGTGAACATGAGATTATGTTTTGGAAGCCATTGCTGTATTTTTTTTTTCTTTTGATCGGCAAAGATAAAATTTTATTTATGTATAATGTTCAGGAAAAACTCTATACATCCAAGCACTGACCTGAGCAATTGTTGTATTAATGCGGTTATATTTTTTTTTGAATCATTCATCGCTCTTATTGAAAAAGAGTTTGGTAATTTTTAAGTTTATTTACTTTATTGTTTATATGGAATCAAACCAGATTGCAGTTAAAGAATAAAATTCCCTTTTCCTTATTTAATGCTAAGAATCCTTGGGTTCAAATCATACAAGAAAATAAGATAGTTTATATACATTGCTAATATTTGAATTTGTAGCTCATAAGTTTCAAATTTATTAGCCTGCTATGTCTTTATGTATTTAGTTTCTTGACACTTGATATTCTTTGAATTATTGCTAAGCTTTTTCTTGCCATGTGCATTATTTTGCTGCCACTTTACTGACTTGCATTCTTGCTACAGTGATCCGATGCTCACATATTTGTTGGTTAACTTTCAGGGTGTGCTTACTTATACACCTCGTCTAGTTTCCATAGATAGTCAAGGTACTTTGTCCACGTCCAATCTTAATAAGTAACTATCTTTGTTTTTTTCAGTCAAGTGGATCTATTTTGTTGCACGTTTTATTTCAACTATAGTCAAAGTACGACATCTGTTGAAGATTTTATACTACCCTGTTCTCTTTCTCAATTACTGCTTACAAGTACTGCCAGGTATATTTTTATTTTCGATGTTTGAATGGAGTAGATAATTAATCAGTTGGACTCCCTGATATTGCAGGTTCCCTTGGATCTATGAGTTCACGTGGTACACTCTATAATGAGTGCTCACCGGCACCATCAGAAGTTACCACGTGGTGAGACTTCTGATTTCAATTTGTACACTTGCTGCTTGAATGATGAATATAGATGATACTTTTTGATAATTTCAATGGTAGCTCTTTATTAATACTCACTGTTGGGTCACTTCTAAGAATCATGAACTTTTACATATGTTAAACCTGAATTACTTTCAAATATCATGTGCATGAATATAGAAGAAAAGATAAGGAAATCATGTTTTAACCAGAGGCTGTGGTCGTTCAATTTGAATTGCTGCAAGGAATGCTGATTGGTGCTTTTTATAACTAGTAACAAGGCATTATTGATGATTGGAACACCCGCCCGCTCCTTTTTCTCAATCGTGTTCATTTTTTTTATGCAACTGAAGCTTTATTTATCTTTATTTTTAATATTTTGGTTTATGAGTTTCTCATTATTTGTCAAAACTGCAAAAGGTTTAGTTTGTCCTTTAGCTTTAAAATTTTGAGCAAAGTTTGAAAATCAAGCTTTGCTTTTCCTCTTTAGTCTATTAGACTGTCAGACACATTTTTTTATCCAGTTTTATTCATTGCCAAGCATGTTGTCATAGTGGTTTGTCGGGGTGCTCGACTGACTAAATGTCCAAGACCAATGCACAGGACAGGCCACATTTCCACTCATGCATTTGAAGCTCATAAGAAGAATTTGTTCTTGCAAAGTTTATATGAAGAAGAGCAGGAGAGTTTGAAGCTCACTGGTATCAACAAGGGGGGTAATCATGCTCAAAGAGAAATTCGGGATCAGGATATAGTTGAATCTTTGGAAAACGGTGTCCAATTTTGGACAGACTTTTCAAAAGTGCATTATCATCCACAGAGTTTATATGAATTTTGTGGATTATGGACGGATGATGAGGAATTCAACAATTATGGAGCTGGAAGAGATATTTTCTCTAGTGGTTTTCGAGGCGAAGAAATAGGCGAGAGGCTTCGTTTTTTTGTAGAAGAGTGTGACCATATTCAGGTATGCTTCTTTTAAATTTATTTTAATCATCAATAAAGATGCCATATGAACTTGAAAGTGCTGTTTCTTTTCCATTTGTGTTTGATTATTACTTGTTATCTCCTTGGAGTTTGGGCTGGCTGGTGACTCTCCCTGCCTATCATGTGGAAGTATTAGGAATTATGTATGGAATATCAACAGCAATTGGAGAAAATGCTAATTACTTGATGGGACCTTGATCTTCTTTTATGGTATATATTTTTGCATGTTGACATTGATGACTTGTTAAAGTATTTTTACAACTTTCTGATAATTCTTGTTATTTTTCGAGAGGGTCAGAGAAAGGAATGGTGAGAGGTGGAGGGTTTTGATTCTGAGTTGCAACCCTCCAGTGTACTTATATTGATTCTATTCCTTATTCTGAATTTTAATTTATAGATATGTGACTTTTTGGTTTGATGCTAAATCTTTATTGAATTTGGCAGGGTTTTCAATTCATTGTAGATGACTCAGGAGGTTTGTCTGCTCTGGCTGCAGATTTTTTGGAGAGTATTGCAGATGAATATACTAGCACGCCAGTTCTGCTCTATTCTGTGAGAGGTCCTGGTTGTCACATAAGCCCAGAAAGCCAGAAGCAAAAGATTTCCAGGAGTATTCACGACTCTGTATCATTTTCAAGACTTTCTTCCTTGTGTAAATTGATTGTGCCAGTTGGTTTACCCTTTCTAAGTAGAAGTAAGCTTGCTTCCGTTTAGATTATTTTTTATGCTTCCCCTGAATGCAGTGCACAATTATGTTTTGACTTTCAAACCCTGTCATCTTCACTTCAATGCAAAGAATTCTCCATAAATTGGGTTGCTTCATCCTTTACCCTATGTTTAATTTGATTGGAGTTGGCAACGTAGGATTCATATAGCCGACCCCAAATTGGGACTAAGGCTTAGTTGTTGTTGTGCTGCTGATGAAACTACATAGTCCTGTTTGCTTACTAATATCAATGTTCTTTAAGTTTGTCTATCCATATCTCTCTTACTTTCTGGTAATCTTCCCTTGATTTTGAAGGTAAAGCTTCTACATACCTCTGCATTGAAGAAAAGCCTTATCACTGCAGTGCAATCTATGCTTCTGCTATACATGCTATTAGTCTCCCCTTCAGGATGGAACCACTTGGACCCACTGCAGACTCTTGTCTTGTTTCTGGTGCTATGGATGTATATGAGCTTGTACAAGTGTTAAGTGGGCAAGATAGACAGAATATGACAACCATTCTTGACGTTTCCATGCCAGCTCCTCCTCTATCAGGTATCTGTCAAACAACTTTGTATCCCGGGCCCTTTTTTCTTTGACAAGTTTTGATTGATTGTTTAGCATGGTAAAAACAGGAAAACATGTTGAGCAATCTTTGCTAGGGAATCTGCATTCGTTGACACCAGAGGTAGCAGAAGTAGAAGATTTGCAGGCAGTGGAATCCATGACTGTTCATGGAGCCCTCGGGTCAGGTACTGGTTATGATTTGTAAATGTGCTGGACCAATATTATTGAAATTTCTTGCTTTCAACTGGTTGGTTTGCAAGTCCATGTTACATTTTTCATACTGAGGAGCTATGTATCTTGTGTTACTATTTTACTTTATTTTCTATAGGAGGTTCCCACGCTTCAGTCTCTGACGTAATGGACACAGTTAATGAGGCTTATAAACATGCATTAACAAGGCCAAAGTTCTGCCATCTGTCGGTCGCTGCTTGCCCTCTTCCAATACCGTTGCCATTTCCTTCGATCTTTGGCAGTCTGATCGGCCAGCATGGGGAGCTCTTGAGCAGCCCACTTCCAGGTTCTTCATCAAGGGGATCACTAGATGTTCACTCCATACCTATGGCAGCTAGACTCCGTTCCAGCAGTGCTGTCTTACCATTTTTGGAGAACAGATTATTAAATCTTCGGAGATATGGAATTGAGCGAGGGGCACCTGGGGCCGAGTTACTGAGAAGTTGGGGCTTTGCAAAGGATGAATTAGAAGACATCGAACAGAACCTAAGCAAAATGGTCACAACTCTTGATGATCGTTATCAGGTTTCCTCCGACTCAGATTAAGTTTGCCATTTCCTCAGTATCCTCATCCCGAAAGCCTATAATATTTTAAACTGAATTTAAAGTCGATAACTTTCTTGGATTTCTATGAGAGTTATTTTAGTTTTATTAGGGTTCTTGATTTCCTGTATTATTAGGTAAGCACCGAAATGTCGGTTACTATAGTAGCTCTATACGTTTCCGGATTTGTTGCTATTGAAACAGTTATGAAATACAGTCTGCAAGATGTTCATAATCATATAGACAAGAAAACAAGAAAAATCTATATTTATTATAGTTTCATTCGTGGAAAAATCAATTAGAACAAACAAAACTGGAGTTTTCAGGACATCTGGACTTTAGTGTTGACGTAGCATCACTACAAAAGCATTTGTAATCAGCTTCTTCATATCCCAAATGATTCATGTCATTTTCTGTTTTTGTTCTAATTATCTTGTCAAAGTGATATTTTCATGTTATTGGCAACATTTAAAAACAGCAGGATCCCAATTTTCCGTACAGATATTTAATATTTTTTTTGTTACAAGTCCATATTTTTAGGAATTAATCATAATCTAAGATGAAGGAGTTTGAAATATTTACAATTTGACCATATTAAAAAAATATTATTTATTATTTTTAAAATATTTAAAACGAATTATATTTCAAATAAAATAGTCATTTTATAACCATTTGTATTTTGAGATTGGAAGAGACGTTATAAAATGATTTGTAGTTGGAAAGAGAGAGAGAGATATTATAATAAGTGCTTACCCCACAACAACTCTTCTTCTGAGTTGTAGAGATAGAAAGAGAAGAAATATCTATCACTTCACTTGACATTCCCATAACGTATTTATTCCTCCTTTTTGTCTGTTTTGAGAAGCAATCCAATTTAAAATAAAATAATATTATAATAATATTCAATGGTTGCTTGGCTTTCAAAACCATCACACCTAGCTCTAACTAGCTACTAACTATACCCTTTGCTTTTCTTGCTACCTTCTCAGGATGGCACAAGGTCAGTCTACGTGTTGATAGATCTCATCACACTTCAATTCTCCCTCCTAAATTTATATATTTAACAATATTATCTTAATATTTATTATTAAAAATAATAATTAAAAACATATTTATATTTAATTAATATTTTTTTATACATGGATATCTAATGATTAACTCTCGTAGACAATTACTCCTCAAGACTTCCATTCTTTATGTTTTGTACAAAATGTGAAAAGAACGATATTTAATTAAATACATTGATGTACGCAACTATCAAATATAATCTATTAAAAAAAATTTTAATTTTTTATTGATTATAGATGGTGCCCTAGGGACATAAATCTAACTATTCAAGAAAACAAAAATAAATAAATTGATAGCATTCAGAAATATATTTTTCTCCTTTTGCTTATTAATTGTTTAATATCCATAGGTAATTTGGTTAAAAAATTACAAGGTTATGAAAGAAAATAGAAAAAAGATATGACATCAACATGGTATTACTTTTCCACAACCAAATTTCAATGATGGTTAAATAGATCTCCATGACATCAACGTCATGATAATTAATTACATTATCAGATTATTATTATTATATAGAGTGCACATGCATGGTCATTCAATATTAATTACATGTATGAAATCTATGATTAGACATTAAATATTCTTAAACATGATTAATAACGAAATTGTGTAAGGCACATGCCAAGTCCAAAAGATGGATATGAATTAGTAGTCAACCTGCTTGTTAATTTCTCTATCAGGTATTTTAAAATGAGAAATTAATAAACAAGACACAAAATTTGACCAAATAGCTTTAGAAAGTAATTAGTAAAGAGTGGGAAAATGCAAAAGCTTTCAAAAGAACTTCTCATTTGCACATATTCTGTAATAAAACCATCTCCTAGCGAATGAAGTGGAAAGGCAAAAAAAAAAAAAAAAAAAAAAAAAAAAAAAAAAAAAAAAAAACTGTATTTGGGAAATCAAGCAGTTTACCGTAACATTCAAAAATATTAATTCTTTTCTTCTTCTTCTATCTTCAGGCACAAAACAAAACACTTGGTTCCTCCTAAAAAAAAAAAAAAAAAAAAAAAAAAACTGTATTGGGAAATCAATGCAGTTCCTAACATTTCAAAATATAATTTTTCTTCTTCTTCTTCTTCAGGCACAAAAAACATTGGTTTCCTCTCTCCATCTCACGATGTATTTTATGTACTCTGTGTGTCAACTGTCTATCCAGAAGTTATGAGCTGCAAGGAAGGGAAGAGGGGAAAAAACCAAAAATAGTGAGAAAATATTTCTTGTAATCAACATTTATAAAATCTTGCAGTCTTTGGTAACTCCCTAAAATAGCATACCAAAATGCAGCAAGTCATCAATTACTTAAGATATTTTCGTATATTTTCTTTAATGAATTATCTCCTTTTAAATAATAACCTTTTTTTTTTTTTTAATTTTTTGAAAAAAATTATAGCGAGCTCTCTTGAGCCTATAATGAAAGCATGATAGCAAGCTCACTTTATCCATTTCTAAGCAGTTTGCAGATGAAACATTTAGTCCTAAGTTATAAACCAAAGTTTAACAATAATCACGAAATATTATTAATCCAGCAAACTAAGCTGTCATAAGACTATCTGAGTTTTATTTTCTTATTTTCTCTTTTTCCCTTTACCAATATAAGTTAAATGATCAGGACAACCTTAGCAAACCTAAAGAAACACAGCCCAAAAAAATAGTTCAAGACATGACTTAAAAATTGAATGTCTAATTTTCTTTTGTCAACCAAGTGCTCTTTTTTTTTTTTTTTAAAAAAAAAAAGGAAATAAAAGCTCCTTTTCAAGTGCTAATAGACATATATATACAACCAAAAAATTCAATAAAAAGAAACATCATTTTCAATGGAAAACCAAATTGCCTTTCATTAGGTGGAAGAAACCATCCAAGAAGGTTACCATTGTCATTACACTAGGAAACCAAATTCTAATACCCAAGTCAATTTTATGGATTCAATTAGCACAACAAACAAATTCTAATACTCAAGTCCTGTCTGTCACCCAAAAAACAAGAGAAACCTCACATGCTTAGTACAAATTATGTTGTGCACATTATGTGAAAACAATGTTTCAATGACTAAAAATTAAGGAACATAAAAATCAAATTCAGAGGTGCTACTCATAAAATGTTGAAAATCATATATCACTGGCAGGGAAAAGACAATAATAACTTCTCCTAACAACCAACCTATGCAAAAAAAAGAGTAATTCTGGCTTTCTACTGTTGACGAAATATATCTACCTTATTCATGAAACACCAACCTGATTACAAAAAGAGCATAAAAAACATCCATGAGTGCAAGAACGCTACAAGTGATAAAAAACCCTCACGTGCGTGCACAAGCAAAAACCACTTGACTAGAAAATAAAACAAATACTCAAATGGAAAAAGAAAGAAAGAAAGTGAAGACAACGTACCTAAAACAGAAAATTCCTTCAATGGAACTGGCAAGAAGAGACCAGTAATAAGACTAGACAAGGACTTCAACAAGATGGGCCCATACTCCTTCCCTCTTCATTTCCAGACCTTTGGTGCTGCTGTTCAGTTTGTTGAGTCTGTTGCTGTGGTTGAAGCAAAAGCTGTGCTTGAAGTTGATGATGATGGTGCTCTGCTTGTGGTTGAATCTGATAAGGATTATCATAGGTACCCAAAGCCAGAGAAGGTGAAACAGCAGCACCACCACCAAGCTGATTATATCCAGTAGCGGTAACCGAACCAGATGCGTCAAATCCACTGTTAAATCTCACAATATCTTGCTGTTGCTGCTGCGGATCAAAATTTCTAAAAAAATCTTGCTGGTCTCTTGTTGCAACAGTGGGAGTCAAATGTTGTGCTTCAAACAGTTGGTGCTGATGAAGTTGTGCTGGTTGCTGGTGTGCCGGTTGTTGGTGTGCCTGTTGCTGGTGTGCCAGTTGCGGATGCTCTCTTATCATCAATTGCCCACTAGGAATACCCATCATAGGAAACATATTATGAGCCATCACATTTGAAGAAGAAGGGTTACCCATATAGTGTTGTGGCATAAACATTTGTTGCGGAATTGGAGCCATCGCTTCAGGACCAATGTACTGCGACAATTCTTTCTTGGCACTGTGAAGTTCACCTTGCAGCTGCTTTAGTTGATGTTGAAGAACTGAGATTAGACCCACACAGCCATAGACGGGATCACGAAGACGCTCATCAGCTTCATAAGCAAGTGAATTAACGGCATCTTCACGTTGAGCTGCGTTAAGCTCATTTAGAAGCTTAGCGACGTTGCTTGCACCAAAGACCTTATGGACACTGGCAAACTTCTGAGGCTGATCCGGTGGAAAATAAGGTGCAAATACACATTCTTGTGTGCATTTTCGCCTGAGAAATTTGCAGGCCGCACATGGCGAATTTGATGATGATGACATTTCTTTTCCCTCTTACTACCTGCAAACAAGAACAAAATTAAAATCAAATAATTTAGTTTCTTTTGTTTTTTATATTAATAAAAAGGGGTTGGGATGTCAAAGATTCAAGAGAAGTTTCTTTTACCCAATTCTAGGAAAAAGAAGATAATAATTTTCTCTTTTGTTGCTCTTTACGAGAAACAATATACAGATAACCAAACAGTGAGTAACAAGAAAGCTAAGAAAGAAAGAAATGAAGAAAGAAACTGTATCAAGGAAGATAAAAATGGAAACGAATCATCATTTTAACCTAAAAAAATATCCGAGAGAAAGATAGAGACCCATACGCAGAAGATAACAGTGGTCTAATTACTATTGGGTGGAGATAACCATTAACTAACGCGTTTCCTTATAAGCTTTTGATTCTCTCTCGAAGTTTTTCTCTCACCTTGAAATGCAAGAAACTGATGGTCTAAAGAATCCTTCAAGATCCATTTTCCTTTTCAAAACTCAATCTTACAAATCCATTTAATCTCCATATCCAAACAGGCTAATCCAAGTGCTCTACAGTACACACATCTAGAAAAGAAAAATAGTAGTAGGAAAAAAAAAAAAAGCATCCAAATCACAACTCAGTGTCATTACCTTCAATTTTCACTTCAAAGAATTAAACTCTTTTTCTCAGATCAATCTCTCTCTGTAGCCGTCTTCAACGTCAATGTAAGCACCTGAAAGTTACCAACACCACTAGGCGTCAAGAAAACAAGAAAACTACACCGTTACAACTGAAAAACTTAAACTGTAACAAAAATGGCGTAGGAGACCTTTACAGAGAGAGAGAGTTGTATGGTGTAGGGTCCAAGTGCGGCAAGTATCGATCCGATCTTTGAGTTTCGCCGATCCCGATAAAAAAAATGGAAATTATAAAATTTTCAGATTAAAAAACTAAAATAAAATCCAAAGAGAGAGAGGAGACGGTTAAAAAAAAAAAGAAGCAAAGCGGAAATGACAAGGAAGAGGAATCACCATGGCAGGACCGTCATTTTTATAAGCGGTTAAATGTAAACCGTTGAGATTTAATTAGGGAATCTATTAACCGTCCGATCAAAATTTGGGGCTTTTTGCTTTGCGATGTGCGTGTGCGTGTAAATTTCAAGCCTTTTACGAGAGGGAGAGGCGGGCCCCTCCTGAATTACAATTTAATGCGTTCCTGACTTACCTGTTTGTCCCTGTACTGGCAATGTCTAATTCCTAAATTGCCCTTGCTTTGGACTAGTTTGGAACTTTTTTCGTGCCCTTTTCTTTCAATTGGGTCAGACCGTCAGAGGGACTTTGATAGGTTACCTAATTTTTTTTCCCGGTTAGGATTTTTAAAAAAGAAAAATCAGTAGTTGAACTAAAAAACAGAAAATAACCTTTCTTTTTTCCATAAATTCTATTTGTAATTCTTATATTTTGAACCAATTTTATGTTAATTAATTTCACCAACTAAACTAACATTTGTTAATAAAAAAATTTTACAATATTGAATGGTATTTTTAGCCAAACTATTATTAGTGCTTATAATTTCATTATGTGACAGTTATGTTTCAGAATATTAGTTATTTCTATTAGCTGTTTGCAGAAGTTCTTAACTATTTTTTTAACTGCTATTAGCTTATACCATTTTAATTTAAAATGATAAAAAAAGACATCAGTTAAAAATTAATTAAAAATTATCTTACCAAAAACAGTATAATTAATAGAGATAGAGTTTTGGCAAAACGATAAAAGCTATTTTAAAAGTTATACGCGATAATATGGTTTTAATTAATTGGTATTAGAATTTGAATCTTAAATTTAAATTATTAATCAAATTTATCCCTTATCTTTTGAGCAAAAATACATTAAATATAAACTAAAAAATAAAATACATTAAGCATCATAGGAAAATGTGGATGATAAATTTTTTTTTTTAATAAAAGAATACTCGGTCGAATAATATTATACTTAATTCAACTTTTATACAAATTATCAAAATACAATTAATATGATATTTTTTTCTTAATATATTCTTACGCTAAATATTAATTATTTATAATTTTATATCCCAAAGTTATGGAATTGACTATTATAGTTTGCCACAATAATTACTTTATTTTTGGAGATTGACTAAATATATAAATTTAGTGATGTTTTTTGCAATCATAATTAGTGAATTTTGGCAAAATTTCAAATTTGTCCACATTAGCAACAATAACTTTTAAAATTTTTATTTTTATATGTAAAATATTAATTTGATAGGTAGTTAGTATAACTTTTAGATTAATATTCATATTTGTTTTAACTATCAGATAATGTTTAATCGATTTAAAATCACACAATAAAGCGTTCAATAGATAAACTTAGAAATTAAAATATTTAATAAATGTAAATTTTATTAGTTGAAGTATCAATGTGTCAAAGTAAAATTAAGAGTAATATAATTTTTGCCATCAATTAAGGGTAATACAATTAAGAGTAATAAGATTAAGAATAAAATAAAAAGTAATATAGATTGCTCATGAATAATATAATAGATGTAAATGCATTATTTATATGATGAAAAATTAAATTTTTTAATATTATATCAAACATACTTTTAAATAATATTTTATATAAAACCAAACGTTCAAAAAATATATATTTTTCTATAAAATATGTTTCATAAAAAATATTTTTTATAAATTATTTTTCGAAAACAATCTATACTTAATTTTAGAATTTGCCATCACGGCATGCCGTTCCTCTTTTTATTATGAAAAAAAAAAAAAAAAGCCTTAAAAACCAATGGGTGGTTAGGTAACTGATGACTAACTTTAGGACGGTTACTTGGAAAAGACCCTAAAGTGCAAACTTTCCTATTTCCTAGCAGCACGTCCGTCTACCATGCGCGTTTACCCTACTGCAACAAGGCTGCCATCAGTAGTACATGGGCATTTTCGTAATTCTAGTTTGACAGAGCACATCGTTTCTCGATTACCTAATTAATGCCTCGTTCCTTCCTTCTTCAACCTTTCTCTGCACAGGAGAAAAAAAAATGTATTTATTATTTATCTCTTCTTCCCTTATGACTTACAACCTGCTATTCCCGTGTCAGATTCGTTCGGCAAATCCGACCTTTTTCAAAACCTGCCACAGTCGTTTTGATTGACCCTGCCGTTTAAGAAGATTCCACAATCGACGTGACTAAACCTTAAGCTTTCAGGATCCTATACCCATCACGCCCTATACTATTCTAATAATATCCGACACCGGCTATTCTACTTTCCCGGTCAAATAACATTAACCACCAGCTTGATTTGTCGTTTCAAGGGTTTTATTTATTCTTCAAGTATACACGAAGAAACCGTGTGGTATAAATTATAAAAAAAAAAAACAGTAGCACGTGTGAGTTGTCGTCAGTCGACGGTATTATTGACGTGTATTGTAATATGGAAAGATAGACAAGGGTAAAAATAGAAAGAGAGGGTCGCTTATCTTGAACGGAACGCGAGTAGCAGTATAGAGAAGCGAAAATGGCTTGAGAGAAAAAGACAGGAGACAAAAAGGACTAAATGAGAAGGGTAAGGTATTTACAGAATTACCGGCGGTTGGTTGGTGGTGACGAGTGTTTGGTTCTATACTGGAATAACAGCCAACAGAGACAAGGGTTCAGAGATTGCAGTGTGTTGTTGGTGAGCAATTGCGTAGATACAGTTTCATTTCATTAATTGTAATTACAGTCTAGTCTAATGGAGTAATACTACTATTTTCCTTTCTGTCTCTGTTTTTGCTTTGCTTGTATTTTAGGTATTTCCTATTTAGCAATTTAATACGGGCAAGAAACCTTTCCTTTCACATATCTTTCTCCCTCAAAAGAAGCAAATTTAGTCTTACAATACCACCATGCTTTTAATTTATTAAAGTAATATTAAATTTAATAATAATAAATTACTAGTAATTAATTATTAATTGAAAGATTTTATAAATAGACAAAGGACAATAATGGGTTTCCACATGGGATATGAAAAGAAGACCACCTGATCACAGCTGGTCTATTGCATGCAAATCACCTCCATTTTGTCCTTTCTTTAATAATACTAATATTATTATTTTATTGGTAGTTTAATTCTCCACATTTCCATTTTCTTTTGCTGTTGACTTTTATGGGTTGGCAACGTGCATGGATTTTGACAGGGAAATCAAGACCTGAGATGTGATCCACATGCCACGTTTGACGTTCCCCTTTCTTGCTTTTTTATTTTTATTTGACTATTTGACAAATGGATAGTGTAGGGAATTATTAGTCTTACTTTCTCAATCAAATAACAAAATTAACTATATTATATTCCCTCCTTCCTAAAACAAAAGTCCATCTCTCTCTTTTTTTTTTTTTTAATATTTTAAATCCCAAATAAAATTATATAATTTATTTAAAAACTCTTTTTTTTTTTTTTAATAGTCCCAAAAAATATATAATTTATTTTAAAAAATAATGTAATGTTTATTTATTTTATTTGGTAAGGTGAAAAGACTTATAGTGGTGAGTCTAATAATGTTAATATTAAAATGATACTTTAAAATCTTTTATTGCTAATTGAATTGTGATACCTACTGCTTCATCCGTATTTTCGATATAGAAATAATTAATTTTTTATTAAAATTAAGAAAGTAGTTAATTAATTTTTTATCATTTTTTTTAATTTACCTTTAATATCTCATTTATTTCTCTTCTAATATCAACATAGACTTTAAATTATATTTCAATCTTCAATGAGACTTTTAATGCTTTGTTGGAATAAAGAAAATATAAACAGTTGTAAAAATGAAGCTTATGATCTGAGCCATGGAGAGAAATTCATTTTTTATATTCTATTTGAAAAAAATTGTGTGGAAATATGAAAATTTGTGCTTATTTAATCTTCCAACTGTTTTTAGTTATTAAAAATATACTTTAAGTATTGGATAATTTTTTAAATATTTGGTGAAGTTCATAAGAATTTCTTTCAATATAGGCAACTTAAAAATTTTGTAGCCATTTTCTATTTAAACTCCATTTTAATTAGCGCTCATATAACATATATGAGCACATTTCTTTTAATGGAAATTGATATAAATAAATCTATTCTCTAAAAGTTATTCACATTAAATGTCCATATATACTCTTGTTTCCCTCTATCCTGAGAATCTCTCATACTAAAAGTTTTACAAAATACTAGAATAAAGATAAGATATACTTTTCACATTTGCATGATTTTAAATATTATCAAATTAGGTAAAAATTTTTATATATAAAAAAACAGGCAAATTATATACTTTTCCTATATAAAGAAAAGCAAGGGAGTAGTATGTATATTATCTATAGCCACGATGCATTGAAATTTGAAACAAGTAACACATTTCTCATATGAGCTAATCCCAATTAAACAATGGGCGTCCGCGATTTAGCCCATTGTTATCCAAATGGTTCATGAATCCCTTTGAATATCTCTAAATATAAAACATTTTATAATATTATTTTTTTTCTATAAATATCGTTTTGATAATATCTATAATTAATTAACTCCGTTCATTCCATTTTATTTATTTGTTATTTCTTTTTTGTATGTCCTAAAATATTTGCAAGGTTTCTAAGTTTTTATATATTTAAATAATTATTTTTCCTCTAATAATTTTATAGTTCATTAAATGAAAAATTTTTATTAATTTAATAGTAAAAAAGGTAAAATAGTTTTTATTGATTAAATTCTTAATATGCGTGTTTTGCCAAACCATGTAAATAAAATAGAACATAAAAAGTATATTTTTAGTTTTACTTTTATTTATATTAAATACGATTTGTGAGATTGAGTAATAAAGTGAAACAATTGTAATTTATTTAAATTAATAAATACTCTATCCGTTCAATATATATATACACACATAGAAAAAAATGAACCAGAAAATATAGTTCAACTATGGGTCCGCTTGTTTCCGTAAAAGAACTTGTAGGAAAATATTTTCTACAATGTTCCATGGTTTGAGGCGTTTAAAAAAATAAGTCAACGGAAAATATTTTCCTGGTCAAAGGAAAATTAAGTCATTTTTTACAAAAAATAACTTTCTATTTTCGAAAAAGTGAACATTTTTTGGATATTGACAAACCTTATAAATCTATATTTTTTAATTTATTAATCATTGTAGTCACTACTACCGGTCACTATTTACCACCGATCACCACCACCGGTCACCTGTGGCTTTTATAATTTATATATTTTTTTCATTTTTCTCCTATTTAACAATAAAATTTGTAAATTATAAAATTTCTATTATTATTAATATTTTTATGGTTTAATGAGATAAATACTTTAATATTTTAAGTAATTTTTAATATTACAGCCAAACAATAGAAAATAAGTCATTTGAAAAATATTTTCTATGAAAAATATTGTTCAGCAAGTTATTTTCCTGCAAATTATTTTACGAAAGCAAACGGATCATATATTAATTAATTTTCTTAATATATATTTAATAGGGAAATAGAGAAATTAAACAATAAATGATATTTTTTTAGAAAATAAAATTGGACTACATTTTAGGACAATATATATATATATAAAACACCAAGGAATTATTTTATTATAATTTAATAGAATAACTTTTTCCTTACTGTGAATTTTTGTTTTTAATGTTAAGTGTTTTGTACATTTAATTACATTGACATAGAATTCTGATGTCACCATTTAAGTAGTCCAGAATGTTATAAATGCCCCACTCATTACTAGCCTTTTCACCCCCATCCCCACCCTTGATTTCTTCTAGGTTACATAATTGCCACCATATAAATGTTTTGTATTGTTGGCCCATAGTAACTACAACTTAGATGTAGACAAATGGAAAAAAGAAAAAAACAATTCCACACTCAGACCAGCATGATATTCAAATAAAACTTCAAATAAAATATGTCTGAAAATGCAATTCGATTTTTCTCGTTCAATGGCTGTTTTTGCAAATGGCTTCATCCGAGAGGGACGCGATGCAAGATGATGATGAGTCAACTACGACAAGAGATCATGGACGGAGATTTCTCGATAACTTTAATGAAGACGGTGAATCAAAGCTAAATGAATTGATGGAAAATGAAAAGAGAGAAAAAGAAAAAAAAAAAAAAAAAGGAAGGGAATTAAAGGATTAAATGAATAAATGGATTTTTTTTTTTATTTATGTGTTTGCTTAATTATCATGCCACTAATTCCATGGTGAGGTTCAAATATGAATAATATGGAGATAGAGTTTTGGTTTTGTCCACAATAAGCGAATATATATATGCAGCAATTGTGGAAAACTCATAAACCAAACAAAAAGGTAGTTTTCTTTCTTTTCTTTTCTTTTTCCAAAAATTCAACTTAGCATTCTCTTTAATATTTAGCAATAACTTTTTTTTTTTTTTCTTTTTTTGGTTACATCATGAATTCCATGGCAATAGACAATTTTCAGGATTCAATATTTTGAATGCACTATAAGACATTAAACTTCCTGTTAAATACAACCACTCGAATACCCACTTAGTAATTAGCTCACGCTATTGTATAATGGTTCATCGCGCTATTTATGGACTAAATCAATGAGAATAAGGTTTCTTTTATTGAAATGAGGGTATCTATGACATACACCGAAAAAGAAAAATCGGAACACTCTTTAAAGAATGTTTACTGTGATTGGTTTGGTCCATAAACGTGGCTATGGACCGATCTGGGCAAGTAATTTCCATAAGATAATGTACAATTTGCAAGCAAAATGCCATCCACAAACATTGACATTAAGAAACTATCACTAAAGTTTTAGAAAGAACTTCACAACTTCTAATTTGCATATACTGTATGCGATATTTGTAATAAAAAAATGAAAAAAAAAAAACTAATTAACCATATATTCTCCTTGTCTCTACCAAAATGAAAAAAGAATAAAAATAAAAATAAAAATAAAGTTGTATTCTCGAATATCAAAGCAATTCTACATTTGAAAAATGCTATCTTCCACACAAAGTCTTCTTCTTTATCAAACCCAAAAAATTATGCTGACTAAGATCTCAGATGCACATCTCTCTCTAGTCTCTCCTTATCTATAAGTTCATATTTGTATTAATTGCATTTATGACCTGCACAAAAGGAAATAAACAAATCTTCAACTTTTGAGATATAAATTCATTAGCTACTATATACAATGAGGATAATTTGTTAATCAAGCATCTTCAGCTATATACTTTTAAATTGAATATCAAACATTAGACTAAACATGAAAAAACAAATGTGAATCAACTATGATCTGGTTGGCTTTTCACTTATACGAGAAGTGTGAGGTTTCGAATTCGAATTTTCTTCGTTTTATATTATATAGCCCATAATATTATTTTTACCTGAAATAAATTTTAGGACAACTTACATTTCAATAAAAGTCATCAATACCTACTTTTGTCTCTTAGAACAAAAGAGAAAATATAGTAATCTCACATGGCAAGCACAAATTATAAACAAAATTCTACAAAATCAGCATAGACTTGATTAAACAAAACAGTCATCACATTATACATAATTATTTCATGTTTTTAATTATTTTGTTCACATAGAACACCCTATAAAATCCATCGTCAACAAAATAAGGCCAAATTCATAAATTTACCCCTTTAATTTTCATTAAACATTGTGTGACAACTGAAGTTTTACTTTAACCCGTTGCATATCTAAACTCAAAATTATAATTATTAGACTTTAGCTTAGCAAAATATTCTATTAAATCCCCCAACATTTAAAATTAGATTTTTTTTTTTTTTTTGGTAAATGAGTTGTGTAAAATGTCTTGTCCTTTTTTTCCCGTGTATGATTATAAATAACATCGTTTGAACTAAAACACTGTTTATAATTAATTTGTTATATAGATAGAAGGAGTATTGATAAATCTTTCCATTAAATAGTTACCTATATGATATATGCAAGTAACTATAGATTGTAGATGCAATAGATGGGGAAGGATGTATCATGTGTGATCATATATACCTCTTGAGGTGAAAAGACAATATTTCTCTTTGCAATAAAGAGTAATTTTGGATTTCCAACTACCACCAGACTGTTAATTGCTTCATTTGTGAAAAACCAAACCAGATTACACTTAAAAGCATAGAAAGAATTCATAAATGCAAAGCTTTTTTAGTGATCTATGAGATCCCCACTTGATATGCACGAGCACATAAAACCCATCACACCCAGAGAAAATTAAAAACAAATAAAGTAATAATACGTACCTAGTTAGAATAGAAAATTTCTTAAATTAGAGAATATTAACAAGATGGAACCACACATCCTCCTTCGTCACTTCCAGACCTTTGATGCTTCGGTTGTTGGGTAGGTTGAGATTGCTGTTCTTCTTGTTCTGATTGCAGAAAAAGCTGTGCTTGAAGATGGTGGTGCTGATCTATTTGTTCTGGTTGAATCTGATAAGGGGTAATATCAAAAGAACCTAAAGCTAAAGAAGGTGACATAGCAGCAACAGCAATCTGATTAAACCCAGTTGTATTATTATTATTATTATTAACCGAATCGGAAGAATCAAAACCTCGATTAAACCTAACAATCTCTTGCTGCTGCTGTTGATGCTCATAAACCCTAAACATCTCCTGCTGCTCTCTTGCAGCCAAAGCCGCAGCCAGTTGCTGGGCATCATAAACTCGCTGTTGTTGCTGTTGTTCGCGCACCGACAATTGACCTGTAGGAATACCCATTATAGGCAAACCGCCGTGCTGTATTAAAGAAGGTGAAGGATTACCCAAGTTGGCAGGTTGCGCTGCCATGTACGGTGGCGATTGAAGAGTAGGAAGCATTGCTTGAGGACCAATATACTGTGCAAGCTCTTTCTTGGCGTTATAAAGATCACCTTGTAATTCTTTGAGTCTGTGTTGAAGGATTGAGATTAGACCTACACATCCATAGACTGGATCGCGGAGACGAGCTTCTGCTTCATAAGCAAGGGAATTAACTGCGTCTTCTCGTTGAGTTGGGGTAAGCTCATTTAGAAGCTTAGCGACGTTACTTGCCCCGAATACTCTATGAACATTTGCGAATTTCTGAGGTTGATCTGGTGGAAAATAAGGTGCAAAAACGCATTCTTGCGTGCATTTTCGCCTTAGAAATTTGCAGGCTGCACATGGCGAGTTCGGTGTTGACATTTTCTCTTCTCTGCAAACTAAAATAAAAATGAAAACTTTAGAATAGAAAAGTTCAGCCCTTTATTGAATCTTGAGTAGTGGACCAAATAGAGAAACACATACAATGACAAAGAAAGTAATAAAATTAAATTTTCAATTAATTGGAGACATTTAAATTAATCATATGAATTATTATTTTAATTATATAAACTCAGCAGGCATGGAAAGGTGTGATTGATCACTGAGAAAAATATGCATGGGGATTCTCGGAAACTTCGTTTGTACAGATTCTAGGAAAAATATATTTGATTTAATAAATAATCAAGATTTCACATATAATAATCAAATCAGGAGGTGCTTAAAGAAAAGAAAAAAAAATAGAATTCCAAATGAGAAATGGAGATTTGATTAGAAGAGAAAGAGATGGAGATATATAAGAGGCAGGAGGTAAAAAAGAAAAAACAAATATCCGATAACTACTGAATGGGTCTAAATTAATTACCGGAAAAATGTAAAAGAATGAATAGAAGAAGTGATGCTGTTAATCGGTTTCCCTGCACAAGTCTTTCTCCTTAAAGCAGCAATTCAAGAAAACTTCAAAGTTCTAAAAGGATCTTTCAAGATCTATTTTCTCTTTTTAATTTATCTCTGGAGAAATAAAAATTTGCGTTCTTTCTTCAAAAACAAAAATCAACACAAATCCCTTGATCTTCGCACTAAAACAGCGAGAGGAAGATCGATCTTTCCATATAAATACCAGCAGAAAGTAAAGGGTATAAATGAGAATCTCGAAGAAACAGAAGAGGTAGTACAAATGCACAAGTCTTTCTCCTTAAAGCAGCAATTCAAGAAAACTTCAAAGTTCTAAAAGGATCTTTCAAGATCTATTTTCTCTTTTTAATTTATCTCTGGAGAAATAAAAATTTGCGTTCTTTCTTCAAAAACAAAAATCAACACAAATCCCTTGATCTTCGCACTAAAACAGCGAGAGGAAGATCGATCTTTCCATATAAATACCAGCAGAAAGTAAAGGGTATAAATGAGAATCTCGAAGAAACAGAAGAGGTAGTACAAATGTTAAGTCAAGAACGTTTACAGGTGTAAAAAGGATGTATAGTATAATGGAAAAAAACGTGAATGATAGCAAAAAGACAAAGGGGGACCCTTATAGGTTTTAAAGAACTTGATCAGGAGACAAAAAGAAGGAATCATAAGGAAGAAAGGAGGTGGTGTGGGCTATGCCTGTCGATCGGTTGTGGGTTTCTTCTTCTGCTGCTGCTGCTGCCACTGACTATAAATGAAAGGGGGTTTATTTACGTGCTGTTTAATGCAATTTTTAATGCAAATCTTTGAGATCGCAGACCAAAAAATAAAAATTATGTTGTATTCGAACCATTAGGTCAGTGAAAAGAAACTTATATTCGTATACCAATTTTACAGGTAAAATTAGAAATTTAATACTGAAGAGGAATAGAGATTACGAGTATTAAAGAAAAATAAAATAATAGAGATTGCAAGTTGTTGATCAATTTGCTGTTATTTGCGGAAAGATCAGCATACCAATGGGCATAAGAAACAATCTCGAATCAATGAAAATGGTTAGCCCCACATTGCTGACTTACTATTTTTTGAACTTCAATACATCATCTCCATTCAGCGTTTTTTTATCTTTTCCTTTTTTAATCCGCCATATATGCATTTATATATATATATATATAATTGACAACTATAAATGCAAGTTTCAATGGGTAATAATATTGCAGAAGGTTCTTTAAACAGATTTATCTTTTTCCTCTTTTAAAATATTTCATTTTAGCATTTATAACATAGATATGAATGTTCTGATACTCTAATATAAAACTTGTCAGGAGGATAAATACACAGCCCATAAATCCCCCATTTCACCCTCCATCATAAATCACTCTTGTTTGGAATTTCTTCGCTCCAGATTTTTTGAAAGGGATTGTGTCGGTTTCTCCCTTCTTATACCCCTTTATTAATATGAATTTTTACCATTTTCACTAATATGAAACTGTACAAATGGGGGTGTATATATATAGCTCAGGTCCGACCGTGAGTATTTGGATCGAATTCTCGAATTCACTTAAAAGAAAATAGTATCAAGCCATCCATCCTAACATTTGTCAATTCTTGTATTTATTTTTACAATTCTGATTTACAAATATTATGTAGGGTATTTGTGATTAATTAAGAAGAAAGAAGAAGAAAAGTCGTTACATCTCATTCATATATTTTCTTACTTTTCTATTTTTATTCACTGGAAAACACAATTGACATTATGCAAAATAAATTTTAAATTCAATTGCTTTTGGTAAATTATTATTACATTAATTGTTTGTTCATCTCATAAATAAATTAAGGTTAATTATAAATTAAAGTAGAATATACTTATATAGACACTTTTATTTTAGGAATATAAATTAATGCTCTTTTAATTGCATATCAAATATATGTTAAAAAGGGAATTTGATAATAAATTTGAAGCAGATATATATTTTATTAGATTTAGCAATGATTTAAATAAAACTTTGTTTTGTATAAATAAATCCAAACTATAGAATTCAATTACAAATAATAGAATATTAAATTTATGAGTAAAATGAACATTTTCATTCATATTAAATTCCATAATATTCTCATTCATATTCTAATTTATCAAAATTAATTTCATTTTGTTTAGAGCCAATTCATGAATTTTATCTAATGAGTCGACACAAAAAACTATTAGAAAAGCACTTTTATTAATCCACAAGCACAAGGAAAATGAAATTTAATAATACACATTTTGTGTTTTCTCAATAGAACATTTGTTTATAGCAAATGCAATTAGCAAAACACGTTCTTCTTCTTGAATCATTGAGTAATAAATTTTAGGGCAACTTAAAATTTCATACAATCCATTTAAGTGCATATTATAGACAGAAGATTAAACATAGAAAGCATTCATAAATGCAAAGCTCTTTCTGTGAGATCCCTCATATGCACAAGCAACCACCAAAACTGAAGAAAATTAATAACAAATGAAATAATGAAAAAAAAAATACTTTCCCAGTTTGAATGGAAAATTTTCTTGAATCATTCAGAATAGTTTCTGTTAAAAAAAAAAAAAAAAAAAAAAAAAAAAAAAAATTCCATTAAAGTGCATATTAATAGACAGAAGATAAACGAGAAAAGAAAGCAGTCACTAAATGCAGAAGCTCTTTCTGTAGAACCCTCAATTATGCACAAGCCAAACCACTCAAACGAAAGAAAATAAAATACAACATGAAATTAAAGAAAAAAAAACAAATACTTTCCCATTTGAAATGGAAAATTTTCTTGAATCATCAGAAATAGTTTCTGTTAAAAAAAAAAAAAAAAAAGAAAAAAACAACATTAAGCCAAGAGGAATTACACTCCCTCCTTCATCACTTCCAGACGTTTGGGATGCTGCTGCAATTGTTGGGTTTGTTGAGATTGCTGTTCTTCTTGTTGCGATTGCAGGAAAAGCTGTGCTTGAAGATGGTGATGTTGGTCCATTTGTTCTGGTTGAATGTGATAAGTGGTATTATCGAAAGTACCTAAAGCTAAAGAAGGTGACATAGCACTGACAGTAATCTGATTAAACCCAGTTGTATTATTAGTATTAATTGAATCAGAAGAATTAAAACCTCTATTAAACCTAGCAATCTCTTGCTGCTTCTGTTGATTCTCATAAACCTTAAACATCTGTTGCTGCTCTCTTGAAGCCAAAGCCGCAGCCAATTGCTGCGCCTCATAAACTTCCTGTTGGTGCTGTTGTTGATTCTCACGAACCAACAATTGTCCTGTAGGAGTACCCATTATTGGAAAACTGCCTTGTTGTATTAAGGAAGAAGGATTGCCCAAATGGGAAGGTTGAGCAGGCATATACAGTGGCGATTGAAGAGTTGGAAGCATTGCTTGATGACCAATATACTGAGCAAGCTCTTTCTTGGCATTATAAAGATCACTCTGTAGTTCTTTGAGTCTGTGCTGAAGGATTGAGATCAGACCTACGCATCCATAAACTGGATCACGGAGACGAGCTTCTGCTTCATAAGCAAGGGAATTAACTGCGTCTTCTCGTTGAGTTGTGCTAAGCTCGTTTAGAAGCGGGAATTAACTGCGTCTTCTCGTTGAGTTGTGCTAAGCTCGTTTAGAAGCTTAGCGACATTACTTGCCCCAAATACTCCATGAACGTTTGCGAATTTCTGAGGCTGATCTGGTGGAAAGTATGGTGCAAAAACGCATTCTTGAGTGCATTTTTGCCTTCGAAATTTGCAGGCTGCACATGGCGAGTTTGGTGATGACATTATTTTCCTTTCCCCCAGTAAACTAAAACAAAAATCAAAACTTTAGAAGAGAAAAAGCTCAGCCAGTGGACCTAATAGGTAGGTAGACAATTTATTTAGGACACCATAATTACAAACGTACATGAAGAAGCCATAAAAAGGTGTGATTGATCACTGAGAAATATGCATGCACAGGAGATTCTGGGAAACTCCATTTACATATTCTAGGAAAAAATAGGCGATTTTATGAAATTTTTTTTCTATTATAAGTAACAATAATAAAGATTTCACAAATGATAATCAAATCAGAAGGAAGAAGAAGAGAAACTATATATAACAGAAAAATTGATAAGAAAAGAAAAAACAAATCACAGATCAGAAAAAAATAAAAATGGAAAGAAACAGTGATCCGATAACTACTGAATGGGTCTAGATAAATTACCGAAAAATGTAAAAAAATGAATGGAAGAAGTGATCTTGCTAATCATTTCTCTGTAAAAATTTGTCTCTTTGTATACCTGTCTCTGCTGCGTTGTTCATCATCAGTTCATCATCATTGTGAAAATGAAGAAAACTGTAAAAGGATCCTTGAAGATCTATTTTTAATTTTTCCTTGGAAAATAAAATTTTGTTTTATGTTTTCAAAACCAAAAATCCACACAAATCCCTTGATCAGCGCACGAAAACAGAAAGAGAAAGATCAAGCTATCCATATAAATACCAGCAAAAAGTTAAGGGTATAAATGAGAATATAGAAATAACAGAAGCAGTAGTACAGATGGAAGTAAAGAACGTTTACAGATGTAAAAAGGGTGTATGGGTATTTCCAAAAAGACAAAGGGGACCCTTTGTTTAAAGAACCTGATCAGGAGACACAAAGAAGGAATAATAAGGAAGGAGGTGGTGGGCTAGGGTTGTCGATTGCTGGTGGGTAATTTCTTATGTTGCTGCTGCTACTACTGCAACTATACATCTTATGTTGCTGCTGCTACTAGTGCAGATATACAGCGCAACAACGTTTAAAGTAATATTTAGTATTTTTATTGGATTGAAATACTATCTTAATATTATTTCATTTTGAAATATCATTTTAATTAATTATAACGTTTGGTAATACACAGGACGATGCTAGGATTTATAAAGAAGGGGACAAACCACTGTAAAACTTTATTAAGAAAAAAGGCAAAATGGTTAAAGGTGTCTTATAAATTTTTTCGGCCAATGTTCAAATCACAGAATTGTAAAGAGAATTTTTTTTAAATAGGAGGGGGGCAATTGTCCCTCTCCTCGACCATTTGGCTTCGTCCATCACAATACAGTTTTACAATTTCTTTATAATTTATCACTTGATTTTACCTTATTCCTTGCTTTCATATCTTTTTTTTATCGTTTTATATTAATATATTTTTTGTCATTTGTATTAAACAATTAATTAAACAGTTATTTGTACCAAATTAATCACTAGCACTTTTATTTTAAACCACTATATAATCAATTAATCACTAACAACTAATATTTAACACTTAGCCACTAGTAAAATAGATGATAGCTATTAAAACAGCTAACAGCTACTGGTACAACTAAAATTATGAAATAGACCCTACGTATGATCATTGTGTTAGGCAATAGCTTTTTAGATAGCTTTCATTAAATGCTATTTTTTATAATATTGGGTAACGTATTATTTGAACTAGCTTCTAGAAATTGAGATAATGTTAAAAGTTAACTCACGTAACATTTAGTTTTTTAACATTGTATGAAAAGCTACTAAATAGCTAACAAAGATTAAATAGCTAAGTTTGCTAAATAAACCCCTATATAGATTAATTTATCGGGGACACTATAACTATAATAAAAATAGTGTTTTAACTTAGTGAGTACGCTAAAAATTATATTAAATATTATTGTCAAAGAGAGCAATAGGGTTAGCAATAATAGTAGTTAGTTAGTTGTTGTAGTAGTTGTTAGCAGGTTTATTAGCTAGTTGATAGTTGTTTCTATATTTATATTTAATGCTTAGATAGCTCTTTCATCCTCTAAAAGTTATTATAAAAGTTATGTTATAATTAATAGAGATAGAGTTTTAATTTTATCAAAACGCTAAAATTTAATTTAAAAGTTATTGCCAAATAAGATTATAATAGCTTTTAAAGGTTAAATAAACGTTTAATGAAAAGCTATTTTCCTTAACGGTTAGCATTTCACAAGTGAATAAATTTTTTACAGTTATACCGATTATTTTTTTACAAATTAATAAACCTTATATGTGAAAAGCATTTTTTTGGGAAGATATGTGAAAAGTTTGTTAATTACTTGCTATGGTTGTGACTTTTTTTTTTCCAATGATAACAATAAATGTCAATTTTTTTTAAATGACAAATGATATTATTAGCTACATATAATAAAATTGTTGACAATAAAGTTGGAACATAAAAATTCACTCACATACAATGAATTATTTACCCTTTAAATAACAATTTATATTCATTTAATCATCAAAACACATACATATATAGTGTGAATTGGACATATAATCATGAATAGAAAAAACTTCTTTCAGCCATACTATTGCCAAACTTCCTCTCTTTTCTCACCTTCTCATGCAATATCATTGTCAAGCAGTATGGACAAAATTAATTATCAATCTAGTAATTTTTAATAATTTGATATGTTTTAATGAAGAATTTTCTAAAATGCTGCCTACTATGACATTTTTTTTTTTTGAAAGAGTAAAACTCATATCTTTTCATTCATTAGCATAAATCTCGGACAAACAAGGAGGAATATAATTCCAGATTCGTAGATGCGCAAAGCGAATAGAAGCTCGAGCTAGGGTATGAGCTTTTAAATTCGCTTGCCTACGAATCCATCTACACAAAACCAAAGGGAGTTCTAAAACTAAAATTAAGTTCTTACAATCAGAAATAATCACTCCCACATCCGGATCGGAAGTAAAACTAGAGGAGCTCAAAAGCAAAAAAATAAAACCTGCGAGGAGTCCATGAAAATAAGTACCTCCTGTCAATTATAATTTTGCTTGAGAAATAATCCAAAAACTACGAAGAAGCTCAGAGCCCTCCGCAACATGAAAGGGGTCCATACCACCTGGTAAGTGGCTGGAAATTGCGTTGAATAAAAAATGCCTTCCTCCGGACTCCATCACCGCTTTCCAAATCCTTGGCATGGCCTTCTTGGCTCAAAATTAGAACCATCCACAAAAGCTTCCATGATTGATCTCCACTTTATTGCTAAGGCGACGTCGGGTGAAACTATTGCATGGCCTTTGCCGGACTTGTATTTGAGGTTCACATAGCCATGCTTCTTTGCGCCAATTTTGTATGTTCCCAACAATCATGGTATTCTTTTGCCTTCAAGAAATGTAGTGTAGCACGTGTCCTCTATATTGTTCCCAAAGGAGCATTATTTCGCTGCCATCCCAACTATATCTAGCATACACCAAAAAAAAATGATTGGGATTTTATTTTATATCACCATGAGCAAGTACCTGCAAAAAAGAAGTTTAGGTAAAAAGAAATATTTATATCACCTACTTTCATAAGCCCCCTTGCTCCAAAACTCCCTTAGCCTTACTACATTAACACTATTGCATGGATTAATATCCTCATTCCTCCCCGACCACCAATGGGCACCAATATCAACCTCCACCCCTCTCCTTCTCAAATCTCCCTTCGTAGGCAAACACATTCCTTAGGAGCCCTCGACCATAAAATTCTTATGTCTTCTAGGGGAAGCATCTAAAACACCACATCTACACCACCATCCACCAGTCTTACCTCATGCACCCTCCCCCTCAACAACCGCCTTGCCACGTAGTACCCCGACCTAAACGCTATTAAAGCCTTTTTATCCCAGTGGCCACATTAATTTGGTCCCGCTAGCATCTAATACTAATAGGAAACCCTAATATTAGCTCTAAACTTCTCATGCTAAAAAGTTGTTTCATCACCTTTCCCTTACATCCCATCGCCCTTTCCCCCTCCACAAAAAGCTCGCCTCACTTTCATTAGTAGGATCAACAAAGTCCCTACGTATCCTCCACCCAAAACTATGATCCAAAGCATCCACGGATGTGACTTAATACACGATAGGTTTCCCCATTCCCTACTCTCCACCGTACCCCCTGTTTTAATACCCCCCATAGCAGCATGAATACTCCTCCACACATAACTAGGGATGCCCCTAACCCAGAGGAGCGTCCAAAAAATAAATCCCTATTATGGAAATATTTGCCTTTGAAAAGTTTAGGAAAAAGAAGTATCGGCCTCCGTCATAAGGCGCCACCCTTGCTTCGCTAGCATGCGCCATATTAAAAACAAATTGGAAGATCCGCAAACCCCTACCACTTCCCTTTGCTACAACACATCCTCTCCCACGGCTAAGCCAATGAATCCCTCTACGCCCTCCTTCCTTTTCCCCCCCACCAAACTTGTTCATCCTTTTGCATCATGACACATATAGGAAAGAGGGTATTTTAAACACACTTCATACAGTAAGTAGGAATAGCTTGCCGCAATCGACTTAATTAATACCTGTCCTTTCCGGCTCTAAGAGGAGGAATCTATTTAGACCAATGCCAAATCCTTTTTCAAAACTATCTTGAAGCGAAGCCCAAAACACCTGTTTTTTCGATTTGCCAATGAGGAGCATGGGAAGACCAAAGATTTAATTGACCCCCACCAATTGAATCAACAACATCAAAATAGTAGAGATTATATTCATTCAACTCTCTACTCATATTTCAGGCTTGAAAAAGATACCCGATTATTTCAAAATTAATGGCCTGACCGCATGCTCTCTTTCATATTTCTTCAAAATATCATTGACCTCCTCTTGCTTCCTGTAAAGAAACCCTCAAAAAAAGAAAAAGAAGAATCATCCGCAAATAGCAAGTGTGTAATGCTCGGACAATTCCTTCCCACCTTTCACACCCTTGCAATTCTACCTCTCCTTTTAGCATCCTGAAATAATAAAGACCAAAACCCTCCGCACAGATAAAAATTAAAAGTAAGGCGACAAAGGATCGCCCTGTCTCAAACCCCTACCAGGACGAATAGGACCCACCTCCTTACCATTCAATAACACAGAGTACTTCACATCAGTTACACATAACATCATCCATTTCACCCACTTCTCACAAAAACCCATTCTTAGCATCATACCCCTCAAAAACTCCCAATTGACCCTGTCGTATGCTTTCGAAATATCAATTTTTAATGCACAAGCACCCCCTTGATTCTTCCTACTTTTAATGTTATGAATTAATTCAAAAGCCACTGCCACATTATCAGAAATTAATCTCCCCGGAACAAAAGCAGATTGACATTCATCAATAATTAAAGGAAGAATTTTTTTATTTTTTTTCAAACCTATTTCGCTAAAGATTTTGCCTACAATTTTTATATAAACTTCGCTAAAGATTTTGCTACAATTTTATATAAAACATTACAAAGCGAAATAGGTCTATACTCTTTTAACGACAGAGGATTATCACATTTAGGAAGCAACACAATATGAGTATCTGTCAAAGTTTTTGGGAAAGTACCTGTGTCAAGCCATTGTTTACAGTCCCTCCAAATATCATCTCCAATCACATGCCAAAAGTTTTGAAAGAACGCCGGATTTAGGCCATCCGGTCCAGGTGATTTGTCAGGTTGCATATCAAATGCAGCTTCTCGGATCTCATCCAACGTAAATGGAGCCGTAAGAATATTGTTCTGGATAGCTGTCACCTTTGGTTGAACAAGATTAAAAATTTCAATGCCGACTTATTCTTCTGCACTATAAACAGTAGAAAAATAATTCAATGTAATTTGTTCCAAACTGTCATTATCTTGAACTATATCGCCATCCTCATTTTCCAACTTCAGAATTTTAGCTCTCCTTTTTCTATTTTTTATGGAAGCATGGAAATATTTGGAGTTTTGATCCCCCCAATAAAGCCATCTCTGTTTCCGTATTTGTCTCATTCGGCACTCTTCTTTGAATAGAATAGTATTCCATTCATTTTTTAGTCTTTGAACAGTGACATCATCAAACACATCTCTTGCATTTGCTATACGTTGCTTTAATATCCTTTTTTTCTTCCAAAATATTTTATTAAATTGCCGACCCCACTTTTCCATTTCTTTAATACAAACATCTCTTTTATGTAACAATGTCCCACTATCATTATTACACCAAACATCTTTGACAAGTTGATCCAATTCCCTCTCCCCCACCCAACTATTATCAAATCGAAACCTTCTATACAAATCGAAACCTTCTATAATTATTGTCCACTTGTCTATAATTTAGTTGAATAAATAATGGGGCATGGTCAGAAATAGGGGCTGTAATAATTTTAGCTAAAGCATTCACATACATAGAAGACCACCCCATATTTGCCATTACTCTATCAAGCTTCTCCCTGCAATACACAACCCCATCCCTCTTCTTCTCCCACGTAAACCAAAAACCTTCCCAAGGAATATCCACTAATTCACAGTCTGAAATTGCATCAGAAAAACCGTTCAGCAAATGACGTTGGACAGCTGCTCCTCCCAATTTATCATCCGCTGTCAAAATGTCGTTAAAATCTCCCAAGCACAACCACGGTTTGTTGTCATCAATGCTAGCTAAACTACGAAGCAAATTCCATGAAGCTCGTCGCCTTGAGCCTTCCGGAAAGCCATAAAAAGCCATAAAAACCAATTATTCTCCCACTCTTTTTCTTAATTTTAACCGAAAAGCAAATTCTCCACTCTTTTTCTTGAATTTTAACCGAAGCATTAATAAAATTGCTAGAAAAACTAGTCACATTTATTTCAAAATCATTCATCCAAAGTAGACAAAGACCTCCACTCCTACCCACACAGTCAACCGTAAAACAATTATCAAACCCCAAAGAACGATTCACACTCTCCATTCGATGATGTTGCACTAAAGTTTCCATAAGGAAAATCACCTTAGGCCTATAAGTACCGATGATATCCTTTAGTGCCCTTATTGCGCCGGGATTGCCCAAGCCCCGGCAATTCCAACTCAAGAGACTCATTGCATTCGGCTATCCTGCAATGCAGGATCAGCCGCTGCCTGAATACCAGCCATATTTTGAACTGGGTTTGAGCTTGATGAGGAGTCCTGAGTGTGCAAAGAAACACCATCTGCTATTTGTTTTAAGCTACGTTGCCTTTTCTTTATTTCCTTAGACTTTTGCATAGGCATGTCTTCATTTAAGTCAATGGGATGAGATGTACCTGGCCCCACTTCATCACCATCTAAATCACAGTCCATCTTTTCTTGTGAATTGCCCATACTCAAATATAGTTGACCAGAAATAAGATGCTTCCTATAATCACGTGATATAATTTGATTCCTATCCAGATTTTCCTCATTCAAATTTCCTTGATTTGCGCCGATAAATCCTCCTTCCCTATTCCGTATCCAGCTGCTCACCGGCTGTGATCTTCGGCGAGGTTTAGCCCTCAAACTCTCATCCCAAGCCATAATCAGTTCATCCGGTCTCTTCTTCAATCGCAGTTCACAAAAATTATCTGTGTGTCCAATGATTCCACAGAGATAACAAAATGTTTTCATCTTTTCATATCTGAACCGAACATAAAACATTAAGTTACTATCATCAACCAATCTTTTCCTTCTCTTCAATGGCTTTCTAATGTCCAACACAACCTTCATTCTCATAAACTTTTCATTATCGTAATCAACACATACTTTTGGGTCATATTCATGGCTTTCTAATGTCCAACACAACCTTCATTCTCATAAACTTTTCATTATCGTAATCAACACATACTTTTGGGTCATATTCTATAAAAGTCCCTATAAAATCCCCTAACTGCTTTGCCTACTATGACATTTAAAAGAAAATTTTTGGTTCATTTTGATTAAGCTGACTGCCTTATTATGATATAAGGTCATTATGGTAACTCCAAAAGTTTAAATGGGCCTAAAAACTGTAAATTTAACAATTTAATGGCCCAATATCTTAAAAACGAAAAACCGATAAAAAGATCCAAAATTTAATAACATAAGCCCAAATGAAACATGCTCCGTGCCCTTAAACCCCAAAACTGAAAGCTCAGAAACCCTCGTCCTTGTCATTTGGCTAGTTGATACGCCGGAAACGCCATGGCCAAGTGGTGGCGAAGCCTAAGAACGGTGGTTCAATCTCCATCACCACTACCGCTCCGATTACAATCATTATACTCACAATCTTCTCTTTACCACACTATCCAAGCCATTCCCCGAGAGTTCACTGGTAGTCGAGTATCTGCTCGAGATAGATTACAAGGAAGAATACCGGCAGTGGTTTTATCTCAAGGCCTTTTAGATAAAAATCCTAGCTCTCGATCAATCTCGAGAAAGCAGCTGCTGACTACTGAGAGGAAGCAGATTCATTCCATTCTTAAATCTGTTGAACTTCCCTTTTTCTGCTCCACCACCTTCCGCCTCCAGATCCGCGCCGGGTCCGGGTCTTCGGAGGTTCTTGATTCTGGAACCATTTTACCCATCAAGGCAAGGCTATAACTTTACCTTAACTTTTTGATTAATTTAAATTGTTGCTTTCTCTAAATGCTAACTAAAAAAAATTCGGGTTGCTGTAATATAGATACATAGGGATGAGGAGACTGGAACGATATTGAATTTGGTGTTTGTTTGGGCCGATGAAGGAACTCAGTTGAAAGTTGATGTGCCCATTGTTTTCAGGGGAGAAGAAGATTGTCCTGGTCTCAAGAAAGGTATTTTTGTTTTTCTTTTTAATCCTTAATTCCTTGTGTTTTATGATTTTTTTTTAAGTTCAGAATTTGGATTAGTTGCGAATAGCGTTTTGTCTCCATATAGTCAATGTGATATTTGGGTTTTGGAAGTTACTTGCTAACCCTTTCTGAAATTTTATGAGATTAAAATGCGAAATGGCTTGATTCAAGTTATGGCTTCCTCTAGGACGAGTTAACTGGAGAAATTTTGGATTTAATTTCAAAAGTATTAACATGATTTTTCTTGTGCTGTGCTTTGTGGGTGTAGCATTAGTTATAAGTGAATTACTTATGCTGTCATTTTAAAAAATCTGGTATTAATCATTATTATTTCTATTAGAGATGATTATTTATTAGCTAATGGAGAACGTTTCTTGAGAATGATTGATTGGATGTGTTCCTTAGGTCTGCTTTTGTAGCACATGTCCATAAAGAACGAGGTGTTTTAAAAATGAATCTACAAACTTAGGCGAGCCAAATGAATACACTTTCCCATGTTAGCTAACATTTGAGTTAGATAGTGAAACTCCATTATTGAAGTGTTATATATGCATACAATATGCCTGACACATGACAGATTTGCTAATATCACACTTGTGGTGGTTTGTAGAGTTTCAAACTAGATATTGAGGTGCGGAAATTGAAGAAAAGGTTGAAGTTTTATTGACTGAATTGGAGTTTCTGCTCAGGTTTTAGGATGAACTGGTGCTGTCTTTTCCACTGGAGCGGGAGAATTAGTTTGCTGAAATTTCTGACAGCATTCAAATTAGGGTTTCAGATGGTATATTGAAACAGTGATGGTAACACGCAGATTGTCCACTGTTATGTGAACAGTGTCATGGGCAATAATTAGCAGTCTTTAAGTGAAGAAGGAAGTAAAAGGGGAATGTCAGAATGTTACATGATTTCTATTCCATTGAGCTCCCTGTAACTCATTGTGACTAGTTAGGAATGGTTGACATAAAATAAAGAAAAGGACCATAGTGCTCTTGTGTGCCTTCTTCATGCTTTTGTGTGTTGTGGGATACATGTATTCTTGCCCCTTCTTGTTCTCTTTCATAGGCTGATGTCTTATCTCTGGTTTCTTTTCTCTTTCCTAGGTAGATCTCCTTCGTCTCTAATCGTTACCACAAAATATACTACTAAAGATACTGCATTTTGGATTTTTCAGAAAATTAGCAACTTTATGGAGATATGTAATCTAATGTCCGACTTCATTTAACTAGGAACCCATGCCATCCATGATTGTTTGTCCTCATCACAAAACAAGGCAGCATAGCTTTACGTGGACATTTGTTAGCATTTTTGTGTCCAAAGGTCTCGGAGAAAAAAAAAAAATTAATCGTCATTTTTCATCCGTTGTTCTGTATGAAATAGGTTTGTAGGTTGGCAATTGATCTTAATTGTTAGCGATGCCGTCCATGTTTGGGTAGCATGCCACACGAGTAAGTAGTTTATCCTAACCTTAGGTAGCAAGGTAATAACAGAAAATGGCATCAATTATAAGTGGAATTACTTTGATGGTTTCTCATATTCCATTTCTGTATAGAATATAATGTGAATGTTATCTAGTTGACTATAAATGGATGCCATCCAGCTATTTTGATCCTGTTCAATTTATTATCCTTGGTTTTTCTCTCAGTTTCAGTTGGTGTATGTAATACATTAATTAGCTAAATATGGGAATTTCTAGGAATTAATAGGTGTCTAACGATCTACAATTTTATTACCGGCCAGAATTGGATCATAACGGAATCCCGGTCTATACCGGCACCATAATATCAGATTGGGGGGGAAGAGTTGAGATGACATAGTAGCATATAATAGATTTGTTATAGTTTTTTCTCTTCTCACTGGAAGCTCAATTAACATATTCCTATCTGTCAAGTAAATATCTCACTCTACTTTTTATGCCAAAACAGGGGGACAGTTAAAGAGGATAAGGAATAATCTGAAATTTCTTTGTCCAGCTGAACACATTCCTCCGAAAATTGAGGTGGATCTGAGCAAAATAGATATTGGAGAAAGTGTGTTAATGACGGACGTTGAGGTTCATCCATCACTAAAGCTTCTGAGTAAGAATGAGAACATGCCTATATGTAAGATTGCATCAACGGACTTGTTTAGCCCAGAACCAGCACAAGAACCAGCACAGGAATGAACATCAGCAATTTCTGGAGATTCAGTAAGCCTGAAAAGGAGAAGCATTGGAATAATAATTTTTTTACTTTCGCTCGGTTAAGGCCATGGTGCATTGGGTTTTCCAAATCGGTCAATGATGTTAGTCTTTGGAGCATAATTTGACATGCACGAATCGGATATTCTCATTAGCATGTTATAAAATACTGCTTTGAGCCTCACTTTATGAGGCAGTTGTACTGAAAGAAAACCGCTTACTGAATAATAGTCCATGTATTAAATGAAACATGCAAGATTTGAGGTGGCTCTTCACCACTTATGTTGTTCCTTTCAACAGAATTTTGATCTACATATGAGAATTAAATTTGTTACATTTATTTGATCTAGAAAGTCTTCTTTGATATTCCAGCTTCCTTTCTATATTTTCCTTTCATTTTTGTCAGGCTTGAAACGTAAAAAAAATTAGTCAGTCAGAAAGCCAGCATTGATTCAGCTTAGACCTGAAGTGTTAAATGGTCAAGCTTGCCGGCCGATCAGCATATAGAAATGCTGAAATCAGGTTAGGTCTATGAAGCTGGGTGCCGCTTCAATAATGAGCTGTCTTTATTTGCAAATTCTCTGGAAGACATTTTCTAGCCTATTAAATGAGAGTCAATTTAAATAATATAATCAAGAAAAAGAACAACTTATATGACTATGATCCATGTTTTGACTTCATGGGTTTTCTTGGTAAATGAAATTATGTCTTTCTTTTCTATTATAGAATCTATAATCATAAAGCTTTTTCATGGCATCTTTGATGTTTTTGTTTATGTGATGTAGTGGAATTACCAATTGCACCTTGTAAAGAATATCTTTTGGGGAAAAACAAAAATCACATAAATTGCTCTTTTTCACACCAAAAGCCAATTTTTAGATTCCTAATTCTAATTGCAATAATTTGATAATACATCCTATGTATTGAATTTTCAGACTTTGTAAGATATAAAAATCTGAATACCAATAATAATACAAAATAAAAATAGCAAATACAAAAATTTATAAATTACCAAAATAATATTTTATTTGATGGCTCCATCCTTCTGACGGGATATCTTGAACATGTCCACGTGGTTTTTTTGTAGTTTCCTTGGCCAGTTGACCATTGACTCTGCCTTGGATTGGATTGGAGCAATAAATGGGAGTTGGCGAAAGTGACAAAGGCAGAGAAGTCCTCTTATGTTCTGCGTCGATCTGATTGTTTGACAATGGCTTTCGTATTTTTGGTCAATTACACCTATATTAATATACCCAGTCAAATATTTATGTTATTACTAATAAAAGAAAATTAACTATTGACATGAAGTATACAATTTTGATTTTATTAAGAAAATTCAATTTTTAAGTTAATATCTAAAAATAAGGATTCAATTCCACCCACCTATCCCTTTAAAGGACAAATAATGTTCTTATGACACCACTTATTATTTGACTGTATTGTTAAAGTCAAATCTCATATATATATATATATATATATATTGTTGGTAATGTTCTTTAATGATTCCTTTCACCTTGTTAACCAGATGAAGCATATAATGTCCCCATCAATATATCTAATTAAGATCCATGTCAATCCACTTGTGCCACTCTTACAATCTTAATTTTTGACCACCTTATGCACAACTTCAAACTTAAAAACCAATTGGATTTTTTTTTTTTTAAATTTCTCTCCCTAAAAAGTTTATAAATATATCTAATTAAGCATCCATGTTCATATCCATTGTTGCCACTCTTACAATCTTAATTTTTGACCAACCTTTATGCACAACTTCAAACTTAAAAACCAATTGGATTTTTTTTTTTTTAAATTTCTACTCCCTAAAAAGTTTATATATATAATATATATATATATATATATATATATATATATATGTCTTGCTGATATATATGTCTTGCTGATCATTAGGCTTGTATGTTTAAAAATTGCTAAATATAATAAAAAATCTACTTTGTTTTTGTAATTTTTTTTTTTATAAATTAAGATTATGAATTAACAGTTTTACATCAAATAAAGTAAAGTTAAAAAAAAATTATATAAAGTGGTAATTTATATAATTAACATACTTTCAAGATTATCTTTATTTTATTTAATTTACTTACATTACAAATCTAATATAACTTTATTTTGATAATTACACATGATATGTTAAGCACTACCTCTACAAGTTGCACTATTGTTGTTCTTTTTTTTTTTTTTTTTATAGCATATTCATAATACCTCCAACTATAAAACATTTCAAATCAAATTTAATACACTATGTGAATTTATCCAAATAAAAAAAAAAGTCATTTATGTTGCATTTTTTTAAACAATATAATTTAATATTAATAGTGCTACAATTGTTTTAAGATAGATAAAAATAATACATAAACTTTTGACATTCACACAACATTTTTGTCCTTCTTTAAAGTTATATATGTTAAATAAATAAATCATACAATTGATAAAATTTCATGCACAAACAGAATATTAATATCCACACACAACAACCTTGAGTTAATCAATTAGGTCTAACTAACTATGTATAATTATTATATTATATTGTAAATGATACCAACTCAAAAAATAATATATTTATACATGAAGTAAAATAAAAATATTAAATATCCTTTTAGGTCATCAACCAATCCATCACATTAGAAATTTGTTTGTAGATTAAAAGGTTAGTTAATTTGTGATATTGATAATTTATATATATGATTTTCAGCTTATCCAATTAGATAACAACAACATAAATTTATTTGTCTGAGTTGAATTAGTAAGCTACTATTAATTTAATCTCATAAGTTAAATTTTTTTTAATAAGAAATAAATTTCTTTTACTTATAACATTTATTGAATGAAAAGATAAAAATTGACTCTTGCAATTATAAAATGATAATATATATTATTTTTAATTATTTAATTCAATAAGTTGTCAATGAGTTGTCGATTCAGATAAAATTATCGCATATTAAATTTGAAAAGTGATAAAAAGCATTATATTTTTTTTATAAGCAACACATAAATAAGCATTATTTTAGTTACAAGTAAAAATAAACAAAAAAAACAGGAATTTTTGTTATTAACTCTTACATTTAACTTCTAATTAATCCTCATTATAACATAAATAACAATATTTGTTATTTGTTAATTGGAAAAAAAAAACTACTATTAGCCTAGGAAAAAAAAAAAACAAAAATAGATGAATTGGCATCGCCACGTCACTGCATAAGAACTGTACGGATACGCGACACAAATACCGATTATTATACAACTTTTATTCCGTTCCATCAAATAGTTTTATTTCTAGTAAAACAATCTAATTCTAAAATGGTAGAACAAAAAAATCAACGGAATTCCTACAAACAGTTCCTAACAGAATTCACACTCTCTTTCCCTCCCTTCGCTTCCCTTCCCTTCCAGAGAGACGGAGGGAAGAAAAAAAACAAACATAAAGAAAAGAAAAAAGAAGGCCTTGACTTGATTATCATCAATCATAACTTTGACCTTTTTCCTCTCTTTCTTTTTCGTTTGGAGTGGGATTACATTCTGCACCGCGTTTGGGACTACGATTTCGTTCTCTGCAGATGGATTTTCCCTCACCTTCGTGTTCGGCTTCCATTTCTTTCTGCTTTCATTTTCAACGGATTCAATTCCTTCCAGTTTTTTTGACCGGTAATTATTATTAGAGGGAGGCTGCGAATCATGATCTTTATTGCTTCCATATCTCGCTATGCGTTGGCTTCAAAACATTTCCTTCTCGTCGTCATCTTCGTCGTCGTCGTCTAATCCTTTCTCTTCCGCTTCTTCTTCTTCTTCTCCTAACCCTACTTTATCTTCCTCTTCTTCTTCTTCCTCAGCCGCTGATGCTGCTTTCTCTCTTAAAAAACATAGCCGGAGCTATCTTCGAGGCGGTCCGTTAGGTTTACGCTTCGGAGGTGCGCCTAGGCTACTACGTCACAGGAAGCTTCGTCAGTTGGCGGAACATGAGAGTACATCGACGCGTGGACAAGGCCAAGCGGCTTCTACTAACGCCGTGAAGCCTCAATCTGATTCCTCTGAGGCTGTTCAGCTTTCGCGGTCGCCGAGTGGTTCTTCCTCTGCTGTTCCATCTCGGTTGTCAACGTCAGTGCCTGTACCGTTACCCTTGCCGTTACCGTTGCGTGAGAGTTCGAATTCTGGAGACGGGAATAAGGAGAGGGATCGAGACGGTTTGAGAGAGAGAGAAAGAGAGAGGAATGATGGCGCGGGAGATGGATTATCTTCTTCGAATTCTCCAATTGCAAGGTTCTTTATATATATATATATCCAGACTCTTTTTTTCCATTCATTTGGTTGGATAGAATTTTAAAATTGAAATTGATTATGGATTTTTTTTTTTTTTTTTTTTTTTTTTTTTTTTTTTTTTTTTTTTTTTTTGTAAATTTTCTTGCAAATTGATTTTTTTTTTTTTTTTTTTTTTTTGTAAAATTTCTTGCAAATTGATTTATAAACATTTTAATATCGTACCAAGAAAGAATTATTTGGGGTTTGATTGATTGAATATTAATTGTCTCTCTAAAATTAATGGCGTAGAAAAAAAAAATCATGTGTTTTTTTTTATTATTTTATTTTATTATGAATTGTCGTATAGTGTTGCTCTAGGATTGTATCACGTTCTGTTAGTGAAAAATTGTAAGCATTCGAGCTTTGTTTTTTGGGGAATCGTCTTTTGGTTGCGATGTAAATTCTTTCAGTACATGCTTGCACTGCAGGTTCTAAATGACTTCTTTATTGACCTTTCAATGCTATACGGTGAACATTTCACGCATTCTGCATCTGTTGTGGCAATTCCTCCATTTTCATTCCTCACTTATATATATATTTTTCCCGTCAAATATGTCTGCAATGATGACTTGTTTTTCGTCATTGAATTTTCTTTGTTAAAATCATGTACTGCTACAGTGTATTTGTTGGCCGAGACACGAGGAAGATGGTGGAGCCTCTAGATATAAGGTCACATGGAAAGGTGCATCCAGATTTTATTGTGGATAATTATGCAGAGAACTTCAAGGCCAATGTTCCCACTAGGAGTGCACCTACTAGTCCGTTTGCAAGTCCCACAGTCAGCCCACAAAGATTAAGTACTGCTGCTGATTTTTTACCTTACTATCAAATGATTGCTAGAGGAAATCAAGTCTGGTCTGCACCAGAAATGGCAACATTAGATATACCAGGGTTTCCTCCTCCAGCTTTCTTTGATTACAGTGCATTTAGTACTGATAATTCTCCCCTTCATAGTCCACCAAATAGAAGTCCCCGCTGGAACCCTAAAAGTCCAAACGGGCCTGCATCACCATTACCTGGGAGGTTGTCAATTGAAATCTTAACTCCAGGGCGGGAAAGTAGTGCTAATGTAGAGGTCCACCCATTACCTCTTCCTCCTGGAGCAGCCAGGCTTTCAACATCAACTCCTATCCCTCAAGTTATTGCCAAAGCAGATTCCATGCCCTTGAAAAGTCGGTGGCAGAAGGGAAAGCTTATTGGACGGGGCACATTTGGTAGTGTTTACGTTGCCAGCAACAGGTATGGAAACTCTGTATTTCTCAAGGCTCGCTTCCTTTCAGCAATAACGCTAATCGCAGTTTCTCATTTCCAACAGGGAAACTGGGGCATTATGTGCAATGAAGGAAGTCGACATATTTCCAGATGACCCAAAATCCGCAGAGTGTATAAAGCAATTAGAACAGGTTAGTCACCGCAGCTGTTTTGAATTCATATGCAGATTATTTCTTCTCATCCTCTTTCTTCTTAAACTCATCAAGTGGTCAAGCATTTCTTCTTAGCCTTTGTTCTTGATATTATGCACCACCTTTCGGTTGATAAGTATCAATGTATGTCTAACTTTTTTGTGTAGGTTCATGACATGTAGATGATTTTATGTTGTAAAGGTTTTGCTTTAATATATTTTTCATTTTGTTGACATAGCATACTTCATTGAATTATCTTTTAGGTTTCATACCCTCCCCTTCTTTTCTTACTCTCTCCGTTGTTTCAGGAAATCAAAATTCTCAGCCAACTAAAGCATCCAAACATTGTGCAGTATTATGGTAGTGAAATAGTGAGTAGCTTTTGAGTGGCACCTTTTTGGTTTCCGATTCCATTGTCTGCCATGTTAGTTTATTCTTAAGATGTTGAATTAATAATTTCATTTGTATGCAGGTTGAGGACCATTTCTATATATATCTAGAGTATGTTCACCCCGGTTCAATCAATAAATATGTCCGTGAACATTGTGGAGCCATAACAGAAAATGTTGTTCGAAGTTTTACTCGCCACATTCTTTTTGGGTTAGCCTACTTGCATAGTATGAAGACAATACACAGGTACTGGAATATGTGTCATTTGAGTGACCTTTCAGGAATCAATGATATTTTTTTTTCTCTCATAAATAATTCCGTTTTTCCTGGTTTATTATACAGGGATATAAAAGGGGCTAATTTGCTAGTTGATGCATCTGGTGTTGTTAAGCTTGCTGACTTCGGGATGTCGAAACATGTGAGTACTAGGTTGTGCGTTTTTCTAAAATACCTTTTGGCTGCATGAACTCCTGCATATGGTCTACCTATAGAATCTAGCTTGAATTTAAGTTTGTGGCAATAACTGTATGTTAGGATATTCTTTCATAACCATCTTGAGTTGCATCCCATTAGCTCACTGTGTTCTGTTCTTGTTTTACCCGTAAAGATATAGTAAAATCCAATGTATGATTTCTTCAATATTCACATTGTGAATTCTGTCTCACACTAGGCTCATAAAATGTTGAACTATTTTTTTCTTGCAGCTTACTGGACAAGCAGCTGAACTTTCTTTGAAGGGAAGTCCATACTGGATGGCTCCAGAGGTACCTTTATGTTGCTAAATAAATATGTGATGGTTGATAGCTTTCCTACTCTGATATCAATGTCTCCTCTGCAGCTTATGCAAGCTGTAATGCAGAAAGATGCCAGCTCTGATCTTGCACTTGCTGTTGATATTTGGAGTCTGGGTTGTACTATTATTGAAATGTTCACTGGAAAACCTCCTTGGAGTGATTATGAGGGGGTAAGCACCAGCGTTTTTGCCATGTTCTTTATCGACTATATTCTTAACTCTGACTTGGAAGTATAACATACGAGATATCCCTCTCTCTATACAGTCTACATCCTTGCAATTTTTTGAGTGCAAAAAGAGACCAGAAACATTAGAATGTAGGATCTATTTCAGATCCCCTGTCAAAATTGATAAACTCTCTCAGTGTGCCAACTGAACTGTTATTGCAAATTTTTTGATCGGAGTGAATCTGTGGCATGCAGTTTTAGTGGTTAGTACAATTGAATTTTTTTTTAATAGCAAGTGAGACGCCAAAAAAAAAAAAAAAAAAAAAGAGTGAAATCTGTGGCAATGCAGTTTTTAAAGTGGTTAGTAGCAATTGAAATTTTTTTTTTAATAGGCAAAGTGAGACGCCAAAAAAAAAAAAAAAACCAAAAGACTAGTATATCCCCCCCTAAAGATTTTTTTCTGTTAATCATAAAATGGATGTTGTCACTAAATCCAGTGATTAAAACAAAAAAAAAAAAAAAAAAAAAGACTAGTATATCTAAGATTTTTTTCTGTTAATCAACTAAATGGATGTTGTCACTAAATCCAGTGATTAAAACTTAGTAATTTCTATCTAATGTGCAAGTCTGCCAGTCTCTGCATAACATACCCTGCCCATTGGATCAGGATGGATCTTTGGCAAATAAGATTGGTTATAGATTTGTATGATGATGAATATGCTTAATATTTCTTCTAGATTATTGCCTGATGAAAGTACAAATCTGTCTTCTTTTATAGTCAAGTACCACTATACAAAGTTCATGGTGATGGAGAGGAAAAAACTGTGGTTATGCGACTTACGGATTTGATATGTGCATAGTATGTGACAATTTTTTCCTGTTAACTGAATATTTGAAATTCTATTACACTATGCAGGCAGCAGCCATGTTTAAGGTTCTGAAGGATACTCCACCAATACCTGAAACATTATCGTTTGAGGGCAAGGATTTTCTACGATGCTGCTTTCAAAGAAATCCTGCAGAAAGGGCATCAGCAAGCATGTTATTGGAACATCGTTGGTTGAAAAACTCACAACAAGTCGATGTTCCATCTTCTACCCAGTCAATTAATGGGACAATGGTAAAATATGAATACCATTCTTTACTTTATTCTTTCTTGAAATATATATTAGCAGTTTGTATTATATTTCACATTGCATTGGCAGGATAAGCTTGATCAGTTGTCAATCTCACAAGGTGCAAAGGGAAAGGTGGCTCCTGACAGGTAAATAGTTACTACTTTCCATGTTGCCCTCTTGACCTACCCCTTTCCATTTCTTGACTCCTAGAGTTAAATGCATTTTGAAATCGGTGGTTGTTACTCTTGCATGGCTCCAGCTTCATGCATTATTCTTTTTCTTCAGCGTGACTGCCCAGCGATCTCATTATGAAACTTCCAACTTAACAACAACAGCAGCCCCTTGCTATTCTCCGCGCTCTACTCTTGAGGTTCTTCCGACATTATCTCCTCTGTGCACGGGTCAAAGAACTCATGCTAGCTCATCTTCATCTATTCCCAACTTAATTAAATCGGGTGGGAAAACTAATCATACTTAAGATAACAGAGAGAAGTTGAAGAACATCTGCTTGTTCCTTCACGGGCTATGCTATAACACAGCTTAAATGAAGGATGTTGAAATTATTAACCTTCATAGGCTCTAGTGGATGACCGCCGGCAATAGGTTGTTTCAGTGGCAAGTGGTTTGCCTCTTCTTTGTCAACATTGCCTCCTGAAGATTCAAAGTCTTTTTTTCGTCCTGGGAATATGTTCTGAACCTGGGATTCTAGTAGCAGATTTTGTATACTTTTTAACTGATCTAGAGCTTCAGAAATTACAAAAGTTCATTTATATGTATATTTTCCAAGATAATATTCTCTGACTCCAATTTTTTGGAGTTAAAATGTATTTTGAGAAGAAAATGATAAGGTTCAAGTTACCAATCTAGCCAAAGGGAGTTTCGTGTGACAAAAATGACGCCGAGTAGTTTTCAGTGAATTTTTCAGGCTGTCGTAAACTCTTTTACCAGTTGAAGTTGAATGGAATAAGTGTCGTTTTGATCTTTGAAATTTGAAGCTATTATGCTGCTATGTTTGCTTGAAAGAAAGGATTAGTCAAAAGGGGTTGGCAAATTATAATTTTGCTTGTGAAGTTGGAATAGAACATCGTTAAATTGTTTAGCATAGTATTTGGTGCAGAAGGATATTTAAGGAGTATTTTAGAATTTCTAATTATAATAGAGAAAGTCATCTAATACTATCAAATAAGGATATTATACCAAAAATGCACAATTTTAACTATAAAAATTATATTTTCTTAATTTATATGAATATTATTATGAGATGGAGGGAATACGAAAAAATAAATTACGAGTATATATCTAGTAGTAGGAAACCAGCACGAATCAAATTTGGGAATTGAGTGGTCCGACTTCTAAATTTGCAAAATTTGGATTTATTTTGGGTTTGAACTTTGAACTATAAAGGATCTTTGACCCTTGGATAGCATCGGGGAAATCCCACCCAACGGTCCAAACCTAGTGTAGGTGTTTGTGTGGGACTCAAAAGACATTCTCCTCTAAAAAAGTGATAGTGATTAGGCCATCATCATCTGTTTCTAATCTGTCTGTTTGAGTCATCGTCAAGTGGTCAACTTTAAGTTAATGCATGATTTTTCTACTAATAAAACATTAATAAAGATCCTTTCCAAAAAAAAAATAATAATAATAAAGAATTTTTATTGGTCTTGTTACTTTCTCTGTTTCTCATCAAATAAAAACAAAAACGCAACTAATGTGCAATCACGTGATCCCATAACCGGCCTTTGTTTCTTTCTTTCTTTCCATTACGGCTCTTCCTCTCTTCTTCCTCATAAGCATTCCATTTCCATCATTTTCTAGAGAAAGAAAACGACAGCAAAGAGAAAGAGAGAAATGGAGCCACCAGCAACACAGGCGATAGGGAGGAATTGCCAGTCTGGAGAAGATGAACAGGACAAAGTTATCAACGAATGGTAATTCCGTACTGTTTTTTTTTTTTTTAATTATTTTTAATTTTGATTTGCTTATTTCTACATGTAACGTGTATTTATTATTGTTTGTTTGGTTTTTGGGGATTTGCAGTTGTTCTTGCTTTTATGATTGCACAGAAAGCTGCTTTGATTACTTGTGCTGTAATTTCTGCTGAGAGAATAAACTTTTAGAATATTCTATTCTATCTCTTACTCGCCATGGCCCATGAATATGTATAATGTCACCGTTTGGAGAAACTGGTTTCTTATGGATTTATTGGAATTTTAATTTAATTAGCTGAAGAAAAATTGTGTAGTTTCACTTTTTTAAAATTTTTCTGTTTTCGGTTTTGTTAATTCGTTTCGACTCGATTAATCCCAAAATTAAACCATCTGTCGTTCGACGCCTGGGTATAATTTTCATTTGCTTTTAACGTGTGTGTCGTTTGCTGCAATGCTTTTGTTTCGTTTAAGATTGATGGACTTTTTACCATCTGCTATTCTAGAATCAGCTATCTGCGCTTATTGTTTTTTAGTTTACGCAATTGCTTTATTAAATTTATTTGCGTCATACATACTTGTTAGGGCTTCTCGCAACATGTTCTAAAATTTGAATGGGCGGTCGCTTGTTCGTTGGCCCTGCACATCCGCCCGTTTGGATCCACAATAAAACTACATGTCGTTTGTAACCATTCCAGGATTCCAAAATTCCACTTCTCAAATAAAGTTTGGTGATTTAATCAGTAAAGAATTTCAGTTATAAGAGGGTTTCAACCACTTTAATGTCAATGAATTAACTGTTGCTATTACTATTATTATTATTATCAAGATAGTCAACTTAGACCTTGACGGCAAATTAGGTATTCTAGCAAAACGCTAATACATGGAAATTTTTGCTGAACAAGGTCTTAGTTTAGTATGTGAAAACTAATAAAAAAATTAAATAAATAAATAAATAGTCTAATTTATTTGTATTAGAAAAATAATGGTAATTACAATTATAATTATATAATTATGTTCTTAATTATATTCTACCAATAAAGAGTGGTTATACTTATATATTTCTTATTACTGATAATGCAAAATAATTTAAGAAAAGTATTAAAACTCTTCTAAATGTATGGATTATACCTTCCCCAGCAGTTGCCTCTTAGGTGATATTTTAACAAGACAATATAAGTAAAAAGAATAAAAATTCCATTTTGCTTTTTATATAGATAGTGTGCTTTGAGGAGATCAAAGTTGAACTCCCCCACCTCCCAAACAATTGTATTGGCCAGTGAACACTATTAAATGTCCTTTTATTTTCCATTTTGGGGTTTAATGGTTTATTGATAATTGGTCAGTCAGTGATGGATCCATTTCACCAGCCCCCATTATGCATTCTCAATGTACTCCACTTACCCTATAGATAATTCAGTAATTCTAAACCACTTCATTATCATTATATATATTATTATTATTTTCTGAAAATATATAATTTTCCCCTATGAGCATACGATACTTTTTCAAGACTAATCTCATTTCAGGATTAGTGGGATGTTTCTCTGAGTGTTTTTTTAAAAATAGAATTCTTTGACCTTATAGAGATTATCTGTTGACTTTTTTAATAATTTCTTTTTTATGAGAATAGAATATCTATGGTTGAACCTTTGACCTGACATATTATGAGACAGACATTCGATTATTAAACTATTAACTCAGAAAGCATTTTTAGAAATATGAAATATGAATAACTTTAAATTATTCATTATTTTTTATTGAAAAATCATTGTTGGCTAAGGCTTATCTCCAATAATGGAATCATAAAATAAAAGTATCTAAACTCTAAAGTCTACACCTGAAAGAGCTTCAACATCTCTTTAATTGCACTTTGTCTTCGCATGCAACGACTTAAGTCAAATTTGAGAGAATAAACAAAGTCACCATACGATACTTTTCAAGGTGGAATGCATCACCAAATCACTAATTACACTCAAGAGAGCTAGCTCTCTCTATTTTTTTTTTTTTTTTTTTTGACATTTCTCTTTTAATTGCACGTTTGTCTTTTCGCATTGGCAACGACTGTAAGTCAAATATGGAGAGAACCCTAAACAAAGTCACCATACGATACTTCCTTTCAACGGTTGGAATGCAATCACCCACAAATTCAACGTTAATTACACCTCAAGAGAGGCTAGCTCCTCCTATTTTTTTTTTTTTGTTTTTTTCGGATTTATATATAATTGTTTTAATTTTTTTGCCAACTGTGTATAGCTGGAGCTTGCTGTAAGTTCTGTCTGGCCCATTGGACCTTAGACTTATGGAATAATATTACCAAACTCATTTGAAAAAGACATAAATTTAAGTGCCCTATAAAATTAGGCTCTGTTCCTTCTTGCACTACGCTTGTCACTTAGCACTACTAGCTATCGTTACAGAATTATAAGAATCTTCAAGAAACTGAAGGCACTAATACTCCTTATAAATTTCATTTATGTCACTAATTTGTTTAGGCTCTCGTTTATACTAGTTGTTTCCTCTTCCTCGCAACTTGACTATAACATGTCTATGATATGTCTTGTCCTAATTTGACCAGAATTGTTCGATATGGTGCCTCTGGCATCTGCTATGGCATTTTTTTTTTTTTTTTTTCATTATATATAATTTTTTCAATTTTTTTGCCACTGTGTATAGTGGAGCTTGCTAAGTTCTTCTCCCATTGACCTAGACTTATGGAATTATACCAAACTCATTGAAAAAGACATATTTAAGTCTATAAATAGCTTGTTCCTTCTTGCTACCGCTTGTCACTTAACACTACTAGCTATAGTTAAGAATTTAGATTTCAAGAAATGAAGCATAATTACTCCTATAAACTTCCATTTATTCACTTTTTTTGCTTGTTTTCTTTGTTTCCTTTTGTTTTCTCGCAACTTGACTATAAATTCTATGATTATTCTTGTCCTAATTTGACCAGAATTGTTCGATATGGTGTTTGGTCTGCTATGGCAAATGATACAAGAATGGCAGCCTCTCTTTTGAGGCTTCACTTTCATGATTGTTTTGTTAATGTAATTTTATCAAATCCATCTATTTTCCCTTTATTTTTTTAACTAACGATTAAAAATATTTCCATTTTTTCGCGTCTTTTCAATTTTACCCTATACTTTTTCTTGCATAATGTGATAACTATTCTGATTTTCTTGCAACTTACATATAATTGACATTGAAATTTGAATTAAAATGTGATTGGGAGAACTGTATAAGGTAAAATTGAAAAAAATGTGAAAAGATTGGGGTATTTTTTAAGTCTTTATTTTCTATAACCAAGTTTCTCAATGGTCTTACTATTTTTTCCATACAAGAAATTGAAACCAGATTTTGTTTTTTCTGGTTTATATAGGGATGTGATGGTTCTGTGCTACTTGATGGAGATGATGGAGAGAAAAATGCATTCCCTAATCGAAATTCAGCTAGAGGATTTGAGGTTATTGACAATATTAAGGCTAATTTGGAGAAAGCTTGTCCTGCTACTGTTTCTTGTGCTGATACACTAACATTAGCAGCAAGGGAGGCTGTTTATCTTGTAAGGAGCATTGTCCTTGATGATTGGATATCACATGAATTGTGAAATCAATCTTCTTTTTTCTTTTTGTGTGTGTATTTTCTAATTTACCATTCTCAGACTGGAGGCCCATACTGGAACGTACCTTTGGGTAGGAGAGATGGCCTAACAGCAAGTCGAAGTGATGCTAACGAACAGCTTCCATCACCTTTTGAGCCTCTAGAGAACATCACTGCAAAATTTACCTCAAAGGGTCTTGAATTGAAGGATGTTGTTGTGCTTTCAGGTTAATTTAATTCACAAGAAACTAAAAATGATAATATTTTTTGTCTTGAATATGAAAAAAAAAAATTTCAATCTCACATAAAATTATTGTATTTTCTAAATACAGGTGGACACAGTCTTGGGTTTGCTCAGTGCTTCACATTCAAACCGAGACTCTTCAACTTCGGTGGTTCTGGCAAACCTGATCCAGCACTAGACACATCATTTCTACAAAATCTACAAAGTTTGTGTCCAAACCAAGATGATTCTGATACAAATTTAGCTTCTTTGGATTCTACTTCCTCCAAATTTGATAATCTCTATTACAAGCTTCTTATGAACAATTCTGGGCTTCTCCAATCAGACCAAGCTCTAATGGGCAGCAATACAACTGCTTCATTGGTCAGTTACTACAGCAAATTCCCTTACTGGTTTTCCAGGGATTTTGGAGCATCAATGGTCAAGATGGGTGGCATTGGTGTAATTACAGGACAGAATGGAGAGATCAGAAAAAATTGCAGGTTCAAGAACTAGTAGCCTAGTGTTATTGTAATGTAAATAAATCAAATCGTTGTACTCTGCTCTTTCTTAATTCAAGATTCTTGAAAAGCAGGAGTCTATTATCGAAACAATCTCATAATGCTTCGCATAAGAAACCTTCTTACTTGAATTAAAATGGATGGTGTCTTTTTCTTGCCTACTTTTTTACCGTTTCTTGATCTTCTCTTCTTCGTTCCTAATTTCTGGTTGGAGTTATCAGTTACTTTGGCTCGAGCTTCTACTCTAACAGGAATTTGTTCTTCTTCTACCTCTTTAATGATATCCCCATCTTCAGTTTCCTCTTTTTCTTTACTTTTCTTTCTCTTTAGTTCTTTCAATCTTGATAAAACCAAGTTTCTATTTACTTCAGCTGCAAGTTTCTGTTTCAAGAAAAGCGAAACCCGCCACTCGGCAAGTGTTGTTTCCTCTTTTGCCTTTTCGGTTAAAGCAAAATATTCTTCTGCGGTAAGTTCAACATTCCTGTTATGAATTGTCGAATTGTTTATATACCCAAGTGCTTCTGCTGCTGATACATTAAAAGCTTCTGATTCTATTTTTACAGCTTGAAGTGTAGCTTGTAATGTTTTTAGAGTATGTCTTCTCATCCTAAGTACTTGTTTCATTTTCGATCTCTCTCTTCTCTCTTTCTCCTTTTCTTGTTTGATCAATTCCAATTGCTTGCGTTCTTCATGCAAAACTTCACTTATTTCATTAATTATTTTCTTTGCCCTGATTTCTCTGTCGATTTTGGATCTGATGATTGTATTTGTTGCCTCAAGCTCTGATTCGAGCTCTGAAATCGAAGCAAGATTTGATTTCAGTCTTCCCTTTATCTCTACTAATTCTGCCATCTTAGGCTGCAAAGTTTTCTGATGATTCTGTTCCAATTCCCTTTTCTTTCTTCTTGTTCTTCTATCTTCATCAGAAGAATCCATTTTGTTTCAAAGGTTTTTTCTCATTGCAAGTAATAGGTATAACAGATTAATATTGGCCTGAGAAAGAGACGTTCTTGGCTTTTGGTATGTTATAGTTGGCTTTTTCCATCCTAGTTTCTGGCTTAGCTTTCCCCGTTGCATCATTTGTATGATGTACTAATAAGAAAATGAAAAATGGAATATTACTAATTAATAAGCAACAAAACTATACAATCAAGAAGATCCCTATGAAATTAAATATTTAGCCCTCACAGGAATAGTGGAGGTCAGATGAAATCATAATATTCATTTTCTCTGCTCTATTTGTTTTCGGTTAATAACTTATCTGACAATTTTTTTTTTTTTAATTTTTAATGTTTAGAGTGTTCAAAAAAATCAGTTTAAAATATTTTTCTGATTGAAGTAAAATTAAATGATTTTAAAAGAAAATGATTACCTTTTTTCAGATAAAAAATGATTACTCTTTTTAAAAGAGAAAAACATTGATAAATTTATTATAATTTTATAAATACATATTAATATACCAAAATCTTTAATAACCATTGCCGATGTATGCTAAATAGCATCAACAATCACAAAAATTTATCATTTTTATACATTTTTTTCTCATATCTAACAAAAAATTTTATAAGATTATATAATTTTAAACTTTTTTTATAGTCATAATTTTCAATATTGAAATCAAACAATAAATAATAAATTATTTAGAAAATATTTTTTAAAGAGAAATTATTTTCTGAAAACAAACAGAAGTAAGGGAGAAAATTAAAGTCCAGCGGGAAATTGATAAGAAATATTCTTGATTTTGGCCTCCACCTGAGAAATGGAACAAGAAATTGGTAAGAGTAACTCTGCCTAATCTCTTCGTTCTGTCGCTAGGTAAAACCAGATATGCCACTCGCTCAAAACGACTGGCCCGATGCACATAAAAACGACAATACATGCACCTAAGAGCGATTTTATCATTGACTTATTTTGAACAGAAGACAATTTAGTCCAAAGCTAAAAAGAAAAAACGTTAAAATAGCAGTTGCATTATAAGAAACACCTACCATTGAAAGAAAGAAAGAAAGAAAGAAAGAAAGAAACATGTTAATTTACATAACTTAAAACAAGTTCAAGGATCAAAGCCTACAGTACACTTGCTTCTATAATTTTCTTCATGGAATTGAAACAGCCCCTCGAAGGACGTGACACTAGAACTATTCAGCAACTTGATGCCGAAAGCAGGATGAGGAATCGTATATGCTGATCTTATCAGAACCCAGCTACGTGCCAATTAGTATCAATGAACATTCTATTACTTCAAGTTTGAGGAGGATACAGTTCCCACAGTGCAACTGTAGAGTCTTCTGAGGCAGATGCCATTAACTTACAATCAGGTGAATATGAGACCGCATTACACTGCAATAATTGAAAATTTAAAGTTAGAGATATCTACCAAGAACATTTTCAAAAGTGTAGAGTATTAAAATCAGACAACTGCTCAGAACCAAGTTTAATCTTTTTCAAGATGAGAAACCTGTATTTGCATCTTGGTGGATAGAAGGAATCCAAGTTATAATATCTTAAGTGCCATATGATTTCCTCGCTTTGTTTATTTTTTTTCCCTCTCACTTGGTCCTATGTACTACTGCCAAAATGTGATTAAACCACTATGAACAGAAATGCTAAGGGTAAAGCTCGAGGGACATCAACAATGCTTCAATTTGCCTTGAGTTATTCTCAAAAGGCTAAAACCAAATAATCGGGAAACTTCAAATCACAGGCCAATAAAGATGAATCCTTAGGAGTTTAAGGATCAAAACAGATCTAATACCATATGATAGCAGCTTTATCATAATGCACAATTATATATATGCAAATGGAAGACATAAAATAACAATCTAAATAAACAAGAACAACAACATTCTTTTACATGCTTGACATGTTCAACCAGGCACGACTTATGCAGAAAATAATATGTACACAGCAAAAGCAATTCCATCCACTAAAAGAAGTTAGTGAAGAAGAAAGAATTCAATTACGTAGTTACCAAGTTCAGCAACTCTGCTAAGGCAAGCATTGAAGCAAGAAATATCTAACAATCATATGCACCCATGCCTAAGCAACTGCGGAAAACAAAAATAAACAGGATACAGGGAAGACACATATACCATGAAAACGATAATTTCTTTTTTGTAGTTGATATAGAGTCACGTGAAGAAATAAAGCATATGGAGGACAAAATATTCCAATTAGTAAGGTGAGAGTAATAACAACTATTATCACACACTAGGTTAAAAGGGTAATAAGATACCGTAGCATGGTGGTACTTCAGAATGGCCAAAGCATTTCCTTTGCGGTAATTATATATCCTGACTCTGCCATCAAAGGAACAAATGAGATAACCATGACAATGAATAGTTCAAATTTGAAATTATTCTTATTCTCTCTCTCTCTCTCTCTCTCTCTCTCTCTCTCTCTCTCTCTCTCTCTCTCAAAGCAATTCACCGAACTAAAAGAAGTAGTGAAGGAAAGAAAGAATTCAAGTCCTTACGTAAGTTACCAAGCCCTTCAGAGAAAACTCTTGCTCCCAGGCAAAAAGGCATTGAAGCCAAGCACAAGTATCTAACCAGATTCATTGCACCATGCCTAAAAGCAACTTGCGGAAAACAAGAAAATAAAAGGATTACAGGAAAGACACAGTATACCGATGAAAACGGATAATTTCTTTTTTGTAGTTGATATAGGGTCACGTGAAGAAATAAGAGCATATGGAGGAGCAAAAAACGTATTTCCGAGATTTAGTGAAGGGTGAGGAGTAATAACAAAACTGAGATTATCACACACTAGGTTAAAAGGGTAATATAGATACCGTAGGCGATGGGGTACTTCAGAATGGCCAAACATTTCCTTTGCGCGTAAATGGTATTGATCCTGACTCTGCCATCAAAGCGACGTGTAATGTCTTTTGTGTGCACGTAGAGGAGAACAAATGAGATAACCATGACAAGTGAATAGTTTCAAATGTGTGAAATTTTTCTTATTCTCTCTCGTCTCTCTTCTCTCTCTCTCGTCTACTCTCTCTCTCTCTTCTCTCTCTAAGCTGGGTTGTGAGGAAGTTTAATTCTGTCAGAAGCTCTGCGCCACATTTTGCCACAGGTAGATATGTGGACCACGTAATATTGCATTGTAAGGCCTAGTAGCTTACAAAAAGCATTTCATTACAATGTTTAGCTTGAAACGAGAAATCATTGAATTGAAAAACCCACATCCACCCTCGATCAGGAGACAACCGAGGTGATGGATATTTCTCCGTTAAGGCAAGGACAAGTTCATATAATTGAAACACAGAGTGAGATCATGATGCATGCTCTTTCTAGCGAGTAAAACAAAGCGGTAAGATAATGAACACCATTAGAAATTTAGAGCTATAATTGCTTTATGAGACTCCCACAAAGAACCACCAAAAAGAAGAAAGCCTTGATCTCTCTCTCTCTCTCTCTCTCTCTCTCTCTCTCTCTCTCTCTCTCTCTAAGCTGGTTTGAGAAGTTATTCTTCAAGCTCTCCCACATTTTGCCACAGGTAATTATTGGAAGTAATATTGCATAACCTAGTACTTACAAAAAGCATTTCATTACAATGTTACTGAACAGATCAATTGAATGAAAAACCAATCATCATCAGAACAGAGGATGATTCTCGTTAAAGCAAGGATTTCAAGTTCAATAAATTGAAAACAGAGTGAATCATATGCATGCTCTTCTACAGTAAACAAAGCTAAGATAATAACACCATTAAATTAAGACTATAATTGCTTATGAACTCCCACAAAACCACCAAAAAGAAAGCTTACTCAGACAACAAACTGGTTGTACAAACCTGTGATCCCACCCAGCAGTTGCGGCAATTTTGTCATCTGCTCTAATTGAGGTGCCTGATACACCAGGTCGTTCCAAGGTAATCTCTTTCTTGATCATGCAAGAACCCTATGTCCAATAATAGCTAGTTTATCACGAACTAAAAAGGTAATGCATCAAATAGGAAGCAGACAACAGCAACTCAAGTTTCTTTAGAAAAACAGGAAGACAAAGATGAAGAAGAAAAGTTGATATCTTTCCTATGGTATCAGGTCTACACCAATATTAATGACAAATGAGAAAAAGGCATGAAGGGCATGTAGGGAGAAAACTAATCACTTTTAGAAGAAAATTTGGCCACTTGCTCATATTCTAATGTGCTTGACAAAACAAGCGAAAAAAAAATTTATTATTTTTTCAACTTAAAGAAAAAATAAGGAAAAAAAATAATTGGAACCATATGCCAATCATCGACTGGTAGACGCAACTACAAAATCTTGCCATAGGTCAGCAAATCCAAATAAAATTATAACTTGCAAATAAACTTAGGTGTTAACATTAAGGGTCATATGTGATAGGCTAATAGCTATCCGACTTTTTTGGTCTTCACTTTAACATGTAAGTAACCAGCAAAGATTATACAAGTATATAAATTTAAGTCATGAAAATTACCATGGCAAGATCTAAGCTAAATAACACAATTTTATCATCAGCAGCCCCAGAGATACCCCCCTTGCACAAACCGTCGATGCATAGGCTTAGAACTGCAAACAGAACACTAAAATGACCAACTTTTTGGGAGGAACAAAATGCTTCGTCTCTAAATTGAGGGTCTCACCTGGCTCTATATGAAACTTTACAGAAGTTAGAGGAATACTTGGTTTTCGCATATCCCACCAAAGCATAGAACCATCCTCGTATCTGCCACATGTGCGAAAAAGGAACACAATCACAGCGAACTGCACGGAAATGGAACTTACTTTTGACAATCAATGAAACAGTCCACCTCAACTTGTGAGATAAAATATCCCTTTGTTAGATAGTGGCTTAAGGTTTAAAATACCAAGGACCTAAAGGAGATAAATTTTATAGTTGATACTAAAAGAATATTTCATTAGTTAGCTAAACACTACACATGCTACAATATTAAAAGAGAGGGATAAAATGGGAGCATGAATAACTATGTTATTGCATACTAAATGAATAACTGAAGAAAGCAACGGTTACCACAATAATGAGTTCTACTTCTACTTTTACAAGCCCCATATATGGGAATGAAACATTTTATTAAATATTAATTAAAAATAGAAGTACTAGTTATCCTATGTCTGCAACAACAATAGCGGTACCACCTGCATGTTGTAAAACTACAAAGATGCAAAATTCCAAGAAGAAGAACAAGAAAAGTACATACCCAGCCAAGACATTTAGAAATCCCTGTGACTCTGATGGTAGGAATACTTGAACAGCCATGCACATCCCTGCGATGAACACCAAGTTACAAGTTTGAATGTCCTGAAATTTCTATGCATCATATCAGGAATTTCTTACAAAGATCACCATTCTTATTGCTTACTCGTCCTTCTTTAGATGACATGCAAAGAATGTCATTTCTTTTCCTGGGTGTTCCTCTACTGGAAGCACCAACTGCAGTTTGCTTCATCCCTCTCTTTGTTTTTTGATGACTATAATATGACCTTATATCCCATAGATATGCACATATGCTTGAGAAATATGCAAATTATAGTATAGTTTCAACTCCTTATGGAACAAAATAAAATACATGTAATTTCTCCCACCTTAATGAGAGGCAAAAAGGACTTTAATCCCACCAATGTGCTTAAGGAGACATTATAATCAGGAATCTTTTATTAGATGCAGTGGTCCATATCAATAGAAAAAACTAGCCAAACATAAGAAAATTGTTTGTCTGATAGTAACTGACTACTTGATAAACAAGATACAAATTTGAGATATTTGCACAAACTTGAGATGAAAAACTCATAATCTACCATGCAAGCAATTCCACCAAATTTTACGAACTCTCAAAATCATCTCCATGTTGGAAAATCAAAGAATCATGTATAGTTCCTTGATTTGCAGTTTACAACTACATGTGGCCCCTTCAGCTAATTTTTTCTTTAAAAATGAACAAGTTAGGAAATCATTGCCAACAAGATATGTATGAAGGAATAGAGCAATGCCAGTGCACAGTTTTGGAAGAAGATATTCAGCAAACAATTACACCAACTAAAGCTAAAGGTCCATTAGGATCCTCACTCTAGCATTAATTATTCTAGAAACAACAGATTAAACCAGTACCGAGTTGCCTATTTGTTTTACTAATAATACCTAAAGACTAGTATCATGATATAATGTCAGAAACAAACCTCTTTTGTTGGTAGAACTTGGTGAACCGCCAGAGCCATTTTGAGGTAATCGCAAAATCTTCTCTGCTGTATTAAGATCCCAGACCTCAACCTTTGCATATCATGTAAATAGCACTTATGAGCAACTAGAAACCCAAATACGAGAAACTACAGGTCCAGCAGAAATGGTCCTAAAGATGCATGCTGACCTCAGAAGACTGTTCCCCTGCTATGGCAACACACTTTGGTCCATCATTACCATCATCTGAAAATAGAGTAAGATTTAAAGCTCATACTTAGTGAATTTTGCAGCAATAACAGCAAAAGCAATACAAATATCCATTAAAAATATGAAGAGAAACAACATTGCAATGATTGTTATCAAGACAAATACAAATGGCAAAACAATGGCATCTCATGTTATAAGCAATAGGAGTCAATGGTAGTCCCAAACATCTACATTGTAAAATTTGAGCATACCTTCAAAGGTGCTAGAACAATTCACAGAATCTTCTTTGTGCTTTTCTTCTCTATCATACAAATTTTTTTCATCAATAGATTGTGTAGCCACCTCCTTATAGCGGTGACTAGGCTCTTCATTTTGCTTCCCATTACTACCAGAAGGCTTCTTCACTAAAGAAAGCTTGCAGAAATGGTATGAGTTTGTCTTGACAGTAAGTGCAGGAACCCTATCAAGTAAAAGGTAAGGCGAAATTAGGTAAATAATACCATAGTCAATGTTTGATAATAATTTTAATGAAGTAAAAAGCAGACATCTGATTACCGCAATACAGCTATTCACTCCAACCATTTGATTAATCCATGACTAACATTGCTTGATGAATTATTTGATATAATAAGAAACAAAAACTATATCTCTGATAAAAAATCAACCATCCAAAATCTCAATTACCTGGAAAGACCTCCCTCTTTGATATCCCAAACCTTAATAGTTCCATCTCTACCCTGACTACAAGCATCAAAACAAAACAAAACAAAAAAGCCCCTTAGCTGATAAACCCGCTTTAGATGAATCCTTGACATAATCTAAAAGGGTCAAACAATGAGAAATACATCAAAATCACCTGATAACTTTGTCAGTGCCTATCACAGGACTACTGGCAACAGAAATAATTCCATGAGCTGCACTATGCACCCTTCAACCAAAATGCACACAAAAAAATTCATCATGAAATTTCAAACATTCTACACAAACAAAGGAATCGAAGCAAAAACTATAAGAACCCATTACAATTCTTAACTGAATACCAAGCAGATGAGACCGTTCGATGTTGATGCGTATCCCAAATTCGCAACTCACCATCAGCTGAACTGTAGAATCAGTCATAAAATTTGACTCAAATTCATGAAGGCAAAGGCTACAAAATAATAGTCGAATAAAAAACTAAGGAATTGTTACCCGGTGAATAGTATAGAATTAGATGAATGGAAACAAACGTCCATCACAGAAGCTCGATGGCCTCTTAGTACAGCGATAGGATCAGGCGGCGGCCTCTTACTCATATTCACGCTTATATGCTGCAAAACTGTAACACATGCTCAAAAACAAACCAAAAAGATCAGAAAAATTAAGTTACAAACATAACAGTCAACATGAAAGCAAATTACAAAACATGGTGACATTAAAAACTTACTGAAATTCTGAAAAATGAGAAGAGTCGCAGACGGAATGAAGTTAGCAAAAATACAGAGAAGCTTAACTGAAGCAGGTTAGCACGTTGCAGTTTAACTAAGATTATTCTGAGCCAGTACTGCATCAGGATCCGTGGCGCAATGGTAGCGCGTCTGACTCCAGATCAGAAGGTTGCGTGTTCGATTCACGTCGGGTTCAAATCCCTCAGTTTGAAGCGGATCATTTTTTTTAAGGAATTTTTCAAATATTTTTTTGGCACAATAAAAAAAAATAGTGAGCCCAATTTTTGTATATCACACCAAATTTACTTCTCTGATTTAGTTAAAGGTAAGAACCAACATTAAGATTAAAAGAATTTTATTTACAGACCAATTATTCATGTCAAGATTAAAAATTCATTTCTTATCATCTAGTTTTAAATATATGAACAATAATCAATAAGGTGGATAATGATAAATCCACTTATCAACTAATTATTCTTCTTTTGAAAAAAAAAATACTAATTCTTAAGATTTTTTTTAATTTAATCATTACTAATTGGTGGCTTCATTAAAATTTTTGACCCCATCAATTATATCAGCTTGCTATAGTGAAAGCAAAATCTTAGCCATTACTATTCTATAACCAAGTTAAAATGACACCAAACAAGTTGTTGGTTTTAGAAGTTCTACTTTTTTTTATGTATTTCCTACTAAATGATAACTTTCCTGTATAAATATTTTTATTTTTAAGAGTAAAGTAACGTGAAAGATATGAAAATGTATTTTTTTTTTATTATTGGTTGAATAAGAAACATATAATACACATCCACGTGCATGCATAAGTCAATAATGAAAATACATTTTTCTTTTTAGTTAATAAAATTTTAAATGAATACAAATCAAACTCACAATTAAAATTAAATCTTTGGAAACAACTTGATCTTTATTGAATTGAAACTTCTATGAAATCATTAAAACACTATTTTAAGCAATTTTTTGAGTTATATCCACCAGAATGGAAATCAATAAAAATATAAAAAATACATTATGATTCTAAACTTGATATTAAGGTCAAGTGGTTTCGGAGACAAGTAAATCAGTATGTCCATAAATTAACTAAAGCATCTGTTTATCATGCTCGTCTCCATATTTAGAACGACATCCCTCTTTATTTTGATGGAGGTTTTCTTTTAGAATGAAGTCTTTTTTCTTTTCCTTTAAAAAAAAATTATATTTCAATAATAATATTTGTGACATGATATAAGCCTTAGCTTAAGCACATTCGCCATAACCAATAACTATGAGAGTGAGAAGCCAACCTCACACCAAACACGAGAATAACCCTAACGAGATTGGTTTATCTTGATCGAATGGGCGGATCAATTCATGCATTTAACTAATGAAAAATAAATTTGTATTGAAATGATAATTATTTCTAAATATATATTGATAAAAAAAAATAAAGTAAAAATAATATATAGAAAAAAAAATCTCATTTCATTGATTTAGTTCGTTATTAAACTTATAGATTTGATTTAGCCAAATTTAATTCTAAACGCAATTATCCCCGTCACGTTTTAACCGTGTGATTTCCACAAATATCAAATTTTCAAGTAGAGTCTTGCCGGAGCTTTCGTTCCTTTGATAGCCGGTCGGCAAAGTCAATAAGAGCTGCTTCATTGGTTCGTTCACCCATACTTTCAAATATACCAGTTTCCAAATTCACCCTTGACTCCGCCTTCTTCAGTAGCTTCGTTCCAATCTCCACTAAGCTCTGTAAATTCTCCGCAGTTGCTATATCAACAGATGAGGCATCACCCGTCAGTGAATCTTCCTGCGCCAGTCAAATGTTCAAAAACCAAAGATTATAAATTACCCAATAATAAATATAATCAATCTAGCCAGTTAACCGCAAATCAAAAATTTTAAGTCGACGAGATAATGGTTTATTAACAAAATTATATACCTGAATGCGCAGGTAATAGCCATCGCAATGGAGGGATTGGAAAAGAGTGGAGACATGGTAATCAACCATGTCGGAGCAAGCATCCATAAAAATATCAATTATTGGTGTTGTGCCATTGTCAAAGATCCAACTAATCAAACCCCATTTAGATGCCTTACTTGCACTATATTTTGGTTCAAGCTTGGCCATGCCAGTTCCAAGCGATAACACTAGCATACCATTTCTCTCTGTCACACTTGCATGAGTAAAATTAGAGTTTTCCTGTAAAATCTCCCTCCGGACGTGGCTTATAGCGACTTGTGTCTGCAGATTCAACTCAAACCCATCAGTTTTTTGCCATATATATATATGGCATCCTTACACACACACACACACACACACACATATGTGTAACTAAAGCGCAATGTATCCCAAGTACGTACCGTTATTAAAAACCGTAGTGGATTTCCACACACTATCAAATTTTTCGAAGTTAGAGTTCTGCCAGGCAGCTTTCGTTTGCCTTGATAGCCGCGTCGGCAAAGTCCAATAAGATGCTAAAAGCTTCATTGGTATCGTTCCTCACCCAGTAAACTTTCAGAAAAAAGTACCAGTTATCGCAAATTTCAATATAGACGTCCGCCTTCTTCAGTAGCTCGTTCAATCATCCACTAAAGAGCTCTGTAAAAAAATTTCTTTCCGAACAGTTAGCTATATCAACAGGAATGGCAGGATAAACCCGTTCCAGTGAATCGTTCCCTGCGCCAGGTGCAAAATGGATTATACAAAACCAAAAGATTATCCTAAATCTAGCCCCATTAATAAATTATAATCAATGCTAGCACAGCCTAAGCGCAAATCAAACAATCTTAAGGCTCAGAACGAGATACCCAAGTGGCCTTATTAACAAATGGTAAAACAAACGGACGTCATCACCCTGAATGCGCAGGTGAGAATAGGCCGAATTGTCGCAATGGAGGAAGATTGGAAAAGAGTGGAGGACGATGGGTAATTCAAAGCCCATAGCTCGGGAGCAAGCATGCCATAAGAAGAATATCGCAATTATTGGGTGTTGTTGCGCCGAATTGTGCAAAGATCCAAGGAACTACACTTCAACCGCCCATTGTAGGATTTGCCTTACTTGCACTATATTTTGGTTTCCAAGCTTAGACCATGCCAGATTCGCCAAGGCGGATAAAGCAGCTAGGCATACCATTTCTCTCTGTCACAGCTTGCATGAGTAAAGATTAGATTTTCCTGTAAAATTCTCCCTCCGGGGACGTGGCTGTATAGCGACTTGTGTTCTGCAGATTCAACTCAACCATCAGTTTTTTTGCCAGTACTATCATAAAGATGCGAAATCCGTTACACACAACACACCACGACAACACACATAGGTGAGATGTGTGTGTGTGGAAGGAATTGTGTTGTGTGTTGAAACACATATGTGTGTGTGTGTGTGTGTGTGTGTTTAAGGATGCCATGCAAAAGTACAAAAGTGCACCAACAGGCAAGTGGAAGAGGATAATATTTTACAGTTACACGCTCTTACTGGATTATTGGCGGCAACGCCACCATCAATAAGATCAAAACTGCGAGTCGTTTGATCATCCTTGAGTGTGAAGGAATGAGCTGGGAGGTACGTTGGAGCAGCAGAAGTGCTGACACAAATATCTGCTAGCCTAGCATTTTTCAAAGCATTAACCTTTGCCTGTTAAGAAAAATATATACATCAGAAAAATAAATAAGATGTTGCTGAAGTCTAGCAACTTATCGAACATAGCTTGAAAAATTTTATACAGCTTAATTGAGATATACATACATCATCGGTTGAGAAGATGATTGGCTGAAGAAGCTTGATATCAAAAGTAGGTATAATCACATCTGTCAAGGTCTCCTTTAGGGTCAAGTCTCCAAGCAACTGGTTTGTCAATGATCGTAGATATTTCCCGTCATATTTTGGGCCAAGAACCTCACCCACAAAGTTTATTACAGAGTTCATGAAGTTATTTCTGCTATGCAAGTAAAATGGAAATTAACCATTAATAATATATGCAACGGTTAAATATGGATAATATAACCACATTAATATATTTATAATATAAAATAAATATCTTAAGGTATTAAGATATAAAGATTAAGGGAAAGAACAAGAAATTTTGAAAGATTACAGTGGAATATTAATTATTTGTTTTCAACCTTTTGGATGTGGAAATATATCTCAGGCCATGTTTCTGAATAGAAAGTTACTTCAGATTGACTTATCAATAATATCTTTCGCTTCATATAAAGGTTTATTTTGTTTCACTTATTTGGAGGCACTGATTGAATATATAAAGGAAAAAGAACAAGAAATTTTGAAGAATTTCAGTGGAATATTAATTATTTGTTTTCACCTTTTTTGTGGGAAAATCTTAGGGCCATGTTCTAAATAGAAGTTCTTGATGTCTTTTGCTTCATATAAAGGTTTTTTTGTTTCCTTATTTGGAGCTGTGAGCATGGTTGTCATAAGCCCACCAGTGCTAGTCCCTGCAATTATGTCAAAATAATCTGCAATTCTTGCATCTGGTCCATCCAGTTCCTAAAAAAACAAACCATGCATTAATAATGGAATTATTGAAGTTATAAATTAAACGCAAAACATAAAAATGAATGAATAAATTTACTTGAAGCTTCGATTCAAGAAAGGCAAGAAGGACAGCAGGAATTATGCCTCTAATACCACCTCCATCAATGCTTAAAATTGTTACCATATTTCCCTTACTAGTACCCATTTCGTTTTCTGAAAGCTTACTTAATTCTTTAAGGTTGAAATTTGTTAATTTGATATGTATATTTATATTGCAAATGGAACAGATTTTTTGGCCTTAAAGCTTAATTGGGCTCTACCATTCAACTCTACTTTTCAAAAGCTAGGGTAGCAGCTATTAATTTATTTTCCTAGATAAAATTTGTCTACTCCCACATACACCCAACAATCTCAAACATCAAATCAATGAATGGTCAAAATTGTTACAATTAAAAATATATTTTTGATTAATTTAATGTATTGGTGGAACATGCTGAGAATTGAATATGTTTTTGGCTTTTTGTTTTTGCTAGACTTTTATTTTCTCTTGCTTTGTTTTTCTCCACGAACTCTGGTTTGTTCTCTTTATTAGACTTTTATTCTCACACATTCAAAACATGGCTGAGGAAAGTTGTAAGTAGTTCATGCATGTCGTAGTTCATTTTCATTATACAATATCTTCATACACAGAGATTTTCCTAGTATTTTCTTTATTGGAAAGAGGGATAATCCAATTACATGAATCTTTTTCCTATACCTAAAATGCATTTATTTCTAAACTAACTCATGAATTTTTTGACTAAATTTAATATGTCTTCTCTCTAAATTAAATCTGGGAGGAGAAATTCTTAGCATGTGTAGTTCAAAGTTGAATTCCAATCTTATGTAAGAATATTTTTATATAAGAATGAGTTTTCTTGGCCATTAAATTTAAAATTACACTGCATTTACTAGAAAGATGGAACCTGAAAATGACAAACATCTTTATTTTCTCAACAATATAATTGATAAGTGACAAATCTCTTGTTATTTGTTAATATGTAGTCTTATTTTTGTTAAAAAAGAAAAACCTATTTCTAGTTAACAAATCATTTGAAGTTATCGAAACAATTTTCCAATACTTCGAACAAGAAAACCTCGAATTCGTCTAAAAATTGATAATTTCTTTTTCATAGTTTTTCTTGCTGATTTTCCCTTCGTTTTCCCTTCTTTTTTCCATTTAGCTTTGGTAATTGCTTTAGCTCTAGTCTTAGGAAAAGCATTTCCACTAGTATTCACTTCATTAGCTGAAATACGTTCTTCTTCTCCTTGTTCTTCTGCAATGATCTTTCCTTCTTTACTCTTAGTTCTTTCTAATTCCTTCAATCTTGATAGAGCAAAATTCCTGCTTTCTTCAGCTGCATGTTTCCGTTCCATAGAAACCGAGACCCGCCACTTTGCAAGTGCCTTTTCTTCTTTATCTCTTTTTGTTAATGCAAAATATTCTTGGTTCTCAACTCGAACAATAGCATTACCATTACCTGTTTCTAATAAACTATTGATATTCTCCTTTGCTTCTGCCTCCGATGCTCCAAAAGCTTCTGATTCTGTCCTGACAGCTCGCAACGTAAGCTGCAATGCTCGCAAGGTCTGTCTTCTCACGTGCACAACTTTTTTAAGCTTCGACCTTGTTTTCCGCTCTTCATCCCAATCCAGCTTCAATGCTTCTGCTTCTTCGTATTTTTGTTCTATAGCCTTTGTTATCTCATTTATCATATTTTTAGCTTTAGCTTCTGCTTCCATTTTGGATCTGATTTCTATATCAGTAGCTTTGAGTTGCGATTCAAGCTCTGATATGATAATCTTCGACATAGATACTCGGTTTTTAGCACTTGCAAGATCTGCTTGTAGTTTCTCTAGCTCATCAATTAGAGGCTTGGAGTCTAACCAGGATTGCATGGCTTTATCTTTAGCTTTATACAATTCTTCTCTGATCTCAATTAGTTCTGCCATTTTTTCCTGATGATGGTCATCAGTGTCATCGCCAGGTTGCTTCTCTAGTTCTCTTCTTTGTTCTTGGTATGACTCCATTAATTTGCTTTAACTATTCAGTGTTTCTGATTTATTAATGTTGATGGTTGGTGTCTCTATCAGAGTTGAGTTCAGTATAAAAACATTGTATATGATGGGTGAAATTCAAAAAGGCCAATAAAAAATATAACTTCAAACATTTTCTCTTTGTTTTCACCGTTTATCTGACGGCAAAATGTCCTATATGCTGCTTTTGATGCAAATTCTGCGGCATTACCAGGTCCTGAAATTTCACTGATATATATTTAGACAACAAGGGAAGAATTTACCTACTCCTAGTGTATGAGCCTATCAAAATCATTAAAAATAATTTTTTAATTGCAACGAGAGTGTTTATGATTCGATTAGATTTGTTTAGATTGGATTTATAATCTCACCTAAGTTACACATGTTAAAAATCTCACATCAACTAAATAGTGAATCCATAAATGGCATATAAAGATGACAAGTTAGCTAACCAATTGATTAGTGCTGACCTATTAGCATTGGTTGCCCAAATCCAAGTAAGCTCGTATCACACGTTTGGAAGAATCTATTTTAATATTGGCATAGAGTCCTAAAATCATTTCTATTTTATTTTTCTTTCCGGTTAGAAATACCTAGGGGACAGAATTTTGTTTTTTTCAAATGTTAGGAATAAAATAAAAAATATATTATTTTAAGGGATAAAATTAAAAAATTTTAAAAATTTAGAGGTGAATTTTTGAAAAATTTTTTTGCTGCAGGGGCGTGTATATAGATATTAAGAAAAATAATAAATTAATTCTTGAGTTATAGTCAAATTAACATGTAAAGATTTCTATTTTTAAAAATTAACTATAAAATCCCTAAATTATAATTTTATTAATATTTAATCCTTCCATCTAATCAGATGATCTAAATATTGACGGAAATTATAAAAATTGGACCAAAAAATTAATAACAATCATAAATTAAGATTTTATTGTTAATTTGACTATAATTTATGAGTCGATTGTTAGTTGAAATTATTTTAGATGAAAAAACTAAAGTGCTAATAAAATTATAAATTAAAAACCTTATAATTAACTTTTCAAAATAGAAATTTTCATATGTTGATTTGACTATAATTCATGGTGCAGTTTATTATTTTCCTTAAATAGGAGTATTTGGTGAATCAATCGTAGCAGAAAATTCCCAACATGGAAACGGCAATAGAAAGTGCGTATTCGTATGCTTGCCGCCCGCTAAGAGAATCGCGCCTTCCTGTTTTATTTCCTCACATCCGATTAGATCTCTCTGTGAGACCAACACCACAAACATGCAAACTTGATTCGTCTCACAAATCAACTTGTCAAAATGGCCGAGTCACCATCAACGCCTGAGTCCAATGCCACGTCCGATTCGCTTTTCCGACATTCTGTGTTCTTTTTTTTTTTTTTTTTTTTTTTTTTTTTTTTATTCCCAATACATGGAAATCGGGATAGAAAGGTGAGCGTATTCGTAATGCTTGAGGGAGCGAGCCTGCCCGCCTCGCTAAGATAAATCGTGCCCTCTCCTGTATTATATTTGTCTCTCGTAATCAGGATTAGATCTCTACTGGTGAGACCAAACTCAACCAAACAAAACATTGCCAAATTGATTCGTCCTAACAAAATTTCAACTTTGTCAAAATGGCCGAAGTCAACCATCAACCGAGCCTGAGTCCAATGCCACGTAGAGATATGTTCTGTGTTCTTTTTATTTATTATATTTTTTTTTTTTTTTTTTTTTTTTTTTTTTTTTTTTTTAAGTTTGTATTGAAAATTTGTTAAAATTGTTGAGTGCTGTTGATGCAGGTCTTTCGGTTCAGATTATGCTGAGATTATTATATTACGCCATGGTGAAACTCTGTGGAATGTTGATGGAAGAATTCAGGTATTTCTTTTCTTTCTTATGTTTTTTCTTACTTTTATTTTGGAAAATTGGAATTAAATTGCTCGAGTTTCAAATTGATGATTTAGAGGTAGTGTTTTGGTGCAACTGTGTTTGTTCTTTTAGGTTCTAGGTTAATTAGTTAAACGGGAAGAAATGATGATGGAGTAAGTCTATTCTTAATTTAGTTTATACACTTAATTTTTTATAATCCATGTTGACAACTAAGAAAATGGAATGGATGTTGTGCAATTGCAGTGAATATATCTAACCCAATGCCCTGTACAGAAGAATGAATAGTTAAAATTGTAAAGATAACAAAACTCAGAACAAAATGGAGGCAATACAGTAATACCACTCTTGTAATGCACATTATTTTACTCCCTTAGTTGCCATCAATGGCCCTTGTATATCCTCTAAATGGCTCTATTTTCTTTGCATTGGTTGCTGGTTAACATATTTGCTCGTATTTATCTGTCATTTATATTTTCATAGGGACATGTTGATGTTGAATTGAATGAGGCTGGGAGACAGCAAGCAGCTTTGGTATACTTCATGACTCTATCTCAAACTTATCTCCTATTTCTTGCCATATGTCTATCGTTTTCTTTTTCTTTTTCTTTTTCAAGGTGGCTAATCGACTTTCCAGAGAGCCTAATATCTCAGCTATATATTCTTCTGACTTGAAGCGAGCACTTGAAACAGCAGAGACTATTGCTGCAAGATGCGGCGGTCTACAGGTATCAACCTGGATACTATTATCTCACATTGCATTTTCTACGATAAGTGAGAATTATATCATGAAATAATGTTATTTACTTACCATATGATTTTGAATTAATTATTATTATTATTATTTTTTTTTTTTTTTTTTTTTTTTTTTTTTTTTTTTTTGCCTTAGCCTATCTATTTTGAATAACCTTATTATTATTATTTTTTTTTTTTTTTTTGCCTTAGCCTATCTATTTGATAACTTATAGCTTACCACATTTAATAGACGCAAAGTTCAAAATATTCTTTCACTCAAGAAAGAACACAGTTCCATTGTTTTGATAATGGACTCAGTTAAATATCTTTGACCAACATCTGTGGTTATTTGTATGTTCTTCTCCCCCTTTACTTTGGATGTCTTTCTTTTCCCTCTTTAAACCTACCTTTGAAATACTGCATTTATTTCTCATCTTAACTGATCTATGTGAAAATCTTGTAGATATCTACTTTTCAAGTTACATAATGAGTGAAAAGCCGAAAAAATGAATATTTTTTATTTATCAAAGCTTTTCGCCTTCTTTTTTCGACGATAGATAAACAGTATCATCAGAAACTTAGCTCATTGGTTGAATTTTTGTCGTAAAAGTCAAATTTTGTCCATAATCTTGAAAATATTATATGGGAATTTTTAAGTTCAGGTTAAAATTTCAGGTCATTAAAGACACAGACTTACGGGAGAGACACTTAGGAGATCTTCAAGGCCTTGTATTTAGTGAAGCTGCCAAAATTAATCCTGAGGCTTTCCGGGCTCTTTTATCCCACAAAACTAGTCAAGATATCCCAGTGAGTTAATTTAAAACTTTCTACACACAGCATTATGCATGCAAGGATATATGCTGCAAGGCATCTGCTATGGTGGAGAGAAGTAGCAGACTACTAAACTAGGCTAATAGAAATGCATAGTTTTTGGTGTCTGTCTGTCCAAAAACTATGGCATTTTAATAATTATGAATTATCAGTTGCTCAAATTTGCTACATGTCCAGGGTGGTGGAGAGAGTCTGGATCAACTTTATCAACGTTGTACATCTTGTTTGCAAAGAATTGCTAGGAAGCATATAGGTATTCAGTCTGTGACTGCATATCCTCCATTAAGTTCTCCATGAAGATTTTTTTTCCTCAAACTATCATATTTAAGTTACAGGTGAAAAATTCTACATTTGTCGTCTGTTCCATTTCAGGAGAGCGAGTGATTGTGGTTACTCATGGGGGGGTCATTAGTACTTTGTACGAAAATGCTCGCCCCAATAACAAGGCTCCAAGAAAGGTATTGAACACATCTATTCATATTTTCCTCATACCTGATGAGAAAAATTGGACCATAAAAACTTGGGGTGATGTTAGTCATCTTAACCAAACAGAATATCTGGAATCTGGTTTTGGTGGAGACAGAATTTCTGGCTAGTTTGTTCTTGTTGTGAAAACAACAACTGAAATTGGAAAAATATTGGGAGGAAAAATTGCTATTATATAAGGGATTTCTCTATTATTCTTTCATCCTGTATGACCTCCAATTGGTTGTCCTTTGTGTCAATTGAAACTGCAGTACTTTTATGGCCTTATTAAAATGTGAAGAATCATTTATTTGGGATGATGTAATAGAAATTAGATTTATACAATTTGTACATATTTATTTTCGTTAGTCATGTCATTTCCTTGAAATGCAACAGTTTCAGTAACCCTGATACCTTTTTTTTTTGAAAATGGAGTGACCTTGATACCTAAACTTTACCAAAAAAAAAGAGAGAGAAAGGAAAATACATTGGCATTTCTAATTTTTAGACTGAGTTATTAAATCTTTTAACTTGTAAAATTCTATTTATCATACATTTATTAAATATTTTAATTTATAAAATTCTACTGATTGATCTTATTATATGTTTAACTTAAAGTATGTGAAAATCATTATTCAGTCGTACAAGGGGCTGCACTCATGCAACATTTATCTATTTATAATTTTGAATTGCTGTTACTGGATTTAAAAGTGTATAAAGTCAAAAGATGTATAAGATGTAAAAAAATTGCTTAAATTGGGTCTATAGCTCCACTTATTGATCAAACCAATGAATCTTAGGATTCTTCAAAAAGTGTTCAGACTTTTTTTTTTTTTTCAAGTTTATAGTCAGAACCTTAGATTTCATTAGTTTAGTCCATAGGTAGGTCATAGATCCAGTTTAGATAAGTTTTTTTCATATAAAATATTATTCTAATCGTTGATTCCAATTGTCTACCCAAACTAGGCATGGGGGTCTATTGAACCGTTGGTTCTGTGAAGTTCAAAATTTTTAAAATGTTGAATTTGAACCGGCCCTTGAACCTCCAGTTTCGGTGCGGTTCTGGCCTGTTTTAGTGCGGTTTCGATGAATCGATGGTTCCGATCACGGTTTTCAGCGATATATGTTTTTTTTTTTAATGATTCTAATGTTATATCTTTCTTTCGAAAATATTGATAAATTTTATTTTAAATAAATTTTAGAATGCTCATATTCATATAAGAATAAAATTAATTAATTTTACAAAAATTAAATAAATTATTGCTTTATTTTGTCTAAATGATATTAATTAAATAAATTATTAGAAAATTTTGAAAAATGTTTTAAAAGAATGTAATTATGAAGTTAGTAAATAATTTAAAAGGAAAAAAAAAGAGTTAAAAACAATATAAGTTTAGATTAAATATTTCTCTTTTTTTTACCATTTTATTTTTTAGATTTTTAAATTTTAAAATAAAGTGTATTTTCAAAAAAAATCTCTTTTTTTTTTACCCATTTATTTTTTAGATACAATATAAGTTTAGATTAAATATTTCTCTTTTTTTTACCATTTTATTTTTTAGATTTTTAAATTTTAAAATAAAGTGTATTTTCAAAAAAAAAAAAATCTTAAGTAAAATATATCGTATGGTAAGATATTATTAAGACTTTTAAAGGTGTATAAAATATGTTAAGTGATTATCATTTTCAAAATAAAAATAAAAAATTTTTGGTTCGAACCAGACTAGAACAGCCGGTTAACTATCGGTTCCAGTTTAAAATTTTGAACCGATAATTTTGATTCATTTATAGTGCGATTCAATTTCAATTTGATTTTAATTCATATACAATACGGTTTGATTCTGGTTCAAAATGAACCGGTGCGTGATCCATACGGATCTTAAGTAACTGTTTTTGTGATTAGCCTTAGTACCGGTAAAATGCCAAACGGGCCTAGAAGCTAAAAGGCCGAATACACTTCTTTTTCTATTAGCTCATTATCATATATTTTTTGATGATCCAATTGTAGCGTAAGGTGCCCGATGAGAAATAGACGCTATGAGCGTACTCCGTGGCGCTCTGGAAAATGATCGCGCCACTCTTCTGTGTTTTCTTGCTCGCATTCAGTTACCCGTTCGCTTAAAATTCTCTGTGACTAACTCCATATTTCTCGGGCTTAAAGCAACACATTTCTCAACTTTGACTTGTCGCACGACCTACCTCGTCAAAATGGCCGACTCCAATCCCAGGTCCTATTCACTTCTCGCATGATCTCTTGTTCTCGATTTTATCTTCTCCTTTTTTTTTTTCCTTTAATTATGATTTTTCCCTATCGAATCGAAAATTGGTGAGTTGTTTTGATGTAGCGTTGTTCATCCGCCTTATTCTGAGATAATTGTTGTGCGGCACGGCGAAACGCTGTGGAATGTTGATGGAAGACTTCAGGTATTGCGTTGGTTTGTGACTCCTTTTTTTTCCGCTCAAATTTGAATTTCTCGAGTTTAAAAACGATAATTTAGATGTCTATTATAGGTAGTGCATGTCTGTGTAGGTTTTGGAGCTCTAGGTTAGAGGTTACAGCGACTAATGATTTTGGAATGATCCTATTATTGAACGAATTGATGCATTTGGTTTCATTATTCATTTGATGTTAAAAAAATTGGAAAAGATGTATGCATTATGCTACGTATAATTCTATTTATTCGAGAATGAAAAAAAAAATTGAATAGATGTTGATTTAACACTATCCAATGACAATGCGGATTCAGTTAAAATGTTTGTGGCAAGAAGTTGTGCTTGTAGAGTTAGAAAGTGCAGGTTATTCAAATGTTTCTTGTTATAAGTCCAACTTGTAAAATTGGTGTTCACATCTTAGATGATATATTATGTGTTAACTTTGTAAAAGCTATAAGTTACATTCCCTATATTACGATTATGTTGCTGTCATATAATTCAATTCCATATATTTTAAAATGGACTTGAAGCCCTTTACAGTCTAATTACCTGAGAATTTACTTCTGAATTTCTCCTTATTTTATTCTCTTAATTTGCCATGAATGTCGCCCCTTGTTTATCCTCTTAAGTGGCTGTATTGTTTGCGTTGGTTGCTGACTAACATCTCTACTTGTATTTGTCTTGTATTTATATCTTCATAGGGACATCTTGATGTTGAATTGAATGAAGTTGGGAGACAGCAAGCAGCTTTGGTATGTTTTATGACTTGTACCTCACAATTACATGCCATTTCTTGGTCTAACTCTATCATCTTCTTTTTCTTCTTTAAGGTGGCTGATCGACTTTCCAAAGAGCCCAAAATCTCTGCTATATATTCTTCTGACTTGAAGCGAGCTTCTGAGACAGCAGAGATTATTGCTGCCAGATGTGGTGGTCTCGAGGTACCAGCCTAGATGGTAGTATCCAAATTAGCATTCTAAATTAGCCTAGATGGTGTTTTTTCCTAAATTGATATTCAGCGCTTATCAAAACTTTTTATCGAATTCATTTACGGAATCCAAGTGTCCCTATCCAGTTTCAAGTCTGGCTGTATATTATTCGTCCTTGGGCTATATTTATTATTTTTTTAGTTAAATTTGGCCCTTAATTTTGAAAATATTGAACCTTTTGCATGGGAGTTCTCAATTTTAAATGCAGGTTAAAAATTTCAGGTTATTGAAGATGAAAACCTACGGGAAAGACACTTAGGGGATCTGCAAGGCCTTGTACTACATGAAGCTGCCAAAGTTAGTCCAGAGGCTTACCAGGCCTTTTTATCCCGCCAAACTGCTCAACATATACCAGTGAGTTGTATTAAACTTTATGGCTCTGCATTATGACTTTTGTTTTAGGATAAATTAATAATTAGTCCTTATGTTATAACTTATTGCACTATCCAGGACTTTTATTTTCAAAAATTAATTTAATGGTCCTTATATTTTATAACTGTCAAATTATATAGTCTTTTCATTAGAATTTATCTAGTTTTTCCATTAGCCAACTAAAAATAAGTCAAAAGAATTCAATAAATGCAATTAAATGTTCAGAAATTATTTTTGGTTAGTACTTCTTCCTATTCCTCCTCCATCCTCCTTTTTTTTTTTTTTTTTTTTTTTTTACAAAAGAATTCGTATAAATTGCATTTTAAATGTTCAGAAAATAATTGTTTATGGTGATGTGGATGGCGATGTGATGTTGGAAGATACTTCTCCAAGTTATATTCCTCCTCCAATCCTTCCGTGTTTTTTTTTTTTCTTTTTTCATTTCTTGTAGATTGTGAAAAAATAATTCCTAAGAACATGAATTAGGCCCCGGTATGTAAAGTGACTAGATAATTAAACAAGAGGGTAATAAAATTAAAAGGTCAATTTGTTAAAATTTAAGTTTGTACTCCAAACGAGATGTCATTAACAAAAAATTAAATTTGGCGCGACGATCAAGTAGGGAAACTATTTGAAATAGGTTGAGAGTCACAAATAATTAACAATCCATCTAGTTAGAGGATTTTATATACTAGTTATGGGACTGACAGGTATATATTGACCCATGTCAAGAACCTCTTTAACCAAAAAAAGGTTGTTTTACATGGATCATTTTTAGATTGTGTGAACCTCTTAGTTAGTTTATAAAATTAGAAGTGACCATTATAATTAAATTTTGGGAAAAAATTGACAAGAATCCTTAGTATTTTATTGTTTAGCATATAGATAGGGGAACCTTTTAATCGGTAGTTCACCTTTTGTTCTTTCTGGGATTAGTTTAGTAGATTTTATCATATATTGGAAAAACATTTTATGGTGGTCGTTCGCGTGGATTGTCAACTTCCAAATGTAGTGTTCTGTGATGAAGCCCTAAAAATTTCCTTGTTACTGGCCAATGATTAAGAAGATTATTAGAACCTTAGAATCTTTTATATCTTGAAAGGTTGGTGCTGGTGGATAAAAGTTGATCCAAAAAGCATTTGGCGAGGGTCATAGAGTATTATAGTACTTACTAATGTTTTGTATTGTTTCTAATTTTCATTATTATCAGATCTTATTTGGCTTGCCTTTTTTGATTTAACCCAATGAATGTCTCTTATCATGATTTGCTGATAGCAACTTGGAGTTTATTGTTGTCTTGGTTTTTTAACAGCATTCCTTTTTTTTTTTTTTTTTTCATTCTTGTAGTTGAAAATTTAGCAAATTAGTAGAAGGACTACATAATTAAAAGGTGATAAAATATAAGGATTGTTAAAATTAATTTTTGACAATAGAGATTCTAACCAATATAATTTGCCACGACATAGGGACTAAATAGTAACTCACACTGAACGGTAAAATTGACATGTCAAGACCTCTTAACCAAAAATTTAACATAATCATTTAATAGTTGAACCGAGTTAAAATAGAAGGACAATTAAATTAATTTTGGAAAAACAGATCCTAGTATATTTTACTATAGTAGGGGCTAACAGTAGTTCACCTTTTGTTTTATCCTATAGTATTTCTATATTGGAAAACATTATGGTTGGTCTTCCTGGATTCAACTTCCATTGTCTCGTGATGGAAGCCTAAATTCTTGTTTTTACTGCCAAATTAGAAGATTAGAACCTTAGAACATTATATCTTGAATAGGGCTGCTGCTGTTGGATAATTGATCCAAAAGCATTACAGTCATAGATATATAGTACTTATAATGTTTGTATTTCTATTTTCTACAAGATCTTTTTGGCTGCTTGATTAACCCAAGATATGCTCTATATGATTTGCTGAAGCCTTGGAGTTTATTGTTGTCTTTTTAACAGCATTTTAATATTTTTTTTTTCCTTTTTCTTTTTAACTACGAAAGTTCTATAAACCTCTGGTATGACACTAGTTACATGAGTACATTTTAGTATTATCTTTTGTCAAAAGCCTACTCATTCTCTAATTTTAGCTGTTAAGGATTTTGAAGCTCAAATACATGCCCTGGTTCCTAGTCATGTGTTCTAATGCCAACTTTTAATCAAGCAATTAAAAAAAATAAAAAAAGGACGAAGTCCAAATGAGTCTGTGGACATTCATTTCATGTATTTATCAAAAGGGTAAGTGCATTTCACTGTTCATTCTGTTGCATTTGTTTTATCTGGGCTATAATCATTGCATATCATAAAAAGATTGTCTTGCTAATATCCTTGCTCTGCTGCTGTTTAATATGCAAGTAGTCATAACTTGGTTATGAAACTTTCTCATATGGCATTGCCACAGTGTTATACTCGCTTCTCTATTGTATTGTCATCTTTGCTTTTGTTTATTTTTCTGATCCAATTATCTACTTATTGTAACATTTTTTGTTCAGTTGAATCTGTTCTTTGAGGCATCTGTTGTGCTGGAGAAAAACAGCTAACTAGAATGACCAATAGAAATGCATGGTTTTGGTGTTTGCAAAATATTTTAGTATTATACAATTATCATTTGCTCAAATTCACTACATGTGCAGGGCGGTGGAGAGAGTCTTGATCAACTCTATCAACGTTGTACATCTTGTTTGCAAAAAATTGCTAAGAAGCATAAAGGTAATCTGTCAGTGACTGTGTCCCATCCATTATGTTATCCAGCATATATTATCACATCAAGTTACTGGAAAAATTCAACATCGTTGTCTGTTTTCATTACAGGAGAGCGAGTGGTTGTTGTTACTCATGGTGGTGTCATTAGGGCATTGTACAGACGGGCTTGCCCCAATAAGAAGCCTCCAGGAAAAGTATTGAACACATCTATTAATATATTTATCATCCCTGATGGAAACAAGTGGACTGCAAAAACTTGGGGTGATGTTAGTCATCTTAACCAAACACAATTCCTGGAGTCTGGTTTTGGTGGTGACAGAACTTCTGGCTAGTTCTTCTGTGGTGCGAAATGACCAGTTAGTTCAATGCTCAGTGACAAAAATTTCTCATTTATCTCATTACTCTTTCAACCCATATGGCCTCTAAAGACTTTCACACTCTTATTTCAATTGAAACTGGCCTTGTTAAATGTGCATGAATTGCTTATTTCATTATGATAAATTATGAATGTCAATCAATTTTAAGTGCTCTGTTTAGATTTGATATTTGTGTGATTTCTTTTCACTTTTCTTCCCTAAATTCCTTATTTCGGTCTTGGAGGGTCCTAGCCCCACACCCATAAGAGTGCCTCGAGGGGTGATTGATCATTTTTAGCATACTGTTTTTTGTGATGTTATAAGTGATTTGTTTCTATTACCACCAAAACATTTATATACCTGTTTTCAGAATTATAAATATGTAAGTTGCAATAATATATTTCTGTTTGGTAATAGTTCACACAGGACGCAATGTCAAACAGATTGATGAGAATCTCTAGTTTGCCTGTTGTGAAACCACGTGGAATCAAATTGAATGACAGAGACGGGTCAGCTGCACCTCATCCTCAGAGGCAGTTAGGGATGAGATGATAATATTCCAAGCATAAGATATGACTCTAAATAGGGCGTGATTTTTTTAGATGGTCTCGTTTTTCGAATTGCTCGTGTATAAAGTTGACGCAATCGAAGCTTCAAGCAGATCATCCTAATACCTTGTACCTGCCCAAACGACTACCCAGATTAAAGATTCCCATATTCCCAATTGAAATCTTGATGTTTTTTAAATCTTGGTATGCTTTCTTGAAACAGAATTTGGTATTAATGAACATAAAATATTATTAATAAATAAAAAATTTGTAAATTAATTTTCCTGTTTGGACCAAATGAACGTGGACTTCATTTTAAATACCTAACCTATCCATACTAAGTTGTACAGCTAATTCATTAGCTTCATTAATTTGTGCAATAAAGGTTGAATTCTATCAATTTTCCAAGAAATCTCAAATATAATAAATTTCATAAAATTAATTGAAATTCAGAATTTTCAAATGAATTTGCAAATATAGATTTATGGATAATTTCCATTTAAAAATTTATAAAATTCATGTACAATGCATGAATCATAAATAAATAAATAAAATAATAGCTCTTAAGTTATCATCCCAATCACATTGCAACCCATTACTTTAATTTTCGTCAGCCGTTTTCTTGAAATGCAACAGTTTGAGCAACTTAAACCAAACGGCAAGTTAACTAGCTAAGATTTAGCACCAAACCCCACTACTTCAATAGCCTCCTCCTTAAGGTCATACAATACTTAGATCCAACTTAAACAGCTGTGGATTTCATCAGCCATATATTTTATGGCATTTTTTCTTGTTAGTCATCGGTTTTATCCTATGCTGCATGAAAACGGAAATGATACTTAAAACATAATTTTATAAGGGAAAACGGATACAGAGAAATGTTTTCTAACTACAGAACGCTCATAGTTTCATACATTAGAAATTTTATCAGCTGTATTTTATAAAATTTTTTTCTATTAATCAGTAGCTAATTTATATTTATATTATATAATTTATCACCAAATACAACTACTTTGAAACATCTATAAGATCATACAATACTTGATATAGAGTTAGAGTGGGCCCATTTATTTTTAAGATGAAAAAGGACCACCCAGATTTACCTCTAGTAGGGAAGGTAAGCATGCGCATTATATTCAAGGGTGGGACTTTGGCACTTTTATTATATGCAATTGTAGTTATCAAAAGACATCGACAGCTTTACTTTTTTTTTTTTTTTTTTTTTTGTTTAGTGTGAGGCCCATTATGGCCCTTTATTTTTAAGAATGAAAAAACGGACCACCCATTATTTACCTTCTAGGTGAGGGAAATGTGGTTTATAGGGGAAGTGAACATGGGACATTTATATTTTCAAGGGTTGGGACTTTAGAAGCACTTTTTATTATATTGCAATTGTAGTTATCAAAAGACATGCGACAATCTTTACTTTTTTTTTTTTTTTTTTTTTTTTGGACTCCCGTGAACCCCGGTGTGTATGTCAGCTTCTGCTGTTTTTCTTTTCATTTTCTTCTTTCCAATAGTTTCTTGCTTTCTTTTTGGAACTTTGTGACTCCATAAATATTATAAAAGATCCTCATTTGATTATTTTGATACCCATTGGATCATTGTTAGGGGTCAAATTTTATATTTTATAAGTAGATATTGAAAAATATCATCACTAGGTTTAAAATAGTTTCATTTTTACTTGTGATTTCATTCAACTTGATAATGCACTCAAACCAATTTCAATTTTTTTTTTTTTTTTTTTTTTGGAGTGAACGGTGATGTTCAGCTTCTGCTGTTTTTCTTTTCATTTTCTTCTTGTTTCTTGCTTTCTTTTTGACTTTTGACTCAATTTAAATATAAAAAATTATTTGATTATTTGATAATGATCATTGTTAGGTGGTCAATTTTATATTTTATAAGGATATTGAAAATCTCACTAGGTTTAAATGTCATTTTACTTGTGATTTCTCAACTGAAAATGCCACTCAAACCAATTTCAAATGATAACAATGTTCAATTTAAATTTTTTTTTTTCCTATCAGAACGCTAAGTTTTCATTGTTGGTTACAGAATAAAAATTGATAGCACTGACACTTTAATTTTAAATATAAATATTTAAATTAGATGTTTTTCAATTTTTTTTTATAATATGATATATTATTTTTATATGCGTATTATATATTATTTTTATTAAAATAATCATATCATTTTAATATCATCTTTTGCATCCTGTATTAATAGTTTGTTGATTGAGATTTTGAGAGTTACCCTCCTACTATACCAAGTACCAACTTACCAACCTGGCTGTTGGTTTGGCTTATCATTATCCACAACACAGTTACTGTCTGTAAAGTATAAACAAATCTTTCAAGTGTGATTAAAACTTAAATTTTTTTTTTTTTTTTGAAACCTTTTATTATATCGTATATGCATCTATAACTAGATTATATCTTGACATATGTGACTAAAACTTAATTAAGTTGTTCCACTGACCAGACAATCAGCAAAAACAAAATGGGTGTCGTTTGGGGATTCATTACAGAAATAAGCATCATCATCAAAAATTCAAAAGCTAAGTGCAAATACTTATAATAAAAGCTGCAAAGGATGGAAGCAATTTAACATATAGTGGGGAGCTCAATTATGAACTTAAGATCATAACATTTCAGTTGGGCAGGCAGCAAGAGGGAGAGTGAACTAATATATTTTTAATTTCAAATGAAGATTTACAAATCAATTACAATTATATAATATGTATATAAAAATTAAATAAAATACAATTCTCACATGGAGGGGCCACCGTCCTTTTATCTTTGTCCAGTTTTAATATAAATATTAAATAATATGTATATTTGATTTCTCAGTTGTAAAGATTATGTCCATAATATCCGACTTAAGTTTTGGAGTCTGCAGACAACAGTTTGGTTTCAAACTGAACCGACCCGCAAAAATCAAATATTGAATTTTTCTGTGTTTCTTAAACAAAAATCGCATTGAAATTTATTTTGAAATCGAATCAAACTCATCAGTTCGGTTCGGTTAATTAATTTTAGCCAAACAAAACCCTAAATGAATGAGCTAGGTTCTTTATTATTATTATTTTTGGTTACCAAATGTTTGGAAATGGTCCTGCTTTCCTAATTAATAATGGGTGGTGAAATGGACAACAAAACACAACCAAACCTTCCTTCCTACTATTTGGAATTCAAGAATTTCGGCTAATTAAACATTTATTCTTCTCAAGTCAAGGAATTGAAGAAAATAAAAAATAGTTTGACGAAAATATACAAATTTTGTATTTAGAATTAATTATATTGATTATAATTTAATTTAATCCGGTTAAAATATTAATTTTACATACATTTTATTCTTTTATTCTCTTATAATCTATCACCTTAATTATTTATTGATTTAAATTAAAAATAAAAATAAAATTTAATACAAGGTTGACCCACAGATGTAATAAAAATAGAGAGGGTCATTGTATAAGAAGGCAAGGAAGAGCCAAGCCAACCCTAACCAACTGGAGGAAGAGGCACATGGCCTTCATTTAGATTTGCTGCATCATTACGTACCAATGCATATCCCATTTTCATTTGACAACTACTTTTTCGTTGACTTTTCTTTCCCTCTTATTTATTTATTTTATTCTTGTATCATTTATTACTATTTTTTAGAATGTTTTTGAGGGTAATGAGTTGAATTTGATATATAGTCAATAAATTAAATTTATTTTAAATTGTTTTATAACACTATCAATCAGGATTCAATTCCATTGGGAAAATTCTAAAAATATTAATAATATATTTTACAAAATTTTCAAAATTGCAATGACGTGCCTTCAAAATCATGTATAATTTTCTTCCTTTTTGTTAAAAAATTATAATGATCATATTAACCAACCTGACTTTGAAAATACTTAAGCTCTCTCATAGGACATTAACTTGTTTAACTCAGTTGCTTAAGTCTTAACCATAATCCTCAATCATGGATTATTAAAAGATTAAATGGAGTTTAGTAAGGTACATGCGAAGGCATAAACCACAGCAAGCGCCCAACAAATAATATGTGCAATCAATCATATGTGAAGACAGTTGTCTTTTTTTTTTTTTTTTTTTTTTTTTTTTAGTAAGAGGTACATAAGCGGAAGCTAAACCACCAAGGCAAGCGCAACAAACAAATAATATGTGCCAATCAATCATTGTGAAGACAGTCTGTTCTTTTTTTTTTTTTTTTTTTTTTGAGTATTAAGTATTGAATTTTTTTTTTTTTTTTTTTTTTTTGAGTATTGAAGAACGGAATTCGAACTTTGATTTATTGTTGGACTTTATATACACTCACTATTAAACTATGCGCAGCCAAACTAAAATAAAAAAATTTCACGCGATCATGACAATTGTAGCGCAAAAATTCTTTAAAATGTCTCAGTTGGCCTCTAATTTCATATGATTTGATCATTATTCATTAGTTTGACCCGTGATTTAAGTGTATTTAATTCATTTTTCAAAACACTCTATAGAATTCTCCATTCAAAATAAACAGAAAAGAAAAAAAAAATTGTCAATTTGTTCATTAATTACCCTCAATTTCTTGTGAATTGGGTCCGCTCCAACCTCTTATATTTATGTCTTATTAAATATAAGAAGTTGATGGTAATAGGGTTTATTGCTACATCATACAATGATTTTTTTTTTAAGCTATCAATTAACAAACTCTTTAAAATTTGAACTGCAAAAATGCAAAGTAACCATCTCATTTCCATGAAAGAAAAATAAAAATAAAAATAATAAACTCATATAAATATTAAATAACAACCCATTTATGTTACTAATAAAATATTAGTTAAAAGTGGTTGAAAATACAAGTTGGATTAATGTAACATTATAAAGGTAAAAAATTTTTACTCTATAGAGCTCGAAAAGATTACACCGGAAAAAACCAGTTATACTATTTACTCGACTAACTAGCAATGCGCCGGAAGAGTTAATTACAGATAAAACGGCGCCGCGTTTTGACTTTTTAGATTTATAGACACTTTGTGTCCGTTGCCTGCTTATGCTAAAGCCAAAAATTATGTCAACGAAATCTGCATTATCCAAATAAAGGAAAAATATTTCCTCCTCTTCTCCTGCACCAAAATTAATTAATTTTTATATTAATAATAAAAATAATTAATACAAATAACAACCTAACTGCAATCTCGCCACGTGTACAAATAGCCGCGGACCACCAGTTCATGGCCCACACAACCTTCTGACAAAAAGCTTCAGCTTATCTTTTCTCACTAATTTTATTAAACTGGAGAATAATTTAGTTGTAATATAGAGTAGTATTTTTTTTATTAATTTTAGTTCTTCAATAAATAAATAAATAAATATATATATATCTGACAAAAAAGCTTCAGGCTTATCTTAATTCTCTACTAATTTTATTAAACTGAGAAATAATATTAGTTGTAATATAGGCCTAGTAGTATTTTTTTTACTTAATTTTAGTTCTTCATAATATAATATATTAAATAAATATAATAAATATTAATATATAATATATATATATATAATATATTTATTATATATATTATATATAAAACTAAAAGGAAAAGCGAACAATCGTTCGTTTTTTCCTTTTTTATTCGCCATCTGTTATGACTCCCTATCTTTTTCTCCTCTCTCTTCGAGCCAAGGCGGTAGACAAACCTCCAGGTTAACCCATAAACCCAAAAAAAATCCTTAAATTCTTTCTCTTTATTTTTCAAATTTGAAATTGCAAGGAAAAAAAATTATAAAACCTAGAAATTCGAAACTGGTAGTTTGTTTCAGGTTATCCTATCTTATTATACAAAGATGATTTTTGAACTTTTTAAGAATCTCGAAAGAATTTCCAAAAATTTTTTCTTTAACAGATTTTCCTTAGTTGTGTAATTGGGGAGGCGAAGAGATGGAGATCTTTGCAGCTCCAAACGGCTCCCCAACCCTAATTCTTCATCAACTTTCTGTATTCTGTTAAGTAGAAGAAACTCTGCTACCAGCTAATGATAACCTCTATTCCGCCCCAGAGGATAACATGGACCCTTAACCGGATCGAGGCACACGGGGAAATGGAGGGGAAAACCTAGATAAACTAAAAGGAAAAGCGAACACATCGTCGTTTCCTTTTTATCGCCATCTGTAGATCCCTATCTTTTTCTCTCTCTCCGAGCCAGGGCGGAGACAAACCTCCATTCCCATAAACCCAAAATCCTTAAATTCTTTCTTCTTTTTTCAAATTTGAAATTGCAGGAAAAAAAATATTAAACCTAGAAATCGAAACTGGTTGTTTGTTTCGGTTCCATTATCTATATACGATGATTTGAACTTTTTAAGGAATCGAAGAATCAAAATTTTTCTTTAACAGATTTTTCCTTGTGTGTTTGGGGAGGCGAAGAGATGGGTCTTTGCAGCTCCAAACCCTCCCCAAACCCTAATTCTTCATCAACTTCTGTATCTGTTAGTAGAAACTCTGCTTTACCAGCTAATGATAACTCTATTCCGCCCAAGGATGGACTTAAACCGGATTCGAGCACGGGAAATGGAGGGGAAAACCCTAGCAATGAGGATCAGAAAGAGAAAGAGAAGGAGAACAGTAGAAAGGATGAGAAAACGGCTTTAGAGACCGTTAAGAAGTCTCCTTTTTTCTCATTTTATAGTCCTAGCCCCGCGCACTACTTCTTCTCTAAGAAGTCGTCGCCGGCGAGATCTCCAGCGACAAATGCGGCTAGTGCGAATTCCACACCTAAAAGGTTCTTCAAGCGGCCGTTCCCACCGCCGTCCCCGGCGAAGCATATACGTGCAGTTCTGGCACGGCGGCATGGCTCAGTTAAGCCAAATGAGGCGGCGATTCCGGAAGGAAGCGAGGCCGAGGTTGCAGGGCTTGATAAGAGTTTTGGATTCTCTAAGCATTTCGGGAACAAGTATGAACTCGGAGATGAGGTTGGTAGAGGACATTTTGGGTACACTTGTCAAGCCAAGTTTAAGAAGGGCGAGCTTAAAGGGCAGCAGGTTGCCGTCAAAGTTATCCCTAAAGCGAAGGTATGCTCTGTGGTTTTGATTTTGTCGGAGAATTGACCTCAAATCTGTTGGTTTTGCTGGTCAACGATGAGCGATCTCATGCCACTAAGTCACGGTTTACTTCCCGATTTTCGCATTTTGATGGTTGGATCCGTTGGCATATCTGTTTGGTACTGTTTTTTTCAATGTCGAACCAGTATTTTTGTACGAGGCTTATGCTAGGAACCCATGGAGATTGGAGTTCTAAGCGGTTATCCTCATCCGGTTGACTGGTTTATGTGAAAATAGTTGAGTGTTTCTTCATAGGTTGCCATATGATGCTTATTAGAATAGGTTGGCCGGTAAAGATTTTGCTGATGATGCATGATCTGGTTTCTCTTTTTATTTCAAGCTTTATGAAACTGATTTTACAAGAGAAATGAAACCATTGTGAGGGAATGGCTTTGATGAGTTGGTGGTAGAAATATTTTGTTATGAAAGTTGGAGAACATTGAAGCAATAATGTGATAAGCTTTCACTGGTTGAACGATGTTCTGAAAATAAACAAGTTTTCTCTGATTTTTCACTGTTCTGTGATTGTAGGATTTCTCTCGCTTAAGTTTTCACTGATTTTTCACTGTTTTGTGCCAACTTTAATTTTCATTTCTATTTTTAGATGACCACAGCTATTGCCATTGAGGATGTGAGAAGGGAGGTCAAAATACTACGAGCATTAACTGGGCATAATAATCTAGTGCGATTTTATGATGCATATGAAGACCATGATAATGTCTATATAGTGATGGAGTAAGTTCTGATTACACCACATTCTTTTGAATTAGTTGCCTCTATCACAAGAACAAGATAGATGATGCCTTTTGATTTGTTCGTTTTCATGGCTATTGCATGCCATTAATTGTGATGGTTTAATGTGATTTTCACCTATCTTTCAGATTATGTGAAGGGGGAGAGCTCTTAGATAGGATACTTTTAAGGTATGTTTTTTTTTCCCTGGTGATAGCTACATTACTGTTCAGTTGTAATTTTCCCCTTTTCCTCCAGGAAAAATTTTCATTTAGTAAGTTGTTGATGAACTAAAGAAAGAGAAAAAAGTTACTAAGAAGGTTGGTCAACTGCTAATTGCTAGTTGATTGATGTTACAGGGGTGGAAAATATACAGAGGATGATGCGAAAGCTGTCTTGATACAAATTTTGAATGTTGTTGCATTTTGCCATCTTCAGGGTGTGGTGCACCGGGATCTTAAACCTGAGGTGATTTATATTCTTGTTTTGTCTGAATGGTGTCCATATTAGAGAAATCTTTCCAGGCATCTTCTATTGAAAGTCGTATCAGGTTGGGCATTGTTGTTATTTGGGAGGCCTCATGGCCAGAAACATTGAAAGACATTTCCTGCCAAAATCTTGTAGTGTTTTTCCATGATCATGTAATTAGGACCTTATCAGATTTTTTTTTTTTTTTTTTCTCATCGGCATGTATTTAAGATAATATAACTGAAAGATGAGTGGCCAGAGCTGGTTGCATGACAAAGACTGGTGTTTCATTTATCATCTATTTACCCCAGCAGCACATCGTGGCATCTTTAGAAGTAACGGCTGAGATAGAACTTGTATCCCTTAAAGAGCGAGGCATCTAAAATTTCTGTATGGTTTTTCCAACTTGCATCTTTGGATAGTGCTTTAATTGGACTGGGCTCAATTTTGTTGGAGCCGAAAGAATCATAATATCTGATGCCATCTTTGGAATTTTGGTAGAATATGCCTTTTCACATAGTTACCTGTCTGTAAATGTTAAAAAAGAGCTGGGTGAATGACCCAACTCACATGGGCCTTATGCTGATTTGCTTAGCATTTTGCTTGAGATCTCACTGCATGGTATTGCAATTTCTTTTACCATTCATGTATTCTTATCTAATCATAGCTAATTGCTGGACCAGAATTTCCTGTTTTCATCAAAGGATGAAAGCTCGCAATTGAAGGCCATAGATTTTGGCTTGTCAGATTTTGTTAGGCCAGGTCTGCCCCTTCTCTGTACTATTATTTTCCAGTTTGCTGTTTGTTTATAGATATGCGAATTAGTTAATGATTCCTAATGTTTTATCTTAATTTTGCAGATGAAAGACTGAATGATATTGTTGGTAGTGCATATTATGTAGCACCTGAGGTTCTGCATAGATCTTATGGTACAGAGGCCGATGTCTGGAGCATAGGCGTGATTGCATATATTCTTTTGTGTGGTAGCCGTCCTTTTTGGGCCCGGACTGAATCTGGTATCTTTCGGGCTGTCCTAAAAGCTGATCCAAGTTTTGATGAGACGCCTTGGCCTACTCTATCTTTGGAGGCAAAAGACTTTGTCAAGCGCCTATTAAATAAAGACCAAAGGAAAAGATTGACTGCTGCCCAAGCCCTATGTGAGTTCTCAGTCATAAGTTGCGCCCTGTACTATTATTGATATTTATGAATAGTGATTACAATTATTTGTTACAGGTCATCCCTGGATTAAAAGTTCCAGTGATGTTAAAGTGCCTCTGGATATTTTAGTATTCAAACTCATGAAGGCTTATATGCAATCATCAACTCTTCGGAAAGCTGCTTTAAGGGTTCGTATACAATATTCTTCACCAATGAGATTATCTTTATGTGTTCTGTTGCTGTGAACATGACTCTGAAGTGCTGCCATTTGTTTTAAAGCTTTTTGCAACTTCTTTCATTATATCATGTGTGTTATTTTCCCTTCATCTTGTTGAGAAGCTGCGACAGTGTCAATAAGGGGCACTGCAGGGAATATCATCTCTTCTGGATCACACGTGTGTAGCATATTTAATACTTATTTCCATTTGAAAGCTTATTCATTGCTAGAGGAAGAGAATTGCCTTCTAGAGTTTTGCATGCCTCAAATTACGCATTCAAGCAGTATATTGTCAAAAAGCAGCAGAGTGGTTATATTAAGAATATATGCCAAAATTAGAATACGAGGTTCGCCGTCAAAGTTTCCCCTGCATGAATATCTTGTTGTTCACTTATTTTTCTTTTAGCATCTCTGTTTCCTGGATTAAAACCTATTTTTGACTGCCCCTTTTTTTTAGGTTCTTCATTTGTGGTGGTATGTCCTAAAATTTTAGTTCTCACTTCTTTGTTGGCATTGTTGCAGGCTCTATCTAAAACATTAACTGTTGATGAGCTATTTTATTTGAAAGAGCAGTTTGCTTTGTTGGAACCTAACAAAAATGGCACTATAAGCCTAGAAAATATCAAAGTGGTAGGTTGCTGTCAGAATATTGGAAGTTTCTTTTACCTATTTTGCTGTAGTTATTCTTATGCTTTCTCTTTGGTTAGGCCTTGATGAAAAATGCAACCGATGCTATGAAGGAGTCTCGCATCCCTGATTTTCTAGCTTCTGTAGGTTCTTTGACTCTGATGCTTATTTTAGTAAATTGAACCTTTTAAAAATTTCAGCTGTAATAACTAACATGCATTGTTGTTTGTGGCAGCTTAATGCACTTCAGTATAGAAGGATGGACTTCGAGGAATTTTGTGCAGCTGCAACAAGTGTCTATCAATTAGAGGCTCTTGATAGATGGGAGCAACATGCTCGTTGTGCCTACGAACTTTTTGAGAAGGATGGAAACAGGGCCATTATGATTGAGGAACTGGCATCGGTATGATTATCTTTCTTCCTTTCAAACTAAGTGGATGTTTGGCACGTAGATATGTGGATACTTATTTATGTTCAACAATTTTGGGAATTTAAGATGATTTAGCTTTTTAAAGTAGAAGAATCCTTTGGTTAGGACATGAGATTGAGTTAGTACCTTCAAGGGCATTAACTCTTGGCCTTTGGGTTTCAACCCTTTGTTCAACATTATTATATGTTTGCATTGGATGTACTTGTTACTTGGACAATGAATTCATTCATTCAAAAAATGCTGACTCATCTATGGCTTTCTTCAGGAACTTGGTTTAGGCCCCTCTATTCCTGTACATGCTGTTCTCCATGATTGGATCAGGCACACAGATGGCAAGTTGAGCTTCCTCGGGTTTGTCAAATTGTTGCATGGTGTGTCTAGCCGAACTATTGTAAAAGCTCAATAGACGTCTCGTGGCTAGTTTAGAAGCTCCAAGATGCGCTGATGTCCTTAAAGCTGTGTATTGGCCTGTGAAAAAGAGTGGAGGGCACTTGAAGATTGATTGTCTGGCCTGAAGGTATATTTGCTGCTGCCGTAATCATGGTGCAGTAAATTGAGTTTGGGACAAGTTTCATCTGTGGCACAACCTCCCTGTATGCGCTAACAATGTGAAAAAAAAAATTGTTGGTGACCTTGGTGCTCCTCGCATTGAAAGCTTTGGCATTTATGATTGTAAAGCTGTGTAGTCAAGTGTGTTTAGTTGCAGGTGAGATAATCTTTCTCAAACTTCTTGGCGGACACTTGATGTTCTTACATAATGGACTGGGCTGACGGGCCCATCATTGAAAATTGTATCATTTTCTGGGTTTGTACTTTCTTGTCAATTGCCAATTGCTCTGTACTATGCCTAGCCTAACTTCACTGCAAAGTTTTTCGCTACTAACAAAAAATGTACTAGCCAGTGATTAACTGAACCTAAAAAAGGAAAGAAAAAGGAAAAATTTTCTCTCGGGCACAGTTTGTTTTCTCCTCAGAAGCAAAATAACTGGGTTTCAATTTTTTGCCTTCCTTTTTCTCCTTTGAGGAAAGAAAGTGGTCAGCCATTACCAGTTTGTATGCTATGCCATATTTGTGAGAAAATCTTAGGTAAGTTTTTTGGTCTAAAAAATGAGAGTTTTCAATTTCCTATAACTATTGTGTTTCTTTTTGATAGGCATCCAAACACAATGACTTGTGATTACATTATAACAAATTCTGTTTACATATGAAATTGATGAAAGAATTGTACCATCAAATATCACTTGTAATGTGTAAATGTACCGTGTGTGTATATATATATATCTATATACTATTGAGATACTATTAGTAGAATTTAAATTACCAATGAATAGTTTCAAACAAAATATGGAAATGCTTTCTGCAATAATATTGTCTTTAATTTTTTTTTTTCTTTTAATAGTTGAACGACCAGTCACGCGATCATGGGACATGTTAAAAAATGACAAATTCTAAACGACTATGTTGAAGCTAAAAATTAACGCGACTATGCTCACTAAACGAGGCACTGTGTATTTTTCATCCGTTAGTTGAACGACAGTTCGTCCTGTCTGTGAATTGAACTTAAAAAAAAAAAAAAAAAAATTTCTGTTACATATTGAAATTGATAGAAGAATTGTACCATCCAAATATCCACTTGTAATGTGTAAAATGTACCGATGTGTGTATATATATATATTCTATATACTATTGTAAGATACTATTAGTAGAATTTAAAATTACCAATGAATAGTTTCAAACAAAATATGAAATGCTTTCTGCAAATAATATTTGTCTTTATATTTTTTTTTCTTTTAATAGTTCGAACGACCAGTCACAGCGATCATGGGACAATGTTAAAAAATGACAAAATTCTTAACAACGAACGTATGATTTGAAGCTAAAAATATACGCGATTATGCTCATTAAACGAAGGCCACCACTGTGTATTTTTCATCCGCTTAGATTGGAACGACAGATATACGTTCCTGGCTGTGATTGAACTTAAAAAAAAAAAAAAAAAAAACGAGCGACGTACTGTCTGGTTCGCTCCTCTTGAATCTAAAACGCCAACGCGTGATAATTTATTTTAAATTTTATAACTTCCGTTGAACTAAAAAAAAAAAAAAAAAAACGAGACGAACGACTGTCTGTTCGCTCCTCTAGAATCTAAAACGCCACGCGTGATTAATTTATTTTAAATTTTAATAACTCGCTACAAAACATAATTTCATCCTCTACGACAATAATTCACCTCAACATCGTCCTTGCTCGGAGGACATGACTAAAAGGAAGCGTGAACACACCATCATCGCTCTCTCTTCCTCTTCTTCTAGTGAAGATGAAGAAGAATGTGAAGGTGAAGAGGACGACGTTGATGATGATGAAAGAGTCAGGTTCTATATTTCATAATCAATAACTAAAGCAATTATAGCCTTTGGTTTCTTTGGATTTATGAAATTTTTTTCTTCGAAATCAGCGGGGATTCGAGTGATTACTGCGAAGACGACGAGGAGAATGAATCGGATGATTTCGATGAGGAAAATGATGACGACATTGACGACAACGACGGCACGAACGAGGAGGTTCTCTGCAAAAGAGTCGTGTGTCTTCTCAAAGGTGGATTTTTATTTTTAAAGGTTTATTTTGATCCCAGTGTCCATCTGCATTGACCTAATTGATAACATCTGTTCTTTTCCTTTCCTTTTTCTTTTATTAATTTCATTTAATATCATTAAGTTAATTTTGTATAGGATGTTTATTTCAGCACTCTATGCCTGATAAACTATCTTCAAGTTAGAAACGAATCATAATTATGTCCTTATCAGCTCAAAAGTCATATTCTCATGAGAATTGTAACTTATCATCTTGTGATCACAACAGTGAATAATTTGGTTTCATTACTTCACTACTGCCGCCTGCCTGCGGTTTTTTTGAAGCATTTTTTGTGCAATCTTGAAAACCGTGTTCTGTATTCCCTCATTGACTATAGTGAGAAATACTTTGAATTTTTTTCAAATATTTCAGAGGGGAAGGATTTAGCAGCTTTAAGTCTAAAAGAGTGCAAAGCTTATCTACGAAAGCATGGCCTCAGGCTAGCTGGAACCAAGATGGTTTGTATACAGAGAATTAAAGAGCATTGGAGGTAACTTGTCTCTCTAGCAATAAAATATTCTTGCGTATTTTATTTTTTGCATTATTTCCAGGAGTTATTGCATCCTTAGATTGCCATATTGCTTGACTGATACCTGATGTTATACACATTTTCTTATTGGTTGATTCATTCAAGAGAAAAATGAACGTAAGCTTATAGTTCCACATCTGAAAAAGCTTTCACGAATTCATGGCTCTTCACATCCATGCAATCAAAATGCAAATCAATAGTTAGTTATACAAATTGCGCTTTAGTGATATGCTAGAGTCAGCATTTGAGCTAATAACCTGAGGTCAATTGTCCATTGCCGACTGTTCTAACTTTAAATAAGTCATTTCTTGCCACACAACATATCAATTGTCCATTGCTGACTGCTATAATGCTACTACGTATGTACAAATAACAGAATAAATCAGCTCAAAGAGCAAGCACTTTTATCATATGTCTTTGTTTTTTTTCGTTGTTCTTTTGGAAGTAGTCATCACTTAACTTTGTTCAGTTGCACACTTGGGCTAGTGTGCTTTGTTCCTAGTCCTTCTGAGGTTTTTATCAGAATATTCAGTCATTTTAGAACCAAGCTGACCCATATTTGTATCCTGAGTATATGCTTTGTGCTATAAATGTGAGATCTGGTTATGATTTGAAAAACTGTTCCACTTGCCCGAGCTGAATAGTGTCCAGTTGAGTTAAAATGATGACAGATCTTGTGCTTTTTAATAAGATGATAGAAAGTCAATGAATTGAGGTATTTTTTTTTCAAACCCAGAAGGTTAGAAGTCTATTAAGCACAAAAAATAGCCCCCTTGGATCGGTTAGATGAATTGTCTTTATAGGTGGTTAAATTGATTTGGCCTACAGCTAGAAAACTGTAGATACTAGGTGAGCTTGAAGAGCTTCACTAAGTTTGTAAATTTTTAGTTAAGCTTGAACCTGTTTATTTTATTTATTATATTAGCTAATGATTGTGACTGATATGTACTTGTTGTATGCTTATATGGATGTGTGTGCATGTTCATGTCATGATACTGCATGTGCCTCTCCTTGTTCGGTAGCTCTGAGTAATTTTTAGATATAACTTCCAATCTATGTTTACATCACAGGATAAAGGATGGAAACGGTGAATTACTTTATCCAAGATCATCATTTGTCATGAATTGTACTGGTAAAGTTTATTGTGTATTTCTATGCTTTTTTTTTTTTTTCTGGTTGTTGTAATGAACATGATATGACACTCCGTAACTTGAAGCAGGTGATGTCTGTAATGGAGACGTAGTTCTGTTCACCCAGAAAGTTTATGAGAGGTACTCTGTTGTCCCATGTCTTGTTATGTCATTGTCTATGTTTTCTGATGTTCAATTTGGGTCTACTGCACTTGCTTTAATCTTTATAAAGTGCATTTTTTTTTAAACAGGTTTGATAAAGTGACAAGACAAGGCAATCTTCTAGGGAAGAGAACTGTAGCAGGAAGGGTGGTAAAGGAAAGCTATGGTTCAGCCAAACAACAACATACATTTACAGTAAGGCTAAACCTTATGGTGAAAATTTTTTGTTGACCAACGTGATTGGTGCCTGCGCTACCTATTTTTACGGGAATTATAAGCCCAAAACATTAATTAAATAATAGCGAACATATGACATTTTTAATCCATTCCACATTTATTGCTTTCTTTTAGTAGCATAGTATACAATTGGCCGGGTAATTTATCTACTTGATTGGTGACCATGATATACAAGGTTGAAGTTCTGTGGAGCAAGGGGATTAAGAAATTGCCTCCACTTTTTCCTTTGCTTGTGAAAGGCCGTAATCTCTATAAATTAAAAACGTTCAGACAGGTCAGCAGCTACTTGGATAAGTTTCTCTGCTTTTATCATACTGAAAGTTTGGGACTTACTTGTTTTCATTATTATCTCTTAGCGTTGGAATGATGAAGTAGAAAGAATTGAAGTCCTTGCTGAGAAGCACAGACGAGGTAGAGCTGCGAGACTTGTGAGAGCAATGAAGAAATCGAAGAAAAAATTGTCTGCAATTGGATTTTTGAATGGAGGTTGTGTTTTGAACCTCATTCTTTTAAAGGATTAGAGTTTTTTCATCACGTTCGAAAGAATTATCCTTTTTGTTTATAGGTGTTAAGCATCAGAAATGTTCCTATAATGCAAGACCATCTCAAACAAGAAAGACAGCTGAACCAGGAAAACAGAAGTGTGTTTATCACCACAAAAAAGACACGTTGCAACAATATGCAAAAGCTAATAATCATCATCGAGAGGTCCCACAATCTAGACAGCTGAACTTGAATAGAAACAATGTTGACTCTGAAGCCACTTGTTGGCATCTGAAAAGTGGGCGCCTCAACGCGGACATGGACCCAATGCCTCATTCACATGCTTACATCCATCAAAATCCTTGCTCATCACACATAGAATTTCATTACCAGAATGTCCCATATCGCTTTTCCGGTTATGATATGAGCTCCAGTTCAACTATGATGAAGTTGCCTCCTCTGAGGCGTTACACTGATACAGTTGTGATGCCTGCTTTGCAACATCAGAGGATTAACCATAGGAATGATACCATCCATGACTATTCAAATCCTAGCTACAACTTCGGAAGTAGAAATTTGAACCATTTTTGATCTGATTGGCCATTTCACCAATTTTCACATAGAATGGAGATGTACGGACAGAACACGAAAAGATTTTCAATGATTTCATCATTGAGACAGAGAAAAGCTGAAGTATTCCCTATCTTCAAATGAAGATGCAAACAAAAGGTGAAGATGCCTTGTAGTAGTTTCCTACAGTGATTTGCTGAAATATGTTTTAAAGGGGACGTTTCAATTGGTAATTCTGACTCTTTTTGATGATAAACTCCAATAACACAAATTCTTGTGTTCATCTGCTAATTACTGGTTCTGATTTCAGGTTGAAGGAATACATGATGCTGGAGACTACCAAACTGGAGTTAATTTGACAATAACATGGTAAATAGATGGCCTTGAGTTTGCAGTTGATGATATTTGTCATCCACAGGCCAAAATCAAACGGTACATATTCTTTTCACTGTTTTTCTTCTGTAGCTGTGCTCCTTTTACACCAACCTTGAGAGCTTATCTACAAGGTCGCTTTTATTTTGCATCCAGGAGGTCTTCTGTCCTGTTGTTTCATATGTACCATAAGTATAACTTTTACGAGCTTTCACTTCTGACATTAAAAACTAAAAAGTCGGTGCATTGATGTCATATATCCATTTCCTATTTGTAAAAGCATTTAGTTCTGTTGATTTTTTCGATGAGATAAAAAGACAAATTTTCCAGGAAAAGTAAGATAATTAATTATGTTTGGTTACATTATATAAAAGTACAAAAAGATTATACTCTATGTTCATAAAATCAAAATCAAAATACAGTTATTTTTGTTCCCAAAACAAGATACGATTTTATTTATTTAATTAATGGTCCATCAATCTTGCTAAATTCATGAAGTGGGAAATGAGGTAAAATAGTTAATAAGAAATTTCATTTGAGTTATCTAAATATAAAAAAATTTCATCAATTTGGACACTTGATTGATAAGAAATTAAGTTAAGAGACACTAATAAAAAACTGAATAAAGGTATATAGTAATGTTACAATTATACCCTCTTATTCTATGTTATATAATTTTTAATTAAGTTTATAATTTATAAAATAATGTTTAAGAAATATATGTATTTTAACATGTTAAAATTTCTTTTGAGCTCCATGATCTATTATATTACAAGCTAAGAAGGTATTCAATCACTAAACTGTTTATAAAGGTGATATAAATGAAAACTGTATCCTAATTATAAGTATATTTTGTATAACAAATGCTAAAATAAGTATTTTAAATTGCGATCTTACCTAAAATCAAAAGTTGATAATTTTACCGAAACATTTTTATATATACCCTAATTAGGATTAGCGTTTGGACTTTAGAATAAAAATAATTAATGGTGAAAAACACCATTGAATTGCTTTGTATGTTGTGTTCTACAAGTGTACGTACGTTTTGCTGCAAACACTGTCAAGGGGCGGACCCAAGTGTATGTTTGAGAGATCACCGCCCCGCAATTAAAAAAATTTTCCTTCCAAAAATTATATTTTGTTTCCTCAAAATATGTAAATTTTTTTTTTTTCTCCACAAAAAACGCTACGATACATTGTTACCAAACAATGCCTAAGTTTTAATTTTATTTTATTTTAATTATGTGGTATTCAAAGGGTGGACAAACCGTTTTTACCCGAGTGTTTAAAAAACTTCGTATCAAAATTTGAACGCAAAAACTTTGATTAAAGAATAAGGATCTCTATCACTCCATTTCAGCCGTTTATAATAACTTTCATTTTACAAAGTGAGTATTAATTAATAAATTAAAGATAGCATGCAAAATTCAAGATATTTTTGTATATTAATCCCATAGGACACTGCACATTCTCAATGCTTTTTCTTTTTGACGGACAACCAGAAGTCCACTCAACTAAAAAAAAAAATTTTAAGAAAAAGTAAATGGAAGGATTGTGTGTCCTAAATAAGAACACGAAGTGCTTCAACTATCCATGCAAAAAGTCTGTCCTCCTTCCACCCCTACCACTTGTGGATCCTTCTTTACCGCTAAACATCCAATCTATACCAATCCATATCATAACAACCCAACAGGTTTGTCAATCACTCAGACAGTTCATCAGTCAGAAAAACTTCAATATATATTACAATTATTTACATTATACATCAAACTAAATCACCCAAATCCCAATACAATAAGCAATTCCAAACCCAAAATGATAATGAAAATTCAGAACAAGAAAGAAAGAAATTCTTTCAACTCTGACCACTTGAAGTTAGTATAAGACACAAATGGGTGCATCCTCCAAGTGGATTCCTCCATGGGATATAGATAGCCAAGGAGTAAAAACAAAACAGTGTAAAAAACAATAATAACTTTCTGTAAATTGGAATTTTCTGATTTCTTGAGCACTCAGATACTTAAATTGTGATGATAATGAGATAGTGAGAGGAAAGAAAAGGAAAGGGTGTAGTGGTGTAGGAAGGAATTGAAGGAGTTGATTAACAGAATCTTGGGATAGAATTGGAGGGGCGAAGGTCAATCTCTTGGGTCCAGGCTGTTCGGTCTTGAACGTGCAAGTGCCAGTAGGTTAAAGCCAGCGAGTCAGGGTCCATCATCTCTCCACCGCCGCTCTGTTGCTGTTGTTCCGCAACTGACGTCCTCTGGGAGCTTGAGGGTCCCCTGCAATTTGCCAATTTGCCCTTCCCTTTCATTAACTCCTCCTCATCAATCATCACTTATCATTTTCCTTTTCTTTTTCTTTTTTCTTAACATCTACCAACTCAAATTATTGTTCTTTCATATTTTTCCATATATATATACCATCAAACACGAATGGTAGTGATAATTAAAATAAAAAATATAATTAGCTTTTGTTTCTCTTTTTGAGTCAATTAAACAAATAGATTCTTCCTGAAGAAAGAAAGGAAGATTTGGACATAAATAGATGAAAAATAACAAGATGAACTAACCTAGGTGGACCAACCACACCATCTATGATAACATGGGCAATGTGAACTCCTAGAGGCTGAAACTCCCTTGCTAGACATTGTGCTAAACCTCTCAGTGCAAATTTTCCACAGCCTGTTCTTAAAAACAAGAAAACAAAAATCATTATTTTCATATAATACTTTGTAAAATTTTAAGATTTAGTTAAAAACAATTTACATAGTTCTGAGAAACCAGCAATGCCATTTAAGGAAGCTGAACATCCTGTGAATAAAATTGTCCCTTTTCCTCTCTCCACCATTCCTGGAAGAACCTGATTATTCCATTCCACAGAAACAACACATAAAATACCAAACACTTTTCTTGGAATACTATACGTCAAATGAAGAAAAATTAGATTAAATTACCTGCTGGGCGCAAAGAAGGGCTCCTATGGAGGAGACAGCAAGGGATTTTTCGAAGGAGTCGATGCGAATGTCTGAAAAACTAGTCGGAAGCCAAGAAACCTGTTGATAAGCATTGTAGACAAGTACTTCTACAAACCCAAGTGAAAGAACTCCTTCAAATGCTTCTCTTACACTTCTTGAGTCTGAGCAGTCAATTCTTATAGCAAATACTTGAGCTTTTTCTTGTCTTGCTATTTCATCTGCAAATCTTGATAGTTTCCCTACAAATCCATAATTATTCTCATTATTATTATTGTTATTTTCTTTTCTCCCTAATTAATTAATTAGTAGCTCAAAATCTGGAAAATTTCTAATGAGTAGACTTAATCTTGAAAAAACAAGTGCAGTAGACTGATTAATTACAAGAAAACTATAAAATTAAAAATAATAATGCTAATTAATTACAAGAACTCCTTTTTCTCTTATTATTATCTTCCTAGCTAGAAGTTAATTAAGATAATTATAAAAGAAAGAAAGAATCATAATTTACCTAAGTCACGAGCAAGGATGGCAACAGTGTATCCTTCATGAGCGAACTTACGGGCAATGGACCGGCCGAGCTTTGGTCCGACACCAACAATGGCGGCGATGCCTTTGGGACTGCCGGAGCTTGCCATGCTCCTCATCTTGGCTCAATTACCTAATTAATTAATTTTCTTTAATTCCTACCTCAATCAACTGAAATAAATAAGTAAATATCTACCTCAATGCAACTGACAAATAACAATAAGTAAATGATATAATATATATATATATATATATATATAGACTGTCAAGCAAACTTCGCAGAAAGCAGAAACTGCCGTATATATATATATATATATATATAGATGTAAGAACTTCCAGAAAAGAACTGCCGTTCTTGAATTGCTGTAGAAGTATTTACATTTTCTTGAAGAAGAAAGTTCTTGTGATTTTATAGTATTCAAGAAACATATATGAATAAAAAAATAAAAAATAAAAAAGAGAAAGGAAAATTGCTCCTTCGTGGCTGTCTAAGTCGCTGCCTCCTTTGCAAGAGGCATTCTTGCCTTAAGCTACGCTCAGCTTCCAGTGCTGCCTCCTCTCTATTTATATCTTCTCTGTCTCTCTCTTAGGTTTGTCTTCTCCACCTGATCCCTTACCATTAAAGTCTCGTTCTCTTGTCTCCTGTAAAATTCTCATTCCTTAAGAGAGTTCGCCCTTCTCTGTGGTAAAAGGAAAACTTAAGTTTTGAAATAAAGACGTATTTAATTCTGTCAACTTCAATAATTTACTGCGACGGAAATTCTTAAAGGAAATTAAATTACAAAAAGTTTTTGCCAACTAGCATTTTGATTGGTGTTTTCGATTTGGCGAATAAAAAAAAAAAAAAAGTTATTTATAACGTTTAATTCATAATATTATATAGGTCCACGGGACCCAATAAATAAAAAAAAATTACAAGACTTTTAATTTTTCTTTTAACGTTATCGATAAAAGTAACGTTTTACGAATATCACTCTTTTTTTTTTTTTTTTTTTTTTCACTCCTTTTTTTTTTTTTTTTTTTGTTGAAAGGGAACGAACGTATCACTCTTTTATCTAAACATAAAAACAACAAAAGACATTAGATTGAAACGGCAGGGATTCCAGAATCCTTCAATCTATCTTATTCTCAAAAAAGAAAAACAAAAAGAAAAAACAAAAAGAATTAATTGCAACGACTACGGGACTCGAATTCGCATTACAGACTCTATTATATACAAGCTCATATAATTCTGTACTCCGAGCTGGCGCCAACATTTTAGTCATTAAGGGATTCGTCAAGTACAAATTAAAGTAAATTGTTACCACTGATCAACTATGTAAATCCAACTTTTCTGTCTGAGCGTTCGCTCATCCTGAAATGTAATTGCACAATTATCTGGAATGCATGGGCACATGCACTGCTCGTTCTTTTTTTTTTTTTTTTTTTTTTTTTTTTGAAAGGGAACGAATATCACTCTTTATCTAAACATAAAAACAAAAAGAATTAATTGAACGGCAGGGATTCAAATCCTTCAATCTATCTATTCTCAAAAAAAGAAAAAAAAAAGAAAAAAAAAAAGAATTAATTGAACGATAGGGACATGAATTGCATTACAAATTATTATATACAACTACATATAATTCTGTACTCCGAGTGGGACATTTTATCATTAGGATTGTCAAGTGAAAATTAAATAAAATTTTACATGATGCAACTATGTAAATAACCAAATTTTCTACGTTGCTCATTGAAATTAATTGACAATTATTTGATGCATGGGAACATGCATGCTCTTCTTTTTTTATGAGAAATTTATCTTTAAAATCACCAAGAATTAGTCACAATAATATTTTCATTTGTATAAAAACTTGATTTAACGTATCAGACCACTCCAAAATTTGCAGGTTTTATAATTTCACACTATTTTGAACTTTCTATCGATCTTACTCCAATTTCAATTTTTTATAACAATATCTTCGATTATAATTAGGGATGGAATGGAACTACAAATAAAAAATATATCCCTTTTTTTTTAAATTAATAATATCAAACGTCATACATATACAACTTATATAGAGACATAACAGGAAATATAGGGGCCGCAAGGGCTCCAATGTCCATTTAGTCCATAAGATTATAGAATTTATTTAAACTTACCCTCCTAAACTTTTCCATTAAATTTAAGCCCCTAAAAAACGAGAAAATTGAATTTTCATACTTTTATTTTTTTTGTTTTTAGTTATATACGGGGGCTAACATCCCAAGTTAAACAACAAATCTAATTATGTAAATAGGACAAACCACAAGCATGTTGGATAGGCTAACCCACGACACTTCAGTTCATGAATGTATAACCAATTATTAAAATAATTTGAAGAGACACAATTCTAGCAAAAGGAATAATATAAAAATAAATAAAGAAAAAATAGTGCAAAATATATATACCTTTCATATGCATTTAATTAATTAATTGTCTGCAATTTGTCTCACTTTAATTAAGCATGAACACTATTGATTGCTAAACAAGATAGAATATACCCCTAAGAAAATTTTCACCTCCAAGCTTTTTACGTCCTAGTTTTGGACAAATTCTAAGATTTTAAATTTCTGATTAATCCAAGTTTAGCCTTAAATCAAATAATAAAAAACAAAATATTCCTCAAAGAATATGTCACATTAGACTTATAGTATAATAATCAAATGTTTATCTTGTATTCACAAGGACAAAATTAGGGTGTTAATGTAAAAGGGTAAACCTTTTTTTGGTGTTTAAATCATTAGATATCTGAATTAATTTCATAGATCTAATTATATCTAATTTGTACTGGGTAGGTTTAAAAGGGATAAAGCACTCTCTTCTGAGTATTTAAATTTTAAAGTTCGAACTCGACAAATTTAGTTAAGGAAGAAGAACTCCCTGCTATCATACACATCTGCCTGCCCGTAGATAAAAGGAGGTAAACTTTTAATAGAAAATAGAGCGATTCCAGTTGTTTGTAAATCTTTGATCAACTTGGATTCCAACCACCAGGAATAAAGCAATTCCCTCCTTCTAATCAAGATAGCCTGAAGAAGCAATCAAATCTTTTTCTTCATCTAGGGAAATAATTTGTGAAGTCAAGTCCTCCAATGCTTTTGAGGGGCCTTTAAGGATAGATCCATAAGGCGCAGTCAAATTTGTATGCACATGAACATGATGAGAAAGAAAGAATGAGACAAGGCAAGTTGCCAAAAGTATTTAATACTAACAAGGCAAAGAACCCTAAAAAGAGGCTTTTGATTCTAAGCAGGCTTTTGTTTTGCATCACAGCTTTTTTGGCCTTTTGATTTCCCTAGTGGAGAGTGACTATGGACTGGAATACTCAACTCAGGTGAAGAAATGAAAGTTTCTTTACATGGCTTTCTAAATAAGCCATATATTGTGCTGTCTCCAACTCAAATCAAGAATAGACTTTTGTCAAAACCCTGAAAGCCGATTATTAATATTTAAACAGGAAATCAAGAATTTAAACCTCTCGGAGTCAAAAGTAAAATACTATTTCTAATCAGCTACTGGGTTTAGCAGCTGCCCTTTTCCTCATAATCTAAAATTTACCTCATAAAATATTAAAAATTTTTAATTTTATCAATAAAATAATGAAAATTTTCCATTTTTGCTCTCCAAATTCTGAATTTTTTTCGTTCCCCTAATTTTTTTTGTCTGATTCCGTCATATCTGCAAGTTACCTAACCAAACAGAATAAAATGTTGTTTTCTTTTATTTATTAATTTATCCCTCCTTTTCTTCTGAACTTGGTCATGTCCTATTCACTTCCATTGCCGACAATCTCCCATTCTGGAAAAAAAAAAAAGTAGCCATAGATTTTTTTGATTCTTACAATATATATTCTTCTAAGTTCTCATACGTAGAATTTTAAGATATTAGATAAGGACTCCACCTACACTGCAATGATGATCGATTCCTGACTGAGTAGAGAAGATACCCTTCTCCCTGTCATCATTGATTTTCCCAACCAAAAGATCATCTGAAATTTAAAAAAAAAAAAATTAATCTATAAACTTAGGAAAATAATTAACACAATTCTATTATTTTAAATCTTAAATTGAAGTTATTGTTTTTCATTTATTTAACAATAAAATTACATACCATATTTTATATTTAATTAACTTCAATGTTTCTATTTATAGTTAAATATTTTCTTTATTAATTTATGAATGAGAAATATATTTCAGTATAAACATAATAGGTAATTAGATAAGCGGAAGTGAACTACATCTAACTAAATTTTATTTGTAATTAGGTTATAAAGAATTCGAAATCCCGAGACATGTAGAAAATTATTATTATTATTATTATTATTTGAAAGAAAAATCAATTGCTTGAAAAAAAAAAAAAAAGAAAATAGAGATTCAATCATTGAGCATGGGACCAGAATAATGTGGAAGTTTTGGAGTGGCCCTTTTTTTGTATATATCTTGATTCTTCACTTCTCCATTAATTGATTAAATTTATTTTATTTTATTTTATTTTATTTCGTCCACTAGCACAATTCTAACATGAGAACATGTTCTGTTCACTACCACAATTTGAAGTTCGACTCTTTGTGCTATCATGCTGGTACTATATCTCATGATTGGAATCATCATTTAATTATTGTACATGAAATTCTAGATTTATTTTTTTTTTTTGAAATATATAGATTTAAAAATTTGTTGTGAAAAATAAATAATGGTAATTTCCTAAATTAATACTCTACTAGATGTCAATCTGGCTATTTTATTATGAGTTTGTTTGACGTTTGAAATCGAAATTTTTCTTCGTAAATATAACACTTTAGATGTTGGTTGATAAAAAAAGAATTTAAGAATATATATTCTTCAAATTTTATAATTAGATTTTCAAATTTATCTTAAAAAATGTGACTTTAAATTAATGATATTTTTTTCATTATATATTAAGTGGAAACTTTTGTTATATGAAAAATAAATTACATGTGTACGGGTCAAAACAAGATGGAGATTGATTATACCGTCTTTAATTTTTTTTAAAAATGTTGAAATAAAAAATAAAAAATTAAAAATTTAGTCATTTTCAATTGATTTGTAGAAACTTATCGTTCCGTGACCCATCTCATTATTTAAAATATAATAAAATAAAATTTTAAATCTATACGAAAGAAGTCACATCAAACACTAATAAGGAGTTCATATACTTTTATTAATTTTTTTAGCCAAAATAATAAATTTTTATAATTATCAATTGTAGTTAAATAAATTTATTAAGTAAAATAAAAAAAAAAAATCAAATAATTTCAATTTCTAATTCAAAATTTTTTGGATGAAAAAGAAGGTTTCTTAATTGTTACTTATTGGTCAAAGAGAGCATTAAATATAATAAGACAAAATAATTCTATGTAATTGATACAAATTAATTTTATATATTTTATGAATTTTTACTAACCATTAAAACTTCGAAGAAATACATATCGATTTTGATTAAAGAATTAATCGTATCTCAAAATTATCTTCCAAATGAAATTTATTTGGATTAGAGCACATTTAATAATTTATTAAAACACGTGATTGCATGCAAATTCTCGTTTTACTATCAATCATAAGTTCAGAATTAGCTTGGCAGAAGTAGAAAATGGTGTAGTCAGTTTCACAACATTCTTGTTAATATTGTGCTTCGAATGGGTTTTTCAAATGTCAATTTTCTCTCTAGTATTTTAACTCTAGTTTTGTTTTATGATTACTGTTGTCTATCGTTGTTTATCAGCGGTAACCCCTACCTCCTATTTTCTATTTTCCTTTTCGTTTTCATTTCTTTTTGCTTTTAATATTTTGTTCGCTCTAGTTAATTCAGATCTATTTTTTTCTATAATAGATTTATCCTTTTTTGGTTTTGTTATTGTTATTATTATTTTGTTTTTGTATTTGGAGTTTTTTTTCTCCCTTCCTTGTGAGGATAATCCCTTCATTGTGAATTACTAATTAAAATAATGTGATATTTGATTTATTTGGTTGAAGACTTTAGATTTTGATTTATAGGTGTGGATCTTCGATCAATAGAGCCAGGTAATGTGACATGTTCCTCTATTGATGCTATTAAGGTATAGTGGCGTAAACTCATCTGTGTTCGTCATATCTTGCAAATTTTTAGAAAAAAAAATCCAAGTATAGAAGATACAGAATAATTATTATTTTGTCGTCCAAATCACTTAACGGACTAAGTGCTGCTATGAAGATTTATATCTTTTGTCGAAACAAATCCAAGTGGGAAGATTGAATGTTAATATTTTTTAATTTTAATTTTATTGTTTAAAAGAATATAAATTCTTTTGGTCTGTTAAAAGATTAGCGAACTCTGTTAGCTATTAATAATAAAGTTCTATGTTTGATCTATGTGAGTGTTGTAATTCTTAATATTATTATTAATGAATTATATTTATAAAAAAAATTCATAATTTTATTTATAAATTTGAAATGTAAATATGATATAACAATTCTCCCCTACAAAAAGAAAAATATATAACAATTCTACAAGTAATATTTTTTTTTATTCATTGTTGTGTCATATTTAGATTGAATGATGATTTCAAATTTTAAATATTCGCATAAAGATGTAATCAATTTTCATTAATCCAATCTATTTATCATTTTTATAAAATAATGAAATAAAATCATAAAAAACCATGAATTTTTTATAATTATAAATATTTTTATAGTCTTATAAAATTAAACATTATAATAATTTTTACTAATTTCTAATACTATAGGTAAATAAAAAAAATATTTTTTGAGAGCAAACGAGTCTTATGTACTGTTTGGATAGGCACACAAACAGCACCTAATAATTTCAATTTTGCATTATGCAAATGGAAGTGGATGCCGTATTGATGTTGGCAGATGAATGTTGAACTGAAAATGGGGTTTACTATATCTACGTTGGTCCCATGAAATCCTTCGCATTTATTATACGAGATTTATTATTATTTTTGTTGAGAGGCTATTATTATTATTATTATGTGAGTTCTCTATTTATTTTATACTTTATCCTACCATTTTTACATTTGGTCCCTTCATTTATACCTACAGCTCCTCTCAATTTATCCTTCAATACCACTTAATTGAATTTCGAATTTGATGTCCATTTATAAATAATTCTATTTTTATATAGAACTATATATGTGTGTATGCGCGCTTTAAAATATAAATATTGCACCATATATGAATAATAATTTTACACCAAAAGGAAATATCTCTTAATTATTTCTCCATGCAAATATTACAACTCTTTCATCAAATCCTGATTTTGAGTTAAACTAACGTTAGCATTTACAAAACATTTTAAATCCCTAAAATCTCACAATTTTATCCCATTGTAATTGTATAAAGACTGAAATTAAAATTTTTAAAACGATGGGAATTACTAAAAATAAAAAAAATTCATAAAAAAATCAAATTCAAGAGGATTTGGTGTTGTATAGTCTGATGGTAAAGAAGATTATTAAAAAGTAAAGGCATTATTTGGATTTTATTGTCATTGACAACAATTTCACTTACCTATTATCTATTATCTATTATACTGTAAAAAGGAAAAAAAAAAAAAAGAACTCAGTTGAAAAAAAAGATAAGGTTTGGGCTTTGAGACAGGAAACTCGTCCATGTCCGATAAGGAAAATTGCCCTTTCCTTTGCGTATTAACGGCAAGTATATTTTGGGCCACACTCGGCCTAATCCAATTAAGAAAGGCCCAGAAAGTAACCCAACGCGGCCCAAACTCTCTGGTCTTCGTTACTGTCAAGTCTTGTTTCTCAACGAAGAAACTAGCTTGTTCTCTCCATGGTTTTCCTGTTTTGATCTCTGAAATTCGCATCAACGATACAGTTTCTTTTGTTAGATCATATGAATTCTCACTTTAGACACTAATTTACAGGTAACACTCACAAAATATTCTCCTTTCAACAGCTTTCAAATTAGATCTGACCTCTCTCAGCCTCTTCTCTCTTCTTTTGTTGCTATGATCTGAACTAAATCTCAGAAAGTCAACTAAAGAGAAATGGAGTGGGCGACGGTACAGCATCTGGATTTACGCCACGTAGGTCGAGGTGTTAATAAACCATTGCAGCCTCATGCGGCTGCGTTTCACCCAACTCAGGCTCTCATTGCCGCGGCGGTCGGTTCATACCTGATCGGTAATATTACCTATTCATTTACTGAATTTTAAGTTGTTTTGGATTTTGGAGTCAGACAATTTGTAAGTTTAACTAAGCTTAATTTTGTGCTTTTGATAATCTATTCCTTTATTTTGTGTATGCAGAATTTGATGCATTAACAGGAAGCAAACTCTCTACGTTTAACATTGGAGCACCTGTAGTGCGCATGTCTTATAGCCCTACTAATGGTCATTCTATAATTGCAATTCTAGAGGTTGGCTTGGTTTCTTATGCTGTCATGAAATTCTGATTGTAATGTTCAGTTATTGTACTTTTGATGTTGCTTATTTTTTATGGTTAATCAAAATTTTCTCCATGCTTAGGATGAAGTTTGTTGTAGTCTTAACTTCATTAATTTTTTTTTTTTTTTTCTGTAGGATTGTACAATTAGGTCTTGTGATTTCGATACTGAGCAAACATGTGTCTTGCATTCACCTGAAAAAAGAATGGAACATATATCTAATGATACAGAAGTCCATCTTGCTTTGACTCCTCTTCAGCCTGTTGTTTTCTTTGGTTTCCACCGCAGGATGAGTGTAACTGGTTGGTTGGTTTGCTTCTTTCTTTTGCATTATCATTTATTATATTGCTTATCATTTATCATATTGTGACATTTCTATATTTGTTTCTAACTGTGAACGGTTTTTGCTTGAAGTTGTTGGAACTGTTGAGGGCGGAAGAGCCCCAACAAAAATAAAGACAGACTTGAAGAAACCTATTGTAAATTTAGCTTGCCATCCACGCCTCCCTGTTCTGGTAACATGTTTATTTGCTATAACGTACAAACTGCTTTTGATTACTTCTGCTCTTGTTGGTTATAGAATGGATTGGATGTAGACTGGAATAATATTGGTTTTAATTCCATCGGTTAATTAAAAAAAGAACTACAATTTGATCTGGCAATGCAATGGATCAGTAAGGAGGTCGCATCTAAGTCTGTATTATCAATCAATAAATTTAGGATCCGATATTATCTATTTTTATGTTGTATTGTAGAGCTACTTCCCAAATTTTATGAACACAACATATCTGAGAATGAAATGTTATGGTTTTCCAAGCATTGTAGATTAAAGATGTGTGCAAGTGTGTTGGGTGGAGGGATTGCCATTTGAGGCATCTAATTCTATCGTTATACATGGTCACCTGTGAAAAAAGAAAACTTGTTTTCCTGGTATGTATTGGAAGTGCTTAGGAAGGGGATATCATAAAAAAATAAGATGAGAAATGTAGAGATAATATGATTTCAGTTGAAGTGGTAGCAATGGCCATGCATAACAGTTGATTGAGCGCTGTTTTTAGCATGGAATGAAGTGGAAAAGCATTAGAAGTTTGCAAATATAAGTAACTTTTTCATAGATCTGAAACCATAAATGTACTTTTAATCCATTTTGTAACCAGATTTAAAGTTTTCTACTAATGTGTGGTGAATTTATGTACATACATGCATAATATCAAAATTCAGAGTGGATATTATGAGGCTTCATTCCAGGGGGTAAAGTTAACGATGGTCTTGCATTTGACTCTTTTCAGTAAAAAGAGGAAGGTTGGATGACTATGATTCATTTTACTAGTTAATATCATATAGTAACAGAACCTTTTACCAGATCTGAATCATCAGACCAGACTGGTTGATTCTTTAGTTGATCTGATCCATTGTAATTCATGCCAGCTTAATACTTTTTCCAAGCTTCTTTACTTCATTTTGATGAATATTTTTGTCAATTATTGTGTTTGATTTTTTATTATTTCCTGCAGTATGTGGCGTATGCAGATGGTTTGATTCGAGCATACAACATTCATACATATGCTGTTGCATACACACTACAACGTAAGATATCAATGGTGCTGTTTCTGTATTTTGAATCTTCCTTTTTCAAAGAAACTTTGAAAACATTTTTATTTTTTTGTTCGATGATGTTGCAGTTGATAATACAATTAGGCTTATTGGTGCTGGTGCATTTGCTTTTCATCCAACATTAGAGTGGATATTTGTCGGTGATAGGCGGGGTACACTTTTGGCATGGGATGTCTCAACTGAGAGACCTAGTATGATTGGGATGTAAGTTGTTTCCACTTATAATGGCCTTCCCTTTGGCAACACTTGCTATGTCGCTTTTTCATCTTTCTTTCCTTATTTTTCTAATCAATCATTGCCTCTTTGTTGGTAGAATAGAAATAGGAAAAGAAACAAGTTTTTGTTCCTTAAAAGAGAAAAGAAATGGGAAATTTTGAGGAGCTTCTTTCAGAGATCTTCATAGAAGTTATTGTTGAGGGAAAAATTGATACTAAGCTAATTCATTAACTATTGTATTGCTGTGTGCTACTTCCTAATTCTTGCTGAAATACCGGAGGGCTAGGCTAATAAACAAGCAAAAGCTCTTACCTCCCTTATTCCCTTCTCACTGCCAAAAATACAACACTTCCATTTGTCGTCATTTTCATCTTTTCTTGATCTTTTGAGAAATGTCTGGCAGACTTGTAATTTCACTCAGCTCTTTTAGTAAGGTTGTGGCAGTGGCAATTTCGCTAGAGAAATCAACTTTTTATCCAAGTGAAAATTCAGAGCATGAAATTGTAGTGTAGGTGATTATGTGAGAATATATAAATAGTTGCAATGATGAATAAAATCTGCTTGTTTAGATTTTGGAGTGAGTGAAGTCATGGGGTCAATCTTAAGTTTCGATTTTGGCTGTTTGAGCCCTTATCGGTATAACTTGCAACCTTTGAATCATACATTGTAGTTTGACAATTTGCAACATAATTTTGAGAACTGCAATATTATGATGTTCACACATTGGGCTCTAGATCATGAGTGTCTAAGTTTGGGTTTTCATAGCAGCAACTCGGTGTGAAAATGTTAAAAGAGTTGCACTTCATAATTGTCCATCTATTGGAAGACTCTATTTTGGTGAGCCTATATCTGGGAAAAGCCTGAAGGCTTGCTGAAAAAGCATTCGAGACTAATGCTTCCATTTTCCAATTTTTCTTTTAACGATTTCTTTGGTTACCATTAACTTCTTTTCTAACAATGTACTTTATTGTAATGCAGTACACAAGTGGGCTCTCAACCAATCACATCAATTGCTTGGCTGTCAAATTTGCGGTTACTTGTCACAGTTTCAAAAGATGGAACTCTTCAAGTGTGGAAAACACGAGTGATACTTAATCCTAATAGACCTCCAATGCAAGCAAATTTTTTTGAGTCTGCTGGTTAGCTCTTATTTATTTACTTCTTTTTCTGGAATACCATTTGTGCTTCTGTGTTGACAGAATATGGACTATGCTGACATAGGACGGCAAGAAAATTAGGTGAATGGTTGTTTAGGTTGATTTTAAAGCTATAGTGTTAGAAAATTTGTGGATAATTAGGGTTTGCAAAATGGTACAATAATGAGTCATAAGGGAGGGAAAGAAATGTATTTGGTCATAATATTGTTGAGATAATTAAGGGTATAAAATTTATTTAACCTAGACATATCCAACTACGGTTTCCCTCTATTTTCCTTTCCTCCCACTTTCCTCTTTCCCAAACAAAGACTTAGGGGTCAATACAATTCGAGAAAAAAGTTTAAAATATTTAGTTTTTTATTAGCATGGGAACTTTTTCTGTCAATTTTCTTTATATTATTAAACGAAAATAACCTGTTCTATTACTATAGAATAGACAAGCAACCAACGCACTTTCTTGGGAGTTGAAAGAAGTAATGGAAGAGTTGAAGACTGTCAATGTTACACCTCATAAAAGAAGACAACCAAAATCAACAGACTTCAAAGAATCTTGATTGATGTTTCTTAATTGTAAATATTCATGCTTCTGGTTTTATAATATCAATGGAAGATGATAACTTGGTTTTCTTCTGCACGTTTTTATGCAGGGATTGAATCAATTGACATCCCTCGAATTTTATCTCAGCAGGGTGGAGAAGCAGTTTATCCTCTACCACGGATTAGAGCTTTAGAAGTTCACCCAAAATTGAATTTAGCAGTTCTGCTGTTTGCAGTTAAGATAAATAATTTTATTTGTCAGAGCTGAATTATTAATCACTATTGAATGAATTAAAGTGGGTATTCCTTTCTTATTACTACAGAATATGGTAGGAGGTGACAATTTAAAAAATAGGGCTGCATACACAAGGGAAGGAAGGAAACAACTCTTTGCAGTTCTGCAAAGTGCCAGGGGATCTTCAGGTGAGCAATTATTTAAGTCTGGATATCTCTGGACATTTTGTTGCATTGTTTCTCTAATCTGTTATGTCATTATATGCAAGTTCTGAAGGCTTTGCACGGTAGGGATTTTTTTTTTAAAATGCTGCCAATATCCGCTTTATCTTGCTTTGTACTCCATTTTGGTATCTTATTTTACTCCATTATGTGAATGGTATTACCTAGAACAACTTGTGTAGCATAGATTGGAGAAACCTGTCTATGCACATTTCTGTGTTGAGCTAAGCCTTGAAAAATTGGGGTAGATGTTCAAAGGAAATGAGAGATTAGGTTGTTTGGAGAGTAGGGCTGAATATATTTTGGTTTGAGACTGGTGGTATTCTAGGATGAGTTGCAGGAAGTCTATCAGCAGTGAAGATATGATTTAATTGTTGCATTTTAGCAAAGTTGAAGTACTTGAAGATAAAGTGTCATTAAATGGTATGGATGTATTGGGCATATGCCAGAAAAGCAAACAGCTGCAGATATTATGTAACAGTAGCTAGTATTGTGGATGTGAATTTTTATTGAGACCCAAAGATTTTGCGTTTTTGTGCCTGATTAATTGTTCTATAGTTAACAACCCTCTGCTATTATAACAAACTAGTTAACGCTTGTGCACTACACAATTTTGTATATGTTTTTATGTGACAGTAATTTTTTATTAACTTTAAATTATATATTACATTCTTTTTGCACTTGTAATAATAAATTACAAATTAATTAAGTTACTTCATAGTTAAATAAATATTAATTGAATATTAAGCTTATGTTTGGCAAATCTTTTAGAACTTTGGATCTCAACTCGGCTTCTTTTTTTATCATGTCATAAATACTGTGGTGTTGTGCTTTGCTCATGTTTGCGCATGCTAATGGTAGATGTGATTTTCAGCATCTGTTTTGAAGGAAAAACTTGCATCCTTGGGCTCATCAGGAATTTTGGCTGACCACCAACTTCAAGCACAACTGCAAGAACATCATCTGAAGGGGTGAGTTTTTGAATAATCATCTGCAAGTTATATGGTTCTGAGCAACAAAAGAGTATGTTAGATCATGTTGATGTGAAGTAACTGGACTTTACTGCTAGTACTTTTGTTGTGTTATGGCCTTTGATATTGTTGCTACACAATTTTCTTATATTGCTAATTGGGGTTTTTATCTCATTATTTCCACCATCTCGTGAATTACTGATGAAATTATTGTCCTCTCAGCAGCCAAAGTCAGCTTACGATTTCAGACATAGCAAGGAAGGCATTCCTTTACAGTGTATGTTACTGTCATTATATTTATATTTTTCTTCGTACTCTTTGGTATAGTTTGATATGATGTGATTGAATGTAATCAAGTCAAAAAATATTAATTTCATTTTTCTATGGAATTTTTTATTTGATTATATTCCATTAAATTCAATTATGTTTCGCCTTTTTGTTAAATTTATGCCTTGTGTGTGACAAAATGCTAAATGGTCATAGTTACTTATTTTGAGGAGAAAGAAAATGAAGAAAAGGTCATTGACCCAAACTAAGTATCTTCTGTATCACATTGTATTGGTATCTGATATGTCAAAACTCTGATATGGCTAAGTTTTAGAGTAAATCTATCATAGAGAAGAGAACAACTAAATAATAGTTCTGAAACATGTATTAAGGTATGAATCTTTAAGTTCATATGATACCACCGGAGTTAAGCAGAATTTGTTGACTTGACCACTAGCATGGAATACCTCTTACCAGCCAGATTATGATTAATATTTTTTGTTAACAATCAACAATTCCTTTATGGAATTGAATTCGAATATGCGCTCAATTTTATTTGTTTAGTTTGTATTTTCCGTCTATTATGTTTATTGTATGATCAAGATGTAGTTTTGGAACCTCCCCTGTTTGATATGAAATTCTTCATATAGTTCTCCAAATTGATGTGCTGTTGATTTGTGAAACCTATGTAATTTTCATAGCATTTCATGGAAGGCCATGCCAAAACTGCCCCAATATCTCGGCTGCCTCTCATCACTGTTTCTGATACAAAGCATCAACTGAAGGACATTCCTGTTTGCCTGGTAACAAAATCAAAATATTCATATTGATCTTGATTTTCATTTGCCTAAGTTTGCATCTGAAGTGTTGGTTTTATTGGCAGCCCTTTCATTTGGAGTTAAATTTCTTTAATAGAGAGAACCGGCTACTTCATTATCCTGTTAGGGCTTTCTATGTTGATGGCATGAACCTCATGGGATATAACCTCTGTTCTGGAGCGGACAGTATTCACAAGAAACTTTATACATCGGTAATATTAACTTATTATAATATATTTCTTTTTTCCTTTTCAATAATGCAAACCGATGTGCTTCACCATGGATTTCACAAAAGTATTTCAATTACATGATGCTCTTTGTTTTCAAAACTATTTCGATGTTTTATGATGATAAAGTTTGGATCTTGTTTTCAGATTCCTGGAAATGTGGAATTCCATCCGAAGCACATTATTTACAGCAAAAAGCAGCATCTATTTCTTATCGTATATGAATTCAGTGGCTCCACAAATGAAGTGGTCCTTTACTGGGAAAATACTGCCTCTCAGTCAGCCAGCATTAAGGGAAACACAGTTAAAGGTTTGGCCTGCATTTGATTTATTTTTATATAGTAATATTACTACTAATATGTGCATGTAATGGATGAGAACCTGACAATTATTTATTTTACTGGCCTTTGACTTTCTAGGTCGAGATGCTACATTCATTGGCCCCAGTGAAAATCAGTTTGCAATTCTTGATGAAGACAAGACCGGGCTCGTTCTGTACATTCTGCCTGGAGGAGATTCAAAAGAAGCTGGTGAAAAAAATTTATTGCTTGAAGAAAACCAATCAGTGGAAGCAAATTCTGGTTCTCTTCGGGGTCCAGTTCAATTTATGTTTGAAAGTGAAGTTGATCGTATTTTTTCCACTCCATTAGGTGTGTGATGAAATACAACTCATCATCTTTAAAATTGCATCCATTAATGATATATCTGATTTAAGACTCATATGATTGCAGAGTCAACTTTGATGTTTGCTATTAGTGGGAGTCAGATTGGTTTTGCAAAGTTGGTTCAGGGATATCGCCTCCCAACTTCGGATGGTCATTACATACCAACAAAGATTGAAGGGAGAAAGTCAATCAAGTTAAAAATGAACGAGATTGTACTGCAGGTAAATAAGTTTATTTTTCATGAAAATCACAGGACATTGTCTTAAAAAAATAAGGGGAAAAGAATTAAAAGAGAAGATGAAATAGATTTAGGAGCCTTTATTGGGAAGCAATTCCTATACACATCCTTCAACAGATTAGAGGGGCATTTTTTTGGTCTGCTTTCTTGTGGGTCTTGAACTGTCAGGCTGCATCCTAATCAATATACGTTCCCATCCTATGCAACCTCTCAAGCTGTAGTGTTATCAATCTTTTGAAGACACTGATAGCCTGTGTAATAATATCACCTGTAAAATCATTTGTCCTAAAACAGTGTGATTTGAGGTTAAAGTAGTACTGTAACATAATTTTGTAAACAATACAATTATGCAAATATTATATTGACCTATTATTGGATCTTGTTTTCTTAAGAGACATTCATGCCTTTGTCGGTGAATTTGAATTTATTAGCTGAAAAACCTTGGTATTCATAATTTCTATAGGTGCACTGGCAAGAAACTCTTCGGGGCTATGTTGCAGGAGTGTTAACAACTCAAAGAGTACTTATGGTTTCTGCTGATCTTGATATACTGGCTAGCAATTCCACAAAATTTGACAAAGGACTTCCATCAATATCCTGACAAATTTTGTCTTTTACAGCTTATTTCTGCTATTAATTTCTTTTATGTGTAGGATTTAAGTTTACGAATATGTGTAAATACTTAACCTATGTGCACTTTAGATCCCTTTTGTGGGTTGGGCCTGCTCTTCTTTTTTCTAGTGCCACTGCAGTCAGTGTGCTTGGCTGGGATGGAACAGTGAGGACTATTCTTTCTATAAGCATGCCCTATGCAGGTAAATGTTTTTGCTTTTTGTGATTATTCGGCCTCTTTGATGTCATAGCCAGGCACTTTGCCTGCCTGGTTATTCAATTGCTGTTGTATGATTTATATTCTATTGATACTTTATTACAAGTCTGTGCTGTAGTTTTATTTTATCTGTTCCTGCAGTTTTGATTGGAGCTTTAAATGATCGATTACTGCTTGCTAATCCGACGGAGGTAAATCCAAGACAAAAAAAGGGGGTAGAGATTAGGAGCTGTCTTGTTGGACTCCTGGAACCTCTTCTTATTGGATTTGCCACAATGCAACAGACATTTGAGCAGACGCTTGACCTGTCAGAAATACTTTACCAAATAACATCCAGGTAATAAACATGCTATCTTTTTTTTTTTTTTTTTTTTTTTTTTTTGATAGTTCTCTATTTTATCTGTTCCCTTGCCAGTTTTGATTTGGAGCTTTAACATGATCGATTTACTGCGACTTGCTTAATCTCGAACGGAACGGTAAACTCCAAGACAAAAAAGGCGCGAATGACCGGTTAAGAGTTAGGACGACTGTCTTGTTTGCGGACTCATGGAACCATCCTTCTTATTGGATTTGCCCACAATGCAACAGACATCTTGAGCAAGCCACGACTTTGACCTGTTCCGACAATAACATTTTACCATACATCCAGGTAAATAAACATGCTTTATCTTTTTGTTTTTTTTTTATTTTTTTTTTTTTGGATCCAAAAACAATCGTAATACTCTGCCTGAACCTCTTATTGGAATTTGAGTATTTTGAATATGCAAAACTTTATCGCTCCGCTTCGACTAGTGAGAAATTTACTAGTACCATTATTCATTAGAGTTCTCCGGTAATAATTTTTTTTTTTTTTTTTTTTTTTTTTTTTGGTCAAAAATCGTCATACTCTCTGAACCTCTTATTGGATTTGAGTATTTGATATGCAAACATTTATGCTAAAGCTTGACTAGTGAGAATTACTATACCAAATATCATTAGAGTTTCCCTGTCTCGTATAATTGCTAAATCTAACCATTGTTTCATATTTAAGAAATGAAAATCTCATCACTGGACATATATAAATTTTAGGAACCTTGTGTGCTTCTCTTAACATGCCTTTGCTACATCAAGCATGAGCTGTTCATCAAAGTCTTTAATGAATCTGATTATCCCATGTGTTGTCTGAATGAAGGTTTGACAGCCTGCGCATTACTCCAAGATCACTTAATATTCTTGCCAGTGGTCCTCCTGTTTGTGGAGATCTTGCAATTTCGCTATCCCAATCAGGTCCACAGTTCACCCAGGTGAGATGAAAACCGACATTTTAAATACTTTCCATATTCAAGTTTCATCTACTTGTTTCTGAACAATTTGTATAATGAACATAGGTGTTACGAGGCACATATGCTATCAAAGCTCTCCGTTTTTCGACAGCTTTATCCGTTTTGAAGGATGAATTCTTGCGTTCTCGAGATTATCCAAAATGTCCTCCAACCTCTCAGCTGTTCCATCGGTTTCGACAGTTGGGATATGCCTGTATCAAGTAAGCAGATAAATGTTTATTCTGTTTTCATATGTTCGCTTATATGCGTGTTTAAATCTGTCAACCACACAAACTGTTGTGCTTGTACTTATTCATTTCAGTATTTAGTTCTTGATGCTGAGGGAATTTATCGAGGGGCTACTTGAACCTCTTATACTATATTCGTTCTAATTCTTGGTGGATAGTGACCTTTCGTATTATTCGGCTGTAGAAGGGCAATTTTATTTTTAAAGAAGTTGGAAGAAATCATTTTCGTGAGACAGTTACAATGAGCATTCTTGATGTCAGGCTCACTATTGAATGTCATTTCTGCATGTTGTCTTCTAATATCTGCTATGTAGCCCAGAATATCTGGGTGATTAATTCATCTAAACTATATGCCTGCATCTTATTCTTACAACACTTTGTTGCTTTATAAAGGAGAAAAAATAGCTATATCTTTTGGAATTTACTGTTTGCGATACATAGCATTCTCATGAATAATGAAGGATGCCCAGGAACCATATAATGTTGTGTGATCATAGAAGAATTTTATAGGTAGGGGAATATGAGATGTACATTTCTGATCTCTAAATCTTAGTATTCGTGTCATCTAGCATCTTGAAGCTTTTGATATTCAAGACACACATTGATGCTTGTCCCACTTATTTATGAGCCTGCTTTTCTTGTTAAATGCCCCAGTTGGTTGGCTTAATAACTTAACAAGTTTCACTCAAACCAAAGAGGGGGGAAAAAACCTTATAAATTTCAAATTGCAGATATGGCCAGTTCGATAGTGCAAAAGAAACTTTTGAAGTTATAGCAGACTACGAAAGCATGCTTGATTTATTCATATGCCACCTTAACCCTAGTGCCATGCGGCGTTTGGCTCAGAAGTTGGAAGAGGAGGGTGCAGATCCGGAATTAAGGCGATATTGCGAAAGGATTTTAAGAGTTCGTTCTACTGGATGGACGCAAGGCATTTTTGCCAACTTTGCTGCAGAAAGTATGGTTCCTAAAGGACCTGAATGGGGTGGTGGGAACTGGGAAATTAAAACCCCTACTAATTTGAAAAGTATACCTCAATGGGAGCTTGCTGCAGAAGTAATGCCATACATGAAGACTGATGATGGCACAATCCCAGCCATTATTACAGATCACATTGGTGTTTACCTGGGATTAATTAAAGGAAGAGGCAATATTGTCGAAGTAAGGGAGGATAGTTTGGTCAAAGCTTTTAGGGCTGCAGGTGACAATAAGCCAAATGGAGTTCCAAATGCCTTGGCCAAATCCATGTCTAATGGGTCAAAGGAATTGCCTGATGGTAATTCAAAGGCTGATTCCTTGATGGGTCTGGAAACTCTCATGAAACAAGATGCAAGATCATCTACTGCTGATGAACAGGCCAAAGCACAAGAAGAATTCAAGAAAACAATGTATGGTGCAGCTAATGATGGTAGCAGCAGTGATGAAGAAGAACATACGAAAACCAAAAAACTACAAATTAGAATTCGAGATAAACCACTTGCATCTTCTACAGTAGATGTCAATAAGATCAAAGAAGCAACGAAAATATTCAAACTCGGTGAGGGGTTAGGTCCTCCCGTGCGGACAAAGTCATTGACTGGCTCCCAGGATCTTGGCCAAATTTTATCCCAACCCTCTGCTAGTGGTGCAACTGCACCTGCTGCTGATTTGTTTGGTACTGATACAATATCGCAATCGGCACCAGTATCACAACCAGGACCTACAATGATGGGTGTGGGAGTTACAGCTGGACCTATTCCAGAGGATTTTTTCCAAAATACTATACCCTCCCTCCAAGTTGCAGCATCACTACCTCCTCCTGGAACATATCTTGCCAAATTGGATCAAACTTCTCAGCAAGTTGAAAGCAACAGGGTGGTGCCTAATCCAGTTGGTTCTTCTGTGACTGACATTGGTCTTCCTGATGGTGGTGTTCCTCCACAAGCCACTCAACAAACTACTCAAAAAACTGTCTCAATTGAATCCATTGGACTTCCTGATGGTGGTGTGCCGCCACAGGCCTCCAGTCAGCCTGCTGTCTCATCTCAGCCTCAAGTTCGGGCACCTAAGGGCCCACTTCCTTCGCAACCTCTTGATCTCAGTGTGCTTGGAGTTGCAAATTCTGATTCAGCAAAATCTCCAGTGCAACCTGCTGCTTCACCATCAGTGCGTCCTGGACAGGTGAAACTCCTATTTTTGTCTTCATAATTTAATTTCATATTTTCCTGTATTCATTCTGGTGCAATCCAATTAAACCAACTTGTAGCTGTTCTTCCTTAGGTTATTGATTTTCGGGCTTTTGAATTTAGCTTATGGCAATAATGTGCACACGTCGAGTGTTGGCTGCCATATTTGTTGGTTATGCGCAGTCAACAGATTTGTTAGGGACATCACTTGCATTTTCTAACTTCAATCAATCACTTGGCTTTTAATAGGTTCCCAGAGGAGCAGCTGCTTCAATATGCTTCAAAACTGGGCTTGCTCACCTTGAGCAGAATCAACTTCCTGATGCGTTATCATGTTTTGATGAAGCCTTCCTGGCACTAGCTAAGGATAACTCTCGTGGAGCTGATATTAAAGCCCAAGCAACCATCTGTGCCCAGTACAAGATAGCAGTTACTCTGCTTCAGGTGCTAGTGTTTTCCAAACTCCAAATAAAATAAGCGGCTATAAATTTTAATCCATCCCTGTAACAAAATATTCAACCCTTTCCATACTTCCTACTTTAACTTATAATGTTTACGGTTATTAAATTAATCTTATTTAAATTCAACATTGGGGTTTTCTAACCAAGATAAGTACCCGTTTGCACAGGAAATTGCACGGCTGCAGAAAGTACAAGGCCCGAGTGCACTCAGTGCAAAAGATGAGATGGCAAGACTGTCACGACACCTTGGTTCTTTGCCTCTTCTAGCAAAGCACCGAATAAATTGCATCCGAACAGCAATTAAACGCAACATGGAAGTGCAGAACTTTGCTTATTCCAAGCAGATGCTTGAACTCCTGCTGTCCAAAGCTCCACCGAGCAAGCAGGATGAGTTGAGAAGCCTAATTGACATGTGTGTTCAGAGGGGTTTATCGAACAAGTCCATCGATCCTTTGGAGGATCCATCCCAGTTTTGTGCTGCTACGCTTAGCCGCCTTTCAACCATTGGATATGATGTTTGTGATCTCTGTGGAGCCAAATTTTCTGCTTCCTCTTCTCCTGGATGTATAATCTGTGGTATGGGCAGCATTAAGAGGTCAGATGCAGTTGCAGGGGTTGCAGTGTCAGTACCTACTCCATTTGGATGAGTTCTAGACAAGGGAAAGTCGTGCATCATCCAGCCAAAATGAAATTGCTCCTGCAGAAATGTTTGTCAGATAAGGTCCCCACCGCTTGAGCACAGACAAGAAGCCAGCAATACCTAGTTAGTGTATATTTGTATCATTTATCTGTTTCTTTGCATTGAACGTTTTATTTCTTTCCTCTCTCCCATTTTCGATTTTTTTATTTGATAGTTACCCATCGCTTATTGCGGGTTTATACCTCCTTTTTCTCACAGCACACCATCAATGTAACAGATTCACAATTTTGTAGAAAATGTACTTGTGTTTTGTGGTGATGCAGTTGCTTGAGTTTGAAATTTTGGAGTTAATACCTATTTCTCTGAACGTAGAAAAGTTTTTGTAACAACATTCATGGTAATGTATTTGACGTGGTTTTTCCTATCTTTATAGGGAAGTGTGGGAGAGATTTCTGTCAATGTACATCATGATTATTGAAAAGAAATACATGATTGTCTTGATATATTATAAGAACTAATGGGTTTCTACTTATCGGGTTGATCAAATATAGGCAACGATGGAGAATAGTGTGCGTTTCTGTTTTATATTTAATGATTCTTTTTTTTTTTTAATTTGGTGCAAATATATTAAATGATTTTTTTTATTCATTGGGAAGCTCAATATGGCCAATTGAATGTCCATTTTTATTATTTTTAATTGAATTTTATTTCTGGTAATTTGAGAAATCGGGGTTGAAACGGGTAGTTTAATAATATTGCATAAAGTTAATCAAAGAAGCAAATTAATCATCTCCTTATACCTCTCTAAATTATCTTTTTATCTATTAATGTTTTCCATTTTTGATGTTACCACTCTAGGTTTTAAAGAATGCCATAGAACTGTATAGCTTTATGTGTGTTCCTAGCTAGTGGCCAGCACAAATAATCATGCATTTGCTGGAACTTTCTCTTTTTTGTCATGTATGGCCAGAAATGAGGAATTTGCTGTTCATATTTTTTTTTTTTTATTGTTTGTTAATTTATGGCCATTGAATTTCAATTTAACTATTGCCACTGTTTCTGCTCCGTCAAACTTTACTTTGGTCCTGTTTGGCTGGCAACAATTTCTGATAGTGTTTAGTATTTTCAAGGTTATATGTCTTTTTGCAACCTATTCAAGTTCAAATCATTTGGACATCTGAAAGGTCATAATCAAGAAGCACCGAGATCCCAAAAAAGTGTTTCTAGTCAAAACACTATTTCTAATATTTATATCATTTTATGCATAGTATTTAGAAATTGAGAGGCCATATCATGAAATGTTACTCCTCCAACATGTAACAATTTTTGAAATAGTATTTAATATTTTAATTAGAGTCAAAATACTACTTCTGTTGTCTTTATTGTTTGACCATATAATACATTACAAAACAACACTCAGACAGCTAAACTATTACAATTTAGAACTGAGCAAGGTTTAGTTCGATTACAAGAAACCAAAGCAAGGTATGGATCAACTTTAGTGTAAGACAGGCAGTCCCAGTCCAAATGATAATAAAAATTAGAACATCTAATGAATGGAATGAAATTAATAGTATTTTGTATTCCTGATGTACTCTTCCCCAAAACCAATTTCTAGTGTAACAATAACTGCAAGCTAATGTTCAAGAAAGTACTAATCCTCCCCACAACTGTTAACAAAGGAAGCACTATGTATTTACTTCTGGTGTGTCTATAAGTAACACAAATGTGATTTTTTTTTGTTTTTCACCTGTGTAAAAGCAACCTGAAACTAAAATCATATGGCATAAATTGTACTAGCTGTGAAAGAGGCTCTCTTCCCCTTCTTTCAAGAGATTTAACAGCTTCATTCCTGTGTTCATCAGGTAGCTGCAGACAAATCCAATCGAGCAACGATTCTATATCCTTCGCAAAGTCTAGTAGATACCAATCTAATAGCTTTGGAATTATTAATTTGTTTGTCTTAGAAATCCCAATTGCTGCTTGTAAATAGTCTCTTTTTGCTGCTTCTAACTCCTCTTCAACATTGGAAGCTGTATATACTCTCACCTGCATTTTCAAAGTTGCAATAATCAGTAAGTACACGATACAACACTAAGATGATTCTTGAACCCAACAACAATATCAAACAACTAGTTTCAGATTAAATTTATCAAAAAATGCATCAAATGCTAATTAGTTTTAGCTCAGTAGTTCTGAGTCATCTCCAGAGCTATGATCGAGGCTGCCAGTTAAAACCCCAGTTGGATCCTAATCAATATAAATTCTTTAAGAGTCAATTAAACATCGATAATCACAACCTGCAGATTCCTGTCTCAGAACCCTTACGAAAAAAACCAAGGAGTATTCTTTAGGAAGAAACATACAGCAGGGGATGACCAACTTCCACAGGAGAGAGCAAATGTCACCAAAGGTTCAGACCACTCCAATCCGAAAATGCTCTGTGCTCTCATCTCCTCATTTTTTGCAGCTTTTGGACATGTCTGTAATATTTTTCAACAAAAAGCTTCAATTATAAGGTCAGTGCAAAAATGGTAAAGAATAAGCAATAACAATTCAATCTACTGCACAGCAAGGAAAGATTGTAGTTGTGATTATATGAACTTACAAATTTTAAATGATAAGGAAGCCTCAGGATGAAATGCTCAATGGTAATCGCATTTAGTATCTGTCCTCCTACAGATATTGTTGCCTGAAGGAAGTTTAGTGTGAGTTAACTGAACCAAATTAAATCATTATCATCCATAGCCAACATATTTATATTCATAAAATTTTCTGAAAAATTAATGAAATGAAGCCAAAAGGTAATGCTTACTGCCTAGAATTGAAATTTCAAAACAAAATATAGAATGTGAATTAGCGTTTACAGAAACTCTACTGAATATAAGCAATTGTCCAAGTTTGGTTAAACCATGAATATTGGAATTTTAAAGCATGAAAATAAATTTATTATAATAGAAATATTTCATTATAAAAATGTAATGATAAGGAGATCATACCTTTTGCATTAATGCTACAACCGTTTCAGGAGTCTTGGGTATACCATGCTCCAAAATTGCCTGAAAGATTAATAGATATACCTCAAATTAATTATCAACCTTATCCTACCGATATTGGCAAAGTCAACTTTATTCAGGATGAAGAGAATACTTACATTCATGATACAAGAGTTATAAGTGTTTATCCAGAAAGCAAGTTTCTGCTGATGGGTAAGACCCTCTAAATTTACAGAGGCAAGCTTCCCAAATAGGAACCTGAATGTAATTGTATAAACGAAGTTAATACAGACATTATTCATTTCAACTTAATTTAGAATAATTAAAGAACAATAGAAACACTTACTTTAGTCTATGAATCAAAAACAAGGCATTTGTTGTGCGGTTGAGATCAATTGAACTACTTTCAATTGCACAAAGATGTTTATAGGGACCAATATCTCTACTACTGGATTCTCCAGAGATATCATAAGGATGCCAAACCTCTCTTTCTTCATTGCTCTTAGGAGAAACTAAGACTGATCGCGAGCCTAAAGTCCTCAATTCTCCTGTTTTTTCCTTAGATGTGCTTAACCTTAACAAAATGCTAGACAAGCACTTCAATATATCCTCAGATACCTTATTTGGTGTGACTGTGATGTTATTCTCTGTTACTCTATCATCTGAATAGCCAGAAGAGCTTTCTTGTGCTTTTTCATGGTCTAACAATCTGCACTCTAACTAAGCAACACAAAAATAACAGTTATAAGGACCAAAATATAGTAATGCAATAACTTAACTCTCTACAAAAACTATTGATTAGTTCTGTGCCCATACCTTCAAAGGGTCCAAGCACTTCTCTTCAAATTCATGCTTGTTTGATGTTCTCTTTATTGGTGGAGTCACAATTTTCGCAATTTTCTTGACTGGAGATTGCTTATCCTTCACTGAATTAGTACATGACCTATTCTCCTTTCCTCGTCCATCATCAATCGGAAATGAAGATGAATTGGGTTTACAAGAAGCTTGTTTCCCGTATACAGGCCTATTAGAAAAATATGTTGATCGATCGAATACAGTGTCCGAAGACAATAGCTTTCTACTTGAAGTGCTTCTAGCAAGAGCCGGTTGAGGCCTAGCTGCAAATGTAGCAGAATTGAACTCATTATGTGATAATGATTTTGATCGTGCATGTTTCGGTCTTGTAATTGAAGGTTGGTGTTGTTGGTCTATTGCATCATTAGAGTTCTCTACATTCTTCTTAGAAGAGATGTACACAGCTTCCTGATACAATCCCTGTCGAAAATTCACAACTTGTTCTTCAAGGCGAACAACTTCCTCTTCTAAAACAGCTACTTCAGCTAGCAACGCCAATGTCTGAAACACAAATAACATAACAGAAACCCACATTACTCCTCTCTAATAGAAATTTCAAGAAACAAGAACTTTCTCAAAATTCAAGTTAAATTGATTTGCATTGGCATTAGTCTAGTAACCCAATTCTAGTAGAAATTTCAAGAAACAAGCACTTCCTCAAACTTCACGATTAAATAGGTCAGGTCAATAGAAATATGCACCACCATTGTTCTAGTAACTGGCGAGTATCTGTCCATGTAAAAACTAGAATTCAAATGCTCAAATCCTGACAGTCCATTCACTTTTAAGACTTTTGATGTACCCAGAAAAAAGATGCATATGTGTATCTTCCATTTCTTTTCTTGAACAATTCCATTTATGCCACTGATCCTCATCAACACTTGTACATAGAGAAAAGATATAATAAATAGAGTAGGGAAACTGCACTTACATATGGAGGAAGGTAAGGAGGCAAGCGAGGTAGAGCACCCAAAGGCCTAGTAAAAGCTCTCTCTAATGCTCTGTGAACATTCTCTTCCTGTCTAAGCTTCTTCTTTAGCTTATCAACCTGCAAATTCGAGACAATAACAATCAAATTGAAAAGCCCATTTAGGTGATAGTAATTAACATGATATAAAGAACAGAACTATTGAATGGCCTTATAGAGAGAGAGAGCGATTTCTTTATTATTACATCTTGTTGTAAAGCCAACTTCCTTTCCCTGTTTAATCTACGCCGATTAACTGCATATTTCTGGGTACCCATTGCTCTGCTTCCTTGAGTCTCCATCTTCTCCTTCTTTGCAATTTCAATAATAAATGCAGTAAGCAAATATTATTGAAGGATCAGAGTGGAACTAGAAGAGAGGAGGAAAAAAGCAAAAGCAAAAGTAGAAGCAGAAGCAGAAGCTATTTATTCTTTTCTTGAGATGAGTGAAAGAACCCAATGCAGATTTTTAGATCTAAAGTGCATACTTTTTTTATCTGTTTTGGAAGGAGATTTTGCACTCTGCAAGAAGAAATAAATCTTGTTTTTCAAAAGAATATGCATCTAAAATCAAGAAAAAAAAAAAAAACTAAAAAGCACTAGTCGAATTAAAGCCAACTAATTTTTCCACTTGAGGTAATTAATTGAACTTTGAAACCCCATTTCAGATTTTACAACTTCTCATTGAAAATGATCCCATTTTCAAACACCATGAAATTCTTGAATGCAACAGACAAAAACAAGAACTGAAGAGGAAAAACAAAGATACAAATTAATTACTTTATCATGGTTTAAAGGAGCTTTCATTGCTTGAAGAGCAGTGCGGACTCTAGTGTTCATAATGTTCCTCTTGAAAGCGAATCAACAATGCACCAAAATTAATTCTAACCTGAAAAGATAACTGATCGTAATAAATCAAAACTCTTGAAGGAAAGAAAGAAATAAACCAATAAAAGAACAGGAGGAAAAATTGCAGTATAGTACTTATTTTTCTTTTTCTTTTTTATTTTAGAGAGCGGGAAACTTGAAAGCAAAGAGAAGATGAAACAGAAATGGCTAGTGTCTCTCCGAGTGCATAGTTTAGTGTAATTGTATAATTTATTAATAAATAGAGAAAAGAAAAGGAGTTGGTGATATTTAACAATTTAAGATAAAGAGAAAAGGAAGATCTCGAACAGTGTGAGAAACTGTGAACTGAGAACTGAGAACTGAGAAGAAAGAAACAAAAAATGGCACAGCACAGCAAAGAAGAAGTATAAAAACGACAAGGATTCGAGCTAAAAACTAAAAAGCGTCATCCAAGAAACGGGTAACAGACACAGACAAAACATGCCTCACATCATTAAAATTAATTAAACAAATTATGAGAAAGACACCAACTCTAATCAAAACTGGAAAAGAAAAAACATTTGGAAATGTCATTTCTGAGTTTGAAGATCATAACAGGCTAAAAACAACGACTTACTGTAGGAGAGTTGTGTTTTTCGTAATTGACAGAAGTTCATTTTTGCATGCAAGTGTTTACAGACAGAGATATGTAGAGTTTGCTAGAAACTGTGGTTTGGGCATGCCATGTGTTTCTGTATCTATCATAAATCACAATCCAACAGTTGCCAACTCTACGTCCTTCTTACTTTCGCTTTATAAGTTACTTTAATAGAAATTAATATTTTTATTAAATTAAGTATGAACTTTAATATTTCACTTTTCATTAAAAATTATTAATTAATATTTATATTATAGATTTATAGATAAATAACTATGAAATTTGTAATATTCAAACTTAATTTAATAGAAAAATTTAAATATTTTGTAAATTTTAATTATAATTATGATACAAAACTTTTTTTTGTCGTAAATAATAGTGCTACAATAATAATAATAATAAATGTTAATTTTACATTTCTAAATAAAACTGACATACAGTTCAAATTTATAATTACATAATCTTAAAAATGATTTTCTATTACCGAATCAATGTCTGTTAATAATAATTATTATTATATTTTTAGCTACAAACAAAAATATCTGAAAGTGCGTATTAAAATTGAACAAATAAAATTTGACAATTATAAAAAATTATAATCACGCAGTATATTTGCATTAATTAATGTATTTTTCATATTTTGCTTTGTTGAATTAAATGTTCCCCTCTTCTTTCTTGGGTTGTTAGAAATCTAAAATAAAATAAAAATATTAGATAATTGAAATCTATGGTGGAAAAAAGGAAAAAAAAAAAAAGAAAATTGTTAGCACGTGATCAATAATAATGTTTTTTTGAAACAGAGAAGGGATAACATAAGTAATAAAAGTTGCAAAGTACCTTTATTTGTACAAACAACCATTAGCTTTAGTACATTTTACAGGGAAGATTATTAGATTAATGATACTTAGTAAGTATTAATTAGTCACGAAAAATAGAATTATAAGAAGATGATTTGTAGAGTTTTGATGCTTAATATTTATTTATAACCTCGGATGCCAAATTATTGAATTAAAAAAGGGCTGCATTGTAATTATGATATCTTTCAAAATAAGCAACATAACGTGCTAATTATTAATCAGACTAAATTACTTACAAATCTCCAGCGCACACACATATGACAAAAGGTTAAAATTGTCATTTGATTAATAATTGAATCAAGCTTTTAACTTCTAAAATAACACGTGAATTAGGTGTAATCTAATTAATCTTTTCATTAGTACGAGAAATGAGAGGTCTCGAGAGTCCTTTGCATTATAAAAATTTTCACTAATTTGATGAGTTTAGAGGAGGACTATTTCTGTTGTGTAATCTATAAATCGTATTATATAGCAAAATCGGGATTTTATTTTTATAATATGAGCAGCGGAGCCAAAAGGATTTAATTGCAAATGATTGTTGGCCGCATCCACAACATGGGGGCATAAGATAAGACAATAATCAAACTTAGTCAACAATTTAATTAATCATTGCATTTTTTATTTTTTATTTGACAACATGAAATTAGGGTTTTTTCAGCTAAAAATAATTAAGGCTACTTCATATTTTACGACAAATAGTGTTGGTATGTATACAATTATTCCTCTGTCCCATAATAATATATAAAGTTCGACTTTCACAATATATTTAATATAGTTAGATTAAATCATATTTTTTCACTTAGTTTTTTCTTAATACATTAAATATTAACCACGAATCATATTTTAAAATTATAGAATCAGTTGACATACGGAACAATAATAATTATTATTTTATTTATTCATAATTTCATTATTAATAATAATAATGTATTTTTTTCGATAGATATATAAAATAAGGGGTAAAATATAAAACTACAAAGGATTGCATTTTTTTAAGAAAGAAACTAGGATTATAATTTAAAGCAAGTAAAAAAGAAAAGTGAGTCTATAAAAAGGAATGAAATATATTTTTAAGCTTTATAAATTGAAGCCAAATCTTTTTTTTTTTTTTTTTTAAATTATAATAATTTTAAGCTAAGTAAAAAAAGGAAAAGTGAGTCCTATTAAAAAGGAATGAAATATATTTTTAAGCTTTATAAAATTGAAGCCACTCTTTTTTTTTTTTTTTTTTATAATATAAGAAGCAGCCAAAGAAGCAATAAGGCTTTCATGTGCTTTTTAAAATTGCAAAAAACCAGCAGTGTGAATATTATTAATTAAAGATGCTAAGCTAAAACAGTTCCATAACCAGGAAAGGTTGCTTAAAAGTTTTAATTTTTGGAAGACGTTTAACATTTAATCAATGCAAATTAAATTAAATAACAAGAAGAAATTAAATTTAGTGATATATTTTTGGATTGAAGAAGTGTGCATGGATTACTCTCTTATTGGGCATATTTCAATATTAGCCCAAAGCAACGGTGACACTTTCCCATTCCCCATTTTCTTTAAGTGAAGCAGGAAAAAAAAAATATCATTTGGCTAAAAGTGATACGTGGTAATGGTATTTTACATTACCGTCATAGATATTGTCCGCGAATTCGGAAACCGGAGAGGATCATTATCGATGGCATTTCCTTAGAATGCCTGAACTCTTCATAAATAGCAAACATCAATTGCTAAGCCTTTTTTTGAACATCAAAAAAGCACAATTAAATACTTCATTTTGTTTAGTAAAAGGGTTAATTGTTATTATTTTCTGTAGTATTTTACTAAAAAACGGAATAATTGTTTATTGAATGGGTAGTGCCTGTAATGTTGAAAATCAAAGCTCTGTGACCCTGAAGAGCCTCTTGTGGTGGTCGTTACAATGGCGAAGACCAGTCTTCCTCCTTCTACACTGTCAACCCTACTCGAACTAATCGAAATGCCCAAGTCATGCAACTCATGCCATCGACAATCATCTGATGGATAACATAACTTCCTTATACTATCCTAGCTACTATATACCCTATTTACCTATTATCAGATATATACTAGATAACGGTCATACAGCTCCTACTAACAAAAAATGCCAATTCTTCCACTTAGTAATCTCTATGAAATTGTAACACAAGTACGCATACAATATACCAGTCCTTTCCTTATTCTTAATGAATTCCTACTTAACAACAAAATTTGCGCTCTGAACAACCATTAATAATGGCACAAGTACTACCTCACGACATGATTTAACCTGTAATCTCCTCCATTACAACAAACTAGGCCAAACTAGCCACCGCCCGCTAGAGAAATTCCACAGAAGAAGCTGTAAAAATTGGTCCCTATGTAATACCTACTTCTCTCATCGATTTTAATATTCTATTTACTTTTGAAAAAAAAAATTCTATCATGGTCCCAAACACGTATAGATGCAGCGCACCTGAAACTCAATCTCTTTAATTAATCTTTCTTTTCATGAGAATGAAACGCTTGGCCCATCCAATGCACAAATTCACGAGAGACACGCGGCAAAAGCCAGAGCACCATGCAAAAAAGATAATAACCTTTGGCTCCTTTTCCATCACTATGTTCGGACACCCTGTTTACCTTGTGATTTCATCATACTTTTATAATATAAACTAACCCCCCACTACATATACTCATACTTAATATATAATTGAAAAATATCCAACAAATTTAATAAGGTAAAAGCCTCGTCATATTATAATGAAGTGACAATTATTCTATGATCAATTTTTATCAGTAAATTAAAAAAAAAAAAAAAAAAAAAAGAAAAGAAATGAATTTATGAAGAACATGATCATTGACTGCTAGCGTCTGACAAGACATAATATCATCAAGATAAAGGTGAAAAATTGCTCTTGCGATGTTGTATCATGTTTAGATTAAATTTTTCTTTTTGTCGATGTCAATCTCCGTTGTAGGCTCTCTTGGTTTTTTGTGGCTGAGAGAAGGTGGTGGTCAACTGCTCTTGCTAAATTACTAACCATTCTGCTGGCGGACAGAGACAAATTAAAGTCATGCTAAGCACTCAAACTCCCACGCACAGTGTACTACACCTAGTCTGATACATGCACATGCTCAACCATGAGCTCAATCCAAACATGACTGTGTTTCATGCAATTTTCTCTGAGTCTTCCGTACAAATTACTATTTCTTCTCCTTTTTATTTCCTTTTTATATTTTTTTCCGCTTGCTTATGTTCTCGCTAAGTTTTATTTTGAGGCCAAACGCAATCACTTTATTCTAGCTTATTCACAGGAGATTTGCCACCATCTATTCACCATTTTATAATTGATATGACGCCCAAATGTAGGAGATAAGTTGCAGCCTTAGGCCGATGAAACGACGCATGTTCTTATCCAGTAATAAAAGCTAAGGAGATTGGCATATTTTTGTCCTTTTTTTCAAAAAAAAAAAAAACAAATGACAGCAGGG